TGTTGAGGGTGGATGAAGAAGGACGCGTTATGCCAAGACTTTAGTGTCCCGCTCGCTGATATGTCCCGCTCGCTGATAAAGTACGTTAATCCTAGCCCTCCTTGAAAAAGGCCGAGGAGTCAGCCTTCTTTTTGTAGTGGGGCTAGGTTTTTTTGAGCTAACCATCGAGCCAGCCCACTTTTTACAGCAGGGCCAGGTTTTTTTAAGAGAGCCTTCAATCTAGAAATTGAAGATTGAATTGAAGATTGAATTACTTTCAGCAGCTTATAGGCAATATAGAAGTTAATGTGCAGCACTGCTCGGCTGGAGGTGATGCAATGCGATCGGGCGGTTGGTGGGGAGAAGAGAACAGTGGCGGTGCAGGATTGAGGTACATTCGATTTTGAAATTGTCTTTGCAATGCAATGGCTTGGAAAAAAAATGAATCTAACGTGAGTGTAGTAGGGCGATAACGGTTTTGACGGGATTCATTGACTGAACCTCTGTACCTGGTTACTAGGAAACATTTATCTATTAGCTTGTCGCTATCAAACTTCTTAGTTAACCCTATATTTTGCTTACTCACTTAGATATATACTACCTCAACTCTTACTTTTTTTCTTTTGATTTAATATACCAGGTGTGACGAATCGTCTCTCAACCACACTCTGAAAGGGTTCACTGAAAGTATGACGTAAGGGTTGTGACTCGGCGAAGCCAAAAGGTTCACAACAAGATAGGGATCTGGTCTCAATGTTCACGGCGCAGTGCAAGTGGCAATGAACAAGTTGTAACTATTGCTTACTGAGGAAGTCCCAGACTCCCTCAACGAGTGACTAGCTGACTATCGATATACTTGACAACTTCTTTGTTCCTGATGTCCCTTTGTTCCTGGATCTCGTGGCTCTCATCGAGATCCCGTCGAGCCTGTTGGCTCTCAACCTTTCTTTATCGATCCTGGTGTTGGCTCTCGTGGATCTCGAAGAGATCCCATCGAGCCTCTCCTGATTGGCTACAAGATGGTTGGTTGGCAGTGCATCCCGCGCCCCACCTGCATGTGCCACGGGCCGCCTTCCGCGGCCCAGTCCGTAACAATTGCTTACTGGAGAGCTCCTAGAGTCCTCTAGAATGAGTGACTATATACTGCTTGTCTAGAGAATATCCTGAAGTACCTTGTACCGTGATCGTAGTGATCTCACTGCGATTCCTGCGATCATTGTTCGGTGTTGCTGGTGAGCGCAGTGATCGCACCGCGACTCTTGCGATCACCTCTGTGCTTGTTCCTGATTGGTCTATGCCAGTGGGTCCGTGCGTCAGACTTGTGTGTTGGCTGTCGCCCGCGTCAGCTTGTGACAATAACTAAGAGTAGAGAGATATAATGCTAGGTTTTTACCTTGACGATTTCCTATACGATTGGGGTCGACTCTAGGTCTGAAACCGTGCGCTGGCTGTGCCTATGCCGAGTCATCAAAGCAGTCATCCAAGCAATCTTGAATCTACTCCTTTCTTTTAAAAACTCGAAAACCCACGATGCGAGTCCCAGAGCCCCGACGCAACCCCCCAAGTTCGAGTTTACGATAGAATACCAAGAACCAACAGAAACGGACCCGCAATGCCAGTCTGCTTCACCTGCCGAACGGTGCTCCGACGCCAGATCGACGTCCTCCGAACATTGCGACAACGCCGACCACAGTCGACCAAGAACGATCTAGTCGGCAACTCGAAAGGCGGAGAACAGGTCCCGACGCCGAACAATGTCCCGACGCTCAACTTCTGGCAAAGGCTGGGGCCGTTTACCAGAGTCGCCCAGGCGTATGCCCGCGCGCAGCGCAAAAGGCCCTACGTGACACAGATCTGCACCTCGCTGTTCATCTACCTATGTTCTGACAGTACGTTCGCCCTCCATGGAGTCTCGGGGGCGTTACGCGAACAATTCCACGGTTCGAGAGTTCTAGGACACTGACAGGTCGCAGTTTCGGCGCAGAGTATGGGGGGGAAGGACTACGATCCCACACGAACCGGTCGTTCATTGCTCATCGGCTCAATATCGTCGATTCCGAGCTACCACTGGTAAGCGATATAATACACTCGTTTAGGGACCGATTATCCTGAGAACTAACCGACCCTCTTTACGCAGGTTCGTCTGGCTTTCCGAAAACTTCAACTACCAATCCCGCCTATTATCGCTCGCAACGAAGGTCGTCGTCAACCAGATCTGCTTCACCCCGACGTTCAACACATACTTCTTTGGCATGCAAGCCTTCTTGTCCGGCGCGACGCTTCCCGAGACGTGGGAGCGCATCACCAAGACCGTCCCAGTCAGCTGTCTCAATTCGTGTAAGCTATGGCCGGCTGTCACGGCATTTATGTTCGCCTTCGTCCCCCTCGAGTATCGGCCGCTATTTGGCGGGGGGATTGCCGTTGGGTGGCAGACGTATCTCAACTATCTCAACCGTCGCGCCGAGCAAAGCATGGAAAGGCAAGCGCGGGAATTGGAGGATACCCTTGTAGAGGAAGTCACGGCTTCAACCTAATGGCGCTCAGTTTTGCTAGATTTTAGACGAGCAGGTTTGCGATAGACTCTGGTTAGCGATTGCGATTTTGGTAGATGGTTCCCGCGTGGGATGACGTTCATGGAAAGTTATAAGATTCTTTCTATAGAGCTAGAATGGAAGAATGGGCCCCAAGTTGGCTTGGCATTCCCGCTCACTTTGTGAGCGCACTCAGTTGTTCCTGGCATCGCTCTTTCCTGTTGTGGCTTCAGGTTCGACATGGCTGCAGTTGCCTGTTGATTACAAGGACTCCGTTTTGTTACTATTAATTCAAGATGGAACGCCCCAAATACTTGAGGAAAGAGCAACCAACCGTGCTCCAGGCAAACTTTCATTTAGCCCAAGTACGGATCCGGTCAGTGCCCTCTCTTCCTGTCCTCCTGTCCCTCGTTCACCTACCTACCTTAGAGACACTCTACAATGGCAAATATTTGGACCCAACAAGTCCTACCGGGTTGCGTTCAACTCTTGTTCGACTTTTTGCACTTTCTTTTTCTTTGCGCCATTATCGCTATCTCACACCGTCCCGAAACCCCGGACATCGTGGGACCGCTTAGGGATCTCGTGCGAGAGATCGGGGAGAGCATGCAATCGATCAGGGAGGGATCACAATCGCTCATCAGGGTCGGTGAAGCTGTGCACCGTGTGGCCGAGCGCAGCGTCAAGTTCGAGGTTGCTGTTGCAGCCCTCGCTATCGTCTTGGGGTCCCGTAACTCTCCACAACCTCCGGCAGGGCCTTAAAGGCGCCACAGTTTTTGAGAGGTCGGGAGGCGCGTTTGTCTCCGTTCATCACGGCCTCGGGCCGGCACACACCGCGGGGCCAATTTTACAGGGGTATTGCCCCACCAACGCCTTTCTTGCGGCTGAAGGTCTGCACAGCTCAAACCTTAAACTCTGCGCCAATTCCACAATTTACACCACACGACAAATCACGACCACATCCTCCCCGGAGCCATTGTTTGCTGGCTGCCCCCGGCTGCCGGTCCTAACATGGCGGGTTCATATCTCAGGGCCCGAAGCAGCCTCGCAAGCGCTGTGCGGCCCTTTACGCGCCCACAACCGCGACTCCAAAGCCGTGTCCCACAGCGATTCGCCTCGACGACTTCCTCAACAAAACGTCCTCCGTCTACAACCCGCAACGTCTTAGCCACAACCCTTCTGGGGACGACCGCTGTGCTCGCATACTACTATGGAACCGACACCCGCGCGTCCTTCCATCAATGGCTTGTCCCGCCCCTGATTCGCGTGTTCTTTCCCGATGCCGAGGACGCCCATCACGCCGGCACCGCGGCCCTCAAAACCCTCTACTCATTCGGCCTCCACCCCCGCGAGCGGCCCTCCCCAGCCGACGGCGATATTAGCCCCACGCCAGGGTCCAATCCCCTTGCGGTTACCGTCTTCGGCACCACCTTGGTCAACCCCATCGGCATCTCCGCGGGCCTTGACAAAGACGCCGAGATCCCGGATCCCCTTTTTGCGCTCGGGCCGGGCGTTGTCGAGGTTGGCGGGTGCACTCCCTTCCCACAAGACGGTAACCCTCGGCCTCGCGTGTTCCGCATCCCTGCCATCGATGGCCTGATCAACCGCTACGGGCTCAACTCGCGCGGCGCAGACGCTATGGCTGCCCGTCTACGCGAGCGCCTGCGAACATTCGGCCGGGGCCTAGGGTTAACGGAGCACGAGATTCTGGCGGAAGAGAGCGGTGTCCCGACGGGTAGTCTGCAGCCCGGCCGCCTGCTGTGCGTACAGATTGCTAAGAACAAGAAGACGGACGAGAAGGACATGAACGCCGTCATCCAAGACCACGTGTATTGCGTGGAGCGGCTAGCGCCTTACGCCGACGTGTTGGTGGTCAACGTTAGCAGTCCTAACACGCCTGGACTGCGAGACCTCCAGGCAGCCGAACCCCTGGCACGACTCCTCGGGGCTGTGGTAGAAACGGCACAACAAACCCGCCGTCACGTAAAACCCCGCGTGATGGTCAAGGTCTCGCCAGACGAAGATGACGACACCCAAATGGAAGGCGTGGTGCAAGCCGTGTGGTCGAGCGGGGTGGACGGAGTCATTGTGGGCAACACCACGCGGCGAAGGACGGGACTTGTCAAGCAAGGTGTAAAGCTGAGCGGCCAGGAACAGAACACGTTGATCGAGGACGGTGGGTTCTCCGGCCCAGCCATGTTTGACCGCACGCTCAGCCTTGTTGGGAGATACCGCAAGATGCTGGACAGCTACTCGCTAAAGACGGCTGCCGTGGGGGATGGGTCCTCGTCACAAAAGGTTATCTTTGCGACCGGGGGTATCACCAACGGGGAACAGGTACTGAAGGTGTTGAATGCGGGTGCGAGCGTGGCAATGGTCTACACTGGGCTTGTGTATGGGGGCTCGGGCACAATTACGCGGATTAAGAAGGAGATGCGGGAGAAGCTCGCGGTAAAGGAGACATGATATGTAAGTGGTGTGATACCAATGTTGCTATTCTTTACAAAAGGGGGGGCTTCATGGTTCGAGGGAGATGAAAAAAGGTGCGCCAGAACCATGGTCGCGGTTCATCAACAGGGATATGGCGTTTGTTCATTTTCCACCAGTGCGAGGGTACTAGACCTGAGTAAGCCCTTTGGGTTGCTTAGGTGCTTCAATCAAACGGTTGAACCCCGACAGTGTGTTTGAGCCAAGCTATGTGAGACTAATTTTTGTGCGACCTCGGATATGTAATTATGCTGCCAACGATCACTCCTCCGATGCGCCTTGTCCTGCACATGACCATTTCAGTGCTTCTAACCATGGCGTCCGGAGCCCTCACTTGCAATATTCCCAAACTCTAGCACGTAAACACGGCCGGGCCGGGGATAGTGTACGCGGTAGCTATAAGTTCATACGTCAACATCTGGATCCTTACACCTGACTCCGAACAGCCAAAAGGAAGGAATAAGCAGAGTAAAAGAAGTAAAAGACTCACCCTTATAGGCATCATACGTAATACCCGCATCACTCCCCTTATACGCGCCAGGGAAGGATACCAACGACGAGGGGACCGTCGATCCCCCGCCCGTGACCTCCAGCTGGTGGCAGCCTGGGTAGAACTGGGCGCCGGGGTATTCGTAGGCGGAGTGCAGCGCGATGATCTCGTGGCGGACTAGGTAGTAGCCGGGCTTCAGGCAGGAAGGGATGGTGTAGGTGTAGGCTGAGGGGGCGGTCATGAGGGGGGTCTTGGGGGTGTTAGTGATTTGGTTTTTTAGTATTGAGGGTTAAGGGGGTAAAGGGGCTAGAAGCGTGAAAGGGAAGGGTAGGGGGAACGTACGTCGGCCCAGGTGTTGGAGGTACCGTCACGGCCGCCTTCTTTGACCTTGAACCAGACCGCTCTAGATAGAAGATAACACCGTGTTAGCAACCACAGAAACAGAAATACAAAAACGATACATAAGAAAGGCAAAAAAACATACGCCTCCCCAGGCGACCAGTCCTGACATCCCCCGTCAGGACACCGCGCCATATACGTCAGCACGGGACCAACGTGACTCTCGGGCCACAGAGTCCAGTTGAGCGTCACGTCGGACCCGGCGGCCGCAGGTGCGTGCAGTGCGGCTGGCTCCGCGCCTTGGTTGCATTGCACGTCGATTGAGTCGACGTCGACCATGGGGCCGTTGCCGGGGATCGAGCGGGAGATGCGGTCGGGCTGGACAGAGGTTAGTATTGTGAATAACTATGGGGGTGGGTTGATTTGGGGGTTACCTTGTCATCGCCCATGTAGGGGTCTACGTAGGGCTATTTGACAAACGGGTGTGGATGGTTAGTGATGGAGTTAAGTTACTAGCGTGGAAGTTGATTGCGGGTGTCCCTGATGCCGCTGTGTAGGCAAACCAGCAGGTCGGTAGCGAGTGGTTAGAAACGAACCTGGTAAAACTATAACCGTTGTGTTAATATCGGACCTGCAGTGACACGGGACGAGCCGGTCGGAAACGGAGAAGCATACCTGGTAGTTCTTCCCGCCAATGACGGCGGAATCAACATAGCCGTGGGCAGCCACGAGAGTGGCCGAGGCCAGGATGGTTGCGATGGTCTTCATGGTGAGTATCAACTTAGATGTGTTGCTTAGGGGTTTGCTTAACCAACGTGAAAACAAGTCGTCTCGTCTTTAAATATCAAACTCGCTTTCGGTTCTGCAAGCGTATTTATATTTATCTCCTGGTATACACGTTTACCCTGGCCTGCTAAGCCATTTGATCTTGATCCCCCGAGGGCCCGAAAACCCGATTCCATGTCTTGGAGGGCGGAACGTCGCGGCCCCGGGTTCTCCATTCGCGGATTGTCTCCGTAAACCCTGCTCGCAGTCTTCGGGAATATTTCCCGATCCCCGCAACGCAACTCCTTTTCAACTGCATACTGCAACATCCGCATGCCCGAATGCTCTCCCGGACGAGGGTTGCTGTAACAGGCAAGTCATCCTCACGGGGTCTAAACTTCAAAGCCACAAGGGCGCGCGTGGTCTTGACTTCTGGGGAACGTGTGATCAGCGAACCCCCAGAAAATCAAAAAGAAATAAAAAGAACCGCCAAATTTCTGGCACATGGGATTTGGGAGCCGCACTAAACAGCATGGAGCATCTGGTTCCGAAGTCCCTTCGAAACCGGGTTGCTCTGTGGGGGTTGACCCACCAATTGACGGTGAATATGGCCTGGTTAGAGACTTGGCGGTTTCGAAGCTCGGTCGGTCGAGGGCCGAGATGAATTCAAAAAGAGACAGTAGAGTTGGGGAGAGTAAAACAGATGATCCGGAATTTAGTGATTGAAATGGTAGCAAAGTTGGAAAAGGTGCGAACAAACGCGGAGGCAATAAAAGGTGAAGCAAGTTGGTTGAACCCGCAAAATGGACCTCGATATTCCATTGACAAACTTGCAAGTCCGATCCTCCACTTTGAGATGTTAACTCTAACCCGATGCCATCTTATCTTCGATTCCCCAAAGCAACTAGAATTAGATCGACAAACTTGACCTCGAATTTCGAAAACATAACCCCATCCATCTCCCATTGTTGCTGCAGGAAGACGGGCCCAGTTTCTCGCCGTTCGTGTAGTACCCCTCCAAGTCTGCCTAATTTTGGTAAGAGGGTTAATTATAGTACATTCAAATATGTTATCTTCCAACACTACTACTGACGGGGACCGTTCCTCTCAGCTGATCGCGCTCAGTCTCTGAGTCTCACGTTAAGTAGTTCAGTTATTTGCGACGTATCCCCAGCCGAGATCCAACGCAGTACATTTCCAAGTGATTAACGATGATGTATATTCAAATGGGAGATCTAAATAAACCAGGCTTCATATCCAAAATTCCACCCAAGGAAACCATTCCCTTGCCCAATATTTATGTGAGTGGGGAGCCCAACCAACATGAGATAGAACAAAACACCAACCGACCCTCCAAGCCGCTCATCAAATGAACCCCAACTCCCCTGGAACCTTCCACATCCCCAACACCCCCGGATACCACGCGGACTCATGACGAGGTTAGATAGACTTACCATGCAACCTCCCCACACTCTCCGGCGTCAATGCCGCTTTATGTCTCCTCGTAGCCAAAATATCCTCCCTAAACAACCACCCCAACGCCATCGTAGCGCCCGGCCCAAGCAACACTGCACTCACCAATCCCAGCCCGACCACCTTAAACCACCCTTCCCGCAACATGCCCGCGGCGCTCAGATCCCAGAACAAGTACGCCAACCACACCAGAGATGAACCGAATCCGCCCGCCCAGTCCCACCGCAGGAACTGGTCCGCGAACGCAAACAGGTCCGGTGCGCTCTGCGGAAGGCCCGAGGGAATCATCGCCTGGAACCCGAAGCTGGCCAGCGTCCACCACCACACGCCGGCAGACGCGATGCCAGCCACGCGCAGGTAGTATTTCATGACGGGGATGTCCTTGCGGAGGTTGTGCAGCTTGTCTTGGTCCATCGTGTCCTTGAAGAGGAGAGCCGAGAAGACCTTCTTTCCGAGGGCCATCCAGATCGGGTATAGCTGCCAGACAAAGAGGATTGATTGGCGGAAGGTGAAGTCAGGCCAGACGAGCATGGCGTAGACCGGGAAAAGATAAAAGAGGGCTACGGCGGGAAGCGAGGCGAAACTGGTGCGGGTGTTGGTCAGGCGCTGGTCGAGGGCGGCGTACTTCTCGATGGGGGAGATGACGTAGTGCAGGAAACACCAGATTGGGGCTATGAGGCCGATGCCGAAAAGTTGACCCAGGAGAGCGAAGAGAGCAGGCCTAGGTCTAGTGTTAGTAAGGAATCTGAAAGGAGAACACGAAAAAGGGGGGAGAAAGAGAATGTCGGGCTTACCATTCCAGAATGGTGAGCATATTCGCCCGCCTGGCTGCCTCAAAGTACCAGATAGTCAACAGCACCATGCCGTCGGTCAGGAACGAAATCACCTGCTGCCGGGCACCCGCATCGATGTCATAGAGAGCCGAGAAGAAAAAGGTGTTGACCAAGGCCACAAAGTCGTCAAACCCCTTGAGACCATAAAACGACCTAATCACGGGAATCTCAACATTAGAATCGGGCAGCTTCAACACCCCGCCATCGCGCAGGGCAGCGGCCCATTCCAAGGCCGGTTCAACGTTCATAATAATAAACGCGGCAACACAGATACCCAGGAGGGACAGCGCCAGCACGGCGCGCTTGAGCCGGCTCTCGCGCATCCCGTCGCCTTGGGTAGGGTTGAAAGGCGTGGTGGAGGTGAGCGAAGCCATGGGAAGCGGGAGGTAATCGAGTTTGACGGCGCCGATGATGGTGTTAATCATGAGGTCGGGGACGAATTCCGAGAAATGAGGCAGCAGGAAGGTCACAAACCACCGGTTCAGGCCGTGCATGTTCTGCGCACGGGCGAGGAAACCGGACGCGTCGACTACGGCGTTCGCACGGTTCTCCCGCTCCTTTTGGTATGCAACCAGCATGGTCTCAACCTGTTCGAGACTCGGCAAGGGCCGTTGGCGATCACGCGTCAAGTCAGCGAGCTGCTTGATGCCGTTGGCGAGTGAGGCCACGCTCTCGATCGCGGCATTGCCGCCAACACCAAGATTGGGAGTCGATTTATGGATGCTGTCGCCAGCACACACGATCCGGCCCCAGTGCCAGAGCCGGAACTTGGCCTCTTCGACAGCGACCAAACGGGCCGTCACAGTCTTCTCCCAAAGGTCAGGCAGGGTCAGCGGGTGCTCCCCGCCGATCAGCACAATGTCGCTGTGCCGCTTCACAAAGTCGTCCGCATCGGCCTGAGTGTACCGCGGGATGTCATCGAGGTGATATGTACGAGGGAGACGCTCTTGGGCGAACCAGTAGACTTTTCCGCCTTCGGAAGCGATGGTGAGCGCGCAACGGCCAGGGCTGTACGAAGTGTTCGCATCGCCGGCCTTAATGGCGGGGTGGTCAACGCCGTGACAGATGCCAAAGAGACAGTTGTACTCGGCGATCATACCTGCCGGTGCAGATGTGTAAGCTGACCTGAAACATGGAAGAACGACAGGTTCCCGTCTATGCACTAAAGGCATCTGAAAATGCAGTAGAATCACTACTTACACTTGCGGTCTGCCTCCACGAGCTTAGGCTGCGTGGGCTCGGCCAGCTCCCAGATCTTGCTGCGGGTCTTGCTGAAAACGCCGTCGGCACCTACGAGCAGATGCCCGGAGTAGCTGGTGCCGTCTGCACAGCGGACCTGCACACCGTCGGCATCCTGCTGGATATCAACGATATTCTTGTTTACGTGGAGCTTGCTCGGGTCCTTGAGAGTCTCGTGGAGCACACGGAGTAAGTTCTGGCGCTCACCCCATCCGGGAGGGTATCCGGTCCTAGAAAGCGAGTTAATCCTGTGAAGCCATAGTGTCTTTAAGAAATCATCTCAACCCTGAATATTCCGGGATCAAACGTACCGGGCATCGAGAAGCTGGGGGCTACGGTCCGGCTTGCTTATGGGATTCCCCTTGCCGTCTCGGTTCTGGAACACACGAAGAACTTCCTACAATCGGGGGCGGTTTAGAGTTTATCTTTTTTGGGTACAATCCTGGGCCAGTCTCACCGTGAGTTTGTTGACGTTTTCCCACGCGCCAAGTTGGTCGAGAATCTACTGCGCTGTTAGGCAAGCTGGAACAGAGACAAGCGATGGCAACATGAAATAAAAGGCGGGGACAGTGGGAAAAGGGCATAAGAAGGAGGCCTCACCCGTGCACCGTTCGGGAATATCCCAATGGAGGCCCCAACCTGGGGCGCAATCTCGTCACGTCGTTCCAGCAGGACATAGTCAACATTGGCTTGCTACAACATACAGTCGACGATTAACAACACAATTCATGCAGGTTTTTTTCGTCTTTTGAGACAGGATCTTCGCACACAAAAGACGCGGCATTACAGACGCGCGTCTATGGAACAGAAGATGGCCCAGTTGTGATGAGCTGGAAAAAAAAATCCCGAAATCGGTCGCACCTCGAGGGCATTCGCCAGCGTCAGCCCAGCAACACCTCCGCCGGCGATCACGACGCGGAAGCCGTCGCTTGCGTCCCCACTCATGATGTACAGGTCGCGTCTGTTTTCTTCGTCTTGGCTGCGTTCCTTTGGACCCGAGGGAACGGGTCGACCGCCCAACAGATTAGCGCCGGTGCAACGCGTTTACGTCAGACGCGCGCGGACGCAAGGTTCGTATGCAACGGTGTCGTTATTGAACCCCCAATTGATCGATCGCGGGGGCGTTATGCGCGTGTGGGTGGGTGGAAACTCGAAGCGGGGTGCAATGGTGGAAGGGGGTAGGACGCGATGATTTTCGGAGTTGAGTGTGTTTGGGTCCAAAGCCGCGCGGGTTGGGGGGAGGGGAGGTTGAAATGCAGGCACAAATCTGGAAGTCCCAACAGGCAGCAAAAAATGCAAGCGAGCCGGGGAAGCGACGATGGGAAGACGCCCCCCTGTGAGCCGGGGCGGACAGGGCTTAAAAACTGCGAATCTGATGACACGCGTCAATAAGACCCGGCGAGAAGAACGTGGGAATGCCGGGACTTCCAGTCAGCTTTGGGATCATGATTGACCAATCCCAATCCTACCCAGAATCGGCCGAATTGTCGCAAGCGAGCGAGTGCGAGCAAAGTTGCGAGGAAGTCAGCCAAGCAGCGGGAGCCACGCAGGGCTGATGGGGTCTGTGCAGGCCTTGCTTGGTCGGGTATCTCGCTGAGTGCTCCTCGGACTCGCAGGCGCCCCGAACCGCGGAGTGGTTCGCTGGGCCGATTGCTACCTACACATAAACAGCGATGAAATGCAAGGGGCGCGGTGCGAGCTGCATTCTGCCGGGATACACCTTGAACAGCAAGATCCAAGCTAGATCTAGGGATAATGCTATGGTAACTGGAGGGTACTAGAACAATACTAACTTTATGGCTATGCCATCGTCAATGCAGTTTTGGAATCCTGAGGGAGGCTAGCGACCACCATACTGTGTGCTCCGTGATGTCGGAATGTCGGCGCTCCGAGAGGAAGAACCAGTCCAATGGAGCGAGCACCGAGTCCACCAACCTTCCGACGCGGGTCAGGGGTCAGGTGCGTGCCGCGACCGGAGAAGACGACGGTATGACTTTCCGCTAGGTCAGCCCACTCCGGAAGCTATCTACCCAGACGGCGCGGACGCTATGCCCCAGACACCGGGTTCGGAAAACCACGGCTGCCTTGATCAACGTGACTCCGAAGGCCGGGGCCCGGGACAAGTCGAAGCGAAATCATTCAACATTGTAAATCTACCGAATTATCAAGATAGACGTTGAAGAGCCACCTATGTACAGCCGGGTCGGCTGCAAAAGCCCCATTCCCAGGCCAGTGACATGACAGGGATACTTCCGAATCCAAAAGATCGAGGGAGGAAAAACTTCCGAAAGAGGCAAGTGGGCTCGCAGCCTGAAGTCCCTGAACAATGACATGTAAATGAGCTATACGTCACGCAGCAAAATCATGTCGCAAGGGATGGTGATTTCGAGGTATTCTTCAAGATATTTTTTACGGCGGACTATTCTGGGCCTCATGATTGGTCCTTGGAGTCTCTTCCGATGAATGGCCCTGGAAGCACCAAACCCGGGTCCCTCCGGCGTAATTATCAGTGGTAAAAAAATATCAGATTCCAAGCCCCGTTAACTTGAGAAATTTTGCAATGGGCGTTCGCGTTGTCTGAAAGGGATGGCTAGCTGCTGACAGGTCATGATGATGTTCACGCCAGAACTGTAGTAGCAAATGAAGATTAGGTAGATCAAAATGGAGCTTACTTCCCTTAGACTTGTTAGGCGCCCGATTTGTGGAAGAAAGGGAGGACTGCCGGGGCAGTTTCTCATTGGCACGAAGTCTCGGTCCTGTATGAGCCCTCGGGGGACTCGCTTCCCGCATCAAGCCAACCAAGTTAGGAAATTGGGATAAATGGCGGCCACGTCGGCCTGAAAGGCTGCATAGATTCGCATTCTGGATTCTGATTTTTGTGCGCATTCCACGAGGGAAGAAACAAATGGAATCCCTGGAAAGGCCGGAACGTGGTAAAGCTTGGAAGGCAAAGGGGGGCGATAGGGATGGGGAACTCGGGGGGGGTGGCCAGAGTGGGCCGCCGTGCCTAGCATAAAAGAGCGAAAACAATGGGGGCCATGGAGCTACTTTATGCGGAGAGGGATTTGGGTTTTTTTTTGGGGGGGGGGCAGTGAAAGACTGCTGGGAACCGACAAGAATCCCACAGCGCGGGCTCCGGCTGCCGACATGGTGAGCGGGGCAATCCAGGACTCGGTTATGCCGTGAAAGATATTTACAATGAATACAATTATCCTGGACACTGGGGTGAGACTATAGGGGATGACCGGTATTGCTTAAGGGACGGACGTGACCATTAAATACGACGAGGAGATGGAGATCGCGTGCGGTGGTCAGTCGTAGAAGCATTTTCCTGATCCCTATCACTTAATTCGACCCGAAACTCTGGACTCCAAGCATTTGCTCTGTCCATTGCCAGCCACCCTTGTCCACGGCAACGGCGCTTCTCCCCGGCCCTCGCCCCGCTGTGCCCTTGACCCCGTGACAATCTTACGCTCTATCCTCCTCTCATTCTCGAACCCCAACGTCCAAAACCACGCCCCCGCGTCGCGTGGCACGACGGCCGACGGCCTCCACCCCGTGCTAAACGGAGCCGACACATCATTGAAATCAACCAACCGACCCCCGCGCCAATTGTCCGGCTTATACGCCTCCATCACAAACCCTATGGCGTAGAAAAAGTCCAGATGCCCTTGGCCGACGGCGAGATCCTGCGGCGTATCTGGTACCAGCTCGTATACGAGTGCCCAGTGCTATTTGACGTCCGTGTCGACGTAGTCTAAGACAGGGGAGGGGGGGGGGGGGGCTGATGGGGGGGTTGGCGTCCCGGTGTACAGTCGTCCAGCCATAGCATTCCGTAAGCGCGGGGACGGGTGGCATCGGTATAGGGTTATCGGGTAGTAGGGTTTGGAGTGGCGAGTTACGGGCTTCGTCGCTGAAGCTACGTAGGTTGGCGACGATGTCATGCACGGTTTTTGGCCGTCGTAGGATAGGAAGCGGCCGGTCTACGTCGGCGGTGGTGATGAGCCACTTGAGCTTCTCCAGCAGGGCGACATTGTGGCATTCGTCCTCGAACGGCCACTCGTCCTGGATGAAGCCGTCGCCGTTGGGCCGGGGGCGAGGTTCGGGGCGCCGTGCCCGCCAGAACTGGAACTTGTCAGTGTCGGGGTTCGGTGGGCAGGAGAGGGGGAGGCTTGCAATTTTGAGGGCTACCGGGTCACCGACGCCGATGGTGACTTTGAATACGAGCCCTGCTATTCCGTGGCCGAGATAATTGAGCCATGTAATCTCGGCGCCGTGTCTCGGGAACCGCCGCAGTTTCGGTTTCCTCAAGTCGCGCCAGGCCGAGGACGGCGCGCCTTCTTGAATCTCATTTTCAACGGGTGGCAAGTCCGCAGAGTTTATGTTCTCAAACGCCAAGCTCGCCATGCTGGCAAATGAAGGGGGTTTACCTAGGTACCTATGTTGCTATGTAAACATGGAGATATGGCATGAGGGTAGTGGAGCACGCAAATGCCAGTGGAGTGCAGTCATCGTGATGTATATGTGGGGCGTCTTCCTCTTTCACACGGCAACGCTTAAACCATGCGCTCCCGCATATATTTTCGTTTGTTTCTCTTTACACTACTAGAACAACAGTTGAATGCATCTCTAGTTTGCATCACCAACCTCTGCACCGTTGCATCAAGCCTATTTCGGAAGGGTGGTTGAATTGCTGCATCAGGTACACCATCACATTCGTCGCGGCTGGTGCCCTTGGGCGCGTCAACTGATAGGCTCTGATGTTGATCTTCGCCCACCCAAACCATTATAACCATGCAATTAAAACAGGTGTTTGCACCGCCTCCCAGATCCGACGACGATGGCACACGATCCAGCACCCATGGTAATCTAAACCCGAAGCTGGTCCACTTCCGCCACCCTGCCTATCCCGACGCGGAACCGGACCTGTTACGTTTTAGCGCCCTCGACGGCGGGGACGGTTCCGACGGTATCGACTACGATCTCGCTCTCACATCATGTTGCATTGTGACCGGAAACACATCTGCAACGGGATGGCTGGCGGTCAGGGTTTCCTCGAGCGATGACGATAAACCGTTGTTCCATCGCGTCGACCGCCCAGGAGACGGCATCCTCCGCCATCTCGAATATCACTTTTGCGTCGGCGAGCTCGACCCGACGACTTGCAAGTGTTGCCTCCCTATTCTACGCCCATCTAGCGATGGTTAGAGTCAACAGGCTAACCTTTTCCCGCAGACAAGTACCCTGTAGTCCCGTCTTTCGACCACTGGCGACTCCCGCACGGCCAACTCCCATCGCCGTGGAAAGATCTTCGACTTGATTCATCTACAACACACCCACATGTCCATTTCAAGTGCAAGGTCGCTGCACTGGCTCGCGACAGCACGTGCCGCATTTCGGGATACTGCGATGCTGTAGTGGCCGCGCACCTTATACCTTTGAATAACGGGCAGTGGTTCCAGTCCAATAGGATGCAACAGTACTGCTCTCTCCCTGCAGACCTCCACCCTATCAACGACGAAGGAACCTTGTCCTCCTTCGCCGTGACCTCCACCACCTCCTTGATACGCGCCGCTTCACCTTTGTGGCCAAGTCGGTCTTCGCCCAGCCGTTATCGTCACCCGCTGCCTGCATGCCCACCGCCCAGCTCGCCCTCCACGTCATGCTTCCCTCGGGGTCCGACCAACTCCCAGGCCTGTATCACAACCGCGCGCTCCAAGAACCAGTTCGGGGCATCGCGGTCGAGTTCCTGTTCGCGCGTTTCGCGTGGACCCTCTTCACCGACGAACACATGCCCTTCCTCAAAGGATTTGTCGAGCACACTGTGCTGCTATACAACCTGAGCGAGGACCGGGTTGAAGAGGAGAAGTTGCATAGCGCCGAGATCCGTATGCAAGCCAAGCTGTTCGGGTCCTACTCGTCCAGCCGCAGCGTCAGCCCCCGGAAGCGGCCACGGTCGTCCCAGCCGTCGTCGTCCCAGCCGTCGTCGTCTGAGCACCGGCTGCCGCAAACGGATGCCGAGGCCTCCGAGACCGGGAGTTGCGGTGTGCCGCCCTTTAAACTACGGCGGTCGACCGACGGCGGCAGTGACGCCGAGGATTGGGACGATATAACCGAGGCCCCGAGGCTGGGTGGGCCATAGTCGTCCCGCTCCAGGGTCTCAAAACTCCGCTTTCTGCGCCGTCCCAGAGTCCACGGCTCCTCACTCCGCCCATCGCCATCGCTATGTCCATCGCCATCACTATATCCACCGCCATCGCTGGCGACGTCGGATGCTACTAGTGTTGCTCCTCCGCACAGCGAGCTGCCTCAGCAGGAGCTGCCGTTTTCTAACCGGTATGTCAGTGGTGGGCCGCCTGAGCCTTGTAGTAAGCGACCACGACGCAGTTTATAATAAACAAGAAGCGTCAATATCGAGCAAGGAAAAGGTCATGCAAAAAGAGGTTTTCTTAACTTTTTCCTCTATAACCCTCTTCACATGGTATACCATAGTGAAGTATACTAGGTTAAGATTCATGACGACAAGGCAAACGTCATGAAAAGCAAAAAGATTAATGACGATGAACAACTAATTATAAAAAAGGTCAAGAAAAGGGGAAGGAAAATGAATGATATGAAAGTAGGAAGAGAGAAAAGTGAGAAAGATCTTTCCCATTTCTCCGATTTCCTCCTTACCCAAACACGAACTTACTGAATAAAAAACAACGCCGGGAAACAATGCCGAAAATAAAACATGTAAAATAATGCTTAACTGCCTATCTACCTTCAGACCACCTTCCAGAGTCTCCCCAAACCCAAGCCATCACTCACCCCTTTCCAGATCAAGCTTTGCCACCCTTCTCCATCTTCACACCCCCCTCCTCACCCTCCCCCCGACCCCTCTTCTTCTGCTCCCTCTCCAAGCCCCCAAGCCACACCTCTAACTTCTTCATCTCCCCCTTCGGCAACCCCCGTTTCCACCCCGCCTGATAATCTACCACCCCCAACTGAACACCCTCGCCCCCGGCACGCTCCGTAACCGACGTAGCAAGAGCCATCACCAGCTGTGCGACATCTTGGGTCCTGACTCTGACGCTGCCGCTATTATTCGTCCCGACCTGCTGAGTTTCACTCTCCTCCCAGCTAAACGTCTGGGTGGTATTGCTTTTGCTATCACCACCACTGGTACCAGGCACAGTCTCAGGAAGCGTCACATCAAACCTCACCCAAGCCGCAGGCAGTGCGTCAGCTATGGCCTGTTTCCACGCTTCAGTGACGGGGGGAGATATCCAAGACTGCGCAGACACAATCGGACTTGTTCTTGTTGTCGGTATCACAGGGACAGGCTTTGCGGCAGGCATTGTAGACGGCACGTTTAGCTAGCGGCGCAAGAAGGGCGAGACGGATGGGTGGGAGGACGGGTTGCTGTGACTGTTGGGAGGATGAGGACGAGGATGGTGTTGCTTTTGTTGTTGACTTGGGTGAGCGGCCGAGCGAGGTGAGTTGTTGAGCGTTGGTGATGTGTTTCGTGTCTTGTGGGTCGGGGACGTTGAATAAGACCCATTGCCGGCACTGGAACACAGATTGTGGGAGGTTGTCGGGTTCTTGCGGCATTGTGGTGTTGTGGTATGAGTAATTACTGGAATGGTATGGGTGGATGTTGGAATGAGTGGGAGAAGAGAGGGATGGTTACCTTGGGGGTAATTTTTCTTTAAATAGGTAGTCAGAGACGATGCAATGGTAGTTACGTGGATGTTGCGTGTTGATTCCTTAGTTAGGTAGGTAGTGATTCAAAGGGAGAGAAAGCAATCCCCGTCAAGGGTAACCTCACGTTAAAGGGGCAAAAGGTCCTTGTTTTTCTCATTTGTGACTTGTGTTTGCTGAAAAAGCTATGAACGAACGTAAACAAGCGACGACTACCCAGGCTAGCCAAGTATCCAAAAAGCTTTGAAGAAATCCTATCTTTTATCTCAACGCTCCCAGGCCTAGCAAGGCGCTCGACTACTGCAACAGTCTTCCCACCCCGCTCCCATTACCATTACGTTGATACCCCACTCGATTTTCTTCCCATTTCCCAGATTCCCTTCCCCGAGACTCACGCAGATCACATCCGCCCCTCCGCTCGATCTCACGCAAGCTCAACGATCCCCCAGCCATCCTTGAACCCCTCCCGGGCCACCTCATAGCAAACGCCAGCCGGGACTGTAGAGTGGCCTTCCACTCCTCCGAAAACCCCCCCAACTTATCGTCATCCTCCCCCCCATACACCACCTCAAAATGCAGCTCCCTGCACCGTCCCACCCGCTCCATCCGCGTTCTCACGTCCGTCGTGATGTCCACGACCCACTGCAAAATCTCCCGCGGGCTCAGCTCAAACCCCTTCTCGAAGTGCCACCCATAATCCCGACATCTCTCCGCCGCCGGCCCCGGATCGGCAATTACCGAATGGGCGCGGGGAAAGGATAGATCAAAAATCATGTGTCCGACCAGCGGGGCGTGGGCGGCGAGGGCTTGGCGCCATTTTCCACCGATGGCGGAGAAGGAGTATGGGTGGTCTGGGTTGAGAAAGGGGTGTGAGTAGTCCGGATCGACAAAGGACCGTGAGTATCCCTTGCCGAGGGGTAGGATGCTGTTGGTTGGGGTGAGGATCGTGAAGGGGGCGAGGGGGTAGAGGAGGGATAGTTGGAGGGCGATGGGGGGTTGTGGGCATGGTGGTGGTGGTGGTGGCGTCATTTTGGAGGAGTTGTCGTTGACAGCTCGCTCGCCTGCGAGGGGGTGGAGAAGGGAGTTGGTGATGCCGTCGATGGGGGCGACCGCGGGGAGCTCGAGCTGGGCGGGACTCGAGATTAGCTGTAGTATGTCGGTGGGATCCATTTTGAAGAGATGTTTGTGGTTGTAGTGGGTGAGATTGGTGGTGAGATAGATGGCTGGACTTGTTTGGTAGTTAAATAAATATGGATGGGAGTGAAGAGATGCAACGAAAGATGGAGGACCTGCCAATTCTAAGAAGGTTGCTATTGCCTTAAATACAGCGGCATAACAAGAAAGAACGGCTTGGATGCACAGATAGGTGTGGTTACCGCACCTAGATGATGTGTAAACATGTAAGTATTACTTGGGTGAGGTTACCTACTCATAGTGATGCACCGTGACGTTTTTATGCGCTCTATTGGTGAGTTAGGACGTCAGTCAGTACACGAATCACTAGCATCACACCTGTCCGTTCCTGATATGGCTGTTCAATGAACAATTTTGTGTCTATCTACAACCGTCTAATCCTCCACGCTACTCATCACTGACACCATCTATCCATCATCCAATTCGGCACCCCCCTCTGAACTTCGTGCCGAGCGTCACTAAGGCCCCCTAGTTCTTAATCTCAAAAGCCAACACCCGCTCACTAACAGCCGCAGCCTTAGACCCCTTCTTAAAGGCCGCATCCAGCTCAGCCACAACCACGCTCGGCACGCCAGCCGAGATGTTGAACTCACGGTGAGCGCCCAGGGCGTCATCCCAGAGGCCGATGCGGTCGGCATACGCAACTTCCTCGTAAGCCGGCTTCAGGGGCCCGCTGAGGTCGCGCTTGCCGAACTTGTACCACATGCCACCCGACAGCGGTTCGTCGTTGCAGTTGACGCACTGCGTGGGGTCGCCGCCGCCGGAGTTGCAGGAGACAGAGCATTGGCCGGTCGGGCCGGTAAAAGCGGCGACCTAACAGGGGGTTGTTGATTAGCTTTGTGTGTAATTTCTAAGGGGGAAATAGGGGGAAGGGAAATCGGTTAAGAACTCACCACAGCCGGCACGCCCTCGGTGATGAGGCTGGTACCCTCAACGGAGTAGATCGGGCTGTCGTACACGCAGCACTTGTCGGCAACGATGTCGGAGCAGGAGGCATACGACTGGCCGTGGTCGCAGTTGTCCTCGAAGATGCTGTAGAACAGGTTGATGTTGACCGCGTTGGCGAGGGGCAGGAGGCCCAGGGCGGTAGTGGCGATGGTGCGGAACTGCATTTTCGGACGTTTGGCTGAGACCGGAGGTGTTGTTGGTGGTGTTGACTTGATGCTGAAGACTGGATGAAGCTGTTGGTGTTGAGATGAAGCGGTTTGAGGGCTCTCATCGTCCTCTTAATATAGGCCTCGACGGCCCCGTTGTCTTTCCGCCCTTATCCGGCTGACGCCGCTACTGGCGCCGCTAACAGCCGGACATGGCGATGTCGGTGACTCTGTGGTTGGGTTTGGACTTGGCGGTCCGCTGAATACGCTCGCTGCGGAGTGTCCGGACTCCGGACCGAGAATGTTGCCATCTTGACACCAGGTGACAACCTACACTATGTCAAAGGAACGGTGAAAAAAATCAGCTAGTCACCAGCCGACGGTAGATACGCGCAACATGGTTGAGTCCTTGAACTGGTCCCGGTGCTCACCCATTCATGTTGTTGCTTACTGTGTCCCTGGTAGTGAGTCCGCTCGAATGAACGACGATCAACGTTTTCCCAGACCTACTACGCTCTCTAGCCCGTGTAACGAAATCGCGTATACGCAGTACCATGTCAATGTGATGCACCCACCAATCGCAGAATCCCGCCTTTATGCTGACTCATTTGAGCGCGAATACGCAGTCGCTGGGATGGGCTCATGCAAGGTCACAGGTCTCGGACGTAAGATACAAGGGTTAGGTAATGACGCGCAGGTCAGAGTCGTCAGGGGCACAACGAAGATATCTGTACCTACATCACATCATGAGAGCGTATTTCAAGTCTGACAAGTCTGGCCAAACATTTAGCAACGCACATGTCAATCTTTTCAAGGACCCTTGGACCCTTCCTTCCAGAAGCAGTAATTAGATTAGTCATCAGATTGTTGGGACATCGGAATTGTTGATCTTATCTGAGGAACAGCTTCACAGCCCATCATTCTCACCCCAATTCACGATCCTCTTCAACCTCAATTAAGGCTCCAAATTCTCCAACCCAGCCCCAATCCCCTCACAAATCACTTCGTGTCCCTCGCCCAATCCCACCTGCTTCCCACCCCACTGCAACACCCTCATCGTCGGCTCGTCCTCCTCCACAGCCTTCCACTCCCCAACCCTCTCCACCTCCTCCAGCGTCTCCTGATACGCCGGCCCACGCGCACGCAACCAGTCCGCACGCGGATTCGGATCCCCCCACCGCGCAAACGCCGCCCAGTGGTCAACGACCAACTTCATGAACGTCGCGTCGAGGCCATCGCGCTCCGGCATGCCCGCGCGCAGCACCGTGCCGAAGACATACACCTGCTCACCAGCATGGCACTTGTAGTACTCGTCGTGGGTCGGGTCGCCGTAGGGGTATTCGGAGGTGGTGGAGTTGTCGCGGATCGGCGGGTCGCACCAGGGCTGGGTGTAGCCGCGCGGGGAGTAGGTGCGGTTGAACTCGAAGAAGTAGGTTTGTTGGAAGGCGTGGTGCTTGGCTGCGGAGTAGGCTTTGGCGTAGGTGTTGCAGGTGAAGAGCCAGTGAGTGGAGAGGTGGACGGTTGCGTCGAAGATGGTTGCTGGGGAGGCGGTTTCGTTGAAGAGGGAGAGGGGGAAGCCCGGTAAGGGGTGGTCGTTGGAGATGTTGAGGTAGTCGTGGGTGGAGATGTTGGCCACGACGCCGAAGACTGCGGCCGCGACCGCGTCGATGTATTCGATGAAGGTCACGTTGTCCGGAGGGTAGGCTGCCGGGGGAAAGTAAACGCCGGTCTCGTCGCGGTTCACGCCAAGGAGGACGGATACATCGGTTGCGAGGCTGTCTGCGCTTGAGTTGACGACCAGTCGGTGGTTGGTAAGGTAGGTGCCGTCCACCACGAAGCCGCTGATATGTTGTTAGAAAGCGAGTCAAGGAAAGTAAGGGGGGAAGAAGAACAAGGATAAGAAAAAAAGGCAGGACACATACTTGGCGTTTGTCGGTAGCGAGACGAGGTCAAACCCGCTCAGCTTGCTCAAGCACTCGATCTCGTCCTCGGCGTCCTCGCACCCCGCGTCCTTCAGCACCTTCTTGGTCGCCACCTCATAGTTGTGCTCGAGAGTATCATAGTACGGCAACCCGATCCCCCCCGCAGGATCCGCCCCGGGCCACCCATCCGGCGACGACTGCAGCGCGGCCCGCTTGAACAACCCCTTCGCCTTGGCCACGCCCAGCAAGATGTGCGTGCTCGCAGCGCCGGCGGACTCGCCAAACACCGTGACCTGCTCCGGATCTCCGCCAAAGTACCGGATGTACTTGTTCACCCACTCCAGCGCCGCCACCATGTCGGAGAGCGCGTAGTTGCCGTTGTGCACACCGTCGTTGAAGTTGAGGAACCCGATCGACCCGACGCGGTAATTGACCGATACCACGACTACATCGCCGCGCGCCGCGAGGTTGGTACCGTCGGTGTTGGTGTTCTTACCTGACCCGGACGTGAACCCGCCGCCGTAGATATACAGCATCACGGGCTTCAGCTTCGTGGTGCCTTCTTGCTTCTTGCCCATCAACCCTTTCTCCCCAGGGCCAGACGGTGGGAGATACGGCGTCCACACGTTCGCGAACAAACAGTCCTCACTGCTCCCACTCGTCACCTCCCCAATCGGCTGCGAACAGTCCGCGCCGGCCTTCGTCGCATTCACCACCTCGCCTTTCTTGCCCCCATCAAAATCCGCCACATGCGAGTACGTAAACCGCGCCGGCGTGTCGGCAAACCGGATCCCGCGAAATTTCCACACGTGATAGTCACGATACCCCGTCAGCACCTTGCTGCCTACCGTCTGCTGCACATGCCACGTCGCCGCGTTGTCATCCAGGGAGGAGCTCGACACGGGCGCGGTGTGCGAGCAGAGGATCGGCAGGTGTTTCGCGCAGTCGACATCGTCGTGGACCTTGCCCGCGCCGTCAACCGCGCGGCAAGTTGCATGCCGTTTATCGCAAGACCCGGCGGTCGATGAGGCGATCCAGTACAGCTGGTCCTCGGGAAAGACGTCCTGGTAGGTTTGGTAGTTGAGAGCGCTTTGAAGGACAGACTTGAAGTCGGTCGTGTCTGGATTCCAGGGGACTTCGGACAGGCGTGTGCAGCTGTCGCTGCCGGCTTGGAAAGGGCCTGGGTGGTTGACGAGGATCGCGCCCGATCCGTCGTTTTCGGCGCCTGTGATTTGCGTTGTTGTCAGTTCGTGTGTTCGCTCGGGAATTCATCTCTGCGCCATGAAGGCTTTGGACCTTATACTCACCGCTCAGATCAGTCCCGGCCAAAATAGTCACGTCGCCCGCATTGTACAATTCCTCCTTCGCCGAAACTCCAACGCCCAAGACCGCCCCAGCCACGAGGGCCGAGAGACATCCAAAGTGACCCAGAGCCATTGCAGCTTCACAATTACCTACAGAAGCTCAGGAGAGGTAAGGCCAAGCGAGAGAACATTAAAAGAAAGCAAAGGACGGGATTGTCGTCGTATTTAATCACAGCTTCCCCTCGCGTACCCTGCGTAGTGTAGCATTCCTCGCTTCCAAAAAGTTCCCCCAGACTTCCCCAATCGTTCGATGGCTGCAGAACTGCAGGACTGCAGGACTCCAAAAAGTACCCTGCTTTCCCCTCGCTTCCTTCGGCGCGCCTAGGTTACATGGCGGCGCCCAGAAAATAATCCTCCCGAGCCTGCCGTGGCGGTGCGCAAAAGCTAAAGCGTGCAAGCGTTGCACTTTTGATATTAGCCGGGAACGGGTTCCTGGGTTCCGTGTCATTGGCGTTGACCTTTTTGGGGTTCGGCTAGGCGGACTCTTGGGAATTTGGTGGCAGGGGGTCTGGATCGATGGGCTGGATCTTGGATCATATGACTGCACTATTGTCTGGAAGGATCGCGAAAAGGACGTTCTTTAGTTGTCGAAGGATTGGGTCTATATAGCTTCGTACCACTTCATGTATGCGCGGCTCGGCCGTCACTCGGACGAGGTGCATCCCATTCTGAGAATGGAAAGCTTAGCGTGGTTACTTCCCCCAATAGCTCGTTACGCTAGGTTAACACTGTTTTCAAGTTTTCAACTGACAACAGGCCGTAACGGGATTAGGGGACGAATTGAAATTACTTTACACCGATTAATACACCGGCCGGCGTTGCTCAGGGTGCCGAAACCGGAACTGATAATTTCCAAAGGGGAATTCGGGAGACTGTAGAGTACTTTGGCCGGCCTCGAAAGCAGCTTATTCCACACAACGGAAACTTTCAGCCCCCTCTGTCGGAAATCTGCTCAAGAGGATTAAAAATTGATTACGTTACCCCCTTGACTCCGTCATAGGTGACAAGTCCTCTAGAAGAACAGCTTTTTGTTGTACATACCCCGAAGTTGAGCTCGGCAATATCCATGTTACCCCAGTAGTGTGTGACCCTGAGCCGCTGCTGAGCGAGGAACCATTGCGTGAGTGTAGCCGGAAAGTTTAACTGTATCATATAGTCAAGTATGGCACCAGCCAATGGATGGTTAGTGAAACATCCTCGATGTTATTCCGCGTTTAAGTTGAGGTTGTAAGTGTCTTCTTGCTTTTTTCTTTATGCAGAAGAGTTTGGCATTTATATACATTTTCCCATGCAACATCTTGTCCTACGCCCAGCTAGTTCCCTCTGCCAAACTATCAATCATTCAGTTTCCGGGAACGCCTCGGCCGCGCGCTGCGGGAGTCTCGGTGTATTGACGCCACTCATCCCTGCAGGCCTCGCAGAGCTTGACGCCACCAAATTCGTTGATCGTGCTAGCGCCGTAGTTCCGTCTGTACTCGCACTTGTCGCACTCCCGCTTAACATCCTGTTGAAGGGGCTCAGCTAGCCCCGGGTAGAGTAAGTAGCTTTCTCTGGAAATGACGTTGTCAAACCTGGCCTACTGCTCGTCAAAGGTTTCCCTAGCGTCAACTCGGTACCCTACAAATCCATGAAATTAGTGAGGTCCACAGGCTAAGAATAGAGGAGCAATGGAAGTAAGTACTCACAGAGTTTGTAGTACTCCCGTGCGTCATTCACCACTTCCTCCGTCTCGGGACGTCCAAGCTCCATCCCATTCTCAACATAACGATACCGCCGCATGGTCATATGCATTGGCCCTCCAAAGAACCGAACGTGATTCAGAGCCACAAGATGGCGGGGTGATTTTCCCCAAGCGGAATCAATCGACCAGAGGACCTCCCTCGCCCGTCCGTAGGTATTGACTTGCAGCTTCGGGTCGAGGTAAGCAAACGTGTTGTGTATCTCTCCCTCAGAGCGGTGTTTGAAGAAGGCGACGGCGTCGTACAGCGTTACGCAGATTTCACTCAGCACTTGGAGCTGCGCCTCGTCGAACCATACGTCGTCGGTATCGTTCGAAGAGAGCGCCGCGGCGAGTCCGAAGCGAATGAGGGCGTCGCCGTCGCGGGCGCGGAACCAAATTCTGGGTGAATGGACGAGATGGTTCACGTACCGGCGGAAGAGCTCATCATCTCATCTGGTGCATTTATTCTCTCATGTTAGCCGACGAAACCATTTTACCTGCTGCGCTGGGTAAGGACGAAGCCTACCTTCCTGATGACTTGGCAGAAGTGATCACCAAATACGTGCGGTACTCACGTTTGCTCTCATCGGCCCCCGGTCGGTTTATGCGTATGGTATCGAGAAGCTCGTCGACATCGTAGCCGAGGATCTTGTTCGTCGCCGTGATATCGGTGAGCTCGCCGTTGTATTCGGAGATGATGCCGATTGCCGACAGACGAACATAACAGCAAAACCGCGTCCAGTTCGTGTACTGGGGGATCACGACCCTGCTGTACTCCCATGCTGTGTTCAGCACTTCCTCTCTCATTCGTTGACTCAGACCGGGTATGTTGATGAGGTCAATTGAGAATTCCTTGGGGAAAAACCAGGTGTCCTGGTGTCTCTGCTTTGGCGTGGGGGTCCCTTGGTGCTCAGCGGAGTCATGAACCCTAGGGACAGACGCTACGCCGTTAGCATTCATGGCTGTATCGAAGCGATGGAGTTGATCTTTAGAATTATACAGCAAAGTGGCTTGATCTAACAACGAAATCCATGAGAGATCATCGATTTCTTAAAGTTACTTATACAAGTAAACGTGGTCCGGGCCAAATGCTCCGTGATGGCGGTATTCCCGGTGACCCGGTGACTCGGTCTCACCTCGACACTTCGGAGTTACAACCAAGTCAAACATCCTCCCCTTCAGCCAGCCTCAAACCCACACCGCTTCCAATCAGTGCAACTTCAACCCACTACATCTCCATCAACCTTTACCCAAATCACCCCTTTTTCTATATGTGACCTTGGCTAATGTACGATGGGTTCTACCGATCAAGATTTTCAAGATACGGTTGTACGGGACCGTCCCGGCTGCTCCTCGATCCGAAAAACCTGCCAAGGAATTCGGCATATACGACCCACACATGTCCGATCCAGAGCCACCTTGAAGATCACCAAACCCGCTTAATTGGCGCCTAATCGCTTCGGATCCTGAGGTATCTCGGGATCTCGGTCACAGCTCTCGGCGCTTGGGTCGTGGGTCACATGTATTATGTACCCCTACACTGACGAATCCCACCGATCACATCATACGGGCACCAACAGCGCTAGCTGGTCCCAGGTTAGGTACTTGGCGTAAGTTGGGGGGTTGTGTCACCGAAAATTGGTGCAATACGGGTATCGGATCGCGTGAGGCTTAAGTAGGGCATCGAGTGAGAAGGAGGGTATCGAGGTTTAAGGCAAGCATCGGGTTGCAAGGTAACGTCTAGGTAGTAACCAATAGTAAAAGCAGGCTATGATCTAGAGATAGCTAACAACTACCAACCTTCGCTTCATACCTACTAGGGTAGGTCGGAGGCAGTGGCAGCCAGGAATACTTTGACCACGGCCGCCTCTGGCTGTAAGTCTAGCACCTACAGTCGTCGCTGGTGATCGATGCATTAACTCCCAGCCAGCGTGCTCTCAGTGGCAGATCCATATTAGAACTGGAAAGCCCCTTATTCAGATTGATCGATCAAACTAGCCAATCTATGGGAGAAAATAATTCCGATTTCTCTTACAGTCTTCCTTCTGAAAGTTGAAACCTCCAGCACGTGCCCAAGCCTTTGATCAAACCAGTCACCCGAGCACCAAAGCCCCGAAATGGCCGACCAGGACTCTGTGAGGTCCCTGGTCCAATGTGTTGTTACACTGGGTATACATTGCCATTCTTGGAACATAGAGCGACGGACTTCACGGAGAATCTATTGGCAGATACCTGGGGCGTAAGCTGAGGTTCTTCCTTGCTGGGACTCGTAGCTCGTCGTAGACAATTGTAATAGATATCTCGTGCTTTGAGACGACATCTCGGGACCCCCGCCGCTGGATATATTTACATTCAGCATGTCAGTCAACGCCGTCAGACAAAACTCTATGATTCACGCACAATGACTGCTGCTGCAGGACACCTTGAGCCATCTTTGCCACAGCCTTCCATACAGGCCCGTATCTTTGACAGCCTTTGGAATCGAACTTGCAAATCGTCCAATGATCTGAATCAGCCACACCGACGGCAACTTCATTTGGTACGTTCAATCGAGCCGATTCTTGGTCGACGACCTGTCATGTGTCAGCTGCGGCCGAGTTTGCGTTTGTTTGCCCGAAATCGCTTACCAGAGAATTTCCCGTCTTTTCTGTCTCATAAAAGGTTCGAATGCGTAAATGAACGGCCCTCCGGACGAAGGCGTTGGAAATCTCGCTCCTCTCGATCGAGTCTCTCTTGAGAGCGTCGAGGAACCTGGTATTGCCCGCCAGACCCAGCGAGGTGTGTTTGCCGACGCGGGCGGGAAAGCTTGCCCACATCGCGAGGTTTGCGCCACGGTGTGGAACCGCGAAGAACACAATCCCTCGAATATTCTCGAGCAAATCTCTGTACATGTCGTCCCTCTCCCATGCGAGAATCATGAGCTAGAACTGATTAGAGAGTATTACTACCAGGAGTGCGTATGCTTTACCTTTTTTACCACCAAGCCTCCAAGGCCGTGAGCCAGGAATATTATGGGTCTCTGTTGCTCATAGCTTTGCATCCTCTTGCCGTCCAGTCTGTCGAGTAGCATCATGGACTGGTCACTGATGCCTCCCACCGACTTGGTGAAGGTGGTATTGGCATTGTACCCGAAGGACATGATCCTTGGACGTATCTCCAACTCACGAAGCTGGGCTGGGAGGAAGTCCCTGAGCCATACTTGGCCGTTATCGTGCTGCCATGTCCGAATCCAATGGCCACCCAGGCCGTGCACTGCAACAATGCTGTGTGGCAGAGGTTAGTCATGATTCGTGGGGCCAAGAAGCAAGGGGCCTAACTCTATATTGTAATTTTCTGATGATAATTCTTTGTCAAGAACGAAAAGACCCGACCGCTCTGAAGCCTTTAATTACACGATCTGATTAGACCCAAACAATAACTAGTAGGATTCGGTTTACAACGTACCTCGGGTGGTTGGTTCATATCTCCATTCCCTTCGTCTGCCATGACTTCCGAGTCTCGACCTTGAGATCGGATGCTACCAAACTCGATCTAGAATAAAACTGTCCCTCACTTGGCTCAGAAACAAGATATCTTGGGTGCAAAATGGGAGGGAACCGAGTATCCTCTGATGGTGGTGATGGTGGCCGTGTTGTGATCAAAGTGCTGAGCGGTCTGCCCATCTGATGCAGACCCCGGCCAGGCCTCCAGGGTGTGTTTCAAGGCTGCAAACCACAGCCATGGAACCTCAATCCCCCACGCCCCATATTTTCGTCCCGTCGAAATGAAAGCCCACGATTGAGTTAACCCTGTGTTCGATACCCGGTTAGGGTTAGGGTTATAGGTTTTCCTCTTCTATAGTTAGTACTCTCGAGCCCCCTTACATACATTCCTAAACAATACCCTTTTCTTTTTGTTATCACTTTTTGAGGGCAGCGTTACACACACTGTTGGGCTCCCGGTCCGTATTATGGGGTTCGCGAACCCTCAGGGGCTTGAGGTTCTGTAAACTAATATTAGCTACCTACCTACGTAAAGAGCCTTGGTTCAACCCCGCAGTCGATGCAGAAGAAGCAGAGCACTGCCTATCAGTGCTACCATGCATCTAACCGACGCGTGCATGGTTCCAGCTCGGCTCCAATGGGGGACGCCACCACAGCACAGGTGAGGCAGACGGGCTGCACTACCTACGTTACCTAGCATGCCCAGCAGACCCAGCAAGGCCAGAACGAAGCTTCGACGGTCGACCGCAGTTAGTTCGCCCCTGACGTTTTCATTGGGGGGGTAAACAAAGTAGAATGGACGACGCCTTTTTGGCGTCCGTCGGTCGCCGCCTCCGTTTACAGTCCTTCCGGAGTTAATTACAGTCCCTCCGGAGCCGGCAGGGGCCCCGATTAGAAAACACGAATGGGTTTTGGGCCACCAAAACCTCGGGCGAGCTCTGGCTCGGGCTCGCTGAGTCATCAATTGGGGTTGTCAAGCCACTCCTTCTAGGCGGCGCGTCAACGCAATTGACCAACGACAACGAAAGAGGATTTTCTTTAACTACTCGCTCATGGAGCGCTCCTGAATCTTCCTAAACCTCGGTACATACCTGGCTTGACCAAGATCGCCGAGGTCATTAGTGACCATGTTCCTAGCCACGGTACCTCCCAACCACCTCCGCAGCGAAAGCATTTCTGGCGACGACTCAATTGTTCGGAATTTTCGAATATCTGCGTTGCTGGCTCCATCGACTTAGATCTCCAGCCGGAAAACACCATGCCGCTTCTCCAATTACCGCCCGAGATTCTCCTTCACATCCTCCGCTACCTCGGCTCTCAATTTTTCGCTCATGATACGCGACGCTTAACGATTTCCCGGGGCTGGTACCACTTAGCATGGACAGTCTTTCTTCGAGACGTGCGCCTCACGCCTGAATCACTGGAGACATTTACTCAAAACGACTTAATCCTCCAACGAAGTTCCCCGCACATGGTTAGCGTAGACATCAGTCTGCCTTTGCGTCCTAAACGGGACCTTTCCCCGTCGCCGCCAGCGGATGACGACGAAATTGACGGCCCTTTTCTCCACCTGGATTCCTCCTTGGCCAAATTCGCTACCATTCTACCGGGATGTTCAGGCATTCGATCGCTCAACATTCACACTCACGTCTATATCTCTCCCGAACACTTTGGAAACGTGGCATCCCTGAACGCCCTACGCGTGACTAACCTTCTTTCTCCGCCACATCTCACATCCCTGGATCTTGATACCGCTGCCTGCCGCCTGGAATCACAACCCGACAGCAACGTTCACGTTTGCAACGTCATAAGTGCCTTACTTCCTTCTTTGCGGCGTCTACGCTGCAGAATGGAACACATCTGTGAAGAGATCTTGCAACTTCCATCGGCCGGCTCAGCTACCCTCGAGGAAGTTATTATTAACATGAGCATATTCCGATACCACGACGACGACATCATCGCGTCTCGATTTTCAAAATCGTGCGGCGCTGCTGTGAGAGCCGTTACGAGCCTAAGAATTGCCCTAGAAACCCAGGCAGTAACGTTAGCCGCTCGGATCCCGAATCCTCGAATGGTGAGAATTATCTCACATAAGGGGCCCTTCCTTGAGGTCTATGCCTTTGACGCAATTACGAAGACACGGCTTCAATTGGAAAATAATCTGGAGTGGGATGCAGACGGGGAACTGCTAGACGAGGGCAATGAGACCGAGGACAGCGAGAGTGACCTGTTTGCGGATGACTCTCCAATCGAACCTGTGTTTAACCCCTATTCTTGAATATATTTACTTCTGATGGTCAAGGGTCCCGTTCAACGGATGGCTTTCAAGATATACTCGGACGGTGTTCGAGCGATGAAACATGGAGGAGCGAGAACTATGATTGCTTACCCACAACAGTCCAGGACACTTGGCCATGGCACCGACTAACACAATTCCGTCTCCCCATACGCATCAACCAGTTGCGTCCACGAAACATGGATTCCGTAAATCAACTTGGCCACCATCCGGCCGTCCCAAAGTGCCCGATATGGTCGGCTATATGTGCACCGATGTGTGATCTCCGCGCGCCTAGTGCCGAAGAGATCCGAGAAGGTCGACTGCGGGATCTGTTCACCCTCATCACCCTGCCTTGAGTTTTCCAGCAGGCGTAACTGTTCGCGTACAAGTTCCCTGAAGGCAACGATGCTGGTATTCACTTCGGCTAGGCCAGCCGGAAAGGTGATGAATTCAGGAGACACAGCCAAGCGCTCGAGCGGGACGGTTTGCGCCCCGCTCCAGTCGATGACGCCTGTCAGATTGTAGTCGTCGTCAAACAGTATATCACCGTAGTGCAGGTCAAGATGACAGAGAGGGAAGGGTCCCCTCAAACGCGGTTCGATAATGATGTGAGACACCGCGGTTTTCAGCACCCAGCAAGCTGCCAGCCATTCCTTGTCCTGGTAATGGCTCTGTAGTGCCTGCCTGTTATCCTCTTGTCGTTCAGCATAGAACCACTAGAGGGAGGTTTTGGGAGCCGCCTCGTCGAGACTGAGGGGGATAACTTCCACCGGTCCATTCCCATCGTCACCGCTCCAAAGCCGGCCAAGTCGTTCAAATGCCAGCCGCGCGTGGAGCTGGAACAAAACTCCTGCCAACTGCTTGGCCACTTTTGGGAGATGCTCAAGAGGTACTTGCTTCGCAATCGGCCCCCCTAGGATTCGGCCGGGAAGGGCCTCCATGAGGACGTAAGGGTACCCAACCTCGTTAGACGGGGAAACATCGTATGCGTGAACGGTGGGCACGGGGATTGTCGTCCGTTCCTTGATCACTCGCATGGTTGTGATGTCGCTCAATAAATCCGCGGTATTGTCCTCGGCCTCAGATGCATCGATGGTGACATGTTGGATCCTTGCAATCCAGTAGACAGAATCTGAGAATGCGACCTCAAATATGACGTTATTGAATCCATGCGCAAAAGCGGAGGGATCGATTATGCAGGTGAGGTTGGAATCTGTTATTGCCTTGTCTTGGAGACGGGCTGCGAGAGCGACCTTTTCGAGGTGCCGGAAGTTTGCACGAGAGAGAACGGCTTGGATCTGATCGTCAAGTACCCCAGGCTGCAGCGCGCTGGATCCAAGCCAATGGGCACTTGGGCGTTCGTTTGGCATGATGTTTTCATTGATAAACCGTATTCTGAGGGTGAGCAGAGTGGTTCGGCCGCAGTCAGTTGTCTCAAGGAGTCGGAATGGAGCACAGAAGATCAAATAAGGAGGTCTGCTTCGGTGGACTCCGGGTGAGCGTGACGCGACCCACCTGACGTTGTTGGAACTCTGTCACGAACGCAACTCGGGCGTTGGTATGTTCTATTGGCTGGAACCACCAAGTTGTTGGCGCCGCCGAACAGCACCCACAACAGCCAACATCCAACACCGTCACACCACAACGCGGTCACTGTAGTGAGGAACGCGTTTGGATTGCGTTGTGATATCGTCGTGTCTTGCATCGATAACGAACTCTTTGCATAATGTCGCTTGCATTTTCCACGGTCTAGACGAAGGTGGTCAGGCCATGATGTTTTGATTCTACAGGTATCTGTTGGCCTTCAGAAACAGTCAGCCGATTCTGAGAGCAAAACACCACAAAATGCACCTAAGGAACTATCATCTTGACGAGTCGCCTACCTCCTCCCAAACATAGATCGAACGTTTCTCTGGGTTTCTCTGGCTTGAGGCATCTTGCGTCCAGAAGCGCGGCCACAGGATAATCATCGACTGCCCGGGATAGAAGGATGTTATTAAATAAGGTGAGCCAAGTAGTTAGTTGCATTTTTCAGACTCCAATACGTACCCTATCAGCCGGAGGTGAGTTTATCGGTCAACGGGCATCAGCTCCGGCTTGTATATTCACGTCCTCACCGATGGTAACCACACTACGAGGCAATTCCTCTACTATCGCTTCGTTCGGAGCTACACGAATGGCCCCATAGCCAGCTTTCAAAACGTTCACTAATCATTGAGTAGCTCGGTCCCCGTACTCTTCTTGATTCTTGTCCCACCTATTCATACTTCTTAGTTAACGTCCGCTAACGTTGACGTTAAAGCTAACATGGTCAAAAGGAAGGATGGATGTCTCAAGTTGTTCGCGCCGCAGAGTGCCAACTTCTCGGCCTAGCGGCACAAAGATGTCCCGGAAACTAGACGAACTTGATGCTCGCAGTGAAGGAGATTCGGCAAAGCGAACTCGTTCAAACTTTAATTACCCCCACCGTCGTTGGGCAGCCCCCCCGTCGCGACGTTCAAAATAGGGTAGTGTTGATTCCAGACCACGTTGTTCTGTCTCACATGGTTATCAGGGATTCGACGCTAACGTGAGCACAGGCGGATAACAGGTCGGTTTACGGGCGACCAGGGGAGGCCTTCCTTGGGGTTCAGGGAAGGGCGATCTTTTGTTCCATGTTGAAACGGCTGCGAAGGGGATGATAGCTGAATGGCAGTGCGACAAAAGGCGGAACGCAATGCGGAATGCAATGTTGATTGAAGAGAGCGTAACGGCTTTAGAGTTGGGAAAAGTTGCGCGCAACACTAGAAACGGAAAAGATTCGAGGGTCGACCTGGAGTTAAATCATCCCCAACTAGTGGACACCTCAACCACCTAGCAAACTCATGTAACTTGAACTCAGCTCTTCTTCCTTTTCGTCAAGAGATGCATTAGGTAGAAACTCGAGTGGAGAGCACGAGTTGACGAGCATGTCGAAATGTCGATGGGGTCCGGCCGGGACTCGGGTTCCGTTCTGGGTTGCCAAGGCCGTTGGCCAAGGCCGTCGTCCGCCCAAATCGGGTTTCCCTTTGCCCGGGCGCTCAGGGGTTGGGGGTGAGAGAAGGGCCGGAATTCGCCCACCACGCTAGCAAAATTTCCCCTGGTGTTCCTCTCTACCTGCGCCCTGTGACGCCTTTCCTTCTTTCCCTTCAGGAAGGAAGGTCAACGGCGATTTCCGGTCGCACGGCCTTTTTGTGAGTGCGAATTGGTGATTTCGGTCGGGTCTGTGGCGCGCGGGAGCTAAGGGTTGGTGGCTTGCCAATTTTTGGACACACGAGCTCTTCGTGGTGGTGAGACCTCTTCGTGGTTCGGAAATTCTTTGGCGGGAGAATTTGACAACATTGACAGCGTTAAGGTGACACCATTCCACTGCGTGACAACCCCCGATAATCCGGAGCGGGCCGCCGATCCTCAGTGGAGCTCCAAACCGAAATCAGCGGCTCGTGTTTACTCGTGTCAACCCTGGAGTGCGCAGTTGAGGGCATCTGGAAGCGCCGAGTGGAAGGCGCGACCCTGGCCTAGCAGCACGGCGAACTTGCCTGGAAAGGCCAAACGGTGGCCCAAGCTCTGCGGGGTCGGCCATTATTCTTTCCCAATCCCAATTCCTGCGCACTTCCTAGTGTACAACGTTAACTTGGGCTTGTCCTGGCACCGCATTTTTCATGGTTCGAGGTGGTTCGTTCACGATGCCCACAGTGGCCAAAGGCAGGCTAGTTTAGCTTGCGGACCTGCATCGACCTCGGGCGGTCGACCGGAGCTTTAGCCTAAAACATCTTATGCCGTTGGCGATCCTGCGCAGGCTGGTTTCCCACGATTCCGTTGTTCCAACTGGTCCGGGCCGTGATGGACCACGGCTGGTGCACGCGAGCTGCTGTTCCAACGTGCAGCTTCCGGACATGCTCGGCTTGGTGTTGGTGGCTGTGGGTGGAATTCGTCCCTTTTCGGTAGAGTTTCTTTTCTTCTTCCCTTGAGCCGCACATGTAACGCTGCAGTGCAGCTTCAAAGTTGTTTTCGAAAGGGCTCCATCGTTCCCGTCGCCCCTCTCGCGATCTTCCCATTGCCCCCTTTGTGCTCCACTGCCCGAGATAGGGGGCAAAAACGGCCACCGAACCACGCAATCACAGCGCAAGATAGAGAAGAAGGTTTTCCACGACCGCTCTACACTAGCCCCTTAGCCGGCACGTGGCCAAGGTCAATCCAAGTTCCGACTTGATATCCCGAGACTACCCTACCTTACTTGCCTAACCCCGAACCTTATGACCCTTCTGGCCGGTGGTGACCTTATGTCAAACTAAAACCGCCCCGATCCCCTCCATTCCGGTTTCCGATCTGTTCACCTTGTAACTCTTGCCGTCATTACTCTTTTCCTACGAAATAATCAATCCCCACGATCCTCACTCAGACAACCCGAGCATTGTCGGCCACTATCAGCCACCTGTCTCACTTTCCCCGGATCCGCGCCCCCTCGCCGTTAGCTCGCTCATTCGCCGAGGACATCTTTTCCCGCTGGGAACCCCGGCCTGTATATCTATCTGCAGCACCGCGAAGGATCATGTCGAGGTAGCCACCTCATTGGATCGGTCTTGGCACGAAGTACAACTACATCCACTCATACACACATTGAAGGAGTCCTTCATCAACAACTACAACACACAAAATATGGGCCAAAAACAGTCGGCTGTTGAGGTATTCCTTCCCTTCACCTCCCACACCTCTCCTCCACTCCCAAACTAACCACCCCCAGGCCACCTTCTTCTGCCCCACAACCAATAACTCACTTGCCGACCCCCTAGCTCCCTGCACCCACTGCGAAGCCCTCCACGACATCATCTGGCAATCCGTCTACATCTGCCCCAACACAGGCTACCGCATCGACCGCGACCGGGCGCCCTCAGCCGCCCGCCCAGACCGTGAATGCCCTTCCTGTTTCCAGAGCCACCAGCCGGCGACGAAGAGGGTGTATATCTGCCCTGTGACGGGGGCCACGATCCCCCATCCGCGGGATACGGGCGGGAAGTGTGAGAAGTGTGGGAGGAGTCATGAGGATAATTCGACGCCTGTGGGGAGTAGGGAGGCGGTGGGGAGTATGGGGAGTTTGAGGAGTGGGAGGAGTGGGAGGAGTTGAGGGGCGTTTTGTGATCTTTGAGGAAAAGGCGGGGGGTGGGAGCAAAGGGGGTTTTGACGGGGGAATGGGGAAATGGGAGGCAAAGGAAAGGAGGAGGTAATAATTCTGGTGTTTGGTGGATGAGACTTGCGTGGAAAGGCGCTACTTAGTGGTGACGAGGGGTCATGCTGCGAGTTCACTAGGAGGTCGGCATCGGGTTGGAACTTTGGTTTATGCAAGTGATGCCCCGAAATGAGGAAGGCGACTGGGAAGTACGAGGGGGGAGTTCACAGGCGAACCTTTTACTCTCGAAAAGCCATGGGTTGGTGCACCGGGACCGGCCGAGAGCGGAGCGGGACTGGATCTTTTCGGGACAACGGTTGATGATACCCTTTGAGCATTATCATAATTACAGACTAGCAAGGAGCATAGCCAGGCAATGGAAATCTACGTTTTAATTAATTCTTGGGGCTGTCGTTTCAGCAGTTACGGTGAAGGTTGCAAATCGCTGCGTGTCATGCGATGGGACAGGGTTAAGAGGGCCCGAGGCGGGTAGAATTCCTCTCACCTGAAAAAGAACTTCCCACACCTTCCTTCCCTCCACCAACACACCACACCATATAAGCCCGCTTCTCACTCCTCCAGTCACCAGCTCCTCCTAATAGAGATCGAACCACCGGGTTCAGCTCAGCGGCATTGGGAGGAGGGTCTCGCCAACCCGTCGTAAATCGAAGTGGCCCCGGGTTCGATTCCCGGGGCCAGCGAAGAAAAATCTTTCACCGGACAGATTTTCGTAACCACCAACCGCTATCCCTCCGGATGGGGATAGGCGCTTGATGTGTGAGCTTTTTGTGGTTTTTTTTCTTTCTCTCCCAATTTCCTTGCTTTTGTAGCCAATCGATTTGCTCTCCTTTGTTGGGGAAAGATTGTGCCTGCGATGGGATTAAGTGCTGTAGGTTAATGGAAATGGTAGTCGGCATGGGAGTTTGGTCATTTTGACGACAGTTAGACTTAATTACTGACTTAGGCGATGTTGTTCAGACGTAGTAACGTCGATTCAGCGCAACTCCGCCGCCCAACTTTCATCTCGACTTCACGCAGGTCCAGAATCCAAGTTCCTTGATTCCCGAAGTAGTGTTAATTAAATATTACTTCAAGCCACTGCGGTTGGGAAACACGGGCCTGAGGTTATTAGCCTGTCGGGCCGCTTTCTGTGCGCCGCAACCAACTCACCGAGAACACGGGAACGTTTGCAGCCTCCAAATTGCCCCCTCGCAGGATCTTGTTTACCCAGAAATTGCGGCTGCCAACCAATACTCCCGCTGCCATGGTTGGCTTGCATGTCATGCATCCCTCACAACTCACTGTTAATATCCTCACTCAACACCACGGGTTCTCAGCCGCTTCACATGGGAACTGTCAAGGACTTAAAACGCAGATCGAGACTTACTTGGGAACGATTGACAGGTTGTAAATGCATGTTTGCAGTTCGAGCGGAAGGAATCATAGTCCGAAAGTGATTAAGGCCCGCCCCATGATGTCTGACGGCGATCACCTAACTGTCAGACATGGGTTGCCGTTCAACTTGGTTGAGCCGTTCATGGAGAGGGTGGTAAACTCAGGGCGATCATCCCGTAGCTTGGAAACCTGGAATCCGTGTACGGGGTATATATCACTTTACAAGCGATCATAACACAGCCCGGACCTCCTCATCTTCTCATGCCCCTGACCAACTGCTCCTGAGCGCACCATGATTTTCCCCGAACACCATCAAACCATGGCCACTTCCCTACTCACCAACATCCTCTTCCTCCTCGCGATATCCCACCCAGTCACCGCAGCCTGCACGCGCACCGTAACCGCCGCAGAAGGCGACACCTGTGCCACTCTCGCCTCCCAAGCCGGCATCACAGTCACCGAGTTCCTCAAGCAAAACCCCGACGTCAAAACCTGTTCCTCCCTCGTCCCCGGAACAGAGTACTGCGTCGAAGGCACCGTTGATGACACCACCACCTCTACCGGAATACCCACCGCCACGGCGACAGACGGAGGTTCGCCGGCGCCGTCTGATCCTCTGGAAGTTAGTAAAGACGGGAACTGTGGGGATGGGTTTACCTGTGAAGGGTCGACGTATGGGAATTGTTGTTCGGTGAATGGGTATTGTGGGAGTTCGGCGGATTACTGTGGGGAGGGGTGTCAGGTTGGGTTTGGAACTTGTGGTGATGATGGGGGGGAAGATCCCCCGACTGGGTCGGTGACTATCACTGTTACTGAGACTCAAACGGAGACGGAGACTACGACTATTATTAGCACTACTGCTCCGGGGTCGATACCCGCCACTGCGACTGCGACCGAGACAGAAACGGAAACAGAAACACAGACAGCAACGGTGACGGAAACAGAAACGGACACCATACCTGGAACAGCCACAGAAACCAGCACTGCCATCATCACCAGTATCCGCACCAGTACCAGCGTGGCAACAATCACCAGTATCGATACGATCACGGACATCGTCACATCCACAGAAGTAGTTACGTCGGGTTGTGAGACTGAGCCACCGACACAAACGACGTCTAGTCCGCCCGAGGAAACGACTACGCCACCGGCAACAGGACCGTCGTTGCCTTTGACGCCGGATGATTGTCAGTTGTTATTATTCTCAGATACCTAGACCGTGTGGTTGATTCGGAAGGTTGCTGACTAGTGATACATGAGTAATTGTCCAGGCGCGAATCTTGATGTGATTGGTAGCACAGACACTTGCGAGACGATGGCATCACGAAATGGGATCTCGGTGCAGGAGTTGTAAGTAAGGGGCCGATTTTACTGTTTGCTTGCTTCTCGTCATTACACACCTTCTCGGATCCTTATGGCCATTTCCTTGACAGCTTTCTGCTTTTTTATTCTTCCCCTCAGTTAAACTTCCCTGTATCTCAATCAACTAATAAACCAAACCCAAACAGCTATGATCTCAACCCGGCAGTTTCGGGCAGTGGACTCGACCTGGGCGACCTCTGCTCACCAGATCTCATTGACCTGGTGTTGATTGGGCTATGCAAGATTGGCTGTGATTCGTTATGGCAGGGGTATTCTGCGTGTGTTGGAAAGTGAAGTCATAGTTGTGCTAGTGACGGGGTAAGTCGGGAAGCCAGGGGCTCAGGGGTCAAATGTTGGAGTTGGTCAATATTGAATTTTGTGTTTTACCACTTTGCCTCGATAAACCCGCTATCATGCACATTAGGGCACAGTACGATGAGGCTGTGTACTGGAATCTTCACGGAAGTTTATCAAACCGTTGGGCATTTATCCAGACGCGAAATGAATCGTGTTACCGTCTAGCTGACACTCAACATACAACACTTGGACTAATACATCCACTCGAGACACGCCACTAAGTCAAGCCTTCGTCACGTACACCTCCAGCCCAGACTGAACCACAAAGAACGACGCATTCTCCGTCAACGGACGGCCCGGGTGCACCAGCTCAAACCGATAATCACGCAACAATCTCGGGACAACCTTGTTGATCTCCAGCAGCGCCAGGTTACGGCCAAGACACAAGTGACTCCCCCCACCAAACTAGTTATTCCCCCGTCGTTAGCAGCTTGAATGGGATACTGAGGGTAAGGGAGGGGACAAAAAACAAGACGCTGGAACTAACTTACGTGCACCATATACCTCTCCATCCTCTTCGCCCGCTCCTCACTTTCCAACCACCGCTCCGGCCGAAACTCGCCCGCATCCACCCCAAACGTCTCCCTATCCCGATGCACCACCCACCCGTTACACGCGACCGACGTGCCACCCGGGAAGAATTCCCCGTCCAACTCGGCGCCCTCGGGTGGGACGAGCCGGGTCATGTTGAGCCCCACAGCCGGTCGCAGGCGCATAGCTTCTTTGAGACAGGCTTGGAGGTAGGGCAGACCCTGTGACTGGGTCCAGGTCAAGTTACCCGTAGCCGGGATGGTGCCTGTGGTTACGGCGGTTTGGATCTCGTGGGTTAGGGCTTGGTAGATCTGGGGGGAAGAGAAGATGTGCCAGAAGAAGGATTGCATGGTCGAGGCTGTCGAGTCAGAGCCGGCGAAGCTGGAGCGTATTATTAGTTTTGGCTGTTCAGATTCTCCATGGAATGGGTGACAATGATGAGATGGGTGAGATGAAACTAATGACTTACATCGCACCATGAGCCACAGCAAAGACATCCCCCTCCCCAAACTTCTGCGGATCCTTCAAATGGCCCAAAATCAAACTCGCCATCAAATCCCTTCTCCCATCCCCCGTCCTCAACAACCCCCCATCACTATCCTTTCCAAACGGCTGCCTCCTCACCAACTCCTCCCGCGCCATCCTCGTGATCAGCGCATTCTTGTTACTCAACCACGGCACCAACCGCCACAACGGGTTCCTCCGCAGCAGGTAATCCAACTCCGGAATCTGGCCCACGAGCCCATTATACGTCTGCGACTGATCAATCGCCCGGATCGCCCCGTCCACATCGCGTCCTTCACGGAGGAACCCAAATGTCCGGCTGAAGCCTACTTCGCCGAGCACATCAAACGCGAAATAGTGCAGGTATTCCCCGAGGTTGAACACCGCCCGCCTCTTTTGTTGCCCAGGAAGACCTCCCTGAGATCCCGGAGAAGAAATATACCCCTCCTTAATCTTCCCCATCAACACATCGACCGTATCATCAATAAACGGACTCAACTGCTGCATCGCCGCCATCGCATACGGCCCATTCGCCACCCGTTTCTTCACCGCATGCACATCCTCCCTGGTCTCGGTAAAAATATCCGGATTCTCCGGCGGCGGGAACACCCAATAAAACGGCGTTTTCACAAACCCTTTCCCCGCGCTCAGCAGCACGCGTGCGGCCTCGGGAGAGGACACGGATACCTCGTTCGGGGCGATGCGGATGACCCGGCTGTTGTATTTCCGGTGGAGCGCGATGTAGTGGTGGTGGCTGCGGCCGGAGGCCGTGGAGGCTGCTTTCCAGAGGCGGGTGATGGAGGCGAGGGCTGGGCCGGGGTATTTGCGGAGGGGGGAGAGGTAGCGGCGGAGGAGGGCGCGGAGAAGGAGGGTGGTGAGGAGGAGGAGGGGCCAGTGGGTTGTTAGGAGGGTGAGGGTGAGGGTGAAGAGGGATTGGGAGTTGGCGGCGGTTAGGGGGTTGGTGGTGGTTGGGGTTGTTTTGGTTTGTCCGAGGACGCCCATGGTGGGCAACAGCTAGGTAGGTATGTTTGTGTTTGTGTTTTGGGTTACTGCTTGTGTCGGTGTTGATGATGTATGGTGAGGTGTGTCACAGTTGTTGTTCGTCTAGACAACCGAGAGCGTTGGAGCTTGGTGAAGCCTATGATAAGGGATTGAGCCCAAAGCCCGAGACACAACTGTAGAAGATGGCCACGTTCAGGAGATGACAAGTTATACCGGCCGAAGATCGGGCTGAAAGCATGTTGGGGTCTGCCCCGCGGTTCTTAAAGCAGCGGACGAACCCCAAAGACCATGTACCCTCCACAATGATCAATCTCCCGATTCAGCTTTCACTCGCAACACCCCGATAACAGCGACGCACGCTACACGGCTGACCAATCCAGGCTTCGTACATACATACCCGGGCTACATCTGCCGGCTCAGTCCGGGCGGGCGTATGCCAAGGCGCGGCTAGACATCCCAGTGGTTGGACGACGACGGATGGATGATCAGAAGCACCAATCCACACAGTTCGGGTGGTAGCCTGCCAGCGTGTGATCAGAGGATCGAAAGATGGTGACAGAATTGCATCCGATGCGGGCCTGATTTGATGGTGAGCTTTAGCGAGGATCAACCCCAATCGCACAGTATGCCTCCAAGGGCTAGATGTCGAGATAAGGTATGGAAAGACAGGAAACGTCATCGTCAAAATAACCTTGTTGGCTGTTGATGCGCTGTTATCACCAAACAACTCTCCTTTACCCGCTGAGTCTTGTGAACATTAAAGTCCCGTTGCCACGGAATGATTAAAATGACCGAGACTCCATACTTCTCCAAGAGAAGCGAACAAGCAAGCTACCAAGCTACCTGAACCAGGTCCCCGCGCGGCTCGGTACATAATCAACTGTCAATGAAAATGAACCGACAAGGGAAAGCCCATTAGGCTCGGAGAATATTCCCGTGCCTGTCAGATCAAATGCGACTGCGGGGATCCGGAAACGGGATGTGCGGGTTATGTATGTGGTCCCTTTCGGCAATTGTTCGTCCACCCCCAGACTCGGAAGGTTATGGGGGTATCGAGTGGCGCATCTTCAGTTACATGTATGCAGGATCCAACTTGATGTTCCATAACTGCGTTTGAGAAGTCTGTGGGAACTCCTGTTGAAGAAGTATTTCTGAACATGGGAGTCTGTCTTATACTTCGTAATTGACATATTCCCTAAAATGTAGGTCTCACGACACACAGTCTTTAACTGTTTTTGATGAATATTACCCCAAGGATGATTCCGGATGTTGGAAGACGGTACCCGATTGAGCGGAAGACTTTCCCCACGCCCATGCTGCTCCTTCTCCGTGCACGGTGTGGGGTCAGCTGGGGAACAGAGGAACTCGACCTAAGACAAGAAAAATATCCCGAAGGTCTCCAAGAAATAAACGCAGAATTAATTGACAGTGGAATGGATCTAATCTAGCACGATGTAGGCCCCAAAATACCATCTTCAGAATACACACCACTTGGCAACAAGAACTGCTTGTCCACGTGACTGCCGGCTTGCCTTTTTCCTCTGTTCCAGACTCCAAAACTCCAAGCATGATGCAAAGATGAAGACCGTCGCCTAACAGCACGACGGTCCCAACCCTGTCTCCATATGTAATATCCCTCCGGTAGTCTTCAAGGTGTAATATTATCTTCAAGCCTCAACCTTGCGCGCCGCCGCCTTCTTCTGCTTCTTCAACTTCGCCTTGCGCTCCGCAATCTCCTTGTCCAATTTGTCGTCATTGCTCTCCGGCACCGCCTTCTTCGCCTTCTTCGTCGGCCGGTCCTCCTTCACAAGCACCTTCTCCGTCTCGTCCGCCGCCACCGGCTCTGACTCTCCACCCAGTGACTTGCGCTTCCGCCCAACGTTGGGTTTCTCTCCAATCGCCTTCTGGTTCTTCCCCGGAAGCGCACTGCCCGGCTGCTGACCCTCGGCCACTACCTTGGAATCATCCAGCCACAACTCATCCGTCTGGTACACGGGCAGCGCAGCCGTGGAGGGGCCCTTGATGTACACGTTGCGCACGTTCTGCCACTTCTGCGGGACAAACCGCTCGACCAGTTCACGCGCCACGGTATCGACATTCTCCGCAATCTTTTCCGGTTCCCAGCTAGCATACCCAACCTTAACAGCCGTGTTGGTCGTCGGACTGAGATGCACCAGCGCAGCGCCAATCGCCTTCTCCACCTCCGCCACGATCTGCGGGATCGGCCGGGCATTGACATTTTCCACCGGGTCGCGCTTCGCCTTCTTGCCCTTGGGCGCCGGCACCCGCTTGCCGTCGACTTTATCCCGCGCCGCCATCAGGACCACGGGGATCGGCCGCTTGACGGTCGTCTTGTAGAAGCTCTTGCCGAGAGCCTTGGGGAGGCGGTTGATGATGCGGTCGTCGGCGAGGAAAACGTCGTGTTCGGCGAATAGCTTGCGCTGCGCCTCGTAGGCCTTGAATTTGGCCCGGAGATGGCTGATGTCGATTACCCGCCCGATCTTGGCCCGTAGCTCCTCCGGGAACTCGTCAGCTACCGCATTCTTGTACCACCGCTGGGGGTCGGCTGTTATTAGGCAGACGCTAAGCTCTTCGCCGGTGTTGAGGGGGTTATGAAGCACAATTTTCCCTGGCTGTAGGCCTGGTGGTTGTCAGCGCATTGTCCTGGTTAAACAAACGATCGACAGCGGGGCGCAAGGAGGAAACGTGTTCCGGCGAGACTCAATTGCTCGAAATTGAACGTACGATGCGAGTCATGGATGTGCTTCTTGGTAGTAAGAGTAAGCCAGATGGGTGTCTCAGCAATTGTGGACTCCTCGGTCGCGAGCAGGTTCTGCTTGCCGTCTTCACGAGGTTCCGCGGCGGACTTCTTGATGTGCGCAACAAGCGCTTTGCTAGCTTTGAGCGTCTGATCCGGGTTAAACGGGATCGAGGCGTCAGCCGTCGTCGCCAGTGCTGTTGACTTTGCCATTGCTGCCCGTGTCTGTTGGTTGTGTGTTGACGACTTGTCCCCGTTTGACGATGTCGATGGGCCGGCGCAAACCAAGATCACAAGTCGGCGGCTATTTTTTGGCTTGGGCGTCCGTCCAAGAAATTTTGGGCTTATCCGGATAACGTGTTTTTCCGGGTAGGCGATAAGGCAGGACCCCTGTCACTTACTGGAAGCGGAAGGTGGGGCTCCATCCAGATGCCCGATCGTTACAACAACACCGCCTTTGTCTGTCCCAACAGCATGAACTTGGTTTGCGTCGTCAAATAAGAAAGGGACACACCAACTTATGAGATTATCCACGGAACCATCCACAGTATTCTCAAACAATTCATTTGATACACCATCAATATAGCAATATGAACATCAGAAGTACCCTCCCGTCTCAATTCGTCCCAGGTATCATCTTTCCGTTCCGTCATCCTTTTCGGTTGTCCTCCATGTCTTGAGCTAGCTAGCCTTCCTCCCACCCGACTCCTGGAAAGACACCCACCCCGGGGAATACGACCAAACGGAAAAAAAAAGAGGAAAGAATTGTACAGACAAACGTACGCCTTGCGCTATGCACCTCCTCCCAAAGCAAACAACCAGCGGATAGAGAGGCTCAGGGGGGTGCGCCAGATTAGTGGAGGGGGCAAGTGACATGCCTCTCATCCAACGAAAAATGTCCGACGGGGACAAAGGTCCCTCCGAGCGTAGCGCCAAGCTAAGCAGACGCAGAGAAATATTAAATAGAAATATACATCCGGTGAGTGAAGCAGAGAAGGGCCACTGATGACGGGTTGAGCTGTGATGATCAGGGAGTCTTGGGGCGCTTCCAATAATATTGCTGCAGACACCGGGTTATTAGCCACCAAGGAACTTTCTAGGAACAATGTTGGAAACCGATCGACGCAACTTACCTTGTGCTGCTTCCGGCAGTTCCTCAAGCTCGGCTTACGGAGTCCATCAGTCACCGCCAGACGTCGGTTCTCATCCGTGTCCAACTCGGGAGTGTAGTAATATTCACTCTCAAGCGGCTTGCCCGCCGCGTCCTTGCCCTGACGCCGAATGATACCCACACAAGGAGTTGACTCGATAATGAGGCGCAGCTGGTCCTTGTTAACCGCCTTACGCTCCTCGGTCGGCAGGTTGTTCAGGATGCTAGTCAGTGGCGTCGACGACAAACGCGAGAAGGCGAGCTGGTTGACCAGATGGTTGGTGATGGCAGAGATCACCTCGGCGCTGAGGCCGGTCAACGAAGCAGTGGGCGGCTCTGGCTGAGCACCGGCCACGGAATTGCCGTCCGCCAGACCCAGAGGGGACGGGGCGGGAAGCGGGGACGATTCGAGGACGCCGGCTAGAGCGGTGCGAGCAGTGGAAGCCTTCCGAGGGGTGGCTGCAGCGAACGATGGGAGCCGACCGGGGATGCTCGGACCGAATGGGCCGAACGAGTGCATGACGGGATCGTTCTCCCCATCCGGGTCGTTCTCGTCTTCGGACTGCGGGTCGCTCAGGTCACTGGAAAAGCTCTCGGCCACCTGGGTCATAAAGCTGGCAGCCGCCATCGACTTGTGCGGCTGTGGCGACTTCTCATCCGCGCTCGCGTCCTCATAGATCTGTACCGGCACATCGTCCTCTTCATCACCCCGCGGCATCAAACTGTCAAGGCTGGCGTTCGAGGTTGAAAGATTGGCGGGCGTGGGAGATTCTGGGCTGCCGAGACGCGCAATCCGCCTCAGCGGACTACCGTGCAGCTCGGAGTCCGCCCTTACGGCCCTACGCGGAGACTCGTCCCATGTGGAGTCGCTCAGATGGCCCGACACATCTTGATCCTTCTGCAGGCGCGGCCATCGCACACACACCCTAGCGTCCTGAACATCAACCATGAGCTCAGCACCCTCCGTCTCCGACGTGAACGAATCGCCCTTGGCCAATTCCCATGTCTGCCCCTGGCAGTGCAACTTCAACCCGTTCCAACCATTGCAAATGATCTCAATCTTGTTGGGCTCCAGTGGGTTAGTCGCCGCGACATATCGGGCCTTGACGTGGACTCTGCTGATCAAACGGTTGGCCGAAAGTTGGTAATGGGACGAGCTGCTGGAACGGCCCATCAGGACCTGCTCGCCGTTCTCCTTAAGCTCGACGGACGGGACGCTGGAAAGGGGGGCCCGTTCTGAGAGAGTCGATTGTCTTCGTTGGGGAGCAGGCCGCGATTTAGGGCGCGGCGGGCTGGACGAGAAGATGGTGCTCGAAGGAACCGGAGTCGGATACTTGAGGAAGGCTTGCGAGCCTGCATGTCTCTTGGACGGCCGAGGAAGACCCGGTGACGAGGACAGAGGTTCGAAAGCTGGGAGAAGTGAGGGGGCAGGACGCTTGACACCCGCCACGATCGGCAGCGCGGGCTCCATCGCCCTGGTGTTTGAGGATGGGGAAGAGTCCATATTGCTGTCTTTTCACACCTTGATCATGACAATTGCCGCTTAACTGGATGCTAAAGAGGCCGCTAAAACTTTGAGGGGTGCACGTCGATAGTGTCGGCGCGGTGGTCACGTCGAAACGCGTCAAATACCACCTTCTGAGCTCGAAACGACGAAACCCGCGCTTTACGTGTGAGGCTCAGAAGTGCCGATGGAGGTAGAACAGAAGCTCAAACTTGAAGAAGTTACAATGCGTGACCTAAGGAAGAAGGAAAAAGATTGGGTGGTTAAGTTCTGGGCGGAGGTGGTCACGTCGGAAGAGACCTTGGGTGTGTGCCGGGGTGGTGGGGATTTTGGCATTTAAAGATGTGGTCGTGTCTGCGGGACCGTGCCGTGGCCGAGCCTGTTGCAGACGCGATTTTGTTAAGGAGGGCTGTTTCTGACGCGTTTTGGCGTGTCCAGGCCCACTGGGCAGCGCGTCTTCCTGCTGCAGCTGTGGGGTTTACAGCGTAAAATACCGTTTTTACAGCTCCACGCGACACCCAGCCGCCAGAATTTCACGTTCTTCATGTTTAACCCTAACCCTTGGGTTACACTTAGTTCCAACACGCGAGGGCAACCCCGGACTTTCCCATCTCGATAAACGCGCCGGGCTCGTCCAATGACGCCGAAGGGGGGCGATGCCGTTTCTGCAGCAATCTATCTCGCACTCCTTTCGTGGAAGTTATGAAGACTGCATCAGCAAACCCAAAACCATACAACCCAGATCCCGGATGGTAGAAATCTAGATGGCTCGGCCTCCGCCGACTACAACTCATGGATCCCTTGGGGAGATCAGTTCCTCCGCGGAGCTGTTCAACTCTCACCACCAAAGTTTCGTCGCCACCTGCCGCGGCCTCCGCGGTTTGGCCCCGATCTTGACATTTTAGCTGAAGTCTCGCTGTCAAACATATTCCAAGTGCCTCCAGACGGCAAACATATGTGTCTTATTCGCCATGATGGAACGGAACGCTTTGACAGCTCGCCCCTCAACTCAAGCTGAGGTAGGGAACCCGTTCCGATCTAGACCATCATGACTCGGCTTCTAGGGAGAGGCCACGCTGCGCACCATCTGTCGTCACACGGGCCTCATCCGCTGCCTCCGCTCCGTCCTCCGCTCATTCTCTCCGGTTGACTACCATAAAAAGCCCTCCTACCTTTACCCAATGCCATTCCAGCCTTTCGAGTAATAGAGTCGTATTAAAAAGGAAACTTCATCTTCAGCCGTTGCGCTTTTGCTTCATTGCCCCAAAACGCCTCTACGGGCCGCCCAATAGCTTCCGGAGGTCAAATCGCCGCCGTTGTGCTCTCGCCGTCCTGCCGCGACCACCACCCCTCTCCAACACATTGTCAACGGCAACAGCAACAACAGCAACAACCCTCTCCCACCCATTTCAACTCCAGCTTCCCGAGTCACACTCCCTGTCATGTGCACCTCTTGGAACGAGTTAGCCACCTGTGGCCGACACTGCGCTATCCGCGGCGTCCGTTTCGACCCCTGTGATATCAGGCAACGACCAGGCGGGGCACCTTGCCGGAAGCTCGAAATACGCTCCTTCAAGGGGACGAAGGTCTGCCGCTGCAGAGAGGGGTACCCCCCGGACAAGAGCATGCCTGCAGGCGTGATCAAGACCATCCCACTCCCAAGTCTTGTGAGAGACCAGGGAAGAAGTTTGATTAGTACACAGCGAGATAGTGTGAGTTTGCCACTCTTTGCTGCGGCGCGGATGTTACTTTCTTTTGAGTGATTTTAATCTTTAAGACAGTTGCTAACGAGGTGTTTGTGTGCTCGTAGGGCAAGTTCCTGGAACCTAGCAGGAGCAAGAGTAGTTCGATGGACGGCCGGTCGGTGCATAAGGAGGGTCCATTGAAACGCTTAGTTCGAGGGCATAAAGGATAGCTCGATTATAAGAGAAGATTTGTTGCTACAGGATTCTTCCAGGTTCCTATGTGGCCAATAGCTCGAAGCAAAGTTCCGTCGTTGCATGTCGGGCCAAAGTCTATTGGGGAAATTATCTCCTATCAAAGAATAAACCATCGTCAACATCGAAATGCTCCATACGTGTAAAAGGGGGCATCATGATTGTTCTGTGTCCACGACCCAACGCCTGAGTCCAGCTCAACTCCTCTATCAACCCACGGCCGGCGCCGATATTCGTCCCCTGGTGAGGCCACGCCGGATCGGTTTCCCTCCCCCAGCAAGCCTTCAACCTTTCATCAACCTGCTCGTTTCAACCCATTTATTTTTTGTCGCCCTTGCAAAAGTTGTTCTTAACCTTCTTTTTCTTCCGCTTCAACTCGCCGCAGTTCTTGTCCGGCGATGCAAGCCTCTCCTTACAATATTTTACCTTGGCCCCAACCTCAGTCGTGTGCCCACGACTACAGTTGGCGCAGATGTAGTCATAAAAGGTGCACATGGTTACGGTTGGAGATAGTCTGCCCCTCCATTAGTCGTTAACATAGTCGTGATGGGTGGTGTCTCGAACAACAAGGCGTCGAATAGTTGGTAAGTGTCAAATGAGGAGGGTGGGTAGATGGTCTTCACTTACTTTTGGGCTTCCTAGGGGTATGCTCGGACTGTCAGAACAGGTAAAGCTCTTCAAGGATGGAATCACCGAGGGTGGAATGACAAGCAAGTGCGAAGTTCCAAGAGCCAAGATTTTATAACGACGAGACGAGGTTGCTCGATTTATCACCTTCATGCCAACCTCCTCGATGGACTTCATCCGATTGTGATTCTTCAGTCCTAGCCTCTGTCGTGGGTTGCCCCCACCTCACATTTGGCCAGGCCAAGGGTCTTCAAAACCGACCTTGTTGTTGCTCCAAGACATTTGGGAGTTTAGATATCACACTAGGAACGGCTCAGATAGTTCACCGCTTCTAGAGCCATCACACGAAAATATCATCGAACCTCCAAAACATACCTCCAGCAATGTCCTCATAGTAGACCTCAAGAAAGGAAAATGGATTATGAGTGCGCATCTGATGTCCGATTTGGTCGGTAAGCAGCAACAAGGGCAACAACCTGGGCCAGAGGGCGCAGTTTGGGCCGGCCGATTTTATATGCGAGTCTGACGCTCTGCCCGACGCATGATTCACAATCTTTTCTCGGAACCGAATCAGCGCAGCCCAAGCATCTAGGACATCTCGGGAAGCTAGTTAATCCCAAAGCGCAACAACACCGGGAACAGGACCAAAAGTGCTGTTGATGTGTCCTCGTGGAAGGTGATGAGGAGGGTGGCGGTGTGTTAAGCATGTACTCTAGTTAATAACAGTTTTGGCTGCTGGAGTAGGTACCGTACTATCGCTTACACACAGTAAGCGCTAAAGCTCCGCAGTCTCGCTGAACAACGTAGTGGTTCCATGGCAGGCCGTAGGTATACTATGTACGAGGCCGATTAGAGCCTGGAAATGGCCAGATTGCAGTGCGAAGCTGCCGTCGCCTCGGTTCACAGAATGTCCGGAAAGAAGACAACGGGAACCGGCACACCCGCGAATTTCTCGTCCCACTTCCGAGGAGAATATATCCGTCGAATTGAACATGCTTTGCCGAAGAAAAGACAAGGAGGAATAATTGAAGAAAACATGTACACTACATACAAACCCCTGATTTAGGACACATCGAATGTGCCGTTGCAACCGAGTCTCGATCAGCACAATACTCCTATTTTCCGCATGGCACGCCGGCAATGCTGTTTCCAACAGATATTACGACTCCAGAGTTCCATTAATTACGGGAACAACGTTCCTTGTAGAAAGGCTTCAATTTGCGCACGCTCTTTGGCTGCATGATAACCATGGGAACCTTCAACAACGCCAACTAGAACTAGTACCTGACCAGATCAACGGCTCCCCAACTCTGTTGAACATCAAGTCCGAGAAACAGATATATCCACCCATCTGACAAATATCCCATAGACCCAACCTAGGTCGTGTTTCTCGCGGCCATACCCCCAAACCGTTGACAAATAATAACCCAGGACGCCTTTGCGGCCCAAATCCACCAGCCCAGAACGATCCCTCACGCCTAGTCCCATATGACAGAATAGTTGTGGCGCTATAAAGAAAAAAAAGAAAAAGGGAAACGAAATGCAGGACGACGTGGTACTGTACACCCGAGTCATGTGCATCACTCATCAAAGATCCTGGTCACCGCCGTCATCCTCAACAACCGTCGCTGGGCGCGGGTCCGAACGGCCACGGCGCAAGTTGAACGGTCCGAAGAAGTCGCCAAATGCCTCCTTCAACAACTCAGTTGAGAGCTGCATGTGGTCGCCAGGCGCGGTGCGGAACTTGAGCCCACCCTTGCGGTCGAGCGTGCGCAGGCCAATCCAGTCCTCCGAGTACAACTTGCGCGCGCGCAGCGGAGTGCTTTCGGTGCCGTTGACTTCCTCAAACCAGGCAGTCTCCTTGGGGATCACCGTGGTGTCGTCTTCGAACATGTACATGACAAAGTTGTCAAGCTGAGCGAGGTTCTTCTTGTACTCGGGGTTCTTGTCGGGACGCTCGTTGTTGATGTCGGCGAGAAAGTTGGAGTGCTCGAGGTACTGCTCGTATTCCTCCGGGTTGCGGTAGTACTGCGCCGGCACAAGCGAGCTCTGGACTCGGTCACTCCAGGCATCCCCGCGCAGAACGGCCATGGCGAAGCGGCATATCCAGTCGGTCGGGGCGCATTCGCGGAAACTGGTGATCCCGTTGTGCTGCGAGCCGAAAGTAATCAAACTACGCACCGGAGGGTTGTTGCAGCGCTCGACGTATGCGCGGAGGAACTGGCCGCCTTGGGAAAAACCAACGGCGTCGATTGCGGGAGCGGTTGAGAGGATCGGGTGTGAGGCGAGGTCGGAACAGACTTTGTCGACTTGCTCGGTCACGTTTCCAACGAAGGAGAGGTAGCGGTCGCGGGAACCATCCTCATCCATGCGGATGGGGTACACGAGGGTCCCGGAATTAACTTCGTCAATGATCTCGGCGACATCGCGCATTCCATCGGCATTGAAGGCGTCGCCCAGGCCTAGGGGAGGCAAGAAATTAGTGGGTGTTAATTCCTGAGCTGCCCGAAGAATGTGTTCTTACCATGCCAGACAACCACCGGGAGCGGAGTATCGTCGTCGTCGTCGTCGCCACCCTCGAAGCGGCGCTCGAGGGGTTTCGCAATCGAGGCCACGATAAGCGACCCGAAAACGAGTCGGCGCAACTGGGTAGCGATCGCCATTTGATATTTGTTGAGAATTCAATACAGACAGAGGAGTTCGTAAACGTAACTTAAGGCAAACGAATTAACGAAAAATGGCTGATAGTTCCAACTTCTTGTATGACGATACTTCGGTGCTCGGAGACTGTGGTGTGGGAGGTTTCGTTTCAGGAAGCTGGAAAGGTTGCCTGCCGGAGCGGCTGAGGCGTCATGTCACAACCGAGCTCCCCACCTCCATGTACGCTATCATTGGCTGAAATTGCCCCACAAGGCGCGTCCCAAGTGCTCTTTCTCGCAACATCTCTCGAAGGCAAGCTTGCTTGACACGTTCCCTTTCCCAAGGCCGTTCCTAGCGGAATTTGCCAACAATAGCAAATGCAGGTATTGACCCCTCGCGAAGGTAAGGCGATTTCGCACTACGCAAAATACCGGGCGTCATGATGATATTAGGTTTAAAAATTATGTTTCAAGACGGGGCTGAGATCTTTCTGTGATTATAATTTACCTTCTGAAGCTCGACTACGACAGGCAGTCTCCAGTCATATTCTATAACAAAACATTGCCAGCTAACTCATCTTGCGGGTTTCCCGTATTTTGATCTTAGGCATTGCTCCGACCCTGAACAGAGTCTTGCAGGAAAGACGGCCCGCAAGGGACTTTTGCCTTGATTCTGGTTAGGCTGTTGTGAGATCGAGCAACCTCACCGGTGACAATACCCATAGGGTTTAAAAGGAGAGGACGAACATCGTACACCGAGTCAGCCACTGGGTCCACATTATCGCAGGTCCCGCGACAAAACCACAGACGTTCCCGGTCGCAAGTACCTCGCTCGCAAACAGCGGAGTATTGCCGTTGACCGCCGCTCCGCCCAGGTATTAACCCTATGCCAGCATTAGGGGCAGGGACAAGCCTCCATAGCAATGGCCGTTTGGCCAAACATTGCGATACTGAAGATAAACAACCCGGGATGAGTAGATAACCCACGTATTGTTCGTAGATAGTTCCTGTAAGCGCAAGAAACGTGTTCGTTAAATTTCCTTCCTCAAGCTAGTTTCTTCTGTCTCTCCTCTTCGCGCAACACACGTTCCAAATGCTTCATCCCTATCATACGGTACATGACCACATCCAACACCCACTCACCCAGCCAAGTCGAGAACCACGCCTTGCCCGCCCACCCACCAGCCCAGAACCAATCCGGCCGTCCAAACCACGAGCGCAACACCAAGGGCCACTCAGGCGCCAACGCCTTCGCCACCAGTTTCCGGGCATACTCATCCGTACCAACCGTCGCGTTATTCTGCGAGAACGTCAACCGGCGCTCAAAAACATCCTTGACGCGCTGGTAGATGCTGTTCTCAGGCAGCGTGCGATGCGTTTTGCTCGCGATCTGGCTGCGCACCGTACCCGTCATGGCAACCATGACGCGGACGCCAAACGGCTTGAGTTCGAGGCGCAATGTGCGCGAGTAGGCGGTGACGGCGCCCTTAGTGGCACAGTAGGCGGAACCGAAGACGTAGGGGGTGATGGCAGCTAGGGAGGCGATGTTGATGATCAAGCCCTTTGCGGCGATCAGTTGGTCGGAGAAGGCTGCGCACATGGCCATCACGCCGAACACATTGGTCTCGAAGGTCTCGCGCACGTCCGGAATGGAGAGGTCAGTCGCGGGGTGGGTGTGAGTACGGCCGCTGGAGTTAAGCGTGAGTTGTAATGTTTACTGAGAAGGTGGGGTTGAGGTGATTGGAGGGGGTGGGCATACGCGTTGTTGACGAGAAAGTCTAGCTTTCCGCCAGTGATCCCAGCCACTTCTTCATGGCACGCCTTGATACTCTCCTCCTTGGTGACGTCGAGGGTGAGGGTGGTCATGCCGAGGGCAGCCATCTCGGTGAGGACAGCTGGGTTGCGAGCCGTGGCGATGACATGGACGCCTGTGAAAGTTTATTAGCAACGGAGGCCAAAGCTAGGAGAAATGAAACTCACCCTTGGTGTGGAACGCCAAACAAATGGCATGACCAATTCCGCCCGGTGTACAGCTAAAGAGGAAAGAAGCTCGTGTTAATATCAAGCGCTAATCGGCGATGACCTGACAGGCGCAATAGGAGACAGACGTACCCGGTAATAAGCGCGGTCTTCTGGCCTGGTTTCGGGCCCATCTCGATTTCAAGTTAAATGACTCGAAAATGCGAAGAAAACGAGTAAAAATGTAGAAGGGCTTGAAACTCAACAAGGCGCCCTTTAGATACTGTCTGTTCAACTTGATGTTGGCAAAGGGCGGGAAAGATTCGAGTGACGTTCGAAGTCTAGCACCCCACCTCAAATTCACATGCCTCGGCTCTTGATTGGCATCCCCCTCATGTTACACGAGTAGACCCCGTCTACTCTGCTTACAAAATAACTACGGGACTCGAACTATTTGGAATGGTACCTGGGGATCTCGAATCTTGTTCCTTTTTACGTCGAATCTTCATTTAATGGAAGTCTGGGCCGCGCTTGGCCCTATCTCCAGCATTGGGTGTCATCAACCACACTGTCGAAGAAAAGGCACCTAAGCCTTGGCAGCAATGAGGCACGTAAGGGTTAGGGTTACTTTTCAGATAAGCGAGTTCCCCCCCAAGAGCTGGGCTTCATGCGTCCGTTGTTTCCCAATTCAGAACGATGATACAAACGACGCGCAACACAGATATCCGCGGTTTTGTGTCACATCCCCAAAAGTAAACGGGGCATTGCCCTCCCAAAAAATACAGGACGCGTCTTCGGCTCTGTTGGTTCCCGGCTGGCCTTTTTTAGTTCGCAACCCACCATCTTTTTTTCTTCCTCTATTCCCGCCCCGGATCACCACCCGCCCGAAATCCCAGGTGTTGGTGATGGTGTGACGAAGAGCTCCGGCCGGTTGGCGCATTGTGGATACCTACCTACCCGGGAAACTCAGCTGCGTGGAGGTGGGACGGGTGAAGGTGGTGATAGGGTTGGATAGGAGCTGCAGAGCTGCCGGAAAGCTGCCTTTCCAAGCCTCACCTCGCCTCGCCTCACCTCGCCAAGAAGGATGATGCTGCTCAGCCCACCCCCACCACCACCGAACATGCGATCTCACTCCATTCCCAGGGAGGGCCGGAAAAGGCCATTTCCGCCGATACTCCACGGGCAGACGGGTTCCTGGCATGGCCGTGCAGAAGCGGAAAGACAAGAATTCCGGCGCATGATTGGTGTTCATCTCGTGATTTTCTGCCCCATTCAGCGGACATCACAGCCGCACCGCGCGGCAGAGGTAACTCATGTGGTTGGGGTGGTTGTGTTGGTGACGGTTTGAAACTTTTGACGGCTGATCTACTCGCAATTCTTCTACCCCTCTCGGCATCTTTGCGGCACCGCGATGAGGAGGATCAAAACTCACCGAGATAGGTAGGTCGTTGGAGCAGGCGGACGGGTGGTTAGGTGGGAGGGTGCGCGCAATTGAGGTTCGAATGGTTCGTGAGCGTATGCATGAGTTTCCAGGTTGCCGGGAAGAATTCCAGATTCAAGTGGGTTGCAAGCAGGCCAGTTGCAGTGGAGTTGACAGGGGCCTGCAGACGCACTATTGTATTCGTAACGGTAAAGGCCCACAAGCTCTAACCATGCTTCAGTTTCAATTCGAAGTTGAATCGACTCAACCTGACTGTCGGGTGTTGTAAAACCGCTTATCACCCCGTTGAAATATGAAGTTTGTTTCTTTTTGACCAGTCCCGCAAGACATCTCACCCGCTGCAGCGGGATGCGGAACATCGGGGATAAACCACGAGTTGGGCCGGACTGTTGGCAACCGGCAGCGGAGTCCAGCGCAGGACAGGGGCACTCCGCTGCGCTGTGCTGTTTTTGGACCTGTCGAAGGTTGTGATACACTGTGCCGCAGGTGCTCAGTGTTCCTTCAACCCCAGGTCCCAACCAAGTCCAATGAGAATACACCTCAGGGCTCTGCGGGTCTGCAGGCATCAATTGACGAGCAACGGCGAGCCCAGGCCGTCGTTTTTCTTTCTCTGTTTTGTTGCCCTTTGGAGGTCGGGCCGTTCTAGTTTCGTTAACGAGAAGAAGCGCGGGACATACGCCGGGCCAACAAGATACGATCAAGGAGGGTGGGGGAGAGTAAAAAGGACGGGCGAGATCCAATGCGCCTTGCATCAACCCCGCCTCATGAGCATTGAACGGGCTCAACAACATCCGGATTTTTTGAGTGCTAAGTTTCAATTTGTGGCATTTGCTTTGCCTCTCCCAAGAGGAAGGATGATGATGACGATGACGGCGATGAGAGTGTGCGCTGCCGCAAAATAAAGTAAATGCATTAAGTGTATCGAATCCCAATGGCCGGCTGTGCTGTTCGTAGAGCACGGCGTATTGCAATAAAGATCTAACATGCCCTGGGGGCCACTTACACAAGATCGAGTTTCTGACACGATGCGATCTGCCCCCATACGGTTCTTCCATTCTGGAACTCCCCCAACCAGCCGACTGACTGACCGGGGGGTTGGTTCGCTGCGGTGTCCCTCGTTCATCGGCGTTCGCCCGCTTGGCGAGATGTCAGCTCCAACTGCAGTCGGCGGCGGCACGGCACCGCTCGCAGCACTCACCTCCATATTTACGCCTCCCTGTCCCACTTCTTCCTGGCTCCTGACGACCACCCGGTCGTTTTCGCAGTACCCACCATTCCCAACAGCTGGCCCCGCGTGGTGCGGCCCACCCTCGTGGAGGACCAACATCGCCGGAGCTGGCTTCCATTACTACTCCCCCGCCATCTGCCCATACGGCTTTGTCGTCGGTCCCGATTGCGGTATCACCAAGACCCGGACGGACGAAGGGTTTCCGACGATCGCGCCAGGAGAGACGGCCGTGTATTGCGTGCCTAGCGGCTTGACCTGTACCACCGACCTCACTGACTACCGCGGGGGCGTATGGGGTGTCGCGACTGCTACTGTATCGTCCAGCACAACCACATACACCCTCGGGCCAGCCATTCAGATTCGATGGGCTAGCACAGACCTGTCTGTACTTGAGACGCATCCCCTTACACCAGGTCTCGGGCCTCAACCTCCTCCTAGGACAGATTCACCCGAGACACAGTCCACTACCACCGCCACCGCCGCCATCATCCCCGTGATGGGAGAAACCACCACCTCCTCCGGTCCGGCCACCCAAACCACCGGGAACGTAGGGACTCGAGCCGGGCCAGCGGCAGATGGAGGGGCCGAGCCGAAAAGCTCGGCCACGCCAACCGACTTTGACGACTACTCGAACTCGTTCACACATATCTTTGAGAGCATAGGGCCGACCGGAAACACTCAGCCCACCAATTCGGCTGACGACAACACCAGCGGCGGCATTGGCTCGCTCAATCGGACCAACAGTATCATCGTGATCGTCGTGGTAACCGTGGTCGCAGGCATCATCCTCTGGATCGGCGCCTTTCTGCTCGTTCGACGGTACAAGAAAAAAGCCGCACAACGCAACGGTAACCGCTCCCCGCGCTCGACCAAGGAAGGATACGAAACCAGCCTCGAAAATGGCTACCGCGATCGGCCCCAGCGCCGACACACGCGAGCGGAATCCGGAGCGCCACGATCTCTCGTAAGTCCCGTGTCAGAGCTAGACGCGGCACCCTCCCCACCCCTCATCTCGCCCGCGATCGGGAGCACCCCCAACCCAGCCGAGCTTGAAGGCGACGTCAGCCTCCAGCCACCGCCCAAGACGTGGGTGCATCAGCGACTCTGGCCACGCAGCCCGTCTCAGCAACACCTACTTCACTCTGCAGCCGCCGCGCCCTTGTCCTCGCCACGGTCGACACAATCGACCTCGACCCGGTCGGCGCGCCGCACGGTACGCGAGTCGTTTGGCGAAAAAGTCAACGATCCCGCCGCGGCGCTGGGCAGGTTGCGGATCCCGATCCCGTTGTCCATCGGGCGGCCGTCGCCGACGTCGGCTAGCCCGAGCGCGCGTAGCTTCTGGAGGATGCCATCGCGCAGTCCGCGGCATCCAACGGCTGCTGCGGGTATAAGTACGCCGCCGAGCACGGCTGGATTGACGGGTTTGCCGGGCGCTGTTGCAGCTGCGAGATTGAGCGCGCAATTGCCTGGTACTGGGACGTCGCCGAGACCGAGTCCAGGGCTTCCGAAGAGCCGGCGGAATAGTGTGGCCAACGCTCGTGCATCGAGGGCGAGCACACCGGGGCGGGGGAAGCCCGGGTGGCAAGGCGATTCCGAGGGCGCGCAGGTGTGATGCGACGCGGTGATGCGACAACGGGAAGGGGTCTGGAGAGGGAGCGAAGGTGGTGAAAGTTGATGGATGATGGATGTTGGAGGGTGACAGCACGATTTGCCCCTCTCTCTGCGCGATTGGTGGTGTAACCCGGGCGGGCTTGGCGCTAAATTACAGGGCATGGTTGAGTGCCCCGCAGCCGGCCAGAACACTCGACACCGGGCGTTCATGCGCGATGAGATCTTTGATATTGTCCCGTCGTCGACATCATCATCAAGTCTTATCGCCCGAGACGGGACAGCTATTCAGCCTGAGATCCCCTCCAATGGATTTAAGCCTGCCCCTCGCCGTTACTTGGGTGTATCAACCCCAACAACCGCACCTTCCACCTCTTCAAACGAAGCAACCCGCACTGCTACCTTATACACCAACGCCGAGCACTTATACAAACCTGGAATCCACACAACACCAACCTAAATTCTCCCTTTTAAATCATCACCTACCATCACCTACCATCACCATGCCCTCTCACCAATCCACCCGCCCAGGCGACGCCATGGCCGATCTCGCCAACTCACTCCTCCACTCTCCCAAAGACACCCGCTCCCCCACTGCCACTCAACAAACCACCACCTCCCAAAGCTCCTCTACCTCTTCTCAAGATAACAACAACACCAAATCCGCCGACCGCGGAATGTCCAGCACAAACAACTGGAAACCCGCCCTCGACCGGCGTCAGAGCTGGGACGCCCAGGAGTACAAACACGATGTGTTGTCTCGGCAGTATGGCCTGGGAGAAGGTGGTGAGAGACAACAGCGGGAGGGCGCTGAGGGAGGGGTGAGGAAGAGGTTTAGTGAGGTGTAAACGCCTATCCCACCCCACCTCTACCAGACGTCTCCTTGCAAAAGGGACCTCTTTTCATTTTTGTGTTTTTATCTTTATTGTTCGTTCCTGTTGTTTCGCTACGTCGTTTCTTACGCTTCTTGCTTGTTTTATTTTCACTTCTTTCTCCAATGTATTATTTCCTAGAGCTTTTTACACCCTTACCTACACCTCATCCCACACCAACGTTTCTTAAACAACTCTCGTCACACCGACCCATGTCATACTTTGCTGCAGGGCAAATTTCTCTCATTTCCAGAATCCTTTTTTCTTTCTCCAAAGATACTTCTCCAAAGATACCACACCATACATACCACATCTGTGCATTGGCGGATGGACGATGCAACTTCGATTTTCCATATGTTGGGTTAAGTCTACCTACGCTAAGGATAGCGATTTCATACGTTAGGCACATGGATACAGGATGGAAGGGTTACGGAACACGGATACTGTCCTTGAGGACCGGGTCAAAATAGGACAGAGGGGGCAGGAGTCTTGGTGGATAAATACGATCTTTACTATGATACCACAGAATGAGAGAAACACAATTAGCTGCTCAATACAGAGTCCCGGCCGGAATCGATTTCGGTCGAGCTGAGTAAAACAAGTATCAAATTCACACACCATAGGAGCTTAAGACGGTGCAAGTCAAGGTTAGTTGTCATATTGGCTAGTACTCCACACCCTACTCGCTCGGAGAAAAGCTACTTGAGGAAGAGTACCCAGGAGCCACCAGAAACGCGAACTCAACACGGAACAACTTGGGGTACCTAGAAAAAAAGAAACCGAAGCCAAATGCTCCTACCAGCCCCATCCGGGTATGAATGTCCCATATGCTCCCGTCGTGCAATCTGATTCGGGCCGTCATGTGTGAAAACGAGAGTGTGACGCCAGAATACCTCCTGTCCGGAACCTGAGTCGAAAAAGAAAGAACGCCATCCTCCAAATCCTTGATGTGTGAACCATGTGAGGGGAAACAAAACGAAAGTGAAAAGCAAGAACAACCCTGGGGGTGTCATGACGCCATGTCCCAACCGACCGAACCGACCGAATGTCCGTAATGAAAAAGACTCCGCTGCAATGGTACCTTCGTATACGCCCACCGTTGAACTCCGAACCGTTACCGTAGAACAAGCCCAAAAAGGAATCAGGACAGACTCAAGGAAAATAGGAAAATGAAGAGGCAAAATAGGAAAAACACAAGCCGCCGTCACCGAGTGAAACCCGAGACCTTAGAAACCCTTTGGCCCTTTCCCGTCCGCACCCCCGTTGCGAAAGTACTCACTGACCACTCCAACCGAGTACGCACTTCCCGCCAGCCCAGCCGCCCCGATCGCCACTTTCTTGGGGAAGCTGATCTTGCTCTTCTTGTTCTTTACATTAGCAGCCGAAGCACTCTCCGTCCGCGAAGTATTCTGTCGCAGACTGGCCGGTGCAGCCTGCACGTCGTCGGTGTTGCTTGTCCCTGGGAGGTTATAGTTCACAAACCCCGTAGGACTCGCAAACCGACTGGCCGCAACGGTGTAGTTACCACCCGTCATGTCGATTGGGTTGACTGCTGCACCGGCCGCGGCTCCTGAATCTTCGACTGATGTGTTCTCAGATCCCGGCACCGCATCGCGCACCTTGCGGAAAATGAGGACATCCCCGCTTCCGGCCACAATTTCGAAACCTTGCGCTTGGAGCGGCGCAAAGTGTGAAAAGAACTTGGCTGGGTGGGAAATTCGGAGGAGAATGTCAGCAAGGGAGAGCGGTGCGCTGGTGTCAGCGACGACGGACGTGGTCTCGGCAGACTCGATGCGTTGCATGGTAGGATCCCAGGCGAGAACTTTGTAGATGGATGGTTCTTGGGGCGAAGAAACAGATGAGGAGGGGGGAGTGGTAGTCGGTGACGTGATTTCAGTGACCCGCTCAAGAGCAGATTGTACGGTACCAGACGACGTCTCTTTTTGTTCCGAAGACAAGAGAGTTGCGTCCAAGTTGGCATCGGTGGTCCCGGCGGTCCACGATTTGGTGAAGTCCTCGGGGAAATCCCGTACATAGTTGCCAGTCAGACCGCCCTGCGGTTGGCCACTGCTGCTGCCGGCCTTGATGCTGTCGTCAGAGCTTGCGCCTGAGACATCACCGGATTCAACTGCAGCGCGGGCCATCAACTCGTCCACCTGCTGGCGGAACGCCGACTTTTCCTCGGCAAGAGTCTCAACATTTTCAACAGGGTCAATCTTTTCTGGGGCATGGTCAGTGGTTTTGCTGGACCGTGCCTCGTCAGGCAGCGGCCGGGTTTCTGCGTCCTCGTAGGTGAAGGCCTCGTGGTTAGCCAGGTCTTGGGTCTCGTCGGTGACGGCGGTGTATTTGCCATCAGGCTCGGGGCTGCGAATGGGTCCTTGAGAAGTCTTAGTGTCGGCCGGCTTAACGGGGGGTTCGTTCGTTGGAGCGTACTTTCCATCCGGCTCATGGCTGCGGAACACTTTGTAGGTAGCAAGCTCACTCAAGGCGGGCTTCTGCTGGACATAGGCAGCGGCATACTTGCCGTCGGGCTCATGGCTGCGGAACGCCCGAGCATACTTGGAGAGCTCGCTCGCGTCGGGCTTCTCTTGCACATAGCTTGCGGCGTACTTGCCATCGGGTTCATGGCTACGAAACGCGCGAGCGTACGACGAGAGCTCCTTTGCATCCGGCTTCTCCTCGACGTAGGCGGCAGCATACTTGCCATCAGGCTCGTGGCTGCGGAACGCTTTGTATCCCGCAAGTTCTTTCGGATCGGGCTTCGCTTGCACATATGCGGCCGCGTACTTGCCATCAGGTTCGTGACTGCGGAACGCGCCGTATTTGGACAGTTCCGCCTTCTTGGGCTTCTCCTGCACGTAAGAGAGCGCGTACAGGCCATCAGGCTCGTGGGCAAGGAAGGGCTTGCGGTATTTGGCAAGTTCAGCCGCGTCGTATTGGTAGGGCTGAACGTGGTTCAGTGCAGCGTAGAGGCCGTCGGGCTCGTGCGCCATGACGGGCTGGCTGTAGAACTCAATCTCGGCCGCGTCTGGGGCGTCTGTGTAGGCTGCCGCAAACATGCTGGTTGGTTCATGGGTGCGCATCGCGAGGTGCTTGCCGAGATCCTGATTCTTCGGGGCAGATTCCATCTCGCGCTTGTACTTGCCATCGGGCTCATGGCTCCGGAAAGCGGTGTACTTGTTCAACTCCTTGGGGTCGACAGGAGCTTCGGCCTCGCCCATTGCCTTGTACTTGCCGTCCGGTTCATGGCTGCGGACGGGTCCATACTTCTTCAGTTCCTCAGGGTCGACCGTCTCTTCGGGCTGTTCTTTGTACTTGCCATCAGGCTCATGGCTGCGGACCGGCTTGTACTTTTTGAGCTCCTCGGGGTCCACAGTGGTCTCCGGCTGCTCCTTGTACTTGCCGTCGGGCTCGTGACTCCGGACCGGCTTGTACTTGCTGAGCTCCTCGGGGTCAGCGGGAGGGTCGGACGCTAGCTTGTACTTGCCATCGGGCTCATGCGCCCGAACAGCACCGTACTTGCTGAGTTCTTCCGCGTTGGCCGGAGGCTCGGGCAAGTCTTTGTATTTGCCATCAGGCTCGTGCGCTCGCACGGCGCCATATTTGCTGAGTTCCTCAGGGTTCGCCACAGTCTCCTCTTGAGCCTTGTACTTGCCATCCGGTTCGTGGGCCCGGAAAGCGCCGTACTTGCCAAGGTCGGTGTATTCTTCAATCGCAGGCTCTGGACGCTGCGCTGTCTTGGAGAGGCGAAGGGCGGCATACCCGGCGGCTGAGGTAGCGGATGCGGAGGTGATGGCGTCGCTACGGTGCCATCGAACCTCTTTGTGCTCCCAGCTAAGGGTGTCCTGGAAGCTCGAGTCCGGCTTGCCGTAGTGGTTGACAATCGGTGACTGCTCGGAACTCGCCCAGAGATGGTCCAAGTCGTACTTCTTGAGTTCCGCTTCTGTTGGCGGGCCATGGGAGAAGAATGGGGTTTGTGTCTGCTCGCCGACTTTGGGCACCCTGCGGTTCGTGATTGGGTCGATGGACGAGTCGACATCGCTGGCTGATTGGGTGGATTTGACGTTTTCCCTAGGCGACTGGAATTGCTTGTTACCGAATAGGAGGTGTTCAAGTGGAGCTCTCTCCACGTCTTCGATGTTCCGGCCGGGGCGAATACCAGTCGGGTTATCTGGGGTCTTTTTCGGGGAGGCATCGGTGTTAATGAAGCGACCCGCGGCCTGGCTCGGTTGGCGGCCAGAAGACCAGTAATTGCCGGCGACCTTCTTCACAACGTTTTTGGCGCCTTCGGCCAACGACGTCTTGTACAAGTTCTCGCAGTACTTGTACCCACGAGAGTGATGGCGGGCGTAGACGTAGGGCTCGAAGTAGGAAGACAGACGACCAAACTTGTAAGTCCGGATCTGCTGGCAGGAATGTTGAGGGATGGCACCAGTCCCAGCGGAGCTGAGCAGGGCCGGGTTGATTGGTTTGGAACCGCGCCCGCGGCGGGCGAAGTTGGAGGCGACGGTCAATGACATGGTGATAAAGGCGTTAAGTGGGCGGGCTAGAGCGCTGGTGGCATGCTATTGGTGATGCGGTAGACTACCTGGGGGTCTGCACCGTCGTCGTTAGTGGGAAATGATAAAATGCAAACGCCCGCGAAAAAAATCCTGATGCATCCGAGTCATCAATGGAAGTGCCGCCTAGTTATGCAGTTATGCAACCATGGCATCAGGCATTATCGCACGTTCTACACGTGGGAATCGATCATCCGTGAGGCGACTTACATGAACGAAGCCTCTATTGGCCCGGGCCGACGTCATGGAGGAGCGTGCGCTCGAAAAGGATGGAGATGGGAGGAGTGAAGAATAGGTGTGATACAGGTGTGGAAACCCGCTCAAAAACGACGATTGTTGGAGTAGAGCTGTGGGAAGTATTTTGGAGGTTTGGGCGGGAAGGACCATGGTCTTAAAACGGGCAGCAACAGCGTTTCGAGGGGAGAAAGCGGCCGAGGACGACCGATCGTGGGACCTTCAGGCTGGAGATGCCATGCCTGGAGATGATCGACTCCCCGCGCATGCAGTGGGCCGTGTGTGGACGCTCGCTGGCAGGGCCGTTTTTGCCGGTCACTGTTTCTGATTCGACGGTTGCGGCTAACACGGCCTGCTTGACCCGGCGGCTTGTGGACCCCTTTGGGCCAGCAGCCACTGACGTCGCAGAGCAGCAACAAGGAAACCTGCGGGGTTGCGCCGAAACCCTGGCTGCTTCGGGCGGGGACCATCGCTTTCACAGGCCCGCGAGGGAGGCTCACGATAGCATCGTTTCGGGTCAAACTGGTCACAACGTGTCCGCCCACGCAGGCCTTGATCAACGACGCCAAAATGGTGCTATCAGACCGAGAGGAAACCCTGAGGGCTCTATTTTCTGCGCTGTTTCCCAAGCCTGCTTTTTTCTGCTTGCGATCCCAGCAACACCGTGTTCATTCCCATTTGCGCACCACACGCGACACAACCTACCCGCCGTTTAGACGCTGCGCCGGTACCCCACCCAGCGATAGGGGAGCACAAACCGCCAGTCATACACAGAAGCATTTCATGTTGGAACGCCTCTTGTTGCTTCCTCCTGAAGAATTGAATGAAGCTTATCCGTCCTCTTTTTGTTTCCGCTTCCTCCGCCCCAAGGCTCGCTTCCCGTCAGAGCATCATGAAAGAAGCGGGTGAGGCCAAGACAGTGAATGCAAGCCGCTCACCCTGGCCTTTGATTTCGCCAGGGGCAGCAGCCGGCGCCCCACCTATGATGTCATTTTGATTGCGCCCCCAAGCCGACGACGATCGATTCTCACTTCCTCAGTCCAAATGTGCTCGGCCCGGGATTCTCCGGTCGTCGATCTTTGGTGAGCTGCTCTTCCTGCTCTGTGGCCGGCCACCGAAGCTGACCGATTCCCCGATTGTTTCGGATTGTGGCCGTTTTGGCCCATCCGCTGCGCAGCGTACATGGTAGTTACCATTCATGTGGGGGGCATACCGAAGTCCCTGTTAACGCAGCAAAGCCATCGCTTTTCTTCAACGCCCATGTGCCATCGTGTTTATTCATAAAGCCACGTGTGGTTTGTGCGCTTTTCCATTTCGAGTTTCGCCCGCCTGTTTGTGCCCCGCATCACGTGTGTGGGGCTCTTGGGCTGTTTTGGGAGGATTTTGCCCTGCCCCGCCAAAAATGCGTTTCCGGATCAGTCACGCCGGGACGCAGGGAGCTTGTTGCGGGAGCTCAGGCTACCGTCTCAACGGCAAGGCTGAATGGAGGCATCCGCCAGGCTACCGTGAAGCTTTTATTTTCTATTTTGAAGAGCATCCGGATTGCTAATAGCCACACGATAACAAAGCCTGGACAATTCCAGTCCTTAATTGCATCAATGCTGACAGGTTTCCCACCTGTTTGTGGGTGCTCTCTTTCTGTTGACGATACCGAGCTTGTATGCTCACTCGGATGACCTCGACTCTAGAACTCACCTTCGAGTCCCGATCGTTCACGTCCACCCGAATACCTAGGCGGCTCGAAGCTACGACTCGCTGGTCGCCATGTTTCCAGGGAGTAAAAAGGGTGGGCGCGGAGCTGGGTTCGGCGGTTTCTCAAGCTCGTCCACAACACTGTCATATCTAACTCCTCCGCCCGACTTTTCTTCGGTCCCTCAGGAGGTGGTTGTACCCTTCAAGAACTTGCTGAAGAAGGATAGTACAACGAAGGAAAAAGCGCTCCAAGAAATCGTTGCATATGTTCAGAGTGTTGGGTCCAAGGGCCAGATGGTAGAAGATCAAGTCATCGACATATATGTTCGTGAATGCCAGCATGGTAGATTCATACTATGGCTCGTTAACTAGAATCTAGGTTGAACTCTACCCTCGCCTATCGATCGACGACTCTGCGCGCGTCCGAGAACTCTCCCACCAACTCTTATTCGATCTCTTGAACACGGCGAAGAAGCGACTAGCCAAGAAACTGCCGACGTTTGTGGGACCATGGCTAGCTGGGACATTTGACCGCGATAAGCGGGTGTCACGCGTTGCTTCGGATGCGCTAGCTTCGTTCTTGCCGACGCCCGAGAAAGAGGAGGCTTTTTGGAAAGCAGTACAGGCAAAGGCTCTGGAATTTGCAACGGAAGCCATTCATGAAACACCGGGGACTCTGAGTGACGAACGATCCACCACAAAAGAGGACTTGGACGCAAAGTACTATCGGGTGGTTGGCGCCAGCGTTTCGTTAGCGCTAAATTTGATCCGAAAAGGCGATGTTGAAACGCTTCACGATGGATTAACGAATTACCTCGCGGTGGATGCACTATGGACTATACCAAAGGCAGAGGATTCCTTCGTCAGGAGGGCGTTTTACCAGTTCATCGTTGCCGTTCTCGAGACGGACTCCGAGTTGCTTCAACCACGGCTGCAATCCGCTGGGAAATCCCTGGTTGCAGACAGCATAAAGAAAAGCCAAACCGGATCAGCGGTGGACCTGTTGGGGGCGTTGACTGCTCTGACCAGTCGCTTTCCACAAGTATGGGGAACCCAGAAACACCCACTGCAGCGCCTACAACAGTTCGTCTCCCAAGGCTCGCAAGGTGGTGCGGAAGAGTACTGGCGGTCATTGGATCAGCTCCTTCGATCCATTCCGGAAAAGACGCCTTCACCTGAGGTTGTGGCCTCCTTTCTGAGCTCCATGCGCAAAGGAATTGTGGACAGACTCGAGACCCGAGGCAGCCGACAGCAAGCATTTCGATCCTATTCCCAAGTACTCCATAGCTTTCTCGCCCATTCCCCGATATCTACTACCTTTCTCGAGGAGAATCTGTCCAACCTTACACGGCAATACCTCCACCCGGTTTCCGATACATCCCTACCATCACTACAGCGCCCGGAACCCATTGCCGAGGCATGGATGGTTGTGGCTCGACACTCCGATGACGAAACGCAAGGAGCGGTCTCCAACGAATGGCAGAAGTTGGGAGACGAGTTCGTCTCTCGCATGTCCAACTCGTTGCCCGAGGTGTCAGAAGGCTACAGGAAATCACAGCTGGCTATTGCTTCTGAAGGGGAACGTTGGTTTCCCCTAGCAGCGGCCATCCTTTCACGGGACGATGGAAACATTGCGTCATTTGTGCATGCGATGAAAACTTCATCCGGTACTGTTTTGAACGGTGCTGCGGACCTGTTGGCCAGGAGGAACTTCAAGCCCTTTGGTGCAGCCTCGGTTGTTCAGTCTGCGTTCCGGCACTGCCCTCGCCTGTGTGCTGACAATAATCTCCTACCGTCCCTTCTTCCACCCGACGATGGCGAGGTTTATGACAAGCTCACTGCTTCACCGTCCTTGCCATACATTGTTTCGGACCTCTGCAACGTATTGGGGGAAAAAGAGCCTCAATTTGGCAAGACGTGGGAGTCACTCGCAGTAGCAGCTCTCAAGATTCCAGACCCATCTTCTGCGATATCTGCCGTTCGGGTGCTGATTGGTGTCCCTTCTGTAGCACCCTATGCTCAGCAGCTCGCCTCGCTCCAAAGCTTCCTGGTGGCCGCCTGGAAGGAGTTTGCCAATACTGAAGATCACCCCGCTCTGCGCGACCTTTGTGACGCCACTCTATCCTATGACGCCCTAACCAAAGAGTCTCTTGAAGCCGTCGCGACCGTTATCATTTCAGCACTTGAGGATCCGGACACCACGACGCCCGCTCTCGTTGCTCTCGAGGTGATCGTGAAGAAACGGCCCGATCTTCTTCCAGCAAACGAGGACTTGCACGTGCGCCTGGTCACCAGTCTCCTTTCCCTGACTGAACTTTCGGACGCTGGACTCTCAAGCAAGGCTCAGAGTTTAAGAACTCTCGTTGACCAGCAACCCACCGGACAAAATCCCGTCGCGAGGATACTCGAGAATCATCTCGGCGAAGCACGTACGGCCTCACTTGAGGTTGATACTCTTGTTCAGCAGGCGCTAGCGGCTATCCAAACTGGGGATGTTCCAGTGGAGGATATTTTCCCCAGTTCCACGGTGTGGATGGAAGAGCTATCGTGCTTTCTCGCCCACGCGCCAAATCCATCGCTTGCGCTGACAAGTAGCATGGGAGGCACCTACTTTCTTGTCCAGGGGAGTCCAGGGGCCAAACCGCCGTCACCCACCAGGGATAGCAGCGGGCGTTCAATACCAGCGAGGATGGCATTGTTCACCGCCAAGCTTCTCTCGTCTGGTGTTCAACTGTCGTCTCTGCCATCCGAGTTTCAGTTGGAGCTTGTCTATCTACTTTCCTTGACGGAGTCGCTAGTCGGCGACCAACTAGCCCTCGCCCACAGCGGCGGCTTGTGGAGTGACGGCCTTGCGTCCGAGGCAGATTCCCAAGAGTTCTGCGAACTTAGCTCGGCGGCCGTTCGGACAATCGTGACAGAATGCGGGAACTGGGCAGATTGGAGCATGTCTGGCGAATCTCTTGTTGAACGCCTTATCAACTTCATGCTGCACCAGTCTGTTGGCTTCAGCCCTGCTGCGTTCTATACCGCAAAGGCTTTGAGTTCACTTCTGCAGCTTCTTGTTCAAATCCACGGGGCCGCGCCAACCGTTCTCGAAGACTGGTTAGTCAAACTAGGTGTCACTAGGGCTACACCTAAGACTACCCTCCTAACGGCCGCGTTCCTTACCGGGTTTGGTGAACTCCTCGCTTCTTCCAAAGCGACCGCGATGCTGTGTGCTCGGCTGATTAGTGAGATCCCGGGCTTCCGCGGCATTTCGGACCAGGAAGCCAAGGCTCTCCCATCGTTGGTCCTGTTGAACCTCTGCCTTGATGTTTATGACGTCGGTGCGGTCCCGGTCGAGCCGCGGAAGCAGGTCCTTGCGCTCCAGCAGTTCACCAGATGGGTCGACTCCCCAGAAAACGTGGGCTATCAGGCAGCTGCCGAGACTTGCAAGGCCATCACCCGGGTCTTGCCGTCCACCAAGGCAACATATGGGGAGTATTGGGAGCAGGCCGTTGAATACTGCATTTGGCTATGGAAACGGGCGCCTGAGGATCGGCCCGACCACCGGCTTCCGTACCTCTATGCCTCCTTGAAGCTAATGCACGCGCTTCACGCGACAGAGGAACCGAGTGATGATCTCGAGGAAGCTCTAGCCAACCATCGGGCGGCCGAGACCGATGGACTGCTCTCATTACTTGGTGTATCCCATGAAGGCGCCGCAAGCCAGCCCAGTCGCCTTGTCGACGCACTCCTGGCCCGTGCCATCACCAAGCTGTCAGATGTGCGGTTGGATGACCTCGGCGATGTCTACGAGTCTGTGGCCTCGGACTCGCGCGAGATCCAGAGGGCAGCGTTCGGGTTGTTACACCACGCACTGCCCGCCGCGCAGGAGGATATCAACCTCGCGGTGATAATGGACAAGAAAGGTGGGCGCGCCCTAACCACTAGCTAATGTTGTCTTATTGATGCTAACATTCACTAGCTGCTAACCTTCCGGACGAGCTGCTGTCTCTACTCCTAAATGCTCCGAACCCAGACGATTACACGGATGAGGATCTAGCACAATTCCCAGTCACCATCCGTTCATACTTGTTGGCGTGGCATCTCGTGTTCGATGCCTACAGCAAGGCATCCTTCCGCGTCCGCAGCGACTATACCGACAACCTCAAGGGCGGTCAGCACCTCGATCCCCTACTCCGGTTCCTTTCCGATGTCCTCGGCCATGCTCTCGCGCGGGCGCTGGATTTGGACAAGGAAGGTTTCACATCGGAGCACATCCGCTCTTACAGCATCGACCTCGCCGACTCGGAGCCAGCAGAGCGTGATATGAACTGGCTGTTGATCCACCTTTTCTACCTGATCCTCAAATACATCCCTGGCCTCTTCAAAATGTGGTACCTAAACTGCCCGTCCAAGCAAACCAAAAACACCATCCAGTCGTGGATGCAACGTTTCTTCTCGCCCCTCATCATCACGGACGCGCTTAACGAGGTGGTCGAGTGGGCGTCCAAACAGGAGGCAGGCGACGGCGACACGGAAGAGGTCATTGTAAGAGTCAGCAAGATGTCCCGCGAGATCACTGCTGGGTATCCGGTTGATGATGATGCCGCTACGATCTCCCTTCACGTTCCCAAGTCCTACCCGCTTGATCCGGTCGACGTGACCAGCGTCAAGCGAGTCGCCGTGAAGGAAGACAAGTGGCAGTCCTGGCTCAAGGCTACGAAGGCCGTCATCATGTTTGGTGTAAGTGCCCCTGTCTTTGTTCCTCTGTAAATGACCACGCCATGCTGACCGCTTCGCATACAGAACTGTAGTCTTGTCGACGGACTGATGGCCTTCCGCCGCAACATCTCCCTCGCACTCAAGGGCCAGGAGGAGTGTGCCATTTGCTACTCGATCATCGCTCAGGACAAGACACTACCGGACAAGAAGTGTGGCACCTGCAACCACTTCTTCCACCGTGTCTGTCTGTACAAGTGGTTCCAGAACAGCGGGCGAAACACTTGCCCGCTGTGCCGGAATGCGATCGATTACCTGGGGTCAGATACGAAGAGGCGGCGGCCGGAGCATGAGTAGCCGGGGACGTATGGATAGAGGGTTTTGGGCATGGCGGGTCCCAGTTCATTATTGTATAGTTACAAATAAAGCACACTAGATACCGGGCTCACAGCCTTGTTACTGTGTGAATCTGTTGATCTCCTTCTTTCTTGTTCCCGCATCTCGCTGAGTAACACATCTGAGTTCCGCCACTGACCACACCCCCCGTCCTTAATATTTGCCCTGCACAAACCAAGAAAAATTGACTTTTCTTTTGGTGGAGAGCCCAAATTCCCGAGCAACAACGACATCGAAAAATTAGAAACCCGGACCCGACTTCCACCCTCTTCCATATTGTATTGCCGTCCAAGTCACCACTCGACTCCATGCAACACAATGAAGCGCAAAAGATCCCAATCCAGCCAGAGCCAACACGAAAGTGTGCGGGTTGACCACTCTCAGTCTACAGTCCTCAACTGGATCACCCGTCACCGAATTGACCTGACCAAAAAGCCGAACCAGCGGGACATTATGCCGCGGCAGTACGTCTGGATATCCTTGCCTGGGGTTCCTACCTACGAAGGGAAGAAGGGCGAGGAGCAGAGAAAGGATAAGGTTCAGGAGGGGGGTGAGGATTATTATGAAGATTGGGGCGATGATGAGGGCGATGAAGGAGAGGAACAAGATGTCTACGAAGAGGATGTCCGTGGAGTAGATGTTCGCGGAGAAGATGACGACGACGAAGACTACGAATACGTCGGAGACGACGAAGAAGACGAAGACGACAACGTATACGAAGACATCGACGAAGACGAAGTCAACTATGTAGTCAACTACGAAGACAACAACGAAAACGACGAAGAGGACGAGGACTACAACGAAGACGAAGACGAAAACGGCAATGAAGATGACGGCGAAGACGAAAACAGCGACGACAACGAAGCGCAGCAACGCGGAAAAAAGCCCGACCACAACAGCACCAAACCCTCTGGCCCGGTCCAGGTTTACGATCTCCCCCGACCCGAAAACGCGGCCCAGCCGGCGGACATCACCCAGGTCCACCGTCGCCTCGTCAGTACCTACCTCCGCGTCTTCCTGCTGTCCACGCCCAACACACCATACCTGCGATGGGAGTTCTGCTTACCCCAGCACGATCACTCGGTGCTCATCCAGCTGTGGACACTCCTCCGGTTAGACAAGGGCTTACTCGAAGAATTTGCAGACCAGTCGTTTGAGAAGACCTGGCAGGTGAGGCAGCCCGTGTTTGTGGAAAGATATAATGGGTTGTATTTTGGGAAGTGGGCGCATGAGTTGTCTACGGCGCCGAGGAAGGCGACGGCATTGTTTGTTCAGATGTTTGGAGTTTTGTACGTGTGCAGTTCCTTACTACTAATTATTCGTGGTTTGTTGATGCAGTTGCTAACACAAGTCATCTACCTCCCCATTAGGAACCTCAACCCCTGCCGCTGCTGCGATGAGAACTACCGACGAGCTACCACAACGCTACGTTTTTACAAAAACGGACAGGGCGAAAACAAGTCGCTCCACGTCACGTGGCCGTTTTTCGGCTGCGTATCCTATGAATCGGCCGACAACGGTCGTTGTGGGAACTGCTGGTGGTTGGGCAGGCGGTGCTCGTGGACTGACGTGAATGAGGGACACCCCCAGTGGGACGCCAAAGCGAAGGGAGACAGAGATGAACCAAAGGTTGCGGATAAGTTGCAGGGTGGTGAGATGTCGCGGCTTGTGCCGATGATGTTTGATGGTGCGTTCGAACGTATGTAGAGATGGCGTGGAGCAGGCGTGGACTTTGTAAGGACTTAGTTGGTGAGATACACCTGAAATGGTTCTAGCTATGTAAAATACCCCTTTGTTAGATAAACTACCTGCTCTTGTTTCAGGCATCAAGGCGATATTTTGTCGTTGTGTGGTAGTCAAGATCGTTTTACAAACGAAGGGCGAGAGTGTCCTCGCAGGCTTCACTGATCCATCCCCTACACCTCCGAAAAGAAGAAGAAAAAAAGCACAAAGCAGGAACCAGTTGTGTTTCCACTAGGCCATGGCACAAGGATTAAGAATCATGACGCATGCCGGATATTCGACCATTCTAGCCCATCTAGCAGCCTTGAGAATTCAACAACTTAACAACAAAGAAGAGCCTAGGCTCAAACGAGTCAGCATGGGGGTGGCAAGCAATATATACCAGCCCAAGGAAGCACTCAAACCCGGCATTCCGGTTTCCAACCCAACCCCCTCGCGATGCATAAACTGTCAAACACGGCGCGCTTCAACGCATTGTCCAAGGCATCTCATACCCTGCCGTCTCAAAACCCTCTTTTTGCGGATCCCAAGGGGGTGGAAACTCGAGCTCAACTCTGCCGCTGGGTGGAGTCTTGGCATCCTCAAGTTGCCGTTTTAGGCAAGATCCCCACGCACAGGCGCCCTTTTGCTGCTGTGGGCCGCCGTGGACTGCCGTGTAAGTGATGGGGTTACCCCTGAAACCCAGGCGCGATGAAACTCGCAGCGCAACAAGTGTCCCGGAAAGCTGGAACACCTTCGACTTCGATACTTCACAGCCCCTCGGTTAGAACCCTGCTGGGCTCAACGGTTGCGATGTGATGTCAAGTACTTGGCCTGCTGCTTTGTTTTTGGTTTTCAGGCTCTATGCGCGGTCGATCAGACGAGACAAGCAGGTCTTGACTTTTTTCGCTTCCTCTCTTTCTCACTCACTCTCTTCGGCGTTTCCCCCGTGTTGGGTGTTTTCCTTCCCTTTCTTCCCTTTCCCACCTTTAGCCAGGTCAAGATGCCTTCGACCTGAAAGGCTTTTCGCACTTTGGCAACGGCCAACCCTTTTCTGCTATTTTGTTCACTTATCACTTTTAATCATCCTTCGTTATCAAGTTCGCGACGATGCTGGTCATCCGCGTTCTTTGGCTGCAGGCCGCCCTGGTGGCAGCCCAGCTCCTTGATTTAGGAGGAGGAGGAGGAGATGCCGGCGGTGACGATACCAAGACGTCGGCCGTTGAAGGAAGCCGCCCAGCAGAGACGACCGCCGCGGGAGGAGGAGGTCTGCTGGGTGGGATAGTCGGTGGTGTGGCCGATGCCGCAAGTGACATATTGGACCCCGTCGTCGGACCAACCGGATTGTTGGGCGAAAATGATGCTTCAGCGGCCGCACCTACTTCCGCGGAAGCTGAAAACCCTCCAGCTGCGACCTCCACCGAGAAAGCCGCCGATCCAGAGCCCACACCGGCGCAGAGCGAGGACACCGCAGCCCCAGCGACAACCCCAGAGCCTGAACCCAAGCCTACTTCGACGGCCGCAGCGGAGCCAACTCTAGAGCCGACATCTCGGGAACCACCAGCCCAAGAAACTGAGAAGGCACCGCCGGCAGACGACCAACAGCAACAGTCTACCCCAACGGCCAACCCAGCTCCGGCGGAAGAGACGGCTGCACCGCCGGCAACATCGGCAGCGGAAGCCCCAGTGCCGACATCCGGCAACAACAACAATAACGACAACGGTAACAACGGCAACAATGGAAATAACGGAAACAACAACAACGGCAACAACGGTAACAGCGGCAACAACAACAACGCCGGCGTAGTCCCACTCCCCATCCCGGCCGCTTCCACAGCCGCTGTCTCCTCAGCCGCAGCAGCACCAGCCAAGCCTACGTCCCAGGCAAACCAACAAGCCAGCTCTGTCCGTCCCGTATCCACCCTCGTGACCTCAGCCGGCCGAACCTTCGTCTCCGTGTTCGTCCCACCCTCGCCCACCGGCGGCCGCCTAGGCGCCATCAACAACCAAGAAGGCAACAACGCGGCCGCCGGGCCTTCCTCCAACACGGGAACCGACACCTTCCAGCAGTTCCCCTCGTCATCCGCCGCGTCGGATACCGACAACAGCAACAACAACGGCGGTGACCCAGCTAACACAGACACCACCAACCCCAACGACACGTTGCAAGACAGCAGCGGCAACGCCATTGCCAACCCACTCACCCCGAACAACGGCGCCGGAGCCGGAAACGGCATCGGCTCCGATACCTCAGCCACATCCATGCCCCTGCAAACCAAGATCGGCATCGGCGTCGGCATTGGCGCCGGCGCGGTCGTGCTAGCCGTGATTACCACGCTGATCCTCTGGAAGCGACGGATGAGACGCCGTCGGCACGGTGGATCGTCGTCTGCGGCCATGACCGGGGATAGCGAGCACGGGTTAGGTGGTAGGGCGGGCACGCCGGAGGAAAAGGCCAAGATGGATTTTGAGAGTGAGCATGATGTGGCGTTTGATTTCGGGGGATTTTTTAGGCAGAGGAGTGCTGCGGCTGCTGTTGGGGCTGGGGCTGCGGGGAGGAAGGGTTCGGCGGGTAGTGCTGGTGGTGGTGGTAGTGTTGCTCATTCGCCGAATCCTTCTTCTGTGACTTCTGTGACGGGGGAGATGGTCGGGTCGCCTGTGGGAGGGTCGCCAGTGGCCGGGCCGGCGAAGAAGTTGGCGGTTGTCAACGGTGATGATGATCGGTTGCCTGCTTTTGAGTTGCCGCAGCCGCAGCAAGCCCAGCCACGACAGATCATTGCGGAGCTTGACGGAGGTGAGGTTCCGCAGTATCGTGGGGTTCTTGGTGTCGGGCGGTAGAAGGGTTGGGTGTGGGCGTTCGATTATTTGGTTCTCCTGAACCGGTCTACTACGCCACGAATATAGGTAAGGTGGAGGGATAAACGGAAAGCAGAGCGGGTTGGAATGAGTTTGACAACAAACGTTATTGACGGGACATGGTGGGAGGCAGAATTTATGCCGTGACGGAGAGTAACACTGTATTTCTTTCTTGTCAGCCATTCATCGATATTTAATTCTGTACGAATCTCAGTTTGGAAACTTGCATGCATTTTCAGAAAACAGACACCCCACCTTCAAGTGCCACACGCCCTCAACACTGCCTCTCGTACCGCCTGGTCTATTCCATCGTTGGCAGCTAGAAACTTCTCCGCCTCCTTCCCTATCGCCTCTCGCGGAACATCCCCAAGCCTAGACATCTGCCCCTTTGTCCCACCCAACAGCCAGTTGCGGTTCGAAAGCCACGCAGCAAGACCCTCGGTAAAGCACGCTTCAATGATGAGATACTGCCAGCTGACATCCGGGTCCGAATGCACATGCCTCATGACCTGGGCCAACGACCCACGCTCGGGATGGTCATGGCCGGCGATAAGTGAGGCAAGATGCATCCGGACCAAGTGTCGGTCGACAATGAGGCTTGGGGATGGGTGCAGATACTGCACAGCAAAGGTCGATAAATCTATATCACTCGGGAGTTGGGACACTGGCTCGATGGGCGAGTCCGGTTCGGTGGCCAAGAATCGTGGTAACCGAAAGGCTAGTTGTAGCGGGAGGATCCTGGCAGACGTCCAACCGATAAGACTAAAACTGTCAGCTTCGTCATCACGCCCGGTAAGTAATTTAAAGAGCCGTACAAGACTTACCCTGTGATGTTGTAGTCCGAGTCCACGATAATGTTACGGGCAGCGAGATCCTCATGTGAGATGGCGTAGATGGGGGGCTCGAACTCAAGGCTCCTATGGACCGCATGCTGCAGCAATGCACGGTGCTCGAGACAGTCGATAATAGTAATGGAAGGCTCTTTACCATCCACAACGCGCATAATCTTCCGATCTACAGTTTGACATAAGCACTCGTAAGTTGAAGATCCCACGGCTACAGATAGCACGAGTATTAGCCCAGGGAAACATAATAATTAGTGGTCAAAAGCTACATACATGCAACTTTGGTACATTCGGCCAACTCTAACTGGATATTGACCACTTGACGCATAATCTTTTCTCTGCACTGAGGCTCTGACGGTGATGTATCGGTCCACTCAAGAGCTGTGCCAGGAATCCAGCTGAGCACCAGGTAAGGGGCCTTGATTGGATTGTTATGCCCAACATCGTGATGTATGAGTTTGGGAGACCTTTGAAAACCAGATTCGTGGAGCACGGTAAACGTCGTCGCTTGTGATTGCGCAAGGGATGCCACCGAGTCAGCCGTCGAACTCGTGTCATCTTGGGCGAAAACATGAAATGCCCAGGCGACCTCATCGGGAAATCTCAAGGCGTATATCAGAGAGCCGCCCCCCATAAATGGCCTCACGTCGGTACCGAAACAAAGACTTGGCCAAGTTCTATCGTTACGGAGGGCTGAGGCGAGCGCTAAGATATCACCAGGCGAGTAGGACGAAGGCGACATGGTAATGCGGGCCGTCTGTGTTGATTAATTTTACCTGGGTAGTTAATTGCCCACAAACCTCTCGGTCACATCGGTCGCATAACGATCCGTTTAAGATCCCATAGAAACGAGAGATCAGATGAGCAATAAAAACATATTGGCGCTTGGATTCAATAACGCCACCAGAAGCAGAAGTATCTGAATTTCAATGTAAAAAATGGCGAAAAGGAAGAACCGTAGATTTGGCGAAACATGTTGGGAAAAACTAAGTTCATCGCCGATCGAGCAGGAACAAAAACAGCGCTTAAACAACGGTTACATTTTGCCTAGAGCCCCCGCTCTTCCATCGTCGTGGGCTCGACCGGCATCCATTGGGTTGATGCCCGAACGATGGTGGGCGATTTCAGATCGGGGGATCGAAATCGAGATTTGGGGGAGCTTCGAGAACGGAAGCGATCAGTTCAAACAGCAAGAACAGCTGCCGAGCCAGAGCTGCCAAGTGGCTTCAGCTGTCACTCGCGTAAATTATTGATTGGCCAAGGTCCTGATAGCAATCTGCCACGTGAAGAATGCTCAAACCACCGTGCGGAAAATTAGTTGACTTTCCCCTTTCAACATCACAGACAGTCCACGTCGCGCTCCTTGCCCATTGCACTTACAGCTTACACGCGCGCATCCAAAACGGGAATTCAGGATTCAAAGGACGATCCCGGGCTAAGATGTCTCAACCAGACCATCGGCTGCAAATGCAGCAGATGCAATACACGATGCACGCGGTGCCTCAACAACAACACCAACAGCAAACACGGCCAGCCCAGGGTGCGCGTCGCTCTCAAATGCAGCAGCAGCCGTCACAACACCAAGCCCAATATCAACAACCATCGCAAGTGCCCACCCAGCAACAGCAACAACAGCCTCAACAGCAACAGCCCCAGCAACAACAACAAATGGTTCCACAACAACATCAACAACCCCAACAGCAACAGCAACAGCAGGAACAACAGCCGCGCCCCAACTTCCAAATGGCCCTGCAACCCCCGCCTCAGGACCGACTGTACAACACCTGGGACGACCTGCGCGAGGACGTCAAGTCCTTCACCCGGGCCCAGGGCTACGCCATGGTCGTAATCTCATCTCTCAACCGGGACGCCAACGGCCAGTACCGGCGCTACAACATGTGCTGTTCCAAAGGCGGCAAAACCTACGCCTCTCACAGCCGGGGCCTCCGCACCACCCGGTCAACCAAAACCGGCTGCCCCATGCGCCTCAAAGCAATCCAAGAAAAAGCCTACCCCTTCAACGACAAATGGCACGTGATCGTGCAATGCGGCGAGCACAACCACGAGCCCTTCACCGGCGGATCGGGCGCCCCCGTGCCGGCCCAGTTTCGCAAGATCGAGAACGACGGCATGCGCTGGCTGATGATTATGCAGCGCGAGGCGCAATGCAACCTGCGGCAGCTGACTATTGGTCTGCGCATCTCCTTTGGCGACAAGTACCAGTATGTCAAGAAGAGCGACGTCCGCAACCAACTGGCCAAGATCAAGCGCGAGGAGGACCGTAAGGCCGCTGCTGAGGCTGCTGCCCTGGGCTTGCCTGCCGATGCTACGTACACTATCTTGCCGCAGGCGCACTTGCCGCCGCCTCCGCCTGCGCCGGAACAGCCGATTGAGCGGATGCCCCAGCTGCCGCCGGATATGCAGGTGCCTGATCCGGATTTGGAGTCGGATGATGATATTGATGAGATGTGAGGGGAGTTGGGAGTTGTAAGATTGTTAAGCTATGCGTTGTTGCCACGGCCTAGATGTATAGGCCCAAGGGCTTTAACCGTGTACGGAGTGGGGGTGAAGATTGTCCTGTTGTTGACAAGGCCGCCGTCTTGAAGTTACGTTTTGAGCCGTCTTATTTGTTCTAAAAGTTACTTCTTAATACACAAGGTGCGCGTCAGCAGGCGTTGGCATCAACGGTTACTTTTCTGACTTCCTTGGGTGGCTAGGCTGGGGCTTTTACTTCGGGCATGATCTGATGTTACCGGAAATGGTCCGTGGCGTAATGTAGTGCGTACTCGAGTCAACCCACGTAAAGAATGAATCAAGTTGTTTCGAAATGAATCAAGGAAAAAGCCTTGGTAATGGATGCCCACTACGTCCCAAATACCTAAGGCTAGTAGGATACGTCAGTTAGCGAATGTAGGCAAGGAAAATAAGAAAAGATAAGCCACAAGCAGAGGTATAGTAAAGACGACCCGAGAAACCGTAACCCAAGAGACACCCGATATCCAACACCAACAAGAGGAACGCTCCCCAACCGCCCCCAACCCAACACAAGTTAACCGCTGCCAACCCAGGCCGCAACAGGGAGACAACCAAGTCCCCTCTTCTTTTCTTCTTAACGGTCCATCACAAGGAAAGGTGTTAACCATCAATACCAACTCCTCCGACATCCCCCTTCCCCCCATCCAACCTCCCATCTAAGAATTAATACCCTCCCCCTATCCCCTCCTCGCCCTCCTCCTCATCCACCTCCAACCCCTTTCACCCCATCCATACCAACCACCGCCACCCGACCACCCGTCCCCCTCCCCTCACAGCTCTTCGCATGCCGCTTACGGTTATCCTTGCGCATCAACCGCCCACACAACTCACACGCCACCTCCTCGGCCCAGTACGCCCGGTTGGCGCGTGCTTCGGGGAGGTCGGAGTGGGCGGCGCGTACGTGTCGCGCCAGCCCCTTGAACTGGGCGGCGCCCTTGAAGCTGGTACAGAAGGGGCATTTGTCTGGGCGCGTGTGGTTGCGCATGTGTTTCCTGTTGTGTTTGAAAGAGCAGTGGTTAGTTATTTTGTGCTTTAACGCTGGCTTGGAATTTTATATGGGCTTTTGAGGGTCGTGGTTTAGGAAAGGGGGTTTGGTTAAGAAAAGGGGTAGCTAGAGGAACTGGGTATGGTGCGTCGGGATTTGTAGAACATGGTCAGGGGTAAATGTGCCAAACCAAAAGCATAACATACCGAAGCTTGCATTCAAGAAGAAAAACCTTCTTCTTGCTCTTGCAACCGGGATATGTGCAGCGGAACTCCTTCGGGCGGGTAGTTGGGGAGTGGTCGCTCTCCTGGGCAGAAATGGGTGTCTCCGGGGGACCCGGCTCGGGCGTAGAAATCGTAGGAGCCACAGAACTAGGACTCAAAGGATCGGCGAAGGAAGTAGTCGAATAATCAGAAGGCGGAGGCGTCATGATGCCGGCGCTCGCAGAAAAAGGCGAAGAAAAAGACTGTGAGGAGCTGTCGGAGTTGTCGACATCGTTGAAATCGCCAAAAGGAAGGAAATCCTGGGTGAGGCCAACAGCCCCGCCGGGCGCTTGTTGCTGCTCGAGCACAAGCTGAGAGAAGTCGTCTGCAAAGGAAGGGCTGGCTGGAGCAGGCTCAAAACTCGTGAAACTGCTGAAATTGCTGCTTTCCAGAGCACTACCGGGCATACTGCCATGCGTGTTGGGAGGACCCTATAGGGTCCAGGCGTAACAGCCCTGACGGGGAGCTACACACGCAACGGCTTCATGAGCGGAAATGTCTGGGACACAGCTGCTTGGGCCATCAAAACTAGTGGACGCAAATTCGAGCGAGTTGGTGGGTTCGCCACCACTGAACAAGAGCGCTTGTTGGTGGTCAAAGACCGAAAAGTCCTCGAGGAGCGGGATTTGCGGCCAGTCAGCGCTCGAGTCAGAGGTGGGAAGGTCCATTCCACGTCGTTCTGCGGCGTCGGGCGTGGGTGTCTGGAGTCTCAACTGCTGCGGGTTGACCGTGAGACTGTCCTCAGTGCCGTAGGCCGCAGTGCAGTTAAATTGATGGGTCTCCGACAAATCCGACACTTGGCTGGGTTGCGCAAGGCCAGGTGCGCTGTCGGTATAAAACCACATCGGGGGACCCAGACCCTCCACCTCCCCGTAAGACGGCGCGGGACCAATCCCGGTACCATCGTTCCCATCGTCGTCCCTCTGCCACATCGACCCCCGCGCATCTGACGGGCTGCTTTTCGCTCCTCCGTCAGCTTTGCCCGTGATCCCGCCGTCGGGAAGCCGGTAGGTGATCTGTTGGGCTTGACTTACATGGGGAGTTCCATGACCTCGGGTACCTAGCTGGCTAGGACTCTGCGATAGAGCCCGCGAGACACCAGGTGACGAAGCGAGGGCCAGTCAAACCGGGATCCCGGGGGGCCGGTTCCCAATTCGGGTCGAGACAAACTAGCTAATCTTTCTCCACTCAGAGGGTGAACACCAGATCGCCGCCGGTGCGACGACGGTTCTCGTGGGACTTGTGAACGTGAACGCCGAAGGGGCTGGATGGAGCAAGGGGGGCCAAGAAGCAACCGAGCAAGCGAACAAGGGCGGGCAAGCAGCTCGGGCGTGCGGCGAGAGGACACACGCACTGGCCACAGCGGCAATTCTCACCCTAATATCCTAGACCCGTTCGAGTGTCGTGCGGTGGTGTCCAGTCCGCAGACGGGCACGGGAAGGGGTGCCGCTGGGGAGAGATGCGGCAGATGCCTTGAGGTTCGCGGACAACCTCCCACAAACACCAGCAGGCGAAGCAGTAAAGGGTTGCCAAGAGCTGTAGTGAGGCCTGCCATACCCGCTTTTTGAGGACTACCATCGTCCGCCCAACACAAGGGTCCCATTGGTTGATGAGACCCTCACCCCCCCTTTCGTCACCAACCAGAGCTCGGAGGCTGTCAAGGTGGGCCGCGAGGCAGTCTGGCTGGGCTCTTCAAAAACCGAAACATGCCGTCTGTTGGAACACGTTGGAACTGGAAAGACGTTGAGTCTGCCTCCCGTTTGGTTTGAGGACGTTATCGGGGGCTGATCCAGCATGGCCGGCCGCAGTTTATTCGAAAGCCTCGTCTGCCTCTTTGGCTGATCCGCTGGCCGTGTAACCAGTCATGCATTCGAGAGGCTTATTTGGGCAGAAGCCAAACACGGAGGCAGTCGGACTATGATGTCGAAAAGGGTGGGCCTCTGTTTGAAAGATGGTTTCTTATAAACCCGCCTCGCGAGTCGATATCCATGGGTGAGGGGAACCCTAGGGTCCGCAACCTTGGTCCTTTCTCAATTCGACTCTCAAGGTTCAATCAAACCCCTCAGATAGCGCGGCAGCTAAGCGCAATTTTCCCCGCTTTGGCGCTTCCACTCCCAGCTTCGACCAATTCACGTCCGCGACGATGTCGGCGACAAATGACGCCGACGGGTTCGACCCAGCTTTCTTATCACCGAGCTTGCGAAAACGATTTTATGAGCCAATCATCTTGCTGGATGTTCTGGGGTCCATCTACAGGAACAATGTCGTCGATGCACCGGACCTTGAAAGCGACTGGGGCAAACCCCAGCAGCAACAGTACTTTGTTTTCCTAAACAAACTGGCTCAGATTTGCGACAGCCAAAAGGGAGATTTGGGCAAAACCTGTACCGCCATCGTGATCCTCGACTCCGGTACCCTCGAATACCGCTTGGCGTCCAATCGGCGGGATGAGCACGAACTAAACACGGCCCGGGACTACCTGAAAGGCATTCTCAATGACCTTCGAAACGTTTCCGATTCCGAAATCAACCAGGCCAAGGCGAAGAGAGCCATCTTCTCCAAGATTCTGCAGAAAGTTCTTGCGTTCAACCGCCCCCGCCTGGAACATTACCTCAGGAAGCTGCTCTCTAAGTTACAGTTTTGCATTGATTATGCTGCCGACGACGAAGCCGAAGAAGGTAGGCAAAATCGAGCCCCATAAAGGTTGCTGTTGACCCCCCGATTTGAGAATGACATGTTGACTTGCCGCTTTGAATAATAGGCGGTCATGTTAGTCAGGCGCTCGAGCAACTGCGGCCACGCATTGAGGCAGCATTGACTTCCCTCCCATCGAGGGGTGATGAGTGTAAGTCCTGGGACCCGGGTTGAAACCGCGATATGAAGTCACCGTGCATCTCGAGAGAGGCTTTTCCTGACAGAGACCTAGTTGCCCGGCACGTCGAACCCCTGCTGCGCACCATCAACAAATCTTACGGATCCCCCCTCGATGGCTACATGAAGCGGAGACCCCAAGACGCAGATAGCCCCTGGAACGATGTCCGCCACGCGCTAGGTCGACTCCTGTCATACTTCATCGCCATCAGGGTTATCATTGTTGCGCGCTCGAATTGGCCACGGCTCTTTGAGGACTTCGAAGTCACCACCATCCCTTCTACCGAGCCACTGGACGACCCGCCTGATGTCCGACGCACCGCAAAGGGCATACTGCAGCGCATGTCCAATAAGAGCAACCTCGAGTTGTACATGTCTCACGCAAAGACGCTGGAAGATCAAAGCATCAACAAACTCATCTCCAAGCGTGTGCGCCCCGACCGATTCCAGCCAATTGTACACGCCGAGACCAATCTGTTAGCCTCGGTGTTGAGATCGCAGGCGATGCCAGATCGTGATGGGCCGCTTCGCTTCTTCAACCAGGCCGAATTCGGCATGTACATTGGGGCATCGAAGCCGAGCTGCAAACTGTGTAAGCTATACTTCGATGCACATCCGTCCGGAGTAAAGTGTCGCGACACGCACGGCAACCTGTACCCCAATTGGCGAGCACCTGACCTGGACGGTGCCCGTTTCGAAAAGGACCGGAATCAAATCCTCGAACGCATGGTCAAAGACATGCGGAATCAGGTCGACAGCGCCCTTCACAGCCATTCCTACCCCGGTCGCCGAAACGACTCCCGTGACACGCCGACAAACCCGTTATCGGATACGGTAATGGAGGTCCACTTCTTCAGCGAGATTGACGACGTGGCCAGTCGAATGGGAAACTTGAGCGTGGCATCAGTACGAGCAGGTAGCGGAACTAGCAGTGTCAGCGGACTTCTCAGAGCTCAGGCCCAGGGCCTCGACTCGGCGTCGACAACAGGGCAAGCCGACGACGACCACGATGGCTCTCGTGAGACGACACCCCAACCAGTGACCCCGAAGCGCGGGGTGGCCGTGGACAACGTTGATGGCGATAGCGATGAGGAGGAGGATGATGATGATGATGACGACGACGACGATGACGATGACCCCGACAACGAAAAGGGCGGCGCGCTGCTCTAGGTGTGATACTAGCACATGGTGATGGAAGTATCTTGCGATTTTTTTCGACTTGTCCCCGTCGCGAGACAGGCAGGTGGCACCCTATGTAATATAAATCAGTTTTTGGAAATTCCTACCAAGGAAGGAGCATTCCCCGCCCAACAATTCCAGCTGATAAGTGATCCTACTGTTGCAAGTGAAGTATTGAATGAACCATGGGTGTCACCCAAACCCCCTTTCAAACATCTGGTCTAATTGTCTAATTAATTAGTTGGTATCTTATTTGTGGCCCTGTCGCAAGCCAACTTGGGAATTACCCAACCGACCTTCACATCCCATTCGGCCGCCTACTTCCCATGGCCCAACGCATCGACCACTTGCCGCAACCACCACACGTGTATTCTGATATCATTCGTCAGCTCCGGGTGGAAGCTGGTCCCAAAGACATTCCCCTGCCTCACGGCGACGATATCTCCTTTCTCTGCTTCCCCTCCCTGCTCCAGCCGTGCTTGTTGTCCCTCTGCCCGGAACACACCCAGAACCTCCACCTTCGATCCTTTTGACCCATCAACCTCTCCCTCAGTAATGATCTTCTCCACGATAGGTGCCCGGATAAACACCGCTCTGAACGGGTCGTCTTTCCCACTGTCTCCGAGGAAGCTCAAATCCAACCCGGCCACAAAGCTCTGCATCTGCGTGCCGTAACGGTTGCGGAGCACCCGAACGTTCAGACCCCCTATCAGTTCCTGTCCGCCCTGCTTCGTTGCCGCTGCTTCCTCTGCTAACATGACCAAACCGGCGCAAGTACCCCAGACCGGTTTGTGTTGGACCCTATTGTACCCCGCGAGTCAGCATTGTATTCAACCGTCGCAAGAGGAGAAAGGTGCGAGGGCGTGGAAGAAGTAATTAGAAAATGTTTATGGAACATACTTGACAAACGTTCGCAGCGGCTCGAGCAAGCCTAGTCTGCTGGCGACAATGGCCATGGTAGTGGATTCGCCGCCGGGTAGTATGAGGGCATCGCATTGGGCGAGCTGTGGTGGTGTGCGCACCTCATTGAAGGTGAATTGGAGGTTATCGGCGGACTGGATATGGGCAGAAGCCTTGCGGAGGAGGTTGAGATGCTCGACAACGCCGCCTTGGAGGGCGAGCACTCCAACGGCAATGGGTTTGTTGACCATCGTGGGCTTCCGGGGGGGAAGTAGTGGGGAGGTGTGTTTGCGTGTGTGCAAGATGCAGGAAGTTCCAAGATCAGGAGGGCCGTTGGCGTTTGCAGGGCCTCCCTTATCGTGTGCCGGGATAGATAACAGCGTGGGTGTCCGTCAAGGTGTTGCCTGCGGGTTCACCAAAACAGTCACACAAGCTGTTGGTGGTCGATGGTCATCACGGCCGCCGTTCGTCGGGATCTCAGGGCAGGAATGTCACTCGGAATCTTGCGGCTACGGGCGGCATAATGACCAATTGAATGATAAAATGCCTCGCCACGGAATGTGTTTTGCAACGACATCGGCGCGCCCGGGCGGGAAAGCGGTTAACGAAGAGGAGAAAAATACGCGTTTGCCCCGCGGTTTCGAAATTCACACTGTGCTTAACCCCTCCAACGTTGCAGCAGCAGTGGAAATAAAGTTAGGACCGGCTAGGGTCTTTGTGATCGCCCCGATAGCACACCTTCCCCAAAGGTGTGACTGAGTGAAGGAACGGCTTACTGCCGGCTGATCCGGCGGTCTTGTTAAGGGCGTCCAAAATAACCTTGGAGAGGTGATGAGAGAGATAACCCGGTCCCGAGTCCAGGTGCAATTAATTGTATAGCTATGGATCGGAATTGAGAACCCATCCCTCAATGGCGCAACCCGCGGCCCCCCGCCATCGCAGAGAAAAGCAAACCCCCCTGCCACACCTCCATGCCCGCGGACCACGGGCTCTCGTCTTCTGAAGTTGTGCTTGCCGAGCCGCCAAGCGTCAGCCCTCGCCGCCGTTCCTGGTGAAGCTCCGGTTCGGAGGCGGGGCGCGCGCAGGGGTGATCCCACTGAACACCGGGGTTTAAGATCGCACCGTGAGAGAAATACTGTGCAATTGCCCCTCCATCTCATTCCACATCTGTGAGAATCTTCGAGGGGGCCAACCAAATGACTGACTCACGCAATTCCCTTTCAGATGTGAATGGATTTAGTCATATCCAGACTTCTGGATCAATACTTCTCCGGGACCTTAGTTCTCTGCTCCATCTCACATCCCCGCGATACCCCAGACGACCTCACCCTTGAGAAGCCAGAAAACATTAAAACTCCAAGTTTCTCCAGTCATTCTTAGCAAAAAAACGTCAGTTTTGCCTATCAGAGGGAATAGAAGAGAAAACTGACCAAAGCAAAAAAGAAATCAGCAAAAATGGCCACCAACCTTCACCCTACCACAAACGGCACCACCAACGATGACTTCACTGTCAAGGCCGGTCTCGCCCAGATGCTGAAGGGCGGCGTGATTATGGACGTCACAACCGCCGCCGAGGCCCGCATCGCCGAGGAGGCCGGTGCCGTCGCTGTCATGGCTCTGGAGCGGATCCCGTCCGACATCCGCAAGATGGGTGGCGTGGCGCGCATGTCGAACCCCGAGATGATCCAGGACATCCAAAAGGCCGTGACCATTCCCGTTATGGCCAAGGCCCGCATCGGCCATGTGGTCGAGTGCCAGATCCTCGAGGCCCTCGACGTGGACTACATCGACGAGAGCGAGGTGCTCACCCCGGCTGACGACCAATTCCACGTCCAGAAGTCTGACTTCAAGATCCCCTTTGTCTGCGGCTGCCGCAACCTCGGCGAGGCCCTCCGCCGCATCAAGGAAGGCGCCGCCATGATCCGCACCAAGGGCGAGGCCGGAACCGGCGACATTGTCGAGGCCGTCAAGCACATCCGCACCGTCAACGCCGACATTGCCCGCGCCAAGGCCGCTCTCGCCGCCGGCGGAGACCTGGCCATCTCCGCCCTCGCCCGTGAGATCGGCGCCGATGTCGCCCTACTCAAGCAGACCGCCGAGCTTGGTCGTCTCCCCGTTGTCAACTTTGCTGCTGGGGGAGTGGCTACCCCAGCCGACGCCGCACTGATGATGCACCTTGGCTGTGACGGTGTGTTCGTTGGCAGCGGCATCTTCAAGGACGCCGAGACACCTGAGCATGCGGCTAAGCGTGCCCGTGCTATCGTCAAGGCTACCGCCCAGTACACTGACGGGAAGGCGCTTATAGCGGCCAGCATCGAGCACGGCGAGGCTATGCGGGGTATTAGCAACGCTGGCCTCAAGCCCGAGGAGAAGATGGCTGGTCGGGGTTGGTAAGGGCTGCACGAAGAGTTGGGCAATGGAGTTGAGTCGGTTGTCATTTGCCAGAAGGGGACCAGGCGTTATTTTCTGGGGTTATAAAAACTGGAGGCTTGCTTGAAACCATTCACCACGGGTAGCATAGGCGCTTTTATAAAGATCGAGCCTTAGAGATACGACGAGTTCCTGTTCCACACAGAACTCTGTCTCGGCTGGCAACACCGTTTACGGACACAACTGCTTGTTTTCTCGATTTCTTGCGGATGATTTGATGAATTGTATACCACGATCCAAGTGTACCTATTTTCCCAATCGTGTTTCGGCCCGGAGTACATTCGAGGCTAACCCATGATAATAACTCGATGCCACCCGCCCACGGACGCCTCGCATTTAACGCCAATAATTCGCAGGTCTGGTGCCAGATTCGACGGCACGCCGGTCATCATTCTCCCCGCGAAGTCACGAAATCGATCTGGCCGTCACCTGTCTGGCCAAGCTCTCCGTCCTTTCCGAAGCCCCGTCGCTTCGTAACCACGGGTAAGGGCCGCTGTTGTACCCTTCTCCAACATCCTCATTCGTATCGGGCCCCCTTCTGTTCCCAACCGGTAATACTTCCTTCCCAGCACCTTCTCCTATCGACCGCTGTCGATGATGGATGCCCCCCGACGTAACACCCCCTGTGCCGTGATACGCAACCCCTGAACCCGTCTGGCGCCCAGGTACGTCCCTGTCCCCGGCCACAGGCCCCATCTCGATAATAGCATCAGTCCCAGTTGTCAAGTGCGCCTCTTGTCGCCCCGAATACAACGGCCGTGTCGGCCTCGAGCCGATCGTGGGCGGGGAATGGTGATTGTTGGCACCAGAACTAGTTCCTTCCCCGGAGCTCGCATCGAGGCTCCGCAGGGCGAAGAAGTTTGGGAAAATCTTAGCGGCGAGCGGTTTTAGGGTCATGGCGCAGGAGACGGCGATGGCGGTGTGTACTTCGATGGCAGTCCAGTAGGTCAAGGAGCTGCTTGCGTGGGTGAAGTCCGGGTTGACGTGGCTCTTGGCGTCGATGAGGATGACGAGGCGGATTAGAGAAACGAGGCAGACACTGGTTGATGGAAAGTGGTGTTAGTTTAGTTGTGAACGGGTGCTTCCTCTGAAATCTGTGGGCACTTACAAAAATCCGACCGCGAAAATGCACATCACGATGAGCTTTTGACGCTGCGGAAGTTTAAGGGGCAGAACGATTGGGACGGGAAGGAGAAAAATTAACACGTCGGTTACAATGATGATGCTGATGGAGCCGATGCGTTAGTGTTGTTTTCGGCAACAGAGCTTTTTATGGGAGGAAGGGGAGACGAACTATGTATTTACCCACCATGTCTTGTCATTATGGCAAAACGTAGGCACGATGGATAAATCCCAAGTTGCTTGTAGCGGGATGCAGAAGGTGAGTGTGATGGAGACGGCCCATAGGTTGGTTATCACGACAAAAATGAGGACGGCGTAACAAGCTCGGCGGGCCCATGTAAGGGTAAAGATGTTGAGATAGAGCAGGCAGATGGAAACCTTGGTCAAGCCCATAGAGAGGACATAGAAGAGCAGTGAGAACCACCATCCCTGTTTCCGTGACAATGGTTAGCCATGTTATCGGGCTGAGTAGAACAAGTACTATCTAATAGCGGGATTTGGGTCTACCTCCATCCGGTGAGGCCAATGAGCCCAGAAGTCTATGTCGTCTATGTCATAGGTGTGTCGGCCAAGGTCATATCGAACCTCTTGTGTAGGGTGAGTAAGTATCTCGATTTGCAAAGGGAGTCGAGTAAATAACTACAGGGCAAAAGCTCACGCTGAACATAGCTGCCGCACATTCCTGCAGCCGCTAACTATCCGCCAAAGGGTTAGAATATCGAGCTGTATGTACCTGCGGGTGTGAAATGGCCTACGAGTGACAATAAGATACACCAATCGGCTGCCCCCAGCTTATGAACGATCTTCACCCGCGTCCAGAACCTCATCATCACGAAGATGGAGGCAATCGTCCAAGTCGTCCATGTTGCTACCAGAATGTTGGGACCGGTGTTGTCGTGGGGCAAGCTAGCCGCCGAAGAACCATGGTCGGGCCCTCCTGGCGCTGCTGGACTCATGAGGATTGGTGTGGCATCGGGACTTTAATGTTTTGCTTAGAACCCGCCTTCCACCTTGATTTGGTTGGCGGCCGCCTTTGCCGTCAGTAAATGTCGGTGGAAAAGGGGGAACCGTGACCAAGGCGGCATTGGGCTGCCGTGTGGTGGCCGTCGTGGGGTGTCGCCGATGTGGTCTGATAGTGCTTGACAGCCGCGCGTGGTCGTTTCAACGTTAAATGAACAATACGTGCTCGAGAGCAAGCCCTCAAAAGAAGAAAATCCCAGGACCGGGCGATCCGGTGGGTACTATGTAGAGCGGTCGTTGGGGAATCTCGCATGGGACGATGACCTCGCATTCGAGTCCCCAGTCGGTGTGGCTGTCGGATGCTCATCCGGTGTGCTCCACTTCGGAATAGCTGCATCAAGTGGCTCACATCGCGTAACAGACCGGCCCGGAAAGGTCTTAACTCCCTTTTGAGGGATACCTGATCGAGATTTGGGACCGCGCAGCAATTGCTTTGTTGCTCTCCCATTCCATTCGGCTAACCGAGGTTTGGTGGGCGTGCATCTCTCTACATATCATCTTTTGAAAACACGGCGGAGCTGTTTCTCAAAGTTCGACACCCCATTCTTGTAAGGAGTCCCGCCGCGCAACGTGACATCCCATGACGAAACAATTGCAGGGCAGTGATGGTCTTGGCCGCCTTGTTGCCGGCGAGCCAAGCCATCGTCGCGGTTTCTTTTTTGGACAACGCCGCGGGAACAAGGCGGGGGGGCGCGTGGGAGATCATTTGGTTTCGGCGATCTCCCTCTGAAGCGGAGGGGTCTTATTGATAGGATTTGGGGGAACCGGTGAAAGAGCCCACAATGCATCGGGCCTGATTCGGTTTGACCTTGCCTCCTTGGGGCTTCGTCTCGGAGTTTTCTTAGCCGGGCGTCTTTTGTTGCGCACCGTGAGGTCATCGTGTTCGTGTCACACCCTTTTCTCAGCAGCTTCTCCAGCGGAATGCCATCTCGGGCCGTCGCACTAGCGTTGCAGCCGTCAACGTCCGTCCATCAGGATATTGGGTCCTTGGCACGGTTCCGGGCCCGGCGTTAACTCGTTCGTTAGTTAGCGCACATGTCTCGGGCAATGAACCTCCCTTTGTGGACGCTGAAACCCTAAAACAGTCACATCGAGGGATTGTGAGAAGCTTCACACCAACCAAGCGGTGTTTTGTGGTGTTGATATTTTCCGGCGTCTCGCGCTTGGCGGGCAATTGCCCCTTACCACGCCTCGATTGAAGCGAGGATGGCGTTGCGTGAATTCCATCTCGGAGCTTGGCTAGTGTAGACATCTCGTCGGTCCGGCATCAACTGCAAGACAGAACCACCTAGTGTGGAGGTTCATTGCCCGGCTGAACTTTATCCGAGACGCGGTCGCGGTTTTGTAGCGTGACTCCCGTCCCGCTCCAGCATTTGTTGCAAGCCCCACTAAAATTTCCAGCGCCGCGGGGCATTTGCAGGTCGCTCTGATCCCGCTTTGACTGGTAACTAACATTGACAAAAGCTGTGCAGCTTGACAACCTGAAAATAAACCTCCCTCAAGAGACTGATTTCAGCGAGTTGTTAAAAGTTGTTCAAGTAATAACTTTGCCCCCTACTGGCGTTTACTTTTGCGTCAATTGCGTCAATTGGAACAGTTAACCGATACCACGGCCGATACCATGTCGGCAAACCCTCGAGGCCCTTCAGACGACGACGACCCCATCGTTGCAAAATACTCCGTCTTCGTCAAACCCTCCCTCACCGAGCACCGGAATCTTGTTGTGCTACAATATGTAAACAAGACCGCCCAAGATCCGGCTCAGGTACGCGTGCCGCGCATCGCCGAGCTGCGTATGAAACCAAGCACCGGGATGTACGAGGTCGACATACCACTGGACACGACCGAAGCATACGACAAGAACAAGGGCGTAGCGTGGGGCACATCACTTCAGAAGTCAATGGAGGCCAAGAAAGGAGGCAGTCTGGGCTTAGCGGGGGGCTTCAACATTGTGCCGACTTCGTCCACTGCCCGCGGCCGTCGAGGGGTTGCCGGCCATAACGACGACGAAGGGCCATTGACCTGGGCTGAGGCGACGAGACAAGACAAGGTCCTACGCACACAAACATTTGGAGGCGGACAGAGTGCAGAGGAGGAGAATACCCGCCATATGATTGGTGTTTTTCAAGGGAGTAAGTCAGCGGGCCTCTCGCTTTCATCCACCCGCCCAACTTTACTAACCGAATAACCTTTCCCACCCAGAAAACCTCCACCTCACCCCTGTCTCCTCAACCATCCACCTCCGCCCCGTCCCACACCACATCGACGCTTCCACCGAGCAAGAACGCCTCTCCCGCGCACCCACAGCAGCGGCGGCCGCTGCCGCCGCCGCCGCCGCCAATGGAGCTGACAAACCGGGTGCCTCTGCCGGCCGAGCCATCCACATGACCATTAAATCCGCTATGGATGCTGACGGCGGCGTCGCGACGGAAACCATGGCCGACCGCCTGCGCAACGTGCAGACCGAGACCTGGCAGCGCATGGAGTGGGTGCATGATGAGGCCGAGATGGCCTGGGAGGCGTACAACGAGTGCCTGTTGCTTCGGTCGACAGGCGGTGATGCTGCCGGTTCATCTGAAACGGGGCCAGCTGGGAAGGGCAAGGAGGTAGCCGGTGCTGGTACTAGTGGTGTTCAAGAGAGAGCCACAGGAAACAGCCTCGATGAAAGCAGCGCGGCGGATTTGGTGGACAAGGTGTCCAGGCTGCGGACAGACTGGGAAGAGCAGGAACTGCTACAGGCTGTCAGCAAAGCGGGTTCTGCTGCCGGCGAAAAGGGCGGTCGCAATGACGAGAAGTCGGTGGGCGTGAAAGGCGAGACGGCAGCCGGGCGGGTACAGCCAGCGTCGGAGGCACAGAGAGTGTCGAGTGAGCGCCCAGGAAGAGCCACCGGAGCGAATGCCCCCACAGCGAGTTCCGCTGGCCCAAGGAAGTCGACACGAAGGGGTGCGACGAAGGGCACGGCGATGGAGATAGACTAGCCGGCAACTATGGCTTGCAAAGGGAAGTGTCAAAGCCGGCATCGCTCAGTGTTTAGCACATTGTCATATCAGTAATTAAAGCAAACACAAATCCTATGCTATAATGGCGGCTGTCATTTGACGAATCTTGCTGCTATTTCGCGCACAATGTTGTACGCTGAAAATCATTGTGTCCATTTTTGCTATGTGCCCGTATATCGACGGGTAAACCAGAAACGATGTAAGCCATATATCTCATGCACCTCGGTATCTCTGCCAGCTGTCCCCTAGTGTCTGCGTCCTTTACCCATCAATGAGGGTTCCACCCATAAATATGTTCATAATACATCACCAGCCATCTTTCCATGTGCCTTCAATGTAATTATAATTTTATCGCCCGCTTGCTTTTTGATGCGACCCCCGTAATCATCCACCGCCCTTTACTGGAGCAATTCCACATCTAGGCCGATCGAGCGCATGAACAAATTGACGTTCTGGAGGCGCTGAGCGGCGAGATCCTGGGGAAGTGTCTTGGACAGGGCGACGGTATCCATCACGCGGTCCTTGACGGCCAGAACAAGCCTCTGCTGTTGGTCAGGGCTGGCGCCAATACCAAGAGCGGCGAGAAGTTGCCAGACGTAAATGTCGTCGCTGGTTGTGACAGGGCCGGGGAAGGTGTGTGGGAGCGAAGGCTCGATGAGATCAAAGAACTGGGTGTGAGTCACGTCCCTAGAAAGCTGTCAATAAAGCGGTGGTCGCGGCTGGGATGGGGGGAGGGGGGCTCACCAAGAGTGCCATGCTTGTTCGCTGCCGCCACCACCATGCTTGATAATCTCGGCCCGGCTCAAGATCATGGTGAGCATAGAAGCACCAACTCGGCTCTTGGCAATCACATCGACATTGCGGCTGCAGACCAATCCCAGCATGCCGGCCACAAGGTCCAGATCAAGCTCGTTCAGGATGTTAAACAGAGTAGACATGACTGCGACTATGAAGAGCTCGACGTTCTCACGCATAGCTGCATTCGGTTGCGGGGAATCCGGCGTCACTTGGGCGCCGCGTACGACGTCCAAGCTATCCAAGTTGACGAGAATGAGAGTCAAGATTGTTGTCCGCTGCTCGTGGGTGAGATGACGCGAGACACGCTGCATCGCCTTCATACCCTTGGTGTATGACAACAGAATAATGAAGGGGTGGACCACACCGTTGTCGGGATGGTCGTGGATCCGGAGGCTTTCCCAGAGCTGGTTGTTGAGAATTTGCGCTTCGCTGTTCCAGGCGACGAAAGTTTGGATGGCTTCGGTGTCCGCATCGTTGGCGGGGGGCGGGGGCATAACCCTGTCGTGGTCCTCCATCTTCATCAGAGTGGTGTAGATGCTTTCAATGGAGCGGAGGTCGCTCTTCCTGTCGCCCACATGGTCGATGTGCCTGTGGGCACTGCTGGGGCGGTGGGCCTCGGTAGGGTTCTCTGCCCGCTTGATATTCAACAGCGGCTTTGGGGTCTTAGCATTGCTAAAGGAAATCTTGCCCAGGCTACCTTCAATCACAAGCTGCTTGTTCTTGGGCTTGTTCTTGGCAGCCTCTACAGCTCGCTGGACCTGTTGCTCCATGCGCTGCATGTGATTCTCTGGGCCGCGGTGGTGACGGCGCATGCCACCCTGGCGGCTACCAGTCTGGTAAAGATACGTCTGGGCAAAATTGTTGAGTGGTTGGTTGGGGTTCTGGCGTTGGCTACCCTGGATCTGGCTGTGGACTTGGTAGTAAAAGTCTTCAGTTAAGGACTCATCAGTGCCATGCTCGTTAGGATTGCCGGTGGCGGCCACGAGTTGTTGAAGCTGGATCCTGGTCACAAAGCTCTTGTCCTGGGGAGTCATGATACCGTTATCGCGGGACATGAGAAAGATCTTGTGGTTGCGCTTGGCTCGTTTCGCTTCCTGGTCCAAGTAGGCCGCTTTCTCTTCCTCGTTGAGCTGAGACAATTGTGACGGGTGGGTGATAATTTGCGGCTGTTGCGAGAAGGAGCCCTGCTGCCTGTGAATCGGATGTCCTGGGTAGCTTCCGTGAGGAGACTGTTGGTGCATCCCGACCCTCGCGGCGTCTCCCGAAAGGCGGTTGGGGTTTTGCAAAATCTGAGTAGGGTGGATAGGCCCCGATGGCTGTTGCCGCGCGTGGGCGGCAGGTTGAGTCGGAGGTTGCGGGGAAGCAGCTGGTTTCGACGTGGGCCGTTGAAGAATGGTGATGGGATGACCATGCCCAGCAGGAGCGCCTTGATCATGTCCAGTAGTATCAGCGTGTTGGGCGGGCTGGCCATGTTGAGCGAACTGGTACGCCTGATCGTAATGCATCGGAGGCACTTGGGTTTGGGAGCCCGAAGGGACAGCAGCCACCGGCGGCGCCGGGGAGGGCGTGGCCTGCTGTGAGGTCTTCTTAGCCTGAGCCCTCATCTGTGCCTCCACCTCCTCCAAGCTGAGGATCTTTCGAGCTGGAGCAGCCGCCATAGGTGCCGGTGAGGCAGAAGGAACAGCCGCTTGCGTCTGCTTCTTGGGTGCCACGCCCCAGAGGGCCGCGTCGACCTGAAGCTCAGCAACGGGCTCGCTGCTATACTTCTCATAACCGGTGCGAGCCGGCTTGGAGGGCGGCAACTGGGAGTAGTGCCCATAGGAAGATGATCCGGGCGCGTGGTGCTGGAAAGCAGCGGGCGCGGCGGCCTGGGGCACCGTTTGTGAGGACCGGGCCGTGGGTTGCTGGCGAGTAAAACGGACATGCTCCTCTTCAATGGCGTTCGCGACCTTGGCGGTAGTATTGAAGAAATCGAAATCTTTGCCAACGGGCTTGGACTCGAAAACCGTGGTGTCGCCAAACGTATCGTCATTGAACGCGTCGCCAGTTTCGTCTAGTTGGTCGCCCAAGCCGTCGTATGTGTCCTCGAACTCTAGAGCATCGCCTTCATCCTCGCGATTCGAGAGCCCGGCAAACGGATTGTGAGCTTGCGAGAAGCCCGTCGCCGCCGGGTTATGGCGACTGGTGTCGAAGCCAAAAAACGACATGATTACGGATTTGTCTCAGCCGTTGTGTTGTGTACGGATGCGTTACTTCTCAACTTGTCAGCCGAAATTTTGTCGACAATTTCTTGCCGCAAAGTAGCTGCGGCTCGTGGTTTCTGTGGGAAGGAGGGGCGGGGTGGCGCCGCAGGCGCGCGGGTCCCAAATGGTGGGAAAAGATTTTGTACTGACAATGCGGTGCGTAAAAATATTAAAACAGCTGAGTTGATTAATGGGCATAGTGATTTGGCCCAAGGTTGTTTCGCAGTGCGGGCGGGTATGCGATTGAATGCGGGGAACGCCGAGGCCAACACGCACAGAATATTGATAGAATGGAAAGGCGACTTCGGAGCCACGGTACAGAGTATCGTGCAATGCGTTTTCACTGGTAAAGATATAGCAAAGCAAAGGGCCGCGTAAACGCTAAAGCGGCGGCCCAAATGAGGCCGGCTTTGAAGCTGAAGGTTTGGGGAATGGGTCGGGCTCGCCGGCGTGAAACCGAAGCTCGCTCAAGTCGTTCGGAGTGGTGCAAAGGGACGAATAATCCGACAGACCAATCGGCGTGTGTACTGAGGACGAGGCCGACATTGATGGGTGTGAGGCGCACGGACAACCCCATACAAATTAATGTCATTTGAGGCCGCCTTAACAGTACCTCAGAAATGTATTTCTGTACCTCGCCAATCCTCCACTTTAACTAGGATTCTTCACGATCTAATGTGACCGCTGCTTCAACTCCATGGGCAATGGGTATAGAGCTAATTCTAGGACCTGTGATTGTTGTGGAAGCTGACTGCTGAACGGCCCCGGACTTTAATGATGAAGCTGAAAATGGGTACTTGCTCTGAGGAGGATGGCCATGGTGCCTTTATTTGCAGCACCTGAGAGGACAACAACCAAGGATTGAACACCATTACTTCGTAGAGATCAACAATATCCTTCATTTTCTCAGCATCGCCATGACTACTATGCCTGACTTGGAAAATATAATTCAATGGAAGTGGTTGGTAACCGGGCATCCGGTCAACTTGAGTCGTCATTGTGTAGGTGGCCTTGGGTTCCCGTTCTCGTTTACCAGCAGCAAAATATTAACTAGTCCCAGTGGTAACCTGAACGTTGGGTACCCACATTCGAACGCAGTTGGAGACCAAACCGCGGGACCCGCACCGACCTAACCCAGTACTGGGAATTTGGCCGCTTTGGGGGACGGCCCCTGAGTGATGAGATCAAAGGTGGAACGATAACGTTAGATAGGTCGTCAAAATGAAGTCGGATGGTCGCATGCAAAAAGTTGCAGAATGCATTGTCTGTTCATGATCCCTTCTGACGCAAAGGATGATAAAGGATTGACCACCAGCCCTTTGAAATGGTCGTGCTGAACAAGTCTAGGCTATGGCCCATCCATATTCGGCATGCGAACTTATCGCTCCATGCGCGCGGCCATTCCGCACTTCCATACGCTGGGGCAGTGGGAGGGGGATGGGCCTAAAACACGGGCGTCCGTAATACGAGCTTGTCCCATGGCTGACGTATGCGACAAAGTCCCACCCTAATTTGTCTCACTCTCGAATAGCCTTGTGGGCTGTTAATCTGGTACAAAGTTCGCCAAGTCGAAACCACTGGGCGCTGTGCCCCAAATCCAAGGATCATTCAGCAAGTTCCTTCAGCGACAACCCGGCGACCAACCGTTGCACTGCCCGCGGCTGGCCATTTCTCGACTTCTCGAACTTTGACGGACGTTCCGCCCTGCAGGAACATTTGTTCCCAAACCCCGACGGTTTTTCAACTTATAGCACGACTAAGGGAGATTGGTTGTTGCAAAGTCGACCGGAGAATGAATTCGGAGATCCGGTCTTGAGCCCCCCACCATTACCTTTGCTGCCGACTTTTGGTCTCGGTGGCCTGCCACAAACTCGATTCGCCCTTGTGGCGCCCAAAACTTGCGACGGAAGGTTGAACAGGCCGACTTCCTGGGCCACGCTGGCATCTCGTCTTCAACCACCAAACATTTTGCATCATGGCCGCCGGGAGCGCGCGCTATGTGCGCTACATTTTAGTGGCCTTTTTCGTAAGTTTTCGCCCCTCACGCTTCCAGGTTTTGCGCATCGTGATGTTTTGAACTGTGTTCCTGATCCCACCTAACGGATTCCTTAGATCCTAGCAGTGTTTTACTTCGTGTCAAACTCGACGGATGTCACCACACCTCTCAGGACCCATCTTCCGGGGGTAAACAAACCAGCCGATGGCGGCGGCAACAACGGCGGCGGCAGCAGCGAGGCGAGCGAGCCGAAACCGCCAGCATCGAACGACGTCAAAGCCAAGATTAACTACGACCCTGCCCAGTTTCCTATGGCAATGACGCCTAATGACCCGGGCTGGAATGACCTTGCGGGCATCAGGGACGGTCCGCGAATGAATGCTACGTTTGTTACCTTGGCTCGGAATTCAGACGTATGGGAAATTGCGAAATCCATTCGACAAGTCGAAGATCGCTTCAACCGCCGGTACAACTACGATTGGGTCTTCCTGAACGACAAGCCGTTCGACGACAACTTCAAGAGGGTTACCACCTCTCTCGTTTCCGGCAAGACGCACTATGGCCTGATTCCCGAAGAGCACTGGTCCTTCCCGGAATGGATTGACCAGGACAAGGCAGCGAAGGTCCGGCAGGACATGAAGGAGGCCAAAATTATTTACGGCGACAGCATTAGCTACCGTCACATGTGCCGCTTTGAATCCGGGTTCTTCTTCCGTCAGGAGCTCATGCTGAACTACGAGTACTACTGGCGCGTTGAACCGAGTGTTGAGCTCTATTGCGACGTCCATTACGACCCCTTCCGCGTCATGGCTGAGAACAACAAGAAATACAGCTTCACCATCAGTTTGTACGAGTATTACGAAACCATTCCAACGCTGTGGGACAGCGTCAAGAAGTTTATGAAGAATCACCCAGAGCACATCGCTGCGGACAACTCGATGGGGTTCCTCAGTGATGATGGTGGCGAGACCTACAACAAATGCCATTTTGTACGTCCTTCCACCCTATACTCCTTTTTACTACCCTTGACCCAGAACTACGTTTCTAACAATCAATGCAGTGGTCCAACTTTGAGATTGGCAATCTCAACTGGCTCCGATCCAAAGCCTACACGGATTTCTTTAACAGCTTGGACCGTGATGGGGGTTTCTTTTACGAGCGTTGGGGCGATGCTCCCGTCCACTCCATTGCGGCCGGGCTGATGCTGCCGAAGGACGAAATCCACTTCTTCAACGACATTGCGTATTACCATGTACCGTTTACGCACTGTCCGACGGGCGAGAAGCTGCGCACCGAGCTCAAGTGCCATTGTGACCCTGGTGAGAACTTCGACTGGGCTGGATATTCTTGTAAGTCTTGGACTCCGTTTCTCGCCTTGGTCAATAAATATGCTGATTTGATCCATCATAGGCACCTCCAAATATTTCGAAATCAACAATCTTGAGAAGCCCGAGGGATGGGATACGGAGGGCAAAGACTGATCGGGGAAACAGTAACCAACTTTAAGGGGAAGCTAAGGGATTATATGTCGCGTTTTATGCGTTTGCAAGCTTCTCGGTCATCTCATCCTTATCGGAAATGTGATTTCCTTGCTGCTTCGTGGAATTTGGGGTTTAAAGGGCAACATACACGAAATCTTTTTCACTATGGGTTAAGGAGGGCGTCACGGGACTACAACTGAATATTAGACACTTCGGTATTCATTTCGGGCAGGTAGCGGACGGGGCGGTCTAAGTTGCTGATTTCGGGTACTTCGAGCGAGGTTGATCCCGCAGGCTGCTTTTTACCTTGTCGCACATCTTTTCTATCAATGTCCCAATGCTGATGATCGTAGTAAGCTAGTGGTGGTTGTACACGTGTTTACCTGCAGTTATTGATCGTTTTCAGACGACTTAGACTTTGACTTTGCTCTAACGCTAATACCACTGGCCGCTTCAGGTTTAAAAGTATGAATGAATCACCACTAGGAGAACAAGAACGAGAGAAGGGCCACGGTTCAAGTTTTTGTCTGAAAGCTACAAGAATATGGTACAAAACCGCTCATTGGTGGCGGCCGGTAGTCACAGAAGCGCTGGCGCGTGGTCTATCAGATATCTCTCTATTCTGTCCCTCAACGCCGTTGTTATGAAACCGATCCTTACTCGCACAGCCACTCAGCGTCTTAGCCAACAGAAGCCTTCTTTGGCTTCTTTGTCCCGTATTTACTCCGGCTAGTCATCCGGCTACCAACACCACCCTATATTGCTCAGGTCAGCTTCCACATCCCTGCCCCTAACGGACCTCGTCTGCAGGGCCGGGTTGCAACTCACCAGGTCCAATGCTCCGCGCACCAAGTGGTAACGCACACCGGGGCAATCTTGACTCCGCCCGCCACGCACTAGCACGACACTGTGCTGTTGGATGTTGTGACCTTCCCCGGGGATGTATGCCGTGATGACCTTGCCGGTAGACAGGCGCACACGTGCCGTCTTTCGTTCACCCGAATTGGGCTTCTTGGGCTTGGTAATTCCCACCTTGACACAAACACCCTTAAGCGCGGGGGCGTTTATTGCTGACAATGCTGGGGAGACAGCGTGGCGAGCTCGTTGTTCCTTCCGACAACCCTAAATGGAGCGAAGAGAAGCGAGTTAGAGGTCAATTTTTTGATGGTAGAGTCCCGTTTCGTCGCGCGACTTATTCTACTGTGAATCGGGTGGAAAGCAAGGCGTACTCGGATTACTTGGTTGAGAGTCGCGCTCTGTGATGGAGTCGTCGAGAACTTTCGGGAGATGGGAATCCCGGGGGCGGCGGGCTTTGGGATTGTTGGCCGTAGTGCTGGCCGCAGCACTAAATCGCGGAAGAAATTTGTTGCCATGGCGCGCTTCGGTTCCTCGCACACAACGGTGCCTTATCCCACATTCAGGAGTTTGTCGTCGCCGTTTGCGTCCCGGCGCCGAGACGTTGAAATCGAGGTTTGGACCCGCAACCCACAAGAATTGGGTGGGGCAGCTTTACTTTTTATATCACGTGTATCACCACGTGAATTGGGCGGCAATTGTCGGGTTAGTGGAGACCGGCCTCAGCTTGTCTCTTTGTCAAAGCCGGTCACATGGCTTTGTTTTGCCCCTCCATCCCCTGCCCCGACGCGGCAACCCAGTGTGGGGAAGCTTGTCGCAGGCCGGAGCGGAGTGGGTCGGTAACCTCGGCTCCCCTCCGGGGGCCGTCGAAAAGCGCGGGAATGGCCCTTTTTCTTCTCTTGCGATGTCTGCTTCACCTCTGTCAACCACGTAACGGAAGTTTTTGGCCCATTTGTTACCCATAAACTCGTCCCAAGTTGTATTGGCTAGCTTTCTACTGCCAAGTTCCAACCTATACACATAGACAACGATCCCAACCAACGACCCCGCCGAGACTCCGTCGACCGTTACTTTCAAGATGAAGTCGTTTGTGAGAGCTCTCCGTCCCGCGGTGCGGAGGAGCCAGACCGTTATCGCTCCCCAGATACGACGTCCGTTTCTCGCGCAGTGGTGAGTTGACGCTCGGGCAAGGAAATAGGACGATGGCAAGGGCTCACGCAGCTCTCATACAACGTAGACATGCTAACCAACGGCTTGGCTTGTTGGCTTTCTAGTGCCCGTCCTCTCTCCACAACTGCACCACGCCGAGACGCCAGCCTAGCCGATGTTGCCCCAACGCCTATCACACACTTCTCCGAAGTCGAGACGGCCATGGCCGAGACCGTACAAAAGTTCGCAACCGACGTGATCCTGCCCAAGGTGCGCGACATGGATGAGGCCGAGCAGATGGACTCTACGGTCGTAGAACAGCTTTTTGAGCAGGGCTTGATGGGCGTGGAGATTCCTGAGGAGTATGGCGGCGCCGGCATGAACTTCACGGCCGCTATCGTTGGCATCGAGGAGCTGGCCCGTGTGGACCCCTCCGTATCCGTCATGGTCGACGTGCACAACACCCTCGTCAACACGGCAGTGATCAAGTGGGGCAGCCAAGCACTGAAGAAGAAGTATCTCCCCCGCCTTGCCACCAACACCGTGGGCTCGTTCTGTTTGTCGGAGCCCGTCAGCGGGTCCGACGCATTTGCCCTCGCGACCAAGGCCACTGAAACAGAAAATGGGTTTAAGATCAACGGGGGCAAGATGTGGATCACCAACAGCATGGAGGCGGAATTCTTCATTGTGTTTGCCAACCTTGACCCAAGCAAGGGTTACAAGGGCATCACGGCCTTCGTGGTGGACAAGGGCACTAAGGGCTTTAGCATCGCTAAGAAAGAAAAGAAGCTGGGTATCAAGGCCAGCAGCACGTGTGTACTCAACTTTGACGATGTCGAGGTACCCAAAGAGAATCTGCTTGGCGAGCGGGGCCAGGGTTACAAGTACGCTATCTCGCTGCTGAACGAGGGCCGCATCGGTATCGGCGCGCAAATGACGGGTCTTGCGCTCGGCGCGTGGGAGAACGCGGTCAAGTACGTCTGGAACGACCGCAAGCAGTTTGGTCAGCTCGTCGGCGAATTTCAGGGGATGCAACACCAAATTGCCCAGTCGTACACCGAGATTGCCGCAGCCCGTGCCCTCGTGTACAATGCCGCCCGCAAGAAGGAGGCAGGCGAGAACTTCGTCATGGATGCTGCTATGGCAAAGCTATACGCCTCACAGGTTGCTGGCCGTGTAAGCGGTCTGGCGGTAGAGTGGATGGGCGGCATGGGCTTCGTCCGTGAGGGCCTGGCAGAGAAATTCTGGCGCGACAGCAAGATTGGTGCCATTTACGAGGGGACGAGCAACATCCAGTAAGTACTATGCCTTCTTGTGATGAATTTAGGGAAGACACTAACGATTTAAAGACTCAATACCATTGCCAAGACGCTACAAAAGGAATACACTGCTTGATCTGGGTGCATGAAACACAGATTTATTTTTTCTGACACGGAGTTGGGCATGGCGAGAGGAACTAAACCGGCTATTTGGATAGGTTCTTTTTCATAGATCACAAAGAGCAATGTTTCAGTCTTAAAATCCTTTTTTTGCTTCCCTATATCTCGGCTTATTTCTGACGCTGATAGTTGCTCGGTTTATTAAACTCCGGCAATCCTGGTTGTTTGGCCGCTTCGGTTTAAACCCGGCCGGTCCGGGCAATCTTGTTGAGGGAATCGGAGCTTTAAGCACAGTGATCTCCGTGAGGGTAAGCTGAGATCGCAGCACACTGCTCAAGGCGCATTCTTTCGGCCTGGAACCCGGGCCGAGGGTTTTTGCGTCGTTGTCTTTAATTTTTTTTAAAAAAAGAAACGCTTATGAGAGTGGCTTCACAGTAAACCGGGGCCAAAGAGTGGGGAAAGTCCTAAGAAGATGAGCGCAGTCCTACGTCTAATGGGATTCGAGGGATTAGACAACAGAAACGCTTCTTCAAGACAAACTGTGAGACAAACAGGCCCGGAAAGCGGGGAGGGACATCGAATAGGGCCAGCCTTTGCTCATGCATGACATGGATCGGCCGCGACTCTGCCGTTATTGTGTCCGTCAAGCGTGGGCAATAGTTAACTCGTGTCGCCTCGCCCAAACACCAGGCTGTAATTGACAATTACGGTAAGGTACCTCTTGTATCGGTTAGGTAACATTGTGACGTGGTGTTGTTCGCCCGGTTCCCGTCCTTCACATTACCACCTGCATACAGTTGCCCGCACGGAGCTCGCGCATCAGGCAAGACAGTGTTGAGTTGGAGATTTTGAAGTGAGTGACCATGCGAAAAGTAGCGTATCTCATCCGGCTTTCTCCGCGGTCATTGGGATTGCCCGGGCCACCAAAATGTCCAAATGTCTGTGCACTTGACTGCTCCGCATCGCTGGTTCATGAGAGAGCACGAGAGTTTGCGACTCACAAATTACCCCGCAGACCATAACGCACACCCCGGCCCTCGCAAGTCCTTGCCATTGAGTTTGGTAACATCCAAACCCAACCGCCTCATTCAACGCAGCAAAAAACTGGAAAAAAGGTTCTCCGGTGGAGGTGGAGGCTAAAACTAAGCGTATACCCACCTCGATCACAACGGGATAATGCCCAACGCTCCATTTGCAGGTTGTGTGTTGCTCTCGGTTGTTTGTGTTGCTGCCCTCTTGTTTTAAGACCCAGTTCCTGGTGAGTTCAGTCATGCATACCCTGTCCCGCTGTTGTGGTCCTCCAAGGCAGCAACCCCAGCAGCAGCAAAGCATCCCCCACCCAACCTAGCCGCTGCATCTCAAAGCAACTGACTTCCAAGTCCGAATAGGGCGCTGGATCAAACTTCCTTATCGAACCATCCCCGCCCTCCACTACGAAACTAAGGTACCGCGGCCCCTCCCCATCCGCATCGGCGAGGGCTGTGAGCAACATTTGCGAAACACAAAACCCCGCCATAATTCGTCGCTGACGACATCCCGCGGCTGCTTGCAACACTCCGCGAGCAACTGCACCACCTATCGCTATTACCCACTCTCGCGCGACCCATATCTCGCCCGGTCTGACACGCGAGCAGCGTGTTTTCTACTCCCGAATTCGCCAGGAGGCGGGAGAAAAAGGAGCACAGCGAAAGCAAATAGAGAAACCAAGCTCCTCTCCTCAACCGACAACCCCACCCGTTCCTCTGCGCCCCGTTGCGCAGCCCAACCGCCAACATGAACAACGACGAGAAAATCTTGGATATCACCAAGAAGATTGAGCGCGAGAAGGCTTTGATCAACGCTGCGAATTTGATGCGTCAGCAGACCAACAATGAGGCCGTCCGATCCAAACTCGATACCCAAATGCGTGAGGGGCGCCGCAATCTCGAATTTTTCGAGGAGAGGCTCCGCGAGCTGCAAATGCGCCGTCTCGGGAACTCCGTCGACAACATGTCTCTGGGCGGTTCGACACTTGGGTCATTCAAGAGCGGAGAGCATGGCGGTAATGAGGGCGGACCGCCCGCGCCCCCGCCAAAAGACGCCTATGGACAGTTTAGCCAGGGCGATCTGATGCCGCCGCGGGGACCATTCCCCGGCCAGCCTCCGAACTCGGGAATACCGAAAACTCGCCCAAACTTCACAAAGCTCGGTATGGAGCATGATAAAGGTCCCAAACGTAACACTCAAGCTAATGTGGCCATGCCTAGACCTTATCAAATTCGACACGCCGTACCTTGGCCCCCGTATTCAGCTTATGCTCTCGCAGATTCAGTTTAAGCTCAATGTTGAGGAACAATACCTCAAGGGTATTGAGAAGATGGTGCAACTTTATCAGATGGAGGGCGATAAAAAGAGCCGAGCCGATGCTGCCGCCCGTCGGATCGAGAGCGGCCAGAAGATTGTGCTGCTCAAGCAGGCTTTGAAGAGATACGAAGAGTTGCACATCGATATGGACGCCGACTCACCAGATGGTAATGTTCTCAACAGAACGCAATCCCGTTGTTAATTTGCTAATTTGAAGTCAATAGATGACAGCATCAACTTACCGAACTTGAGAAAGCCGCTGACAGGTCAGCTTTCGGTCCGGATCCTGTCCGTCAAGGACGTTGACCATGCGCCACTCAGCCGATTTTCGCGTGCCCCCGAGACGTTTGTGACCATCAAAGTTGAAGACAACGTGGTGGCCAGAACCAGAGCGTCACGTAACGACCGATGGGAAACTGAATTCCACAACATCTTTGTCGACAAGGCCAACGAGGTGGAGCTGACAGTTTACGACAAACCTGGCGAGCATGCCTTGCCTATTGGGTTCCTGTGGGTGAGGATCTCCGATATCGTGGAGGAGCTCCGCCGAAAAAGGATCGAAGCGGAAACGAACAGCACTGGGTGGGTGTCCGCCGACCGTTTGGGCACAGGAGGCCCTGGTGGCCCTCCGCCACAGTTTCCTCTGGGCGCGCAAAGCCCCCAGTTTTCCGGACCGCCAACTTCCCCAGGGCAGCAGATGCCACCCTTTGCTCCCCAACCGCCGCCTAATGTTCCTGCCGTGTCCCAGCCGATCGATGCCTGGTTCAACCTGGAGCCGACGGGACAGGTCCAGTTGAGCCTTAACTTCGTCAAGGAGAACAAAGTGGCTGGGCAAATGGATGCTGGTCTTAACCGCAAGGGTGCCGTCCGTCAGCGTAAGGAGGAAGTACACGAAATGTACGGCCACAAATTCGTCCAGCGCCAATTCTACAACATCATGCGCTGCGCGCTTTGCGGCGACTTCCTCAAGTACTCAGCCGGCATGCAGTGTGAGGACTGCAAGTACACATGCCACACTAAGTGCTACACCAGTGTCGTCACCAAGTGTATTAGCAAGAGCAATGCTGAGACGGATCCCGACGAGGAGAAGATCAACCATCGCATTCCCCACCGTTTCCAGCCCTTCTCGAACCTTACGGCCAACTGGTGCTGCCACTGCGGCTATATGCTTCCCATTGGTAGCAAGAAGAACTCTAGAAAGTGTGCCGGTATGTCAATGATCCGTGTTTCTTCTTTTCCTCGAGATACCTTACCCCACAATACTAACGATATCTCTCAGAATGTGCCCTTACCGCACACGCGGCTTGCGTGCACCTCGTTCCTGATTTCTGCGGCATGTCAATGGCTGTAGCAAACCAAATTTTAGAAGGCATCAGGTCGACAAAGAAGACCCGCCAAGAAAAGGCGTCTTCCATGAGCGAGAGAAATCTAAGAGCTGGAAGCAAAGCCACCACGAGTAGTGGTCAATCGGCCGCATCATACTCGCCGTCCCATCATAGCTCTCAGGTCGCTTCTCCCGAGGCTACCGAGGCGGCCAAACTGATGTACAACCAAACCTCTCCACAGCGTCCCGGGTCTGACAGGCCTTCGACGTCCTCTACTACGGCTTCAGCGGCGGCTGCAGCAGCCATGTCCCCCAAGCAAGCATCTTCTCCACAGCAGGTGGGCCAGATTCCCGATTTCGGTCCAGGGCACTACGGAGCTCCGGAAGGCTATGGGCGGCCTGCGCAACAGCAGGAACCTCAATATGGCGCTCCGCCGCAACAGCAACTTCCGTACGGCCAACCGCAGCAACGGAAATATAACCCGGCAGACTACGCCAATATTGGTGTTCATCCAGGGCAGCCGCCCGCACAAGCTCGCCCGACGCAGCAACAGGTTGCGCAGCAACAATATGCCCAACAACAACAGATGTACCAGCAGCAGCAGCAGCAGCAACAACAACAGCAGCAGCAGCAGCAGCAACAGCAACCGCCGCAGCAACAACTTCAGCCAGCGGCGGTGCCGAAACCTCAAGCTGGCACTGAACCGGTCGACTCACAGGTATCTGTTGTTTCCGGGATACCGGCCCCGACCAAGAAGCCGCTTCCATCCGCCACCGATCCCGGAACGGGTCAGCGTATTGGTCTCGACCACTTCAACTTCCTTGCTGTTCTGGGCAAGGGTAACTTTGGTAAGGTCATGCTTGCGGAAACCAAGCGCTCTCGGCGACTGTATGCCATCAAGGTGCTCAAGAAAGAGTTCATTATCGAAAACGACGAAGTTGAAAGCATTAAGTCGGAGAAGCGCGTCTTCTTGATCGCTAACCGGGAGCGCCATCCGTTCTTGACGAACCTCCATGCGTGCTTCCAGACAGAAACACGCGTCTACTTCGTCATGGAGTACATCAGCGGTGGTGACCTGATGCTACATATTCAGCGTGGGCAGTTTGGTACCAAACGTGCCCAGTTTTACGCCGCCGAGGTGTGCCTGGCACTCAAGTACTTCCACGAGAACGGCGTCATCTACCGTGATCTGAAGCTCGACAATATTCTCCTGACGCTCGATGGCCACCTTAAGATCGCCGATTACGGTCTATGCAAGGAGGACATGTGGTACGGCTCGACCACCAGCACCTTCTGCGGCACGCCAGAGTTCATGGCTCCCGAGGTACGTATTGAGACGAAAATGTTGCCCACGCTCGACGGAAGGTCAAAATATCACTAACCAAGCTCTTTACAGATTCTGCTCGACAAGAAATACGGTCGTGCCGTCGACTGGTGGGCCTTTGGTGTCTTAATCTACCAGATGCTCCTGCAGCAATCTCCATTCCGTGGCGAGGATGAGGACGAGATCTACGACGCCATCTTGGCCGACGAGCCGCTGTACCCGATCCACATGCCCCGTGACAGCGTCTCGATCCTGCAGAAGCTGCTCACGCGTGAGCCGGACCAACGCCTGGGGAGCGGGCCGACTGATGCTCAAGAGGTCATGTCCCAGCCCTTCTTCCGCAACATCAACTGGGATGATATCTACCATAAGCGGGTCGCACCGCCGTTCCAGCCGCAGATCAAGAGTGCGACGGATACGAGCAACTTTGATAGCGAGTTCACGAGTGTCACACCGGTGTTGACGCCGGTGCAGTCCGGTAAGTCTTTTTGTTTTCTTTTCTTTCTTTGCTCCTCGTCTGCCGTGCTGGTTGAAAAATGTCGGGATACCCGCTAATACGTTTACTTGTTGTAGTGCTCTCCCAAGCAATGCAGGAAGAGTTCCGTGGCTTCTCATACACGGCGGATTTCGAGTAGTGTGGCACGAGTAGACGAGGTTTTGGGTGTGTCTGAGTCCAAACACGGTCAAAAACGTGCGTTCAGTTTATATTTAGCCCTCGACCCAGTGACGCCCGATTTGGGGGCGCAACAGAGGCGGAAGCTGGCCAGAAGACCGGGACGTTGCCTTACTTTTCAGCCTTGCTTGCGGGTGTGATGAAAAAGATAGTTTTGAAGCATTTTCGACCGGTCAGTGGATGTACATGAGCGGTCGACGGGGTAAAGCATGGACGGAGACATGAAGTTTATTTACGAACTTCCTGTTTCGTCTTATATTTTTCTCCTTTTTCTCTTGTACTGTGTGTGGCATGCCGCGGGGGAGACGACGGCTGGGCAATACCAACCTGAATGTTTTGATTTGTGGTGGGCCGCTTCCTTTACCTAGGGTATACGTAATGCAAAGAATACGTTCGAGATTTAGTCTCAGTTCGGTCCGAGTTCGGTTTGAGTTCACGTTCACAATTCGGTGCCTCAAGGTAGCGATAGAAGTCTGTTTTATCAACTTCAGTCATGGTGTTGAAGATCTATCTAACTGCAGCCGAACTCAACTGGCCTTTTTTCCCAGAGTGCCTAGATACTTTTACAAGTCTACAAAAGTTCAAATATGCAGGTAATATATACAAGTAGCGCGCTGCACGCTATGCTGAGCTGAGGGTCTGACGATAGAAAAGATGGATGGATGCAAGACCTCACAGATTCCTAAACAAGGAAACAGTCAAGATCAACGCCACGGTAGCGCCCGCTGCCGCCCCCTGAACAGCGATGAGCGTCGCATCTCGCATCCGCAGGTCTATCCTGCGGTCACTGGACAAATCCAGCGCAGCCTCCCGAATCAACTCCGGTTCCTCCCAGAACTCGTGGAGAGTTTCCTTCCAGTTCTTCCTCGGCCAGGTAAACCGGCCAGTTTCAGCAGGTGCGGGAGCCGAGGAGACGCCACTCTGCGCGGCCGCCGCAGTAGTAGCTTCCGCCGTCGACGCCGTGGCTTGCTCCCGCGCCAGCCTCGCCTCCCGTTCCCGCTGATCCTGTTGCCGTTCCCGCTCCCGCGCCTGCTCCCACTCCTTCAACCCGCTCGCCTCCAGCGCGGTGCGCACCTCGCCCAGCTCCCGCCGCACTTCCTCCAGCGCCCGCTTCTCGCTCTCCGCCACACCGTTAATCAGCCTCCGTCGGCGCCACGGCTCGGCAACAAACTGCAGCACGAGGAAAAGCAAGACATTAACGCCCATCAGACCCCACGTACCCCACGTCGACTGCCGTCGGATCCGGTCACTCCAGATCTGCTCTTCATGGTACCGCTTCAGGATCCCCGCATTGAGCCCTGCGCCCAGGCGTGACTCGTCCGACTCAGCCTCCGTCAACTCCGCCGCCGCCGCCGCCACGCGGGTCTCCAGCTCGTGGTCGGAGCGGTACAGCGTGGTGAAGCGCTCCAGATCGGCCGGGTTCCAGGTATCCTTCCGGGCCAGTAGGGCGGTGACTTCGCGCTGGGTGGAAGCGCGGTGGGAGGTCAGGGACTTGTAGTCGTGGCGGGCGGTGCGGAGACGTTGTTGGGCGGCGGCTAGGTCGACTTCGAGCTGGCTGTTTTGGCGTTTGATCTCTTCGATGGCGGAGTAGCCGGTTAGGTCGTTGATCTTTTGGGTGGCGTTGAGGGCACGGGATTGGAGGTTGTCCATGAAGGTGCTGAAGCCGGCGGAGGCGGGGTGACGGTGGGTTTCGGAGAAGGAAGGGAGGGAGGGGTCGTCTTGGGCAGGTGGTTTTGGTGCTTCTTCTTGTTGTTGTTGTCGTGGCGGGGGGGGTTTGGTATCCGGCTCGGTTGGTGGTTTTGGCTCGGGGGAGGGCTTCGTGGGGGTTGGGGTTCCGTTGGACGGAGGGGCGGAAGGTTGCGGGTCAGGTTTGGGCCGTGACCGTTCTGGACGTTGCCCTAGTGGGGGTGGAAGCGGGGATGATGATGATGGTGTTGAATGCGGAACATCTTTCGTAACATTCGACGCGGGTTCTGGTTTATTGACTTCTTCCCGTCTCTGTTCATTCTGTTCTTTCTGTTCTGGAAGCGGGGACGAGGGCGAGGGCGGTTGTCGTGGGGGAGGAGGGGTGGTCGAAAAGAGCCGCAACCGGTTGAAGCCGGACCGAGGGTCGTTCACGATGCGGCACCGCAGACATGTTGGAGGGCGGGCGAGGAAAGGTTTCGGCGTCCCTACGGCGGCCAATTGATCGAAAATTGGAAGCCGGCGCATAGGGCGCGCAGCCAGGCGCAAAGCTGTGTGGGCGGACATGGGACAGGACGGTGCGCCCGGCGGGCTAAGGCGGGGGAGGGTTGGGCTTCGGTCGAGGTCGGACGAAGTTGGGAGAATGCTCAGGGAAGAAGCCCGCTCGGCCCGCATGGCGCTCCCTCACCGCCCGCCACCAAACAACGTTCACTTAACCCTAACCCTTACTTACGTCTTGTTTACCGTGTAAAGGGGGGAAGAAGAATTCGAGAGAGTTCAACTGTACAACCTACAAATAAGAAGGGGTTGAAACCGCATAGTTAGTAATAGTCAAAATATATATTCAATATGGATGGATAGGCTGTATTTATAAAATACCCTAGCTTCGGCGGTCTATGTAGTCGACGAGCAGTTTTAACTGGATAACATCACAAACTGTTTAATATTTACTCGGGGATCTTAGAAATAACCAGGTCCGGAATCATTGGGTTGCACACCCAATTGAGGCGCCGGTGGCTTTATTACTAGATCATATATTAAGGAGGTTTAGATCCCACTAATTAATGTTTACTTTACATCCACCTTGATCCTTTGGTTAGATGTCTACGACGAATTCGTCCCGTCCCAAACATTTCAGTGAGTTCGAAGTCCGATACCTAGAGACATCGAATCCGTAAAGTCACTATATCAGCGGGGAAAGGGAAAATCTCAGGAGTCCCGGGGCACGGATATACCCAGTCACAGCACCACCGTTACATGTTTTAAACATCGGAGGAAGGAAAATGGTTGATGCATTACTGAGAGAATATCATGAGCACAGATCAAAGACACTAGGTAAGCATCGTCACTGCCAGTAGAGTGACTATTAAGAATGAATCACACCTATCTGCCAGTCTTTTTCTTTATTTCATGGGGAGTTATTTATCGTATGTCATACCTCCCGCACCAAGCCTGGTTGGAGAATCAATCCGAGGTTCCAAGGTGTCGTATGGTTCCGATGACTTACGGAGTTGCCGTTTCCGGCAACTGCGCAACCTCGGCCGTATCGCACCAACACCGCACACGCAAAGAATTGATAATCAAGCTTGATGGACGTATGCAAGAAGTCACGAGCCAGCCATGACCGTGGTGATTTAATCACATTATAATCACATTGAGATGGCTTTTCCTACAAGAGCACATGCAGGAGGCGTGCCACCTCTTTCGAAGGCTTCCAATCTTCTGTTCAAAAGTTGTGCCGGACCGACACGATACGACAACAAGTCATAGATAACAACTTTTGTGCTCGGTATTTTCTATTCCCTTTGTTTGGAACTGGCCGGGGGTTCTGACGCTTAGAAGTCCTCACCGACGCTGGATCTATCAAATCATGGAAAGTAGAGAGCGTTTAAAGAATGGGTATGCTTCATCTCTGCCTTTACTATGTCTTGCTGGCCTCACAGCGGGACTTAACGACGTCCCCCACATTGCTGCTGCCAGTGTTGTAACGTCGATAGAGAGGTAACTCTAATTATACTTCCACTGATGCTTGTCTCCTCCTCCATGCCTGCTGACTAGAACTAGTGACACACTCGGTACGATACGCACCACTGTTCCCTTCCTTCTCGGAACGATCCTCGCCGTCGCCTTTCTCAACCCCCTTCCTCGAGCCTATCAATACCGCCCTTCCACCCAGCTCTCACTATCAAATCTTCTCATTGCCTTGGTTCACACCTCAAAGCTGTTCTTCCCGCAGCTATGGGATTTGAGCGACGCTTTTACTATCATGGAACATATGTTGTTAGGTATTAGCAAGGTCTTGAACCTGGCGTTCGCCTTTGCTTTGTGTCACGGTGGGACAGCATCAATCAACGTCACATACGCAGCCACGGCTTTAGGCGTAGCCTTCCGGATAACCACGTTGGGGCTCGAAAAAGGGGGATTTGTCTCCCCGGTAATCAGCAACTGGTTCTTGGTTATAACACCACTCCTCTCGGCCACTGGCCTCGTTTTATCCACCACAAGACTCCAGGATACAGACAGAGACGGGGAACGCGAAGCCCATAACCACTCAAAACAAATCACCAAGGGCGGACTCGACCGCGGAAACATACATCACTGCCATCCTTTACCGTCGCCACCCACAACTGACTTTACCAACCCCCTGCCCGCCGTTTTCACACTCGCCCACCAGGCGACCGTACCCCTGATCATCTCGCTCTTACGTCAGTCGTTCACTCCGGTCTCCCAACACACAGTTGCTGACAACCCACCAACCGACGAGATACCCACCCTCCGTGTGTTAATCGCCGCCTCTCTATGGATTGGTCTCGCCTTTGGTTATGCTCTTGCTCCTGTATTGTCGTTGTCCGTCAGAGGAGGGAGGTATCGCGGTGCTGGGAATGTTCAGCGTCAGGGAGGGGAGAGGCTGCGTGAAAGCGGGAGTGTGGATGAGTGGGGATGGCCTCGACCGTTAACGATCGCTTTTGGCGTCATCTTCTGTATGCTCACGCTATCTCCGGCTTCACTTTGGACGTCGTATCTCACGGGTTGGAAGGATAATGCCGTGAGGGTCCCCACACTGGTCATCAGCGGGCTGGTTGGGATAATGGTGGGGTTACTTTACCCCTCGGCTGGTTCGTCTATGGCTGGAGTGGTTAATAATGGGATGTTAATGCCGGAGCAACATGATTTGGGGTCGGCTGGGGTTATCGTCACGTTTAGGACGGCGGGTGCTGTGTTTGGGCTCATGGTGGTGCAGTTGGCTGAGTGTCTGGATGTCCCAATCTTGCTGCGGTTGGCTGTCGCCGCCTCGTGTTGGGGAATGGTGGTGTGCTAGCGGGCGTTGATGACGAGCGATGGCCTAGGGGCGGCTTCTCTTTGTTAAGTATCCGTTCTTGAATAGTGGGAGGGCGTCAGGAGAAATGAAGCGATCTGCGCGCGGTGAAAGTTCTCAAATTGCCAAAGTTCTCTCTATCGTCTATCGCTCTATTTTCGTGACGTAGGCCCTATTCCAACGGACCTGCGTGGGTATCCTTATCTACTTCCTGCCCGTGGCGGCCTCCTTGACCGTCAACTTGCCGGCCACGATTTCCTTGACCGTGTTGTGGATGTCAGAGAAATCGTTGAAGGTGGTGAATACAACTTCCTCCTTCTCGCAGTAGGTGACAAGATCTAGTTGAGGGTCAGTTTGAGAGCCTTCGTTAAGAAAGAATAGAGAACATACCGCGACCGGACTTCGCGAACAACAAATCAGTCTCCTTAGCGGCCGAAAGGTCAGAAACACCATCACCGGCATAGAAGAGAACCGGCCTCTCCTCGGCCGGGAGCCGAGCGTAGGGGCGGATCTCGAGAGACTTATCGTGGCCGAAGCCGCTACAAAGATGTCAGTAAACTGGTCATCAGTTGTAGCCATAACACCCCATAAACAAGACCTTACCTGTCGTCATGGAAGACAATTTGCCACCCGCCTTCCTCGTTGATGCTCTTCCCGTCCCGCGGCGCAACATCGTTGCTCACAATCTGCAGCGTGTCCACGGCCTCCTCGCCAAGCAGATGAGCAAGCAAGGCACGAATGACAGGAGTCATGCCACCGCTGAGCACAACAATGGGCACATTGTTCTCGCTAGCCCACTCGAAGAAGGCTTTGAAGCCTGGGTCGAGGGTGATGTTCTGACGGAGGATGTCGATACACTCGTTGAAGGGAGTCTTGACGCTGTCGAGCATGTCCCGGAACGAGTCGCGGAAGTCGCGGCGGCCGTACAAGACGTCGGCGTTGCCCTCCTTGCGCAAGGCGGTCCCGAATCCGAGGTTGTCGGTCATGTAGTCATTGCTGTCTTGGACAGTGATAGTGCCGTCAAAGTCGGTAAAAAAGATGAACTTGGGGTTCGTCTTGAGCGCCGGAAGCGCAATGGGCAATGCTGATCCCATCTTGCCTGTTCTGTGAAGTTACGGAGGTGAGAGGGGTTGTGAGGTGAGTAAGTCCGGCAGGCGTGAGGTGGTAAGTGACCGTCAAGAGTCTGAGTTGAGGGTTGAATGTGAATAAGGGCCACGGGTGGGGTAGCAGAGACGAAATACACTTCTACTCGCAGATTTAGGCGGGTCGCGTCAGAGTCAGTTCTCTTTGTTCTCTAACAATACTGCGAAATCCGCTTGGCGTATGAGCAGACACGCTCGTGGGCGAAGGAGAGAGGGCGAACACGGCGTTCGGCCCCGCTACGAGTCCTGCACTGCGCGGCCGATCAATACTGACCGCACGTTTCGGCACCCGCTGAGCCGATTTGAGGGGCGTTTTGCAGCGGGGTCCCGGCGAGGATTGCGGCCGGTGTCGGCAGGGAGCGCCGGCTCGCAATGAGAACTAGTAGAACGAGGTCACGGTCGACATCTTTATTAAGCGCGGAACCTTGGTGCCGTAGCGTTTTCTCCGATTGATCATTGAGGTGCCGCGCTCCTGTAAAATATACGGACAGGACGCCTTATGTTCTCCCCACATAATGCCCCCTGATTAGAGCTGCGTTCATCTGTACAGTCCCTAAGGCACCTTGGCTGCTTTCTTGCTGCACACCCGCTAGATTGCGGACCAGATACATGCAGTCCCTGAGGTGGGCTTCTATCGCGTGGGGTGAATTTGCCCCACCACGGAAACTTTAAATTTCAAGCACTTCTTCTAGTGGGGTGAAATCTAGCTCTGCAAGCTTCGAGACTTTTCGAACCACCCGCGTTGCCGCCAGCAATACCTCGCACTCGAGATAGCTATGGGTAAACCAAGACGAGCCGCTGTTCTTGCGGCCGCACAGGAGTCGACCACGCCCCCCGACGAGTTGACTGAGACCCAATTCGTCGCGCGAATCGTCAGGGCCGAGGGCAACAGCCTCTACACTTGCGAGCTGCCCAACGGCAAGACCGCCACCTTAGAACTCGAGCCAAAGTTCCGTAACACCATCTTTGTCAGGCGCGGCGGATATGTGTTGGTGGACCTCGCGTCAGCAGAGGAACGATTAAAGACCAGCAAGGTCATGGGTGAAATCATCAACATCGTGCGCGACGAGAAGGCGTGGCGTAAGCAGCCGTACTGGTAGGTTGGCCCTCTTTAGCCGTGGATCAGGCGGTGGCTGACCGTGATGTTTGATGTATGCAGGCCGAAGAACTTCGTCAAAAACACGTTCGGCGAAGACGAGGACGACAATTCGACCGTTGGTAAACTGCCACCTAGTGACTCAGACGAGGAGTGATCTACTGCGTAGGTGTGCTGGGTCGATTGCAAGAATTGGATCAGCAGCCGACACGCATTATTCACATTATCGCTTGGCCGCCTCGTCCTTAGCTGCACCCCTCTTCGGCCCCGCGTCATCGCGAGTACCGTGCCAAATGAAGGCCACCGTAACAGCGAGAACTCCCACGACAACGCCTGAGCTCACCGACGTGCTCGGGTACACGTTCCACGCCCATTCCTGGGCCGCCCAGAGGGCGTATAGCAGGACGGGGTGAGCGCCGCTGCGCCAAAGAAGGAACGGGGTCGACCAGGCGAGATAGGCGTAGAATTGGTAGTGGAGAGACCGCGCAAAGAGGAGGCCGATGACGTTGGAGGATAGAATAATCGTCATAATAAACCGAGGCGTGATATCCCGGGCAACCACGCGCTGTTCCTGTTCCGTGAAGGGAGATTTGCCGAGGGTCATGGGGATCGCCAATTGTGTCAACGACTTGTTCGCGGGTTTCAGCCACCGGCTAGTCAAGAACACCGCCAGGACCACAACGTGCAGGCCCAAGAGCGCCAGTGAAAACCAGCGGCTGAGAAACACATCTTCGCCCACAAATCGCCAGTTGACCGTCCACTTGAAGAAAAACTGCCTCGACAGCTCAAACGCACGGCTCAAGTAACCCCAAGGGTTCTTCGACAAAAACGGCACAGCAGTAAGGACCTGCACCAGCCCCATTGTCACCGCAAGCCGTAAACTCGTCGCAAACCCCGCACCGAACAGTAGGACCACACCCGCAGCCGGCAATACCAACAGCAGCGACATCTTAACACCTAGTCCCAATGTATATGCCAATGCCCCGGCCGTCCATGACTTCCGCTGCCAGAAGAACACCGCCGCCCACAGAAACAACGCCGCAAAGCAGTCGTTAAAACACCTTAGCACAAACACACTATGCAGTCGCTTCGACAGCACCAACAGTGGAAGGACATATGGCGGCACGCCTGCCTTCCGGTAGCAGGCCATGACCACGGCCAAAGCAGTCATATAAACACCGGCAAACAATCGTTGTGCCAGCAGGATGTTGAGGCCCTCATCGGTGAGGTGGTAGAGCGCACGGTAGACAAGGACGTGCGCAGCTGGGTAGACTAAGGGGCCGGTGTCGCCGCGGATGAGAGGGTAATCGCGTTCCCCCGAGACAATTTGCCCGATCTGCTGCATGTAGGCTTTCCAGTCGATTTCGGTGTCTTTCAGGGAGCGAGAGGTTAGTTTCTCGAGGGTGTGGATATGGGGAAGCTAGGTGTGCATACAGGGTATCTTCCAGATAATTACGGCGCACAGCAGCGCGTCGGCGAGGAAGAGTAGGGGAGGGATGAGGCTGGAGAGCGCATGGCGACCGTTGAGGATGTCGAAGACAAAGTGGGTTGCGCGGGCCGCAATTGGGGGGTCTGGGTTCGTCATGATGTCGCCGTCGACATCGAGCGTGGCCGCTCGAGAATCGAGATGTTACGACAAGAGTTTGGGCTTTGTGTTGAGGACGCGTTGCCATTGGGAGTCGCTCCGGCAGCGTGGCTCTCAGGCTTCGGGGTGTGAATGGGCCGTGCACCGCCTGGAATACGCTAAAGATTCAGCGCACAGTTACTCCTGTAAATTACCGGACGGCGGTTCCTTTCGAATTTTTTCCCATGGCCGCTTACATGTCAGAACCCCTTCCACTTTCCATCTCCAATTTGAGCGTGGTCGTCAGCATGCTTCGATTACCTAGGTACATGTACATAAGCTGCGAACTTTTCTCCGATGTCATAACCTCCATATCAGAGCTTTGATTCCCTCTTTCGCCTCTCGACAACTTCGTCCACCAGCTCGACCACCCTCTCCGCACATCCATAGCTCCCCTGATAACCCCATCCGGCGTGTCCATAATTATGTACCACCCACGTCCTACCAATCTTCTCCTTCTCAAGCCTCACTCCGCCCTCTCTCCAGGGCCGTAACCCAACTCCATGCCGGATCACATCCAACGCCTCGATGCCCTTACCCCCGGTCAACTCCGGATGCACTTCCACCGCTCGCTTCATAATCCGTATCGCGATATTCGGATCCGGATTCGCCTCCCAGTTACCCTTCATGTAGGTACCGCCCAACACTGTGCCGCCGCCCGCAGCCCGCTGCATGATGTACAGGATTTCCTCCTCGCCATCATCAGTCCCGCTCGCTGTCGGCATCAAGCCACCCGCCTGGTTGCGCACCACGACAATCTGGCCCCGCGCTGGTATCACTTTGGCGTCCATCACCCCGCCCAAACGGCATGCTAACAACCCGGACGCATTCACCACCACATCCGCCTTTCCGCCCTCGCCGTGAGCCGACATCCCTGCGGCCTCGTTCACATGGTTCAGCGTAGCTCGTTTGAACTTGACGCCTAGTTTCACGCATTGGCCGACAAGCCAGGAGAGGTATACAGGGGTGTTGATGCAGACAGAAGTAAACTCGCAGGCCGAGTGGATCCCGGACGGCAGTTCACTCGCGGGGAGTTCGCGGAAGTCATCCATGAGGTCGGCATACCAGGGGGATTGCTGGAAGAGCCCGTCCGAGAGCGCGACCTTTAACCCAGAGGAAACGTCGGCCTGCCGGCGTAGCACGCGGGCAGCTAGGGGTGGTGTCAGTCCCGGGCCTCACTCAACGCAGAAGGAGTGAGTCAAGGAGAAGGGGTTGACTGACTCTGAAAGTGTAGCCCCGCTTCCGGAACCTCGGCCGCCAGCCGGCGGAGTTCGGGCCAAGTGCGTCGTTCCCAGCGGCTGTCTTTTTCAGAGTTCATTCTACCGGGTAAACATCCATTAGTTAATGACACGCGGATCGCTTCCATAGCCATTGAAGGTAGTAGCTTACGGCAGGACGTTGGCGCCAGCCCATGGAGAGGTGTACTCGATGTCATAGTCGCCAGGCATGTGCTTGGCAATGACAGTCACATTGTTTCCCTCTTCCTTCGCCAGGAGCAGAGCACAGGTGAGACCGCTCACACCAGCACTGTTGAGGGGTTAGCAACGGCCTTGAGATCACGGGGCGCAGAGCGATGGGCGTGCCGGTGCTTTGTTTGCTTACCCCAGAACCACTATGTTTGGCATCTTGACCTCGGCCTGCTCTAAAAAAACGTAATGATTTAAGGAGCTGTCGGGTAACAGGTGGGGGGAAATGGGGAGTCCCTAAAATGGACCGCCGAGGGAATTATATAGGACAGGAATTGGTCAGAGATAACAGCTGGCGGTTGTCAACAGAGAAGAAATGGGTCAACTCGTCCTCGAATTACACCGAAGACTAGGGGGCTCGGCGTTGAGTTATTGGCGGAGGTCACCCCGCACACCGCTGCCGACAGCAGCCGCACAGCCCTTGATCAGAAACAGCCTTCTTTCTGCTCTCCAAGATACAACTTTTACCTCGTTTATTGTGCTGATTGCTCCTGTTACCCTATGTTTTGAGGATCCTCTTCGATGAAGTCAAGTGCTTTGAGAGAGACTAAGTCGCCTAACGAGCCGCCTTATGGAGGATAGGAGGGGTGAAGCTCCCTGGGCCCACAGCCTTCACTTTCAGGGCGTAAAGCCGTTTATTAGATAACGGGACTCCGAAATGGTTTCCGGGATTGAGTACGTTACATGACACCGGAGAGTCAACGACAAAACGTTTGTGCCACGAGGATTGAGAGAAAGGTACGAAGTTACATTCACACATTGATAAACCTCATATCAGCAACTTGTAGTATCCTCATTTCAAGGGCCGCTGGTCTAGTGGTATGATTCTCGCTTAGGGTTCACCCTACAGCTTCTGTTGCGAGAGGTCCCGGGTTCAATCCCCGGGTGGCCCCCATTTTTTCCCCTTTCAACTATCCTCATCCATCCCTCTTTACCTGTATTTTTGCTTCGACGCATTTGACATGGGGAACCGTTATCTGAGTCGTATCATTTACTACATTGTTCAATGGCCAGGATAATTGCACGTTACGCCCCTGTTGCCTGCTTTATTTACTTTTCTTAACTCCGACATTCGTATCTTCGTCAGGCACCGTGAGCTAACAAGCACGATTTTAACGCGTGTTTTTCCAAGGGAGCCTTGCGGCGTCTGAGAATACCCTTTTCTAAACAGCGGACCCGAAATAAAGGATGTTTTGATCTCACTTGTTAAAAGTGCCAGGCAATTAATTGTATGACGCTGGACTTGCTTGCGCCACCAGGGTAAATTGGAATATTGAGTTGTTTGACCTGACTGTATTTCCGTTTTGGTATCGACAATGAAAATGAATGCCTGCACAAAAACCTTGCTATCCTCCTCTATAATTAGCAGCCGCATACCGACTGGCGATGTAAGCCCCATCCATTATAGTCTTTACGCCGACTTCGGCTCCTCGGTGTTCTCAGTCTCGCTCTCGTTCTTGCTTTCGTTGTCGGCAGCTGGTGCAGCAGCGGACACAGCAGCCTCTTCCGGGTTATACTTCTTAATAAGGTTCAGTACCCGGGCGGGGTTGGCACCGACGAACTCGTCCACCTTCTCGCCGTTCTCAAAGAAAAAGAAGGTCGGCATAGCGCGGATTCCGAGTTCTTGGGCAAGGTCGGGGAGCTGGTCAACATCGAACTTGGCAAAGAGCGTCTTGTCTTTGAACTCGGGGTTTTCGGACCAACTGTGTGATGACGCGGTGTTAGTCTGCTTGTAACCATAACGATTTGGGGGTGGGGTAGTGGTGGTGAGCGGGGAGGATGTGGGTGGGAGGACGAACTTGGCCATCTGGGGCGCAATAGCCCTGCAAGGACCGCACCATGTCGCGAAGGCGTCGAGGATGACGACCGGGTTCTTCTGAATCGTCTCTTTGAACTGCTCGTGCCTGCAACAGAAAACGTATTAGCCCGTGTCTACAGGTGTAGGGGTAAAAGGTAGCACCAAGTGAATGTCCGGGGCCCCCCATCAATAGCTGAGAGGAACTAGGAGAAGGACAAGGCGGGACTTACGAAGTAATGTTGAAGATGGCCATCTTGGGCGAGCTGGCTGTGAACTGTCTCGTGGTGTTTCTTGTCACTGTTGGTGGAATTCCTCGAAAGGTCCTGAAGGCGGGGCGAAGTAGTCTGGTATTCATTGGGAGCGTGGGATGTTTGCGCCGGGCGGAAGTGAGGGTTTATGAGGGCCGATTCTGCAGAGGTCGCGGGGTGGATTCCAGCGAATGATGTAATCCAGGGCCCTCAGATTTGTCACTGGGCCGATGGCGCGACCCACGGTTCTTCCGACTTCATGAACCAACGAGACCGCATGTGGAAACCTCGATTACACAACGAGGTAGTGTAAATGCACGTCGATCTGGGTGACAAGTCAAGCTATATTCGGACTCAAAATTTACGTATAGAAACAAGATAATCTGATTCCTTCCCCAGTATTTTCTTCTCCGGCTTTCGTTGATATTCCCCACCTCCAACCCGCCGATTTAAACCCTAACCCCGCTCCCCTGATGCTTGCCTCATGTGCGCGTTTCGCTTTCCTCGACGGTCTCAATCCCGTATACACAACCCCGAAACGCCGAGGGATCAGTAATCTGTACCTAATCCTCAACCAACCATTTCACGGCTCACCAATGTTATCACGTTCTTGATGACCAATTTTGACAGTCTTTTCGTTTCACAGGCCCCTGGGTAAAATCGGCACAAAAGTCTTGAACACGACTAGACGGGATCTAACTAGCACCAACTCAAGTTAAGTAAACACCACATTCTCGCAGGCCTCCCCACTATCACACTTCTCATACAAACTCAAACGCGCATCACCGCCGCAAATCTCACCCTCGTCACCCGTGCACCGGAAGTTGCAGCCCTCCAGGCTAGCCAGTGTTGTCGCGGGCCAGCGCGTCGCGACCACTGCCTTACCACACCAGCACTCGCGGCTCCATTCGGTGCCCGCGTACTTGAACCCGCCCGCCGTACAAAACGCCGCGCACGCGGCATTGGTGTTGGTATCTGTCGACGTGGACGCGTCGGGGAGTGTGCGGAAAGCGCCGTCAGTCGTCCAGCGTTCCTCGGGCGCGCAGCCGACGAAACGGAAGCCGGAGGAGGTGAGGTCAACGAACGGAGCGCTGCTGGGGGTACTAGTTGCGGTGGAAGTCCTGGTGGAGGTCGTTGTGGTGGAAGTTGCTGGGATAGTGGAGGTGGAGAGTGTGGTGCTGGTTTGAGGAGGGAGGTCGGTCGTGGGAATCACCACGAGAGTGACTTTGATGCACTCGCGGTTGGGGTCGACCACTGGCTATGGGGTTAATACGGCTTCTTTTGGTGGAAGGATCAACAAGGGAGGCAAGGGGAGCGCATACGTGTGTTGCCCGGCGGGTAGTACCGGAACTCGTGGCTCTCTTCAAATGAAGAACGAACACAGATGTGGCCGCCCGTGGGCTGATCTTGCCAGGTCACGAACCGAAGCTCAATCTGAAGCGCGTCTGTGTCTGGGTTGCAGGCGTAGGTCGGCTTGAAGATGGCTCGTGGGTCACCTCGGCCAGTCATGAACATCTTCGTGGTGTGGTCGATCTCCGAGAACTTGGTAACTTATGTGAGCTGGCCATTGTACTACGACTAGACCCGGAACGGGTGGGAACAGAACACACCTCCCCACCGATCACGGCGCGCACCCCATCCGGGACATGGTTGATGACGCCGTCGACAAGCGTCAGGTCGTAGGTAGGCACACCGACGGGCCCGATGAAGAGATGACGATCACCGCCACCAGCTTCAAACAGGTTCATATACTTGTTGTGGACTTCAGGCCGGGTGGCATTCTGGACCTGAGCTCGGAACGGGTACGCAATGTTGTTATCAAGAGGGTCTGTTGGGATGGTGCAAGCTGAAGCCGTAACAGCGCTGGCAAGCAGCGCCGGGATGATCTTGCGATTCATGATGCTGGCGTTACCGAAATGACAACTCGAAGTCGCGCGAGAGAGGGTATATTTTAAAAGTCTCCCGCGAGCGTTGAACCACCGAACCAACCGGCCGCGCTCTTTATAGCTTCATTCCCCCTCCCTCGCTTTCCGCCCCATGGGTCCAACGCATCCTGCGTCCGAAAACAAACCATCACGGATCCATCGAAAAAAAGGTTTCACTGCAGCCTCCCAATATTCCCTTACCCCCCGGGCGCGGGCCGCCCAGGCTCGGCCCAGAACCGAGCTGAAGCGGCAGGTTCGATCGCGCCCAGTGCCTCACTGGCTGCTAGTTGTCGCCCAAGAACTTGGCTCCCACCCTGCTAACGAGCTTCCGGAAATATGGTTAGCTTGGGGGTGACGGTGGCTTCCACAATGCCGCAGGGCTGGAAACTTTTTCCGCCGTTTGCTTGCGGTTGCTTCTCTTAAAAACTCCGGTATACGAATATACTATGACTTCATAGTATGCCTCTTTTTTTAGCAGCCGAGAGCTCTCGTCGAAAACGTTATCAACACCCACCGTTTTCGGCCACGAACTCGAGACTCGACGCAGAAAATCGCAGGAACGTGCAGCGTCGCACAGGCAACTTCCGCCCAGACAGCACACATCAGCCGCACCTTGGTCCTCGTATCCATGACCGTCTCGGGTGATCGGCGTATATTTTGCCGGATTCGTCCGGTATGCAGGAAGCTGCAGAATGTTCTTTGGCAGCAGGGCTCCAGGGGTTTGAGTCTGGGCCCTGAGACAAAGGCCGCCGCGCAATGCTCGCCTGTTGGGGCGCGCAAACGGTGGCTACTGGGGGGTTGGGGGTGAGAAATACCCGCTGAAAAAGGAAAGTACATTCCTACGAAAAAGTCGCGGGAAAGAAGAGGTAACATCCATATGGGCTACTAAGAAGAAACAATCGCGGGAGGGGAGGCGGGAAAAACCGAGTATCTTCCTGCAAAAAGACGAGAAGTTTTGATCCTTAGTTATTCTTCATCTTTTCACGGCCGTCTTCCCGGCGCTGATGAAAGAAGAGTGCCCTCAGAGATACACCTCCTACATGGCAAATTAAGCCTCGTTGGATGGAATAATCTAGAGTATTATAGGTATTGTATAAAATCACACCGAAACTAAACTTATGGGAAACAACTCATCCCCGTTCGAACTGAAAGTTACATGATTAAATGGAAACCCGATGTCCTTTGAGGTCTACCGGACAACTTCGGTTTTTCGCAGGCCAAGCTAGTCACATATTCTACAACTAGGAGAAGGTAGAAGATGAAGGCTTGGGTTTGGTGCTTTGCCTCCCAACGTTTGGTCTCTCTCACCAGGCTTGAATTTCCCCAGTATACGCGACAAACTTCCCACCCCACTTCTCTCTCGTTGCTGTCGTCAACACCTTGAACAATCCGTTAATGGAATCCTCTAGCTCAACCCAAGGCTCGCTAAACCCGAAGTTCCCGAACACCTCGGCGGCCCGCCAGCCCATGTCGGTCTTGGTCCATCCCGGGTCGAGGATAATGCTAGTGAGCCACTCGTCTTCGCCGTGGATACGCACGCCGTACCAATTGAGCATGCACTTGGAGCCAGCATATGAGGCGCTGGGAACGGGAGGTTGATTGCTATGAGTAATAGCCAAGGCCTAAGTCAGCATATCTCTTCGAGTTTCAAGACCTCTCTCCATCTTTCACCGTTCTAGAAGCAAGATCGACGGCCAAACTTACCCTAGCGAGCCCCCAGACGACCCCATGGGAGCGAAAATCGGGTTCTTAGACTTTTGGAGCAAGTCTCGCGTTGCCTGGTACAGAGCAATGACACCCAACACATTCACCCTCACATGCTCCTCAATGACAGCCAGCTTCACATCCTTGACCAGCGGCCAGTCACGCGAGATGCCTGCGTTTGCGACCACTGTGTCCAGATGGTCAACACCGTGCTTGGACTGGAGCTCGTCGACGACAGCTGCTGCGCTCGCTTCTTCACCCGCATCATACCGGATCGTGATGAGCGTGCTCCCGGTCCCGCGGGTGAGGTTGGCTAGGGACTGGGAAGTGGGGTGCTCGGGATTGCGCACGGCGGCTATGACGGTCTGGTGTCCTGGTTAAGATATGAAGTGGGCATTTGTTTACCGTTAACGCGACTGTCTACTCACGTGGTGTGGTTGGGCTAGGAATCGGCCGACTAGACCTTCCCCAATACCCCGGTTGCCGCCAGTGATGAGGACGACGGTGGAAGTCATGTTGTCGATTGTATGTTGAACGCGGCGGGGGGAAGAAAGCAGTTGTGAGAAGTCGAGGGCCGATGGGAATGATGAGAAGAACGGCCGGCGCCTTAATGGGGTAAATGGTATGTTATTTATACATCCCTCAACCGGAATTCAGGCATATGAGGGGTTTGGTCCAGGGCGAGAGGTTCAACGACGTAATGCCGGCCAAACATCATCCGTCACGGTTGGGGTTGTACTTGCCATACCTCCCTCATCTACTTACTACATTTCGGTTCACTTGATTCGGCGACAAGCTTCAGGCATGCTGACAAACGGGTTCGGACTTGGGTGGCTCGGACTCTCTTCAATCCCGACATGAAAATGGTTGAGTTGGTGAGGTTATCACCCCCACCTACAAGCTACGCTCCTGGTTAAACCTTGAGCCCCAACACAATTCACCCTGGTTTGTTTCGTTGGGTCTTGAGTCCACCACATGAGAACTAAAATCCGAATTATTTACAGGCAAACCACTGCCTTCCATTTGGTGAGCTTGATGTGTGAGTATTGATGAGAAAAGGACAGAAAAGAGGTTATCATCAAATCTTCCGCCTCCTATGAATCATCACACACATCTTCACATCATCCTACAGACTTAATTACTCCTCTCTCCATCTCACAAACTCGGTCTCCAAATGCTTTTTCAACTCTGCGAATTTATTCCCAAACACTCTCCCACACCTCCAGCACACCAACTCCCGTCCTAAGTTGGCATTCTGATACCTTGTCTCACGGCGTGCGTCGTCTGCGGCCAGCGGCTGGTCGGCAAGCGGCACAAGAAATGGGGTCGTGAAACTGTTGTAGTGCTTGCGATGGCGCATCCGGTCCGAGTGCATGTCTCGCGACACGATATGCACGTGTAGATGGGCCATCGATGGGTGCGCGTGTGTGCCAACTAGGATCTCGCTTTCATAGTCCCGGCCCGGGGGTAGCGGGAGCTCCTCGATGGGTTTTGCCTCGCCGGTGTCGTCGTCGCCGGCGCTGACGTCATTCAGATGGTTCAACGCCGCGTCACGGGCCCGGTTGGTGGCTGAGAAGGACCCTAATCGGCGGGAGAGTTCGGCGGTGGCCAGGCGTACACCGACGGCGGCCTCCTCGCGCATCATAGCTAGGAACTCCTTGTCCATAAAGGCTGTGTGCGGGTGGAGGAGGTAATGCGCGGGGGAGCGCGGGAGCAGGAGAAGATGCACTGTTGCCTTGGGGAAAGCGTCCTTGATCAGGACTGTGTTGGTTGTCACGCGGAGAACCTCGTTCGGGAAGCGTTCGGGATGGTCGATGTACTCGACTAGAGCACCGCGCCAACGGCCGCGGATGACTTGGGAGGCCTTGTTCGCGAGAGATTGGGGTTGTTGTGATACTGGAGCTTTTGGTTTCGGCGCCATCAACTCAGTGAAAGCGTTCCGCGTTGAAGCTGTCTTTGATTTTGAAGGTGGATTTTCCGTTGATGTCGAATTCTCTGATTTCGCCTGTGCTGGATGGTATGTTTTAGGGCTCAATGTCTCGGGCTGGACCTCCTCGTCCATGTCGTCCGCTGAATCTGCCATGCTGGGGAACTTGTTACAGAACTTGCTTTGACGAGAAATCAATGCGAGTAAACGCGCGCGGTATAATTTTGATCGAGCTGTTGTATTCGTTATCATTAAAGAAAATGCACCGACTTTTGTTTGTGTCGCTCGTTTCCGGGTCGTTTGTGAGTTGGGAAACCTGGGATTGAAAAGTCCAAGTTTGGAGGTTCGAGCGGCAGCCTAGAACCCGCCAGTGTAATGACACACCAGTGCCTAGCGATCGGGCACTTGCACCCGGTCAACTCACTCTTGGTTTCAGCACTTCCACATTTTATCACTTCAATGGAGTTGACAGTCGAGGATTGAGGTGGCGTCGAAACCTTTACATTTTACACCAAGAGAATCATTTACCCAACTAATTCCCCCAGGGAAAAAATTGGTTTATCTTCGAAACTATGTCTTTCCACTTCAGATTCAATGTACATACACCTTGCCTGATATCGACCTTACCAGTTCTCCTATAATTTATTCCACCTTCAAAATTTTCTTCACATACTGAATTTGCGCAGCCGTGAGACCTCTCTGAGCGCCTTGCACAGTCATAAACTCCATAAATGCCTTCCTTTGATCCATCGGTACCGCACCGCTTACCTCCCACACACGTGTCGCAAACTCGCTGTTGAGAAGCCACATAATATCCCCAAAATCGTTGGACTCGCCGCCGCCACGGGATGTGAAGGCGGCCATCTTAGCTTTGAGGAGGTGCTTGACGTCGAGGAGGCGGTACTTCCGAGGACCGCGTTCAGTTTGGCCATCGACCTCCTCGGAGGCATCGAGAACGTTCTTCGGGGCACCGAGTGATGCTTAGTAGTGGAGGAAGGCGGTATGTCAACATTTTGATAGACTCTGGCTGACAGTTTACATGAGAGACCTGAAAAGTACACACCTTCACTGATCAAGTCCACGCACACCGGGACTTCGGCCAACCCAGCGTGAAACTGTCCGCCAACACGGACAAAAACCCGCATGACACCTGATACCGGGCCTTGGGGAATTCGTACTCTAGACGGCCGAGGATCAAAAAAAGATCAGCAACTCGTCCGTTCAATCGCAAAATGATCATCAGTCAAGCATCAAAAGGGCCGTTTCCATCTTACCGAGGGTCAGTAACCAGCGCCGCCCGCAGCTTCTGCATCGTGGTGGCCACCGCTAGATCTACGTCTAGCGTCAACCGCGGGCTGCCACGCAGCCGCAGCGAGAACCCTCCCATCAAGGCATAGTCGATTTCATGGCTGGACAGAAGCTGAATGATGTAATCCGCACCATACACAATATGGCCCGCCGTGGCCTTGCGGCTTTGTTTCTCGAGAACATGGAGCTGCTGATGGGTGTATGAGCTGGGCGTGTCGACCGACGATGGTGTGGTTGGCACGTTGGGACCACGGGGCTGGAGAGTAGGGGCTCTCCTGTTCGGAAGGGTCTGTAATGTTGGGGCTGTACCGCGTCTTGCGGCGGCTGATGTTGAAGCGGATGTGGTAGCGCGTGATGAGGAAGTTGATGCTGCACTAGAGGCTGTGGGTAGAGTCGAAGCTGTAGTTGTTGTAGTGTTAGTCGTGGTAGACTTTTGGACGGCAGCTTTAGATGTTGTCTCAATTTTTGTAGTCGCGGTAGCAGATGTATTATTGGTCTGGGTTGTCGCCGTTGTTCGGGTTCGGGTGGTTTGTGCTGGTTGTCTGTCTTGATCATCCGTGGACGCTGCTTTCTTCGCCGTTGATTTAGTTTTTGGCAGCGGGTCTTCCGTAGACGGCTTCTTTTTCACGGTGACCTTTACTTTTGGCTGTTCCTCTTCTGGAGTTGACTCCCTGGATTTGGATTTCTTAGATTTAACTGTCGACATCGTGTCTTCTAGCCCCGACGGGAAGGTTATGAACAACTATTGAAATGTTAACGTGCACCCTAACTTTTCTCATGGTGTTTTACCTATCTCGTTGTCTCAAGACGGGTATGTATCACTGACCTACCGGTCACTCTTCAGATAGTGTTTCGATAGTTGACTTAGTTCACGATTCTGTCGGCTGTTCTTAACGTATAACTTATCCGCCTTGAACTGATAAGCCCAGTCGAACTGTAAACCGATGATTTGTACCACACTATTGCCGATGACCGGTATAAATGAGAGGCGAGAGATCCCTAAACCGGAAGGATAATATCACCCGCGATATGATGGCGAGGTTAGTAGTCTACACCTAAGTGGATGTATACAAATATAAGATGTAGTAATTTGGTGAAGTTATTGACGTCTCTTATTCACAACAGCTAGATACGACGCTGATGGGACGGCCATTATATTCCCCATTGGCCGTCCGCATCGGCTAAGTCCGTGGTCGGCTTAGAATCCTTAATGTTCCAAGTTCCAGCATACAGTAATGGCCTTAGACAAGACCCCGCCGCGGATTTAAGCTTTGGTTGTTATGTTGGAAGAAAACCATACAGTCGGTAATTTGCAAGTTCTTGTCAGCGTGGTGCTGACATCAAATCCTTTGTGGCCGAGACAAAAAAGCGGTAATCATCACGGTCTTCGGCCGTCAGACCAATAATCCATTTTTTTCTCCCGTGACCCTCAGGTTCCCCGGTAACTACCCACATTGTTGTCACGTAGTTCATCACCCGTTTCCAGATTCTTAACACACGAGGGGCGCGGTGGATGAGAAGGATCCGGCCTGGACCAAAACTGGGACTTGGCGGCCATGCAGCTCAACCCAGAGGATGATGACAGTGGGGCGAGGGCCGCTGACTTGTTGGTTTCGATTAGCGCGATGCTGCTTGGAGAGGGTGCTGATATTTGCTATCATTGTATCCCATCCCAACCCCGGCTTTTGAAACGCTCGCCCGCCGAGAACTTTCTAGTTCCTGGGCCCCAGTCTAAGTCAACCTTGAATCCATGATCCATCCACCATCATGGAACCCTTTACCACCCATGACTTAGAGAAATGGCGAGAACAATGGAATACCGAGATGTCTCATCTGCCCAAAGATTTGCAACAGCCGTTCCCAGATCCAAGCCAGTTCAAAACCGCAACTCATATGCGTAACATCATTGAACTCCTCGAACAACACGACATCGCTTGCTGCATCGTTGGTATCAAGGCTCTGTGTTATTACGGCGCTGGAAGACTTTGCGAGGTACGAATGAAGCGTTAGCTCGTCCCAGCTAGAACTCGTTTGTAGGCCAATGATTAACAACATTTTGTTTCCATGAAGACCATTGAATTCTGTGTTCCCACCCAACAACTCGAAGCGGCCAACTCCATTTTCTCCAACGGCCCGGCAAGTCAAAACTACACACCATGGCGAGGATTCAACCCCGTTGCGGAAGCTAGACTTCGTTGCTCTCTCTATCACACCTTCCCTCGCTACCGTCTCAATTCAGAAGATGATGGCGCTCTCTTTGACTTCTACCTCGTTCCCTCCGTCGACTGGCGATTTGAATGCATCCCCGAGAACTTCGAGTACAGCGCCCAGTGCCGGTTACCCTACCCGAAGCTCCAACTTTTTGCTCAGTCCCTCCTAGAGAGACAAAATATGAGCGACATCCAAGACCTAGTTGACGGCATGGACCTCACCGAAGAATGGGGCAACGAACACCTTTTCGGCAACGAAACTAGCCCTGGCGCAAAAGATGACTACGCCCATTGGGTATCCAACAAGAACGCACAAATCCGCGCTGCCTTGCCCGACGCGGTCAAAAACGATCCACTGACCACTATCTTGGGCACCTCACTGTACGAGCTTGGAGATGGTCCGATTAATTTCCGCGAGAACTTCAACCACCTCGCCCGGACGCGGCAAGAACGGATTGGACCGGAATACCCACCGGGTACCTTTGTTACGAAGTTTAGAGCGAAAGGGTCGCCGGATCCGAGGACGGAAATCAGATTTGACGTGTAGCGGGAGAAAGATAATCCATGATAAAGGCAATAGTTACATAATTACCGCCATAACTCGACACGTGAAACGTTGCTTATTAAAATTGACTGCGGAGATTATTGAGTCGTGCAAGTAGACAGTAATTATAGTCTACACATATTCTATTAAACCCTTTACATCTTTAAGTGATGAAGAAAAACGTCGGGGATCAGTAAAGTTCGTTATGGCCTTCCGACCCTCGGGTTATGCACGTTTCTATGTATTTTAAGCCCTCCAAACCCCTTCATACCCGAGTCAGTCCAGTCATATCGGCCATTCTCCCCATCACACCATGTTAAAGGACCAAAGGAAAAACAACCGCCCATCGAGGCCACCGGCCGCGAGTACTAGCTCCCATCCCTTGGTATCAACCCATAACGCGCCAAGGAAACGGAAAGGGAAAACAGCCTGCCCAGATCATTGCCCTCTCGTGATAAACGTAAAGGCCATTAAAGAGGGGGAAAAACACAAGAATACAAAGGGAAAACAAAAGAGACGATCTGGGCGGTAGTAATGGAGGTGAACGGATCCGTGGGCAAAGGGGCACGTGGGTAATTATATCCCACCCCGGTGCCCCATGACCAAAAGTTGATCGATGTCTGATTCGGATTCAAGAGAGGATAGGGTAGGCTTGTGGCTGATCTTAGAGACTGGGTGTGTTTGTGATGTTTTGACCTTTTTTTTCCTTTTTTTTTTCTTTTTTTTTTTGGCCCGGGTGTTAGGCCGAGAAGGATAGGAAATGGAGTGTAATGAGCGAATGAAGGTCGGTTTGAATGCCCGTTGGCGGGCTAAAAGTTGTTAGGAAATGTGCAAACGAGTGTCAAGTCTCAGGATCGATCAGCCAACAAAACCCCCCTTCCATATCAGATTTCCTTTCCATGGTCGTTCACTTCGTTGCCGGAGCCCATTATGCATCCATTCCGGAGTGCAAGGTTGCCGTCTTCGCGTCGACTGAGGAACGAGGCGAAATTGAGAGCAGCCGTGCGCTCCCGGCGCTGATGCGCCGAGCGTGCGCCTTCCCATAGTCGATGCTTGTCGCCCGCTGAAGCCCAACATTGTCGCTGGCGTCGCTCTCGCCCTCTGTGCCCTCTACACCTTCTTCATCAAACGATCGGAGCAAGCCCTCACGACTCTTGATTCGATCGAAAGCCTGAGAGCGTACAACTGTGGGTTGCTGACCTTCGACGCTGCCCCAGTGGGGCACTTCTTCGCCCCAGTCACTCGATGGTCGGGCCTCTCCAGTAGATTTACGATTTAACGCGGAGCGGTCGCCGTGTGGAGGGGCAAGGCGCGAAAGGTAGTCATCGTTGGCGATGTACACATCGTCGTTGGGATTCTCGCTAATCGGAAGATTGCTGTGGTCCGACTCGGGAGTTCGACGGGATGATTGCAAACTAGGTCCGTGCTCCATGATCCCCGAGGACTTGCGCTTCTTTCCTAGTCCGCCACCGAACCACGATCCCTCAGAATCGATAGAGGCTAGCGACATCGCTTGGGGCTCGGGAGAAATTCCCGGGCCAGTCGTGTGGCTCAGGGTGGATGGTGTCTGCTGCATTCTATCTTCGGAAGGCGACTCAGAGATATGCGAGTCGTGTTTCGGTCTGAATGTCGATGGTGACGATGCTGCCGTTTCTGCAACCGGGGGAATGTCGGTGCGGATTACCGCGGGGGCCGGATGGGTTTCGGCTTCCGGCGACTGTACACGGGATGCTGGAGGGGAGATGGGGAACTCTGGAAGATCCTCACGGAAGCGTGACATAGTTCTCTTGGGGACCCCGGCTCCAAGATGAAGCGGAGTCGGGGTTATGGTAAGTGCGGGAGTTGGGCTTGTTTGCATCGAATCCCGAGAGGTATTGGAGAATGAGGGCGGGCCTCTTGAGTGCCGTCTTCTTTTGCTAGCCCATCTGAACAAAGAGGTCCACGCCCGCGGGCTTTTGGTAATACTTCCATCCAAGGGTTTTGATGGTTGTTCCGACCAGTCCGTCCTGGTCGTGGATTGTTGCGGGGACTTGGATCGTGAGAACTTCCGGCGTAACGACCCCTTAGATACAGGGGTCGCCAAAACTGGGGTGTCCTCGTTAATGTCGGGCAGGGTTTCCAACGGCGGTAACGGGTGGCTGTCGACTCGGTGGAATGTAGCCACAGGGCCTGGTCGGTCGGTCGCTTCGCACGGTTCCAAGTTGTCGCCGTCGAGCTCCGCCGACTCGCCGTTGTATTCCGGTGAAGGGGTATTTCGGATTCTCGAGGATGTGACAACGGCAGAAGCTGGGTCAACGCCGAGGCCGGCAGTTTCCCGACCGAAAACCCCGCGTTCAAGGTTCGGGGGCGACTCTCGTCCATGCTTAATCGCCTCAGCCTCTACGGCTTTCTGCTTCTCGGCGCGCCTCGCAAGCCTTTGTTCTAATTTCTCTTGTTCCAGCTGCTTTCTCCGGGCCCGTCGTCGTTGATCCCGCTCCATCAACTCACGCAAGTCGCTGGCACTGAGGTCGTCGGCAAGGTTGTCGACCCGCTTGTGCGCCTTCAACGTTGCCTCGGGGATTGGTTCAGTTAACCTCGTCTGGAATTGAGACGGGCTTCGGGCTACACCTGTGCTTCCCTGTACATGGGGTCCGGCTCGCGGGTTGGTCGTGTAGCGCAATGTTGGCCGTGGCGAAAGAGATTCGAAGGCGGAAACCTTATACGAGATGTAATCTGAATCCGAGGAAAGGGCAGAATCGATGGATTCGGCGAGCGGTAACGAGATATCTGATGACCGATTGTACCTCTCGAGCTCAGAACCCTTGACATCGCCGCCGCCGAACCCAGGTCGGTACCGTTTCGTATCTTTTCTCATCGGCCGGCCAGCCGTCCAATCTTCAGCAGCGGGGCGAACGGGTGCGAAAGCGCTCATTGCCTTGATCTCGGCTTCACGTTGACGATCATCCCTCCGGCGTTTCTTGCTCGACAGCTTCCGCAACGGGCGGTCCCCATCCTTCTTGCCATGAAGCGTCGGAACTCGCCACAGCATGTTGTCTCTCACGGCGTCCACGCCATATTCATCAATTCGGGTGTCGTTCCCAGCGTCTGGCATTGGTGTGTCTCCGTCACGCTGCCCCCCAATAATCCGTTTCCTTCCAACCTGTACGGAATCCTCGCGCCCAGGGGAGAAGCTGTATGCGCGAGGCCGCCGGTAGAGTTTGTTTGATCCCGTTCGTTGTCTTTTGCTCGATTGCCGTTCTGGTGCGTGGCCGTTGGGGTTGACGGCGATGGCTGGTGCGGTTTGGGTTCGGGAAGTCAGAAATTCGGCGACACCACCTGTCGCGCCGCGCTCATCGTTGTCGGTGGTGGTAGCCCGGCCGCGTTTTCGGCGGGTGCCGCGCCGAAACGGCCACAATGGCATTATGGCACTGGCGATGGCGGTATCACAGGCGCTGGAATGTCGAATCTGTTGTGCCGTAGTTAAGGGCGTTGTAATGACTGAAGCAATCGGTGCTTGGCGTGAAACGGCGGATATTCATTCTGAATGTAACCAGAGGAGGAACGCATCGACGAAAGTTGGTCCGCGACTTTCAGTTTCGGTGGAAAGAGCGGAAGTTTCTATAGCATGCTTCACGCGACCGTGGTGTTGAGAGCTACACGCCAAAACTGTCCTGCTTCTGTCTGCTCAAGTCGAGGAGGGTCGAAGGTGGCGAAATGCGGCGAGCAAGCGACAGGCCGAGTCGAGAGGAGTTGAGCGCTTGGTGGTCTTGGGGGCGAAACTAAGGCAGTTGATGAATCCAGGCGAATCGGACCCTGGATCTGTCGAGCGGGGGAGGGGTTCTCTGAATGCGCCTCGCCAGAAAAGCTAAGATCACCAAAGTGCTCGTTGCCAGTGGGGGGAATGTCTGAGATGGATGTCTCAGAGAAGGGCCCACGTAATAGTTATTTGAAGGCCTGTGCAGCAAGCAAACCCTTGGAAGAAATGGGAAGTCGATTTTGCAAGGGAGCAAGCAAGGTACCCGGCCTTTCCCTGGTCGAGACCCCCTGCTCTCCGGGATAAAAACGGAGTCCGGCAGTTTGCTCCAAAATGTGCTTTCAAACGGAGGACACTCAGAGCCTCAAAGAATTGTTCACCGCGGAACGATCGAAACCGACTTGGAGCCGGCTGCCGTAACTCGGTACGTACTCCTATCCGTAATCGTTGCCAAATGAGGACAAGCACATTCCGTTCTGCCTCCCGTTTCCTGAGCCAGCCACAGTTGAAACAGTGGGGTCGATGATGCTTCACCCCTGGTCGAATCAAGTCCTGCACATTCTCGGGTTTGCCCCACCCAACGGCTTTCGATTTGCCGCTCAGCCCAGTTCAGGTTGTCACCCTCCCATGCAACGCAACGACCCTGTTCGCAAGAGGCTCGACCGATCTTCCGATGTAAAAGTTTTGCGCCAGCCCGAAAGCCGAGAAGCCAGCAAAAGCTCCAGGCGCATGACCACGATGAAGAATGGGCTAGTGTGTGTGGTTTCAACACTGGATGACAAGAAGTGTCAAGTGTCCTGCTTCGATGTGCATTGGCTTTGCGCTATTTTCCTAGGCACATGGTTTCGCAATGCTCGTATCCGCCCCATTCGCCAGCGACTGAATGGGCTGCTGCACGGGAGCCAGACGAGGGATGAGAAGGGGGTCGGCGGGCCCAAACTCCTCGTTCGAGGGGGTCTTCGTGAGAGCCGGGGGAGCGAACGAACCATTTCATCGCGAAGGCCGTCGTGCTCCTCTCACGTCCAAAAGCTGCCCTTCCGCCAGGGATTAATACTGGTTACCTTTGTCGTAGATAGGTATCGGCCGGAAAGGGAGCTGCAGGGATTTCAATTTGAGCACGCATTGAATCCTTCGTCCATCCAAGTGGCTCAAAACCCAAGTCTTCTCCTAGAGACAGGCACAATTTAGGTTGGACTCCTGCACTTGCTTCGACTCCTCGTTTGACACGTGTTTGCGCGCGCTGAAGCCGATAACCCATCCCCATTGCCCCGTTGCAGCCCGTGCATTTCGCCGTAGGTAGCCAAGTTTCGACGGGTTCGATCCGTCTGGACGACGGTGTCCAACTTCCATGCCCCCCACACCATTAACTTTTCTCCAAGTTTGACGAAGGACACAAAGTTTTGAGAAGAGTAGAGGGCCGCATAAAGAGAAAATTGGCAGTGTGATTCGAGATATTTAACTCGGTAGGCTGCTCCCCATTTTCCTACAGCCCGTGTACGAAGAGTGTAATGGCGATGACGAGGTGTCAATGCACCCGGCTGGGCAGAAACTCTCCTCAGAGAGATCCTAAACCTTGTTTTGCTGACTCGACGGATGATCTGCATCCATTTTTGTCCCTTCCATGGCCAAACCGTCGTCCTCGTCGTCGTCCTCGTCGTCGTCGGGCCCAAAGCAGCAATGTTCCAGGTTTGGTAAGCCCAGTTCGAATCCCTGACCCCGGGAGTGGCCCGGACGGTCCGGCTCGTGCCACAACCGTTGAGCTTGGAAGCTCAAAGCGGACAAGCCACAACACCCGATCGTCAGCGGGACTCTGTTCCTCTCGATGACGAAAATCTTAATGACGCCTACGTCTGCTAACGGGGGGCAGGTATTCCTCGGAGTTTCGATCGCAGCATCACTCACAAAGCCTCTTCGCTTCTCAACTGAGCCCAGTTGATGTCGTGCTTGTGGCACGCCTGCGCCATCCCCAGGAGGTATAATAGGCTTAAATTATTTTGTTTGCCTGCGCTGCGGAGCCTCGTACGCCATCCGCCCGCAGCAGAGGAGTAAGTGCCGGCATCATGCTGTACCTTTCTTCTAGAGGCCATCTGTTTCCAAAAACGAGAAAAGTTGGGATTTCCGTGGTACAAGGCAGGAGACACAGCAGGTAGGGTCCGACAACATGGAGCATGTGCAAGCACGAACAACGGGTTTAACGCACGGCTCTAGCTAGAAAACGGTGGGTTCGGCCGAGTTCAATAAAGGCGGAAGCACACACGATGGCTAGGTATGGCGTAGATGGTTTTAATTTGCGTGTGAGTCGATGCGCTATACGCTTTAAACCCCAGGCTTAGGATCGTAAGGGTGTGGTCATCCGGGCCGTCCAGTCAGCAGTTATTCTTCAACCATCCCACCTTTTTAACTCCATCTGCTGCAACATAATGCGGGAGGGGGTAAAGAAAAGAAATACGATCGGAATTATCATTATTGAGGTCCCGGGCGTCAGGCAAAACGTGAGAAATGGGAGGTTGAAGCATGTTCCTATGCTTGCCGCATTGTGTCAATGTGCTTGGTGCGGAGAGTAAACACACCCTTAGAGTGGATTCCTTCGTCGAGTTCATGTCGCGGCCTGCGGATGTTTTTCAGCTTGGATGTCACGCAGCGGACAAACCAAAATATGCAAATAGCGGGACTTTGATCGACGCCAAGCAATGCCTGTTTCTCGAGCAACCCACCCCACCATTGTCAACATCGCACACTCCAAAGTCTGGTCGCATTTACCGACCACACCACGCGACACGACCAACACCGAACCATTTCAGTCGCAAATTTTGTCCACGAGAGGCCATACACGATGTCCTATAACCCACGAATGTCCATCATGCCGCCGGCGCAGCAACAGTCGCGGTCGCGCAAGAAGGAGGAGGAAGCGGCCTACGCGAACATGCGACTCCCTGATCGCGAAATTGTCGGCTGCATCAACGAACTCGGCATCCCGTTCACCCTCGCCGACCTCCAGAAGCCGAATCCAATACAAGTGCAGATGATTTTCGAGTGGTTCGGCGAGCTACTTATGAACAAAACACGACAGACGGTAGATCCTGCTATGCGCGCAGCAGCCGAAGACCTCTGTGGTGACTTCGGTGACTCGCTGATGCCGCCCGATACGCGCAATCTGATGGGATTCTTTGTGGCTCTGCGCCGCCTAATGCTGGACTGCGGCGTCAACGACTTCAATTTCCTAGATCTGTACAAGCCGACCCATGACCGCCTTGTCAAGATCTTTAGTTATGTGATCAACTTCGTGCGCTTCCGCGAGAGTCAAACGAGCGTCATCGACGAGCATTGCAACCGCGCCGAGAACGCCAAAGCGCGTATTGAGCAGTTGTATGCCGAGAATCAAAGCATGGAAGCGCAGTTGGATGAGATGCGCGCCAATCGAAGGCAGATGGAGGCTCTGGTGGCGGAAAAGACGCGACGCAACGAGGACCTCAAGAAGAAGTTGTTAGATCTTCGGCGCAACCAGGAGAAAGTGGCCGCGCGGTTGGAGGAGGCGAAAACAAAGAAGGGAGAGCTTGCGGTCGAATTGGAAGAAAAGACGGCCACAAAACTAGCGTTTAAGCAAGACAGTGCCAAACTACGCCCATACACACTACAGAGCCCCTCGGGCCTGCAATCTAGCCTCACGGAACTCAGCAATACGCTCACAAACGACAAGTCTCACATCGACTCCCTTGATCGCCGCGCTCGTGCGCTACAAACATCCACCGACTCCTTCGCAGTTGTATGCACCGACGTGGCGTCGTGTATCAAGCTTCTAGAGGAGATCGCTGTGGAGCTATCCAAGGAGGAGGAAGACAACGCCAAGAACGCAAAACAACGAGATGCGCTTACGGAGCGTGGTGCTAACGTTCGCGAGGTCGAACGAACCGAGGCACTGCTACAGCGACAATTGTCTAAGTGGATCGAGCGGACGGAGACGCTGCGGGCCCAGAGCCAGGACAAGGCACAGCGGGCCAAAGAAAAGATGGAGGAGCTACGGGATATCCACAAGACGCTCAATGAAGAACGGTCTGAGAAGGGCAAGGATATTGAGCGGAGGAGGGTGCGGATCGAGCAGATTGAGAAGAAGGTTTGTTGTCACTGCATGGGTAGCCCTGAAGGTGCGCTGGTTTCTGACATAATTACAGATGCTCGATCTTAAAGAAAACATCGAAAACGAAGTTCACGCCGCGCACGACGAATACCTCAAGATGGAGGCTCATATCAAGCTATATATCACCGAGATGGAGCAAGCTGTTTGAGCGGCGTCTCATGATCATTTTCCTATGTCGAAATAACGTTGTCATAACATTTGTTATTGGGTAATACGGCCGGTTTGGGATTTTCACACATGGATACCACGGTGGGACAAGCGGGTTTTGGCGTTGGAAGGGGCGTTGAGACTGATTTGGCATAGGGGCTTGTTATCGACCAAAAGAGGGACATGTCGGATCAATCACGAACACAAATACAGTTGTCCAAGGACTACATCCTCCTACTGCAGCCATTCAAATGACCGCCGGCCGCCTCGCTTTACCATCACATACTCACCTAAGCATCTAGGAATCTCCCACATGGCTACTGTCCCATGGCCCCTCCCGAAAGCGAAACCACCTCCCCAGCACCCTCCGCACATCGACAGTCTTCTCCGCCCACCCCGTTCTCCCTTTGCCATCCCTTTCCCCCACGGCACCGCCTGCTCTTCTCTCGAGGCCACCCAAAACAGGGACCCGCTCTGTCAACAACACCTTCATCCTTCCCGCGCTTGGACTCGGCGACATGCCACTCTCCACTGCTATTGCATCCTCCACATCTACACCTTCCTGGCCCTTATCACCCTCCTCCTTTTCCACCCCAGATTTCTTTAATGACCCTACCAACCCCTTCCCGGTTTCCACGCCCCGTTCCTCAATAACCACAACGCCAATCCCTTCCCTTCGACCCGCTTCCACCAGTACCGCGCTGCTTGCGCCAAGGCCTTGGATAGACCACTCGCTGGTATGCCGGTGCAAAGCGATGAAGTTATAAATGAGAAGATGCGGACCGTTCTGAGGGGAGGAACTGGTCCCTGGTGCCCGCGCTGCAGTGGGAGTACGGCCGGAATTTGCTAGGGGAGGGGGTGGTACGACCTTGTTCGTACGCTTCTGGGTAGCAGAGGAGGTAGCAGGGGGGACGCTTAAGGAAAAGACGGAGAGGAAGGCTCGCAAGTGTGATACGGTCGGGATGAACACGGTGCGTATGTGGCGGGTCGTGTAGAGTTGTGCGAGGTGGGGTATCAGGAGGGGGTGTGGTTCCGCGGCGGCTAAGGTTTGGTCTCCTTCTGCTTCTTCTTCTCGCTTTGGCCTTGTTTCTGCCACGTTTGGTGTTTCTGGGGACACCGATGGGGGCACAGCAACACGGCGTGAGAGGGGCTCAGTGCCGGTGTCTAAGGCGGTATGTGACGAGGTAGTGGGCTGTTTCGCAACTGTAGGCCCATGTGGTTTGCCTGTGATGCGCTGTTGTTGATGTTGCAAAAGGTCGTGGGACAGAGAGGCCAGAAAATCGGCCTTGTTACCACAGATTATGAGAGTTGTTGGGTAGCTGCATTTGTCGATGATAAATTGGAGCAGTTCTGATGGTAAAGCAGGGGAAAGGAAGAGGGGTTCCATAAGTACGAATAGTTTGGGTAACTTGACAAAAGGGCCTGGTGAGACAACAGGGGGATCGTGGAGAAGTGTAACTCTTCTTATTCTTGTCCTTTTTCGAGTTGATTGGGGTTACATCTGTATGCAATGCTCTCCATGTCTGCATGCACGAGAAACGCTGGCTGCATTCCGGATCTGGTCCTCGACTTCAAGCTCCAAGAAGTTGCCGATCGATCGAGGCATTCGCACCGGACCGACCCGCCCCCAGTATCTGCCCCGCTTGCCCGTTTGTGGGGGTTAGTTGCATAAGTACACTATTACAGATCCGCACAGTACCCCGCCGCCGCTTGGCAGAGAGCTCCCAGCGCAGCTCACGTCACTGCTCGGCGGCCCTGTCAGGCAATCACCCACATGAGGTCCCTGAAAGGTCCCTAGCATTTGCGAACAACCAGACGACGCAAGCTCGACGGAGCTCCCAACCGCGCAACGCTAAGCGCGCGACATGGAGTCGATAGCGAGGATCTCGACACTGCTCGAGAATGGTGTGTACCTCACCACGCCGAAGTTCACCTCATTTCAAACTAACCGCGCCCCTCTGCAGCCCGGGAACTCACCCTCGACGCTGCCTCGGCTGCTCGGAGCTCACGCAGCACATCCCGACCGCTCGACCGCAATCAAGTCAAGAAGTTGTTGGATAGCCGCAATGATCGAGAGGTCCTCGACGGGTTGCGGCGCGTCATCTCAGTGGGTTGACCTCCTCTGGGCCTACTCGTGTCTCTGCTGTTTCGGCTGACATCAACTGTTAGATGATGTACCGCAACCAAAAAACACTACCCCTATTCTCCTCCGTCGTGAAGAACGTTGCGTCACCGAACCTCGAGATCAAAAAACTCGTTTACATCTACCTCATCCACCATGCCGAAGAGGAACCCGACCTTGCCCTCTTGTCCATCAACACTATTCAAAAGTCCCTGTCTGACACGAACCCCCAAGTACGGGCGCTAGCCCTGCGGACTATGTCCGGTATCCGAGTTCCTGTCATCAGTCAAATCGTATCTCTCGCGATCCGAAAGGGGGCTGGCGATATGAGCCCCTACGTTCGACGGGCCGCAGCCCTGGCTATCCCGAAGTGCTACCGACTCGATCCCTCGCAGCGACCGCAACTACTCGAGTATCTAGCGACCCTACTTGGAGACAAACAGTACTACGTGGCGGGCGCAGCGGTGACGGCATTTATGACTATTTGCCCGGACAGAATCGACATGATACACAAGCACTACCGAAGTCTAGTCAAGATGGTGGTGGACATGGACGAGTGGAGTCAGTTGACGACCTTGCGTCTGATGTCCATCTACGCACGGAAATGTTTTCCACGGAGGACAAGACTGACGGGAAGCAAAGAGAAAACGAACAGTCTTCAAGACTTTTATGGCGAGGGGACCGGGGACGGTTCTGGAGGCGGGGAGCCAGTGGTTGTCCTGGACCCCGACTTGGAACTGCTTCTCAATAGCATCAAGCCTCTTCTACAATCACGCAACTCAGGCGTCGTTGTGGCGGTTGCAAAATGCTACTCCACTATCGGGACACCAGCCTACATGAAAACAGCAATCGGCCCCCTGATTGCTCTTCTCCGTGGCGCCCAAGATATTCAACAAGTGGCTCTGTTCAACATTGTCTCCATTTGCTTGACTTGCCCAGCGGACTTTGTTAAATACGCTACCCACTTTCTCGTCCGTGCAACCGACTCGCAACCAGTCTGGGAGCTCAAACTGGAGATGCTCACGCTCATCTTCCCTCACGCCCCAACCCATATCAAGAGCCTTATTCTCAACGAATTGGAACACTTCAGTCGGGGTTCAGATAAGACACTAGTGCGTGAGGCTGTTAGATCGATTGGACGTTGCGCACAAACAGACAGTGATACCGCCCCAAGATGCCTACGTCTCCTACTTGGCCAGATCACGAGCCTGGACGGTACCCTAGCGGCCGAGAGTTTGACCGTCATCCGCCATCTTATCCAACAAGATCCGACCGCACACGTTGCTACCGTTGTTCGGCTTGCCAAGAATCTCGACTCGGCCACGGACCCCCAAGCACGCGCCACTATTATCTGGCTTGTTGGGGAGTTCTCAGGTCTCAATGGAGAGGACAACATCGCCGCTGATGTCCTTCGCATTCTTATCAAGGACTTCGCCTCTGAATCTGAGCTCGCCAAACGCCAGATCGTCCTTCTCGGTGCCAAGGTTTACTTACACTACCTCAACCGGCAAATCGAGGAATCTCAATCGCAATCTGAGCATCAGCCTGAATCCCAAACTGAACTCCTATCCGAGGGACAGGAACCCTTCCAATCACCCACCACTGCCCGCGGCCCCAAGCTTCTCGAAGAAGATGACCACCCGCTCGCCAAACTCTGGCGATACCTCCTGCTCCTCGTACGATACGATACATCCTACGACCTCCGCGACCGTACCCGCCTGTACAAATCCCTACTATCAGTGCCCCAACTCGCCACGCTAATGCTCCTCGCCCCGAAGCCGGCTCCACAAGCTCCCAGCCCATCCGAAACAAGAAAGGGATACACCCTAGGTTCTGCAGCGCTGGTGCTCGCTGGAGGTGGCGGCTTGCACGGACTGCGAGGGTATGAGGACTTGCCAGGATGGGTAGAGGATGGGAAGGAACCGGATCCGAGCCTGAGAGATGTGGAGGGGGCTGGGCCAGCAGAGAGGTATGGTGAAAAGAGGGTGGTGCCTGCCGCGGAGGCGTTGGATGCTGCTGCGGCCGCTTCGAGGTCTGGGTCTGGCGCTAGGTCGTCACCTGCTACGGTTGGAGGTGGGATAGGAACCCGGCATGCAAATGGGTTGGGAGAGAAGACGTTGGATGATTGGTTAGCGGAAGAGGAGGCGGAGAGTGAGGAAGAGGAAGATGAGGAGGAGGAAGAGGATGACGAAGAGGAGGAAGAGGAGGAATCTGGGGAAGAGGAAGAAGAAGAAAGTGAAGAAGAAGAAGAAGATGATGATGGTGATGATGACGACGATGATGAGGAAGAAGAGAGCGATGAGGAGTCGGAAGAGGATGCCAGGCTTATGCGTCCTTCATGACCAGCAAGTTGACGATTTAAATATAAAGGACAAGAAATGCCAAAGTAATTCCACCTGACTGACAAGTCCCCCTCGCCCTCCATGTTTGCGTATCATTGCTGCTTTCGACGATCAGTTGGCGAGGGACAACCCCTTGATCGACACTTGAGACTTTCTCAATGCTGACTTGAGAGAAAAAAGTCATGGCAGCTCGAAGGAAGAAAACACCGCACTTCATTAACTTTTTGAATGAACGATATGTGTCTAAGCAGATTGCTTCGCTTATGTACTTCGAGCCTACACAATAAGGGCTATCCGAACAATGCTGCCCCGTTCTGTAAACCGGGAGCGTATCTCCTAATCCTAATCCCGCGCTATTAAACCCCAGAACTTCGATTTTCGTTCAAAACGCCTGTCTATCGAGTGATCCTTCCTTCGATACTTGTGTAAAATGCTGGGTGCGGTGTAAGAAGCTGTATTATGTACCCGCTAAGCGCCGAAAACAGATGACACCTAAAAGACTTGGATCACCATCGCCGACTACAAACTCCATGTTAATTATCAAATATAGATGTGCCAGAGAGGAAGAATGTGCTTACCCAAACGCCGCCGCCACCTTGGGCCGCTTGATGGGTCGTTTCGGCGCTGGCTTCGGCTTCGGTGCCAATTTTGACTCTGGTTCGGGGGAATCCCTCGAGAGCCCCAACAAACCCGCCTCCAGAGCCGTGAGCGGCGATTCACTCCGACTGCGGTTACTCCTTTCCGGGGTTGATACTCGACTGCGGCCACGCACAGGGCTATTATACCGACTCCGGCTCCGGCTGCCGCTCGGGCTCCGAGATCGAGACGGCGATCTACGCTTCCGGCGTGGTCGGTCCGCCCCCTGACGACCTCGCTTCTCGTCCTGATACCGGGAAGTGCTTCTATCGAGGGATTGCCCGCTATGGTAGCCGCTGTCGTGGCGCTGGTCTGCATAACTCATTCTCTCGTCTCGTGGTGGAGGGGAGTATTTTCCGTCGTTGTATGCTCCAGAATTCCGGCGCTCATTCGTGTTTCGCAGGCTCGTTTCACCCGCTTGTGGTGACCAGGGATCACCCTCCAAATTGAACTGCACCGGAGACCGACTGCGACGAGGAGGGGACACGGGTCGGTCATGGCTGTCATATGGCGTGTCTTTCTGTTGCTGAGACCACCGACGGCTCCGTTTGGGATCTCTCCCGTCTTTGCTGGGCTCTGAGTTGACGTCCAATGATCGTTTTCGAGGCCGTCTCCCGTTTCTATCATATTCGCTGTTCCGAGCATGACTCGAATCACGCTGTTGACGGCCTTGTGACCGGCGAGGCTGGGACTGGTCGTTGTGATTATTTGTCCGTCTTTGTTCCAGCGAGACCCTCCTTGCATTGACCGCGGATTGGTCAATCTTGAACTTGGGCGGCATTTTGAGCGCCGAGGGCGAAGGGGGCGGATCTGAGGCATCGTAACTGAAGTATTGGTGTTCGTAGCCGGAGAAAGAACGGCTGACCATCCCCGAGAAGTGCTTGAATACGGGGTCATCTTTGAGCGTAGCCCAAGAGGGATGCTCTCGGATCGACCGCACAAATTCCTTCTGGTTATCTTCGCGGAACCAATCCGACTTGACGCAAGTGGCATTATAAGCTGGCGGTATCGTCGGGTCTTCGTTGTATTCGGCTCGAAGAGGGATCCCCACGGGATCCGCTGGGGTTGTCTGGATCTCTGGGAACACCAGCTTGAGTTCTTCTTCTGTTTGGCGATCTAGCTTGCCCTCTTGATCCGCCTCTGGGTCGCTCGTGGCTTTCTTCGGCCGCTCTGAATTCTTGATCGGTTCGGCATTGGCGTCCACTTTTGGCTTAACTTCCTCACCTCGCCTAGAGTTTCCCTCGCGGTCCTGACGCCCTCGTCGCTCATTGCGCGACTTGCCTTTTCCATGCCGCTCACCACGCCTCTCACCATGCCGCTCGTTGTGCCGCTCGCCGTATCGCTCGCCATGCCGGTCGTTCACATCTCGGTTCTGTTCACGCTGCTGGTGGGAGCGTTTCGAGCCGTTGTTCTTTTGGTGCTTCCCGCGATGAGTCCCTAGCGGCGTTTGGTTGGCAGACGGTGGAGGCGGATGAGCCGGCCCAGCTGCGGGTGGCGGAGTCCAGCCGGGTGGTGGAGCGTACTGAGGAGTAGGAGGGGGGTAGGGATGTGGCTGGCCTGGAGGAGTGTACTGGTACGCACCCGGGGGTGGCGGCGGTGCAGGCGGGTAATGCGGGATATAAGACGCCCCTGCCGGTGGTGGTGGTGGCAGTGGTGGTGGTGATGGTCCATATTGATGCGGAGGATACGTGCCTGGGGGGTACGAAGATGGAGCTGGGACCGGAGGTGGAGTTGCCGCAGGCGGAGGGGGGGCGCCATTGGGGTAGTAGTTTGGGGCAGGCGGGTATGGCGGCGGATAGGAAAGTTCCTGCCGATAAGGAGCTTGGTGAGGATAGTGAGGTGCCGGCGGCGGCGGCGGAGGAGGTGGTGGTGGTGGTCCTGGGTACTGGCCATATTGCGGCGGCGGAGGGGGATGTTGGTATGTTCCCGGATAGGGGTTTGGCGGGTAGCTAGGTTGTGTGTAGCTGTGGGCTGGAGGGCCTGGGGGCGGAGGTGGAGGAAGGCCAGGAGGGTACGAAGGGGGTGGAGGAGTACCATACGGGACGTGATGCGTGGGCTGGGCCGAAGGGGGCGGGTGGTAGTGAGTTACAATGGGGCCTTTCTTCTCCTTCGATGAGCTGACCCGTCGCTCATGACTGCCATGTTCCTTACGCTCTTGCCATTGTTGTAGACCCCTGCCATGAGTTAGACGGCCGAAAACGCAGGCACAGAGTGAGTGGCAGAGTCTTTGCAGACGCTCTATAACTTACACGGGCACATCTCGGGTGGGCTCTGGGCATGCAAAGGCCCAATGGCCCTTGATGCCGCAGTTATAGCAACTCGGCTCTTGGGCAGTAGCTGACTGGCCCGGGGCTTTTGACTCCATGGCGGTTGGAAGACGGAAGCCAAGGGAAACGGCGAGTTATGAATGATATGGGGTGAAGGTATGTCAGAAGCACCCAGAAAGTAAACTCGAAAAATAAACCTCGAGTTGACGAGCGTCGTGTCGCATCAGCAGCGAGATGGCGGCGATGACCTTGATGGAGACGTTGAAACAGGAAGCCAGGTAAGCGACACTGGGTGGGCCGGCAATTGGTCTATGGGGACCCTGTGTCGGTCGTTGTATGAGTGCCAGCCCACGATCGTAAAAGCAGGGCTCTCATCCAACACCAGTGAGTGTCGTGAAGATATCAAAAGACCCCTGCTTCGAACCGACGAACCGGAGCCGGGCCGCGTCGGCGATTGACAAAGAGGCGCGACCCGTTTTCGGCCCAGCAAGAGCGAGCGATTGGAAGATTCCGACGACAAACCCGCCTGCACTTCGAGTCCTCCGCTTCTAGGGTCGAGGAGATGAACGCTATTGTAACATATGGGCGGGAGATGACGGGGCGGAATAAAGAAACGGAACTCGGCCTCGGACGGTGTGGTCGCGTGGTGAAGGCCTGAACGGGTGAGGTGAAGGGTGGATCGGTCAGATCTCAGTTGAGCCCAAAATTCGGGTTGAGATTCCGCCGGTCGTTCAGCCGCGATCAGAATGTCGCTGCGGCTTGATGCGGGGCCAGCCGCCCCGGAAGTCACGTGAATAAAGAAAGCAAAATGCCCATTGTCCATTGTCCTTATCAACTGCATTCTATTCAACAATGGGCGTTGGTGTCAGGTTGGGACTTTGACACCATCAATCCACAGGGGTACCAAGAAATTACAATACCAGCCCGAGGATCCAACCGCTACGATAGCAAGGCATGAATAACACAGACAACAAGGGTACTAGACACCCCAATCGAATACGTTCCTCAGGCGACAAAAGTATGTAGACAGAGTGTGCCCGTGGAAGATCAAGATCCTACACGCCACTGTGAAGTGCAAGAAACAGATGGAAATCCGCCCATACGTGATGTTCTAAAAAGAATATCAAACTGAAGGACGCTCATAACGCGGTGGCAGAGAAATGAATCCAGCGAGCCAATGCAACAAGGAGAAAACGCCACCAAAGCCCAGCCAGGTACGACGAGGTTTCGGCCTGATGTGAAGCGACGACTAGCGTCCTCGATGGAACCGACGCCTAATTCGGCGTCTTGAACGGGGGTGCTATAAGGAATACCAGAACGAAACCGAGGAGAGGGGAGGAAACTGCCTCTGGTCGGATCTCAACACTGCGATCACAAACCGAAACGAGGCTAGAAACGAGGTAGTTACCACTCCAGAGCCTTGTGGGAGTAGCTGGGGCCGACAGCCACAGACTTTTCATCCCTGCACATATCTTGATTTGGGAAGAGAAATCCACAAAGTCAAGCGGCGGGCTCTTCGTGCAAATGTCGACGGAACAAAGGGTGGCAGAAATGGGAAGATGAGGGAGAAACTGTCGAGAGGCGGCAAAGTGGGAAGAGCGCTGCTTTTGAGCCTTCCCATTCCATGTGGGGAACTTCAAGCACGTGCGGCGCGTGTGCCGGCGCTTGGCGGAGGCCCCCTCGAAAAAGGCGGCAGACCAGGTCCCGCCCTGGATAACTTACTTTGCTACAAAAGTGAAAAAAGACAAAAAGAAAAAACCAAAAAAAAAATTGAAAGAAGACAAAAAAGAATAAATCAATCAAAATTTACCAAGATTTGATCGAATGTTAATGGATTGGACTTGATCTATCTGTTTGAGTGTGCCGCTTTTTTTGGCCACAGCGAGGCCCCTCAGTGGAAGAATCGCCTGCCGAAGTTAGTCCGGCCCAACCACAAGGGATTGAAGCGTTGAAAGCAACGCTGCAGAGCGACAGCCAGGCCGACTCGACAGGACGGGAGTGCTGACCAGGAGCGCGCCCCTCGACGACCACCACCCAGGCTCTCCGTCCGCCAACCACCCGTCGAGGCTTACCATCCTTCGATCTCCTCCTTAGCCTGACATCAAGGAAAATATCACTTTTATTCGACCGATGCTGTAATGCCCGCTAAGACAACAGTGCCAGGCCCTTTTTACTCTATGTGACGCCCAACCCTGGCGAATATGTTGATTCGCAGACTTCCACTCCCCACCGTTGGCATCGCTCAAACCGGGAGTCGCAGTCCTCCCCTTTGCGGATCTTGATCATATCTACCCACTCTTTCTTTCCTTCCACCACGTCTAACTACTTTCAAAGATGCCGGGCCTCCCTTGTGAGTAGCCCCAGGGGCATCTGCGCAACCGCGCCCCGCGCCGCTCATGCGCCGGAAGCAGACGAGCATAGCTGACACCTTTTGGCCTAGCTTCCGTGGACCTTGACGAGTGCATCTCTCGCCTCTATAAAAAAGAGCTTCTTGCAGAATCAGTAATCGAAGCGATATGCGCCAAGACAAAGGAGCTGTTGATGCGCGAGAGCAATGTCGTCCACGTTCGCGCGCCTGTCACTGTCGTGGGCGATATCCACGGGCAGTTTTACGATTTAATAGAAATATTCAAGATCGGCGGCTGGTGTCCGGACACCAATTATTTATTTCTCGGTTAGTAACTTTGTTTGGCTCGAAGACAAATTCATCCCAAATCCTTGGAAACCCCAAATTAATAACGGCTTTTCTCCAGGCGACTATGTCGACCGAGGCATGTTCAGCGTCGAAACCATTTCCCTCCTCGTCTGTCTTAAGTTGAGATACCCAAACCGCGTACATCTGATTCGGGGGAACCACGAGTCACGGGGCGTTACCCAATCATACGGCTTTTATACCGAGTGCTCTCGCAAATATGGGAATGCCAATGTCTGGCACTACTTTACGGATATGTTCGACTTTTTGACTCTGAGCGTGGTTATCAACGACCAAATCTTCTGTGTCCATGGAGGTATGGTCACCTTCATCCCTCCCTCTCCCACTGTATTCCCGGGGCCAAACTAACCCAGCTCTCCCCTTACAGGCCTCTCACCCTCCATCCACTCCATCGATCAGATCAAAATCATCGACCGCTTCCGTGAGATTCCACACGAAGGCCCCATGGCCGATTTAGTCTGGTCAGACCCAGACCCAGAGCGCGATGAGTTCTCCCTTTCGCCCCGCGGCGCAGGTTATACGTTCGGGGCGCAAGTCGTGAAGAAATTCCTCGCGGTCAACAACATGAACCATATTTTGCGCGCGCATCAACTCTGTCAGGAAGGCTTCCAGGTGCTGTACGACGATCGGCTGAGCACAGTATGGAGCGCCCCGAATTACTGCTACCGCTGTGGAAACATGGCTAGCGTCCTCGAAGTCAGTGACACAGGCGAGCGCTTCTTCAACGTGTTTTCCGCGGCGCCCGAGAATGACCAAGTCAAGGACGCGCAGATGAACGGAGGTGGCGGGGATAAGGGTAATGATCCAGGCGCGTTGCCGGACTACTTCTTGTAGGTGGTTACCTATCTGGGTGGCTCGGCCCGAGACGAAACCGTGACGGAAGCGATCTTTAGCCAGGTATGGAGAAGGCAACCATATAATAGAAGCGGTGCAAATTGTTGGAGTTAGATGGGTGTTTGTTCCAGTTCTTGGAACCATAGATTATGATACCAAAACATGTCTCCAATTTTGATTTCTCTCTTTGAATCCCATTCACCTAGAATCTGCACCGTATGCCACCGCACTACCTCCATCTATCATCTCTCCTACAGCACTAGTTTTGCTCGAAATTTTGATAAACTAGCTATGGTAAATGTGTGACTTCAAAGAACGCACGCCACATGCCGAGCTTTACGAAATCACTAGAATCGAGGCTAATCGGGACCTTCCGGGCCCATAGCAAACACGGGTAATTTCGGGTTACTTGGGTAGTTTCGCGGCCCATTAAGCTGTAACTACTTAGCCCAACCTCGATTTCCCTGTCCCTATTCCTTGTCTGGCTTTTACATTTATGACGCCCAGAAATACATTACTGACAACGGCAACACAACTTCTCCCCATTGATCTCTATCCCCAAGACCCAACGAAGGTCCCTCTTTTGAGACCCATTCCTCCCAGCTGCTTTCCCTCAAGACCTAGGTATCTGATAGAAAGACCGGAAACTCGGACCAGACTGAACATGCGTCTGCGAAAAGATGCCAGGGTACAACTGGCCGCGGCCTCTTTTCGCAGGTTGGCCGCATATGTCGGTTGGGACCAGGATGTTGCACGCGGAGGAAATGGCGGGTAGTGGATAGGTCCAAGGGCTTGATCACCAGTCCTTGTCGATCTCAAAGGCCCAGTCGAACTCCAAATGGGTCTTCTTGTCGTCGTCGACAAAGCTAGAGCTGGCGGTGTAGCTTCCACGGGCGGCCCAGCCTGAGGGGGCGGTCTCCTCTTGGACTAGAAAATCGGTTTAGTCAGTCTCGGTAAATCAAGTTAAAAGTAACATGTTTGTTAGCCGGGCGTAGTTACATTTCTTGCTGTAGATGGGTTGTTTGGCGGTGTTGGGAGCATAACTGCCCTAGACAAGATGTTAACGAATTATCTTGAGTTTTTCTCTTTGTCTCTTCCGACGTGTCATGTTGCGAGTTAACTTACAATCATTTCGCTAGACTTGCCAACACGGATGCCCTTGCGCTTGACGGCCTGGACGTAGTGCAGACCGCTGAGAATCTCGTGCTGGACCTTGAACTGGGCGGTCATGGTGAAGCTGGCACCTTCCTTGATCTTGAACGGATGCTTCTTGAGGGTCTCAACACTGCCCGGGGCAGAGAGGTCAATGACGACGGGGGCTCGGCCAGGGGAATCCATGGTGAGCGACTGGATGATGCACACACGCGGGTCATTGGGGTCCGAAAGGTCGTCGGCAGCCAGGCCGAGCGACTCCTTGTAGCGCTGGAGGGACTCGTCGCCCTCATCTGACACGCAACCGCTGTTAGTGCCATTCGAATCTTCTTCCTCGTCCCCATCGTCCTTGGGGACGTTGAATGGGTAGGGTGAGCGGCAGCGGGGCGGCCCGGCGGACCGGGTGCCACCCTGTGACGCGGCATTGGCCCTGAAAGCCACCATGTCGGGCTCAATGAAGCTGATCTTGCGGCCGGAACTCATGGTGTTTCAAGCCTGGTAACCCGGTTCCGTGCAGTTGGACGGCGGTTGCGGGGCAGCGGGGACAAGGATGTGAAGACGAGGGTAAAGAATGTGATAGGTGATAGGTGCGCCAGTTCAAAGGAGTGTGTTCACGATCTGATATCGCGTGGTTGGCTTAAGGGCAGAACAGAGGATGAAGAAAAAGAGGCAAGGAGAAGAAGATGGGCAGGCAGGAATTGGTTTGCAGCCAAGTGTGGCAGGAAAGCTAGGCCGTGCTTTGGAAAAAAAAATGAACAACGCTTCCCGATAAGAAGAACGCATTGTGACTTGGGATGAAGTTGTGATAACCCTCCACCGGAGGGAAGGAGGGCAAGCGAGAAAGAGTGCGCATCACCGGCCATTTCCTGCTACATCGTCTCTAATCACCAGGCGGACCACGCAGCACTTGTCTGACCGCAATCGGCGCAAGGTCCTATTTCTGACGGCGATAAACCCTTAAAAAGACAGAGATGGACAGAGAGAAAGAAATTTGTAGCAAGGTTTGGTTCTGTAACTTACCCATTTTCTGGTATTCAGCCAAGGTCTGCTTGGGTTGGGAGAGCTTGTAGCCGGCCGTGTTCTCCGGCAGCATATCATCTTCTTGAGGGGCCATCGTGGGCGGTATTGGATCGGTACAGTGCCGTTGATTCTAGAAGCAGAACACTCAAAGTTGAAATTAGGGTTGCTGATGGCGACCGCAGGTGACAACACGAGGGATGAAGCTTATTTATTTGGGCGGTGATGGGCGATGAGGGGTGGTTAATGGAGGGGTCTTTGGGCCATCACCCCCTGGCCAACCAGCGGCGCGGTTGGTGGGGTTCTGGCCGGGCCGGCCCACCCTTGATTCAGTCTCGGCTGTGCATCATTGGACCGTCGCAGATCTGGAACATCGCCAGCGAAAAGGGGGAGCTTGAGCAGAGCGGTGTTCGCCAACGCTGGCCCCAGCGGCGAGACACTTGTGAACTTCCCTCTCCCAGCCCCCGCCGCCCCAAGGCCCGCTCAAACAGTCGGTCGCCGACTTTGAAACAGACGAATGGGCATCTTCAACGTTCCCAACTCCAAACTTCCAGGGTCCGATCGGTGTGTTTAGACTCTGAGAACTGGGCCGAAAGTCGACCGCAACGTGTGCAAAAGGCGGCCCCTCAAGTAGTGTGGTGATGGTAACAAAGCTGCATCATTCAGGGAATAAGGTCTGATATTCGCCGCGGAGGGCTTACTCTGGGGGCTCTAGAAAAGGTTGTGAGCACGCACTATTCATACAACCAGTATACATAGTAACTAGTACGCGCACGGCAATATCCTTGATATTCGCGGTGTCTCTCGACGGGAGAAAATCCGGGACAACAACCGGACCTGCGAGGGTCGGGGTTCGGTTTTAGGCCTTCCTCCTCGTTTGGTGGCGGACCGTCTCCAGGTGGGCACAGAGGAACCCGAATTGGTTCACCGCTGATTTCCAAAAGAGGTTTGTTGTTCGAGGAAAGCGAACCTATCCGGGACGACTGTTTTTCCGTCCTCAAAGGGAGCTGGGCTTCCATCCATGTTGCGGATACATGAACCAAGCTTTTCAGGAACCAGGACAACCCTCGACAAGTGAGCATGGGAACGGCCATGGAAACACATGTTCCCCGGACTGCATTCGTACTGCACCCGACTATAACGAGAGGGAGCGCCGACAAGGCTTGGGGACCACCGAACCCGAGGCCCCCCTTGATGGTGGGAAGACGTGGCAGCCAAAGCACCACCAGGCCGGCCAGCTGGTGCCCAATCAACAGACAAATACAGCACACAGTAGGAACGTCGGGAGAAGTGACGGATGGTCGTCCGCCGCGGAGCGCGGCTAACGGGAAGCAAACTTGGAACCGTGAGTTCACCAGCTGGACCATCGGAAACAACATTGTCTGTATCAAACTTGGCGTTGCAGCCCCGGAAACTAACGTTAAGTGTGCGGGAGACGGTGCTCCATTCACGACCCAAGAACAACCTGAGTTCCTTCTGGCAGTTGTGATCTGCCCCCGCCCCCTTCCCTTGAAGAAGCCAGCCTGCGGGTGACAGCCTGACGGGTCCTGAACTTTCCCCCTTCTTTGGAGGTGTGGAGCAGAAAATGATGAGCTTCGCTGCCCAATCGGTGGCTCGCGGCCGACCACCCCGCTGACAGTTGTGGTCCGTGCCCTTCCGCCCAACACGCGAGCGAGCTGGGGACCCAGCGTTCCCCACAACTCGAGTCGCGCGCGTTGCTGAGCTCCTCATTGGGACACCAGGGCCCCTACCACGGAAGCCCCAGATTCCTTCTCTCAATCTGTCAACCCCCCAGAACAGATTGCAGATTGCGCCCTCGCCCCAGGACAAAATCATCAATCGCATCGCGAGTTTTGCGGGCATCGGTGTCGCCTGCGCTGCTGTTGTAACTTTCTATCGTTCGTCTTCCACACGACGCATATTTATCTAAGACTTATTACATCACTCTTTTGCCCTCCGCTGCGCTTTTCACGGCCATTGCTCGCGACAACGACCTAGCACGAAGGCCCCTGCGGCTCTGCGCAAAAGATTTCTCTCGTCGCGCTCCCCCTCGCGAGAAATCTTCCCAAGAACGCGTTTTTCGAAGCAATCGATTCGCGCAACCGGATTCCGTTTCAAAAACCCCCATCATATAAAATAAATTATCGTCAATCACCATGGCGCCGACCAGATTACTCCCAGAACGCCACAACCCTCTTTTGACTGAGGATGTGCCGAGTCGTACGTTGCAGTTACCCCATCATGTCGTCACAGGCTGCCCCGGAAATCCAACTTGAATTAACTGACCTCTTGCAATAGATAGTGAGCTAGTTAGCCGCCGTCGCCTTGGGCAGACTCAGTTGACAGCGCGTATGGTTACTGCCGTTCCTGCCACGGAGCTTGACACGTCGGCTCTCGGCGCGTTCGACTATGCGCACCTGCGCGCTCCGCTGCCCAAAGGCATCGTGTCTGGCATCTTTAAATCATCACCCCCGAGCTACTTCTTGATGCGCCGCAGCCAGGATGGCTTCGTGTCGGCCACCGGCATGTTCAAGGCCACATTCCCGTATGCGGCGCAAGAGGAAGAAGAGGCAGAGCGGAAATACATCAAGTCGCTCTCCTCGACGAGCCACGAAGAGACGGCCGGCAACGTCTGGATTCCGCCTGAGCAGGCTCTCCTCCTTGCTGAGGAGTACAAGATTGTGCCATGGGTCCTCGCATTGCTCGACCCGGCCGACATCGCGCCCACTGCCAACACAGACAGCGGCCCGCCCAAGAACATCAGTGCGCCGCCCAAGTTCTTCTCCGGCCAGCCGACCCTTGTACCGCCCACCCCCCGTCGCAGCCGCCGCTCCGCGAGCCCGACCAAGTCTGTCGCCAGCAAGCGCGCAACCGCTAGCCCACGGAAGCGCCGCACAGCGCCATCCCAGGCGTCTGTCGTGACCGAAAGCTTCACAAGCACCACCGATTCCCTTGCGCCCACTCTCGTCAACGGCGAAACCCCGTACGAATCGCAGGTGTCGACTGTTTCTACCTCAAGGATCACCAAGATTGGTGAGACGTCCGAGGCTGACCTCAAGATTGAGTCGATCGAGAAAGAGCCCGCCGTCGTCCTCGCGCCTGTCGAGGAGGAGCCAAAGATCAAGGTTCACATCGACCAGGACCTCAAGCTAGACAAGGATGGCGAGGAAGTAAAACACACCAAGGTCGAAGTAGAGGTGCCTCTTCTCGGAGAACTCCCGTCGCCGGACGATGCCGCCAAGATGGTTGCTGATGCCAAGGCTATGGTTGAAGCTGCTGTCAAGGCAGAGAACGAAGCCAACGCTGGTGCGGCTTCGAGCAGCAAGGGCAAGCGGAAAGCCGACGACATCGCTCAGGATGAAGACGGCGAAGAGAATACGGAGGAGGCCGCTGAGCCCCCCAGGGCCAAGAAGGTCAAGACGGAGGCCGAGATTCGCAAAGAGAAGATTCGGAAGCGGGCTTACTTTGGCCTTACCGCCACGGTTGCTGTCGGAGCTATTGGGTAAGTGGATTTATTGACCCAACCTTCTCCTGGGAGCGATTCAGGAACCAAGATGTTGACGTTTTGTTTGCAGCGCACTCGTCCCGATACTTACGCCGTATGTTATGAACGTTCTATAATCACTTGACGATACTCGTCGTGTCACCTTCCGGACGATGACGGTCATAACTGGCTATGTGCTCGGAGGGCCCGCGGCTTCCCCGGTTTTTACCCTCACCAGTCTTGAGAAAACAGCATCGGTATGGGATGGGTGGATTTTTCCCAATTTTGCACATGCTTTTTGTGTTTTATTCTTATATTTTTGTCCCTTTTCCATGCACATACCCCTCACGGTGGCGCCCCGCGGCGTTGCCGCTATCCAGACATACAGAGAAGGAAACATCAGCAACAGGCGGGGTGCTGAAAATGAAGAAGAGCCTCTCTCGTTGAAGGAAAACTCGAAGTCGGCTAACGGTAGTTATTATTTCTTGTCACATCGAGGATTGGCGTGTCGGGATAGTGAGAGATGTGGTTCGGGGGTTGGGGAACGGGCAGGGCGTTTCCGGTGATCAGATAATCCCAAATTATCCCCTTTGTAATGAACGGATCTGGGTCTTGCCAATCTTGAATGGCGACTTTTCAAGTTGTAATGCATCTCTAAACTACAAACGAAACATACTGTGATGCCATGACTGCCTCTTCGGATAGGTCGCTCATTCCTTCCACCACATGGCTATGAACGCAATTTAGGGTTAGGGATGGTAAATTACAACCTGACATGGTCTTTTTTCCCGTCTCGGGACAGCGCGTGAGCCCGGCAAGCCACCAAGCCCAATTAGGCTCATTTCCCTCGCCCACAAAACCCTTTCTTTTCCTCCTGCCGTTTGGCTCTCGTTTTCCCTTCCTCTCTTTTTTTTCTTGCCCGAACGGAAGGCTTTTCTTTACCACTGTGTTTCCGATGGAAACCAAACCTACTTTATACCCCCCTTAGTTTCCGGGGAACAAGGAAGAAGGGACGGGAGCTCCCGCCCCATCCCTCCGCAAAGTTCTTTCCACCCAATTTGTTTTTTACCCAATTGTGTCCTTGAGTGGATGATTATCATGCTCTCCGCATGCGTCCCTCGTCCGGTGACCCGCGGGGTGGTCCTTGTTTGGTCCCGCTACGCCCGGCAATGTGCGGCTTTCGGGGGAATCCCTCGGTAAACCCACCCCGCCCGCTTTCTGTCCCCCAGATCCCCAGATCCGGGTCGACAGCGCCAATGCCTTAGTGTCCTGCCGTGCGGCTCATCATCTTGACACCGATCACCGGGGGTAATAACCACTGCATTGGCAACAAGCACGATCGAACGAAACATGAAGAGCGCTGCCAGACTGTGTCAGAATGTTTACCGGCCGCGGCTGTGCAGGGCGTTCTCGTCCTCACCGCGGCGGCTGGATAACTATGCCTTCATTGGCTTAGGTCAGATGGTATGTTCATGTCGCCAGTTCAAGAATTCTTACGTAGAGTTAGGCTAATTGTATGTCGTGTTTGTGCTGTAGGGATACCAGATGGCACGCAACCTTCAAGCCAAGCTACCACCAACTGACACCGTCCGTGTGTTTGACATCAACAAGGCCGCTGTGGATAAATTGGTGCATGAGATGAAAACGCAGCAGGCCGGTGGTGCGGTTGGCGTAGCAGCTACGGATGCTGGCAATGCGGCTAAAGATGCGGTATGTTTTGAGCCTTTCTCTCTGTTTTTTTCTTCCCATGCTATGCTTTCTTTCGCTCGGTCGGTTTTTATGATGAGTTTGTTTAATCAATGACTCTGTTCTAAGTTGGGCCGGCTTGCCGACCTTCTCATGATTCTTGTTATACAACAAAAGCCAATCCTCTGAGAAACCACCGAGTGTCATGTCAAGTGTGGATGAGATGAGTGGTGAGAACTCTGAACTGACCGACCTCGGTAGGACACAGTAATCACCTGCCTACCGGAGCCGAAGCACGTCAAGGCAACATATGGTGATATTCTCTCCACGGTTGCCAAGTCGCAAAACGGACAGCCTTCCCCTCGGTCACAGCCGCGGTTATTCATCGACTGCTCGACGATTGATCCTACCTCGTCGCGCGCGGTCGCCGAGACCGTTTCTGCCGCGTTCCCTGGCGGTAGTGGCCACTTTGTCGACGCTCCCATGTCAGGCGGCGTTGTCGGGGCCACGGCGGGAACCCTCACCTTCATGCTCGGGGCGCAAGAGAACCTCTTCCCCCGGATCGAGCCGATCCTTCTACGGATGGGCAAACGCGTCCTTCATTGCGGGCCTCAGGGCGCGGGGCTCTCTGCCAAGCTCGCCAACAATTACCTCCTCGCGATCGAAAACATTGCGACCGCGGAAGCCATGAATCTCGGCGTCAAGTGGGGTCTTGACCCCAAGGTCCTCGCCAGTGTGATTAATGTCAGTACGGGCAAATGTTGGCCAAGCGAGGTCAACAACCCCGTACCGGGCGTGGTCGAAGCTGCGCCGGCGGGTCGGGACTACGCGGGCGGGTTTGGCATCGGCTTGATGAGGAAGGACCTACGGCTCGCGATACTCGCGGCCAAGGAGGCGGGCGCTGAGCTACCCTTGGCAGAGAAGGCATCGCGTGTGTATGAGGACGCCGAGGCGGAAGAAAGGTGTAAAGGCCGTGACTTTTCTGTCGTGTACCGGTGGTTGGGCGGGAAGGAGTAAGGTAGAGGCGCGCCTCACTAGCATTTAAATACATACTGCATCTCTGCAATATTTTCCATGTGCCGCGCCTCACACTCGCCTCAACCCTCCCGTCCCGTGTGCCGTTATCTGGGGAGGATGGACTGTACCAGGTCCTCTCCCCCTCTCCATCCACACCCTGCCGGTCGAGCACGCAAATGCAACCTTTCTCGGCGGGCAGGCCGCGATTGGTGGCTTTGTGTGGGCGCTCCTCAAAAGCCGTTACAGTTTTCCCTGTGCGCGTAGCATTGCATTTCGGATTTCCGAGACCGAGCAAATCGCTTGTGAAAAGTTCCCCAGTCCTACAAGTACGACCGCGCACCACATTGTTAGATGAGAGCAATTGATTTGATGAGGGGGCTCGGGGGGCACTGGGGGGTTCTCTTTCGCTGTTTTCTTTCCCGGCCATGCGCGCTGCGTCGGAGCATATCCTAAGAGCCAGGGGCAGTGAGTGATTCATGTAAGTGGAATTTGCGAACAACGGCACAAACAAAAACCTGCAGCACCTACGGATACATATGGTAACCCGTTCCTCTGTCGTTGCTCACCACGCGCTCTTCTCTCTGTCTGCGGGAGTTGGTGGTAGTTGTTTGTTATCTGTATTTGCCAACCGGTAAACTTGGTACAACCCTGGGGTGTGTGCTTATTCGGGATCGGATGCGGCAAAACGACGTTGCAACCTCCCACACACCTGGGCTTCCTCACCTTTCGGGCTTCTCGGAACCCGTCCTCTTGGAATCGAATCATTGTCCGTCGCCGAGATGGATTGACGGATGACATGTGTCGTTGTCAATGGGAACTTTTCGGATGACTGGTCGAGAGAGAAGTCTTGTCGTTCTTTTTCTTTCTTCTAGCTAATGCGGGAGGGCTTGGCGGGAGTTACATTGGATCGGGGATGACTTGAACTCTGCATCCTGTGGTGTGGGAGATGGATGCTAGGCCCTGTTGGCGTTGCATTGTGATAAACGGAAAGAAGGCGAAGTTTTCCGTGATGGGAGGAAGCAAGGGAGGAGGATGCCGGCGTTAAGAACCGGCTTGTGACCCCCCGCCATGGGGGACTGGGGGTGATTTTGTTCTTGTCGGCATTCGAATTCTCCAAGTAGTGTTTTTGGTTGTTTCTTCCGTTTCCCAGTTTGATCAGTTCTGTACTCACATCCGAGTCAGAACTCGTCCGACGACACACACGCCGCTTGCGGTCGGTCTGTTCTGGGGTTAAAACGGTGTCCTTTTGAACTCCGCCAAAGGACCAGTTCAACGATCCCGACATCAGAAGGCAAGAAACCGACAAAATGGGCATCGACCCGTCCATGTTCCCACCGGACTGGGACCAGGACGATATCGAAGACGCACTCGCCAATCACTACTACACTTGCACACAAGTCACCACCGATTGCCCCGTTGAGAACACTACTCTGGGATACTATCCAAACCGTGGGATCAACATTTTCTTTACTATTGGGTTTGCGTTTGCGACGGCGGCCGCGTTGAGTTTGGGAATCAAGAAAAGGACGTGGAGCTACTCGGGATTTATCGCGGCTGGGTGCGCGCTGGAACTCGCCGGTGGGTGGTGTTATTTTCTCCTATCCTCCCCAACGGCATCCCCAGCAATATGGGGACCAGAAGGATAAAGTGGACGGCAGGGCTAGACGCCTTTCTCACCGTGACGGGAGATGGGAACAAACAGTCGCAAAGGCTAACCAACACCAGGCTACGGTGCCCGTATTCCGCTGACTGACAACCCGTGGAACAACCATGCCTTCGAGACCCAGATCGTCGCTATCATCCTCGCCCCGACCCTTCTCTGCATCTCCGTCTACCTCACCCTCAAACATGTCTGCCTGGCTCTTAACCCGGCCTTGTCACGTGTCCGGCCTCGCCTGTACCCATTCATCTTCGTGCCCATGGACGTCTCTTGCCTCCTGGTCCAAGCTATTGGCGGATCGTTGGCTGCCAGCGGAGCGCGGACCAACTACGTGATGACACAGCACGGGAACAGATGTATTATTGCCGGTATTGTATTGCAAGTGGTGGTGTTGGGATTCTTTGGGATCACCGCGGGGGATTACTTGGTCAGGGTCAAGAAGTGGTGAGTCTTTTGGTTCATTCAGAGAAGGGATTTCTTTAGGCTTGATGGAAGACCACAGCAGACTGACAGGCTGAATAGGGTCAACTCACCCGAGGCCACCCCAGAGGCGCTCGCCATCTGGAAGGACAAGAAGTTCCGCCTGTTCGTGTATGCCGTTGGGGGAGCCTACACTGGTATCCTCATCCGGTGTATCTACCGGTAAGAATAGCTCCTTGTTCAACAAATCAGGGGGGATGCTAACGGGCTCACAGTATCGCCGAAATGGCTGGCGGTTGGGGCAACTATATCATGCAGGACGAACCCTCGTTTGTGGTGCTAGAAGGATTGTAAGCCTACCTACACTCCCTCCCTTTTCCTATTTGCCATTATCTCTCCCGAACAACGTACTCACTGAATCCAAAGCATGGTTCTTATCGCCGGCGTCCTCCTCGCAATTTCCAATCCCGGTTATTTGTTTCCACAAATGGCCGCCAACAAGTCCGCTTCCAACACAACCGACGATAGCGCCCAGAGCGCTGACAACGGTGATGCTGAGAAGCAGGCGCAGCCGGAGGGTCTTGGAACCCGCCGTCAAACGACGAGTGGGGATGAGTCCGCTTTTAGTGAAGGGTAGCTAAAAGAGCGGGCCCCGTCATCAGCGGTTGCAGTCAAGGGGAGTGAGACCGCTTAAAAGGCGACTTTGGCCTGGTTGGGAGATTTGATTGGGGGGTAAAACAAAAGGAAACACAAGCCCCAGACTCCACGATGTTCTAGGATAGGATTTAGGAAACGGATTTGTCGGCAATACTGACACTTGGATAAAACTCCTTTATTCCGTAATAGTTGACCCTTTGTTTCCCAGATGCTCAGGGGCATAGAGTTGGTCAAGTCCCACAATAATATCTATTCTTGTCTGGCGTTTTTCACCAAGCCATTTCATGCCTTGATGATATTTGACACCAGGGCCACTGACTACACGCATTGGGGTGTGAACAGGTATTGCTAACCTAGGTACCCTTAGGTCATACCATACCTCCATTTTCCACATTCTAGGGCTACTTAGATACTATCACTCAATGTTGGGACGAAAGGAAACACTGTAAGTTCATACTCCGTACTAACTAGATGGCACCAGAATTTGCATACCAATGTGAAACAGCTGGGCACATCTTTATATGATTATATCACACCTTTTTAATCATAGAGTGTTCCTACGTTATCAGGCGTGCTCAGCATCCGCCCTGGGATGGGGACACACGAACGCGAGAACACCATGCGCGAGTGGAGTCCCGATAGCGCCAGATTCGACGTCCTGGTGTTGAACTCCTCTATCTCTAGTTCAGGATTGAACTGTCATCTGTGCTGCTCGACCGGCATAGCCATCGGGTTTGTCAGGAACGCAGTGACACACGTGCAGATCATGGGTCAACGTCTTTTTTTTCTTGGTATTCTGGAGATTCCTGAAAATTTTACATTGTGATCTTTGTGTATATTATCCGAAATAAAACAAGAGAGAAAGAGGCAGGACAGAAATCAAAATGGGACAGAAGACAAGAGAACTCTTAGATGTCGCCGTTCGATTCGCACCCTTTCAAGGCTCGAGCAGGATCTCATCACACATGGCCCTTCCTTGGACAGTGACGTCTGAGCATTGTCGGATTTAGGTGTTTTGTTAAATATGGGTTTCATAGTTTCTCTTTGTTGACGCTGACAACTTGGTGCGTTATTGTGAATTTAGATATCTACAACAACAAACACAGAAACTCACGGAAGTATCATTTTGTCGCATCTCCAGCCGCATAACTAGCCGCATACCGCATCGCGACTAAGGGGTGATAGGGTTCACAACTATTTCTTGGGCCCACGAGGAAGCCATTATGGAAAACACAAACACAAAACCACGAAAGCCACGAGCATCAGTCACCTCAAACAGCCCACCACCCATTCTCTCAACCACAAACAACGCTCGGAACAGATTCACAGCAACACGCAGTCACTGACAGAATGCAAGTCTTTTCCGCCTTTGTTCAACGTATTTCGCAACGAGGGTTTGAACGCTAACATTTCCACCCTCATTAGGCCGAAAGTTTCGATCAGGCACCTTCTTTGCTGTTGGCGATGCCCCAGAGACAGCCATCACGACGCTGACCCCAACGCCAGTGATCGTGCTAATAGCAGCGAAATACCCAACCCCGCCGCTACCGTGAACACCATCACCGCGAGCGCCACAGCCAACAGTACTGCTGGCTTGACTCACACCAGCAACACAACCAACGCTAGAGTCCCTCCTCAGGGGCCCGTTCCCGGCCCCCTACCCGGAATCCGCCCTCACTTCTCAACCGAACAATTCCATCGGCAGTTCTGGTCCGCCCAGCCCGATCCCCGTGGCCCGCTGCCGGCTGATCTGCTCCCGCTTATCTACCACAGCAACAGCACGGGCAGCCACATCGCAGCCCCTTACCACCACTTCTCTCGCCGCGACCATCACCGCCCTCATGCTCATCACACTGGCGCACAGGACCAGCACGCTGGAATGCACCGCCGCGTTCGGTCCGCGAACATCGCCAACCATATCCCGGTCCAGCCGCCCACGATGCTGCACCGACGCAGCGGGGACCGGGATCCCGCTGCGGGGTCGGCCGTGACTTCGCCCCAGCTTCGCAATGTGCAAAATACTCGTCGAACCCACGTCCCCAACCGCTCACTTCCGTCAAGGGGCCGACCGAGCCAGCACGGTCTGATTGCCGATAGTTGGTCCAGGGAGGAGGGCTGCTCTGACGGCAGGCGTCTTCATGCTGAGGAGAATGGGGGCGGGAGCAGGGAAGAGGACAAGAGTTGTGAGGACAAGGATGAGGAGCGACATGCGACGGAACAGGTGGGGACTGGAGACTTTGGGGCTGTTGCTGAGACTGGGAAGGTTAGGGAAGAAGAGGTGAAATATGAGGAGCGGGATGAAGATGGGACGGGAGGAGAGCTTACAGATTAGAACGTTGAAGATGTGATTAGGGAAGGAAGTTCCGAGCGGGGGAAGTCTAAGGATACTTTAGGGGGTAGTGGAGAGGAGAGAGTTGGAGACAGACAGATCATAGTCGCCGTGAGGGGGCTTCACAAACTAGGAAAGGTCAAGATACCTGACCAAAAAATAGACTACAAGACTACGAAAGATGACGGGAACGGGTGGAAAGCCCGTTGGTGTTACAAGATTAAGGTAATAATACGGTGAACTAATATCGGACTAACGGCATTTGGAGAATTCGAGAACCGGTCATGAGACGGGATTCAATACGCTCTTCTTGCTGTAGGTGCTGGTTTCCTCCTTCTAGTCTCATTTATTTTACTTTAAATTACCTGAACCTTATAACATCACCGCATACCTAGTATGCGGCGCTACTGCATGTCATGCTCAACAAATCGTGTTGCGTTGTTTTCAAAAAAATTAGTATCACACTCCAAATACTTTGTATTTTCAATTTGCCAATAATTAAACGGTGGGAAGTACCAGATATGCATTCTCTCCCTGTCAAGTCGAGATTGAGGGATTGGCACCAGATGTCCCGCGGAATAAGAATGCTGGGACCGTGCAATTGCCAACGCAACAACATGGATGACATCCCCGATTGGGTGCCTTTTTCAACAATTTCGGTCGGGTTCTAGTGTACTTCATATGCCTCGCTTATTTCCAACCTCCCCTTTTTCTAGTTTGTCCAACATACGAAGTACCCTGTACTCCGTACCTCTTAGCCGATGGCTTGGCTCCTGGGCTTCCCAAATCCTCACCGATACTGGACAGCCCTTATGACTTTGGCTTCTCGATCAAAATTTCAGAACCTGTAACTATCTATTTCGAACCGATGGAAAGGGATTGGTTGGCTGCTGGTGGCTTCGTTTGGGATGGCTTCAAGTACCTCTTCACCGCTCCTTTTTACCTTGATCAAGAAGAGAGATTCCGGTATTTTTGTGATAAACTGGGGTATCCGCCTTTTTGACTGATCCTGTCAACGCCCTTTCTTGCATGAGATCGATGCACGATGGAAGATCGGAATCCCCCCTGAGTGTTTTGGTTTTGCCGTTTTAGGTGGTAGTCCCGGCAATGAGCCGTGTGGGTGGGAGGTTGCTCAGGGCACTTGTTGAGGAATGCTTGAATGGTGATTGGCTAGTCCCCTTTAACTCAGGGCGGTTTCTGGCCCGAGCTCCCGCGTCAGGCCGGATTCACCGCCAAGCATCTCTCGGCTCGATCGCTGCCCGACCCCGGCCCGCCTCGATTCCCACACGGACCACTGCAGCTGGGGAGTTCCCCATTCTCGCTGGCCACTCCCTGGCTTCCAGGTTGTTGTTGGCAGCTTCCCGCTCCGGGCACCCCACGGTTGCGCTCCACGATCCGGCGACTCTCACTGGAGCTGACGCTTCTTGCCAACCTCGTGCATTTCGGTCACCTTCGCTTCATGGACGGGTGGTAGTTTTTTTACTTCTTTTTTTCTCACTCTTTTTCTAGCTTTTCGGCTTTCCTCCCAACCTTGCGTGCCGTCCTTTTGCATCGCACTCAACAAACGACGGTTCGACCGTTCCTGCCCGTCGCCGAGCCAAGTCCCCTCTCCCCCCCGGCCCCGGTTCCGTTTGTTTGTTTCCCCCACCAAAAAACAGCGACACCGTTGTCGCAGGCTGCTGTGCGCATCCCACGAGAATCTCGCGACTACCCGACCGCGTGCCTTACATTCCTCCCGATCTCAACGTCAGCTACAAGCCCTACTAGCTGCCCGATCGAACGCCCACCGCCGCACCGGCCGAACCCGTCTCACCGTCTTCTTGACGATTATACCTGCTCCGACGAGGCTGTTGATCCGCGCCGCTGACCTTTCCCCTCTATCTGATTACCCCGCCACTTGGACACCTTCGACAAGTTAGGCCACACAACACACGTGCGAGCTCCGACGACTCGCCACGACCGCGAATTGCATTTTCCGGTGCACCTTTGTCCTATCGCAATGATTACGATCAATTGAATCGACCACCATGGTTCGAGTCACGGAGGAGTTGGCGATTTCGCCAGAACATGTCACTCTCTACTACGCATGCGACCCCCTGTTGGGCCACCTCCCCATCCTCATCTTCCACGGACCTTCGACCACCGCCAACTATACGCACAATAGCTCGCGGATACAGGTCCATATTTACAGCCCGGCCGGCTACCAGTCCTTTCCGCGCATCACCGTCTCGCCCAACTCGCCATTTTACAGCGTCGTTTCGCACCTCCCGCGGGAGTTCCAAGGGGATGAGATTTGCAGGGGCTTGGCCTTCGGCCTTTTCAAATATTTTACTGAGCTGCCCGAGGTAGTCAAGAATCATTTGAAGAACCAATACCCCGTCACCCGAGCTCGACGACCAGGATCGGCCCCCGCGCTCTTCGGTGAGCAACATGCTGCCGACCTCGCCAAAGCCGCTGTCCAGGGCGACAACACAGCCGATGCGATCGGGACATTAGAATATGCATTACGGACACAGCACTTGAGTGGCGTCGATATCGACCTTGTCATGCCACCCGGTTCTATTGTGCCCCTGGAGAATGCCGATTTCGACGAGATGTTTGAGGATGAGGACGATCTGATGGACCCCACGTTACGACAATACGCCGGGTACGCCCCCTTGGTAAAGCTGTTCGGAGAGCCTTCGTTCCTCCCGACTTCTAAGCTACGACGAGCACCCTCACGTCCGACCTCACTCAACCGCAGCAAATCGTTCTCGAAAAATCAAAAGGTGGAACTACGCATGATGATGGGCGAATTGGTCGATACGGAGGAACGTTACGTGGCGAAGCTCAATGAGCTTGTCAACAATATCGCCCAGGACTTTCGTCAGAAGGCAAAGGAGCGCCCAGCTAGCAGCACAAGCCCGTGTGAGGAGGATTTGGAGAAGCTGTTCCCCAAATCGGCGGATAGCATTCTCGAGCACAACTCGGCATTTATGAAAGAGCTTAGGCGAATCATGGACGAGACCGAAGACGACGCCGTGCGGGACATCGAAGTCCCATTCCCCGGCGCCAGGCTGGGTGGTGCCAGCAAGCTCCGGGACCCCAGCGGTGCTGTGGCCATGGCGAAAGCCTTTTTGGAGTGGTTTCCTAAATTTACCGATTGTTATCAGGACTATATCCGTGCCAGCCAGAATTTCCCTCAGCTTCTCAATACGTTTCTCGACAGCCAATCGACTTTCCGGCAACGGGTCGTTCAGACGGGCGAGCAGACTATCCGTTCGCTGCTCATTGAACCTGTGCAGAGGCTTCCTCGGTATAGCTTATTCATCGACCAGATTGTCGCCTGCTTACCGATGACCCATCCGGCACTGCAGCTCCTTTTACGCTCGAGGGATATTATCACGAATATCTGTTCCATGGATGACCCGCTCCCGGACAAGCCTCATGTCACAAACCGTCTTCGTTCTATGGTTGAAAGCTGGCCGGCGGATCTTGAGCCTCAGGGACGTCTAATCTCAGCTGTTGACTTTGTCGAGCTCGCCGCGCCGTATGTTTCTCTATCAGACAATCAAGACGTGCCGGACCGATGGGGCATTCTTCTTTTGTTCTCGGACTGTCTTGCCATCCTTCAGAAGAGGGCAAGTTCGGGGCTCACAGGCCGAGACTTTCTCCGCGAGATCGACAAACCATCACCCGCCGGCTTACTCGCCTCCATGACGAATGCCGCCGGGGGCCAGGGAACTTGGGAATTCTCGTTCGCAGGTTGGCACCATCTTGCAGATGTTCGTTTTACGGAGTCATCGGACAATCAGCTTATTTGGATGACCTCCACTCAGGAGCTGAAGGGAGCCCCAACGGGTGAGCATTTCACTAGCAAGGCCATTACTTCTCGGTGTTTCCTTCTCCAGGAACATTACGAAGGGAGGGCCAACAAATGCACGGAGGAGGTTCTCAGAGCTCGCATCGAGGGCCGCTTTTCGGAGAAGGAGAGGGAAGACCCTACTTGGACACTTCGGTCCGTCAGGATGCAAGATAACAATTTTGCCCTGCACGCCGCTGTCTTTCAGGAGGGCGCTCAGCAGCTTATTGAGGGCCGCCGCGAACCGGCACCGATTCGTATCGTGCTGGACAACGACAAAGGTACCAAGGGAGCGCCTGTCGGCCATTACGGTGTTGAAGTTGTCGTCGAGGTGAGAACCGCTGCAGACATGCGGAGGATTTCGATGAACACGTTGGGGTTGAACGGGAGGAGATTTACGGACGACGTCGCGCTGGAAGACTTTCTTCCCACCCTATCACGGAGGATAGTCCAGTTACTCAGCTCCCAGTTCAGCGTCGCAAACCTACGGCTTGCTCCTGCCCTGGTCTCGTACTACACCAAAATATTGCGCGCCATGAACGTCTCGGCCAAGGTTGAGAAGAACACCCGATCGTTCCTGTCGTCTTCACCGGTCAAGATGCTCTCGAACCTTTTGGTCGGATCCACTCCATCATCGAGCTCCACGTCTGTCGACAATGTGGGTATAAACGGGTCAAGGCACAAGCGGACGCGCTCCAACAGCACGAGAGATGCGGGCGTGATGACAGGGTCAATCAATGACAGGGAGATCCCTCGCCTAACGGTGAACATAGAAGAAGAAGAGCCGCCAGAAAACCCATTGGTCCGCCTCGAACAAACCTTTACTGGGTATGTGGCAAATATGCAGGCGCGGAAGGGCTACTTCATTGGGCGTACTTTGCTCAACCGGTCTATGGCGGACGAGCTTCAAATCAACGATCTCTACAACCGTTTGATTGAGTTTCCTTACGATCTGGAATCAGCGTCCGAGTTGGGGACAGAAGTCATTTTTGCGGCGTTCGAGAAGTTTATCCGCATCGCCTGGCGCGAGCAAATTGGGCCAGTCATGACCATGCAGCACCTCAACGCCCTGCAAGTACGGGCCTCCAAAAAGGTTGTGGGAGACTTTGCCGATTTTGTCCGCTTTCTCTTCAGCGATATGGCTCCCCAGAATCGCCGGGCTTTCACTGCGATTATGAAGCTCCTTGCCGACCTGCTGGACGGCTGCAGCAACGATGGCGATAGGGGTGCCCTGACGCTCGCTTTCGCGGAACTACTCATAGATGAAGGGAACCCATCGGATTACATCAATCTATTGGATCGCATTGTGGAGGATTGCGACCGCATCTTTGAGAAGGCGGATGCTCCGGACCCGACCGGGTTGCTTAGCACGTTCCCCTATGAGTCGCTGACGCCTAGCAACCGGAGCCAAAAGTCTTTCACGGGATCCATGACTTCCAACACCTCATCGCTTCGCCGGAAGTTCGGCTTTGATACACTTTTGCGGCAGAACAGCAGGACAGAGAGTGACCGCCCATCCGTTTGGCGCTCACTAAGCAAGCACAACAAACACGCTAGCATCGACAACGGTAGTCTTTCTAAGGCGAGTAGGTCAAAATCGGTAGATATGGGCGCCAATTACACACTCCCGAATCGTCTGCGCCGCCCCGGCTCTCGGGATCGACCGCCAGTGGCAGGTGCATTTGATGATATTGGGCATCGCCCAGCGAGCTCACACCGGCTCGAAACCATTGGTGAGCCGGAGGTTGTCGAGACTAGCGGTGAAACCAAGTCTCTCAAGAAGAAGCGGCGGAGCTCACTCTCTGACCTCAAGTCCCTCATGGCGTCCGCAAACCTGGAGGAGGAGGAAGAACCACCCCTGATGCCCCTGAGCGTCAACACGCAACAAACGGCTGAAAAGTTCAACTCAGCCCCACGCGGCCCGTCGCCTTCCAAAATCCCCATCAGCCCAACATCCCAGCTACAACAAAGCTTCCGTTCCTCGAAACAAAAAGAAAACACCGCCGACCTTTTCCAACCACCTACAGACCCCCCTGAAGACATTGAGAAGCCCACCCCGTCGAGACCGCGTGCTAAAACCATGACTATCTCACAAATTCCGACTCTCAAACCGCCCTCGTCGCGCATCCCCGCACCCCCAATACCCGAATCACCCACTCGCCCATCAAGTAGCCCGGGCAAGTCAAGCAGCGCTGCCACAGCTACCACTGGCCAAAAGCTCCGCCTCCAGTCCCCTCAGAAACTCCGCGAGCGCCTCCAAACGGAAAAGAAAGCTGTCGACGAAGTCGACTCGGCCCTCCGGTCCGAACTCTCCCGCATCACCGAGGACATGGCGCGCGTCAACTCGGGCGCCCTCCCCCGCTCCAACACCAGTGACATCCGCAAGCTTTCGGCCGCCGTCAAGGCCCTGGAAGAGCGTGTGCCGGAAGTCTTGCACGAACTGGACGTGCGCCACGCGCTCATGCAACAAGATATGGATGCCACGCTCAAGGCGACAGAGGCCAAAGTCAAAGCGATCGACCAGCTGTATAAGGAGGCTACGGCGGAGAATGAGCTGCTGTATGAGAAGTTCAATTCGGAGCTCGGCAAGATTGTGAAGGCCGTCAAGGGCAAGGGGAGGGAGGACAAAGAGGAGTTGGTGGTGAAATTGAGGGAGTCGAGTGATGAGGCGGCCAGAGCGAAGAAGGAGAATGCGAGGTTGAGAAGGGAGATGGTTAGCTTGAGGATGTTGTTGAAAGGAGCCACCACACCTGGGAGTAGTGTGAGCAATGCTGTTGGTGGTGGTGGTGGTGGTAGCGGGAGTGGCGGAAACGGCCTCGTGAATGGGGGAAGTAGTATAGGGAGTGGTGGGGAAGGGAATTAGGTGATCGTTGGCGTGCTTGGGTGGGGATTGTTTGGCTGGAATCTTTTGAGGCGTTGAGCCATGGATTGGGCGGTTTGTCGCTTCATGTTGGTTGGGTCGGGACAGGGCAGGACAGGGCAGGTCGGTTGGTTCGATTCGATTCGGCTTGTTAAAGGATATTATGGATGGATGCTGTTCCGATATTGGCGGATTCATGGTGGGTGGGGGGTCTATGGTTGACGGCTTATGGTTGACGTCTGATGGTTGATGGTTAATGAGTTTTGTGTTTGGTTTACGGCCTTGTCTATCTCCGGAAAATGGGGCGGCAGACAGACCAGTGTATGGTATCAAAACGTTCAGCCTTTGATGGTTATGATGTTTAAACTTGCATAGCTACAGCATGGATGCTGGCATGATTCCAGTTTTTTTTTTCACCCGCTTTGCATCATGCGTCTGGGGTATTTGTTTACTTTACACAATGCTTTCTCGACTGTGGGTATCATAGATGCTGAAATAAAATCCTTTCGTGGAGATAGGAGGGTTTAAACGGGCTGCGTCGACCCAGGAGTCCCTGTTTCCTGCTCTAGCGCTGCCGCTTTCTTCCTTAGGGTCTCTTTTACCTTGCTCTCCTCTACCCAGCACTCGAAGAACAACGGCCCGGCCTCCACAGTCCGGACTGGCCGGGTTCGGACTTCACGTAGCCCATCTTTCGCCTTGCTCTGGGGTTGGAGATTTGGTTCTGATGGGATCCATGCTTGGGGGTGCTGTGTGGCGTGTTAAGGAAGAGAACTTTAACGGGAGTCAAGAAAAAAGGTGCTTCGAGGGACAAAAGCGACACTTACCCCGATCGGTGCTCTCCCTTCCTCACCCAACTCCACCGCCACAGTAAACGTACACCCATCCACGGCTGCCTTCCCATCCCCCCCGTTCCCACTACCATTCCTACCACCATCACCACGAACAGCCGGCAAAACCGGCCCCATCCCCTCAGCCACACTCGCCATCCTCCTCAGCGCCCCACGCAATTGCTCGTCCAAATCCGGCCACTGCAGCGTCGGGTTGAGCGGGTCCTCAGCCAGGTGCCGCTCACGGGCTTCTTCGTGTCGTGAGTCGCGCGCCAGCACGCGGGCAAAGTCCTGCATGGCGCGGGCGGTGTCGGCTGTGGTGGGGTTGGGGTTGGTAGAGTCGAGGACGGGCCAGGCGGGGAAGTGGGAGGTGTCGATTAGCCAGCGCTCGAGGACTGTGCCGGGGGGTGGGTAGGGGTTGGTTTGGTTCTTGGGTTTGGTTTTGTCCTCCTCATTGGCCTTGGGGGTGCGGGTTCGAGGCTGGGAGGGGGTGAATGGGGAAGGGGATGAAGTTGGATGATGATGAGAGGACAGTGGGGTGATGGGTTCTGGGGGGGAGTGGATGACGATGGCGACGCGGGAGACGTGGCCGGAGGAGAGCTGGGCGCTCACCGCTTCGACGGCGTCGCGGATCCAGGCGCAGACTTTGGGATGGCGGTTTTGGTGGACGGGGAGGTTGAAGGCTTTGGTGGAGAGGAAGGTTGAGGGGGGGTAGATTCCGCGGTAGTAGAGGATGTTGTGGATGGCGACGGTGAGGAAGGAGTTGAAGGAGGTGAGGAGGATGTGGGCGTGGTCGAGGGAGAGGGAGTCCTCCTCCGGGTCGAATTCTGGTTCTAATGACATTATCGTGGTTTATGGTGAGATTGTATGAAACATTGATGGACAGACAAGGCAACAGAGGAGTTGCAGGCTGCACCTCGTTGAGGTTTCAGTAACGTACGTGTAACTATCCTGTATGTTACGCGTAGTGTATTGTTCTCTCCAAATTTGGCGGGCATTGTCACGTGTTGCCAAGGATTCCAAGTTCACAATACGGAGTACGGAGTAAACAAGCGACAATAAGACTACACAGTAAAGAGGATCCTTATAATGACATTGAGAAGGCCATTAAAGTGGCGGCTCGCAACGTAAATTGACAGAAACAGACTTGGATTTAACCCGAAATAAAATTGGTAAGAAGATGGATAATTGGCGGAACAGACCTTGGGCGGGAAAATAATATATTTGGACAGTTGCCATTAGACACCACCGTAATAGACCTCCAGTGGGAAGGAGCTCCCCAGACAATGCCTAGTCGGTCAGGTACGCGCCTGTGTCGGCCATTGACTCAACGCGGTTGCCCCCTCTCAACCATAGCCATGGAGCGCACCTCGATCACGTCGTTACCATCGGAGCTCCTTTGTCAAATAATCCATCACCTACTCACAGTTGAGGCATTCGGCTCCGTCGCAGCTCTCGGCCAATGCGGCCGTCGACTGTATAACTGCGCGCTGCCTCTCTTGTACAAGGATGTGAGCCGTGTCCACCCACCTGTCGGCCAAAATGCCCTGATTTGGGCTGCTGAAAACGACGAAATCGACACCTTGACGGCGCTGCTTGAGTACGGAGTCGATCCCAACGCTCGATTCCGGTCCAGTCTCCCAGAATGCGCCCGCCAGGGGGTCTTCTCTGCCCAAAACCTTGGCCGCCGCTTGTTGCCGAGGCAAGATCGCCATCTCATCGCGGCCTTGTACCAAACTGAGATAGTTTATCACCGAAGAAATCTAGGCTGGGCGTATGATTCTTGTTTTCAAGAATGTACGTAGTTTGGTTCTCGCCTCTCCGTATTGCAATAGGGAGGATATTGGGAGAGGAACGTATAGAAGCACTAACATCGGCTTAAGGGTACATGGCCGTTGCGGCTGGGAATATCCCCAACTTTCATCCCTCCTGGGCACCTGACGAAGAGAAAGTGACCTCACTAATCGAGGACTCAACATTTGGTTGTTGTGAACTCAGCGATGGCCCTGCAAAACTCATTCCACCTCAATATTCGTGGACTGCGTTCCATGTGGCTGCAAAGCGAGGGAACCAACGGGCGATCCAAGTTCTGCTTGACTACGGCGCCGAGATCGAGTTGAGGTGTAGGGGCCTTTGCGATTGTCTCGTTCCAGTAGCCCCCCTCGAACGGGCGCCGCCGTCCTTTACCGCCTTACATATTGCTGTCTGCTCTGGGCATGGCGACACCACGCGCCTACTCTTGGGACGTGGCGCTAATGCCATGCTTGCGGGTCAAATGAAGCATGGTGTCTCTTCTCTCCATGCTCGGCCTGACGACGCAATTCCTGCTCTCCACAGTGCCGCCTTGCGAGGCAATGTTGCCATGTGCGAAATTCTGCTCGACCACCAGACTCAACGGGGATCTCTAGACGTTGGTACTGTTGTCGGATGGTGTGATGCGCGGCAACGGCATGCCATCGATTACGCCGTTGCTGCCGAGCATGCACGAACAACAGGGGTTTGGCTTCTCGCACGGGAGGACAACCCTCTTCATCAACTCACCCGCCTCGACCGCGACTTTTTCGCACCTCTCCACCTTCTCTGCCGCGAAGGGAAGTACCGTGACGCTTTGTGCTTACTCGACAGTCTCGGTAACAACAACGGACACGGAGATGCATACACCTTAGCTCTCCAGTTGTGCTTTGTACGGTCACCATCCCCACCAATGCCATTCAACACCGTCCAAACATCACTCCGGCATTACCTTGCAGAATATACCGAGCTACTTGTGTCCGGGGAACATAAGCCTCATTTGGAAGACGGCGAGGAGGCGCTTATCTGTCTAGTCCAACGCCTCCTGGACCTGGGAGCCGATCCTAGTACCGTCATGCATCGCGAAGGGTGGGTGGACTATGCGTGGGGTCAGTCGGCTCTTCACCTAGCAGCCGGACGCGGGGAAGTTAAAGCACTAGCCACTATGCTCGACTTTGGAGCACCTCTCGAGCGTTATGTTATACGCCCGATGTTGTCGGGCCATCCGAATAACCAGACGCCCCTGGGTGCCGCCCTCCTGCCCCCGGACGGATCACCCACCGTACAAGACTCCCGGAAATACTTGGAGATAACTCTGTCCCTTCTTGAACGGGGCGCCTCGCTTCAAAAGGCTCTCGGCCCTTGGCAACGGCCAGGCCCGAGGGTCGTCCTTTGGCCTCTCTTTTGCACCCACGAGCGCACTCGCAAACCCTGGTACAATTCGGATTCCTTTGACTTATTTGAGCGAATATTGGCGCTGGCAGCGGCACAGCATGGGAAGGAGCCCGAAGACTGGGCCGCGGATGTCTTGTATTTATCCATCATGTGTGGACGACCGAACGGGAATCTCTGTAAATGGTACGTAACGCCTGGTAGCTTCGAGCTTTCCCCATCTATTTCCTCCTCCCTCTCCACTCTTCTCTCAGCCCTACATTAGTGATTCTCGTGATTGCAAACGTGTTAACAGTTGTTGTACCTCCCAAGGCTGGTTCAGCGTTTTGGTGTTGTGCCCTCTGATTTCCCATCCAAGTCTTTGGCACGGATGTCTCCTGTCAACTATGAGAAAAGGCAGTACAATGAGCCGGGCATGATGGACTGGTTACTAGAAACTCTACCTGAGACTGCACTCAATTACGAACTTAAATCAGTCGATCAGGTTAGGGGCCTAGCTGGTATATATGCGGATCGCTGGCAATTCCACGCCGCCAAAGCTCTGGTCGAGCGAGGATGGGTGGACAGGGTCCCCGTGATCCAAGACGGCCAGGGACCGCAGGCTACGCAATCTGACATGGTGCTGTTTCGGATTCGGTCCATCCTTCACCCGCCTTGCGTAAGCCGACCTTGTTCGAAGACCGGCAACGACGGTGCTGTCGAGCTGGTCCGGGCCATTCTGGCTCGGGCGGCGACACTGTCGGCTGGCGATCGGGCCTGGGTCATGACGTTGAGAGGGGTACCGGCGGTCAGCCGGTTGATTCGGGTAGCCGCTCATTCAGTTCCAAAACGTGGCCGTAATGAGGCTATGGAAATGTTACGACTTCTTTTGAAGGAGCGTGCTGTTCCTCTCTACGGTGTACAAGGAAGATTTCACGGCGAGTTTCCAACACACGGGTCCAGGCCTCTTGCTTCTGTTTACCCGGTTCCCGTTGCGGTAGAGTGTGGGGATCCTGAGGTGCTGGAACTGATCTTCAACGAGACACCGCCCGCAACATCCGAGGAAATTCAGGATATTTTAGCTATGGCGCTCGACGCTAGCCCAGACTTGGCCAACCCAGTCATTCTCCAGGTTATTCTCGAACACCCCCTTACCAACCTCGCCGCCCTCATCGTGAGGACGGACACTCCCAACAATAATGGCGTCAGCGGCGACATACCGCCCCTCTATTACCTCCTTAAAAGCTTCTACAACAGACGCATCGCCCCTTGGCAGGGGCACGAAGGGCAACGGTCCGACCATGCCTGCGATTGTGGGTTTCTCGGCAGAGACAAGCGTCTCGTGCGATGTGTCGCCTTGTTAGTCCAACACGGGGCTTCTTGGACACAGCCTAGTGAGCCGTCGGGCGAGACGGCTCTGGATGTGCTTGCCGCGATACTGGATACTGAGGGCCACACCACGCGGAACGGGGACTTGGATGTCTATTTTCGCGACCTTCTTTCTATTAGCAACATGTGTGTGCTGAAGAAACATGTAATTTTGGACTGGAGGGGTGCTGACGCGGTCGGGAGGGTGCGCAGCGCGGGGTTTAATCCCGTTGAGTTTGCTGAGCTCGAGGTCCCAGCGAGGTGGTGATAGGTGGCCTAACCGTTATGTGTTGTTTCTGGGAACACGGAAAAGGGATGAGAGCTGAGAAAAAGGAACGGCTAGCGGGCAAAGCCAGTGGTGAAAGAAAGAAACCGGCCACCTTCGTGAACTTCTCTGCCTGGGTGTCACCAACGTGGCGGTTTGAATAGCAAGTGGTGACTAATTGGCTTTATGGAGCGGAGCGTATTGCATAGTATCTGGCTGCTGATGTTGGCAAAAGCTAGATCTGCTTCAACGTGGCCAAGTATTGTGCGTGGTATATGTATCGCTGAGGAAGCCTGCCCCTTCGATGATGTTTCTGTGGTTACAATCCTCCATACAATACCCACCACGGATGCTCCGAAGGACATGCCCAACGACAACGAAGGGATGCCATCATCGGCGTCTCCTGATGTGATTTGCGCCGAACTTCTCAAAGTGCTCAGCCGGCTCGAAGTTGAGCAACCCATGATATGGTGAGTATATGCCCCCCCTATCTACCTCCCTTGTTCCCTTTTTCTTCTTTCCTCTCCTTTTGTGGCTGTTCTAACTCGCCGCCCGTTCAACAGCCAAAACACTTGCCTCTGCCCCCATTTCTTTCTTTTTCAGCATTATCTTCTCCCCCTCTGGGACTGGGGCGTCACCAAGATCGTCTGCCTCAACCTCGGTTCTCTCCGTCATGTCCAACCTAACGGCGGACCATTCCCCATCCCCTTATCACCACCCACCTACACCCCAATCTCCCCCAATCTCAACAACCCAGCCCCTAACACCCCTTCCCCCCGAACCCACACCCACACTCACACCCGCACCCGCACCCGCGGCCTGACCACCGCCCACGCCCTAGCCCGCTACACCTACCGCGAAGCCATCCGCAACCAACACGAGCTGGACTACGGCAACAAACCCCAAGCCGACGACGGCACCCCCGCCGCCAACCGCCGCGTAGCCCTCCGTCGCCAAAACGCACTCGAAGCAACCCTCCTCCGTCCACGCGCACGGTTCAATGCCCGTCCGTTGGACTTGCTTGATCCGCTGCAGACTATGCTGCGGCATGTGGCTGCGCTGGAGGTGGCGTCGACGTTGAAGTTGTTTGGGTGTTCGAGGGGGGTGGAGCATGGGTTGGTGAGGGAGTATTTGAAGAAGACGGGGTTGGTTAGGGATTGGTGTTTGGCTGGGATGGGGATGGGGGTTGAGGATGGGTGTGTTGTTCCCAGGGACAGCAACGTTGAAGGGGGAAAAGAAGAGCTGGGAACGGTGGAGGAGAAACGAGCAGCGATCGAGAAGAAGCTGAAAAAGTTGCCGGCTACCGCGGGGTATGGTGGTGACGGGGATATGGTGGATGTGCCGGTGTATTTTTGGGATGGGGAATCTTACACGGAGGAAGACCGGGAAGCGCTCCGTCGGTTGGCCGGGGTTTTGAAACTCGGCCACTTGCCGCTTGTGGAGGTGGTAGAGGGTGGGTTGGAAGAGGTGTGGAAGGTTGTGGATGAGAAGACGTTGGTGTATACGGTTGGGGTAGGGTCTGGATCTGTGAGGATGGAGGAGATGCTTGCGAGGGGGGTGAAACCTGTGGCGTTGGTGTGGGGGGATGTGAATCGGTGTGGCATTTTCTTTTTTTGTTTTTTTGATGTTGATTTCTTCTTCTTTTCCCTTCCTTGGCTTATTCCTTCCCCCCATCCCATGATTGGGGTTGGTTATGATATGCTAACGCGGTAGTAGTGATGGGTTTAACGATGATGATAGGACTCGGCTGGACGACTACCTGGGGTTTGGCCTCGACAAACGGACTGCTCCACACACCATTGGGCATTCACATATTTACATCCGCAAAGATGCCATCGAGGAAACGGCAAAGCGGCAGATCCTCCCACCGTACCCCGTTAATTTCCCAGCGGAGTACGCGTATATCCCGAGACGTGAGGACTGGTACCTTTATGAAGCCCCGAAACTAGGGACGACTCGGGGGCAGCTTTTCCCGGACAAGAAAAACAAGGCTGTTGGGAAGGGCGAAGATAAGTGACCAAGCCTTAGGAGAGAGATAAGCGATGCATTCTTGGGCTGCAGTTAATTACAGCGATGAGTGTGAGATTTATGACGGGCCATGGTTAAGGCTGTTCTTAACTCTATTTTAGATAGCGCTTCCGGATTTAAATAGCAAGCGGTCAGCTAATTTGCAAGATACTCGTACTGGACCCCTTATTCGTACTTGCGTGTAAGTGTGAAGTCCGGAGCTTGATGGAACCCCACTCGGCTTCAGGGCCTCTGTAGCCCCACCCGCCCATAGGGCTGAAGCTGCTCCGGATGCTCCCCGATCGTACGTCACCAGGAAGCAACCTTAAAGCAACCAGCTTGCCCCGCCTTTACAAACCGCGAACCTCTCCTGTTGGAAATCCAGACCGGCTACTTTCAAGCCTCTTCCGACACACCAGTGTTTTGCCAGAGCAATCTTCACTCGCCATCGGTATCCGTGAGCAATTATCGAACACTCGACACGATGACGCCATCTGAACCCCTCGGCCCCGCCATGGTGCTGCAGGGCGTTGCTGATGCTCTACCCACCCATGCCGAGGGTGACACCACCTCGCATCTCAGCAGCTCTCTCGACTGCGTCGCCATCTTTGTCCACGCCTGCTTGGTAAATCTGGGGTTTCGCTTGCTGGGCTTTCACGAAGATAAAAATATTGGTGTGTTTGGATTCTGGAATCCATCATTATCACCTATATAGTCAAGTCCCCGCTAACAGCAGTCCGTAACCCCAGAATTACAATGCGCCAGTCTCGCCCCCCGTCTGCCTTCGGAGTGGAACAACTCGCTCAGCTCCCACGGTTTCGTCTACGCACATAACCAGTCTGCCATGCGCTTTGTGATCCACGTCGACCGGCTGGGTGGCAAGATCGAGATCCGCGGCTTGGCCACTGGCGACGAGCGCATCGCTCGCTTCGATATCACGGCTCGCGATTTTGTCTCCTCTTCTGCTCTTCCACTACGTATCCCCAAGTCGGACAGCGGCGAAGAACAGCGCGGCGAGCTTGTCCAGAAGCTCAGCTCCCTCTTCATTTCAGAGGAACGCATCCGAGGTATGTCCCCTTCCTCCTTGTATGAGTTAGTAGGCCGTTTGTACATGTATTTACTAACCAACCAACTCCCTCCAGACCTCGCCTCCCTCGTCAAAATCTCTCTCATCCAACGCCTCCTCCCCTCCCTCAACAAAGAAGGCTACACCGAAACCCGTCCCGAGCCCGCCCCCCGCCGTATCTCCCCTCCTCGCCCAGGCAACGGTAACAACCCCCCCAACGAACCCTCCTACCTCCCCCCACCAGCCGCTCCCCACCCTTACCCAGCTCCCGACCCCCTCGCCTTACCCCCGCGCCATCCCATCCCAACCGCCGACTTCCCCCCTCCCGATTTCGAAGACGAATACGAAGTCAACCGTCCCCCGCGTGGCCCCGGCCACGGTCAGGGAGGTGCCGGGTTCGGCAGCATCGGACACGACGACTTATACCCCGCCGGTTTGGGCCCGCATGATCCCATTCGTGGATCGTTTACACCTGGGGGTGGGATCGGGCCGGGGGGGTTGAGACGGCCAGGCGGTGGTGGAGGAGGTTTTGGGGGGATGCACCCTACGTTTGACGATCCGTTGTTTCGGGGTCCTGGGGGGAGAGGAGGAAGAGGTGGGGGCGATGGGGATGGAGATGGAGATGATACGTTTGGGGGGCAGATACCCCCTGGTGCGAGGTGGGATCCGTTGGGGCCTGGGGGTCAGCCGAGGTTTGGAGGGGGTGGTCGGGGACGGGGCTTTGGTGGGGGGTTTGGAGGGTTTGGGAGTGGGGATATCATTTGATCTTTTGATTTCGAGGTAATGGGGAACTGTCCGTGGTGGAGCGGGAGGATGGGGAATTCGTTTGTGGGAGATTGATGGTGGTAAACACCGCCGTTGTTAATAAGCTTAGTTTTTGGGGTGTAGGATTAGGTACATCGGATAAGGGGGAGTAAATGACTTGCTCGGGTTATTGAGTTGAAGAGAATGAATAAGAAGTTGAGCACGCAAGATGGCCAGCATAATTAACTCGTACATCACATCACATCACACACATGGAAGCGTAAAGAAGTAGCTGGGTAGCCTCCTTGTATGTATGTACTGCGCTTGTGCATCACTATATAAAATTTCTCGCTTTCTCTTTGCCTACAAGTGTAAGGGGTATGTAGGTAGTGAGGCCTCTCACGGCAATGTTCAACTTGATTCCACGCCCCTCGCCCGGTCAAAAACTTCCCTTTCTGTATCTCAGCCTGCTTGATACATGTACTCTTCGTGTCCTCCCAGGCAGCAGTCCCTTGAAAGCCCCTGCCGACATGCCCATATGTTCTTTCCCCTTAAGCTATGTGCCCGCTCCGTCTTACGCAGACCGCTGTAGCCAAGACCATTCAGAAACCGAGTGGGAGCCCAACAGGCCCGCAAATGCCATACCGCGCCAATGGTGGCCAAGAAAGCTGTATACATCACACAAACAACCAGGTTTTGCACAATAGAACTGTCTCTCTCTCTCTCACACACACCTGTTACCATAGTAACTTGATGCTGGCTCTGGGGGGTTTCCGCCACTCCCTAGCCGTGACCAGATAGCGCGGCAGTCTGAGGTCCGGAAGTTTCCTATACAACACAGCGTGCTACTACTGCGCCGCCTCTTTGACCTTGCGTTTCTCGTCGTCGGTCAGCATCCCACACCAGTTCTGGAACTCCGCAATATTCTCGCCGTCGGCACGCATGAAGAACTCGATGAGGTAGGCTTGTGTCTCGTCGTCGCGCTGCCGCATGTTACCGCCTTCGATCCAGCCCATCAGGTCGGCTTTGGTGCTGCCCAGTGCCAGGTCCAATGTGTCGTCTGGCTCATCCTCCCACCCGTCATTATCGGCTTCGTCGTCTTCTTCGGCGAGGTCGGTGGCCGCGGCCGCGGCGACGTTGGCGGCGGCTTGGAGACCGGACGCGGAAACGAGTTCTTCGATGAGGACTTTGAGGATCTTGAGTGGGGCTGGAATGATGGTGTACGTGTCCGGATCTAGGTGGGAATTTATTAGCCACTGGAAAAAAAGAAGTTTCAACGGCTTGTGAGACTCACTGAGCTTAGCTCTTGACCGAGTCATGATCCTATCTGTGTTGGCAATGATCAAGTCGCCCTTGACCATCGTCTGAGCTAGACGGGAATCGTTGAGAGAGTAGAGCTTAGAGAGAGCGATGACGCTAAGCCAGTGGTTAGTACATGAACAGCCAAGGAAAAAAAAACATGGGAACTTACTTTTGGCGAATCTCGTCATACCCAGCAAAGTTGACCGAGTTCTCGAGCCATTTGCCGAGGACGACCTGCAGGCCCACTTGCCTGTTGATTTGGATGTCGCTGAGAAAGTTGACCACATCTTGCGCGCCCACGAGCGACAGACGAGCAAAAACCAGAATCAACGATTGAATGAACGGAGCCGCTTCGGCGGTCTCGAGCCGCGTGGCAACTGCCTGAAGAAGCTGAGGCAAGAAGGGGCCAAGCCTCTCATGTCCAGCCTTTTCTACTAACTCCGCAGCCAAACCTCCCACTTCAGAAGCCGCAGTATCCTCAATGTCCGGGCCGAGAAGACGGTCAATAATACGCAGGCACACCTCAAGACCAGACCGGCCGTTTTCGTCCTGCCAGCTGAAGACCTGCTTATGGTCGTGCATGAGAATGTACTTAACCGCCTCTGCGCCGGGGCGAAGGATATCGCCTTCAGCCGACGTCATGAGAAGATGGTGGAGTTTGGGTAACGTGGCGGCGACAAAGCCATCCGGGAGTGGCTCAGACCCATGCTGAAGAAGGAGTGACAACAGTTCGGCGGCCAGCTTAGAGACGTTATTAGTGGGAATTGCCCGGTAAGAGGATGAAGAAGACTTACGGTAACAAGCGGTTCGTCCTGGGTGAGGTTGGCAACGTCGAAGGTACCAGTGATGGACGGCAAAACTTTGGCGCAGAGCGCAGCATAGAGACGTGGGTGTTCCATATCCTTGAGCGGCCCCTCGTTGTCCTTGAAAGTCCTCGCAATGTCCTCAAAGGTATCACAAACAAGAAGGTCAACATGGAAGATGGCCGCACCGTGCTTCGCAATCAGGAACAGTAGGTCAACCGCCTTGCTGTCCGGCTGGATAGCGATCCTGGTGTCCATGCTGATAGTGGCACGCAGAGTCTCCAAGAGGGTGACGAGCAGGTCGTCCGCGTCTTCAAGGTCGCTCAGATCCTTGGATTCCAGGAGACGCTGGATGGCCAGTATTATGGGTACTTGACGGTCCACGGGAGCTCCACCCTTGATAAAACCTTCGACTGCCTTGACACTGGCGGCTTGCACAAGTTCAGATTCATCCCTAGTGATCGAATCGATGACATTATCGAGTAGGCCAACGGCGGGTTGGTAAACCGGTGCCAGTGCGCCGGCAGCGAGATAGCCGCGGGCACGGAGCATTGGCTCGTCTTGTCTGTTGATAGCGTATGTGACGAGCTCAAGGTAGGCATTTGCGATTTCGGGCGGCACCGCTTTCTCACAGTCCTGGAAATCATTGAGAATAGCGTTAAACAGGTACAAGGCAGCTTCACGCTTCTGCCAGCTCGAGCCCTCTGCTGAAAATAGGGCCTTGGTGTAAGCAAATAGACCCTCGAGCGCGGCCTTGTCGAGCCACTCCCCAAGCTTAATGAGAAGATCGCTGCTGGCCGTCCTCGCGGTGTAGTTGGACGAGACAGCAGTTTCGTCGGCGAGGTATAGTGAGATATCAATGTCCCACAGCCCTTCTTCTTCCTGCGTGATCTGCGAGTACGACACCAGTAGGCCCATAAGATCCAACACCCAGGGGGTATCGTGAACAGCACCGCGCGACTTGATCTCAGCCTCGAGTTGCTTCTGGACCGGCGGCGCACGGATACATTGGTTGAGGAAATCCAGCTCGTCCAGCACAAGGAAGTCAAGAGTAAATGGAAGCCCATCCAGATCCTCGAGTCGGCTCTGGGCGTCAGAGTCGATAAATAGAGATTGGTGCGATGGTGCCAACCGAGAGAGCTCTTCCCAAGTGGTAGTAAACAGGGAAAGACTCTGTGGGAGAAGAAGGGTAGGGAAAACGGTCCGGATCTTGATCAGGGTTTTGACTGCTTGATCTTTTAGTATGATCGGGCCTGGACGGATGGTCGGCTCCGCGCCCGAGCTCTCGACCGGCGGTGGGAGCGGTGTTTTGATGACTTGTTCCAAGAATGGTAACCATCCGCTGAGGACTTCTTCGGCAAATGTTTTGACCTCCTTCTTATGGTCGTCCTTTACGATATCCATCAGGTCAAAGCAACTGCGGAAAACAAGAACTGCCAAACTGCGGTGTGTCTCTTTCCGGTTCTCGTTGAGAGCAACGTCATAGCAGGACTTGATGATATCCCGAGCCACACCAAAGAACTGCTCATCGGTCAGACTCTCCTCGACCAAATCCTGCAGGATCCGTAATGCCCCATGGAGTTGTGCATCGGTTCCGGAAGGCATGACACCAAGGACAGAGGGGAGAAGGGCGGGCCATCGGTGAGGGAAATCGGCTATGGCAATCTTGGAGACGACATAACTAGGTAACAGCTTGTTAGTCTCCTCTTTGTTTACTGTTAATGTTCGAGAGCCGTCGCTCTAACTTGCACGGTGTACCCACCTTGCGGCAACCTTGACTTTGCGCTCATCCTCGGGGCTTAACACCAATTCGAGGATCGCATTCCGCAGGTACTCCTTTGTTGAGTCGTCCACCGGGACGCTCTCACCGTCGTCCGGTGCCCATTTTTTCTCAACAAACTTTCGGAGAGTGGTCAAGGCCGACTGGCGGATATGAACGGGGGCGCCCGTGTGCGCTCCAATGCGGGCTAGTGACAAGGGGTACTCGGGATTCTGCTGGGCGTGCAGGAGGTCGAGCTCGGCTTGTTTGCGGGGGCCGTCGTTTTTGTCGTGGGTGTTTGCGAGCAGCTGCGCGAGGTGCTCATCCATCTTGCTGGCCGAAGCGAATTGCCTGTCGGGGCTGTATTTCCAGGTGACAAGTCAGCTATAATTATGTGCCGGCTCCCTAATAAACGAGGCCGCAAGGCAATTCCGCGGGGTTAGGTAGGGTTGGTAAGAGAATGTTGTGTTGCAAAGAAAGACTTGGATAGACTCGGGAACCCGCCGAATACAAACGGCGGTGATGTGGGGTGTGAGACACGGCCAGGCCTGTGCGATCAATCAGCTTTTGTTTAAGACGCGTAGTGGGCGTGCACTGCGCGGGGTAGTGCTGGGGTGGGCCAGCAACAAAGCCATCAGGGTCACGGCAGCGGGGCATCGTGATGAATAAGTGGGGCAAATTGCAGCGGGCTCAGGCGGTTCGCGGCAGCCACCCCTGACGCTCTTTTCATGGACGAACTTCATACCTATCAAAACATCGACCCTTAAAAGTCTAAAAATGGATCTTTGAAGCCGAGACAAGTAAGGACACAATCCGACCCTGAAATAATGCCTAGTCAACCAAATTCTGGGATCCCGCTCTCTCATCTGCCCAACGAGGCAGGATATAAGCTCCTTGAACTCCCTCCAGAACTCCTTGAGCTTTTCGAAGGCCAGGACCCACCTCGGTACGTTGGCCCTGTTCAGTGTAAAAGAAACCTTTAAGACACATACCAACGGGAGGTATGTAATACCCTCGTTGGTCTTCACCTCCTATCATTTTGTTTAACCCCCCCTCGTCCTCCCTTCATTGTCTAACCTACCCCGACCCCACCAGCTTAACCCTCCACCCCTCAACATCAGCCGCCCTTCTCAAGACCCCCCTCAAGACTTACTCTCTCCGCCAAAAAAACACCTCCAACGCCCTCATCCTCTTGGCACCCACTACTACTACTACTACTACTACCGGTATCCCGACCTCTGCCGCCCCGGATACCGACAGCAATGATGGCGCAGACAAGGACCCAAGCCCCATAGCACGAGCCGGTATTAGCACCATTGCCACGGTTCACGAGACGGTCGAATTAGTTCCAGAAGCTGAGGCGGCGGCGGCACCCGCAGCTAAGGCAAGGGGGCGATGGCATGAAAAGTTTGGTCGGGGCCGTTAGCTTTTCGGGATGTGTTCAAGGCGGCGGGGGCTAGTCGACATGGCCATGAGAGGATTTGATCCCTCCGAACCCGGTGCTCCTAATCAATGCCTTGTTAACACTATGCCCCTTCCTCCCAAACATCCAAGTTTATGTCCAGCTTTTACGGTTACCAAAAAAACCACGGCGAGTCAACAATTTAACGTCCCCCGTGATCGGTTCTGCGGAACCCAACGCGCTTATTACTCAATACAGTGCCTATAAACATCTAATTCATGGGATGATACAGGCCCAGTGACCAGTTTGAAGAGTCTCTCCGCTAGACTACGAGCTTCTTCCTGCTCAGACTCGCCCATGCATCCATTCATATCGGCCCCGCCGGTTCAACGTCATCCCTACCGCACATCCTCTGTGTCTTGCCCCAAGTACCCTCCCAGAGCATTTCTCGTGATCTGATTCCTGCCCTTGTGTACCCTCCAAGCCGCATACCATCCCAACTCCTGTATGCAGTGGATCCAACGAAGAGCAAAGGGGCGGGAACAACAGGAGAAATCAAAACCAAATACCATCGCAAGCACGGTTAACCCCCAAGCCCAAATTCTGTAAAAACCTCAAAGCAATGACCAGGAACAGACACCCTAAGAGTTCAGGTTTCGACCTCAGGGCACCCTAGGCCCCCACGGTCTTCCAAACACAGGCGGGTTCCGGTTACCCGTAGAGCCAGGCACTGGATGGTAGTGCCGGGCCGCAGGCGCAGGTACCTGCCCGACCTGGCCACCCTGAACTGCGGGTTGATTAGCCTGCCAGTGCGGCCCTAGTTGACCAGCTTGCATAGCATGTGGCTGATTCTGCACAACGGCGTTTCCTTGTGCGTGGGGAAACGGGTTGACTGCTGTATGCGCGTGAAGCATGTTACCGCCAATATGGCCACCGTTAGTATGATGGTACTCTGCTAGTTGTATTGACCGGTGAAACTCAGCTAGAAAATCCCGGGGTCGTTGTGGGGGAGGGAGTAGTGGCTGAACCCCCGGCTGTGCAGCTTGGAAAGGCTGCCCAGCGATATTGTTCCTCGCGGGAGGGACGCGCTGAGCAGGTTGGGCCGGGCATGCAGCTGGTGGTGCTGGAGGTTGGACAATATGTGGTTTCTGTGGCGGTGGTGGTTGTCTCGCTTGTTGTTGTTGTCTCGCCTGGAGTCGTTGTTGTGCTTGGAGTTGTTGTCTCGCGTGATATTGTTGTCTCGCTTGTTGTCTCTGCTGAGCTTGGACATTTTGCTGCACTCCTCCTACCTGGTTTTGGTAGTTGCCAACCCCTTGGAAATGGACAATTTGAGGTACACCGTTTGGGGGATTTGCTTGCTGCCCGTTACCTCCTATTGAAATAAAGTAAGTCCACCAGTTCCAAGAGCAAAAAGAGACTTTCTTCTTAATGAAGAGGGTTTCAACGTACCCGGTGCAACCCAACCCGGTGCAACCCAACCCGGTGCAACCCAACCCGGCGGTACCTGTGGCGGGAAGACGTGGCCAGGCACTACTGCCGCGGGGTTGGCGGCTTTGCGGCGTGCATCATCCTGAAGGACCTTGTCGGAGAAGTTTATTTGGAGCAATTCTGCTGCGAGCTCTGGATTCTGTTCTGCGGCCTTCTGGCGGGCGGACTCCTCGGCTGCGCGGACTTCGCTCTGATGGCGTTGTTCTACACTGTCAAATAATGGACAGTTGCCCTTCTTGCCGCCCCGTCTGGAGTCGTCAAAGTGACTGTAGTCACAGGATTGTGAACAGACATAGCACTGGACGTTGTAGCATCCGCCACGGGTGCAGGTCATCTTGTTACAACCATTTTCCTTGATGAAAGGTGTGCTGCCTACAGTGATTTAGAGTCAGCAAAGGGTGACGTGGGTGAATGATCAGCGGATCAAATACTCACATTTGTTGCACTTGCGGATGAGAGCAGCAGACATAGCCTCCTCAATGGCCCGCCGAGCTGAGTGTCCGTTCTCTCTCGCAGCCTCCTGGCAAGTCTTGGGGATATGTGTTTCCAATCGACAATGTCGGCAGCTGACCTGGAGACACTCCGCATTCTCGCACCGAAATTCCTTGTTTTGTTCGACCGGTGGGTACTCGGCAGCGTACCGGCAGAACGGGCAGGTTTCAAGGTTTTCAATACCTGCTAGTCGAAGAGCTTCCTCCTGTTCGATCAAATCCAAGGCTGTGCTCAGCTTGTCATCCAGAAATATCTCCTTCTGATCTTTAGCAAATCCGCCCTCGCACCCATCCATGGACATACAAGCAAGTTTATGCTTGGAAAGGCCAACAACATGTTCGGCCATTTGCTTTGCGCAGGCTCGACAGAACCAGTGGACAGTACTGGCATCACAGTGCACCATGCGGTTAAGGGGCAATTCGTCAAAGCAGCAGCCACAGTCTGCCACGGTACCTTCAGCCTTGGCTTGGGCTAAGTTCTTTTCCTCCTCTTCCGCTTTCAATCTCTCCTCTAGCTCTTTTGTCTCCCGTGCGCGTGTCCTGGCCTCACAAGCTGTGCGGACGGCAGTAAGAGTGGCTAGAGCGTCTATCTCCGCTGGATGTGCTCTCAGGCGCAGATCATATTCGACGTTAGGAAGCTTCACGATTCCAGGGGGGACTTTCTTGGTTCTGGCCGGTGCGACTGCTGGGTTCCAATTGGCTTCATCGAGGGCCAGGTATGTGGTGTAGACCCGGTAATCATTTTCCTTGAAGGCATTGTCGACGTCCTCGGCGTATCTCTGCGGAAATGCAGCTTTAAGAAGCATCCGACTGTAACATTAAGAGGATCAGACGCGGCACGCAAGACCAATCGGAACACATCAAGGGCCACTTCGGAATACGTACGCTGCCTTCAAATAGGAATTGAAATATCCACGGCCTTTGTCGGCGGGCCGAGGCTCGGCGTTGGCGAACTGTGGTTGCACGTTCGTCTCTTCCGTGTCTTCCTCATCAGGCCGCTTTCGCTTCAGGGGGCTCGGTCGCTTCGGATAGGGCCGCCCCTTTTCCTGTTCATCGAGAATGTCGCTAATAACGTCTTGTGAGCGGCCCCCATGTTTCAAGGCCTGATCTTGCAGAAATTTCGGGCAGATGTCGGGAAAGCAGTGCAGAACAGTCTCCTCGCACGACGGAGGCTCTTCGTCCTGTGCAACTAGAGGTCGTATCACACCTGGGTCTGCTCCATAACCTGAAACAGGCTGTGATTCCCTGCACTTAGATATTAGTATGCTAATATGCCTCTGACATCGGTCTAGGTATTTCTCAAGGCAAGTAGATTGAGTGGGTGAGGTCTAGTCATGTGAAGTATGCTCGGACAAGTGTGTTGAAATCTAACGTCGTGTTTGTATGGAGTACCAGGAAGCCGAGGAAGCGGACGGGTAGGCTTCTCTACCCCGGTGTTTCGATGGGCGATGCCCCATCGGGATGATTGATGACCCAACTTTGCTTCCCGGGACTTTCCACCCTCAGGAAGTCGGCTGCCCTGGCTAAACAATGAAAGTGTAGAGATGCAAGAGCGGGGTTCAGAGGGGACAGGGGGGCTGGGAATGACCTACGGCTGAGGATAGAAGTTTTTGTCGACGGCCACAAAATCGTGAAGGTCGTCCAAGTCCAACTCGTCGAAATCCGGGTCAGCATTGGTTGTTAGTGCTTGGGGAGGCGAGATCTCTTGGAGTGATGGCGACGACGGAGGGGAAGGCGAGTCAGAAATGACTACAACCTCATGGTGAACCATGGCAAGGCGGGTTGGCGCGAGAAGTCGGGTGGCTGCGCGGAGGGAGGGAGGCCAAGCTGCGATCAGAGATCGGAGTTTGTAGTCCAAGAAGACGGGTGACTGCTAATCACAGTGATTTTGTTTTGATATGGGTTTCGGGATGAATCCTCAAGAAGAAGAGCTCATAGTTGGTGGAAATGAGGTATGGATGGAGCTCCTCAGAAGCGCCGATGTGGGTTTTGAGGCGAGGGCCACAGAGAAGTATCTTTGGTTGGGAAGTTGGACGAAGCATCAATCTGTTGCTGAGGACAACATTAAAGCAAGTGCTTGCCCCTATGGGTAGCTTAAATTCCGAGGCGCCAGAAGGGTTAAATATGATCTTGCCGTGCATGAGATTTTCCACCATATGTGAACTCTAGTAATGTATGAATGAGGAAGTTCACTAACATCTCTGCAGCAGGGCGACGGCGACGGCGGCTGCAAAGCTGGGGGGATTTCGTTGTCAACCCCAGGCCTCCCGCGAAGGCAGGAAGCAAACTTGGGAATTTCTGAACTGAGCCTGAGGGCTCATTCAAAGAGGCACGTGCAGGCCTGTTCCATTCATGGAACCTACCGCCTGATTGATGGACATGAACAAAGGATGGGAAAGAACTCGAGAGCTGTTCACGAGGTCAGGAGGGCTCCAATAATGCACGGACCATGTACGATGATTGAAATTGCCTGATCAAGTAAGTTAACGTGGGGCATTAAGATTGAACTCACATTCTTGTAACAAATGTTGGTCATGACCAACAACACAATCCCATAATTACATCGGGTTAACGCCGGTTATTGTGATACTCAATGAGTAAAGAACAAACACATGTCTGGACCATCCTTTGAATGGGGGGTGGAATAGTTATATGTTGTCACTGAAATTCGGAGGTATGTACATACAGTAACTTGTACGAAGTACAGTACCACGAACTATTTTGCTTGCTGTTTCTTTCGACCACCGCTTGGGTGCGCCACAACACCATGCTGCCTTCACCAAGCTTAGCGGCGTGGTGTGGGTTTTCGGGCTGTTTGTCATGTATTCCGACATGTCTAGGCCTCGAATGTGACACTAGGAGCAGCTTCACCATGGTCAACCTCCAATGTGTCAGCTTGTTCTCCGCCGTCCTCCCCGTCTTCATCCGCGACAGGGAAGAAGCCAGAGGTCATATGTGACGTCTGTTCGCCCTCATCCTCGTAGTCCTCAGACAAAAACCCACCACCCATCTCCTCCTCTGCTCCGGCCGCTGCATCATCATACTCACCCCTACCGCCCTCATGCCCAAATACGTCCACATCTTCCTGCACTTGTCCGTAATCTTGCTCGATTCTCTCCACAATTCGCAACCCCATTATGAACTTCCTCCACATACCCAGCGCCGCCTTCCTCCTCTTCTCGTCCTCCTTTCTCAGTTTCTCGGCCTCATCCTTCGCTAGCTCCTCCATCACCCGATCATGATGCTCCTCCGCGACGACAACCCCTTGAATTACCGGAACGGCCATGCGATGACCAAACTCGAAATCCACCACAGCCTCCGCAAAGTCAATACCCAGCCTCTTCGCAACACGCATCGCGCCGCGGTAGGGCACGTGCACGGCGCCCTCGGGACACATGTGTTGGACAAACAGGTCAATGTTACCGTACTCGTTCTTGGGGATTATCCCATTCTTGATCGGCGGCGGGATGATCCAATCAGTCTGGTCGAAACTGTACAAGCCCTGAAGAACCTTCTCACCCGTGACGGCCTCGACCTCCGCAATCTCGCGCCGTCGATTCGTAGTTGCTGCACGGTAGGGAACCCGTTTTAAGGCCATTTCGCCCGGTTTTGGTGCCCGGCCTTGTTTGTGCCAAGTTTCGGCGCTCTTGACTTGGACCACGTCCTTGCGAGCATAGACGGGCTCTTCTTCGGTGGCTTTCCCCTTGTTTCGAAATGTTCTCACGGAAACGGCGGTAGGTAGAAGGGCTTCTTCGCGTTTGAGATGGCGGGCCAGGACGAAATCCTTGGACTGCTTGTAATACTGAAGAGTTTCCTCGCCCTCTTTCACTTCCTTCTTTTCCATCACAGCAGGCTTGAGATCCGTCATGGTTTCCAAGTCGTCAGCTTCCGTAAAAGGGCATCTCTCGCCGCCACGACTATACCCTCTCATGACAGATTTGAACCAGTCGAACTGGTCATACCGCTTAACTTTGCCGTGGTGGTTGTAAACTGGGACTTTCTCGATGGGGATGCGCATTCCTTTGGTGCGCCCTGGGAGAGTCTGACGTTTCAGATAGCGGACCGTGACATCTTTAGCCGTTCCGTCTTGGGAGTGCCCAACAATGTAAGCCATAACCTGCTTGGCCTTGTCCGCTTTCCCGCCCCGTGGTTCCAGTGACTCAATGAGCTCTCGATTCGTACCAATTACCGCCTTAACAATGGCATCGACTGGAAGATATTTCTTCGTCACCGGGGACAACACCTCAGTCCAGTAGTGAGGAAACTCCAGGTCAGCATCATGCACCTTCCCCCGTTGTTGTGGTGCCTGTGGGACTTGGATTGCGAGGTCCTCGTCGCTGTCGTCAAGGGCCAACTCGGAATCATCCCCATCCTCTATTGCCGTCCTGGCAACCTTGCCCGGCCCTCGAGCGGGAACAGTGTCTTCCAACCTTCCTGCCTTTTCAGCCGCCTTCGCAGTGGCCCTGTCATTTCCGGTGACCTGCCCATAGTTGAACTCTGCCTTCTCGGGGTCCGCTTCTTCCAATTTATTCCACCCAAAGCCCAATGGCTGGAGGTTGCCTACCAGGCGAGCCTCCAAGCCTAGTGCTCTGAGCAGACCCGTGAACAGCTGAGCTCCAACGTCCCGGCTGCCGGCACATTCTTGCGCACAGCGTCGAAATTCGTCAATGTCCTGGATACGTTCTCCATATCTCTCCTTCTCATGACTGTTTTGCTTACTAGCCTTTGTTAGACGGTCGAGCCGCTCGAGCGGCATGTATCCCCACTTTCGTAGGCCTGGAGCTGTGACGCGGAAACGTTGCTTCCACCAGGCAGAAAGATACTTCATCAGCCGAAAAAGGGGATCGCAGTGACTCAAATCCGCAGCGCCCTGTTCTAGGCGTTGGGAAGCTTTGGTCCACTCGCGAGATTTCCGAGCTACGGCCTTTCCCTTTCCTTTGATATTACTCTTTGTCTCCCGGTTCATCTCTGCCTTCGCTGGTGGTACCAGCCCGCTGCTCAACCTCCACCTGTCAACCTCAGCCCAAAGTTTCGGCGGGAGGTGCGACAGCAGAATCCCTTGAAGAAGGGGATCACAGAGCCACGAGTTTCGGATGGCGTTATGCCAAAGCAAAAGCTGCACATGTACGCAATGCGTGGATATTCGTGTGCGGCGCTCAAGCTTTGACGGCCCCTTCCTTCCTAAAGCATTTGCGAGTGAGATCCTCGTGTCCCGGATCAGGGTCAACTCGAGGTCACCGGTAGGCGTTGGAACATGAGCGAAGCTGGTCTGCGGGGCTTCAACGTCTTCAAAGACAACGTCCTCGTCCTCGTCCTCGTCCTCATCCTCGTCCACGGCGCTGTCGTCTTCGCCACCGCCGTTGAAAGGTACTTGAACCTTTTGTCGTTTTGCGGCGGGGACATCCTCAAAGTCGGCGTCGGACAACGAGCTCAGCGAGCTTTCGTCATCGTCGCTATCGGCTATTTCCAAGGCCGATGGCTGTCTCCGCCCGGAGGACCTCGGTGTGGAGGTCGCATCGAGGTCATCAAAAAGGGTCGACTTTCGCGGGGGTGCTACTAGGGTTGTTTCAGGGCCGTACTGCTGCTTCCCCTTTCCTTCATCCAAAAGTTGTGATGCTTCTCCACGCGTCCGTTTTCGTGGGACGTAGGGAGGCATGTCGAGTTCGGGAATCGACGTGGTGTGGCATCGTCAAGGAAACATGTAAATGTTTCTCAGGTTGTGAAATCGGGTCGCTTCCTGGGTGCAGCTCATTCGGGTGGCGCGCCTTTGGACGCGACTTTACCCTAACCCTGAACCGGGCCAGGCTCCAGCCCAGCGCCAAGCCTCTAACTAAACGGCCAAGCCCCAGTGGCCGCCTGCCTCTAGCCTGGATCTCGAGCCACTAGTACTTTGTAATCCCTGCCAACCTGCCGGGAGCCTTCGAGATCATTCTGAGCCACGACACTCGGAGCGCAGAGCAGGCAACAAGCCGCTTCGTCGTCAGCTTCAGCAGTTTCCGCCCTTCGCTTGGTCAGCCAGGTCAGTTTATTAACCCCGGTGGCGGGTTTGGTATCGCGCGATCGTTTCTCCCCGGCGAGTCTTTCTTTTATTTATCCCGCCGTTGAAGATACAGCCCATCGCAAACATGGCCTCTCCAGATCCCAACAGCGACGAAACTTCGTACATCAAGATGTCCGCCGCCGCCGTCGATGACCGGGGCACCGACGCCACCCTAACTGGCTCTCACTGCCAGTACAGCTATTGCAACCAACTCGACTTCCTTCCTTTCCGCTGCCAAAGCTGCGACAAGACGTTCTGTCTCGACCACCGCACCGAAGACGGCCACGCATGTACCAATCCGGGTGCTTGGGCAGCGCGCAAGCGCGAAGCTGAGCTAGCCAAACACTCGGCGGGTGAAGGTCGGCGCATGCGCGATCTGATAGCTCAAAAGCCATGCGCCGACGACAATTGCAAGACAACCATAGGCACTGCACTCATTCCTGGTGTGCATTGCACAAATTGCAACCGCGATTACTGCCTTAAACATCGGCTTCCCGAGGACCATGCCTGTAGCAGCAAGCCACCAATTGGGGCGCGGGCTGTCAGCGCCGCTCATGCGGCGGTCGTCGCCAACAATGCCAAAAGTGCGCTCGAGCGGTTCCGCCTCTGGGGCCAAGCGAAGAAGGAACAGGCCAAGATCTCCTTCGCGTCACCGGCTGCGAAACCAAAACTGGCGCAGATGGTGGCCGTGAACAACCTCAAGAAAACGGCGAAGGGGGACGCTAAGATTGCACCGGAGAAAAGGATATACCTATATGTTGAAGCCGAGGCAGCAACGGCCAAGGCGAAAATCCCCAAAGGCGAATTCTTCTATTCCCAGGACTGGGTGGTAGGAAAGATGCTTGATACCGCGGCAAGGAGCCTCCAGGTGCAGAACATCAACAACCAGTCAAATTCTGAAGAGGACCGGTTACGAGTGTTTCACGTGGAAGGGGGCAGGCTCCTAGAGTTCGGCGAGAAGCTTGGACAGGTGTTGCAGAGTGGGAATACGGTGGTGCTTCTCAGAGGAGTCGGGCCACCGCCTGACTTAATCGAGGCCTAGCTTCAAGTGCATCTTTTGGGTTATTTCTGGCTTGACACAGCATGTGCGATGAGCATCGGCGTTTGACTTGGTGTACATACCTGCTAGGTTCGCCTCGTTGGCATAGCATAGCATAGCATGGAATCATTCATTGACAGATTTAATTGTTTACATTCTTGCGAGTGGGGTAGGTTGGAGTGTTCCTTCAAACGGTCGTCTAGGTCTAGCGCATAGCAAGTGGGAATACAACGACACAGCGCGACAATCATCAGTCGCCCCCAGTGTCATGTCCACGAGTTTCACTCGGTCTTGGTCTTGGGCCGCTCACTAAGCTGCCTCTCTCTCCCGATTTGCGTCGTGCTACCGACCGCCTCCGGCCCACCATACGTCGCAAACCCCTTGTGGAACACCCATTCAACCGCATTTTCGACCGGCTTGTCAAAAAGCGCTGGCAGGAATGGTACCACGGCCAAACCCAACCCGATAGGGCCCCAAGTACGCACCTTCGCGTTCTTGACATCCTTCATCGCCCGTCCACTATAGCGTACCACGCTATGAATCGTGAATGCTGGCAACCCCATGCTGGCCACACTCTGGAAAATGCCACGCTGCAGCATTACCGTCCTGTAGTCTTCCAGCGGCGTGACCGTCCCTGGCGCCGTCGGCTTCTTTATCTCGCCTCCCACATCCGACACACCCAGTATCTGCTGCTGGCGGGCCGTTAACTCCAACTGCGGGTTTAAGACGCGCTGGTTGTGCAGGTACGCCTTGTAGCCTTCATAGCTGACGTCCCCAAGAATGTATGCCCATGAGACGCCGTAAGCGCCGCGGACGAGCCATGGGTGAGCCACTGGGCGGAAAGATTCTCCAATATCCGAGGTGTAGGCAACATAGCGGTGGGCGGAAAGAAGGATGGTGCGAGCGCGGGCAGCATAGGCGGCGTAACGAAGGTTGGAGTCGGTGGAAGGGGGAGCACTGTTTGAAAAGCGCGCGAGAGGTATTTAGTAGATGTTGAGGAAGTGCCTAGGCTCGGGTGACTTACTAGCCCTCAACGAGCTCATCAAAGAAGTTTTCGTCCTTGTCTGTCTTGTCCATAATTTTTTGAAGTTTCGGCGGCAACTTTTCACGGTCTGGTAGCGCCTTGGGATCGACCCCCGAAGCGGCGCTTTTTGAACCGTTTGGCGCATTTTGCCCAGCCTGGGGCTGGGAGGTTGTTGGGGTGCCCGTAGGCTTGTCCGGGCTTCCACCAAACGGCCACATAGTTAATGAGTTGAAGGATGGCTTGTGTAAATCGACGTTGAATTCAGCACTAGCTCTTATTTTTTGCGGTTCCGGCGGCACCCCGCGAACTGGGCGTGGCTCGGGAACAATCGGAATTGGGAGTTCTCGGAAAAGCCGTCCCTCAAAGTGAGTCAAATACCACAGTGATATGAATCAAGAAACGATGCCCCTAAATTCAGGCGCAGCTACACTATTTTCGAGGAAAAGGAAAACGACTGAAGTCGAGGTCAAGCTTCATCTTGCCGAAAGCTATGAGTGACGTCGTTTACTTGCGATTTCCCCACTGTTGCGAGAAGCAACCCGGTGGGGCCAAGGCCCCAAATCTGCAGGGCCAACTTCGTCCGTGCCCATCGGCCCGCCTCAGGCCCCGGCAAATTCTCGGGTGTTCAGAAATGGAGTCCAACAACATGCGACGTTTTTAGAGCTTTTGTTCGCCGATTCATTCCGTACCTTGAGTTGCTTTCTTCGAACCCCCCACCACCACATCGCCAACTCTTCCTCTCGGCCCACAAGCGCCACCATGGTTCAAACCTACAAGATTTTCGGCGCCAACATCGGCTCGCACTACGTCAGTTCCCCAATCCCAATTGACTCGTTTCCTCTCATGGAGCAGCATGAGTCTGCAACTCGTCCCTCCACGGCCCCATTCGTAGGCATTGGCTAATACTCCGTATAACAGCTGGCGATGGGCGTCCTCGGCACCATGTTCGCTGGCTCTTATCTGGCTTTGGGTGGCAGCAAGGCGAAGCCCGCTACTCCCCCAATCAACGCCGCCAGCTCCGACGAAGCCGACTTCATTAAGTACGTCCAGCTCCCGGTGTAAATTCTCCCGGCCGACATGACCGTATATCTAACACATCATTAGGAACTTTATCGACCAGGCCGAAGCGGACGAGAAGAAGAACGCGCCCGCAAAACATTAGGTTATGTGTCACGAACGATGAACCAGGACACCGGACGGATTAGGCTCTAGCCTATGTGTGTATAGCCGTAATTCAAAGGGGTCATTATGACCGGAACCCTTCCTCTCATGCACTCAGCTAGCCATTTAGCGATTGCTGTTTTTGATCTCCTGTGGTCTTGCGTGGCGATTTCGGAAACATGGACAGGGGTGCATAATCAACACACACGACGGTGTTGTTACGGAGTGAAGCAAATGCCAACGAGAGACGGGCACCCAAATGAGAAAGCTAGGCGACCTTCAATTTAATTGAATCAAACAGATAACTAACCCCATGGGTATCTAGCCTGCCGTAACGCCAACAATTATCGAGAGCTGCCCACGCCTGTCTAGTCATACCGTGCATCTCTCTCAAATACACGATCCTTCGGCTTCAGCCTGTCCATATACTTTTTGTCCATTTCCTCCTGCATTTCCTCAACTTGTCGCTGTGTTTCTTCGAGCTACGCTCAAACATAAACATTAGCATTTGTAACCATGACAGTGTACTAATCGTACCCGGCAAGATAAACGGCACTGCTTACCATCCTCTTTTGCTCGTCGCTAAGCATTGGCGTCAGTATCTTAAGGATTACGTTGTTCCACAGCTTGTTCTCTTGTATCTCCGTCTCCAACTGGTGACGGACCGCGCGCATCCAGCCGTCGCTGTCTTGGGCGTCTTGAACAGCCATCACACTGTCGCATGCACCGTGCGCAAGTCGTCATCGAGTTTCCTCAGAGCCGCGGCGTTGAGAAAGTGCATGTCGCTACTGGTTTTGGAAGCAATTGCCGCGAAGGCTAAGTCTTGCGCCTTCTTGGCACTCCGACTCATGTCACAGATCATGTCCTGGACAGTAGACGGCGGCATGTTTGCCAATGGGTTTGTGGTGAGACCAAGCGAGACGCTCCAGGTTGTGGCAACGTCGACGGAGGAATTCTGTCTAGGTCAGCCGAATGTCCGGTACACTGAAAAAAAGAACATGATGGAGGGAAACAAGGAGCTTGCTGAGCTGTGATTTTCTTTCTGGGAGAGAAAAGGGCAACAAAAGAACATGATGAAGCCAAAGAACATGAAAGGTAATAAGTAAAATGGGGAAAGAAACAGATAGGAAAGAATTGGGAAGGAAAGAAGAGGACAAGTTGGAAGAAGAAAGGAGAGCAAAATTACCTGCTGGCGCAACGCAAGGTTGCGGAACAAATGGCCGTCAGTACCTGAAGTCTGCATCCGTCAGCGGGCGAACCAACTGGTAAGTCTCATCAAGTTGTCACGCAAGGAATGTCATATCTGGCACCGCTCCTTCCGAGAGTGAAAGCTTTCGGCCCCCAAACCCAACCTTCGGCGCTAATCCGGATCCCACCATAGGCCCATTACGGCGACGGGGACATTGAAAATCGCGCTGCTTGACAAGAGCAGACAACAAGAGCGGCCGCCAGCCACGGAACCCTACCCGTGGAACAATGCAAAGGAGTATGTATCGGTACCATCCTGGGAAAACGCACTACAACGCGCGTCGAGGTTGGCCCCAACGACAGCACTAGCGCGAGCCACGGTACACATCAAGGGCAAGTGAATCTTAAGCTACCGTCCGGCGATGAGATCCAGGCAGAGCAGGCTCGGGCACCCAAGAGCGTTTGTCGGCCGAAAAAAATAGGAGTGTAAAATTACATCCCAGGAGGTTTTTTGCTCTTGCGAGAATCTGACAAACGGGGGCTGACAACAAAATGCGGATGCGGAAGTGACTTACCGACGAACCCTGCTGAGGGTTGACGCCGCCCATGGCGGCGTCCTCGTTGTGCTGCTGAAAATCCATAGCAGCGAAAATCCATAGCAGCGGGGCGAACGTGTGGTGGTTGTGGTTGTGTGTTGTGTGGAAGAAAAAAACAGGAAGAGGTTCATGGGCGGGATGAGGAGAATTTATAGTTGGAAGAAGGGGCCTGTGCACGTCTGCATTTTTGCTACAGCCCGCATCTGGCTGTTCCTCAGTATTTGCGGAGCATTCTCTAGTTGTGAAGTTTATTGTTCCTATTGTTCTAAATAGATGAATAGTAAGGCAGGCAGGCGCAAAATTTGGCCCCACCCCGCCGGCGCGCCCGGTGTGTGAGCTCCCGGGGAAAAAACCCACGCGACAAACTCAAAAATGGAGGAAGGAACAAAAAAGCTGTGGTGACCCAAATCGTGTCTCAGTTTTTTCCCTTACCACATCTACCAAAACTCCAACGTTTCTTCTCAAACCAGGCTATTTAAAATGTCGCGCAACAGGAATATGAAATCGAAAAAACAGCGGCACGGGCGCCGAAATCCGGACAGCTCCACCTCCGGAGACGCCAAGCCCGCTTTCCCGGGTCCGGCCAGATCCGCCCCAGGGCCGGAGATACCACTCAAGCCCACCGAAAAACCAACCCCAACCATGAGTCTTATCCAGCGAGCGCCTCACCAGCAACGCAAGCTCAAGAACAAAGTTTGGTTACTGGAGGCGAAGGTAGCGCATTTCCAGAGATGCGAGAGACACTTGGCAAAAGCTCTTACCCAGCTCGATGCTGCAAGGACTCAGATTGGGGAGCTCAACGCAGCCATGCAATACCTCCTGAGCAAATCCTCCCATAATGATCGGTATTTCGACAAGATACTTAACTACGGGGATCTTTTTTCCCTCGTCCCTAATCTATTTCGTATACTCTTTTTACGGTTACTGACTAGATAAACACAGGACTGGGGTAAATCATTCAAGTGGTCACGTTCAAAATGGCAGTGTCCAGTTCAATGGGTAGAGTGACTGGCCGTGTTCCGGAGTTGAGGGTATCGAGACAGAAAAAAAAAGGGTGTTAACACCAGATCCGGGCGGTAGAGGGTCGTCGGTCACAGTGGCAATGGATCAGGACGCTCGCATGGATAAAACGGAGGACAATTCAGGGCGATGGATTTTAGGTTGAGACATTATTCGAGGACGTTTTCCTCTATTCCTACACCTTCCTCTTTGCTTACCCGGGGCCGCGAAACATACAAAAAGAGTAAACAAGTTACCAGAACCTCTCGTGATAAAACAGAAGGGTTTATCGATGTCCACTAAGACGGCGCCATGGCGCGGCCGTAGGGTACACTAAAATACTGATGCGGGGTATTAGTAATTAGTTAGGTACTTCGTCGACCAGTTGGTTTGGGCGTGATCAGTGCAAGTGCGAGGCCTTTGTTTGTTGAAGCCCCCAGAACAAGAAAAAGTGCTTAACATACAAAATAAAACATGGCTAGGAAACTCATAGCTAAGGAGTCCGCCTAATTTGGCAAATATTACGGCGGAGATTGGAGAGAAACTATAATCATCCTGGAAGGGAAGATGGGAGGCCAAGGGAAGTCTTGAATCACGTGGGGAGATCGCGCATTAAAGTGGGTTCAATGGGAATTTGTTAAGGAAGCGTCACATTGGTCCTCCGACTTCGGGTTTGCTCGAGACCGAAACCAGAGTTATCCGCACTTCCATGCACATAAGCCGCTGGGCAGAGCTGAGCCGCTGACTTCGGAGCTTCCCTCGAGAGCTTGATTTATTGACGTCCTGGGCCCCAAACTGGATTTTTTTTCGGTGTTGGGAAACATAATGGGTCGACGAACGCCTCTTCAATGACCCTTTTTGCCGACGCCCTCAAGAATTTTCTCGCATCTAGGGCGGCTATCTCCGGGTTTCCTTTCCCTCTCAACGTCTTGGTGATTCGATAAGCGTTATACCTGGTTGCAAGATTGTCTAGCGTTATATTTCGACGAGCCGTTTCGACTTGAGATTCAAGACGTCGATAAAATGAAGGATAGCGGGGTGGGAGGGCTCGAGGGCCCTCGATCCCGATCGCAACTCCCATTAAACACGATGAAGGCCTCGCAATTGGCGGCGGCAGCGCCGGCCACATCAAGACTTTTCCCGGCATCAACGGTCGCCCCTTCGCCCGGGTCTGACGAGACTGTGGCCAAGCCATGGAACACTAAGAACTTAGGCCTCCGGCTCGGCACAGATTTAGCCAGTGCGGCTACCGCCGCAGTGATGGTGGCCCCTGTGATATCTATCATTGACCGGTAAGTCAACAACCCTTGTCGATCCCGGCACTTCTCCCCAACTGACTTTTCTCCCTCTTTGCAGTTCGATAATGGAGAATGCCTCCGGCCGGCGCTCCCTTTTCGACTCCTTCAAGTCCTCTTTCAAGACCCTTCTCCGCAGCCCGCATCGGGTCATTTTGTCCAAGCCGTTTGCCCTGATTTTCGCGGTCTACGGCGGCACTTACCTAACGGCAAACACCCTCGATACCGCAACCTCAACCACCCGGGCTCTGCCCGCGACGCATGTCACCTCGGGAACAGCCAAATTTGCCGCTTCCTCAGCCGCCAACATTGGCGTGTGCATCTACAAGGACCAGGTTTTTGTCAAGCTCTTCGGCCCGCCGGGCGTCACCCCGCGTCCCGTCACCTTGCCGAGCTACGCCCTTTTCGCGATTCGCGACTGCCTGACCATTTTTGCGTCTTTCAACGTACCGCCGCTACTGGGTCCAGCACTATCGGGCCGCCTTGGCCCTGAGATCCAGCGCTACGTCTCTGGGCAGACCATGGCCCAGTTCGCGGCCCCTGCCATGGTCCAATTAGCCAGCACTCCTGTACACCTGTGGGGATTGGATATCTACAACCGACCCACGGTGACATGTTGGAGGGACAGGTGGGCGGTTGTAAGGAAAAACTGGGCCGTCAGTACAGCCGCGAGGATATGCAGGATTGTGCCGGCCTTCGGCGTTGGTGGCGTGGTCAACTACAAGATGAGACGAGGACTGATGGAGAAGCTGGTTTGAAAGGAAGCTGTGTGGTCAGGGATATCCGCCGATATTTGTGTCTTTGTCTGGTATATTTCTTGATCTTTGCCGTATTTCCCTCTTGTGATCCTGGGCAGCATTTTCCGGATAGCGGGCGTTTGTTTCGGGTTGGGTTGTTACTGGATGTAGCAGATTAGTAGCACATCGGCGGCGTCTAGGGCGTTAGTACCACGGCGGAACTAGAACGGCAGCTTCTCATTAGATCATTTAGAGGGCTGGTTACCATGTATAATGACGAGACGGGAATGGGTTTGTTTCTTTCCAGATTTGTGTTTCGATATTAGTGTGGTACTTTACTAGCAACACCAACGCCACTCCACCTTCCATACCAACATAATTGCTAAGCCGCGGGTGCTTCCCTCGGTCTTGAGGTGTTTTACAGAAACCCACTCTCCCGCAGGGCTCGAATAAATCCATCCTGCTTTGACTCCGGGGCGTGGTATCCCTGCCCTTCGCCCGTGTCGATGAAGTTCTCCCAGAACTTTAACCCTTCAATACCTTCCTCGCGACACAATACACCCCTCTCCTCGGCCATCTCTAGTTCCTCTTCTGCCACGCCAATACTCCAACCAAATCTCTCGGCAACATCTCTCGCCGTAACCCCTCGTCCAAATTGATGCCAATCCCAAGGTACCTCTTTTTCCGGTGGAAATTCGTGCAGATCCTTTAACCAACCTAGCAGCGCTTTAATAGTCGTCTCATCGGTACGGTCACGACCTTGCACTACCTTCACACCAGACTTAAAGGTCCGTAGCCGCACGGGTAGGCCCAACCCTCCCCAGAGCGTAGCAGCCTTTTCAAAGTCTGCCGGGCTGACCAGCTCGACACCGCCACGCGCGCGATTGAACACGGCCCACAGGTCCACCAGAGACATGATCCCACCCGCCTTGCGCAACACGCCCCGTCGGTCATCAGTCAAAAACTCGGCCAACGTCCTTGCCAGCTCGGACAGATACAACGAGTCGCTCCCACCGGCACCGCTGCTGCTGCCGACGATATCTTTGGTAGCAACTAACCCGAGCTGATGCACCGAGTCAGCTAACAGAGCATTTTCGCTAGCGCTGGCGCCCGATACACCGGGTGCGCCGCGAACTTGCCGCGCAAAGGTGTCGGCGAGTGCGACGATCTCTTTGGCCGAGGCCATTAACGCCTCGAGGTCCTCGAAGGCGGTCCCAATCATCAGCTCGTTATTCTTGCGCACTGCCTGACTGTGGTGCTCCAGACCGGCAATGCCAGCAATTTTAGGGCGTCCTTGAGAGGATGACCCTGGAGGTGGGGGGGCGGTGTCATTGCTACTCTGAGGACCGTTCCCGCCGTGGGTGACCTTTGGGATAGGCGGCGCACCTTGCAGGAGCCATTTGCGTTGGGTCATGGACCCCTTGAGACGCTCGTAAAATATCTTTTCACCCCCGCCACGAAAGGAAATTTTAACACTTTCGGGATTCTCTAAACCTAGAGAGACCGCCGGATCGGGGGACGCTGCGTGGGGTCGGGTGTGTCGTGCAAGGTCCGTGGGTAGGTCGTGAGATATCAATGGTCCACCGCATATCTCGCAAGACAAAAGGGAGGGGTGGTTGAGGAAGGTACATCGAGGGCATTGGAAGGATGCGTCGGGGTCAGAACTGCGCGGCGGGGCATCGTGGGCAGGACGTAGCAGTGATTGTCCCGACGCTGGGCCGGGCCGTGATGGGAGCGGAGTTTGTAGCGTTTGACTACTCGATTGCCTGCCGGTTGCACCAGATATGGCTGCTTTTAAGACATAGGTCAGAGTTGGTTTGATGCCGCATGCAAGGCACGAGGGCAGAGGCGTGTGGATGTTGGCGGTTGTCGGATCGAAGTTAGACGGGACAGGATTCGAGAAGCTGCAAATGGTGCACACCCATGTTGCCGTGTTTGTCGAAGTCGGTTCCGATAAGCGTGGTGGCCCGTCATGGCGGACTGCAGGAGAAGAAGATCGATTTCTGGAAGGAGAAGACGATAGGCCAGGAGACCGAGCCTGAAGCGAGGCGCGTTTTGTTGGTTTGGGTACAAGTGTGATTTTGGCCGATGATTTAAGAAAACCTCCCTAGAAGTATCAGGTTAGCACACCATTCACAAACATGATCCTGTGACTCTTACGTAGAACTCAAACCGCTCCACGCTTTTGAGCTCCAAAGCGACCGAGTGCTTCCGAGGTTCAGCTTTATCGACATAGCATATCCGATGCGACGTTAAATATATTTGGCCATTTTGGTGACTAGGAAGTTTGAACTTCCTAAACACAACTTTTGTAAGCATATCGGCGATCGTAAAACAACCCATATCATGACGCTTGACTCAAAACTCACCCCTCATAGAGCCCCACATTGTCTTGGACAAAGAGAAGGTCTTCATCCGTCAGATACTCGGGACGCAAAGCGGTCGTCAACTCGATATGCTTTAAGAACATCCGTCATACTCGGGCGCGGACGGTCCCAAAATTTCAAAGGAAACTGCACGGGGTTGGGATGTTCATCAGCCGGCAGGTTGGAAGTACACACAAGGTCAGAAAACAACAAAGTTGGCACACGTTCCCTGAGATATCAAGGTGATATATGCATATATATCTTTTAATGCATAGCTAGCTGATAAAGGAATATCTATCGCAAGTGGCGGAGGATCAGCCCCCGCACAGGCCTCAGGCGCACACCCCTTCATTCCAGGTTGCGAACTTCGAGTTCCGTTTTCCCCTGACACACTTCATCCATGATTGCCTTTCGCATCAATCAAACATCGGCGCGACCTACTTTTTAAAACTCGCAACAGGATCTGATTCAGATATTTTCGTCTTTGCGACTCACTGATTGATTCTTTTCACATTTCTCTCCACCTCGACCACCCATGGACACAGCCAACATGATGCCAACCTGGCCAACTGTTCCGCCGTCGGGCGCACCTCCAACCCCCGGCTACGCGACTTCGTACTCTGGTAAGTGTACTACCTCTTCCTGTGAATATTACACAACATTGTACCGCTTTATAGGTTGCATCGCAACGGCAATAGCTAACAGATTCCTTGTCGGCTAGCCCCTGCCTTTACCCCAGTTCAAGTCCGACAATCTTTCGGCCAGTCCTATTCCACCCCGCAACCTCCCTATCCCGCCGGGCCTACCTACGGCTCTTCTCATTCTTCCCCGACGAGCGCAGCTAATATCCCCCCGAACGTGACCCCCGCGCCGACTGTCGCCCAGGAGCAGGCCAAGACAAAGATCGACTGGCCAGACTCGGTTCGCCGATATGTTCAACGTGCATTTGTTCCTGCCAACCTTGATTCCAATGTCTCTAGACCTGAAATGGAAGCCAAGTTGAAGGAGACCATAACCCAGGCGAACGAGAAGGGCGTCATGTACAGCCTCGACTGGGATGCTATGCCCCTTCCTCAGCAAATGATACGTGAAGAACGTGCAAGGACATTGCTCCCTCTTCACTCCAAAACAGAAACTCAGACTTCGGCAACTAGCACGAAGAAAAGGAAGTCTTGGGACCTGAACGACGCAGCGACAGCCGGCTCAAGCTCCGGGACTCCCCCTTGGCGGGTTGGTGCCAACAGACTCGAGGACCGCGTGACGTTCTCGCCCGACACACGCCAACCTGGCGACGATCCTTTCAAGAATACCACCAGTAAGTTTAGCAGGGCAGACAAGCGCCAAAAACGCCATGAGGGAGAGTACAAGACTTTCCGTGAGGACACACCACCCCCAAGCGATGGCCCGGTTGTCGGGACCTGCCAGGATTTGGAGAAGCGCTACCTTCGTCTGACCGCCGCGCCTAAACCTTCGCAAGTTCGCCCCCCACAAGTCCTGCGTCAAACCCTGGAGTTACTCAAGAAGAGGTGGAAGAAGGATCAAAACTACTCGTACATCTGCGACCAGTTTAAGTCCATGCGGCAAGATTTGACTGTGCAACGTGTCCGCGATGATTTCACGGTTGAGGTCTACGAAATTCACGCCCGGATTGCGCTCGAGAAGGGGGACCTCGGTGAGTATAACCAGTGCCAGAGCCAGCTCAAGGGGCTGTACCGTCTGGGACTGAAGGGCAAGGCGAACGAATTCAAAGCCTACAGGATTTTGTATTACATTCACACAGCAAACCGCGCGGAGCTGAATAACGCTCTGGCAGATCTAACAGCAGCAGAAAAGAAAGACAAGGCGATCAAGCACGCTCTCGATGTGCGTTCTGCGCTAGCGTTGGGCAACTACCACCGGTTCTTCCAGCTCTACAATGACACGCCTAACATGGGCGCATATCTCATGGATATGTTTGTTGGTCGGGAGCGTCTCGCTGCTTTGTGCAATTTCTGCAAGGGGTATGTTGCCATCTACCGTTTTCCTGCCGAGTCAAATGATATTTTGCTAACGTTTATGATTCAGGTATAAACCTGACGTGCCGCTACGCTTCATCACAGAAGAACTCTATTTTGAGTCCGATATCGAGGCCGCGCAGTTCATTCTCGACCATGGCGGCCAGGATCTCCTGCAGGATCGTGACGGCACCATTGTCTTCCTGTCTGGGAAGGCTGGGCAGCGATTTGAAGCCGCTCGCGCCAAAGCGTTTTCCCGAGTCGACATTAAGGGTCAAATTTGACCCAAGTCTCGGGTGATTGCGTACACTCCGTTTTCCCGATCAGCATCAACCACCCTTCTACTCTTGTTCTCTCATTTGCGTAATTCCTTTCTTTTTTTGCTCAATCCGGCTTGCTAGTCAAGTCAACATCGCGCCCCGCCCGACTCTTCGGAACAGAACCCTTAGAGGTGTGGAGAACGCTAGCAAAGATACTACGTGCAATTCGCGGCACCACTAAGCCTCTGGGCTCTCCTATTTTTTTGGCCACCGAATGTTTCTCGTGCGATTCTCCGTGCGGGGTGACTCCCGCGCCACAGCCCAACCTGATATGGTATTACGATTGATACCATCAGAACCATCCACCAAGTTAGTTGTCTTGGGACGGGACGGATGACATTAGCCGCAGGGCTCTTTACCTTCCATGCGACGCGACGGAGGCGTGCCTAATTCAGCAGGTTTGCCCTCCTTGCGAGCTAATACCCGTGTGGGAACGCGGTTGGATCAGTTGTTCGACACGAACCCTTGGTGCATCATTTTGGCGGCGTTTTAGGGACGGCAGGTTGCGGGTTTGCAAGGAGTTAGGGTCTGGAGGAAACCTGGCTGCAATTAGACTTCCCTTGCGTATGTACACGTACCTTAGTTTAGTTTAATCCACATGTTGGCCTTGCGGCATTGTAATATGCGGCAATTCATCCTTGCGCGGTCCCAATCCCCTGGCGCACAAAGCGGATGTGCGCCGTGAGGTTCTCATATGCAGTGTGGGTGCCTTCCCTGGTCAGCGACGGTGTATCTTCTCTTACGCGGCCTATATTGGATCTCCATGCTAAACGTCCGTCTCGTCGAACGTTCAATGATCACGGATTGGGACACTCTTACAGGACCGCAGCCACTTGAAATTAGTAAGGGCCGGTGGCAATAAATCCCTGTGCTCGCTTCTTTGTTTCGGTTTCCCTTCTGGGACGCAGGTGACGTCCCACACAACCCAACCACACTCGCTTTCTCAGCTTGCGGAATATCGAGAGTTGTATCTTTACCTCTACGACTGCCTTAGTCTACTTACTTTACTGCGGAAGAGAAGGCATAACAAACATTCTGACCCCTCGCCCCCTTCACCTCAAGTTGTTCTTCCGGCAGCTTTGCTCCCTTGGGCCTCGTTTACATTTTGACGTGTTATCCGAAGCATTAACGGCGTCTACAAATGTGCAGGCGCCAGCCGATTCAAAAAAGACATGCCAGCCGGACTGCACCGTTGGGTGGTTTGTTTCAGACCTCCGTTTCAAATTCTCTGGGTGGGTTGTTATCGGGAGGGGTACGAGCCGAGCACAAAGCGGCGAAGCAGCGAAGGGGTGGGAGGGCATGAACTTCGTGATTTGGAATTTGCGATCTTTTATCTTTCCTGTAGGGGACGGCAGGCTGCTTGGCTCGGTGGACCTAACAACCCGATGGTATTGTAGCCCAGTGGGTTTGGTGGGGGGATGCTTCAATGCCCTTGACGCTTTTGAAGAGGATATGCGACAGGGTTATGGCCTTGAGACCCTTGCCCCCACGAGGGACCCGACTCATTGACCCCACAAGGACTTTTTGAGACACCACGTCATCGCGGACTGGGAGTTACCGTAACTTTATCTTATGGTGTACACTATTTGGCTCTATAATCGTACATAGCCTGATATGCACATTTAGAAATCCAGAATTGGAGGCGAAGTTGAAGCCGTATGTAACGTTAGCCGACGGTATGAAGAAAGTGTGATATTCACCCACAAAAACCCCGCTGCCGTCCCATTGCGGCGTGGCCAGTCGAGGTTCTCGATCCTAACCCCGCTCTAATTTCTTCGGGTACATTTGGGATCATCCTTGACAGGTCAAGGTTCCGGTGCTGGCTGGGGTGGACGGTGTGATCAAAGCATCGCTTCAAGAGATGAACAGCTCTGAGCGATCGAAGAATTATATCGGAGTTTCTCAAATAGTGTGTGCGGTACACTAGAACGCCCGGACCCCGAAGGATGGAGTGGGCAACGACCTCGATGGCCCGATGGCACGGTCAAGCCTTATCCACTGCAGCAGATGGGCTGCGCGAGCACCCAACCGAGCGAGTGATGCATGCCGTACCCACCGGACACGATCGCATAGAAGAACAGAAAAAGTATGGGCATGTGCCGCTCGGTGACACAAGCTTGTGACGTCCAGCTTGGCATTTTCAAGTCCCTTTTGCCATGCAGATGCGTGTTCGAGAACATGGCGATCGTCTGGACCGATGTGGCTGGCACTGCACAATCCAGTGGCCTCTCCCCTCCTCAACGAATAAAACCAGAGGGATGGCTGTCCTTTACTGGTTCATCATAGATCAGAAACTCCGTTCTGAGCGTCGCTCGCGGGAACTTGGGGTGGTCAACGGGACCGTTCATCGGGATCAACGAAAAATGAGCCTTTTCAGTGTGCAAGGGAGGGGAACAATGGAAAGCCGACACCTTGGTTTGCCAGTAATTTACTTCCCAAAAAGGGCGGGGAGCCGATTCTCCTGGTGTACGAAGGACCAAAACGAGTCTTGTAGGCCGCACTCGGATTGCATCCCGGGGTCCTGAGGCCAGACGGCACCACGGCGAAAAGGTAATGCGGTACTTCACACTCTTGCTTGCTGGAAAACTGTCCACATTTATTTCCAGTACTTACTGTGTAGTGGGATCAATTTGGAGGTATCCGAAAGGCAAAGCATTGGTTGAGTGCGGATCTTGCACCCTGCAAGATGCTGCGACCCGTGTGCACGAACCTTTAGGTTTCGGGGAAGACGAGATGACATTGGTGAAGGTGGCGCGGTAAATTCACCAATGGTCGAGGCCGGTGGTTTGCGACGACGAAATAGGCTTCGGCCTTCGCTCGGCCAAGGCAGATTGGTCAGGTTAATCTTTGAATTGGCCGTGTCGGACATAGCCAACATGGAACGGCATTGCCGACAGAAGCTCCCGTCGGGTTGTGAGGGAAGGAAAGGAGAAGAAACACCCACGACAATTTTTTTCTGCCTCTTCGTTAATCCAACCGAAAGCCAGTGGTTCGTTCGTGGGTGAGAACCTAAATTTTTATCGCGTAACTGGAGGGTGTCGCACAGGATTGCTCAGAGCCCACACGATGGGCAACCCATGAGACGGGACTCGAGAGACGGGAATTCGGAGTGATGACTGGACCGGGCTTTCTTTCCCTGTCCCACTTGCCCCTGTCGGGCGGACCGCACACGCATTCCTTCTGCATGGGTGCATGAAAAGAAATCACATCTGCCCCAAGAGAGAGGTTGCAACTCGTTTTGCAGGCAGTGACATCAGCTGCACGTGAGATCTGGGATGATGAACGATCTTCACGCCAGCCCGACGCTAAAGGGGAAATACATCTCATGTTAGGCCGGGAGGAGGGGGACAGGAACGCCAATTAAGGGCGCTGCATGCAAATTAAAAAAAATCGAAGGAGGCTCCGGCTGTGAGAGGAGGAAAACAGACCTTGATGGTCACGACAATGTGCCCAAATGCCCAGTCGCCTGCCTCCGACCTGAGAGCAACACCCTTGTTGGACAGTCGCTGAATTTAACCCGCACCCAACCCGGCAGCGTGTGTTAACCCTGCCCCACGTAAGAGTCTTGACCCTCCTGGACTCATGCTTCACAGGCACCCCTGACCCTGGCCTTGTCCCAGGCCCGCCGCTCGTTCCATTCCATCCCCCTTTAAGAAATACTTGGTCGCTCGGGCCTGCCCCCGGTTGCCTCTTCCCCGCCGCCCACATTCAGGTTCTGCGCAAACCCGCCGTCGGGCTCTGGTGATCAACTTTCTCCTTCCTTTGCGACAACAAACCGACGACGACTCGTCTTCAGGTATTCACGTTGCGCCGCCCGGTGAAGACAAAGACATAGCCCGCTGAGCGTTGAGAATCGAATTTGGACACGCCTGCAACAAAGGCAAACAACACTTGGAGCGGGGAAGAAGTGCACTGCAGGGCCACAGAGAAACAAAACCAACCACGCACAGCCCCAACGAAGCTCCCACCATTACCTCCTTCGAATTGGCCCACGCATCATAAGCGCCCACGGAGCCGTCGAAAAGCGAAGCCAGAAATTTCCAAGACGATACCACCACATCGCACTCTCATCGTACCAACGTTCTTCAACGAAAAAAGTCGCCTGAAGAGAAAGAACACTTGACGCTGCCGCGATTCTCGGCAAACCTGAGACCTGGGCGGCTCGACAAGTCACACTGATTCAGAGACCACCCGGTAGTTTGGTGTGACGCAGCAAAGTATCGGCCGAAGCGAACAGCCCACCACCGGCCCCTCTCGTGTGTTCATTCTGCGCTGCCATTTTTTCTCGAGTCCACAGCCAACGCTGCCTGAGGGCCCGCATCCTGCATCATGAAGGTACGTCATTCCGGCTGGCTGCTGGTGCCGCCAACAAATATCCCTCCCTTTCCAAATTTGCGAAGTCCTCACTGGGCCGCCGAGAGGGTCCGGGCAGCGCCAGCTGCGCTGCCGTTGCGGCCTGCCCAACCCGATCGCCCCCTCCACGGCGCCCTCATCAATCGCGCGACGCACGCTGCTGCGCGCTTTGCTCCTCGTCACCCGTCTCTTTCAGTTCATCATATTTGTTATGATTAAGCGCAAGGGCATTCGCCGTAAACGACGAGAGATATCTCCCCATGGCTCAAGACTTGGTTCGCCCGCTAACAACCATGCGTGTTTTCAAGGCCTTACGGATAGGAAGGAGGTCGATAAAAAGTGAGGAGAAGGGCAAGCAGCATATCAGTATCCCGCAGAAAACCGATGTTGCGATTGTTCCCCCCAAAAAGGTACGTCACATCCATCATGGAGCGATACTCAACCCGAAAGCCTTGCTTCGCGCTCAAGCGAATACAGTAGCTGACCGCATTGGGACCACATAGGTTATTCGTGCCCTTCACGATTACACGGCGCAAGACAAGGAGAGAGAACTCAGTTTTTCTAAAGGCGACTTTTTCCATGTCATTGGGCGCGAAAATGATACAGATTGGTACGAGGCGTGTAACCCCGCTCTGCCTCTCGCCCGGGGTCTGGTCCCCGTAAGCTACTTCCAAGCACTGGGGCGCAACGAGCGCGACAGCGGCCAGTCTCAGCCTGATAGCTCGCTGTCCGCGAAACACCCCGACCATGATTCGGGTTATGGCGAAGCGCCAACCACATCCCCGCCTGTATCTGCTGGACATCGGAACTCGAAGTCAGGCGGCAGGTCGGGAGCTATGGTCTACGGCGTCGTCATTTACGATTTCCATGCGGAACGGGGCGACGAGCTGGATGCTAAAGCGGGCGAAGCCATCATTGTGATTGCGCAATCCAACCCCGAGTGGTTTGTAGCAAAGCCTATTGGGAGGCTCGGGGGTCCCGGTCTTATTCCCGTTTCCTTCATCGAAATCCGCGATATGGCGTCTAACACACCCGTCGCGAACCCCCATGAAGCGGTGCGGAAAGCGGGCATACCGAAGGTGGAGGAGTGGAAAAAAATGGCCGCGGACTACAAGAACTCCAGCATCACCCTGGGAAAATTTGAGACTGGCGCCCAACCGCAGTCCATGGAGCAGGGAATGGAACGCATGAGCATCCAGCAATCCAACGGGCGTGCTAGCTTGGGGCCGGGTGCCAACGCGGTAGGTGTTTCTCTATATGTTTCCCTGTCACGTCTGCGGGACGTTGTCTGACAAATTTATCCAACAGCAACAGCAGCAGCAGCAGCAGCAGCAGCAGCAACAACAGCAGCAGCAGCAGCAACAGCAACAGCAAACTCAACAGCAAGCGTACAATGTACAAACCCCGGTCCCGCAAGATCAGCCGTCTAACTCGCCAGGTTCACAACTGCTTGCGCCCGTCTCCGCTCGGATTCCCAGGTATTGTTTCGCCGAGGACAAGTACTGGTTCGTTATCGAGGCTGAGCTCGAGGATGGCCGGACATGGGAACTGGCACGATACTACGAAGACTTCTACGACTTCCAAATCGCTCTCCTGACTGAATTTCCAGACGAAGCCGGGACCTCTGGGATGAATCAACGGACACTTCCCTACATGCCCGGCCCCGTTAATTACGTGACCGACGCCATCACAGAGGGACGTCGGCACAACCTTGACGGGTACGTCAAGAACCTTCTTGCGCAACCTCCATATATCGCCCGGTGCAACCTAGTCAAGCAGTTTTTTGCCCCGAGGGAGGGCGATTATGAAATTGACCCAACTGCGCTCGAGGATGAGTACCGTCTGTCAGCTGGACCCCGACCTGACTCACCCGGTGAGGGTACCTCCCGCCAATCCTCTCAACCAGGCTACGGCGGCCTTCCGACCGGACGCCAGCCTGGCCACAACCAGCAGCAACCGCAGCAACAGCCGCAGCAGCAACCAGCCATGTCCCGCCAAGTCTCCTCTCTCTCCCAGCCCTCGCAGAGCTCTCTCTCGCCTGGAATCCAGACATTGGGCTCGACGATGAAGGTTAAACTGAGCTTCAACGGTGATATTATCGCGATCAAAGTACCGGCAGACGTGTCGTTCGAGACCCTCTACGACAAAGTCGTTGACCGGCTCAAGATCCCTCCAGGCGAAGAGCCCCAGCTTAGCTACAAGGACGAAGCGACAGGGGATAAGCCGCCGTTGATGAGCAATAACGATTTAGATCTGGCGCTGCAAAGGAACGAGAAGCTGCTGTTGTATGTGGAATAATGGGAGTCGCATGAGGAGTTCAGGCGGGGCGAGGGAGTTGGCATGGGAGGATTTATTCGAACGGGGCGGGCTATGGATGCGTATCAGTGAAATCTGCGGACTGGTGGGTTTTGTTTCCGGGGTTCTTTCTTTAACCCTTCGTGCTTCTCGTTTTTGTGGTTTGTGAAGTACCCTGGTGTGCCATTTTTTTGTTGTTGTCAAAGTATACCCGACTTTGTCTTTTGGTGGTTTCTAGCTGGGCTTCTTTTTTTCATCCGGTCTTCCTCATTGGGATCGGGCGACCGATATATTTTGTTATGATTCGTGGGGGGTTATGTTGACAAGAGATTATGGCCTGTGAGCCGGGCGGAAGAAACGCATAACGGCGAATTAAGTTAGGAATGAATGCGGTGGAAATGGCTGATGGATGATGGGTGGATGACTTGATCGCGAGATAGAGGGGATAGTTGGAATGTGTATCTGAATGCGAGTGTGGGCTAATTTGGCGGACTGGAATGATCAAAACTGGGCTGAATGGGGCAGATGTCGAGCGCCCTGCTGAGTTTAAATAATTCGTCCGACTTAAATTGAGGAAAGGTGTTTGTTGATCTTTTCGGCTTTATTGACTGGTGAAGAGAAAGAAGGGAATAGTAATCCGTTGGTCAAGTTATTCATGTAAACAATCATGGCTCATAAACGCAATGTCAATCCCGCATATCGGATATTTTCTGCATGCTTTATCTTATTACAGATACATACAACCAACAAATACCATGCTTTCTTGTTGAGCATACCTTGCCCTAACCTAGCTAGGGACATGAAATAGTATACGCAGTCGAAGAGTCAACCCATCCAAGACATCAGGAACCACGCCGTTTTGTCTAGGTTTGCGGATGTAAGAGACGACCAGACCAGCCCCTACAACCAGAAACAAGCAAACAGGCACACCCGGAACTGTCAAGCAGGCCGGCCTCTTGCCGCCCAACCCGTTCGCCACCCATTCCGCCCAGCCAGAGCGCCAAAGCGCCAAAACCATAAAACGACGAGAATATAAAGGTCGAAGAAAACAGTACATGACACATTACTTCGAAAAGCCCATAAGCCTTTCTTCCGAAAATTACCCCCCTCCTGTTACGAATTGGCGCCCAACCAGCTCAGATGTTGTCACCAATTTATTCAATAAGCCTAAGCCATATCAGCTTGCTAGGGACGGGACGTCAAACGCGGCCCTCTCAGACGATAACATGCGTTGACAAGTGCTCGACCGCCTCCTTGATAGTCCTCAACATGCGCTGGTTTACACAGAACGGGCAACGCACCGGCCGGTCCGTAATCGAGACTGGCCCGCCGCTTGGTATCGGCGTCAATGTGAGGTCCTCCCCGCCTGGCCCCGTGCTCCCACCCGCTGACGAACCTCCCGCGCCCTGCGGTGTGGGTGGAACAAAGCGCGGGCCAGCTGCTCCCTGCCCACCCGCGGCACTGCCGCTACTAGGTGGGGGTCCGACGCTGGCGCGCGCGGCACTGACGGGCGTAGAGATCGCGTTGACAGCAGCGGCGGCGGCGGCGGCTTGATGCGCGTAGGCCTGGCCAGCGAGGCTTCCGAGAGAAGGTAGGCCGTGGTCCGGACGGTCACGCGCGGCGCGTTCGGCGGCGGCCTGTGCCTCGGCGTCGGCCTCTTCTTGTTGCAGGGCGCGCAGTGCATTTTGCAGGACAACTTCGGGGTCCTCGTCGGCATAGATGGTGGTATCGCCGTTTGGAGGTTGGGCGGTCGATCCATTGGTGCCGAGTTGGCTGGGAGAGTGAGGTGGTTGTTGGTGTGGGTGTTGCGGGGTGGCTGAACCTTGGGGGTTGTCGATGCGGCGGACAATCTCGTCGCGCACTCGGGCGCAGATGGCGAGGGAAGCTTCAACGCCGACAACCCGCTGGACAGCATCGCGGATGGCGGCGGGGGATACGTCCGGAGTGATGTTCATGAAGCGCGGGACGGCGTCGACGAGGTAGGGGACATCGTCGGCAGCATTTTGTACGGAGCCGTGACGGCGCTGGCGGCGGATCAACAAGCCGTAGCGCTTCTTGAAGCGGTGAATCCAGCCAGGAGAAAACTCGGGGGCGCTCTCGTCCTTGTAGCGCGGTAGTTGGGTGAAGATGTTCTTGGCCTTTTCGGCTAACTCCTCGTTGGATGGGTGGCGGCCGCTATTGACCATTTGCTGGTGCCAAAGCAGGACAAGCTTCTCGACGTCGGGCCAATTGCCGAAGCGCAGGCGCGAGCCGGAGAGCTGAGTATCGCCATCAAGGCGGGCGTATTTGGGCGACAACGAGTGCGACACGGTCGATTGGGAGATGGTCTGGTTATACTCGGCATGGAACCAGTCGATGCATGCCTTGTGGCTCGGTCGCACGGGTTGCGAGCCTGCCCAGCGCCGCAACGCACGCCGTTGGTCGAGTGTCAAAGAGTGCCGTTCTTTGGACGGCGTCGTCGCGGCCTCGGGCGCGACTTCGGCCGACATGGCGGGCGGCGCGATGCGGGACTGGCGATGCTTGGCGGAGGAATTGCCCCGGATTGGGAATCGGGTATTACTGGCAATTGCGATTACAGTTCGCGATTTGCGATTTGCGATTGTAAGGCAGTGCGCGTTTACCTAGTGAGGTAGATAATCGGGTATGTGGGAAATCGATGGGCTGATGATCGTTGTAAGGAGGCGGTGGGCCGAGTCGAGGAAAAGCGCTCGAAAAGTGGGAAGTCGAAGCCGGTTGTGCGGAGGTTCAGCTGGCAAATGAGTGAGCACCAGCTGCCAGCACTCGGAGCCTCTTCGCCTTGGCATTGCAGGCGCTCTCAACATTGCATCAACCTCGGCCCCACCTGCTTCGACGCACCTCATTACCTGCATCGAGGTTACACTCGTGGATCGTTCATGCATCCCGCATCCGAGACAGTATCATACATTATAATACACTATAAATTGTTCCTACAGATGCATTCTCGACCCATTCCTCTTGATGTGATCACTAATTAGACTTCTTACTCGTCCCACCCATCATATTCTGCACCGTACCTCCAATCCCCCCTTCAGGAGTGAACTGCCTGCCAATTATACCCTCCTTATCCAGAGGCCCGCCGACTTTTTGCGCAGCTCCGCCTAAGGCGCCCTCAGCTATTCGATTGTCAATCCTCAAACTTCAGTAAAACGGCCAAAAATGAGCGGGTCAAGTATGTGTTGAGCACTAACGAGTGAACTGTTTCCCGACCTTGCCGTGCTCGTCGAACAACGCGGGCTTATCTTTCCCAAGGTGGGCATTGGCGGGCGTCTGCGTGGCTGAAGCTTTGCCACTGGTTGTCTGAGGCCCGGCGTGGGAGTTCTGGGGGTTGGTTCTCGTGGAGGGATTCATGATACCTGGTATTCGCGAGATCTTGGAAGGCAAGACAACTTAAGATAAAAGCTAGGTTAGTTATTGTTTTTTGATAGTAATAAACTAATAAACAAAGAGGCGCACGGGGGACGCAGAAGTCTATCCTATAGTTTATAGTACACAATGCGCATTGAAGCGTCATCGATCTACTGGTTATGGTGATGTCATGTTAGGAACCCCCGGAATCGAGTTGTTTCTCCGCCAACGCCGGCCTGCGGGTTTCGTAACCTTCATGCGGACAATAATGGCGGGGGAAATCACAGAAGGCAGCAAATTGAGTAACGGCCGGAATATATAACCCGAGGTCGCTTTTAGAGTTGGATGGATCGATAAGGGGGATCGGACACTCACTCATTCCAAGGCTTAAACTCGCGGGTGCCAGGTGGAAAGGAAACCGAAGTAAACTCGGGGAAGTCATTACAAAAGTTACTGAGGCCTAACGATGGGTGCCCCCGCCTGCGACGCACCCGACGCTGGATCTATGTGCCATCAGGGCAGACTTTGTACATGAAATATAAACACCACAGCATCTAATTCCCACTCGTTCCGAGCCGTGCAGTTTGTACCAGCTTTGACCTTGAACAACCCGTGCGGCCCAACAGCAAATTCTGGCTCTTCGCCTATCTTCGCCTTGACCTTGCCGGAGGCCACAGCGCACAGCCGCGTAGTGTCAAGCTCGGCATCCAAAGCGAGAGCTTGCCCTTTTACGATGGTGTTGACACGGAAGGCTATGCCATCGTCGACAGGAATAGCAGAACTAGATGTGGCGGAGAGGAAAAGCTTGGAGTATGCGATTGCTGTTTCGTGTTTGAGGTTAGATCGGCTGGGTAAAATGATGGAGGTAGCGGGGAGCGAACGCCAAGGTAGGATAATTGGGAGAGTAAAGACAGCTGGGGACTTACCTTCTGACCCGGCAGTGGTTGTTCCCATGATGCGGCCAGGTGCAACCTCCCAGTCCTCCATCCTTGTGTGCATGTCCAAGTTGTCGTTGGGGTGTTGAAACGTTCCTGGCGCAAGGGGCGCTGGGGATGCCACCGTGCCGCCGATTGACCGGCCTTCACGTCGTCCACGCCTAGCGGCGTTCGCTAAAGCTCGGCTTGGTGGCACATACGGGGGCACGTACCCTTCCACTACGGTACAGTGCAACTTGTGGCCCCCATACAAACAATTCGCACAGCAGGGATAGCGTTTCCTCGCTTCGTCGTGGGCTGCTGCCGCCATATATATGCACCCCTTAAATGGCCCTTTACCCATCAGACACCTTTTGCAAGTCTCTCCGGGCTCGGCTTCGTCCCCAGTGATCTGGATTAACATGGCAGCGACGTCTCGGGGTTGACTCTCCTCGAATCTCTTGGCCCGGTGGTGGGTGTTATATGGGACATCTCGTTGTTTCGGGAGCTTGAGAAGGTGCTTCACCACGCTGTTCCCGGGGATTTCTGTCGTCGAGGCGACGTGTTCCTTAACGTAGGCCCACAGCTCTGCTGTTGTGTCCTTAGCTCGAAAATCTCTAGACCGACCACGTCTGACGTCGAACTGGGTTGCCGCCGCAAGATGTTGGCGCAGCCGCGGTTGAACGAGAGGGGTTTGAGAGGTCAATATATCATTTGAAACCACGATGGGAGGAGCTTGGATCAGGATCTTGCCCCCATTTCCAAGGGCGGAGGCCCTGTCCCCGCCGTAGGTGCCTTTGACAGTGAGCGTCCCATCGCGGTTGTCGTTGAACAAGGCACCCCAATGGGTCCGCTAGAAACAATGCTGTCAGTTGATGAACAGGGGACACCAAATCCAAATCTAAGAAGTAGCCTCCGTACCTCAAAATGGAAGCCCAAAAACCGGAGTTGGGAGTGCGTCATCCGGCAGTCGCGCACAGGGCACACCCATTTCATGTTGGGATACGTTGTGTCAAACTGATATCCCGCAGGAAGCAGGCATCCATAGGCGGTTATGAGATTCCCATGTTCATCTGGACCATATCAGTTAGCGTCCAGAGCGTTTTTCGGTGGGGGGGGGGGAGAGGGGTGGGTTCCTCGTAGCCCTCACCTGGCCATTTAGTATACGGCCTCCCAGGCTCTGCCTCGTACAGTCCCGTTGGGATGTTACCTGTCATAGGCGTGGTCGACCCCAAACCTGAGGGAGCTTCACTCGAAGCAGCGCTTCCTCCTGACGCTTCCTCCTTCTCATCGTCTTCAAGCTCAGCCAGCGCCTCTGCACTGTCCACGTCCATCATGTCCACATCCGCGGGGCCACCGTCTTGGGGCAAGGGTCTACGTGTCGCCCCCCAGAACCTATGTGAGCATTTAGATTGACGAAAATGGTAAAAGCAGTTCCCGCAGGAAATGATGGCGCTGCGAGCGGCGTTGTCCGCCCGAGAGGAAATCATGACGCAAGACCGGAAGGGGCCCTGACTGGTACTGCATCGCTCGCACGGCTGCGGCGCAGCCTCCCCAGTCACTTGTACGATCAGCGCCGAGATGTCCCTGGGATGGGTGTCGTTGTACGGGTGGTTGGATAGCCATGCCGTGTTCCAATCCAAGTCGCGGACTCGTGGTAACGGTAGCAGTTGCCTGACCCACCCTATAGTCGGAATGTTGGGCCCCTTGTGTTTGACAAGAAACGGTTCAAGATATCCCCAGAGGGCTGAAGGATCGCCTTCTGAAGCTGGCCCCTGCTCCACGGCAGGGACATCTGTAGATATGGGTGTATCGACATCCACGGTATTCGCTGGCAGACTGGATCCGCTGTTGTCGTGCCCATCCGGCAGCCCCTTACGATACTGGGGCGCGATGGGAAATGAGGCCGCTACGGGTGGGGGATCCAAGGGATCGGCTGGCCCCTTGGAAGCGACTATAGGACCCCCCGACTCACGTGGCGGGTCCCGTACCGAAAATGTCCCATCTTCATTGTCGTGAAATCGGACACCTCTATGCGCACGCTGCATCATGTGAGCTTGTAGTATTAACTGCGCTTTTTTAGTGAGATGACTTACATTAAAGTGTCCACCAAGTTTAATAAGCGCTGGAAAAGCCCTGCGGCACGTTCTAAGCGGGCATATCCACGGGTGGCCAGGAATCTCTGCCGAGAATTGATATCCCTCGGGAAGAAGGGCACCGTAAGTTCCTTGTAGAACCCCATTGACATCTAGATGTGTAAGTCCCCAAAGCGCGAGTGATCCTAGGGGAATAGTTGGAACCAACCTTTCCATTTCGAGTACGAATGGCCTAGAGGGACCATCTTCTCTTCCATTCCCATCTCTCCCGGATCTGCGCTAACATGCTCACGTGCTTGTATATCAGTGGGTGTGGCCGAGGGAGCCCCCTGACTTCCGACGCCATTGTTGCCAGCATGCTTCTCCTCGTCGCCTCCGCCCCTTGCACTTTCGCCCTTGCCAAGAACACCAGACAGAGTTTCGGGAGTCGGCGCGGGCGGTTCAAAATCCATGTTCTCAGTGTCAAGTGGGCCATAATCTGATCCATCCGATGACTCTGACTCCGAGTCCGAAAAGCTAGAATCTGACGCGCTCAAAGATTGGCGCTGCTCCTGAGCCGTTGGTTCCCCAACCTGGCTTGCACCAGGGCCATTGGGTTGGGGCAATGGGTACTTCGGTGGGTAAACAGGGGTCTCTTTAAAGCTAGAGGCTTTGTTGACGCCCGAGTTAGCCAGTTTTGCCTCCTCTTCTTTCCTACGACGCATAGTTTCGATACGCTTCTTGTGTACATGATCCATGCGCCCGGAGGCCCATCGTTCTGTGCACATTGTAACCCTAATTAGTTTTGACTTCCTCATGATCTCGTTTCGTTTCACCGGGTAGGGGATACTGTTGAACTTGATACCTTTCAAGGCACGGCTAGTAGCCTCACGCCTCTGCTCGTCGGTTGCATACTTCGTCTTGCGGACGCTATCGGTCGCAGGATACGTTTTCGAAGGGGTAGCGGAAAAGGGCACGGTGGGAGTGGAGGGAATCTTGGGAGGCAAGATATCGCTGACGATTCTGACTGGGGATGGCTCCGTATATGGACCACGGGAGGTCGCCGGAGTGGGGGGTTTGCTTGTAGATGGACTATGCAATGGGGTGTCCAGAGGAAGTGTCGTGTGCCCAGTCCGTTTCATAGTAAAAACTGGTCTGGGTTTGGGTTGCATGCTGGCCGCTTGGCTAACATTGCCGTTCATGGCCCCCAGGATGCGATGCTCAACTACAGAATCCACTACCTTTGATGGGCCCGGGTCCGGCTTGGGCAATTGACCGCTGGGGTCCGCCATATCGGAAGCGCTTCCCTTGCTGAAACCTAAAGCGCGGCTGTCGAGATGAACTTGGTACTTTTCTTAGCTTACGTTCCCTAGGTAAATAATCGCGTTGCGCGCTCATATAGCGTGAACTCGTTTTGTCCAGCATTTCGAACTTAACGCGTTTTAGGTATGTGCACGTACCTAAGTCATGAACTGTAATTCACTGTGCGATGATTAGAGCCAATTATAATCCTCTAAAGTACGCCAGAGATCGACCGGTTGGTGCATTATCATTCGGACATAAGTCAAAGACTCCAGAATGGCAATTTAAGGTGATTTGGCAAAGGGGACGAACAAATTGCCCAAACGCGAGGTCGCTCCATGTACAGCTGGGAGTGGGGCCGATTAGTGGTACGTGCGCCAAGATACAAAGGGACGACCCAATACACACATGTATGTGCCTTCCTCCTGTTGGGCACAACGATACCTATTGTACAAAGTACCTCTGTGTATGTACAGACGACACAGTAGTATATGAATTGCCAAGTGTTAATTCACACTTTGTACATACCATGTCCCATTTTACATTTAACAGGGATATGACCGATGAATCCCATCCAACAGCGTCTCAAGGGTCATCTCAGAATCTCAAAAGACGTCTGTCAGTTGTCAGTTCAACTTGTCACCGCTTGAAGTCAACCTGATTCCAAATTCTGAAAGCTCCCCCACTCCACCCATGACTCTAACAATGCCTGAGAAACTCGCTACTCAAGACGAAGGCGTTTCCGCGCTTCTCGCATTTGTGTTTTCCGGCGCGATTGGGTCACCCGAGGGAAAAGGGGTAAGCTATGCCCTAGCTGAAGCTACGGCAACCTCCTTCTCCTGGGTCGCGGCGTTAGAAGACATGGATGGGCCCCCCGTCCCTATCGATCGGTACCTCATCACGTTCAACAGGCTACACAGGGAGATCCTTGCCCCAAAACCCATCGTGCTCTCGAATAGAGAACTTGCAGATGCTGTGCTCGCAGCAACAGGCCAACATTTGGCCTCATCAGCCCGGTTCACAGACGGCGCGCTGAGCATCTCGTACAAAATCACTGTCCAAGAGCACTCAGACATCGCGTACATACTTCAGCTGTGCCACCATGGCCGGGTCGCCTCCATGGACTCACTAATAAGGCTGATCTCGACGACGGCTAGCCCTCAGATCTTGCTGGTGCCGGCGGTATATCCAATCCCCGGTGAGATGGAGCGACAAGAAATGTCTGGGATGGGCAGGCAAATCACGCAATTCATCCCAGGGGTCATCGCCTCATCAGTCTACCCGCAGTTGTCGCACAAGGAAAAGCTCGTCTTTGTGCAAAAAAATGGCCCGAGCATTCCAAGCATGTTGGAAACTCAAGCTTCCAAGGCCTTGTCTCATCGGCGAGGTGAATGCCTCTCAGGCCGAGGACGGCAAAATCACTCTTCAGATCGGACCGGATCGGCACCACGGGCTGGGCGGCCCCTTCAGTTCCGTACGCGAGTATCTTGGAGCGTACATCAGGTCCTCGCTCGACGCCCTCAAAAAGCAACAAGGGATCGAAGAATACAAAGCCCAGTTTCTCAACCGCACCGAGGCCTTTCTCAACACCCGTCTCGACACCGCCATCCCCAGCATCGTGGAAGACATCCCCGTCGTAGCAACCCACGCAGACATGGGCCCGCACAACGTCATTGTATCGGAGCACATGACTACTGACATCCGAGCTATCATCGACTGGGAGTTTTGTGTCCAGCGCGCCCTACGCCTCGCAGCATCGCATCATCGAAATGCTGTTTCGCAAACCTGCCGACAACGGCTTCGGCGCGGAATACGAGGGCGCGTCCGAGCTCCGGGCGGCGTTCTGGGGTGCGATTCCGGATTGGGAACGGTGGAACCAGAGCGAGGCGACGCGGGTGTTTCTGGAGTGGTTCAGGTTTGGCCTTTTCATGAAACCGGAGTGGAGGCCGAGTGATTTGACTGGGGAGGAGAAAGGTGATTTTTGGCGAGAGAATATCCGGGCTGTTGAGGATATCCTGACCAAGTATTCGATCGGTGATGGAGCTCAGCGGAGTGACTGATGCCTGACACCGGCACAGATTTCAAAACGTACCTACTTAGCTGCCTTGGGGCTCTTTCAACTCTCTCCGTTGCTGATTTCAGAGTAAACTGCAGCAGTTCGAGGCCATGGGCAGTGAAGAGATCCCCTAGAGGGCAAATTCCGGGCCATGCATTTCACGATCTTGCTGGGGGCCAATTTGGCGTAATACATCCTCTAGTCATGCCCGCCCTTCTTTGCTGTCATCCATTCCCTTCCCGATCTTCCTCCACTCGAACCGCTCCCACCGCACCCCTTGTTTGCCACCGTTTTTACCACCGCCGTTAACCTCGATGTCAAAGGAAAAGGTGACCTGCCCCGAGGCACTGGTTCTGCTCCGCTGCCGCTGTAGCCAGTGAGGACCTCGACGACGTAGAGGCTGTCCGCGCTAGTTGCACTGCAGAGATGGAAAGACTTCAACTGACTCTACTGGGCATAATTGGATGCTCATCAAGGCCGGTAATGCGTGGGGCTGCGAGGCAATTGCCGTGTACATTGAGCCCAACTGCTAAACTTTGGGGTTGACCTGCCGATCGTTATCCATATCTTCATCTAAAAGGACTGATTTTTGTCCACGTCTTAGGGCCAGGGACTGAGGGGCTTGTGTAGACTCTTGCCGTCCGTGTTAGATTCTTGCCCTTCGACGTCGGTCGATGTTGTCGATTCCTTGATGGCGCAAGATGCTGGATGCGAACTCCGTCGTCTCATGCCTTGAAAAAATGAAGGTCTAGGAAGGTATCGTAATTAATACATCGAGCCCAGCAGACGGCGAAGTGTCTTTATGACGCTTTCTTCCGAGGCTTGGCTCCTCATTCATTTCAGAAGAAATCTGCTTGGTGCTCGTTGTAGTGGTTTATCTAGGTACGGAGACTGATTCATTGGCTGCATATGCTGCAGTAGTCATGGTATAACGGAACCATATATGTACCTGTTACATGTTGTAGGGAATGTATGTTCGTGTGTGTTCTAGAAGATAATTTAGGTAGGCTCGGACCTTAGGTGACAGAGCCCCAGAGCAGGTTGAAATCCTAGCACCCGCTGATACACTCGGATGTCTTGGTTGACACTGTTACAATATCTGCCATATTATCCTTCTATCGTCCCCGTCGGTTGTTAGAGACGCCGGTAGAAGTTAGAACGAGTAATGAGTCATCTCTAAGTTTGACCCTTATGATTCAATTAAAGATTGAGCGCCGTAGTAAGTAAGGGATGAAAAACTTGTCGATTGTCTTGCATTTTCGCCAACCCAAAACACCGAAAGTCCCATGATAATATAGCCCATCTAAAACCCAATAGTAACTGCCCACCAAGCTTGCCCTTCTATCCAAAATTACATGTACAAACTCCCAAGACGTTCTTGCTTGCCAGACTGTCTTGGACAAATTTTAATATCGAGACTCCCCATAGGAAACCATCCCCATCCAAGCGACGTTCTAAGCTAGCTACCAGCCACCCGATCTCACAACCAGACCACACGTCCAGCACATGCTGCTCGCTGCTTGCCCTGACCCCCGAAGCCGACGGAAGGACCCATAGTGCCGTGCCGTTCTCGTTGTCGATCTATCGTTGCCACGCCGCCTGTAGGTGGAAGTTCGAACCAGGCGGCGAGATGGGAGATTGCGGCGGCGGCGGGCTTCAATCAAGAGGCCGCCCTTTTCGCCCGCCTTCTTGACGGCTTTGCAAGGGTCCATCCGTCTTCGGTCCCGGCCGTCGATGGGGGACAGGGGCGGGAGCAGGAGCAGGGGCGGCTGCGGCAAGCCTCCTGAGGCCGTCGTCCCAGGAGGTACACTCAGCAGCCATGTGCTGGCGAAGATCCTCCAGACTCTCCGGATGCACGGTGAGCACGGTCCGCGACCCTGTGAAGACGCACAGAGCCGTGATGGGTACCGCCCAGACGCTCTGGATGTACACCCAGCTGGAGTTATTCTTGGGCATGGTCTGTCCCGGTTGGAGACGAAGAAACGGGCGGGTGTCGTCGGCCCGCTCAGTCCCCACGAACGATCGGAAGTCGACCTGGCGTTTGCTTTGATGCTGTCTTTGGCACCAGGGCGGCCTCCGACCGTTTCGCTCCCAGCTGTATGCTGAGACCGGGGTGATCAACACGTGGGTTGAGTCCTCCGAGAGCCGCTTAAGGACGATCACTGGGTCTGAGCACAATCAGTTAGGACTTTACTCAAGCAGCAATTGGTGCCGGGGCAGACATGAAGTACTTACGACCGGTAGCACGCCAAGGAATGTATCCTGCGCGATTCCCTTTATTCCCCTGCCGAGAGATGAGCTCTTCGAAGTCCTTCGAGCTCATGTTCTCGCTTTGGGCTGAACAGGTATCATGGTTAGTCAAGACAACGCGGGCTAGACCAAGATATGCTAACGCCACTCACTGAGAAACGCGATGTCGCCTTCGAGCCACTGAGGGCAGGCACCGGGAGGGGATGGTCGCGACGTGGATGCTTGTCCTGCCATGGCTATTGTGGACAGGACAAGCGCGGGCGAGGGGAGGGAGGGGGGAGGGGGGGCGCCGGTGGAGGGCGAGGCAAAGGGAGGGAGAAGCGAAGGGAGGGAGAGGAGCTCTAACTCAGACGATTAGGACTGAGATTGGAACTGGGTTGATGGATGGATACTGAATAGGGCCTATGAAGACGGCGAGAGGGCAGCGTATTTATACAGGAGGAGGAAAACCTTATAGCGATGGGCATGCGAACCTTTCCTTATATTCTCACCCGCCACGGGGAATCCAGAGGAAGCAGTCACCGGTATAAGGTTCAGCAAGCGCGACCCCCTTGCGGTCGATCATTTTCTAGAACGCAGGAACGACGGATCTAGCTCATGCTAACCTTAGGTAGGTATGAACGTCAGGTTACAGTTTAAGATGTGAGTTATGCATGTCTTCAGAACCAGCTAGAAACAGACGTGCATGGACACTTTAAAATCATCGTTCATAAAACTAGGGAATGCTGAAGAGTTTCCGCAGCTTGTTTTACACCAAGGGCATAGCAGCTTTCCAAAGTTTATTTAGGTTCATGATTCCGAGACACTCGCTGGAGTTCTTGAAAATAGGCGAAGACCGCGCCTGCGCAGTAAACACAATAGAAAGTTATAGCTTGGATATCTGAGTCTGGACCCTACTTGGTTTGCGGCCGCCAGACCAGACCACAGAACGCACACTAACAGCTGGGCGACCTGGCGGAAATAAGCTACATGTACGGGGAGGAAACCCAAAGTCGGGGAGTGGGACTGGTATGTATGTGCATGCACAGCCGTACGTCACTGAACTTAATGCCCTCAATCACTCGCAGACTGGCGAGTCGTGGAAGGGGGTAGAACGACATTGATTGATATTCTCGTCCCGATGACTGGCACTTAGGTCCTTAGGTATGTAGCGCAGATATGCGACTCAGGTCAACCCTCTCACAGCTTCCCAACGGCTTGCAGCCCCCTCTCGCCATCTACCAGCACACACCATTCACCATTAGAACTGCTGCCACCCGGACCTGCCACCACAGTCGCAAAGTTTTCGCGCGCGTAGGCAAGGACGTCGTCGTCGAAGGTCCCCGGCTGCAAGAACACCGCCTGAATACCGAGCTCCTTGGCCTCGGCTAAAGTCTTCTGGGTCACAACCGGGGGCGTGATGATGGAAACGGCGGTAACACCGGGGGATTCTAAGGCTGAGAGCGAGGCGACCGTTGCGAACGGCTTGCCATCCACCTCAATTTCTGGAGAGCCCGGGTTGACGGGTGTCACGAGGAGATCGTGGTAAACGTACCACTCAAAGACTAGAGCGGATCAAGTCCGACAATGTTAGTACCTAAGTGTGTCATTCATTCTTGTGTCTGTTGGGTTCTTCGCAGGGTAGCCAGGGACAACGTCACGCAGATAGACGGAACTGTTCGAAAAGGGAATCCGTTGAAAGTGCACCCAAGACAACAAATGCGAAGAAGACAAGCACAGCACAGGGACTGGAATTTTGGGGAATCATATAGAATGGGTCGTGATGATCGTGCCAATATGCAGACGCAGACGCATTGAACGAGCTAATATGAGACCAGAACCTTAAGCTTACCCTTGTAGCCAAACTTGGCCTTGTTAGTGCTGGCACCGACCACGGCGAATTTTTGCGCCTCGAAAAAGGCTTTGAGAGTTGCAGTTGTTGCGGCCATGGCTGTTTTTGTGGAGTTGAAGTGTCGGCGGGGACTGCAGTGATGTGGAAGGGGGTTTGATTGACAGATGGAGTTCCTGAGAGTTGAAGTTGCGGGGATGAAAAAGGGTTCTTTGCGGATTCCATTGGGGACAGAGGTTCTCCCAGCTCTGCTCAAGTACCGAGGGCGGAGCCAATGCATTTCTATTGCGTGCGACCAAGCGCCAGATCGGGATTGAATGTCCTGAGCTCAAGGGACTAATAACGCAATCCGGAGTTTCCAGGTTTGGGGGACAAGAATTACTCCGACATGAGGTGGGAGAACTGGTAGGATGCACAACGAAGTTCAGCCAAGTCTTGAAGACCTATATGGCCTAGAGCAATGAGTGATGGTTCTAACAACGGCCAAAAGCAATGAATCGCTCAATCGACAGGGTCTAGTTGGATGGAAAGGATGACCCCAGGGCTGCCATTTACACTGGATGATCGGAGTACCCAATTCGAGGCAACTGTAATCCGTGTCCTTGAGAAGGTCTTTCCAGTTGAGCTTCGACATTCCGGCCTGGCCCGAGTGGTTGAGGGGTAGCTGTATCTAACCCTAACCCTTGTTGATTGTGGGCTGTCGCCGTGGCATGGCAAGCATGGTTGCCCCGTGAGACAACCTCTTGAGGGAACAACAAGAATGGCCAAGGTGGGGTGGGGAACGCACCACTCAGGCTGCTCCCTAAAACGCCCTCCTCGCAGCCCGCCATTTTGACCAACACTTGACCCCGGCATCGCGTTTTTGTCACCGCAATACCTTACACGTTTCCCCCATAATCAATTTTGGTTTGACTCGAAAACAAAATGGTAAGTCTATTCTTCAAACCGTCGGGTTACCTCCAACCAAACTTGAACACACCTCGACCGGCCTGTCGCGGCGACCACATCAGACACAGGGAAACCAAAGTCCATCCCTGGTGGTTATACGCAGTAGCAACGCCGCGTGCCTAGGGCCACACACAACAATTGCTGTGAACGATGCCGCCCACTCCCCTGCCTCCTTTCGGTCGAGTCGGAGTTCTGCAGCACTGTCGTCGTGCCACTGAAGCTGTCTCTTAGACAGAAGACAAAATGGGACGAAAGGGTCACTAATTTTGAACATCTAGGCTTCTACCAACTACAAGGAAGCGTTTTCACTCTTTGACACTCGCGGTGTCGGCCGCGTAGTCCTCGACAAGCTCGGCGACCTCCTCCGTGCCTGCGGGCAGAACCCGACCCTCTCCGAGATTAGCGACCTGGAAAAAAGCGTTGGCGGTGAATGTGAGTGGCTACAAAATTTACCACTTCTCGGGGTGGTAGCTAACGCAGCCGATTCAGTCGACTTCGAGACCTTTCAACGCATCCTCAACCGACCGGGCGGTTTCCGTGACCCGGGCGAGCCCGAAGAATACTGCCGCGGCTTCCAAGTATTTGACAAGGACATGACGGGCTTTATTGGGGTCGGCCAGCTCAAGTACATCCTGACGAATTTGGGTGAAAAAATGTCAGAAGAGGAGGTGGATGAGCTGCTCAAGGCCGTCGACACCAGCTCCGGGCAGGTCAACTACACAGGTACGAGTTGTTCGCTCTGCCCGATGGAACCTTCGTACTGACTTTTCCCCCCTTATACAGAATTGGTGAGGACCATCCTCTCCAACTAATGGTGGTGGAGGTGTGAAGTTTGCGGGAGTTGATTGGTGGCCTTTTCTGTTTGGACGAGACGCGTCTATGAGTCGACCCTTGAGCAGGGGAATGCATAAATTGCAGCGCGATGGGTAACCGGCGTTGGAGTTGCGCAAATCTGGATTGTATTGAATTTGGGCGCCTGGATCGGTATTGTCGCCATTCAGGATTTGGGATAGGGCACACGGGTATGGCCTAGATATCTACTTAGGTAGTAACAGGAAGTCATTCTGCAGGTTTGCCGTTCCGCTTGCGTTTCGGAGATGGGTGACGCGGGGAATGGTATGGTGCTCACGCATGGTAACGGCACAGACCGTCTTACATGGGTAGAACGGGTCGCTCGGGTCTCGGCGTCGGTCCCGTCCTCGTTGACATGGGAGGATCCATCATCAACTCATTTCAATTGACATCTTTGACGACGGTGAGTGGACTCAACTCGTAGGAGTAGCAGACGAACCAATTGCACCCGTTTCATCACATCAAGTCGTATACAAACTTCTAGCCTTCTCCTCCAAGCTGCAGGTCACCAACACCGCAACCTACGCCAAAGCTTCCCCGCAATCAGGCGCCGAGCCCCACGGTTGTTGGAGTCCCACGCGTCTTCTTGCTTCGACCCAACGTGACAACCCCTCGTTCCCAAACAAGCAACAGTCAACAGGTACTTCCCGCTGGGTGTCTGCCTCTCGTTATTCACACTGGCGCGCACTGCTGCACCCCCCATTCGGCAGGCTGTGCTCCTCCTGTTGTTGTCCGTGGTCCTCTTCTCCACCACTACCGTCATCCTGGCTGCCCCGCGCTTCGTCCCCCGCCTTTTCACCCTCTTCACCCAGCTCAAGTACAGCAGAGCACATCTCGGAGGGGGGCATACTGTTATCACACCTACTCTTCCAGCTCTGGGCACCCTGACATCCTCGAATTTCGGATCGTATTTTACCCACGCGCCCACGGTCGAGATGGCGAAGTACGCCAACCCCCCGCAGCCACCGCCGCTCTTCACCGGCACCAAGGACACCATCGTCGCCGACGCCAATGCCTTGTCCGACCGCACCCGCTCGCTCCTTGACTCCCTAGTTGCCAAGATCAAACCCGCCGATGACCCCGCGTCCGCTACATTCGAGTCGGTCATCCGTCCCCAGACTGAAGACGAGAACGAGGCCGCCCTCAGCGCCCGTATCCTGGGGTTTTACCAATATGTATCTGCCGACAGCGCCCTGCGCGATGCCAGCACCGAGGCCGAGAAGATCATGGACGAGTTTGCCATCGAGTGCAGTATGCGTGAGGATGTCTTCCGCCTCGTCGACGCTGTTTACAAGACTTCGGGCCTTGTGGAGAGCTTTGAAAAGAATAAGGACCGCGTGATCGATGCGGCTCTGGCGAAGAGCACCGGGTTTGACGATATCGAGAGCGCGCGGCTGCTTGAGAAGGAGAGGAAGAGTTACCTCCGGAACGGCCTCGGACTACCGGAAGGCCCCAAGCGGGACCGGTTCAAGAAGATCAAGAAGAGGCTGAGCCAGATCCAAATCGCTTTCCAGAAGAACTTGAACGAGGAAAACGGTGGCATCTGGTTCACGAAGGAGGAACTCGCCGGTGTCCCACAGGATGTCTTGGACACTCTGGAAAAAGGGACGGGCGAGAACGAGGGCAAGATTCGCCTGTCGTTCAAGTATCCAGATCTTTTCCCCACGCTGAAGTTTGCCCAAACCCCGGAAACGCGTCGGAAGGTGTTTATTCAAAATGAGAATAAGGTATCGTGTTGCACTTCAAAGAATTTTGGATGGGAGATTACGGCTTGTACTAATCTAGTCTGCAGTGCAACGACAATGTCCCGCTGTTTAAGGAGGCGATCCTTCTCCGTGACGAGGCGGCCCGCCTACTCGGTTATCCCGACCATGCTTCGTTCCGCATCGAGGACAAGATGGCAAAGACCCCCAAGACCGTCTTCGATTTCCTGGGCGATCTCAAGACCCGCCTTGCGGCAGGAGGTGTTAAGGAAATCGAGCACCTCTTGGCAATCAAGAAGAAAGACCATGAAGCTCGCGGCCTCCCGTTCGACGGTAACTACTACCTCTGGGACCATCGCTTCTATGACCGCTACATGGTAGAGCACGAGTACAAAATTGACGAGAACGCCATCGCCGAGTATTTCCCCCTCAAGTCGACTGTTGCGGGCATGCTCCGTATCTTTGAGGAGCTGTTTGGCCTTACTTTTGTCGAGCTTGGGCCGGAGGACCGCAAGCGTATCTCCCCCACCGGCAAAGCTGAAGACATTTCGTGGCACGAGGATGTGATCATCTTCAGCGTATGGGATGATGCGAGCGAGGGGGATGGTTTTGTTGGCTACCTCTACCTTGACTTGCATCCCCGGCCTGGCAAGTACGGCCATGCAGCCAACTTTAGTATCCAACCGGGCTACTTGAAGGCGGATGGTACCAGGCGATATCCTGCCACCGCGCTTGTCTGCAATTTCAGCAAGCCCACTGAGAAGAAACCGTCTCTCCTGAAGCACGACGAGGTTGTCACACTTTTCCACGAACTGGGTCATGGAATCCACGATTTGGCCGGACGGACCCGGTATTCTCGATACCACGGCACGTCAACAGTACGCGACTTTGTGGAGGCGCCGAGCCAGATGCTTGAGAACTGGTGCTGGACTCCCAGCCAGCTCAAGAGCCTCAGCAACCACTACGAGACCGGCAAATCCATTCCCGACGACTTGATCGAGAAGTTGATTTCCACCAAGCATGTCAATGACGCTTTGTTCAATCTCCGTCAGTTACACTTTGGATTGTTCGACATGACTGTCCACAGCCCCAAGACGCACGAGGAGCTGGAGGCATTGGACGTCAGCAAGTTGTACAACGACCTACGCGTGGAGATCTCTCAAATCAAGGGCCCCGAGGCCCAGGGTGAGGCCAGGTACGTCTATCCGTTACTCCGTCCAACATCCTATTTGTAGCAGAAGTAAAATGGTAACCAACTCGCGTTTGTAGCACATGGGGCAACGGCCAGGCCACGTTCGGCCATCTTATCGGCGGGTACGACGCCGGATACTACGGCTACCTCTCCTCCCAAGTGTACTCGACCGACATGTTCTACACCGTGTTCAAGAGCAACCCAATGGATCCCACGCAAGGTCGCCGATACAGGCACACGGTGCTGGAGAAAGGCGGGTCGCAAGACGAGATGCTGACGCTCGAGCAATTCCTCGGGAGGAAGCCGAGTTCTGAGGCGTTTTACAAAGAGCTGGGGCTAGCGGCTTGAGCGTACCGTAGAGGGGCAGGGGTGCCTTATGTAAGACGTGGTTTTGTGTCCTCTTTCTACCGTACACGAAAGGGGTATCGTAGAAGGAGCTGTTCAGTGCTTCACAGATAACAATGCAACGTCTTTTCGATCGATGTGCCTATGTCACTTCTCTTCCATGCCTTCTTTCCCACAACCCATATGACTCACTGGACTGTTCACAGTTTGGCTGTTCATGGTTGTGCCTGGGTACTTTGACACTCTGTGAGCCATGAACCGTGAGTATTTGACAGTCAAAAAGGGATAACTAGGGGCCGGTTTTATTCTAGAAGTTACCTTGTGGGTGGGCCACGTATTGTTCGTCTTGTGTCTGGCTGGCACTGTTGGTTTGTCTTCGAAAGCACACCTAGTCACCAGGTAAAAAGGAGAGGGAGAACTTGAACGGCCAGGCCAGAGCCCGGAATTTATCAGCAGTAATGCAACCGCACAACACCCAACCGTGGCTCGCTATGAGAAAATGATAAACCGGAATGCAAAATCCGCAGGCAAAGCTATACTCCTGGCAATGCTGCAACATCAATGAGTCGTGAAAGTCTACCCATCATAAAAAGACGTGGGACAGCCGGGTGATGTTCCTGATCCAACACCCTCGGCGCACCCTGACTACCACAAAAATCTCCTTACTCCCCAAAGTAATCCCAGGCATCATTTTCAAAAGAAGTCGGAGCCAACTTAAGCAATTGGCGCGCAGCTGTAAGGCTCAGATACCGAACCGACGTCGTATTGGTGTTTCTGTGCCAAAGTTAGTACATCCGATGGCTGACCGACTGCCCAATGTTAGAGGGTAGGGAGTTCTCACAATATCCCAAACAGCAGAGTAAGTGCCCACGCCCAGGACAATGACACCGATGGAGAAGCAGATAGCGTTGGCAAAGCCGTGGGCAATATTCCTAGGGTCGGCCCATCTTCCCTCTCGGATAAACATGAACCACATGATAGCCGGGAAGTAGAAGGTGAAGCCTGAGATGAAGAGCGATGAACAGATGGCGAGCAGATCCGAGAAGAACGGGACAGCCCCGGCGATGATCCATGCGACCAGAGTGATGATGGCATCGAGCCCGATCCATGTAGCCCAACCCATGGGAGTATTAATGTAGCGAATGACCGAATTTTTGAAGATGCGGCCATGGATGTAGCGACCGACCACCGTCGTGTTGATGCTGCCTGAGATAAAGATGACGGGGATCGCGATACCAAAGGCCACCTTCGAAACGACGGGTCCAGCTGAGAGGAGAGCGGGCGACTTGACGTCAGGGCCAACGAAAGCGTAGACGAGTGCGCCAGTGACGGTGTAGAGAAAAATTTCGAAGACGCCGAGAGCTAGGATGGATTTGTCGTAGTCCTGTGGCGTGTGCATCTCGTCCATGAAGCTGAACTGGCACAAGGCAAAGCTGTACGCGAAAACAATGTTGCTGATGGCGATAAAGGCCTCGGCGAGAGTTAAGTTGTCCTTGGGCCACGCAGACCACGCAACAGAGGCGGCACCACCTGGAAGTTCCCCGGCTTGTACGCCCGTTGCGACGATGGTGACGAAAATAGCGGCGACGATGGAAACGAAATCAATGTAACCGAGAATGGCCACCTCAGCGAAGCTGGGCGGGATGGCAACCAGGAACAGTATGATGGCCGAGACGACGGTGAAGACAACCGTGCAGGCACCGTTGTTGGTGAGATTGCCGAACATGATAGCCCCGGTGAGAACATGAGAGCCAGTGGTGAAAATGAGCTGCAAGATGAACATGACGCTGACGACCTCGTAGCCGACGTTGCCAAACATCATACGACCCGCGTCGGCGTAGTGAGAAATCTGCGGGTGCTTGAGTTTCACCTGGCCGATAACATAGCTGGAATACAAGGCGACGAGACCGATGCCAACCGACAGAATCACACCGGCCACCATGCCAAGTGTCGCGAAGGCGCCGGGAAGACTGAGACTGCCGAGCGCGACGGCTGTCACGATGAGCACAATGGTGAGGCGCTTCCACCCGAGACGGTGGAAATGGGCTTCGCCCTGGGCTATCTTCTGTTTCTCGTAGTCCGCCATGTTGACCGCGGGGCCAACTTCACCAACCACCTCATCGTCGGCCTGTTGGTGCTCAGCTGCTGGGTCTGGGTTGTCGAAAGGATTCGTCTTTTTTTCTACAGCGCTAATGTCTGAAGTTTGGGCGATGGGAGCCATGGCTGCCGATATGTCGTGTGGTGCAGGATCGGGGTGTCTTTTTGTCACCTTCGTCCGTCTGCCCGGCGCGGGTTTGTCTGAGCCTGTCGGGGGTGGAGGCGTCGAGACCTACGGTCCTTCCGGAGGGAGCGTGACTTTGTGACCCTAGAAGGAATGGGCGAGTCTGTGTGAGAGGGGAGGAGAGGAAAGGAAGGGGTGTCCCACGTCCTCAAAAAGACTGGTCTCTCCCGGCTCTACAACAATGAGGGGGCAAGAGGAAACGGGGTAGGGGATCAAAGTTGGGGAAAACCGCGCAGCAGGCATGATGATTATGACTTACGATCTGCAGGGCCAGCCCCGAGATGTTGAGTCGATAGTTGCCGACCGACCCCTGCGACAAATACCAGCTTCGGGCACTTAAGTGAATACGGCCGGGACCCTCGGCACCGACGCTTTCTAGGTTGTTATTGCCCCCTTCGACAGACCTCCCTGATCTGGCGGTTGTGCCAAGGCATCGACGGCTATCCATGGTTCATCCCATCCTATGACTATCAAGGCAAACTGGGTTGATTCTGAGCTTCGCTTGTTTTCGGGTTTTCCCTAACGCCGTCATTCTACACGAGAGGTGCTGTCGTATCTCCATTGGCTTATTTACTCCATACAGAGACGCAAGACGGTCATCCGTTCGCCCGTCTTCTAGAAGCCCTCCCGTTCCTAGGAATGGCCTGCTCTCTTTTATGGACCGAAGCAAGGATTGTGACCAAAACTTGGCCAATAGTGTGCAGTCCATCAGGTACAGAGTGAGGTAATCGGTGAAAACTTACGCCTCGAGGGGGCTTTGGGGATGAAACTTGGGCGATTCCCCGAGTTTCCGTTTCATAATCTCCGTTCACGACTCGGGCTCTCAGGTCCCAGGGTTGGAAGGTGTGGAGTGCAAAGCCTGGATGGCCAATCATGGGGCGGTGTTGTCCAGGGCTTCGGCACATGAGGCGCAAAAGGCGACGCTAAAAAGCTTGACATACGGGAGTTGATCTGTTCGCCGTTTGTGACGAGAGTGGCTTCCTCGCAGCGCCGAAGAAGGGTGGATATCCCGGGGAAATGCGACAGATGTTGGGGATGTCATCAGTCCGCGACAGGATCAACAGGAATGGGCACGCGACAATTACGAGACCGGTGTTGGCAAGACCATGCTACACTGGATTGGGCTCGGTGAAGCCCGGCCTGGTGAGCTGGTCTCCATCCGCCACTGTCAACCCCACAGGCGAGTGGACAAGATGTGGATGTTGACCCCGAAGTGGCCCGGTGGTTGGCCGGCGACGGCATGGGGAGATTCTCAAGAGGGAATTTTTTCCAAGAAACGGAGAGGGCGAGGTGGCAATGGCCCTGAGCGTGCGAGCACAGCGCCCCCGAAGCTCGTCGATGGAGGGACGGGAATATCCGAACCCCAACGCAGTGTAGTTAGTGTATGCACGCAGGTTGGCGGGCACACACGCAAGGCGAATAGAAAAAGGGAATTTCGTCCGGCTCAGTCAGCATGACCTGGCGATCGGTTGGTGATGTTGCAGTCTCGGCGCTTGCGTCCCATTCGCCGCTGCGGCAGAGCCTCAGTGCAAAAAAGGAAGGAATGCAAAAAGTGAACCGTGAGGGCCATTATTACGTGTTTTGCGAACAAGTCGGTGTCTAAATGGGCGAGATGGCCGACCGGGGAAGGAAGGGGCTACCAGACGCATACAGCGAGAAAGGCAGGTAAGAATCTTTTCTAGATTGGTTCCGGGATCATCGCAAGCTGGATTCGGGCATGTTTTACAGTCTCATCCGGATCTGTGTGAACACGCCAAAAATCATAGAGTATGTCACATGTGTGGCCCAGAGGTTGTGGCTGCGATGTTCAGCCACAGCCAAGACAAAAACATGGGTCCCAAACCGGCAAGTAAACAAACGGCGCGCGATTGTCCAATCAACACAAGGCATCTGGAGTTTGGCGATTGCAACATCCCTCCTCCCACCATCGACCGTCGTTCTAGGAACAGCACGCTCGTTCATTCGACCCAACACGCCATGAACTCCGTGTAAGGCCTTTCAAACACACCGGGCTGGCCACGTTCATTTCGAATCTTCGTCATTCCGATCACAACCCTCCCTCTACCCACCGGCCTATCTCTCCGCCTCGAAAACAACAATCAGCAACGACAAGTCACTGTCGAAATAGTTAGTTGAGGACGCGACGCGCTTCCTCTATTCTGATGGAGATGGATGCCGACGGGTTTTATTTCATCCTCGAGAACCGCCTCGACTCGTTCCAAGGCCCCCAGCCGGTTTCCAAGGGAAAAGCTTCAACCGCAGGCGGGCGTGGTTCGAAAGCGACATCTTGGCCACACAAAACGCTGTCACCAGTTGCGGTAAGCGTGCAACACCCGGCTCTATGCATTGTGTAGATTGTCTAACGCGCTTGTTTACCAGCTCGCCAAAGCCGGCTTCTTCTTCCAGCCTCACCCCAAGAGCCCCGACAATGTGGTGTGCTTCCTCTGCCAGAAGTCACTCGATGGCTGGGAGGAGACCGACAACCCGCTTGAGGAACATTTGAAGCATTCACCAACATGCGGCTGGGCAATCACGGCGGCAATTGAGGCCGGGTACGGTAATTACGGGAAGGTGCCTCCGCTGGATCCAGCCATGATTGAGGCGCGGAAGGCGACATTTGGGGGTCGTTGGCCGTATGAGTCTAAGAAGGGCTTCAAATGCAAAACTAAGAAGGTAGGCGCTCCCTGTTTAAAGATGACAAGCAATTGCTAATCTGGGCATGCAGCTTGTTGAGGCCGGTTGGAAGTTCACACCATCTCGCGAGGCCGATGACATGGCCACTTGTGCGTATTGCAATCTGGCTCTGGAAGGCTGGGAAGCCGGTGACAACCCATTGTACGGTCCTTCACGTCTCTCTCCACTCGCCTTATACTGACCTTTGCGTAGTGATGAACATTACCGGCGTGAGCCTAATTGCCTGTTCTTCGCCCTGAGCAACCAATATCCCGCCCAGAAGAAGGGGAGGACGAAGGCAGGCAGAACGTCCAAGGCTTCTTCCAGGCTCTCTGTGCAATCTGTCGCTACCGTCGCCACAACGGCATCTGATCTTGCTTCCACCGCCGACATCACTGCCGACCACGACGATAGCGTCATGACGACAGCGTCCACCATGACCCAGAACGGGAAGAAGACGGCGAAAGGGAGGAAAGCGACTGCAGGAAAGGCGCGGAACACCAAGACCAAGAAAGAGGAGGCATCCGAGGCACCAGAGGACAACGCATTGGAGCCTCCCCGGCCTGCTTCCAGGGGGCAGAAGCGAGCTAGTGACGCCATGGAGGATGTCGGTACTACGAATGCGGAAGCACCCGCTCCCAAAAAGCGAGCCACTCGTGGGAGAGCCAGCGCTGCTACCGACAATTCGTATGCGGCCGATACGGAAATGATCGACGTTCCCACACAACAACCAGTGGGCAAGAAGAAGCGTGCCTCCTCGACCAAGGCGACGCGGAAGGTCTCTGATGCCTCCGCGAGGTCTCAAGCATCCGCCGCGTCCTTGCGTGACGACCTTCCCGACGATGACGAGCTCGACCGTCAGCTCGAGGCTGATCTTGAACGTTACCAGAGTGCATCAGAGGATGTAGTTGAGCAACCTGCTCCTGCTCATGCTCGTGGGAAAGGACGCCCTAAAAAAGCTTCCACTGTGCGCAAGGCCAGTGCTCAGAAAAAGAAAGGGCAAAGTGAGTCCTTTGTTATGTTCGATCCAACGCCCATGGTCCCAGATGAGGCCGAAATTGAGGCAGACCTTGAAGCCCTACAAGCTGAGATGGAGCCTGAGCGAGAGCCCCCCGTCAAGGAGGACACCCTAGTCGTCCCTAAGAAGGGACGTAAACCCGGCACCCGCAAAGTGTCCAAACAAGCAAAGAAGCCCAAGGAGCCGGGGCCTGAACCCGAGCCAACTGCGGAGGAGGAACCGGGGCATACCTCAATCCACGCGAGTGAAGAATCGCACGCAGCTGTTGATCCGGAGCCTGCAGGGGACCTTGATGTTAGTACCGGCACAGTTATTACAAAACCTGCTGCTCGTCCGAGTCTGGAGAAGCGGAAGCGCGGCCGCCCCTCGAAGAAGTCAAACGCATCCCAAGTGTCGGTAGAAGCCACGGAAGAGCAGCGATATGCTGATGCCCCTGAGCAAATCACCGATGATTTGGAATCGATGGACTCTGGGAAGCCCCCCGCTCGCAAGAGTACCCCCGAAAACCTTCCGAAGAAGGCGGTTCCGTCGGTCTCCCATGGGCTCGTGTCGAGTCGCCTCCCTGCTCCCACTCCAGCGGTAGCCACACCCCCACGAGTCTCCAAGGCTTTGGCGGCACCCGTCTCCTCCACTGGCCGTCCTCGCTACCCCCCCTCAGCCAGCCGCACCCCCATCATCGCCCCTTCTACTCCCAGGGCCCGCGCCAGCCCCTCGTCCCGGACACACCACCAGCATCATGGTTCCATCTCCCGCTCAGCCCTTGGAACGGCTCCAGCCTCGACCACTCCTCAGTCAGAGGCTGAGCATCACTACCCCTCCCTGCAGCCCGCTGCAAGCGTCATTCCCAAGCGTGTCGCCCTAGCTCCGTTGTACACCGCCGGTTCCCAGACTCCCCAGCGCAACATCATGGGCTCGCCATCGAAGCGCAACGCGGTTGCGGGCTTGCAGAGTAGCCACCCCTGGCATCCGGCCGACCTAGACCTCATTTTTTCCTCCTCTCCGATCAAAAGCCCTTACTCTCGCAACGATGACGTCCGCAATGACGGGTATGCCATGGGTTACGGCAAGGAAAATACCGCACAACACGCCCATCATAAACACACCAAGTCAGCATCATCCTCTAAATCCGTAGCGGCACTACTCCGGCGCGGTGCGGAACTCACCTCGCCGGAGAAGAAAATGACGGTCGAGCAGTGGATCTACCACAATGCTGGGTTGGCAGAGCAGAAGCTGAAACGCGAGTGCGAGGCCATGGTGGCAGCGTTTGAGGCGGAAGGCGAGCGGGCGATGACAGTGCTGGAGGGGCTGGTGGTGGAAGGTTAGATGTTGAATACCTAACTTGAGCGACCAAGGAAGTGGGCTTTCTGGGATTGTTTTGGCACAGCGTGCCGGGTAGTTTTGTTGTGTTTATTGTTGGGCGATATGGGGTCCTGGGTTATGTACATATGAAGGGACGAATTGCTAGGGCTTGTCTAGGAATTGCATTGTCACGTCGTGTTATGTGTTTATAGTTGTACACTGTAGGATAGACCGAGGCGATTTGGTGTTAGTGTGCTGTCTTTGTTGAGCTGCTGAATTGAGTCTTGTTCGACCACCGTCGTTTAGCCTAGGAGGTAGCAGGTGTAGGTACACGCCGAGACTTGATAGCCATGTTCAGCATGTCCGCCCAGAACCCAGCCCATCTTAGCACGGTTTCCTCATCAGACAGTCAGCTAACACGTGTTGAATAACTACCAGTTACTAAGTGTGGAATTCTAGGAGCATATCCATCCCCAACCAAACGAGTTTTGAGCCCTCACAACGACCCTGCTACTCTCCCCTTTGTTCCACCGGCCACACGACCATCATCATCCCGCCTAACCAAACGACACCGAGAGCTCCCTGCATCAAAATATCAATATCTCCTCGAGTGGCCCCAAAGCAACGGATGAGTGTCTACATGTACGTCAAATTCCCTCCCAGTCCGAAGCCCGACCTCGACAGCCGTCGTTGATCCATGTACCTTCACCTTTCGTGACTTCTACTTTGAAATGTGATACATGGCGTGCAGCACCCCAGGGATCCTATTATCTGCTGTTAACCAACAACACCCTTTGACACAAATAAAAAGGGCAAATAGGAAGGAGCCTAAAGACTACATACCAACCAAGAATGGTCAACAAAATATTGAGGCCAAGGTCGTGTCGACTTCCTCTCCTCAAATACACCGCCAGCGGAGGACAGAAGAAGGACGATACCCAGAGGATGACCTTGCGTGTTCTGTGGCCCATCTTGAACGAGGTCGATCCAGACTTTTTGGAGCTCTTGACGTTGTTGTTGCCGTGGGCTACGGTCTTGAGGAGGTATGCGGTAACGTCTGGACTGGGCGTCGCTGGGGCTTCGACGATAGGCGTGTCTGAAGTGGCAGCGCTGGAGACTGGGGTAGCCGTCACCGGGCTGACGGTTGGCTTGGTGATGCTTGGGGGGGATAGGTGGTGAGGAGCCTCAGGGGTGACGTTGTCTGCTTGACTGGGAGCAGTGGCGGTGGGTGCCGGCGTTGGGTTGGTTTCAGGCGAGATGGGGGTTGGTGAGGGTGTTCCGGTCGAAGTGGGCACCGCCGGTGTGCTGATGGAGGAATTCATAAGGGGGGACGAAGGCCCTAGATGAAGGTCGTATATAGACACGGTAGGATGCAGCAATGGGGATAGAAATAAAGTCGTGGTAGTGTTGTCAAGAAGGCGATGCGATAATCTTGAAGGTCTGAATGAATATTAGGTATCTAAGTAAGCGAAAGACCGTTGGCTAGTGAGCAAGCGGTTTTGCCTGCTGGGTGGAAGGTGCCCTTGACGAGCGCATTGTCGAACCTGCCTGATCAAGAAGGGTCAGCGCAGCCCGCCATATCACACCCAGGTTAACGGCAACTGCAATGTGGCCCGAAGCTAGCAGAGGCGGCATTAATACGTGGAACTAGCGGAGTAACCGTTTTGTAGATTACGGAAGCCTGTAAAATCTATGCCTCAATAGGGCAGGTTGTTGTCCCTACAAGTACCTTACACATGATGGCAAGTTTGCCCGGTGTTGTGGCCAAAGCCCCTGGGTAAATCCTCCGAGCTTCAGATCCCGTATCCCGTCTCCTTCCGTGAACCCCCTGGTACACCTCGGAGCTAAGTGAAACGGCGAGAACATAACGCCAAATCAACGTTTAATCAACAAGCCAGCCAGTCCAATCGCCCGCCCAGTTCCATGCGTATGATGCCATACATGCCAAACCCAGTATGTACAAACAAGACCAACCTAACCAGGGACATGCTCAGGTAGATAAAGGCATTTTCCCTCTCTAAACCCCCCGGTACCTCCGATGCTAGAAGGATCGATAAAATCAAGGCTTCTTTCCGCCCTCACGCCCGGCCTTCTCATCCTGGATGTGGGTAGGATCATCCTCAGCCTTCTTGCCCTGCCGGTACTTGTCTATTTTCTCTGTCATGTATCGCCACGTACGGGTGATTCCGCTCGTCAGAGGACCCTTAAGAGATTGGGTGGTGGCCGGCCAGCTGATCGTCTGCTTGATGACAGTGCGAATATAGCTACGCAGCTCGATAGGAGCATCCTGAGCGATGCGGCGCTCGAAACCACCGCCCTCGCGCCTCTTAAACGCGACGGCGTCCTCGTGCTTGCTCTCGTCCATCATCTTCCGAAATTCGTTGCCAGGAATAGCCAGCTTCTTCTGGTACTGGAAGTAGAGGCGCGACCGGAAAGCCTGTGGCAGCCGTCGGACCATGTTTCCACGCTTGATAGGGTCCATATCCTGGGTGAGCTTGAGGTTCTTAGACTTGTCCCAGACCCAATCCTCAGCGCCAGCCCCGGGGTCGTTGAAAGAGACGTTGGGGAGTGTCTCAATAAGGGGGAGATAAAGACGTCGGAAGTTGGCCATGTTGTTGCCAACTATGTTCTTGACCTTGCGTGGATTTTCGGTAGGTAGCGCCATGCGTGGGTCACCTAGGTAGCTGATGCCGGCAATTGTGCCGTAAAGTTCTTCTTCTGTGAAGTCGGGTGGGAGGAGAAGCAGAGCAGTCCTCAGTGCCGACAGGAGATTCATTTGGTTCGCGAGTCTTATTTTTGGGTCATCCCGAAGAATCTTGACGGGTTTGTGCAACCGACCCGCGAGATAAAGGGTTTCCCATTGAGTGAGGTCATTTTCCAGTGTGCTCAACTGCACCACGCCGTACTTGACCAGTATTCCGTTGACAATGACATAGGGGTTGAAGTATACCCCAGCGCCTAGCCTGTCCTGGACGTATGACACGGCACCAGACCCCAACGCAGCGAGCGAGGAATAGTGGTCGCGGTGCTGCTTCATGTTGAGAGAGTGCCAGTGCTGAGTATGCGAGACGCCAAAGATAAAATCAATCATCTTCGGTGTGCCATCTTGGGCCCTTTGCACGGCGAGCGGTGCCCTAGGATGAATTGCGCGGATCTCTTCGTCAGTCGGGGTCTTGCCGCTGGAGCTTGATTGGGGAAACACGCCGGAGCCATAGGCGAATGCATATCGGATCGGGGCTCGAAACTGCCAGGGTATGGCCTTGAGGACCTCTTTAAAATCTGCGTCGAACGGAATATGCTGGTTGACGCCAAAGTTGGCATGGGGTAGGTCCTTGAATGTCTCAACCTTGACGTTTGGGTCATATTCCCAGGCCTGTGTCTCGCTTTCTGCTGGAGGTTCGGGGCTCGACGATGACTTCGCTTCGCTTTCTATTGCCCGTGCCGACTTCGTATCTTCTCTCGACGCATCCGCTGCTGAATCTGCCGCCTTGCCATGCTGTGCACTTTCCCGTTGTTCCTTTTCGTCCACGCCCGCATTCTCATCGCTCTTCGTTGTTCCATAACGACGCACCGGGGCCGAGGCAGGGCTGAATTGACGTATTCGAAAAGTGGAAATATGTCTCGCAACGGCAGGGCACAAAGGCAACGGTCGCGGCGACGGGCGGCCCTAGAGACAAGGTTAGCTTTGTCGTCCAAACGCCATTGGGCGCGGCGATTGTCATGGGAGCCAGCCAACCCACGCTGAGCTTGCCTACCCGCACTAGGGCGGGGATGCGACCCCGAACCATTACAATCCGCTCTGTTGTTCTTCGAGTGATTTGAGACGAGATTTCTGAGATCTGTCGAGCCTAGACGAGGAATTGGGGACGATGCCGTAGCGGCGAAGCTGGCTGTCACCTCCGGTCGATTGCCATGAGCGAGAAGTTGGAAAGTCGGGAAGAGCTCGCTCGGCGTTTGCCGGAAGCTCTGCGACCAAATGTAGAAAGCGGATGGAGAAGGGAGTGGAGAGATCACAGACCGCATGGCGCCCGCGTCATCGCCGGGGGCATAGGTCGCTTATCCTCAGCTGAGCAGCTTTCAGGGCTGCTTCACTGACACTCCAATGGCCCTGCGCAGGCACCCCACAGAATTGGCTTGTCTTGGCGGGGCATCACAAAGCCGGGGCTCGCGCAGGGACTCAGCGTCACTGGTTGGAACGCCCAAGTCTCTTCTTGCCCGTGAAGAGAGCCATCATTGTCCTTCCATTCGCAGAGACTGTGTCAGGAGTGAGCATATGTACGACCCCAGTTAGTTTGAGTGAGAAACTAGTGGGATCTTGAAGCAAAGTTCTTTCAAGCCCACTGTATATGTGCCCGTTCAAATCTTTCCACCATTTATTCCAGGACCCCCCGGGGCCGAGTTCATGGCTGGTCCGCCGGGTATCAAATATCCGAATGGTGAATTTTTGAAGATTAGAGGGATTGTAGGTTGACCGAAAATGAATGTATTAATTTTTGTTAGGTTAAAAGCTGGGAGATTCACTCTCCCGATTTTTGAAGACGTCCATGTACGGAGTACTATACAAAGTTACCTGGTAGTTACAGACAGTCAAGGTGGGCTTTGTCAAGGTTGGCCCGAGCTCGATGTCGAACTCCCAGCCAATCAACACCATTCCCTCAAGCCTGGGCACCCAAAACAGCTGTGTTGCAATCCACGGACGCCAAGTCGACCCAGATCGCGTTTCTCAGAACGCCAACTGTCAACGATGCGATCGTTCACGTCACAAGGTGATCCCCCGGACTCCGCGCGACGCCCTTCGGCTAGTGCGGGGTCTCAATTCCGAGCGACTGTGAGCGGCAGTATCCCAAGACCTCGAGAATCAAGGGTAAGACAGAACCAGGGAGTGAAGGAAACGCGCCATCATCGCAAGGCACGCGACAGGGTCAACACTAACATGGGTTCAAACTCACAGATTCCCAACTTTCGGAACAGTACAACACAACCCCCCTACAACATCATTACCGGTGAATCGGGGACCATGACCCCCAACCGCACAATGGCGCGCCCTAGTTCACGACAGGGCGGCCTCTCCGGTCCATCTCCCCCACGGGGCCGGGCCGCTACCCTTGGAAGCAACGTTAGTCGCGAAAGCAGCAAGGAGAACCGGCCGCCAGATGATGCTGAAGAGTACGAAACGCAACGGAAGCGAATCGAGGAGCTCAAGGCCGAGGTAGGCACACTGCATTACCAAATCAGCAGCTACGAACAGGAGAAAGAGCTCGCACGTTTGCAGATGGAGAATGAAATGCGTGATACCAAGCGAAGGGCCGAGGATGATTTCAAGGCGAAACAAGCCGCGGAAGCTGAGAAGAGCAAGGCCCAGCGGCAGGCGGAGGCGCTCCAAAATGAGTTGGACGAACTAAGGGTGGAGAAAGAGCAGCAAAAACGAGACCTAGAGGCGAAAGCGAGAGATGCGGCGGAGGAAGCGAGGATATTACAAGAACAGCTGGAAGAGTTAAACGCCGCCAAGGACGAGGCTGCGCGCATAGCAGAGCGGGAGGCGATTGATCTGAGGGCAAAGCTGGCCTCAGCGCAGCGGGCTGCCCATGAACACGAGGAAGAGGCCAGGACAAGGGAAGAGGTGCTCGAGAAGACACAATCACAACTAACCGATCGTGATGAGACGATTGGTCGACTGGAAGCCGATGTTCTTCGCTTGAAGGCGCAGACGGGTGATGCGGAGACTATTGCTGTCATCCGGCGCGAGTTGTCCGACCAGGTTACGCACATCCGAAACCTGGAAGCAAAGAACAGGGACCAAGGTGCTGAGCTCAAGCATCTTCGCCAGGTTCACAAGGCTGTGGAGATTGTCGAAGAGGAGAAACGCTCACTGCAACGCAAGCTGGAGGCGGCAGGGTCGGTTCAGGCCGAGCTGGACGAAGAGCGGAGACAACGACAGAGGTTGGAAAACGATCGGCAGTCCTGGGCGGCTTATTTACAGTCCGAAGGAGGCGCTGATGGTCAGAACGAATTTGACTCCCCTGAATCTGTCGCTAGGGCGTTAGTATCGGAGCGTCTGCACTCGGCGTCACTCGTTGAGAAGCTGGGAGAGCTCCAACCAGAGATCGCCGACCGCGACAATATCATCAAATCGCTAGAGGATGAAAAGGCTCGGCTCCTCGACCAGATGGAAAAGCTGCGCACATCAGCGCCCTCGACAGGAGGTAACGACAAGGCTCGTACCCGCCTCGAACGTCAACGCGCCCTCGCGGCTAAAGAGGTCGAATATCTTCGCGCGCAGCTTAAGACGTTTGACATGGAAGACATGACCCTGCAACCCGAGAGCGTGGACCAACAGAAGATAAAGCGCATCCAAGAACTTGAGGATCTAGTCGACAAGTACAAGGCCGAAGTAACCATGCTCCATGCGGACCTCAGTTCCTTGGACTCGTCCTCCACCGCCAGCCCAGCCCAACCTATGCTCGGGAGTAAACGCCCGCGCGAAAGCGACGACGGCGAGAACGAGCAACTCGGCGCACTTGCGCGCAAAAACCGCAAGCTGCAGTCGGAGCTTTCCGACCTCCAAACCGCCCATCGCCTCCTCCAAAAAGAGCACGAGGTTGGCACGTCCCAGCTTGCCTCGGCTCAAAACCAGCTCAAGACCCGCGTCCTCTCGCTCCGCTCGAACCCCACGTCTGACCATGAATCCGCCAAAGCGTCTACGCTGGCGGCCCTCAAACTCGAGAACGCCGAGCTCCTGGCTCATATCGAGCGCAAACCCACCCTCTTCGCCACTGTCCCAGCCTCCCAGCTCGCCGCCGCCCAGCGTGAGATCGCCGATGCCCGCGCCGAGACCGCCTCAGCTCACAAGTCGGCGCGCCGCCTCAAAGAAGTCTGGGCCTCCAAGTCAGCCGAGTTCAAGGAAGCCGTCTTCAGCACGCTCGGCTGGACGGTCACCTTCATCCCCGGTGGCAAGATGCGCGTGGAGAGCGTGTATTACCCATCGCAGACGGACGAACACGAAAATAGTATCGTGTTTGATGGTGAGAAGGGCACGATGAAGGTCGGTGGTGGGCCTCGGAGCGCGTTTGCCCAACGGATCGGGGATAATATTAAGTTTTGGGTGCGCGAGCGTGGATGTGTCCCGTGTTTCCTTGCGGCTCTGACCTTGGAGTTTTGGGAGGAGCAGAGCAAAGCTGAAGGAAGGATTGAAGGGTAATGACTTGGTTTTCTGTAAGGAAAGCGGAGGCGTTATAAGAACTATCTTTGCGAGAGTTTCCTAGTCAATGATGTACGAGGCATAGGCCAAGGCAAGTGGATTGGAAGAATGGAAATGGCCGGGGGCGTTTTAGGAAGAGGCTCTTTAGGAATACATGGAATGTATCATGACTGCCATCGCCAATAACTCCGGACCGTCGTGCTTGCTGTTGCTCCACACCTCATAACCGCGAGAGAACTGGTCGCCATCTCAAGATGTGCTAGATCGACGTCTTTTTCTTTTACTAACAGCTGAATGGGGACATGTCCACGTACAAATTGTACATACATAATCCCTGAATTACTCGAATGTAATCGTGGAAATCAGTTATCGAGGAATATACTTTTCATCTGTATTCTGTACACTTAAATGCATCTGCATTCTTCCTCCGCTTTGAGGCACGCCGCCTGCCCTTCCCAACACCAAGTTACACCACGAATAAAATGATCACATCGCTGTGGTCAAACATGTTCGCCTCCTTTGCCACCCTCAGTATCAACAAATCGATCTAGGTATCCATCGCTCGCCGTATGACTGGAAAAATCAACAGCCTTCCAAGGACATTAATGAAATATGGAAAAGACAACGCATCATTGGTTCGGTCCCGCTTGAATTACACCTCAATCGGTTTTGTCCGCTCGCCAGTTCACCCCTCAACCAATTATTTCGATTCGTACTTCCCGGCCACCAATCGCTTTACAAGCGGCACATCCTTCCACACCTTCCCTGGTGATGCCGAAGGGCTCGGCGATCCCGGCGGAGAGCTAGCATCAGCAAACGGATCCTCTTCCTCCGGGGCCTCAGTAGCCTTGCCTTTCCCCTTGCCCTCTGGCAACAGCCGCAACACTGAAATCCCGCTCCCTGCTTCCGCGTCCGGTGATGGCGTCCACTCCCAACGCACCTCCACCTTGCCCGGCAACGGCTCCGCATTTTGCTCGCCAATAACACGGCAAATGATCTTAGCCCAGCCATCGGTCAGCGTCAGGTCACCGAGACGCCAGTACACAAGATGCTTGTCTTTGAGATGGGTGCCTGACGGTTTGGTCTGCACGCCGCTGGCACGGGCGCCTTCGTAAGTGGCGATGAATACTACGTTAGACAACACCACAGGCCCCTGGTGCTGAGAGAAAGACGGATTCAGGCGGTACTGCAGAAGCAGGCCAAGCTTGTCAGCCTGGGGTTTCCAGACGGGATAGACGGCTATGGGGCAATGAGAGGCGAGGGCGGTGTCGGAGTCCGCATGGACACGGTAGGTAAAAGCTGGTGTGGTGGTATTGAGGTAAGAAAGGTCAATAGAGAACTCGTCGGGGGCGGTGGTGTTGGTTACGAAGACGCGGTTAGGGCCAATTGATTCGAGGACGGCAAACTTGTCGAGGCGGATGGTCTCATGGTCTAAAGTTGTGAGCTTGAATTCCATAAGAGTCGTACGAAAGAAATCGGCTTACCTGCAAAGGGATGCTCAGGGTCGGGAACGTAGGAGAAAGCAATCTCGCCATTCATCTTGACAGAGGTGGGCTCTCCTTCTTGGAAGACCGCAGACACCGTTTCAATGATGGACGAGTGCAGCCCCGGACCGTATGATGGCCCAACCATGTCTGGGTGTTTTGATCGTGCGGCGCCAGCAAGGGCGGAGGAGCCGCCAAACGAAGTCCCAGACCGTATGGATTGCGTATCAGAGGCTTGGCTAGGCTCAGAGGCGAAAGTCGCGGGAGGCGTAGGCTTCGGGAACGTGGAGCTCGTGGGTAGCGACGGCGAGGCTGAGAGCGGGAATGTGTTTTCGGGGGTCTCGTGAGTTGGCAAAGACGGCATGTACACGGTATTCCTGACATCTCTCCGGCCCCGGACGGTGCCCGCCTTCCGCGATGGCATGCCCATGTTCAAAGCATTAGCAACACTTGACAGAGCTGCCTGTTTCGCGTCCTGATCTTCTTCGGGGATGGGCTCATTTTGAATGTTCAGCTTGAAAACGTGGTCGCCTTCCTCAGCTGCAGCTTCCCGTTGGGCTTGGGAAATGGGGTCATTCATTTCGGGGGGTATTGTGAACCCATCCGAGTCCTTACCAACCTGCTCCTTACCCTGCGGCTGTGGGGCCGACGGGGTGGCATCGAAAATATCCTCCGCCGTCCCATTCAGCAAGCTCGGTTGTGACTGTTTGGCATCCGAGGGGCCTTCCCCACCGGAAACTCCATTCGTGGCTTCATGCGACTTCTTGCTCGGCTCATTCTCAGCTGTGGATTGCCGACCTTGTTCCGGGTTCGGGCTCTCGACCACCGACGGGAGTCTATGTTGAGAGTCGGCCAGGTTGTGAGATGAAGCCCGTGGAGAGAGGGTCTGGCTGTGGCTGCTCGAAAGACCACGGGAAAACGAACCAAGACTCTTTGGAGGGGAGCCCAGTTGCCCAAAGCCAGCATGGACGCTCTGGCGCCGCCGGCCGAGCATTGTGCCAATCCGGCTGCGAAGCTTCGACTCTATCTCGGCATTAGAAAACCAACAAGGCGCAATCAAAGGCACAGTGGGTGGGGTTACCTGGAGGGTTCTCTCGGGGTCCCGAGTGTTCGCTCACGTCGTCGGCAGTAATGCTTGGGGGGGCGGCCGTTGGAGTCACGGGAGTGGCCTGCCGGGTATTGGTCGATTTACGCTCGATTCTTGGTTTGCCAGCCGTCGCCCTCTGCACAAAATTTTGGATCTCTTGGGCAGTGTTGACTTCTAACATCACATTAAGAACCTCCTCGGCAGCCGCCTGGGTTCGGGTGGCCTGGTCGACTTCGTGGGTTTCGAACTGGGTCAACACATCGCGCAGGTGGTTGATCCGCTGCTCATCTACGGCCTGGAAAGTCTCGTAAATGAAGGGCGCCTGCGACTCCCACGTCTGCGTGGCGGACTCAAGTCGGGCCGCAGCCTGGTCCACTTTCTGGGCGTTTGCCTTGCCTCCTTTTCTGTTCAGCTTCTCCGACTTGTCGGTTGCATCGTCCAGCTCCTTGGCCATGGCGCTAAGGTTGGCGCTGATCGTGTGCATGTTTTGCATCTCCTTCTTGTTCTGGAAGTTCCGGAGAGGTTGCTCGACATCTTTATCGATACGCTGCGCGAAAAGCTGGTGGGACGCGGCAATGCCGTCGGTGGAGCTCAGAATCTTGTCCCATGGTGCTTGAAAAATTCTACCACGATGCGGCGTCAGCTTTGAGTAGGAATCGGGGTGCAAGAAGCCAGAAGCGCGTAACGAACCCAAGTTCAGAGGCAGCATTCGGGACCTTGAATACCAATAGCTTCCGCAGACCAGCGACATATTGTTCTTCGACTCGCCTACGCTCCTAACGATAATTCAGCCCTGTTCCCATCCCAAAAGCCGACGGCGTTGTCACCGTACCTGAAGCCAGTCGGCAATCTCCTGGTTGGCTCTCGTAATGCGCTTGACTCGGTCCGAAAGGGCTTGCACAGCTTGGCTGGGTTGTAAATTGGCCTACCGCAAGCAAGACGTTAGCAATCACATGCCGATCTAAAAATGTTCCTTAGTTTGTCGAAGGACAATGGGAGGTGGCCGTACGAGCATAGCCGGGTACTCCGACCGAGAGAGGTCGTCGACTGGGGCCGCCATCTTGCCAATAGTCCTCGTGGAAGTCGAATGGGGGAACAATCCGACGACACGGCCCTTTTAACACATAACACTGATGGCCGGGCGCAACCACGAGAGTCCGCGGTATCGATAAATAGGTAGGGTGTGCGTGTGACGAGGGGATTTGAAAGCCGGGAACGGAGCCTCCGACATTTACTTGCTGGGAGAAACGAGCTGGCCGAGACCTAACTACGGCGCGCGTTGATGTCAATCACGGGGAATGGAGATGGTTCGCCCTAATCCACCAATCGCAGGGCGGCTCAGCGCTCCTTCGGCCCCACCTTTCTATTTCCCTAGCGAAATTCCTCCAAAGGCTCACAGCACTCGGGAAAGCTCCGCTCCATGGCCCCCGGAAAGGACCTCCGTTGGCCGACGCATGCTAGGCTGCCAGCTGCATGAGATTCGTCCATCGACCTCCAAACATCAACTACAGATGCTAAGACGATTTCCTGGGACATTATCGATCAATTCCCGGTGCCAACACGAACCACTGGATAAAGGATAGGTCTCTGCTTCTCTCTTTCATCGATGCTCCTGGGTTTGGTAGCCAATTGGGCCACCGCCAACCGTTTCAGCGCCCCTGTCATCAAGTTGGCGGCGGGGCTCTACGGATACTAATAATAAGTCGCTTCTGGAAAGCTCGCTCGGCCGACCTCCCACTGAAGACACAGCAAATCCCCGGAGCCTGCCGAGCAGGATTCAAGTCAAAGGGTGGCCAGTTAAGGAACTTCACCTCAAAACAAAAACAAAAAACATTTCCGGTTGCCCTAACTCAAGGCCTCGATTTGCTCCGCTAAACCGGCCTTCACAGAGAGAGCCAAGCGGCGCCCTGAGTGTTCACGCAGTGTTTTGTTGATGCCCAACCGGAACTCGAGATTTGGTATCCCCGGTAACAGTGAGCATGCAAGCGACACCCATCAGCTTGCTCCTGGGTACATAGTACATCGTTCAATTCAACCACACGCCGCGGCTCTCACTCAACGCCGAGTAAAATCTGTTCTCCGAGGAAATGGCCAACGAAAGGAATTGGAGAGGCTCACTCACAGCTTCAGAGAGATATGACAACATTCAGAACATGTGGGGATAAAACATCAACCCTAGCAGCGTAATGTGTAAATGCTGAGATGGGTTGTTTTCTGTAGAACAAAATGGTCTGCGGCTACGGGCCTAACAGGGAGCGCCTTCGAAATCGAGAATGAAGCATACAAAGCATCAAGTAGCAGGGTACGTTGACAGCCAAAGAGAAGCAACGAACACGGCTCATGCCCAATTGTGTTCTCTAGGAAGAGTATGACGCAGCCTGCAACCAACAGGACTCTGGATTGGGGGATGGGGGCGGAGATGGAGGACCGCCGCCGATACAGCCTGAAGGGTCTCTTAATGCAGACGCCGAGGATAACGACGCCGTAGCGTCTTCCCCGGGCATTACCATCGGCGACTATCACAACTGTCACTACATCGCCAGCGGCGTCACAGCCCAAGTCTACCGCGCGCAAGCCCGCGCGCTCAAAGTGATCATCGAAACTCACAACATCGAGCCTCACGACCCGCACCGAGAAGTTAAGATCCTCAACATCCTCCACGCCTCCAAAGCACCCAATATCATCACACTCCTGGAGACCTTTCATGACCCCTACACTCAAAACTTCGTGCTCGTCTTCCCCTACGCACCAATCACCCTCGCGGACCTCTTTGCCAAACACCAACAACACCAGAAATTCCTGTCCACCTCCCTGATCCGCACGATAACCACGGCCCTTTTCCGCGCCCTGGATCATCTCCACTCCGTCGAGTCCATCATTCACCGCGACATCAAGCCCGCCGCACTGCTACTCACCCACCCAACCCCAGAATCACCCTCTCAAATCCTCTTATCAGACTTCGGGACAGCCTGGCACCCCACCTTATCCCCCACACTGGGCGGCGAGCCACACGACCACAAGGTCCTCGACGTCGGCACAGGCGCCTATCGCGCACCCGAAACCCTCTTCGGTAACCGTGCTTACGGGCCGGGAGTCGATCTCTGGGCAGCCGGCACCACACTAGCCGAGTGTTTCCGCACGGGCCGAACCGGCTCGCCAGCAAAAAGGAACGTCGGCGGGGAGGACAACGACAGCGACGACGACGCGAAGAACGAGAACATGACCGCCCGCGGCCCAACCCTCTTCGATTCACGTCCTGCTCATGAAGACGGGAACCAGCTCGGCCTCGTCCTCAGTATCTTCCGCACACTTGGCACGCCTACGCCGCAAACCTGGCCCGAGGCAAAGGGGTTTCGAACACCGCCCTTTGAGATGTACCGTATCTTTCCCGGTATCGTTTCCCAGGGAGCTGGTGAAGAAGGCGAGGGCGGAGGGGGCGGGCGTGGGTGGGCTGGATTGCTGCCGGGCGCAGACGCGGACTGGAGGGCTTTGGTGGAGGGGTTGTTGAGGTATGAGAGTGGATGGCGAATCACCGCAAAGGAGGTCAGTTGTTTTCTCATATCCTGCATCCTTGTGCTTTTTTCACCCTTCTCCCCGCCCATTCTGTCCGTTCCCACGTTGCGCTACTCGGGGAGGGGGGAGGGGGCACACGTGGGTGGCATCATGGAAGTTGCGTGGGGGGCAGGCGTGCTAATCTGCAGATAGGCATTGAAGTTGCCATGTGTGAAAGGAGTGGCGGGGAGGGCTGAGATATGAGGCTGACTGGTCCGAGTCTTAGAATGGGAGAGAAATAACGTGGTTCAGTGCCTTGCAGATCATGAAGTTGCATGGAAGAAATACAAATCTTAAAACATGCGTCGCAGATCCCAATAGATACCGATCGGGTTTCTCGGTGTTGATCCTGAACATCCACCATCGCACAAGTCTAATTTTTTGTGTCTGATAACAAGCTCCTGGCAATGCACCTAACTCCGTCTGCCTCTCACCAGACTCTGCGGCCGCGTAGTTTACAACAGCACAAGCTTATCTCGTCGCGGCCGCTCAGCTCTTACTCGAGCTCGATCGTTCCGGGCGGTTTCGAAGTAATGTCGTACACAACCCGACACACCCTAGGTTCACGTCAATAAGAGACCGGTGATTAGGAAGAATGACAGCAATCGGAACGTGCATGAGAAATGGAACGGGACTGGTGTGGGGTTGAAAGAGCACGTACCCATGGACCTCGTTAACGATCCTGTTCATGACGCGCTGAAGGAAATCCCACGGGAAGTTGTACGCCTCAGCCGTCATGAAATCTGTGGTGGTTACAGCGCGGAGCACCACGATCTATGAAATCGTTAGTTAAAGAGCATGGGCGCGGGTATAGTCGATATTCATACATAACCGTAGACTCTCCTATCACCCATCACACCAACGGCGCGGCTGGGGTCGACAGCGGCATAGGCTATTAAGCACGTCAGTCAGTGGTTCTCATTTGTGCATTCAAGGCAGCAGTGAACAGACCTTGGGAAATTTCATCATAAATCCCCGCCTTGCGGATCTCAGTGATGAAGATCTGTAGTAAGCCACGGTCAACAAAGCACGGCCACCGAAATCAAACGACGGCCGAAATGCTCACGTGGTCAGCCTGGCGGGCAATTTCCACCTTCTCGGGAGTGACCTCTCCAAGAATTCGGACGGCAATACCAGCTGATAAGTGTTAGTGTCCATATTGTTCGCAATTTCAGAAAGGAGCGGTCTGCCATACGGCCAGGGAAAGGATGCTGTCACAGAAATCGGTCAGCAGATAGCACGCCATGGACGAATCAACCGCAGACATACTCTCATCACCAGCTCCTCGCGGATCCCCAGGGCACGTCCAAGCGCTATGAAACATGTATTAGTTGTTTTCCCGGAGGTAGTGGAGGGGTGGGGCCCAAAAGCGATGTTTGAATTTTGGCGCGCCACATACCGCGGACTTCATCCTATTCGGCCGTCAGTAGGGGTGAGGCCAGGGAACAACTTAAGCGACAAGCAGGACAAACCTTATACAGGGATCGAAGAGGTTCAATAAGCTTCAGACCCTGTCCATTGGCCATCCGCGCGGGGAGACCACCACTTTGAAGCTTCGGTTAGCACCAATTAATCTGGGGAAGGGGGGGGGTGGGCCTGAGGGGGTTGTTGTGGAGAAGCGTACACGTTGTGGTGAGTCTGTGAAGAAGTAAGACCTGTCAGTGCCCCTGGTCCCCATACATCATCCTCTAAGGGAAACTCGGGTGGTTTGGGGGCCAGAAAAGTGGCGGGACTAACCTTGATAGTGGCCGATGGACCCTTGAACGAAAGCGACTCGATCACATCAGGATAGAGTGTGCCTCTGTTCACGGTCATTAGTCAAGGAACAAGGTCGGTTACTTGGGTCGACGGAAACTCACTGCATGAAGAACTCGATCTTGCCAGTCTTGGACGTGTCGTTGACGGCCGCCTCTTCGATCTATGACTGGTCAGATGTCTTTGTCAAACCTTGAGAAGGGAGGTGGGCGAAATACCTTGATTGCCTCCTCCTCGAAAATATCGATGAACTTGCCACCTATTGATGCAATTAATTTCGAAACAGCCCATTTCCATTTGGCGAAGATCCGGCGAAGCCTGACTCCGGGCGGAAAATTGACGGAAAAAATCCGGCGCCGTGGACATACCAATGAACTTGCGTTTTTTCTTTGATAATAGTCAGCGACGTTACTGCGGATAGAACCCTTTCAAAGGAGGCAGGGCCCATTACGAAACGCTTACCTCCGGATCATCAATGCCCTTCAGGCCATCAAGGAAACGTTCCGAAGCATCAACAACCGTGAGGTTGATGCCAAGCGCCTCCGACAAGTCCCTTTGGACCTGCTCGCATTCGTTGAGGCGCATAACGCCGTCTGATTCGATGCCGTTAGCCCGGGTCAGTGTTAATTTGAGACCTGCAGGATTACGTACTATTGACCAACACGGCCCAAAACCTGGAGCCAATCGCTTCTTTCTAAACGTCGCCATTTTCAGCTCCCATCTCCAGGACCGAGGGCGCGGGAACGTACCATGAGCTTTGCAGCCACTGTTGAATCGACGCCACCACTCACTGCAGCCAAAACCTGCCCCTTTTCACCGACAGTGTGGCGAATCTGGGCAACCGCTTCTTCCAGAAACTTTTGCATGGTCCACTCTTGCTTGCAGCTGCAGATACCGACAGCAAAATTTTTTAAAAGCTCGGTTCCATTTTGGGTGTGCGTGACTTCCGGATGGAACTGCAGGCCGTAGATCGGCTTGTTCTCGTGTCCGATGGCGGCATATTCCGAGTTGTCGGATGTTGCAATGGTGTGAAAGCCCTCGGGAAGCTTGGCGAGCTTGTCGCCGTGGCTCATCCAGACACGCATGGAGTCTTCGAGGCCTTGGAAGAGGCGGTCAACGTGGTTGTCGATGGACCGAGCCTTGAGCATGGCATGGCCATATTCGCGGTGGGTGCCAGCAATGACGTTGTCCTGGTTGAGACGGTAGGCAAGCTCCTGCATGCCATCTGCAGCACACCCCCCCAAAAAAGTCAGTTCCGAGCCGCGTGATTGGAATTGGTTACAGAATGTCTGTTGGGCACGTACAGCAGATGCCCAGAATGGGCACGTCTAAAAATGAGGTAAAAAACCAAACGGTCAGTCAAAAACACATATGCACCATCCGTGAAGGGCAGGAAGATTACTCAAGTCAAAGACGGCGGGGTCAACATGAGGGCTGCCCTCTTCGTAAACCGAATAAGGACCACCAGAGAGAATAATGCCCTTGGGCGTGAACTTGAGCTCCGAGAGCTTTTGGGTGCACGGCAACATCTCCGAGAAGACATTGAGTTCACGGAGACGGCGGGTGATCCTTTACATAAGCCATGGTTAGTGTGCTTCAACTAGATGGGTGAAGACGAGAAGTTGAATTATGAGCTGAGAGCTCGAGTTGCCATATCGGGTGGGGCGGGGCGAACAGTCGACATGGTCTTTTTTTTGAAGGCATTTTGAGTTGATTCATAACGACCACGGCCCGCAACAATTTTTTGTTGTTGGATATGGCGAAACTGTGATGGGCACAACATACAGGTGAGTGTATTGGGAGCTGGTGAATATGATGTAGTCAGTCTCTGATCCTGGCTTATATTGGCCGGGGTTTTGACGAGTGTTGCTCACCCGAAATCGAGCACCAGAATGGTGTCGAAGGCGCTATGGGCCATCGCCTCGCCTGGTTCACCAGCCATGGTAGATACTCGTTCCTTTTGGTGTTTATTCTTGCTTTTCCCAGTGGACGATGTTCGGGGGCAGGTGTTTCCAAAAACAGAGCACGGTGTACTGGGGGCAGGTGTGAGTGAGTAAAAAATTTGTGAGCCTATCAATTTTTTGGACTGAACGGGCCGGCGCTCGGAGGGGTGGGCTTTGCGGGCTTCATGCCTGAAAAGCCAGGTTAACTCCACCGGGCAGCCGCTTCATCACGGTGCAACAGCGTTAAACATGCGGCCCCGCTTAAAACCTGGACATGGGACGTTCCAGGTGGTCTGATCATGGATGCCCGGATGGAAGTTGCATCCTACACTACTGATGCTGTACCCGAACCTAACAGTGCCCGCTTCCAGGGCCCGCCGCCTCGGGACGGGACTGACATGGACCCCTCCATCCATCCGGGCCTCGTCAACGGTTCTCGCGACCGTCACCGCGAAAACCCCCCACAAGCCACGCCCCCGGGCTCCCCTTTGACCGGCAACTTTGGACCGTGCCGGCGCGTCAACCATGAGGAGATCGGGAATGTCATCGAAAACACAATCAAATCAATAATGGGCCGAACCGAAGAGGCCTAGCGTTGCCTAGTGCTGTCCATCATCCGACCCCCATTCACCAGGATGACGATGATCTGCAGAGGGCGCCTCCACGCGGGTCTCGTCGTGCCAGATTGGCGGGGACTAACTACGCGAACCTCGCTTGTCGACGTTTCTTCGTCTGGCGACCTATGATTCTTGAAAGGACAGATATGTTCCTCCCCGGGCTCGCCTCAAGCTCACCTAGTCTTCGTCTCCCAGGGTTGCGCCACGCGAGTTGTAAGAGACGAGACGCGAGACCCCAGTTCCGTTGTTTGGTCACCAATGGGCATGTGGGGAACAAGAGCCGTGAAATGGAAATTGGCCTTAAATCAGTCAGTCGCCCCGGGATGTGCCACAGCCGGAATTGGCCTGTTTTACAGCACATGCACGCTGCAATCAACGGCTGGCAACAACCAGCCAAAACAACCAACAGGCGGTGTTGAGCGACACGTAGAGCGCGGATTTCCCGCCGTGAGGAAATATTAAGACGCGGTGCACAGGAGGCTGCTCCTGCGAGTGTGGCGCCACACAACCACCTAACTCGGTTGGCTCGCGCGAGAAGGTCGTGTGGGCCGCCCCCGCCCGCCCGAGAAGGCTCCTTCGGGCACCTGGCAGCCATGGTCGGTTTCTCTCAAATGCCGGGAACCGCCACGATTGGCTCCTGCAAACAAGGTTATGGATCAGGGTTCCAGCTCATCGTGGTCTCGCACATGGGTCCGAAGGTTGGGGGCAGCACTGCATCGCCCAGGCGTCCAGGGCCGGGAATGTCGGGGTTTTGCGAGCTGAGAAGTTGCCCTGCCATGTGCCTGGCCAGAGAGAGATGGCTTCATATGTCCATGGTCTCCCGATTCTTCGTCCCCGACCTCCCCGTCTAGAACCGAAACGACCACCCCGACCCGGCGCTGCGGAAGCGAGCGGGAGCCAGGAGCCAAGATGAAGAACAGGCAAAAGTCCAGAAGCGGCTGCCGGACCTGTAAGCTGAGGCGGGTACGTTGTCGTCTTGTTCTTGCAAATCGCGCCTTACACACAGTACACGCTACCCCTACCGCTGCAACATGGAGATGGAGACGAAGCACCTTGAACCGAACCTTCGGCGGGTGGGGATCAGATCCACTGACCTCTTGAGCAGCTTAGGTGTGATGAAACCAAACCCGGATGCCGGAACTGTGCCCAAAAAGGTTTCGAGTGCCCCGGTTATCAACAGCGTCTCCAATGGTCCACCAAACACGAAAGGGCGACAACGACGACAGCAACAAAAACAAGCGGCCCCGCCAACTTCACGCAACTTGTCACTGCCGCTTCGGAGTCCATTGCCTCCACGCCTCCCACGACGACAACCGCTGAGAATTCCGGCCTGGACGGAAATCGACCTGCGTTGGTCGTCCCACAGCCTTGTGACAAACTTACGCTCCCCGCCCCATCTTTTCTCACACCGTCCGCTTCGGCATCGCCAACAGCAACAACATCCCCATCTTCTCTTTCTCCATCATCCTCAACAGCATCCCCCCCAGCTCAGTACGAAGACCCGGCAACAGGTACCGAAAGCTATGTGACTTCAGCACCTCCCCCACTTCCCCCAACAGGTACTGGTGCCGTCATCAGAGGAACCCCGAACCCCCTCGGCCAGGCTCTCGACGTCGCCATGTGCCAACAGGTCGTTGACATACCGAGTTTTCTGATCAATCACTGGTTCGGTTCAGTCTGCTCCTCGTGGTCTGCTCTCGACTCTCCAACCAACCCATATCGGAGACTGACAGCAGACCTCTGGTCCGGTTCAGAACCAGTCTTCTATACCCTACAAGCCATATCAGCGGCCTCCCTCGTCGAACGCTTACCGGGAGTCATGAGGGACACGGCCCGGTCCGCGTCGCGAAAAGCATTCGACTCGATACGAAAGGAGCTCATCATCAGACCTAGTGGCTCTCAACGCGAATTCCCCACCGCTCTCCTCCTCTCTTTGTTCTGCATGAGCTCATCCATGTGTTGGATGGAAGCAAGTCAACTCGGTCAAAAATTTGTGAGGCAAGCGCGCGAGGTGTTGAGATCATTGGACACGCAGTCGCTAAGCAACGAGTCTCGAGAACTTCTCAATTTTTTCAATGGTTGTCTCGTGTACGAGGAGATGCTTCGCAGTGTCGTGAGCGAGGAAGAGGTGGACTTCCAACACATGCTCAGTTGGCCTGAGCCAACCACCCCGGGTCCCCTCACGCCGGCCGTTCCACATCCTTGGAGTGGTGTCTCTTCGGATATCCTGAGGCTTTTTGGCAAAGCTGTCGCACTTTGCCGGAGGTCTCGTATTCGGTGGCGCATCAATGGAGGAACGAGTTATCGAATACTTCAAGGCGCCATGAAGGATATTGAGGAAGCCACGGCGATGGAGAAACGCTTGTTGTTGATCCATGTTCCACAACTTCCTATCGGCGTCCAGCCTCTACAAACCACCGACCGGTCCCGAGATCTTTATCACCTAACAGAAGCATATCGCCTATGCGCCATTTTACAGCTCTACGAAACATTTCCCGACTTGAGCTCTCAACGCATTCCAAACGCCAAAGAGACCGATGAGTTCATCGCCTGGAAGACTCTGATCTCTCCCCTCGCCCTGCACGTAACGGATGTGCTCAGCAAAGTTCCGCCCGGGAACTTGAGCTGTATTCAACCGCTCCTCTGCCTCTGCGCTGGCAGTGGTTTGAGGTATGATCACAAAGTCCCACTCAGAACCGGACCCCAAAGTTATCTCTTGAGCACCGGCCCCACCGGGCAACCTCTGCCAACCCCTGACGCCATTGAACCCGGCCTTCCTTCCCCCAGTCTTAGTGTTCCGGAAAATGCGATCAAGACATCACAAGCCCGACAAACCATCATGGAGCGTCTAGAGCATCTCGAGACCTGCCTACCCCCTAAACCGATCGGTGTAGCGAAGCAACTGATGCGAGCGGTTTGGAACGCCTACGATCAAGAGACCGAACTTCCACGGCGGACACACTGGCTTGATGTGATGAGTTCCACCGGGCTGCACAGCCTGTTCGGCTAAACCGGCGTTTCAAGCGTCTTACTAAGCCATACTATCGCGAAGCCTCCCATAAGGTTTGCGCGAGCTTGCAGTTTCTCGATGGGACCCAAGCATCACTGGGCAGAATGCATGCGTAACCTGCCTTGCCGGCCCACAACATGGCTCTCAGCCAGAGTAAACGGTTCGGCTTTCTTTGCCTCACCATCTTTGTCACGATGCTAGACTATCGCCGTTCTCTGGACGTTACGGTTCGTCCATCGGCCCCCGCCTGTGCGGCCAAAAGTTAACTTCTTACTTTCCAGCCCCATGTTAACACGTCGGAAAACACACTTGACCACAAGGGACCTGGATCAATACTCCGGCATCGGGCATACTAATAACTCAAAGAGCCAGGGGAAGAGAGCTGATGGCGGGATAGAGACGAGTGCCTGGCGTGATTCACCAACATGGGGCCATGCTATTGTGAACAAATCTCATCCCTCGTCGTGATCGGGAAGAGGTCAAAACACATCTAATTGTGGAAATGAAAACAAGCTTATTTGAATTTACCTCCTTGGGATATGGGATACAGGTTGATTTCACGGTTTTCACCTCTCAGATTCAGTTTAACACAGGTTAGCAACAAATGATGGAAGGATAGATACTAAGACTGCCTTGAATCCTTGCTATGTTTCTCATGGCCTTTCCCCTAACATCTGCTGCCTATTCGTTCAAATCAGAAACAACAATAACTTTCTTCCTTCAACCACAACATAATTACGTCTCAATCATCGTGACCGCTAGCAAAACCCTGTTCCGTTGCCAATGCCAAGGTTAAGCCCCGTACGTCACCAAACGACGACCGGAGGCATGCGAGAACCCGGCGGAACGGGACAGCTGAGCATCATGCGGGGCAAGGGCCATGCGTGGCCTGCTCCCAGTCTACCGGGTGCGCGGCCAGGTGCAAAACTAGATCTTGATCCAGCAAGTAGCCGATGGGGTGCATGCAAGAAAATGCAATGGGAATCCGGGGCGTTAGGTACCAAGAAGAGGATGTACATACATGTACGCTCAGGGCTGTGTTCACTCCAGTCGAGGTGTACACTACCTTGACCTAAGAACAAAAAAAAACGATTCTATAGGAATGAATAGCACGCCTCGGAGTGTTCTGTCTTCTGCTTGCCTAGATTGGATTGGACGCCTCGATCTTGACAAGCAGGCATTTCACCCCGAAAGCTTGTTTTCACAGCCAAGCCCTTGGCCCGTTTTCCAGTTTCAGCTGCCATCTGTGCGCCACTCCGCTACCTTACATGAACGTGTACTACCTCCACGACTTAATCCTGATTGCGAGCCTTCAAAAAGCCAATCACATCGCTTCGGGAGCACCCCCGCAGCCGACGCCGCCCAGATTGTCGGGTCCGGCAGTCAGAAATGTGCTACTCAATACTGCAGATAATTGCGTGACACGGAAAATGGCGAGCAAGGAACAATGGGGCATTCCTCCCTTGCCGTTCGCTTGCCGTTCGCCTAAAGTCGAGTCTAGGCCCCCTTGAAAACGTGATTTGTCTTACCCCAGGTGAGCCAGGCATAATTATCCAAGGCATCGCGAACAACTGATTACACGTACATCTAACCGAGCGGTCACAATATCATTTGAGTTGTTGTCTCGAGGCCGGCGCTAGCTCCGTTAGGTCCCCAGCGACCTAGCTCATGCACTTCGACGAAATGGGAGCTTCTCCCCGCCACAAACATTCGATCATGGCGGATGCGCATGCGGGTTCCAACCTTCATGGCAAGCAAAAACTGGGATAGCTTATTTCCTGCCTAACTCGAGGTAAATCATGGAGACCCTTGCTGTGGCCGAAAGAAGCGGCAGACTAAAATCGATAGCTTGAGTCCAATCTGTCAACATTCGATCCCATCTTAACGGATTTTGACGATTATAACTGGAATCGCTGTTGAGAAGCCTAATATCCATCTGATCTTGGTATTATTTGTTCAAAGTCTTGTTTTAAGCTACCGATGGCCTGATTTATTCTTGTTTGTCTTCTTTCCTTTTGTAGAAGGTGGGGCATCTAGGAACTTGGCCTGCTGCCTGTTTTTGGCCACAGTGAGGGTCGTCAACTTCGCGGCGGGGTTTGGAGAGTGAAATCATTGCCGGCGAGTCTTCCGGGTGCCACGTACCACTGTTTCTAGCCCTGGCGGGTTGGGATAGTTTCGGGAACTTACAAGTGGGAGTTTTGTTAAAGGGATGCTTCAACGCTGTAAAGGGGGATCAGAAGCACCCAGTTTTGCCTCCGACGCAATAGTTATGAGAAAAAAAATGGGGAAACGTGACTCAGAAAATGTAAACTAAAGAGCACGTTGTTGTTGTAGAGATATGTACTAATGTCAGCCCCTTAAATCCCTTAAAGGTGTCATTCCAGAGCGGTAGTCGTGATGCATGAAGTCCAGTATTGCGGATATTGACTTGCGGAATCCAAAGAACTCGAAAGGCAAGGAAACGCCATGGGGCTGAAGAATTTCACTCCAAATTCTTCAAAATCTACGAAGATGGTGGCGCGGTGTCGGATGAGATCCAAAGCAGTGATATTGCTGCGGTGCACGAGCTTGAGGCCGCCCCGACGAATACTCAGAGCCCTAAGAAGCTTCAGGCGAAGAAGGAACAACTGCCAAAGTCGCCGTTTGGCGATGACGATGATGATGCACCTGCTGCCGAGGATCCTACAGCAGGAATAAAGAAACAAGAAACAAGAGAGAAAAAAGGCAAAAGCTCACCACCGGGCCTTATCTCGATGATAAGGCCCGATGGTTACGAAAAGTCCACGGGAGGGCTTTTGCAAGACTGGGGATCGAACCCCCAGCCTCTCGAGTCGGGGCCGTCCCAATGCTGCCTGGGCCACACAGCGTGTGTGGCCCTTGGGACGTCGGTGGAAGTGAGAGCGGAAAGGGGGGTTATATACCGTTAGTGGAAGGAGCGGGTTTCGGGTTCTTGGTGGAGGATCGATGGGGAATTGAAGAACAAAGAATTGGGATGTGAATATAGAATGGAAATCAAGTTATATTAGATGAAAGAAGAGAACCCAACCAAAGCTGCAAACCGTGCCCGGAAGCCGAGTAGCTCTTGGATTAGATTCGGATCGAGTTTCTGCCCCTCGGATGATATCAGGTCTGTTTGAAAATCATTTGAATTAATTGTAACTATTCCTTAGAAACCCTGACTTGCCTGAACCATGGGCTGTCTGTATCGGGCCTACGGTCGTTGGAATCGGTCAAGATAACTGGAAAGTATGAATCATTATTAACGGAATGCAAATTACACGATCAAGGAAAACATGACCGTTCTTGATTAAACCTAGGTCAATAGGTAGTTCTTGATCTCTCATTTATTCAGCCTGAATCTTCTAGAATCGAAGATCGGCCGACCTGGCATTGGGTATTGAGGGGGACTTGAGAGGGCAGTCACGACCCCCCGTTTAAGCCGCGCGCTTGCCGAGTATTTCTGCACGTATTTCATAGCCTCAGGGCAAGGTTCCTGAGTCACATACATCTCGAATTGGTCGAACCTGACACTGACGACGTGCTCTTACCATATTTGACTAATATCTTCTGTCGGCGTTCGTTAAACAACCACGCTCACCACCTCAGTTGCCGGATATTTACTCAATGAATTGTAGCACTATGGATCTAGGCATTAGAAATAATCTTGTTGCGCCAAAAGAGCCCGTTCAAGGCCACCACTGGCTGCCAGAAACTGACGGCCAGTCTTCGATTATCACACCTGACTTGTATGCAAGGCAAAATGAGCTGACAATCGACAGTCTTCAGTTCGACTGGGATCTTTTGTCCAGGCTAGACGCGGGTATTGATTCCACATTAGTTGAATTGGAACCTGGACAGCTAGTTAAAACCGCGGAGTTGCGAGAATGTCTGTTCCGTGCCATCATTCCCACTGCAGAAAAGTGGCAGTTACCGGCCGCGTCATTACAACTTTTACAGCAAGTTTGCAAAATATCCAAACGAGAAGATTTAATGATGGAGTGTATCTCGCGGCAACACTTCCTAAAGACGCAACAGCCCTGGAAGTTGGAAGTCCCCGCATTACGCAGCGACCACGATGCAGACTGCCGTCAATACCGAAGGCAGGTGGAGGCGTTTCGCCGGTGTCGTTTAAGAGACCATGGCTTGCCGCTGCATCCCGCTGATACCGAACGAGGGGAAGGGCTCGAGTTTCCTGCGTCACTAATCCAGAGGGATAAAGAACGAGTGGATGGCATCGGGGCCGAAGGCTTGAGGGTGACGAAAGTCACATTATTGTATCTCCAAGAAACCCTGACGCTGAATTGGGAAGACGACATCCGGCAAGACTTTCTCAAAGAACCACCAATTTACCAAGACGTAAGGAGAATGCGGGTGATCTTTTATATTGAAGAGCTAACGCCGTGCATAGATCGGGGCCACTGAACATTTAACCCCCCCGCTGAGTCCCTTGATCGCAGCATTACCAGACCCTTTTACGCCTGATCTTGAAGTTTGCCAAGTGCCCGAGCTCTCTGACTCCGAGTCCCGACTTAGTGAGGACATCAAAAAGGCTGAAGGCAAGATTTTCGAATCCGAAATCGAGTTTTGGGAGGGTGTGATAGCAACAGATACCACGCCGGCGGGAGACGATGATATCGACATATCGACAGTGATAAAATGGGGAGATTTCAACTCTCCCGCCTCGCCGACCTCCCCTACACCGGTTTCTAGAGATCTCAAGGTCGATGTTCCCCTCCTTCCATGGAGTGACAATAATGATGGCTTGCCAAGATCGGGGGCTTTCGTTTCTAACGAACTGGCCGCTGCAAAAGAATTAGTAGTGAGCAGTGATACGATGTCCGGTTCCGATGGCCCAACTGGTCAACTTGTCACCCTCTTTCAGGAGGGCGCAACTAAGGTGATGAGAAGCGCGGAACAGGAAAAGCTCCAGCCGCTCTACGCTAAGGCTAGGGTGTCGGTACCAGTCTTGGACTTCTCAGTTCCCATTCCTGAATGGGAACAGGGGATCTGGGAAACTTCGGAGATGTTCCGATACATTCAAGATAATACAGACGTGGACTGGCGAGGTCCTAAGTGGCCACACAACAGAAATGTGGAACAAAGGATGATATGGACACCTGTGGCTCATATGAAGGACAAAACGCTCACAGTAGAGAAGATTGAGGTTCACGCCGATGATCTCGAGTTGTTTCTAGAGCGGGATCGCAACGATGAGGTTCTCACGAGCGTCGATTACATCCACAAAGAATCAGGCTTAGCCAATTTCCGCATCCCAAACGCCGAACAGGACGGTGTCGATTGCCTGGAACCGCTTGGCTTGGTGGAGAGGAAAGCATTAGAAGTGCCTCAAGATAGGTCCAAGAAGGAAGGTGTACCGCTCGTACAACAGCCGACCCGGGACTTGGATGAGGGCCTGTCGGCGGTTGCTCGGACCACGGTTCGGGACCCTGAGGACTTGACTTTGCTCGTCAGCAAAAGAAAACGGCTTATCGACGAAGCGGCGGACCGAAAACTATCCAACAACGAGCGAAAATGCGGGCTCGCCACTCCTCTCAGTATTTCAGCTACGGATATGGTCGATACGGCCCTGGTTCCGTCCACGAATGTCCTGCGGGGTTTCATGAACGAATACACGGATTTCGGTCCCCTTGTCGACAACTTTTGTGACATGAACTTCCCCAAGAAGCCAAAGCTTACCCACAGTCCTTTCTTTGGGCCACCCGAAATAGCGCCAGCATCCTCCAAAGCAAAAGAGGAAGAAGCGGCAAGGCTCATGCCCCCTCCCCCTAAACCCGTTCCTGCACTTGCTCCGCCCATCAACCCACCACAGTCAGTCCACCGCGCCATCGTGTCCTCCACTGTTTCCCAGCCTTTCATACAACACGTCAAGGCTTTCCTCCCGGCCGTCGAGCTGATACCTCGGATCTACGAAAAACACCGTCCACCGGGCTGGACACCCGGTATGCCTTCCCCAAACCTTGACGAAGCCGACTTCGTCGTGACCCCATCCACCGGGATCCTCCTCACGACGATGGTCCAGCTGCGCCAAAAGGCGCCACCTTCTGCTGGCGTCTACAGTACTGCCACCAGCACCAACGCTGCTATGGCCGCCAAACCTCACAATTTACCTGGCTTTTATCGGATCATTGAAAACGTCGCGGCCCGCCATGAGCGTCTCCTCGTGCTCGTCTCGGAAAGTAACAAACATAGCGAGACCGCTAGCCCGCTCTCTCAATCCGACGCCCGCTCCTTGACCGAGTTCCAGGGGCTTGTGGCTGGGATTCCTGGTATCGTGCAGCTTGTGTACGTTGGGGGTGGAGTGGAGACGCTGGCAAAGTGGGTGGCGGCGGTAGTGTGCGAGTATCATGCAAGCGAAGGGGAAGAGGTGGCGCGGAAAGTGAGCGAGATGTTGTTGCCAGTGGAGACATCTTGGGAGGTGTTTCTAAGAAGGGCGGGGATGAATGCCTGTGCGGCGCAGGTAGTGCTGGGGACATTAAAGGTCCCGGCAGGTATACCGGCTGTCGGGTGCGGGGACGGGGGTGTGTTTGGGTTGCCGCGGTTTGTGATGATGTCGAGGGAGGAGAGGGTCGAGTTGTTTGCACAGATGCTAGGGGGTCGGAAAGTTCTTGATCGGGTTAGCGATGTTCTCGACGGACCTTGGGAGAACTAAGCTACCGGGACTTAAGACGGAAAGGATTGGGGATAGATGTACCCTGAGAACGTGTGGGCAAGGACGTACGGGCGCGTGCTTCGTAACACACTCCTTGCTTGTATCTAGGCTTTGCTTCAGCCACTAGTCAGCACGAAACTTGGTAACATATAGACATGATCTAAACCACCTGATTCAATATGTTCGGACTTACCGATCTGAGATGGAAGTAATTTGCACGCTTGGTGTGAACAGCCACAGATATGGGTACAAGAGTACAAGACTCATGGGTATGATTCGCCATCATCAGAACCACGAGTTTCTCTACCTAACGGAGATGATTGCGTAGTTCCCAAGCTCCAAATCTTGAGGCTCGTCTCCCTGATGACAACGCGGGTTTTAAGGTTGCCACGTCGCACTGGGCTTAGGCTTTCCTCCGAGCTAGAGACACTCGGGCTCCCGGAGCTATTGTCGGAGCCACTATCGTCCGCATCATCTTCACTGTCATCATCACCGTCGCTCCCGCTCCCACCCCTACTCCCGTTGCTATCGCTACCACTGCCGCTACTCCTACTATCACTGCTGCTGCTACTATCGCTGCTGTCATCATCATCCTCATCATCCACAAAAGTCCACGCACCCGAGCAGGTCGCCATCACCGACCCACTAAGATGCATAGCCGTTGCTCCCACCGCAGAATCGTGCGCTTCCCAGTCCCAAGACGGCTTAACAGCGCCCTCCTGATTTCCCACCCCCTGCCAAACCACCACCCCCCCTTTCTTCGTCCCCGCCCATACTTCAAACCCGCCTGCCCCCTCACTCCCCGGAAACACATCACAACTCAGTCGCTGGTTCGTCGTCCCATCCCTCCCTTCCAAAGTCCCAAGCAACCGATGCGTGCCCCGCAAATCGTACACCAACAGCCCCTTTGCCCCCCGCTCGTTAACCACGAGATACCGCCCACATGGCGACCACGCCGTTTGCATGATGCCACGCCCGCCAATACCAGCCTCCCGCGCCGCGTCGGCGACACTCCAGGTCGCGACGCACTCCCCGCTGCGCACGAGGTCATACAACCCGAGGTTCCGCGTCCACGTCCCCGCTGCTAATAATCCCCAGCCGCTGCCATCCTCCCCGCTAGGCTGCGCGGCCAAGGCAGATACCGTCCCGCGCATACCCACCCCGCCTCCCTTGGCGAGGTGGCGCGTGGATGGGATGGTGGGAATGGTGAGGAGGGGGTCGGGGACGAGGGAATCGGGGCGGGAGACGTCGAAGAGGGCTATGCGGTTGGTGGTGCCGGCGATGAAGTGGGTGCCTGGGGCCGGCCAGAGGAGGGAGGCGATGGGGAGGTAGGCTTCGGTTTCGTGTTTGATGAGGCGAAAACTTGCGAGAGGTGGGGGTTGGAGGAGGAGGTGGTGGTGGTGGTGGCGAAAGCCATCGTCGATATCAACATCGTCACCGTCGTTATCGGCCCCATGCGTGATGCTGGTTGATGGGGAAGGGGGTGAAGGGGGGAAGGCATGGTGGAGGTGGATTGGATGATCGGTGCTCGCGGTCAGGAAGGTTTGAGTTGATGGATGCTCTAAAGCAAAGTAGGGGCAAGGAGCGATGGCGCTGGTCGGTTCTGGGAGGGCCAGAGTGCTATGAGGAACGAGTTCCACGGGGGAGGATCGTGGTTCAAGCAGGGACTCTGGCAATACAAAGGTGCAGATGCGGTTAGAAAAGGAGGAGGTGAAGAGAGTTGTCCCATCGGCGGACCTGTGAGAAGTAAGTCGGAGCTCGGGACGACTCGGAAGTCGGGGCGCAACTTACCACTGAACGCTCTTGAAGAACGAATCGCGGACCCGAACGTCGTTCTTTGGGGGTATCGACCCGTTAGGGTTGGTGGTCGATGCCACGAGGTTGGCTGAGAGTGAGCTCATCTCAGGGGGTTCCAGGCGATGAAGGCATCAAGGCATTCGCTCTTAACTGTATTGTGTATGGTTGGCGGCCCTCGTCGTGGTTGTCAAAAAAAAGATGCACGTTGCAAGATGTGAAATAACGTCGATGCTGCTTGCAGCTTTGATAAGTACTCTAGCATACAGATTGTGTGGGAAGGTACCTGAAAAAGATCCGCAGGATGAGGCCTGAACGGACCCACACGCTAACGTTAAGCCAACGCTCTGGCCCAGTCTGCCGCAGGGGTGCCTGCGGCCCCATCCGCTCGGCAGTGGGGACTGGGGAGCTCCGAGTGACCTTCAAGCTGCAGGTCCACGACCCTCCATCATCAACTGACAACGCGTCAGCCCAACAACGACTTCGAGACTCCGGCCTCAAGTCGGGTTTCATCATAATTCCCATCTCGGAAGACAATTTGCGATCGCCTTCGATCAATGTATAACCCTATAAATCCGTCAACATCCGCGTAGCGTCTCCCTCACTTGTCAAAATGGACGCTTTGATTAGCACCGGCCGCTGCGAGGAGCTTCGCGACCTCAGCGTGGTGAACCTCATCGTGTCAATGTGCGACTCGCCCAACGACGCGCAGTTATCGCAATGCTAACCCGCCGCAGTCTTCTCGTAATTGGAATGCTTATCAGCTACCTCCCCCAACACGTACGCATCATCAAGCGCCGCACCTCCGAGGGCATCTCGCCCTACTTTGTCCTGCTCGGCACCACATCCGCGACCTCGGCGTTTGCCAATATCCTCCTTCTCCCGAAGTCTCGTCAGGATGTTGCCTGTTGTAAGGAGCTCGAGGCATTCCACTGCGTGGCCGGTTTGCTTGGGATTGCTCAGCTCGGCGTGCAGTGGATATGCTTTACCTTCATGTAAGTACCTTGCTGGCCGGAGAGCGTCTTGGCACCGAAGCTAACCTGGACCGAAATAGCTTCGTCCTCTTTCTCGTATTCTTTCGATACGGTTCCAATAACGACGACGATGACCACGCCGACGCCGACGATGAACAAGACACGGGAGTTGAGCGTCCACGGTGGCAGACTGCGCTGGTCGTTGCGTCACTGACGCTGCTGCACGGCCTGGCTGTCATTGTTATCACGGGAATCTTGTCGACTCTGGCGAAGGAACATCTCCCTACCTGGGCTAACACCCTCGGTGTCATGGCTGCGATTCTTGCTGCTGTGCAATACATACCGCAGATTTGGACAACATACAATTTGAAGCATGTCGGCAGTCTGAGCATCCCCATGATGTGTATACAGACTCCCGGCGGCTTCGTATTTGCGGCCAGCCTCTTTGCTCGGCTCGGCTGGGCTGGCTGGAGCTCTTGGGGTATCTTCGTTTTGACCGCCACGATGCAGGGTGTCTTGCTCAGTATGGCAATCTACTACGAGGTCCAGGCCCACGCTAGCAGTACCGATCCCTCGAAGCCGCAAACAAACGGACTCAACCACGGCACAACCCGCCATACGTCTGATGCGCGCTCTAACTTGCAGACAATCCTCGATCGTCAAGACAGCGGCGCAGCGACGGATACCACCCCGCTCTTGAGAAGCGGTGGAGGTGGAGATTCTCACCAGAGTTACGACACAAATCGGCGTTAAAGGGGCTATAAAAGGGTTGGACATATGCGTAACTTAAATCTATCCTCCGTATTGATTTATTCTTGGCCAAAGTTCTCTTTGTTTTACCTGCATTCAGCGCAGAACTGTCAAGTTGCCTATTCCGCTCATGTCTGCTCATTGGGATCGGATGACATGACAGGGGTTGCCGTGGAGTTGAAACGCCCAAGCGAGGTTATGTGGTGACATTCGAGGTCAGCGACAGATGTGGCAGTTCGAGGGGTATCAGAGGTTCTGCATGGCATCGTATGTTTTAGCCCAGGTGAGCGAGGCGTCTTTTTATTCGTGCTCAACGAGCTAACGCCTTCTGAGCAGATGGAGATCCCGATATTCAAAATTCTCACAGCATATTGTCTTGAATACCCATTGCCGTGACATCGAGCTCCTCTTGATCTGTTCGTTTTGATAATAGGACGGAGTTTCCCAACCAACAAAAGAAATCACCGATAACCCGTATCCACCATCAACCTCCTTGATTCCCAACCCTCTTGAACGCTCATATCCTAAACCGCATTTCTTTGGGCGGGGTGTCAACGCGGCGCCTAGATGCGCACGGTCGTAGTCTGTCACACCGTACCATAAACTGCAGCCGCAGCCACAATCGTCCGATCGCAACCCTCGGCAGTAAAAACAACCCGCAATCAGCGCTTTAGCAGGATGGCTGGAAAAAGCGGTCTTCAGGCACTCAGTGACCCCTTATTGTCTATCTGGGCTGTCAGGGGGTGCTTGGCTTGTTAGGCAAAATAGTTACTCGGAGCTTCACCTCTTGTTCAACGAATGGCGACAAACTTCAAACACCTCTGGATAAAGTTTTCAGCCGCCAACGCCCACGGAACGGGTTTGCCGGACATTTTCTGATCCAAACAAAAAATACTCTCCGGCTAGGACCCTTGTGTTTGCAGGGGCTCCAGCTCCCGTGCGGAAAGTTGCGGCTCGCAGAACCGATCTACACGCTGGAACACCATAGACTCTCCTTCGGGTTCATGCGAACGATTTAACCGCCACATTCAACTAGTACCCCTGGTCACCACTTCGATTCTTGCTCGGGCATTTCAGCCACACCTACGCAAAGGAGGCGTCTCTCCGTCTACCTAGCCGTGAGTGAGTGGGAGCCGCATTTCAAACCGCTTCGACCGGCTCACCCCAGCTTCTGTCGATCAAGCCCACCGTGCGGCGAGTGATGTGCCGGGGAATATGCATGTGTCTGGGGCTTTCCAGGCCACTTTCTTATAATCACAAGAATTGTGGTTCTCGTCGTCGTCCTAGAGCCTTGACTGAACTTTTTGGTGTTCTTTGCTGTTTACGGTTTTTATCCTCACTCGTGATGTCCATTGCGCATACTACCTGTCAACTTGGCTTGTACCGCTCTAGCAAAGGCCCAGCATATTGACTGCACGTTACTTACATCGAACGCCAACAGGCTTGGCCTCGCGATGCCGTTACAAGAGTTGCAGCACACCGAAATCATGGCGTTATTCAAGAGACAGCAAAATAGGGCGCCGTGTCCGGGTGGGAACGGGACCACAATAGGCAGCGTTCAAGAATTCACCACCCTCTGCAACACGGCACTTGATGGAGACGTTCTCATGCAACTCCCCGCCTTCGACTTTACGACCTGCGTCGACATTTGCTCCTCCTCTCACCCGAAATGTGACGGCGCAACTTTCTCGGGAGGACAATGCATGTTGATGGCAAACATACGCCGACAGAGCCAGCGGCGTCGAAGAACAAGAGACTCCGCCATCGCTTCATTCCCCAACGCCAGCTCGAACTGCGTAACGCTGGGCGGTTCCCAGCGAGCGCTAGGGACCAACTTCACCACTATGTGCGGGTTCATTATCAATGGCAGCGATATCGGCCAGAACTTTGCGCCCACCTTCCAGGACTGCCTGGGCCAGTGTGCAGCCACGCGGGGCTGCGCGGCCGTCTCGTATGACCCGAGCCTGAATCTGGGCTTCAAAAACTGCTACCTCAAGACCAACATCGCAAACCCAAACACCATCGCGGCCGACCGCCGCACCGACTCAGCCTTGGTGGCTGCCGCAGCGGCGGATCCGGCGTCTTCCTCTCCTCCTCCTCCACCCACCTCCACCAGCAGCCCTTCACCAGCACCACCACCACCACCTCCGAGTTCCAGCAGTGGTGGAGGAGGTGTGTTCTTCACCCCACCACCAGGGGCTACCACAAACCCGGCACCCCCTCCAACAACAACACCACCACCAGTCTCCGTGTCTATCTCCGCCACTACCGTTCTAGTCACCGCGCCAGCACCCTCAGAGATCTCGGAGGAATCATCACCCATTCCATCCTCTCTCTCCCTCCCATCACCCTCCGAGTCCACTCCATCCGCAACATCCACGACCTCTACGACCTCCACACCCCCCGTACTAAACACAATCCCCTTCATCTTCCCCATCCCCACCCCCAGTCCCAGCGATAGCACCGCACCCGACGCCTCTGGAAGTAACAGCAACACCGCTGGGACCGATACCTCCAACATGGCATGGGTCGCCGCGCCCGTGGTCGGCGGTGTCGCAGCCATCGCACTAGTCGCCGTATCCTTTATCATGCTCAGGCGACGACGGCGCGGGAACGGAGGGCAGGAGAAACGAAAAGCCTACCGTGGGGGGAGCGGCGGAGAACAGGGGTATTGGGCGGGTTTGATGGCGGCTTGTTTGCCGAGTTTGGGGAAGAGCAACAGGATGAAGGAGAGCCAGCGGTCGCGGGATGCTGCTGGTGTAGGGAGAGGAAGAGGACAAAGCAGAGCGGGGAATTTTGCGCAAGTGGAAGCTTTAGGAAGGAGGAGTATGGATGTTAGGGGTAGTGTGGTGGGGTTTATGACGGGGCGGCCGATGGGAATGGAGCGGTTGGAGGATATTGAAGAGGGAGAGGGGAGGACGAGTGGTGAGATGAAGAATGGTGGAGGTGCCAGTCGAGGCGAAGGTGTGGGACCGAAGGGGAATGGCAGGACGACGGAGTTGAGGGCGAGTTATAACGGGCTGGGACAGAATAAGTGGCCGCAGTGAGTTAAGGGGTAGTGATCTCTGGGCCGTGTAAGTGGGAGTCGTGTAAGTGGGAAAGGTGATGCAGAGGGTTAGGGTTCATGTTGTGGAATTGTAACTTGCTGTGTAAGTTTTGGAGCTTGTGATTTGCGGGCATGGAGTTGGAAGCGAGCTATGAAATTGAAACATTGACTTGACCTTTATCCCCTTCGCTTCGTCAGATGCGACATAGTAACAACTTGTCCGATTCATCATGACTGATGCTCTCCGGAAGCTGTCCCGGTGTTCCTCCCCCGCAGCGCCGAGGTTCAGATGCAGGGACCGCCGAAAGCGAGTTTCAGGGGGGGGCGTGCTTGCGCTGAGAACCCGATTGGCCCGCGTCTGGCGTGGGTGCTGGATGCGTCATGCCGGCGAGGTTCAACTTCCACATCTCCCGGAGACGTCTCGTACGGACAACACTTCTTAGGTGGAGGTTATGGGTTGAGGAAGATAATAAACGGATCATTTTTTAGTTCGGCTTTCTTCTCTTCCTTGTTTCTTCCCAATTTCTCTTCCATTTCCCCTTAATCCAGTCCACGTCCTCGAGTGGGAAATCCGGGGGCCCGCTCTGGTCGCTTATGTATCAGGGAGTCAGGGTTAGGTACAGCAGCCGTGAGGGTTCGCCACTTTCGACGTTCTCAACCCGAGACAACCTCCGCCGTAGCGCATTGCGAACCTCGCGCCTCATCATCCCGGACCCATCCCCATATCGTATCCGTCCCAATGGCTATCACGCGCGCCCCAACCGTCCACGACGACGATGAGCCGGGCGACTACCCCTCGCAGCCGTCTCAGCCGTCGCAGCCGTTGCAACACCAAGGCCCTCCCCCACCGACTCACCCCGCTCACCCCCCCAACACCCTGCACCAGCGCTCCCTCTCCGAGGCCTCGACAGTGAGCCTTGACATCGAGGCATGGACCGTCTCAGCGCTCGAATCGCTTAGCATTGCGCCCATCGCGCGCGGGACCGGGTCCGCCCTGTCCATTCCACTTGACGGTGCTGCTGCTCCGGTTTCGGGGGGCCGCAAAGGTGGTGATGGAGCGGTCGGTGAGGACGCGCATCATGCGGGCGCGGGCATGACGCTGCGCGGTGTTGTGTTTGATAGCAACGCGGATACCTATGGGGCGAACATCGTGCCCCCGCGCCGGCCCCCTTCTCGTCGCGATAGCATGCGCAAGCGTGATGCGCTGCTTAAGGGCAAGGAGGGGAGCCGGCAGCGGCGTCGGTGGGAGAATGGTAGGGCTCCATTTTCCATTCTGATATGGGAATAATGCGTCACAAGATTCTTACTTTTCTTCTTCTCCTACTTTTCTTCTCTAACATTTCTCCCCCCACAGACCGCCTCCTCCACGTTCCCAACGTCGTCCCGCCTCAGCCCTCTGACTGGGAAATCCACCCCACCCACCGCGTCCTCCCAACTGTGCCCTACCAGCTAGCCCAATATTGGGACAAAGGTCTACGCGAGCAGCATCTCCGCCGGACTAGCGATGGTACCCGCCGTCGTGGAGGCAAGGCTGCCCAGACGTCGTCGCCAGGCACCGCAGACCCCGAGCTCGGTCACGTCCCGCGTGACCTGCGCAACACAGCCAAGCGCACGCCCGCTGTCAAGTCCTGGTTGCGCGCTCTGGAAGAGCCAGTGCGTGCGTTTGTTGTTGAGCGTGGTTTGGCTGCCCCCCTTGCCGCTACTGCTGCTGCTGCTGCTGCGGCCGACCATGCGGCCGACGATAACAACAACGCCGCCAACAACAGCAGCAGTGACGAGACGGATCCGGACGACGAAGAGATCGTGTTTGTGGGCCGGCGCGGGCTGCGCACGCGTGACGGGAAGCCGCCACAAGCAGCGTGCCGGTTCAAGATGGCGCAACGACAGGTAGCTGGGCGGGCTGGGGAGGAAGAGGTGGGAATGGTGCTGGAAATGGGTGAGGATGATGGGAGGGGCGGAAGTGGGAATAGCGGCGGGGCTTTCAAGTATGTTTTCTTTTCACTCTCACCACTTCCCCTCTTTCTTCCATAACTTATTCTTGTCTTATTCCCACATCCTTCTAACATTTCCCAGACGCTGGCTCACGCACTCCATCTCGGATTATTATGGCCTCGACTCCAAGTCCGCATTAGTCGGGAACCCAGCCCGTCGCGTTATTTACGTTGGCGTGAAGCCTAATCCTAGGCCAAAGACGAAGCAACAACACGCGGCAGCTGGGGTTCACCATCACCAGTCACACACCAGCGAGCTTGGCAGACTGCCCGCCTTACCACCGCCTTTGTGGGAAATGTTTTAAGCTTAAAACTCCCGACTAGTTCTGGGTTTGAATAGCAATTGGGTGAAGTGTTAATAATTAGATCAAACACAAGCGGTTTACATGGCATTGGGCATGATATACGAGGGCACACCCCGGTTTTGGGGTATGCTTATTCTATTCTCCTCTCATGGAACAGACGGGCAAAGGAGCCATCGGTTGCTCCGGTTGGTTCTCTGGGCTTGTCTAGTCTGTTTTTTTCTTCTTGGTTTTTTCCTTCAGTTGCATTACGTTTCAGCTTTCAGGACGAGACGCCAACTCCGGGAGGCATAGCGTTAAAAGACATATTGAAACGTGTGTTTTAGTCTTGTTTACTTGGGCCAAAGACTTGGTTGGAGGGCGGCCGACCTGAAGCTTGTGGCTACCGTTTCTCATCTGGGTTGTGAACGCCAGTGTTCAGTGACCTGCACGAAGGGGCATAATTCCAGCTGACTTTAACACAATGCGGACTACCGTTGATAGGGCACTGAAGAAACCGCACTCTCACTCCCGCGTTAGCGGTTACTGAGATTCCCAGCAGATCTATACATCTGGAGTTTTCCAACCGCTACGTTCCTGTCCAACAATACGCTGCTCCTATTGCTAACCCCACCCCTCCTCATCCGCCCCCTTTCCACAAACCAGTTCCCCAGGCCTCACCTGTATCGGGTTAACCAGCTCTTAAGCTGCAACACCAAGAGCCGAGTTGAACGCATCAGCCGCAGCCTGACCGGTAGCCGCCGAAGCAGCCGACGCAGCCTGCTTGCAAGCCTGCACCGTCTCATCAGCCGCCTTGCACGAGCTCGCCAGCTGCGAGCACGTAAAGTCGGCGATGACCCCAATCTTGAGGGCAGAACCGTGGTTGAAGCTGGACTTATCAACATTCTGGAAGCTGGCTTCCTTGCGCCCATCAAGGCCCTCAGCGAACTGAATCGCCGGGTTGCTGCAGTCACCAAAGTCAAGAGCGCCAGCCTGGCGACGCGACAGCGACGAGCGGCGGACACGCTTGACCGCGCTGGCGGCCTTGCACTCGGCCTCCTGGGCCTCGCACTGGGCCGTGCCGCCCTCGATCTGGCCCGAGTTGGCGGCGTTCGCGCAGGCGTTCTTTTGGACGGAGCATGACCGCTGGAGGGCCGCGTTGGCGGTCGTGAAAGTTGCGCCGTTGACGGAGAAGGGGCGGTCGGAGCCGGCGGTGCTTTCAACCGCGGGCGCGACACCCCCGAGGGAGCCGGTGAAAGCTTGCACGTTGACGGTGCCGGTGGCGGCGGTGCTGGCGGAAGCGTCGGCGGCTCCGGCAGTGGCGTTTGCGGCGGGGGCTGCGCAGGCTTTGTATGAATGTTAATCCTCCTAGTCTTTTTTTCCGCTCAGGGTTAGGTGTGAACATACCATCACCAGCAGCAGCACCAGCGTTAGCACCAGCGCCAGCTCCGGCGGCACTACCAGCGGCGACATTGGCCACAGCGGCCTTGATATCGGCCTCGGTGGTGGCCGGCGTAAGAAGGTTCAAAGTGAAGATGCAGCCGTTGGCATCGTTGGCATCGTCGCAAGTGTTGCCTGCGGCGGTTGGGTCGCCAATCTAGGTAGTCTGGGGTCAGTATTATCCCGGAGCTCTTAATAGCTTCGACGTGACTAGTGTACCACCGTCTAACTCACCTCGCCAGGGGGGAACGTAGCGCTGTTCAACGCGAGCAGAGGGTCGGCGCCGATCGAAGCCAGAGATTTGGCAACCTCCAGCTCGATGTCCGCATTGCCAGCGGCCTCGGCAGAGGCGGGATCCTGGTGCTGCTGGATGTTGGCAATCTCAGGGTTCACCGCAGTCTCGTTGCAAAGCACGCTGGCAAGACCGACGGAGCCCGTGTTCCGTTCCAAAGCGCGGAACAGGATAGCTTGGGCCTGGGCGTCAACATCGCCGGCCGCCTTCGCGTTGGTGAAGGCTTGGTCGGCAATGATCTGCTGCAGGCAGTCCAAGTTGGCGACATTGGGAGCACCCTCCGCCGCCGCCTTGTTTCCAAGCAGGGCGAAAACGGTGTCCTGAATCTCCAAGGGGTTGTTGAGTTGCAGAGCAGTGTTGACAGCACGCAGGATGGGCTCGTGCGAATGTTCCTGAGGAACCTCGCGCTTCGAGACCTTCCGCGTGTAGAGGCTAATCTCGCGGGCTGAGGCGAGACCCGCGAGGGTAATCAACGCAGTTTCATACTTCATGATGTCGTGGTCTTGTGAGACGTATGGATCGATATTTTAAGTAATAAAAATGAAGCGTGAGATAAATAAGGCCCGGCCTAACGAAGAAATGAATAAAAACCAAATGAGTGTCGAAAAGAACAAAGTTCACAGAACTGTAAAGAACGGAATGAAGATGGAAGAAGCGTTGGTGAGAAAGCAAGGACGCCACATCAGTCCATGGGATAACCAGAGGCTTATATGCAGCTTCAGAGGCTGCCCCCCAAATCGCGAAGCCCAGCTGGGACAGCTTGGTAGTCCCGCATCACCACGAGTCTACGCTCTGGTCCTGATCTTCGATCCACTGCCAAGCAGTCATGTCTGGCGATCAGAAAGCGAGCGAAGGGGGTAAGGCGGGACGGCTGTCGTTGATGCGCCGAGACTAAACCGCCCCCTTGGAACTACGTCGCCGGCTTGACTGGGCTCCGGAACAAAGCGGTCACCCTGGCCCTCGCCAATATGTTCAGACGACATGGGAGGAACTGGGCGAAAATTTCTTGAAGCGTCCACTTAACTCGTCCATATGACTGAGCCCCTGGCGTTTTGACAGGCGCTCGCTTGCGTTTCCTGGGCCAACTCCCCATAAATAAGCGGGCAGCCGATCTTAGCAAGGGAGATGGCAGGAAGGCGATCCATTGTGCCGACCAAGCCGAACCTGGTCGTCGATATCACTGGGCCACGATTTTCGTGGGTTCCAGCCATCATCTCATGGCTCCTGCTTAGGCAGTGTACTCCGATGATAAAAGCACCGCTGAAAAGCAAGGGTGAGACAAAAAGTAGGGAAGTGCGCTGCCTAGTCCCGAGCCCAGCTCTACCTATCGTCTTAGGATGGCAAGTCCCTGTGGTCAAGGAGGAAGGAGCCACCAGTCTCTGCTAAGGTAAGAAGCCGATTGGCCTGGGACGCCCGTGTCAAACGAGACTCTGAAAAAACAATCCCCCGTGCCCGTGAATGGAGTATTTCGACGGTATCGTTTAAGCGGGCAACCTCAGATCAGACGAGAGCTGGCACATGCGTCGTCTCAGCTTCCCTGCAGGACAAAGAGAGCCGCATGCAGGGAAGCAACTTGTGGTGGCCCATTGGATGTTCGGCAGCTGCCCCTGTCTCGGGTGACACCGTTGCAATTACAGGGGCCAGGCCCTTGTAGAAACGCACCCCGCGTCACCCTGTTGATACACAAGCCCCGCCGTGAGATCTGCCTCACCTCTCGTGTATCCTTCCCAGTTCCCGCTTTAACAGATACCATAATACCCATATTGGACTGCTCTTCCGCCTTCCTATATTTGGACCCAAAAGCGCTGGTTTGCGCGTGCTCCAAACCGCGAATACATGAGACGAAACGAGGCGAATTCTTGAAAGGCGGCAACCGCTTAACGGCAACCGGCACGATGATCCCAACGGCTCTTCACTGTTTTGATTGCGGGGATTAGAACGGTTGTCACACATGATCTTAGCTGGATCTCATAACGACCGTGACATGGGAGCACGTAAGCCGGATCGTAGAAATGGCCGGGCGTAGAGTTTGATGCTCTGTAACTGGCCTAGAGGCACTTAATTCAACGAAGCGACAAACAGTTGGTCAACCCCAGCTCCGAGCTCTCGCTTTACCCGCTTATGCCAGATATTTGCTCTAAAAAAGATTGATAACGACAAGCGCGGGCCAGCATGCGAATACGGACCTGCTGCCGCCGAAGGGGTTCATGAAACGTCGAACAACCCTAACTACGCGTGAGGTGAGGCCGGCTGCTCAGTGCCCGATGCGGTTGAGTGTGCCCAAGAAGGATGCGACATTCACTACCTAATCAGGAGGCCATATCCAGGGCACAGGTCTCGACTGTGTGACTACGGGCCTGATCTTTTAGATGGGGGTTTCTGTCCTCGACACGGCATGCCAACAACCCCCTGTGTTTGATCAGCCTCATCAGCTACATACTCGTCCCTGTCTCCTCCATCAGTCGTCCCGTGCGATCGACTTTGAGAGATGGCCCGCCAATAAACTGTCTGGGACATGGATTTGCTTTGAGCTCTGACTCCATGTTCTCCCCCGCTGTAAACCTTGGTCCAAACTCAAACCGGAACCACCTTCGACGTGGTAAGAAAAAAGCCCGGCTCACCAGTTCTTGGCTTTTTTGGTCTCCCGTGGCATCCCACTCATATCACGGACCAACCGTTCGCTCGAACAGCCCCTCAAAGCCAAGCCGGACCAATGTAGCCTATGTTGACGACCCGCCAACCAACCGCCCCTTTGCCCAAGCTCTCACCTCACCACAGTCATTCGTGCCAACTAACTAACCATCACCGCAGCTATAAGACGTGGCGTTCCTCAAATATGTTACTTCTCGGCTTTTGTACAAGTAAGGGCCAAAGAGCAAAATCTAGGCGTGAGGCAGAGCCCCCGAGATGGACAAAGGGAAGAAAAGCTACGCCAAACTTTGAACAGCAGTAAGGCTTGCTCCGCGGTTTATAGTCTATCGAGGGGACGCTGCAAACCAGAAAACCCTGCAAACGCAATCTCTTTCTTTCGCTCACGAACCCCGTTGCCCCATACTGATACACCATACGACCACAACCGCATCACAACCTCATCGCATTTCTGTACCTCTCAACTAGCTGATATCCACCCAAGCAGCGGCTTCTGTTGTTCCATTCTGGTGTTTAACCAATAACCAGCTTGCCGTCATCGGAGAAATCGTATGCCGGGATCTCGAGGTTCAGCGGGGCGGGTCCTTTCCTGATGCGGCCCGAGATATCGTAGTGGGAACCGTGGCATGGGCAGAACCAACCGCCAAAGTCACCCGCCTCGCCAATGGGCACACAACCCAGATGTGTGCAGACACCTAACACAAAAACACATTAGCCGATCGTTCCGGATCCTAACTCCCCTCTAATCCACCCCTTACATACCCAGCATGACTAGCCACTCGGGCTGCTTAACACGGTCCTCGTCGGCCTGGGGGTCCCTTAATGAGGCAACAGAGACGCTGTTGGCCTCGTCAATCTCGGCAGCGGTCCGGTGGCGGATGAAGACGGGCTTGCCACGCCATTTAATGATGACCTGTACGCTGTCAGCTTGGTGGCCCTAGGCGGTTAAGACGCGCGCAGGGGGTTATCCTTACGTTCTTGCCCTCGGGAATGGCATCGAGCTCAACCTCGACCTTGGCCATGGCCAACACATCTGCCGAAGCGGACATGTTGACAAGGAATTCTGTTCCACCAACCCACGTTAGCTTTCACCATCGCTGTTATCCCAATTCCCTTTCCCAATCCCCCGCCCGATCTGTGCGCCAACAAATGAACTACCCACCCCACCATGCCCCGACCCCGCCCTTCTCGGCCGGCCCCCCAAAACAACAATCCCACCCATATCGAAAACAACTCACCCTGAACAGTCGACTTGGCACCCGCCGCGCTGATGGCGCCCAGAGTGCCCACCATAAAGTACGAGAACAACGCATTGGTGCTACCGGACCCCTTGGACATGTACTTGGAGAAGTCGGGCACCTTGGTCGTGGACTCGCCGCCCTTGAAAGGGCTTTGGTAGGAGGACGAGGCGTCGCGGACCGCGGGGGTCGAGCTGATCGCGCGGACGGCGGTGCGGACGGAGGCAGCGGTCGCGGTTGACCTCGCGAGAGCGCGCGAGGCGGTGCGGAGGGGCGCAGCCATTGTGATTATTTGGTGTTGTGGTGGTGGTGCCGAGGATGAGGGGGAGAACGGTTCAATCGGACCGGCTCAATTCGGTTCGGCGCGCCAAACGGAGAAGTCTCGACGGCCGCGGGTTGGGATTGTCGTCGGTGAGATCGGTACGAAACGGCCCGGCTAGGGGTATGCGTGGGCGGACGGGTGGGAGGGCGAATGGCAAGTTCTGTTTCGACGTCGGCGGCCGAGTCCGTGGACTGAGGTTTTTCTCGGGACACCAAAGGTGCTGTCTCTTGGCTGGGCCGAGCGCCGGTTCCCACATTTCCCGGGCGTGGAGCTGGGGAAAGCTGGTTGGCGGGCGGTTTCGAGTAATTACAGCCGTGCTGATTGGCTGGCTGCCTCCCCGGCTTCTCCCGGCAGCTTCTGGCAGCTGGCATCACGTCGAGCCAGTGTGTCAAAACCGGGATTGCCATTGCCACGATCTCCGAGAAATCAGTCAGTATTCAGAGTAGTTATGGCAATATAGCGCAGGCGATGGGCTTCGAAGGAGGCAATTGACCCAGCAAAATTTTATTCTGACTCCAAGATTCCATTACACTAGAATGCCGACCGCTGTTCGGCTAATGCATCCGCCGGAGTTCTTCCACCAAATTTCGTAGATCCTCAACAGATGGACCGAGCCCCTTGCAAACATTCTCCTGCGTTGGTTCATCCAAATCCAGAAATCTCTCTATCATCTCCCCGTCGATGAACCGGAATGGCCCATCGCCCTCCCGTTCTGCATTCCTGAACGACCTGTATGTCCTCCATTCTATGTCCCCAGCTGTCGTCAGGGTATCCGCCAACTTTGTCTGGAACCGCAGTAAGAGATCTTGAACATGTGGTGCGACTGTTCCAAACATGTATATACCACCCTCAACCTGTCACGAGAAAAAACGTCAGCAAATGCACCGCGCCGGAGTTTCATGGTCATAACGTACCGTCCCTAAGAATGCCTTCGGCACAATCATCGCTCCGGGGGTAGTCTCCACCTCCACAGCCCGAATCCGATTCACCATCTCGCCCAAGTTGATCTCGCTCGTCACCTCTAGCCTCCTCTTATCCTCTGCCGTAACCCCCTCTACGTTCTCCCTTAACACCAATAGGTTCCCCTGTGCGTCCGCCTCTAGCCAGCTGCCTTCTTCCACATGCCCCGCCGCTGTCGCCCATACGCTGCCGAAATGCCGCGCCTTCTCCACCAACTTTGGCGTGGGGCCAGGCACATATTCGACGAGCGAGACCGACTTCATTAGGTCCGCGACGGCAATGGTGTTGCCCTCAACGCTGATCTCAGCTGGGTAGCTCGAAGGGCGGTAAGATGCCAACCGTGTTATCTCTCCGCTCGTGGTCGATGTCTCTTCGTAACCACAGACTACAACAGTCTTGGTCAGGCCAGCCACGATGTTCCTATCGTCTAACACCGCGAGGCACCGACAAGCGCCCTTTAGTTCATGGCTAAGGATAAGTGCAGGATTTCTTTCACTATCCAGGCCGAAAACCAGTATCCGGCCCCTCATGTCGCCGCTGGGGCCCGAAGCTGGCCCATAGTCGGGGTCCGGCAGATAGCTGGTCCCAACGAGAAACCGCTCAGCTGGGTTGCCGTATGAGTCTAACAACTCGGCGCGCACAACACACTCGACCAACTCGGTGCGGGACGGGTTGCCAAGTGTGTAGGATTTGCCGACACGGTCGAAAACGATCTCATCAACGAGCTTGAAGGACGACTGCACCCGCTCCTCGCCCGCAACGAGATCACGCCGGATACAGCCCAGCCCAAAAATTTTCTCCTTGGGCGAGTAGGCAATTCGCCGCACCATTTCGCCCATGGGTAACGACTTCACGTGCGTGCGGCGTTCACGATCGATCTGTGAGATCCGGAGCTGCCCGTCCGTAGCCAAGGCGATGCAGCCCGGGAAAGCCTCTGCGTCGAACGGGCAGATATAGGTGGCCTCCTCGGCGGTGACCGCGGAGTAAACAATGCGCCCCTCGGAGCTGTAGATGAGGCTGGGGTGTTCCGTGGTGGCGAAGACGCTGTACATAAGGCCGTCCGGCTGCGGCAGCAGGTGGAAACGTGCTTGGCGGGTTCCTAGGATGACACGCTTCCGTCCGGACAAAGCGAAGCCAGGGGCGGAGACGTTGAAGGTGACAACGTTGCCATCTTGCATGGAGGCAAATAAGGTCAGGCCTGCCACCTCAGGCGGGAGAATTTGGATCAGCGCAAGATCCCGAGGGATAGAGGCGTCATCCTGGGAGGCCCGGAGTGACTCGCCATGGATTGGCTCCAGAGTCTTCAGGTCAATGATGGAGACAGTCCCCGAGGACCAGAACCCAACCACGCCGACATCGAATTTGTGAGGAGAAACATGAAGGCATGCAATCTGGTCCTGCTTGCCGATGTCCTTTTGTCCAGCTACCCTCAGGTCCGTCGCCATCGTAAGTGAAACAAGTTCCGTGCCTTCTACGGAAAGGAGGAGCCAGTCATCGTTTGCCGAAGCACTGATGATGCTTTTCCCTTCGGTCGGTGTCCACGATGTTATTGTGACACCGCTTTCGACATCAAGAAGCGTAGCCGCTGTTGGTGTGACTTGAAGAATATGCCCCGTCGGAAGGTTGCGCGCTAATAGCGTTTGCTCGGTGAACGCCAATCCTCCGAACGATTCCACCTCTTCTACTTCCCCTTGTGGGTCAAACTTGAACATCCGCGTCTCGGTCAAGAATGACACAGCCAGGACGTCGGCTTTTGCAGCCCCCGAGCTTTTAAGGGAGAACAGCCCCCGGCAGTGTTCCAAGTCGGCGAGGATGCCCACATCTTCTAGACCAACGCCACTTCTCACACTCCGAAGGGACCCATCTTTGTGCACGCCGCTACATGTGACGATGCGGGCTTGGCCGGATGAGAACTCATTCCCTAGCTGGCCCTCATCGCCCCTGTTGCCCATATCCATGATGGCAAAATCTAGGATAGGGCCGATGTTCGGCAACGTTTCAACAAGTTGGATGAGCGTCTTAGAATCTTCGCTGTGAAGATTGAGGCGAAACAACTGGCTGTCACCATAGTGTGACGCGACAAAGAGGAGGTCATCCCCTAAATACACCAAATTTGATGCGCGGGACGCCTTGCCGATGAAATTTACATCCATGCCTGTCACCACAACACTGTCGGCGTCCTCAGTAATGAGGGTGAGTAGGTGGAGATTCCCGTAGTCGTCAGCCAGAAAATAATTGACCGCATTATACTCAGCCCAGGCCACGAAGACGGACGCCTCTTTCAAGGCTGACTGTACCGTAGCTTTTGTGACTTCGTCAATGTAGAGCAGTCTTGTCTCGCCTACTACAATCAACCCGCCAATATGCGCCTTGGCAGACTCAACGTTCCGTACATTGTGCCGTTTGACCTCCTCTTCGACCTTCCGGACGGGTATCAGCATGGATGCGCTCGAGTCGGGAATGTCGGTATCGATGTCTCGATCGCGGTCGGGGTCAAACTTGGATGGCTCGATGTTTCGATCGTCTGCCGTCACCCGGTAGGTTGCAAGCTTCGCGTCGGTCGCGTCGGCGCGGCTCTGGTAGAGAAAGGCGATCTTGGGCTGCCCTGTCTCGGTGTACAGAAATGTGCTGGCTCGAATGAAGAGTTCTGACAATCGGACCTGGTTCCGCCAGGTCATCATGAGTTTATTTTTCCGCTCTCCCAGCCGCAACATTGTCAACACGCCCTCCCAAAGATGCATCATTAGGTATCGCCCAGACGGGTCAACAAGGCACCGGTCCTGACTCTGCGAATCCCGCATGTGCCTTTCGCCAGGGTCCAATATTGTGTCTGTTGAATCCAATCTCCTCGTATCCGAATTCCATGTTAAAGTGAAATATTGGAACCTCTCGGTGCCGATGAACAAAAGGTCGGTCTTGGAGTCTTTCGGACGGAGCTTCTGGAGGATGGTGATAGTGCCGTTGACGGCCTTGGAGGTGGCGAGGGAAAGAGCGCCTTCGGATAGTAGCCATATCTCTAGTCGATTAGCTTTTCTATGTAAATCCTGTTAGCATTTGAACACAGACTCCCTCTCCGCCTCAGCTTAAGAGGGGAAACAGGAGGGGAATATAGCCTCTTACGCGAGCACCAAGCTCTCCTCATTTTCGGAGAAAATATGAGCGCGGATCGCATGGCGCGCGCTGCTTGGGCGGTGGATGGGAGCTATGTAAGCCATCTCGTAGAGAACGGCGAAGGGCGGCAGGCGTAAAGTGTTGCGAATCCGTCTAAAAATGCGTTCGCCGGATATCTATTTGAGGTCATGGAGGGGTACCCCGATTCCAGGTCCCAGTGGAGCTATGATTCCCGGGGGATCCGCTTAGCAAGGTTGGTAACCTGCACTTGGTCGGCGCTTTCTAAAGAATGGAAGTATCTTTTAGCAGCAGCCCGCAAAAGAGAAGAGATTGTTTCGAGGCCGAGGTTTTATATAACGTCACACGTTATATTTTCGATGACGTAAAAAAGCTAGAAATGGTATCATCGGAAGTACAATGTATCCTGTGGCTTACCTCTCAGTTTTGATGTTTTTTCTGAGTTGGTTGGGGGAAGAAATGTATCCCGTTGACTTGGTAGTTGCTCGAAGCGGGAGGTAGTTATATACTTCGAGCCCTGTGCTAGAACCCCACCGGAACCCGGAGTTAAGGTTCAGCAGCAAGCTCCAGACGGTTGCGTCCTGCAATTCCACTGAGTTGAAGATCTGGGTGATTTATGCAGCCTGAAGCAGTTTTTGGTCCTTGCTTTCAGTTCCAGGTACTTTCCATGTTTATTTAAAGGTTAATCGAGCATTGACAGCTCGCTTTCTGTTGGGAGTCTCGGCGGTTCCCATCAAAAGCGTTTTGCCTTCTCCTCGTTCCTCAGTTTACTCATCTTGCCAATGCCCGTTTTCGGGCATGCTAAGAACCCAGACGGAGATGTGTTTTTCCAGAAGGCTCGCGTCCATGATGGTCATCGCTGTACAGATAGCAAACCATGAACATGATACGAAAGGAACAAGCGGCGACATTTGGTCGTGGTCTGCCAGTATAATGCGGCACTCGGACTGGTTTGCAGGACTCTGCTTTCAATCTCTTCCACCCAAGCTGGGGCGCAAATGGTGCAGGCAACCAAATTTACTGAGGGTAAACGGGTCTTCTTCCTCACAACCCGAGCAGTGCCCGAGAATGTAATGAAAAAAAGATTTGCGTCGTCCAGAGGCAGTGTAATACTGGAGACACGGTGGGATTCAGGCTCGGCAAGCCGAGTGGACTGAGTCCCGGAAGACAAAAATTAATTTAATCAAATAAATCTACTCCGTAGAGCAGTTTCAGAGATTAAACTGAAAAGAACAGATACTACACTTGATCTAAGCCAAAAGGCAAAGAGAGCTAAAGAAAAAAAGAAGAAAAGAGTAGGAAAATTTTGGGAGGGGAGCGGCGTTTAAATACCCATCTGACGTGGTCTGTGCACGTCTGCAAAGTTGCGCCAATTGCAGTTGCTTGCACGTGACAGGAAGGCTTGGGTCCACACGAGCGCGAGCTCACGTCGACCTTCCAGGAGAGTCTTTGACTCAAAGGTCAATGTCGATTGTTGTCTGCCTGGAAGTTAAACCTCCAATTCCAGTCACATGTCCATTCTAATCAGAGATAACGATGAGTCCAAACTCAAATTGACAGAAAAGTTTCAGCAAACGCTTGCTGGAGGTCATATAATCTCTTGTCATTAGTACCCTCGTGAACATCCTAGGGACCCATGGCACACAAATGACTTCTCCAGACTTCGAAGAGGGACGCAGGCTTTGACAATCAGTGACTCAGGGCGTAGCACATCATTTAAATGGGGATAGTTCGGTACAAGGTAGGTAGGTGTTAATCAAGATAGGTATGAGTAATTCTCCTCAATATAATTAACCGCTCCGGTATTCTCATGCAAGTAAAACACAAGCCTAGACGCCGAGTGTTGTTGTATCATCCCGTTTCCCGCCGAACCTTTATAACGCCGTCGCAAACATGTCAAGGGAAGAAGACAGAAACAAGGACAACCCCGCTTTTTCCTCACATCCACATCATGTTACGACTCTGCCTCCGATTCTGCTGCCAAAGCGGCCGGCCCCCGGAATCCTCACTACCCATCGCCCCGGCATCTTGACCTTGTTGGCCCTGGCCGCCCGCCGCTGTTGCTGGCGCCGCCGCCCCAGGAACATGATCCCTATACGCGCCTTGTTGTTGGTGTCGCTCCTCCTCTTCCTCATCCTCCTCCCCGATCCGTCCCAGCGCGGCATGGAACCCCTGAGAGAAATCATCGATCTCCCGCGCGCCCCCGCTTCCACCCATGGGCCCCCCACCTAGCGGGCCCGTCAGAGGAACCTGCTCGCTCTGAAGATGCCGCTCCGCACCGCCTTTGAGAAGCAGGGGGTTCATCCCCATCATCAAGCCGCTCCCGCCAGCGTATGCGGCACTGCTGTTAGCAACCGAACTGCCGCTGCCACCGCTGTTGCTGTAGCCGTGGCCGTACCCGGTAGGGTTGTAGCCCTGGGCAGCGTTATACCCGCCATAAGCGGCAGCAGCAGCAGCATCTGCCCCTTGGTTCGCGTTGTTCCCAACCGGCGTGACACCCGTTGCGCTGAGCCCGCCCGACGAGGAAGGTGGGTAAGACGATACCGAAGCCGCCGTCGCGGAGAGCCCGCCGCCAGCACTCCCCAGTCCACTCACATCGCCCGCACTTAAACCACCACCGGCACTATTACTACCGCCCGCACTAGTAGCAGCGGCTGCCGCAACGGTACTGTTAAGCACTGAGTTGCCGTATGCAAACGGCGTATCGAGATCATGATGGTCGATGGGTGATATTTCGTTTTGGAAGGGCATGGGTGGGTGAGTAGATAACGGTGGGAGCATGCTGCGGTCTGCCATCGGCCCCCCTGCTCCGGATGAGCCAAGGGGGTTGCGGGCGGCTGCACCGGCCGCTGCCGCCGCTGCCACCGTTGCGGCGCTTGGAGCCATATTAGCTAGTTGCATTTCTCTCTGCTGTTGCGGTGTGGGTTGGTTAAACACGCTGCCTGCGGGACCAGCCTCAAACGCGTCTTGGGACGGATCATGATGCTCCTCGCCCGTGAGCGGGGTGAAACCCGAACGCCCGCCTGTTGCGTGAGGTGAGCTGATGAATTTATTGCGAGCACCGCCAGGCCCGGGGCCACGACGGACGTTGGCATTACGCCGCCGCAGCATGAAAAAGGCCAGCGCAACCAAGGCAATAGCAACGGCGAGTCCACCAATCGTGCCACCGACGATGGCGCCTGTGCGGTAGGATGTATCGGTTACGGGTGGTGCGGAGGGGTCAGTGGACGACGCTGGATCAGCCGAGGCGGTGGTTGTGTCCGTCGTGGCCGCCGCGGTCGAGGAAGAAGAGCGAGATGACGAGGAGGAGCGATGCGTAGTAGATGAGGTGTGTTTCTTGCTGGCGGTCCCCAGCGTCGTCGGCTCGGTGAGTGTGCTGATGCCCTTTGTATACGAGATGCTGACAGTGGGAGGGGTGACAGCGGCAGTGGCTCCGCTCGCGCTGTTCTGCACTGTCGCCGCCTGGTCGCTGGCTGTCCCACATCCAAACTGGGAAAAGCCGCCGTCGAAGAAGTTCTTGTAGCAGACATTGGACCCTGTACAGCTATAGACGTATGGATTCACCTCCGTCTGGGGCCCGCTGTTGGCATCTACACACCCTGTGAAGACACCAGCCGTGCAGGAGGGGGCGCCGTTGGGACAGCAGCCCACCACATTCTGGTCTGTATCGACAACGCAGTGAGAGCCCGACCCGCACGTGGCGGGCAGGGCCATATCCCCATCAATGTAACCGCATATTGTATTGAAGGTGTCGTCGAGCTGGCGACGCCGGTAGGCGAACAGGTCGGCGGTTGGTGGGGGGGTAGGCTGCTGCTGCGACAGTGGCCAGGAGGCAACGTTGAGGACGTGATATGGAACGGTGATGGTCGGTTGTGGTGTTTGCCTGGGCAGCTTCTGCACCGCGTGGGCGCTGGTGAGTTGAATCGCGCCCGCGAGGATCAGGAGGGCCGTCCGTCTCGGCAAACGGTCAAATATGTCGGGTTTCATCGTGGTGTCTCTTCCTTCGCTTTACGCTCGTCGAGTTGTTTAGCGTCGTCCCTTGCGCCTTTTGCGCCCAACGCACTTAAAGCACCGTATGCGGCCGCGATGGGCGATGCTTGAAACTTCGACAGCCAAACCGGAATCAGGAATAAAAGAAACGCTCGCAACCTAAAAATGCGGGCGGCTGCAACGGTCAAATAGCACCCACACAAGCAGCCCCAGTCCAGTCGCTCAGCGCACCCGACCTGTCAGATGGAGCGAAAGGTGCCCGCCGCTGGACGCGAAAGAGCGGGAGGCACAGTGGCGCGGGTCATTCAAAATGCTGTGTCCTGCAGCTTGGGACAGGGGGCCCTGGGTGTGTGTCCTGACCCCATCTCTTGGCTTTTCCCCTGTGGGCAGGGATGGCACCTTTTCTGCTCGCTGCGTGGTTCGTGGATCCTCCAAAGCGGGGAGCCTTACGAGTCGAGGTCTGCGAGAAAGAGGGGAGCTTGATGAGGGGAGTTACAGAAGGAAAGAAGCTACCGGCAATCATCAGTATTCGCGAGTGGCTAGAGATTCGACGGTGCTTCTACACTAGGTAAACACGATCCATATCTTCAAACTTTTAGCCCTCGTCGACACTGAGACAGCTCGGAGTGTTTGATTTCAAGGGCTGTTGGTCGTCTCGAAGCGGGTCCAGCCGCTGCTGGGAAGTTGGGAACATTCGACTTGCAGGGCCGATGCAGTTACCCGCCTTACCCTGGAATCTCATCGCTCCAGCCGCAGTCAAACAAATGCCAAGCAGCAGGTTCGCTGCGCCCATTCTTTCCGATAATGTTCTGCGTTCCTTCATGCGATGGATTTATGGATACTCGTATGCTGTTTCTTCAAACAAAGGGGATTTTGCATCCGGAACTCGGCAAGCCTGGAGCCTGGGGCCCGGAACCCCATGAGTCGCATTGAAACACGGCTAGCAACCCCGTGTTTGACGGGCCGGCGTCGACTCGCCGGAACATGATTTTTGGAGGGAACAGGCCTGGGAAGTCGTTGCTGTGAAAATTGTGAACAAGCGCCGGCCAGCTCGCTAACAAGCGCGTTGGTGCGTGCGGAGAGGTCGACGGGTCAGCCGGAGGATCTCGGCGTGGGACGGGGCCGACAGGCGCAATTTCCCTGGGAACGGGCGTCCTCCGGGTTGGGCCAGGTCACCACCGACTAATGAAATAAGGTACTTCTCCTCCGGAAGCTCCGTTCGTTGGAGGCGATACACAACCTGAACAAAGACTTTCCTATCCGTTTTACTCCGCCCGAAGGTAAAGAATCGTATTGACCACGGACGATAGGTAACGTTAATTGGCGCTCGAGACCAAAAAAAAATAAAAAATTGTCATGTTGGCGGCAGTGGAAAGGCTGTGCCGCCTTTTTTTAGAGTCCGCGAGCGCCAAGTTGGATGTTTGGTTGCCCTTTCCGGAAGGGCTGCTTTGCGGAACCGCCTTGGCGGTGCCTTGTTCCTCGCAACAGCTGCCAAGCACTTGCTCTCTTTCAGCCGCGCACTTCCATGCTTGTTTCGTCGCAAACCCGCAGTGGGGGCCGCACCGGACCTCGAGCTGCAGATCCCCCAACAACAGCTTGACAGAATCCTCAAAATGTTTGGGGTGAGTAATAACGTCAAGAAAGGGGGAGAAAAAACAAATCCGAGATCCCTCGTTCCCATCCTCGCTTCCCCAAACTAGCGACACAGTAATAATTCCCTTTGGCAACAAATCCATCCTCCAAGGCTCCCACTCGCTCTCACTCATCAACCAGTTCTCCCCTCAGAACTCGAATTCAAGCTGCGCCGCACAAAAATTGCGACGCTGAGTGGACCACCTGCCGCGTGTTGCGGCCGCGATGTCACTGTCGCGCTGCCAACCCGAGATGGATTTTCGTCAGACAGGGGGGGCTTGGGATAGATCGCGGTAGGAACCATGGACACGGATACGGGTGAGGGATGTTTGCGATACGACAAAACTACACTACGCTACTCAACGGTTCCGATCCAGTCGATCTTAGATCTCCGCCCTTGATTTCTCCCATTTGGTCAACCGGCTGATGCTGTCGACAAACCGACTTGTAAGATGTGATGCTTTGTACGTTACTTGCATCTCGAGAGGTGTGTTCCGTTCCGTGTACCTTGTGGGGGCCGCACCGCCCAGGTAGCATCAAGACAGATCGAGAAACTCTGAGGTTTCTTGAACTCTCTGTTAAGAGAGGTAGTCGAGAGGATGATTTTTGCATGTTAAAAATTGGCTGCACTAACAGGTTCTACATTGGGGGTTATCTGCACCTGGGTAGCTCTTTCCGTTTCCTCGCGCGATTCCCTCGGTAGGTAGCGGAAAGTTTCAACATTCAGGGCAACGGGCATGAACCTTCCGAAGCCCAACTCTAAACTCAACGTCACCTCTGACTGCAGGGGGGGAAATCAGCATCCGGCCACCCAACACGTCTTCTGGTCTTGGATTGGATGCGCGGCTAATGATCTGTCAGTTGTTAGATTTGCTGAGACGAGGCCTCTGCTCATCCGCTTCGCCTCAGCTTTACATCAATCACACAGAGACATAGCATTTAAGACTGCGGCAAAGCCAGACGATCCAGTTTTAAACAAGATCCGCACTTCCCCCTATTTTCCCCTGCAGTATCCTGCCTGCTACTAGTAGAAATACATACGCGCTCGACAGTCAGCGCGAGTGGACTCAACGACGTCCGCAATCGCTATCAAAATCGAGCCTTGGCTCTTCCGGTCTGCACACTCGCACACTAACAACCGACACTCTTTCACGACGAAGCAGCGGCTTTGATATCCGCAACGTGGTTGGTGATCAAGCAGGTAGCCAAATCCGAACCATAGTAGATAGTGTTGCCGTCGTTCGACGTTTGGCCATTGCTGAGGTTGTCACCCCACTGCCAGAACAGGTCCGCCGACATGCCGTCAGCGGCGAGCGAGAGTGAGGTCTTTTGCCAGGGCGCCTGGATGTCGCAGCTGGCGTTGGAGCCATCTATATAACGGTGGTCAGCCAGTGCTACTGTATCGAGGAACTGATAGAGACGCGGGGGTGAATGGGAACTTACACTCCTCGAGAAGGCATGGCTTGCCGGCGGCCTTGCACGCTGCCGCGTGGTTTGAGATCCAGCCATCGCCAAACGAAGTCGGGACACCCCCTATACACCTGGTTAACAACTAAAACTCTCAAAAAATCATCGCTAGGGAATACGCACAGCTGTCGGGGTACAGGTGGAAGGTTCCAAAGTCAAGATCCTTGATGCCTAAATTCTTGACGAAGTCAACACCCTCACCGTATGTATACGGGTAGGAGGTATCACCCGGCAGACCAAAGCCCTCATCACCCAGGGTGATCATGTGCGTGGCATCCAAGCTGCGAATGTAAGCCGAGGTGTCGGTGGCCCACTGGTAGATGATGTCGGTGTCGCATCCGTTGCAGCGGGCTTCGTTGGCCAGCTCCCAGGCGAAGATGGCGTCGGACGAGGCATAGCGGGAGACAACAGCCTCGATGTACTTTTTATACTGGGCCTGAGCATTCGCGTTGGTGTACCAGCCTTCCTTGGTGCCGCCAAAGGCCTTGACGTAAGCGTTCATACCGCCGTAGTCGTCCCAGTTGTTGACAAAGTTGACGATGAGCTTGACGCCACGCTGCTCGGCCGACTGAACGACGTAGTCAAGCCGCTCGAGGCCGTCAGCGCCGGTGTTGATCTCGGACCCGGAGGCCGAGAGGAGTTGATACCAGACGGTGCCGGTGCCGGGCTTGGTGTTGACATCGTTGAAACCCCAGACGCGTAGAATCTTGAGTCCTGACTCCGAGATGTGGTCAAGGGTGGTATCGATGTCGGCGTTGTTGGTCAAGAAGCCAATCCAGTACGAGTTGGTGCCGGCAAAGTAGCCTGTCTCGCCGTCGATGGAGAAGCGGGTGCCATCCGTGGTGGATGGCCCTGTCGCCCGGGTTGTGACTCGGGTCGAGGGAAGGGCCTGGGTGGCGGAGAGGAGGCCGAGGCCAACAGCAAAGGCGGTCTTCATAATCGCGTGCTTGATTTTTCTTCACAAGATAACTCGAGGATTGGGTGGTCCACGAAGTTCGTGTGATCTAAGGGCACAACTCTTCCGGCGAAATGCCGCCAGCTGGACCGATAAATAGTCGCCCGGGCGGCCATCGCGTTGGTTTCTACATGGCATTCCGGGTAGTGTATTCTTCGACAAGTGACGACTCTGGCGATGATTTGCGTTGACGCTGCTGAAAGTTGAAAAAAATCCGCCGCTAGTAAATTACTCCGGTGTTGACCTCGGGAGCGGGGCCCCCGCATACCGAAGATGGATATACTTTAGAGTCGTCGACCAGGTATTTGGTGGACTCTGGGAAGGATGGGGAGTGAAGCAAGGATTCTTCTAATTCAAGCCACGCGTTCGGGCCGACATTTCGACCTGGACGATTTCGCCCGAAGTAGTATCATCGACCTACATGGTAAATTCTCCGTTCGCCATCACGATGGCCATGAGTCGTATGTGTCGAACCAACTCTCCTGGGCTCTGTATCAATGAGGGTTCAGAGGAGCTATTCCGTGTTTCAGCCGGAGGTGTGAATAGTCAATTGGCCAATCCGGAGTGCCCCTAACGGCTGGCTTGCTCAGCTGATCGCGTTCTCGATAGGCCCCATGGCCCAACACCGGCAAGGCGAGCCCTGGCTCCAGCTCTGAGGGAGGCGGGGTGATCATCGTTGTGGTGAGGAGTTAAGACGGACGAGAGTCTTGAAACAGTGGAAGCCAACGGTGAACCACTCAGCAGCCACGTTTTCAGCGGGGGAGCCCCTCCCTTCCACCGAATCCGTCCATTTACAGGGGGTTTGACCAGTGGCCGCTCACAGGCGCGGGCGGCCCTGCAACAGGCAAAGAGCGGGTCCGAGACGGGCCTAGGCGCAACCTAGCCCCTGTCTCTGTGCATGTGGACATGCCGACGACAGCATCATTGATTTCCATTTGGGTAACGCGTTTTCCCCTTCCCTTCCCCTCTTTGATCGGAGCGTCCTCCTCCTTTCTTGTTGTTGCTCCCAACTCCCTCCCTGGTGACGAAGGGGAACCTCGGGACCTGAGGACCGTGACTGAGCAACATTTCGAAATACCTAGCGAGGTACTACGTGAGCAATTCCTTGCGGAAAGGAACCTGGAAACCCGCGCAGCAATCGTATCGACGTCTCCAGTTTCATTCCCGATGCCCATCCGCGTCAAATCACGTCCGGCGCAGGGCGAAGAGGCCGGGCTCCGGACGCCGTCGCCAATGGGCCGCCAAGCCCGGTATAACATCGTGGAGCTACCCGAAATCAGCGAGGACGACTCCTTCCGCGTCCTAGTCAAGAAGCTGTCTGTGTATATTGCGGACGTCGTCCTTCTGCCCCTGACATTCGAACAGCTACGAACTACCGGGGCCGGAGATGGGCTTCGGCTCTTGGTCGAACATCTTGGCCGCAACTGTACCCACCCGGCCATTGTTAATGCCTTGCTGTATGTTATTTGTTATCCTTAGCCCCCTGCTTCCCAGATTCTCCCTTCTAACACTTCATAGAGCACTCAAATGGCACTATGGCACCACCAATGAGGACAAGGGGTTGAATGATGCCCGCGCCCACGCCTGCGAGATCATAGCCTGGCGCTTCCTCACCCACCTGTCCGACCGCGAGGCCGTTGACTACTGCCTCTACGAGATCCCGGACTCCAGTCATTCTAACTCGTCATCGCCTAGCGACGAAGAAGCTGGCCCTGATGAGCGCAGCGCCCTCCTCGGTCAGGCCCTGCGCGGTACCGCCGAGTCCGCCCGCCAGGCCTTCAACTTGACGGGGAGTTCCAAGCGTAACTTGCTCATGAACTCCATCTCGCGCCTCACCATGAGCATGACATCCAATGAGGAGGATGATGATGATGATGATGAGGAAGAAGACCCCACGGCGCACTTCACCAACCTCAATGCCCTCGAGATCGCTGCTATCGCCGATGCGAAGCGCTTTCTTAGCCAGGCCATTGTACAGCGCATCATCACCGGCATCTGGAACGGCGACATCATCTTCTGGGACTCGCTCTCCGTGCATTCGGTCAAGAAGCCCCGGTTTTACAAGCCCACCACAGCCGACCCCTTCTCGCGTCTACGTGTGCCCAAGTATCTCAAATCCTTCGAGGTGCTCTTCTTTGCCAGTTTCCTGTTTCTCTACTATGCAGTTCTAGTCGAGCGAGACCCAAATCGCATCACGACCCTGGAAGTCTTCCTGTGCCTTTGGCTTGCCGCTTTCGCATACGACGAACTGAGCGAGTGGATAGATGCCGGTTCCATCTTCTACGCTGCTGACGTCTGGGTACGTACCTATTCACACCTTTTGGTGTAAGTGTTCCAAGAGAAGGTGCTGATCAGACAACCAGAACATATTCGATATGGCCATGATAGGAATTGGCTTTACGTACTTTGTTCTTAGTAAGTCCTTCCGCTAGTCTTGGAGATTCACATATTGACTAACCTGCTTAGGAATTGTTGGACTACAAACTGAGAACTCTCGGCTCGTCGACCTCGCCTTTGATGTCTTGGCGCTTGAAGCCCTCTTTATGGTTCCGCGCGTTTTTTCCATTCTGAGTTTGAGCCCGTATTGGGGCGTAAGTAACCCTTTTTCGGCGTAATTGATTGACGGCGAGGCTGACTATCCATTGCAGACCCTCATCCCGTGCCTCAAGGAGATGGGCAAAGACTTTCTCAAATTCATGGTGCTCGTCGTCGTCATCTACCTCGGCTTTCTCACGACCTTCACCCTCGTCGGCCGCGATGCCTACTCCCTCAACGATATGACAGGGTTTCTGACGCGCATCTTCTTCGGATCCAGCTACGTCGGTTTCGATATCATGAACAACATCGATCCTATCTTTGGCCCACCTCTCATGATCGTCTTCGTCACGCTCAGCTCCATCCTCCTTACCGGCTCCCTGACCGGTATGCTCTCAAACTCCTTCTCCCGCGTCATCACCCACGCCCGGGAGGAGTATCTCTACGTCTACAGCGTCTACGTCCTCGAAGCCTCTACCTCGAACCGCCTCACCCATTTCTACCCACCCTTCAACCTCCTCGCCCTCGTCATCTTCCGCCCCTTGCGGCTCTTCCTCCCCTCCGACCACAACTTCCGCCGCGCCCGCATCCTCCTCCTCAAAGTCACCCACCTCCCCATCGTCGCCGTCATCGAGTTGTACGAGTGGCTCCACGGCACCACCTCTCGCGCACCCCAGTACGGCGGATTCGGGGGGCCTCGCTTTGGCGGTCACGCCACCATCAGCTCCCCCAACCCGGCCGCTACCGCCAAGCGCTTCCAGCACCACCAGCAACAACGCCACAAAATCTCCTCTTCCTCTCTCCACGCTGACCTGGCCGCTTCCTCTGCGTCTCTCGGCCGTCGCCCGCCTCCTCTGAAACAATTCAACACCACCACCTCTTCCACCCTCACCGCAACGAGCTCCGGTGTCGGTGCCGGTGTCGGTGCCGGAGCAGGGCCAAGCGCAGGAGCATGGGAAGAGGGCGGAAACGTAAGAAGCCCCCTCGGCCCAGGCGAATCCTCGCGCCTCACCTCTGCCCAGCGCAGCGCAGCGGCCGAAGCCGCCGAGGACGACGCCTTTGGGGAGCCGTCGAGCGACGTCGAGGTGCGCATTGCCGATCTGTCGGCCAAGATTGATCGCCTGACGGATTTGATACTGGGGATGCAGGCGCGGCAGAGTAGGGGGTTGGGTGATGTCGATGGTGCTTGAGCTGGAGGTATCTGATAACGTCTTGGGAAGGTCTTTTTTTCAAGAAGGCTGGAAGTTGGATCCATGGAGCTTGGTGCCTTGGCACGGAGTCCAGCAATCGCAAGTTTTCAATTTGAAGGTCGAGAAGCGCGCGTTGGTTTAAGGTAGGGACAAATTGCCATTGGAAAGGAGTAATGAGAGTGATGTGTTGGGGGGAAAGGGGTTCCATCCTGTTGAGTCAGATTTTCTGACGAAACAGTCTTTTGCGGCGTGCTCACGGCGTTGGTGTTTTCTCTTGCTTTCTCCATCCATCCCCAAATCTCGATTCCCATATTTCTTTCGAAGTATTCTACGCCGCGAGCAATCAGTTAATAGTCTGTCTGGTATTGAGGTCTATGCGATAATTCCATCGCCTCGGCGTTCGTTTCCGTTGTGTTGCTTTTCCTACACCGTTCGCCCGGAAGCCATGTCGACACAATTATAGTACCATCACGACAGAGAAGGGCAGGAGAGGATTCTTCCGGTATCATGACCTGCTGGAAATCAGGTCGAAGGTGCATGGACATAGCCTCGTAGTCTAATGGTCCCAGGCGTGTCGCGTATTCTGACTTATGATTTCTCTCCACTGAGCTAGTTACACATTTTCACAATGGAGCTGCTGTTCAAGCAGGGAGAGACTCGCTAGCATGAACCAATTAATCCCCTTTTGGCCATCTCGAATACTAGAATTACATCAACTCAAGGCCACACACCTTGTCCCATCATTCTCTGCCACCCCCAAGGTCCCGATGTAAGCAAAATCTAAGCGTATAATACAAGAGTAAAATTGTAAGAAAGCGACCACAAAGGAAAGTACTCAAAGATTGGTGGTATACATTAGTCATAACATCGTGTAGTGTGCCGTTGTTACCACATGCACGCTGCCCCTCGCCTGTATATTCTCAACAACGCCACTCCCTTCCTGTTTCACCCGTTTTCCTTGCCCATCCATGGTCCACCCACTCATCTGTCCTGGGCCACGGGCGCTTCATTGCCTTCGGCATTAACATTAGTACAAATCCCTTGTTATTCCGTTAGTGTACAGTAAACAATGGTATCCAAAAAAAGAAAAGAAAAAAGAGTGACACGCTTTTCCTCCTTGCATTCCATTAATGGAAACGGATACTAGTACCCCGCCTGCGGTCCATGATGGCCTCCTCCGAACATGTGATCATTTTCCCCGGGCATCCCCCCTCCTGCGGTATTGAATGACCACACCTGATCGTTGAATCCATGCACCTCTCCGGGGCTCGAGGTCTGGAACGGAGGGCCCTGTCCAGCATTTGAAGTGTGGAAAGTGTGGTGTTGGGGGGCTCCAGTGACCGGGTGAATGCCCACAGGCGACGGCTGAGCCATCATGTCGTCCGGTAACGTCTTGTTGCAGCTGGGGCAGTACATGTTGGCGCACCTTCCCGGAGGATGTGCTTCAACAAGTGTTTGGCTCGAGTCCCGGTTCTCGTCGCGGCTTTGGATCCAACTGAGGGTGCCAAGCGATGACCTGGGGTTCGTGGACATGGTCAGTCGGTTGACATGGATAGCAGCAGCAGATTGTGGGCGCGGGTCTATATCGTGCATTGCATCGGGCGATATGGTCTCAGGCTGCTTGGGGCCGAGGTACGAGGGTTGGATTTCGAGTTGATTTGGATGGATCGGTTGATAATGCGCGGTTGCCATGGCTGGGTGTGGGAAACCGTCGCTAGGACTCGTGTAGGAAACAGGATATGCGCCGCTAACTGTCACCGCAGGGGCGTCCCAGTTACCGTGGTAAGACGCGCTGGCGTTAAGCCCTTGCGTGGTTGAGGGAGGCATCGGAACGGACTGGCTAGGGAGAACAGCTGGAGCGGGGCCAAAGGGGTTGCTTGCAACCCTCGCTTGCGGCTGTGGCGTCCGGGCCCGTTGTATGGGAAGCGGAATTTGAGTCGGCGGTGCAATTTTAGGCAGGATATCAGGCCGCTTGGCTCGTTTAACTTGGGGGTTTGAGCGCTTCCGGGCAGCTACACCCCGAAGCCCCGCAGGGGTAGAGGCACCAGGGCTTTCAGTCCCGGGTGCGACACCTGTTGCAGCCGTGTTCCCAGCAACGACGGTGGGGGTCGGGGCAGGAGAAGGCGGAAGGCGAGGTGTTGAAGCCCAGCTATCGCTCGTCGCCGGTTGGCTTATTGCCGAACTCGTGAATGGCGACACGGTGCCCGCAATCCGTTTCTCCCAGTCCTGGACCACTGTTTCAATCCAGGTGTAGATGGAATTGGCGCTCCGTTCTAAGCCCTGATGGATCTTGAGCTCGACGTCGAACAACTGGGATGCCCCCTCGATGATGTGCCGGTACTGTATTTCGAGCAGATCCTTCATTCTGTCAAGGAACCTTTTGGATTCCGAGATGAAGTCGAATACTTCCATCACCGGGACAAACACTACTTCGGTTAGAGACCGTCTTAGGCCGGCGGCGGGGGGGGGTGGGAACGAGCTTACCTGCATTAGGAATCTGGCTCTCGGGGTCCTTAGGGAAGAGAAGTTTCCACAAGGAAATCCAGTTGTCAATCTTGGCCTTGAGGCTTCTAGCTTCCAAGGACGAGATGATTTTCTGGGTAATACCATCTTCGGGGTCCGTGCCCCCATTGTCGAACGAAATGCGACAGACCTCGGGTTGCCTCAGATGAGAGTCAAGATCGTTCTTCGTGATGAACCCCTCCGAGCACCGGGGACAAGAAAACGGACCCGCATGCCTTTGCACAGGGGGGTGGTGAGCTCGGATATGTTTTCTAGGTCTTAATTAGCACACGGCCCCGTTTTATCCCACGAGCGTAGCGCTTACTTGAGTTGGGACATATCGGCGAAAGAATGTGTAGCGCAGACAAAGTAGTCTCGCACGTTGAATCGAAGGGGGTTCCGCTTCCGATAAGGGCAACTATAGTTGGTGATGCTCCCTTTCGTGCTGTAAACTTGTGAGACGGGCGAGATGTCCCTCTCATCATCGCCTTGGTCTCCTCGACCGTTGAAACCGCTTCCATCGTCGCTACCCCCATCCGCCTTCCGTTTCCCTTTCCCAGATAGTCCAGAATTCTGTTGGTCCTGGCTGGAAGCTGGAGTTCCCCCGTGGTGAGATGTTGGGGTACCGTGGCCGGATGTGGCCTGAACAAACCCGAGGTTTCCTTCGTGAGAGGCGGACCAAAGCTCCTGCAGGTAGCGGTAGGTGCAATCCCAAACTAACAGCGGGGCGGCACAGTCGTCCAGATCCTTGCCGAAACTATTTCGCAGAACCAAAGACGAGATTTCATCCACCAATTTGGCTTCATCCTCCTCCTCAAAGTCCCGGCCCTCAACACGAGTGACCACGGAGCCATACTCCGCGATGCTAGGCGGGGCCAGCTGGAGTCTATCCCAGTGGTGAGTAAGGCGAAACGAATTCCCAGACAGGAGAGTCGGTGGTACTCCGTCACAGTGGTGAACGTACCTGCTAGTTTGCTTCTTCGGCTGACGGTGAGGAGTGACGGGCTCGCCAGCATCGGTGTCCTCCACCTCGATGCGAATTTCCCGGGAAAGGCGAGACTCTGCTCGGCTACATTCCGACTGAGTGTTGACATAGGTTGTGGACGATAGGAGAGAGTCAATGGAGCCGATGCCACGGTTATGTTTTCGGAAGGAGGCGTCCTCTCCGCCCTTGGAGGCCACTTTGCCCTGAGCGTCGGTGAGAACCAGTTGAGGACGTCCGGTCTTGGAGTCGGGAGTCATGGACTTGGAGATGACCGGGAAGTTGGAGATAGTCGGACTGGTGGGGGGCGTGGTGCCGGATAACGAGAGAGCATCGGCGGCGGCTGGGAGCTTGAAGTCAAGCTCCGGGTCCTGGCGCCGGGCAACGGTCGTGTCGATGTTGACAGCTGCAGTCTTCCGCGATTTGGATGCATCTTTCCGAGGGCGATAAGGGATGCTGAGGACGGTGTCGCCGCCTAGCTTCTGTGTGACGCGCCGGGAGGCAGGGGACCGGCCCCTGGCACCGGGTTCCATCCTCCGGTCCGGCCTTGAGCTTCGGGCCTTGAAGCACGGTGGTGGTAGCTACGGAAGCGCGGGTGGAGGAGGGCGCGGCGGGCAGCACCAGACAAGAAACCAGTCGCGCTCCACCACGAATTGCGAGCCCCGCGACGACTTAGACCTGGGGGTCCCCTTGATGACGCCTCCGATGGTCGTCTCCTTAGTAACGACTGGGGGCTGCGAAACCAACGAGAAGCACCAGCACCGACAGCAGCAGCATCAGTGGTAACCAAACAACTGAAGCGCTTGCTGCGACGTGGGACAGCTAGCTGCGGGCTGGTAATTCGGTCATGCGAATAGGAAAAGGAGAGTGGCAGAACGGAAAATGAGCGACTATAACGAACGAATGTGAATGGTGTGAGGGAGCGCGCGGTTGTCCGCCAAAGAATGGGTCTGGAATCTGGAATCTGTAATGAATGAAGAACCACTCGCATGACAAAGAAGAGGGAAACTGAGAAACTGGCCTTGCCTTGCCGGGCCGTTTGACGCCGGTTGCTGGGCGCCTGGAGCAAGCTGCGGTTGTTGCCAGAGCGAGAGCAAGAACAAAGCAAATCCTGGAAAGAGCAACACAACGCGCTTCGAGCTTCGAGCCTCGCGGTTCCCCCCCCTGAAGCAATTGCGGACGTGTTTTAATTTCGATCATCCGAATCGAGAAGTCGCAGCTGTGGCGCCCACAGCCAATTAAAGGGAGCGTCAACCGTGATGCTACCATTGGCTCAGGCACCTGTTCCTGAGCTGGGTCTCCTTGGTCCTGCCCGAAACCCCGGCGCTGTCTGCCTCTGATCTGTGCAGCACGGGCCATGCGGCAGAGCAGGCCGCGGCCGTCGTCAAAGATTGATGCTCTGAGATGTCTCAATCGGACTTTTTATCTGATGTTTCAGACGGGTCTCTTTCTGTGACGTGCAGATCGACCGAGAACACAAGCCCCACACTTAACCACACACTTCAACCCGCAACTGGACAAACTTTGTTTTATACATTTGAGCCACCAGCGACTTGATCCGCCGACGAAAAATACACGGCACAGACGCGACTCGCTAATCCCACGCTATCGTATTCGAGCCGAGAGGAGAGCACCCGAAGAAAGATGGCCAAGGAAAGCACATGTGACCTCAACCAACAATCCCAGTTTATGTGAACACACCCGCGGCAAGGAAATCAGGAACATTCGAAAAGTGAAGATGGTTTCGGATGCATCCTTCTACCAAACTTGGACTAACTCATCCCGTGCTCCCGCGACGCCCAGACCGAAATAGGGGACCGCTTGCAGCTGGAATCGGCGTTTTGCTGAGGCGCTCTGCAACACTGCGAGCCGCGAAACACAGAGAGGAGACTGCGGTTTGCAGCCGAGTGAGCCCTGGAGCACTCGCTTGCAAAAGAATGCAGTGCGGACCAGGTCTCAAAGTATCCGGATAGGCGGGCGGGCACGTACATACACAGTACGATGTGTACTTTGTCCCAATGCTTGCTTCAACTGTGGATCTCGAAGGGTTGGCAACGGTCGAAAGAGAAAAACACCAAAAGGTTTGTGACAAGGGTGAGATTCGAACTCACGCCCCATTACTGAGACCAGGAAATCTACTGAGATTCACTAATTCAGGTTTTCCTGAACCTGGTGCCTTAGACCGCTCGGCCACCTTGCCGTCAATTGTTGAAGATGTAGCTTCGGGATCTGTCGACGTGAACGACGCAACAAGGCCCGCAACCACAACACCGCCATAACCATGACTATAAAGACGATTATGACTCTGCCGAGAGGTTGAATGAGAATTTCAGTGCATGTGCACAGACTAATCGCAAACATGGAATTCGTGCAATTTTTAAACCCTGCAATGAAGATAAAGTGTTGATAAATTCGGTTGATGACGCTCGGTCCATCATGGTGTAGCTAGCTCCCGGTGTCACAATATTATAGGTTGAGCTTCAGCTGCTGCAATGCACCCATGCGCATGCAGCCACACCAGCCTGTGACCAAGCAGACGGGTGCGCAAAGGGTTCGTTTCATATAAATGAAAACTAAACGGCCCATCCCGTCGCCAGGCACAGGAATCGGCGGCGGACTGAGGAATGAAGCAATACAACCTTGAATGTGATGGGTAGGCAGTAAAGCCGATTTGAAGGCATAAAATGCAAGGAACTGTTGCGACTCTAACTTGTAAAGAATGCAAGCCGATATCCGGCTCTTTTATATGTCATTATCTCATCGGAATCCCTAGGCCCGCATGCCGGACCTCGGAGTCATCAGGGTACTGGATCCGATGATGATCCCTAAACACGACCCAAGTTTGAAACACAACATAGCAGAGGTACATGGCAGAGGTACATGACAAGGGGAAATGACAAAACACGCCAATAATACTCGGTGTGTGTGGAGGGTCCAAGAGGTCCGAGCACCGGCATTCATAATATCACCACCAAAGCTGCTAGATCTATTTGGCCACAATCAAATACAACCTGCCGTTTCGAGCAATTTACCGAGTCAGTCTCGTGTTGCTGGCCGCCGAGACGATGAGAAACAAAACACCCCAGATAGCTGTAGTACTATTCTTCAAGCAAGCAACGAGCTCACTAACTAGGCCACAAGCTTTGCTGAAAGTGACATGTGATTCAATCAAATCGATCTAGTAACGTTATACAACTAGATTAGCAACTGGCGAGCTCCCCTCTAGCACTTCATAGTCATCAATTGCCCTTGCCAGCAGCCGCTCTACTTCGTGTTCTCGAACTGAGCAAGTGGGATGGGATATGAGTTTTGAGAAGAGGATTCGTCAACAGCCATGTTTCTCTTTCCCTTTGGTTCAGAGATCTGTTTACTGTCCCTCGCCCAGTGGTTCTCACAACACCAGATCTCTAGCAAAGCCCCAATAAAAATGTTGACCGTCGAGGAATTTGGAATAAAATACCGAGACTCTGTTCAGGGAGCCATGTGGTTCATGATCTAGATTTATGGTAAGGTTCTATGTCAGAGGCGCGGACTGACTATAACAAAGGGACTTCTAGCAAGTAATTGCCCAATGCCCCCAGAATTAGTTCATGCCATTAGCGGGGAATAAAGTGTGGGTTTTCTATTTATTTGGTAGCTCTCTAACACATTTATGTGAGGAGTGATAGCCTTTAGGGAGGGGTATCATGTAACTAGACAAAGTAAGAATTATATATTAGCCTGTCCCACTCACAGCGTCGACCATGACTGCCCTAGGGACCAGTCAATGCCAACCCAACAAACCTTCACCGTTGCCAAAGTTATTAATCACCCTTTCTGTAGCATCCCACTTTCTCCTTCCACCACGCAGGCGGTGTACTCGGCCGATCAGTGCCAACTTGAAGTAATTAAGGAGACGTATGCGTGGCAGGAAAGGAGACGACAGTGATGCAGGACCGTCATATGCAGTGAAGAAATACTAAAAGCACACGAGGCGGAAGGGGAAGAGGGTGGAATTAGGAAAGAAGAGAAAAGGAAAGAGTATTTAGCAGTCGTTTCATATTTCCTATCTTAGTATTTACCTGGTTCTCGGCTCTTGTGAGAACTGCTTTCTGCTTTTTTGATTATATTCTTATTGTTTCTCTTTCCAATTGTGTTTCAGCCAACCCCACGAGGTGTATGTCCTGGCCCGTCTAGTCTTCACATGATATAGGCATCTTGGCAGCCCACCTCCAGGCCCCCCCTCCCAGATGTTGAACACAAACAACGACAACAATCACTCTTGCCTCGCTGTCAATATCCATGGCGTGGGTAAGAGCCGTTCTGCCCCGGCCATGGTAGTGTCGCCTAGCTCAATTTCAAACAGTATTGCGAGAGACTGACGGGTTCTTTTTGACCACAAGATAGAAAATGAAATAAAGAGAGTTTAGAGTAGAGGAGTACGTAATACGGCATTCAATCACATCCAAAAACTAGGATCAATCGGGCTCCGCCGGTCACTGGAGGTGCTCTTCACAGGAAAGAGCTGTCGGTAACAGGAGAGGTTCTGTCTATCCTACAGCCGGTTCATGACGACATATTTGGCGTCAGTGTAATGCTAGGAGACGCCAGCGGTATTTCGCAGTGGACAAGCGCACCTCCAAAGCATGAGATCACTTGAGTTCGTTCTGGCGATGTTGGCCAGGGTGTTGTTATACGAAGAATGGCGAGCAACCGGTTCCTTATTGCCGAGGACATTAGGAGGACTGTGGCACAACCCAAGGTACCTAGTTCGAATCTGATCACAACATAATTGGGCCCATGCCGCTCGTTATCCTGTCTTTATCACCCAGACTATCCCTTTTCAATTTCCCGATAATTCCCAGCCAAGAAAAGCTCACATTTTGTGCGAGCTGGGCAAGCGTTGGTCAGGCGGGAGGTATGGAGTTGTAACTTGTGAGAATAAAACCGTTTAGAAATGTCCTCTGGTCACAATGTAGCTATCCCATTGACCATAGCTTGGATAACCGTAAGACCTAATTAGGTAGTCTAGATTGTTCGAGGCCAAGCCGCTCTCACGCTCTGCCGGCATCACAAACTCTTGTGGATGACAAATATATATGTGAATTCTTAATTCGCTCAACATGATAACTCTCGACATCATAATAATCCTGAGCCGCGTGAAGATACTGGGGAAAGTGTACTTAGTTGGAGAGCAAAGTGTGTGGATATGAATGGAAGTCTCAGGGGCAGGAAAAGGGACTTCGTTTGGATCGTTAGATTAACACGCTCCGATGGCACATCCGGGCAACCTCAACAGGGGAAGCGTTGTCAAGGAAGCTCCTATAAGGGGTGTCTCATGATCTGCTTCTCAGTTGTCACCAATTATCGGTTCTTTTGTATGTCGATCCCGTTGGAGCCGGGGTTGCATCCTCCGGACATGGGATATACGTGAGAGACCAGATACAACTCGCTCTCCCCAACTTATCGGGCACTTCGACGGGCCGTATTCATCGTCATCGTCCACGAATTGGCTAAGCAGTCCCATACGTACATACACCCTATTTAAAGCTGGGTCAAGGAGAGGAGGGGAGCCACGACGGACGAGAATGGTCACCTATCGACCCTACCAACGCCATCCTGCCGTGTCTGCTTGTGGTGTTGTTGCCGTCTGGGAGGTCCCGAGTTTGGCCGCCGGATGCACCACAATGCTGCCGGCCCTCGTCGCCTGACGCCTACTAAGAGTGGAAGATTGGCCAACACGGGATAGGGCCTAGATCACATCGAAAGCTAGGCCTTCAGCTTGATTGGCCAGTGCTCTTCTCTACCCACACAAGTCATCGAGTTCAGCTTTATTCATCAACGCCGTGATTCTCAACTAATACCTAGGTATGCGCGCCCTTGCCGGCCCCATGTACCGCGTGTAACAGTTGTGGATCAGATCGTTGTTGGACAGAGGTTAATTATTGTACCCTTTGATCGTCCCGACTGTGGCTAGCTAGCTGGGGAACACAGCATGATACGGTCTCATGCTGTACTGCCTTCAACAGGACCCTGGCGGCCGGATGCCGGTCTATGCCACCGTGGGTGAGAAGACTTTGGGCCGGGCATTTTGCTTTCTCGGAAGAACCTTGTATTACGGCGGTGATGGTCTCGTACGATTCTACACTACCACCGGAGCACGCGACGCAGCCATGTCTTAAATTTCACCCGTGAGGTGTTACGGAAGGTACCGCTGTGGGACACGCTGCCCGCATTTGCGCCGGTTTGGTGCCCGTTGTGGGTTCGTGTTTTCCGGCATCCCGGAGGCGTTGAGCTTTGGACATACTCATTTCGGGGCTTCGACTGCCGAGGGAGGGACTGCCCTTCGGCATTTTTTACGTTCAACCGTCTCTCCATAATCTGTAGTCTATACTAGTTATAAGCGCCGTTAGAGCCGTTGTTGTATTCGTACACTAACAGAGATTCCCTCCCGATCTTCTGAGCATCATTTCCCTTCTGTGTCGGTTCTTTCCTGTTGCCTTCGAGAATCGAGATTCGAACCTGGTTCCCCTGAGCGTTGATCGGGCCCACTGACTTAGCCCCTGAATCCCGCAGTGGGGGTTTCCCTTCGGGATGTTCGATCATTTCCCCAGAAAGTCCAGTGCCGTGACAATGCGGCACATGCACTGTGTAACACTGTGTATGCTAAACTGCAATTAGCATAGCTCCCAGGACCTTAAATCCAGGACCGTTACCCGTTTTTGCCCTTCTTCTCCTTTCACGTGTCGTGCAGTGATCAGGAGAGCCCCCATCTTTTCAGTTGAAACAAGAGCGAACCCGAGGCGGGGTTGAAGCTAGGATTCGTGTTGGGGACGCTGATCCGACCGACTGGCTGTGTGTTGCCCTGCGAAGGGCCTGTCTGCATGTGCAATGGATCATTTTCAGGTTTCCATTCTCGCGAAGTTGACCGAAATCTGCGCGTGAGAAGCACCCAGGCGAGCCAGGGGAAGCGGGAGGAAAAGGCTGATGCCGGCCGGACTGTCAGCACTGGCGCAATTCCTTCTGCAGGAGAAATGTCGATCCTCGGCTTGGGCCAAAAAGTTTCTCCGCAGAAGGGATGGTTTCGCAATCGGCGAAAGCAACGCGGTTAGACCCCGATCTAGTGTAGAAAGATCTCTGCTCCTCAGTCCCATCTCGAGCTTGTTCTTTCCCAGCTTCCCTCTCAGGCCGGTTTCTTGAACTCGGAATATATCGACTGTCGTGCATTCCGAATTCACAGGATCCTCTTTTCGAGCAGGGTTGTTGGGCTGAGAAATGACCGTTTGTTGACGGTTACACCCCGCAACCTTTTTTCCGCCTTTCGAGAAACCCACCACAGTTTCCGCTTCCTACCCGGAAGTGGTTACCTGATCAATCTTAGTGTCGGACGTGGTTCTCGCAACGAAGAAAATGAGGAAGAACCGACAAAAGGAGAAAAAAACTGACAGGTGAATCCCACGGATGGTATTGCCGAGCGGGTTCCACCGACAATACATAGTACACATGTCGATACCGTACCGTACCTGTACCGAAGCGCATTGACACAGTCTGGCTGCAAACCAGTAGACACTGTATGTACGTACACGGAGGTAATTTTCGAGGATCAAGCCGGGCTCAGGGGCTTTGTTCCGCGGGGGCCGTCGATTTTCGACCTGCTCTCCCAAACTGGGAAGTGGGAACTCAAGAACTCCAACTCCATGCGACTACTTAATGGGGTAATCGATGAGTGCCTAGGATAAGGACACAAGAAATGGGCTGTTGAAAATCCGGGGGAGCGGAAAATGTTTGGGGGTTCCCTCGATCTTTCTCACTGTGTGCTCCGCTGGACAAACTAGCGTTAATAGAACCCTAGGCATTAGTCAGTTATGAGGTCGGTATCGCGAGCAATCGCGGCCGAACCGAGCCTGATCGAATGGTATTATGAACAAGATACCTCCATACCAATCCAATCCACCCCAAAATTATTTGATGGTGTGCATCTTGAATGACCTGCCTCGAAAATACGAACCATGTTACCCCTACATGCAGAATGGCAAAGTCTTGGTTGGAGCGAGCCAAGCAGCCAAGTTGCCAAGCTTCGAGATCCAAGATTTGCGGACTCCTTGGCGGGAATCATGCATGGCAATGCAAAGGCGGCAGTGCTGTGGCTTGTCTGTTCACGTCGCGTTTGGTGAGCTGACCGCGTCCTTGGCTGTGGCTGATGTTGATGCGTCCGCAACCGGGAGGTTGGTAAGCCCACTCTGCTCATAGTTATGACTTGGAGGGCGATGTGATCTGATGATTCAGCGGTTCGCTGCACAGTTAGTAGAGAGATATTTTTAGGAATGAGTTTCGTGCGGAATCTTGGGAGCTTACAGGTAGTAGCATGGCGGAAATCTAGATACCGTCGCGGCCACTGCGAAAATATGCGTTTTGTGATCTTACGTCAACCATAGTGAGTGAGTGGCATGCAACGGGCAGTCCTGGAAATCATTACCAATAGTTTTTCATCTAAAGAGGAAGTTCATGCAAGTACGAATATGGTCCTCGCTCTGTTGATAAGTAAATAAATAAAAATTAAGGAGTAAATAACAACAAACATGACCCAACCTCTAACGTCGCAAAAGTAGTGTTTAAAGGGGCCTCCGACGCATCTCATACAAAGATTTATACGACCGTCCCGCCTGCCATTCCGCAGCCTAGGGCTTAATCGACGCGCGTCAAAGGGGCCAGTGTCATCGGCCTCTGCTGCTGCTCTTGCTCTTCACCTGACTGCACAAGCTTATACAACTTCGCCGCGATCTTCACAGCCGGCTCGTCCACGCCCCTCGTTACCACATCTGCAACCCACAGCGTGAACGGGAGCAAGATTATATTCGGCAGCAAGAACCCCAACTCCAACCCCATCGGCCCGGTCTTGGGTAGCGGGAACAAGTTCGCCCAGTGAGCGACCCGCTCGTGTTTATCCGCGGCGTCGCGAATCCAACCGACCATGTAGTAGAGGCGATCGCCGACGGTAGCAAGGATGGGACCGTGGACGAGATAGAGGGAGAAGGCGACCCGGCCGAGGAACTGGCAGAAACGCGACTCGAAGAAGCGCTTGAGCCAGGGCATGCGCGGGATGCAGGCGACGATCATGTTGCCCGCAAAGAAAAGGTAGAACCATTTGTAGTCGAAGACGGCTTGCGGCTTGAGGAAGGATAGGTAGTACCAGCCGGGGCTTTTGCGCAAGTCCTCAAGGTCCTGAGTGTGGGAGGGCACGCCGCCGAGGTACATGCCGAAGACAAAAAGGGTGTAGAAGATTGGGACCTTGTACGGCTCTAACCGGCGGAGCCATCGAGGGAAGTAGCCGCCTTCCCTCTTCGCAAGCAGGTCGAGATCACAATGGATCATACCCGCCGTGAACAGTGCGCAGTAGTACCCGTCGACTACGTAGAGGAAGTAATAGGTAAGCGCGAGCAGGCAGAGCAACCGGGCCTGGTGTGAAGCTCGCGCCAGCGCGATGCAAGCGGTGTATGTGATGAGAGACCCTCGCATTTCCAGCGGGATGGACCACAGGTGGGTGTTGTAACTAACCCACGGCCAACCCTCCTTGTAGATGAAGCTGAAGTTCTTGATCTCCATGTACCAATTCCAGAGTTCTTCGGCGATTGTCGACTTGCCCTCCCATGTTGGGTTCCAGATAACGTTACCGAAGAGATGCCAAGACACGGCAGACACCAACGTCGTCACCATGATTGGAATATAGAGCCGGAACCATCGTCGAAAGAAGGCCGAGGCGATGTTGTCGAAGAGCTTCAAGTGTTCGCCAGCATGAATCAAGGACAGCGGCTTGACGGAAAGGACGTAACCGGAGATAATATAGAAAATCCCCACGGCCATGTGGCCGCCAGTGAAAAAATTCCGAATCCCGGGCAAGGTCGCGAGGTGATATTCATTGTCGTACCCGTACGCATTCTCAAAGACCACATAAGCCCTCAAGTCGTGCGCCCATAGTTGGTGGTGATGAATGTAGACCAAGAATGCCGCGAACCCTCTCAAGCCATCAAGGTAGGCTGTTGGCCGCAGCTGTCGGGGAGCGTCTGAACTGCTGTTGCCTTTGGGCCACAGCAGCTGTCGCAGCCCACGGAAGGTGGCCGATTTCATGGTGAACTTGGGGAGCTTTACTGATAGGATCGCTCCATCCGGATAAATATCAATCCTTGGGGGTGTCGTTGTGTCGCTACCACTCCGTACTAAGGGTTCCTCTCCGCGAAGCTCAAATGTTGGCTCTTTGTCTGAAGGGCCGAAACACTGAGAAGCACTGCGAGTGGAGCGCGAGGTCAGCCGAAAAAGGGAAGGGATTTGCGACCGAAAATGGCGAATGGAACTGTGCTCACCAACGCGGGCTTGACGTGTTCTGGCCTGTCTGGGGGAGCCACTTTCACCCTTGTTGAAGGAAAGTGAACGGAGGAAAGGTGAAAAAGAATTGACTGCGACCCGTCCTATGAACTTCAACCACGCTGCGAAGAGACCTGCTCAGCTCTACGGCTTCCTCCCGAGTCTGGCCAAATGTGTTTGTTCATCCAGTGGGAGTGGAAGGATGACGGAATGGCTTGTGCTCGCGCCCTGAGGACCACTCGTTACTTGGGCGGGCTGCCGCAGCTGAGTCGCAGTCTGTTTCTCTTCCGACCCGACGTCCAAAAAGTAAGAATTTGTGCAGGGAGGTGGCCCGTAATTTTCGACGATGCGTTGAGCGAAATGCGCACAGTGCGATACGATGAGGTGTAATCCGATCGTTCTGACAGCCTAGGAGGAGCAGCCCATTCGAGTTATTACGGGGCAGTGGGGTTGCAGCGCCCCCTTTTCGGGGGCCTCCGCGGCCGATCGAGCAGCCGTCGCTCCAAGGACCCCTTTTCCGCTTGGCTCTCTCACTGGCCCATTTGCCTCTTTCTCCCCAAGCCATGGTGTCGGCCTTTGACGATTGGCCGGGAACGGCAGCTGCGAAATTTTACGCCTGTTCTCGCATCAGCGTTGCCACATGAAGGCACGCACCCGGTGGGTGTCCGACGCCAGCTTCCCCCTGCTGGGAAGATTTTTTCGATGGGCTGATTGGGCAAACGGCTTGGGATCCTGGTCAGACGAGTCCCGCTCCGCGACCAAATTGCCTGCCTCCATGATGAATTTCCTGGTCGCAGGCTCGCGGCCAGGCCAATCCGGGGACATGATAAGGACTGCTGGGGCGCTTGATTAGGGGCCCGGCGCCCTGGTTGCGGACGGGTTCATGATGGTCTGGCGTTTTCTCTTCTCTCACCCCCTTTCCATCTGACGCCGACATCTTTTTCCTCCCCTCTCCCTTTCTTTCTGCCCTTCGTTTCTTTCGTCCGTTGTCCATAGCAAAGATTACTCTTCATCAATTGATGCCACTCGCTTTCTTCCTCTAGGCGGCAGCACATCACTCTCGCTGAGCTGGTGAAGTCTCGGCACCGCTTCTTCCCAGCATGATCGCCAAAATCGGCTCACCGCTTGGGGCGCCTTCCCTGGCGGCGACAGCGGCTCAGTTCAGAAACCGCCTGCCCACCCAGTTCCGGCGGGCTCTCCCCATTTACATCGGCGCCGTTTGCTTGATTTTATTCATCTTCAACCTCAACCTTTTCCAGTCAAGCGGACGCGTGCCTCTCAGCCGCCCAACCGTTTCGGGCGCCAACGTCCCCCAAGTCCGCGGGGATTTTCCGAAAAAGATCTGGCAGACGTGGAAAGTGAACCCGCTCAAGTTCGAGGAGCGTGATCTCAACACGGCGCGGACATGGCTTGCCAAGAACCCCGATTACCGATACGAGGTCCTGACGGACGGCAATGACCTCCGCTATGTCGAATACCACTTTGGCCCCGACGGCTTCAACCGACCCGACATTGTCAACTTTTACCGCGATCTCAAGGCGGCCATTGTCAAGGCCGATCTTCTCCGCTACATGATCATGTATGCTGAAGGTGGCCTGTATGCCGATATCGACGTCGAGGCCCTGAAGCCGATTCAAAAGTTTGTCCCAGAGCGATACGCCGAAAAGGACATCGACATGGTGATCGGCGTCGAAATTGACGAGCCTGACTGGAGGGATCACCCGATTCTCGGCCCCAAGTCGCGCTCCTTCTGCCAGTGGACATTTATGTGCAAACCCCAGCTGCCTGTGATGATGAGGCTCATTGAGAAGATCATGTCGTGGCTGCACGGTGTTGCCAAGGAGCAGGGCGTTTCCATTTCCGACGTCGATTTGGATTTTGATCAGATCATCAGCGGCACCGGCCCGTCTGCTTTCACCGAGGCCATCATGATCGAGATGGATCTACACAAGGAGGACCCGAGGACCAAGATCGACTGGGACTTGTTCCACGACTTGGGCGAGTCCAGGGTTGTCAGCCGTGTACTTGTTCTTACCGTCGAGGCGTTTGCTGCTGGCCAGGGCCACTCGCACTCAGGTAACCACGAGGCCCGAGCCGCTCTTGTCAGGCACCACTACCACGCGTCCAACTGGCCTAGCAGGCACCCCCGCTACAGCCACCCGGCGTACGGTGAGGTTGAGCGCTGCAATTGGAACCCGGACTGCGTCAGGCAGTGGGACAAGGACGTCGAGGCTTTCTCCAAGTTGTCAGACGAGGAGAAGAAGAAGATCGTCGACCAGAAGCAGAGGGAGCGCGAAGAAGCCGAGGAGAGGAGGAAAGCTGAGGAGGAGAAGAAGAGGAAGGAGAAGGAGGAAGCTGATAAGAAGAAGAAGGAGGACGAAGAGGCGGCACGGAAGAAGAAAGAAGAGGAAGAGGCCGCTGCGCGTAAGAAGAAGGAAGAGGAAGAGGCGGCTAAGGACAAGGGGAAGGCGGCTGGGGGCAACCAGAACCAGCAGGAGAAGAAGTCTGGGTGGTTCACATGAGTCAAGAAGCTTTCTGTTTTCAGCATTCCTCGAGCGGCGAGGGCTGTTTTGCGTTGTGGAGTTCCTAGGGGTTTGAGTTAATGAGAGACGTCTATGTACGACGAACCCGGAGCCATGCCGGTGGGAGGGAGGGGTGGGCGGGTCACGGTGTAATGACTCGCTCCCGGCACGGCACCGTCGGCCCGGAGAGAAGTCGAGAGATGGGCCGACGGTGACTGGCGGGCGCCACAACGAAGGAAAATATCGGTGTCTGGATGGGATGCATTACTTACCGTTTTCGATGTACATAACCTTTGCTTTAGACCAAGTCGGGGCACTTGCTTCCATCGGTTGGCGTTGCTGGACCGGGTTTGGAGCGGCGCGTTGAACCGTTGCCGTTACCCAAACCCGAGTGGGCATTAGATAAGTTATAACTAATAACAAATACCCAATATAAACAAGGCCGGTCCGATCGATGTATGCGATTAGTTGTGTGGTCATGTCGTTTAGTCTAGGGGCCGGTCGCCCGCCGCCGAACAGAGGTGTGCGACTTGGGGTAAGTGGTGGATCAATCGAGGCCGCATCGACAACCCCGACTTTCGACAAGGCCGTTGAAGCTAGCCCGCGACAAAAGCTAATACACCCAGGTGCGAAAATCGGACGCGATGAAGCCGCCACAAACTCGAGTTGATGAGACGTGGCGTTGGAAAAGGAAGGAAGATTTTGCAGGGACTCCGGGCTAAAACAACTGCACTCATAGGACTGCGCACGGGTACCTTAAGGGAAGGCACGATAGACACAGCCTGAGCGGAGTACCCCGAACGGGGTCCTGCACGACCTTTGCCGGATTAACTCTCGTGAGTGTCACGGCTGGTTGCTTCCTGCTTGTGCCGCAATAATTACCTACTTTAGGTACGGTCACAATCCCGCAACGGTTACGGGCCGTTCCTCCCGACAGGCCGGGCCCGATAGATTTGAGTTCCCTCCGAAGGCTCCTCAACCCCATCGTCTCTACCCCTTAGCGGGGACGAGGTGTTCCACCAACGTGCAGGCTCGCTCAGCCGGCCCGCCCGTTAATTAGCTCAGATACTTCGTACAACATTGAAAACGCCCTACTTAAACTCCCGTCCACACGCGCCGATTATGCGACACCACCACAATTGCGACCCCCACGGCATAAGCACAAGACAAGTCCTGCCCCTTGCGCAATCTAAAAGGGTTTGAGCTCGGTATTGGAAACTCGATTCAAGATGCAGATTGCCGAATTCGCCAGGGTAAATAGCCCTTGGCAAGGAGCCGCATCAGCCAAGAGTGCTTGACTCCGGCTCGTCCCAGAGACGCCACAGCTCGGCAATATCTCTGGGCATGCGATGCGGCCTGTGTTCGTGGGGGTGCACCGAACCCAACGTCGCGAATCTACACAGCCCTTCCGAGGACACTCGACGGGACCCTCATTCATGTCTGCGACTCTCACCAGGCCTTAGCCGCCGACTGCGGCTGGCCAAGCCCTGTCGTACGCGAGTCTGTGTGATCGCCACACTTTGAGGGGTTCAAAATCAGGCACGGCATTGTCCCGGGGCCTTTTGCGGTGGCATCACCAAATCCTCGCCGGCATGGCTCGGAATGGCAACTAACATAAATACTTGGACTATTCCCCCTTCCCTCTGCTTTCACCGACCTCAACCGCACGCTGGCTTTACTCTCTTTTGACCGACGGGTTCGATCGCTTTTCCTTTCTGACGCTCCTTTTGCTTCAACACGGCTTGCCGGTAGTAACATGTTTAATTCTCATATAATCCCCCAGACGTTATTCACCATTTTACTCCCGAAGATGCAGACCAAGATCTTTCTTCTCGTCGCTCTCGCGGCTCTGACCGAAGCTCGCTTTGGCCAGGAAGGTTCTGTACAAAACATTATCCAAGGACTTGGCGCCTTTGGCAACCCCGGGGCCGCCGGCACTCTCGCTGGTCAAACCCCTGGTGTCCTTCTTGCAGGTGCTAGCGCTTGTGCCCAGGTATTGTACCGATGGAGGAACTTATTCCGCCACAGCGTTACACAGGGTATATACATTGACTAACACGCGATCTTAGCTTGAGCTCGCTGACCAGATCGTGGCTGAGCTCGGGACCGACCCTGAGGTTATTGCGGCTGCTGCAGCCCTGGTTGCTGCCGAAAAGAACTTCAATCCTTTCGCCCAAGACACCCCAAACCTCTGTAGTGACGCCAGCCTTCCGGCCACGCCTGAGCTCCGTGGTATCATCCCGGCTGTTGACCCGGCCGTTGACGGGGCCGATGTTCAGAATGCTAACTCTGCTACATCGCTGGCAACGCCTTTTGATGCCACCGGCCTGAGTGTTGCGGAGGTCTCGAGGGCCCAGGGGTTCGAGAACTTCAACGACCAGGCGGCTTAGAATGGTGGCAACGGACAACCAACACGGCAGGGCCTGTTTGTACGGTATTTAGTCGCGCTAAGTCGTCTCTAGCATGTGAGGCGGGAGATGGGAAATACGGGAGTCTAATTAAGTCGAACCGACCTCTTCGGGCCGACCAAAATCAAAATATAATCTAAGCCTTAGATTGTAAACACTGCTAAAACCAGAACTAGTGACCTATGACCTGACCTAGCCGGAAATATCCTAATGTGCTTCCTCTACAAGCCGAAACACATGTGTGAAACAAAAGTCGCTCTATAATTCAACCAATTACGCCGTTTATCCAAACCCAATGTCTGCCCACCGTTCAAAAACCAACCCTTCACAACTTGACACTTTGCGCCCCGTGCAAGGCCTCAAACTCTTTGCTGAACGGCTGATCAATGTATCCGACGGGGGACTTGGGCAAGTAAAAGGTGCTGCGGTCGTACTTATTCAAGGGGATGCCCTCCTTGATCCGGAAAGGGAGGTCTGGGGTGGAGATGAAATAGCGTCCAAAAGTCGCGAGCACGTTCTTGTTCTTATACTCTTCATCCACGAGGGACTTGGCTTGGTTCGGCGACAGCGACCCGGCGATCAAAAGCGGACCATTCCACAAGTTGACCGCGAAGTCCAGGCTCTCCCCTTCCACCGGCGTCGACTCCGGCGCATCTCTGCTCCCATCTATGCGCCGCTGGACCAGGTGCAGATACGCCAGCCCGTGCACGCTAATCTTGCGGATCAGGTCCTCGAACTGCGGGATCGGGTCCTGCATCCGCATTCCCTGAAAGCGCGACCACGGGCTCAGCCGGATGGCCGTCCGCTCCGCGCCGATGGCGTCCACCACGGCCTGCACCACCTCCACGCCGAACCGCGACCGGTTCTCAATGCTGCCGCCGTACTCATCCGTCCGTTGGTTGGAGGTATCCTGCGTGAACTGATCGACCAAGTACCCGTTCGCGCCGTGGATCTCCACGCCGTCAAACCCGGCCTCGATCGCGTTCTTCGCCGCCGTCGCATACTCGGCAATGCGCGTGCGGATCTCAGGGATCGTCATCGCCACAGGCGTTGCCGCCGACGGGGAATCCGGAATCGGCACCGCGCTCGAGCTGTGCACCACAAACCCTTCTTTCGTCGCCACGCTCTCGTCGGCCGCGCGGCCTAGCGACCACAGCTGGACGAAGATATGCCCGCCTTTGGCGTGCACGGCGTCGGTCACTTGCCGCCAGGCTGCGATCTGTGCGGCGTTGTAGATGCCGGGGACGTTTTCGAAGCCTCCGGCTGTGGGGGAGATGAAGGTGCCTTCGGTCACGAGAAGAGTGCCGGGTAGGGAGGAGGCGCGCTGGGCATAGTAGGTGCCTGCTAGGGCCGGGACGGGGACGTGTTCGTCGGTGGCACGGAAGCGAGTGAGGGGGGCCATGGCAAGACGGTGGCTGAGGGAGATGGAGGGAGTGAGTTGGAGGGGCTGGAAGAGCCGAGACGCGGCGGTTGGGATAGAGCCCATTTTGGTAATGTTGATAGAAAGGCTGGTTGAGGTGGTGGTTGCGATGATGGTGGTTGTAGGTGCGGAAAGGGGTTTGTTTGCTGGGTCAGGCAACGTAAATATGGAGTCGGAGGTTTGATGGATTAAATTGGTTGTGTCGAGTCCTTATGATTTGGTTTAAAGGCTCTTATAATGTAAGTACCTAATTAGCCGATGATGGGATGGACAAATGTTAACTTCGAAAGCGAGGGGCTTCACGATTTATAAAAAAGCAGCGAGTCAAGGTGCAATAGACCGAAACCTTTCGAATGTTAAAGAGAGGGGTGTATCGTTTTTCAGGGGCCCACAAGGGACCTTGATTTCGTGCGACGCTTGATTTCTAATGCGCCTTTACGGGGTAGAAACTTCTGCGGCCGATGCCGATACCGATGTCGTGATACTCCGCATTCGGCGGCTAAATTTACCTTGGTCTGGTAACCCCCTGACTCGCTTATCGATCACAAAACTACAAATGTGAGATAGAGTTCTAAGATGATTAATCAGGGAGGTGGAAAGGTGATGGATGGTGCCAGTTTTCATGTGGGGCTTTGTTTCACAGGCTCGAACTTACAAGAATGCGAGAAATCGGATTCACTAATCGGGGCTGCATGCTTGAAATTTCAGTGTGCGAGAGAAGCGGTCGGCTGAAACTTGATTTGTCAACATTATTCAAGTTGTCTCTAGGTCCTCGGTCCGGGCCGTCCCTCTTAAAGACTAGGACTGAAATAACCACGGCATCAGACCTGCTTTACATGACAGGACTGTGGTGCTGAATTTGGCTATCCTAGGTAATTGAGCCAACCACTTCAACAGTTCGCCGCGACGAAGGGAAACCCGGTTCGTCAGCTTGAATTGATCGACATGCTGTTGAGTCTTGTTGGTAAAGGAATTGTCAAAGTCACGAGACAGGAGAACAAAAGTAAAGTGGTGAAATAATCAATCCTACCTACCTAGCTAACCTCCTATGAACCATGAATTCATGTTACAACCCATCCCATCCTTCCCACACTGAATCCCTGCTTGTGCCACCTATCATTATGCTGCTGGAATTGGCCCCAGGATTTGTGACTTGTGACAAACAACTGATGCCCGACTAGGATCGGATTATGCCACTGACAACTCATCGGCGTAGAGATCAAAAGACAGGGAAGGAAAGAAAAGAAATAGCGAAATACCCCTATGACGATCTTATCGGCAAAGGGAAGGATATAAAGAAGTTGAACCAAAGGAACATCTCAACGCCAATCTCATTGGCAAAGAGAAGACAAGCAAGGAAATAGAGAAAAAGTCACATTGCTCTGATGAACTCATTGGCAAGAGAAGAAAAGCAGAATCACCGCATCGTGACTTCTATATTGCGTGTTTTAACGATACGACCGATTCGACATGTCTATACGGCCGATTCCACGTATCCACAACGAAAACAAAGTGTTGTAACACGAACATAGGAGTGTAACAACAGGCTCAAGAGCTCTGCATTTTCTGCACCCACTTGATCATGTCTTCCATGGCCTCTGAAAACTCCTGAAACCTGTTAGGGATGGACGTCTCAGGGCTGTCAGGCTCGAAAGCGGAAGGCCTTTCCTCGGCTTGGCCGTAGGTAAGAGGACGGCTCGGGGCAGCAGTAGCCTCGTTGTGGCACGTAGTATTGTTGTGAATCGCCGCTATGGCGGCTGAGGAGGAGGTTGAATCGGACGTGTTTGTGGCGGTTTCGGGAATCGGGAACGTCGCCGCTCCTCCTGTTACCGCTGCTACTGCCGCGGCAATCAAGGCTTCCCCTTTTTTCTCCGTGGCACGTCGGTCCTTGGGTTGCTGGTCGGGAGAATGGGCGGGATCGGCAGGGCGCTGGGCATACCCCTGGGTAGCAGTGCCGATGGTCTCCGCGGCGATGGTTTCCGCTGCGATGGGCTCTGGAGTGATGGCCACCATCTTGGGAATGAGCATTTCAGCATACTCGTTTTTGAAGATGGCGTGGCCGGACGGGGGACATACCGGGTTCCCGCACACGGGGCCAGGAGGTGCCTCCTGAGGGCGACCAGGTAAAGCGTACTTGTTTCTACGAGTAAGCGCATCCGGGGTGCTCGTGGTTTCCGTCCTGTATGTTTTAGCTTCTCGCCTTGGTAAGGAAGAGCTACATGGAGCTGAAAAAAAGTGTAGAAAGTAGGAAACGTTCGCGCCGAGGGTTGAGGGCTAGTCGCACGTGTCGGTAGAGGCCAAGGAGGAAGTGTAGGTATGGTAAATATGCGATGGGGATTTCGAAATCGCCAAATGGGCACGAAACACCGCCAAAGGGGTAAATATGAGGGGTGCTTCGTAGTGTGTATTTGGAATGAACCATGCGGATATGACGAGGAGGACGGTAGAAGCTTACTCGGAAACGTGGGCAACCGTCTTGCCTAGGACGGTCGGGGTTTTCTCCTCTCCCAGGAGAAATTTTGAGGAAGGGGCCAAACCCTCCGGTTGGGAGTGGCCGAGTGAGGATTCTGCGATTTACCCCGGGGGGTGTGGTGGTTAGCTTAGGTATGCGAGGATCGAGGGTCATCCGGCAGGCCGGGGCCGGAGTGGATAAAGTGTATAAGTAGGCAACTTACTTCTAGAAGCTGAAGTCATTTCGATGATTATCTACATTCACGAGTTAGTCTTTGCGTGTGATACATGCCCTAGAGATGGGCGTTGTGGGAGCGTATAAAGTCGGGTCTCTGATACCTTTGGTGTAATGTGTTGTGCGTGGGAGAGGGAGAAGTAACTTTGAAAGAGGAGGAAACGGTCACGCACTATATAGTAGGCAGGGACTGCTTTTTGAACTCGGATTAACTACCCTTGCACACTTGTTCTTTCCTCTGGCTACCTGAGACGAAAGTTCTTGACCAGAACTGTGCCCGAGTGCAAGAACGGACATAGAAATCATATGAACTGGTGACTGGAAGGAGCGCGGGGATGGGACTTGGGTAAAACTACCTCTAGCTTGAAACGTGACAGACATCACGCTCCATACTCGTTATTAACGATATCTCAGTCGGAAGAGGGTTCGAATAATGCTTTCATTGCTCCGCCCTCACTTTATAGTTGTGAGGCTGCTTGTTATATTTGGCAGGACAGTCATTACGCCGTGTTTCCCGTTATGTTTGTCTGTCGTTGGTGTCCACGTCATTGTTCCTCCTGAACAACAAAAACAAGAGAAAACCCCGAACATCGGCGCTGAGTTTTGTCAAACAGGGGACGTATCTCACCGAAGGGAGATAAGAGTGCAAAGGAGTGTGAAATTCCGTGATAAATCCGCAAGAAATAATACAAGATAACACATTAGGATCACTAACGAGGGGGCATGAAAAGATGCTCCCGCAAGAAGGAAGTTGCCAAGACATCGCTGAGTTACAGTATCTATCACTGTCTATACACAAACGGGGTATCTTTAACCACAATCCAAATCGCAAGCTGTAATCCCATATGGTCAAGATCCAAGTCCAGATATACGCTGCTTTCCCATGTTGACACATCCAAACAAGATCAACCATGACCAGTCCAAGCTGATTACAGATGTTTCCACCCATTATTCACCACAATCTGCATCTCATCCACAGCACAAAATCCTCCTTTCTCCTCTCTCCCCGGCTCCTGTTTTGCCCACCGCTCAATCCTTCCTTTCACCTGGCGTTCCTCGAACCAGGGCGTCATCAGCCACCTTGCCAGCCTATTCTTCCACAGACCAAAATAAATTTGCCTCAAAGATACCCAGCTCCCCCCATTGCTTCTTACTCCACTCTCACTGTTTCCCTCATCTCCAGCGGGAGGAGCAGCAGCAGCGAACGGATGGACAGAATCGTAGGCAGCGCGATTATATCCAACACGTACGGCCGGGTTCACAAAGACTCCGCGAGCGCGCGAGGCGATGTGATTGTCGGCATGGATCAGGCAGCACTCGGAAGCCTCTAGGTGGGAAGCGGCGAGCGAGTCTGGGAGGCCACGAAAACGTAAACCGCGGAGACCGGTAAATGTGGAGGCGGGCATGGAGACTAAAGTATGCACGCACAACGTGTTAGGGACCATTTCAGCGAGGTAATATGTAAGCATAGGATAGGACGTACCGATGCCGTTCCAGCAGCTCGACACAGGGACGGGCTCGGCATGGAGCATTGCCTTGCGCGACTTAGCGGAGCGGAAATAGGGCCAGGATTGCGTGGCGTGTTCATGGCCGTGGGCGTCACGCAAGGCGAACGTATCGTAGAAGGAGGGCGGCTTGCTGAAGTCGAGCGAGCACGCAGCGGCATAATGGCCATTGTTGGTTTTGAGCAGGTTGAGGATGTCGGAAACCTGTGTTACTGTCAGCGGGGAGAATTCGGATTGAAAAGACAGATCTGGTGGGGATAGAGCGGGGGAACATACAGAGAACACGACATCTCCCAAAAATAGGACTTGATCGAAGGTCGTGCCGTTCTCAGCCAGTTCCACCAGCGGTTGTAGCGACAAATTCCGCAGGCGGGACAGGTATGGAATCCTCCTCGGCATCGTCCTCCCATCGGCAGTCTTAATCCACCCTTCCTGCTCAGATGCCCCCTCAATCAAATCCTTGTGCGTCTCATCCTCGAGAATAATCTTCCGCGCGACGCCCGCCTTCTCCAAGTCGGCGTCCAGCTCGCGCAGGGCGCCCTTGGAATTGTCCCAGCTCCCGCTCTCATAGACGCTGACAAAAACATTGGCAGCGCCAAAAGCGCGCACCAGCTCCATAACGCCGCGGTTCCAGTCGGACCGCAGGATCTTTTCGTTATTCCAGTGCAAGCTCGCGATGAAGATGCGCGTCGGTTCGACCACCACGGTGCGAGTCTGCGCCTCGCGCTCGGCGTGTGCGATGCGGTAGTAGATAAAGTGCGCATCAATGACGGTCCAAATAAAAAAGACTAGGAGCAATCGCTTGAGGGCCGTGACCAACCCGGGGGTCGTTCGTGGTCTGCGGAGATGGCGGTGGAGGATGGACATGTCGGCGGTGGGTTTGGTGGAGTTCTCATGGGGGCGATGGTAGTTTAGGACTCGGGTGTGAGATGAGCGATCGATAAGCGGCCATGGCCAGAATGGCGGACACACGGCCTGCTTTAAATATGTCGAGGACTCTCCGTTGTCACGAACTTTGTATGCGGGTTGGAAGACATGACGTTGGAAAGGCCCCAGTGGGAATGTGGTGGAAGCAGAGAAGTGGGGCCAAACACGCTAAGGTTACTGCTGGAAATGAGGCTCAACGGCCTGTGCTCAGGGGTACATACTCCCGTACCTACCATGTAGTACAGGGATTTGTCGTGTTGTGCAGCCTTGGCAGCCGTCCGAAACCTTTTAAGGTTCCTCTATCACCGCAAAATGGACACCCAATAGAACTTGATGGAAACAGCCAGGGACGGTGAATAACGAATTGAGGACGTAATCGAATTCAAGGCCACATTTTTCTCTCGTCCCGAGTTTCCCAGTATAAATACCTCCTTACCTCGTTCCTTTTCTTCTCTGTGTTTTCCCCCTCACTTCTCACTCTCACCACCCTCCGGTTCCTCCATCTCGACTCCCACGAACCCCGCGATCAACCGCCTCCATAACTCTTTCCCTTCCTTATCGCCACCCTCTTCAACGTCACTTTTGCTCTCACCACCCTCAGTACCTTCACCGGCCTTAGTCCCAGTACTCTTTGTCAGCGTCATCCGATTGCCCACCACCACCAACCCAGCCTTGGCCCTCGTCAGCGCCACATTCATCCTCCGCCGGTCGCCCAGAAACCCAATGTTTCCTTTCTCGTTACACCGCACCGTAACCAGCACCACAATGTCGGCCTCGCGACCCTGAAACCCGTCGATGCTGGAGACTTCGACGGTAGTATCGCTCATGCTGGCGGTTTGGAGGTCTGAGAGGAGGCGCTTGAGGAGTTCGGCTTGTTTGGCGTAGGGCGTGAGGACGGCGATGGTTTGGGGTTTTGGTGGCGTGGGGGACTTTGGCGATGTTTCCGAGGACGGGGTGCATAACAGTCGGCAGACTCTCACGCACAGCTCGGCCTGGCCTTGGTTCGTCTTGGACTTCCCGCCCAGCGCTTCCCTCTCGACGCAGTCTACAAACACCGTCCTCGCGTGGTCCCCCGCCCCATTAGGATCCTTCGGCCAGGGAAACGCCGAATGGAACAACGGGCGGGCGGTGGGCGCTACACCCGTGAGGAGAGCGCCATCGTAGAACTCGGCTGAGGGAAACGCGCTGATGGACGGGTGCATGCGGTACTGCGTGTCGAGCATCAAACGGGCGAGGAATGGCGGCGAAGCAAAGAGGGAGGTGTCTTCCTCTTCGTCTTCTTGGGTTTTACCGTCTCCAGGGGAGGGTTGGTTGAACAGCCGCTCAAAGAGGGATTTATCGAATTCCATCCCGAGGGCCGGCTGTGTCACCGTTGGGCGTAGTTGGACGTGGTCACCCACCAGCACAGCTTTCTCGCACCCCTTCACTAACGGCACCAGCGACGCTGGCTCCGTCTGCTGTGATGCCTCGTCCACGATGACGATGTCAAAAACCTGGTCCCGGAGCAAGCCTAGCCCCGCGCCAATACAGGTGGTGAAGATGATACCACAGGCCTGGACCTGCTTCTTGGCTTGGTCCATTGCGCGGCGGTCGGCATAGATCTCTTTCCCTACCATGGCATCGCACGTGTACCTCCTCAAGTCCTCAGCCACCTTCCGGATCTCCGTCGAGACGCGTAGTGGGGCGAGATGCGGGTTTGCCTTCTGCACTGTCGCGCTGACCCGACTGAGGTACCGGCGCATGACATTGTCGACGGCGTTGTGTGTTGGGGCCGTGACGAGGAGCCGTGGCTTGTCGAAGCATATCTGGAGCGCCTGGATGATCTCAACAATGGTCTCCGTCTTCCCCGTCCCCGGTGGGCCCCAGAGACAGGTCAGGGGCGAGTTCAGTGTTGCCTGGACTGCTTTGTTTTGGCTGGTGTTGAGGTTTCCCTTCTCAGGGTAATCATCCAGCACCCGTTCGAGTCCGCCTTCCAGGACCCCCGGGCTGGACGATCCCGGCACATCACCTAACAGAAGCTGATTTGCTACCCCGCAGCAATCCTCAAAGTCGATGGCGAAGTTTCGTACCGCATCAAACATTGTCTTGGCGGTAGTAAACGGCCCGCAATACGTCAACTTCCACGGACACGCCTCATAAAACGGCGGCAGCGGGTGAAGACATTGAAACCGTGCCAGACCTTGCTCCGAGTGTGTCACCAGCGCATCGATTGAGTACGGCGTAGCTAGGGGCGCATTTGACGGCGCCATCGCCGCCGTCAGACGTACGTGTGCTGCTCTCTCTGGCGTACCCCCGGTCGAGTCGATGCGAAATGTAATCTCCACGACCTGAAACCCCTCCGACTCCTCTGGTAGAAGCTTTAGCTTCAATAGGTCTTTTCTCGTCTTGGTCCGGTCCTCCAGTGGTTCTGGACACTCGCCAACATGATCCAGCGCAATCGCGATCGTGTTTCTCACAAAGTGGCGGACGACCGCCGGGCGTCCTGTCAACAGCCGCGGGCTCTCGCGCTCGAAACATTCCAGCAGGATATCGGTTGCTAGAGTGGGCTGGCGCACCGTGAGAGCCGTAAGCTCGACCAAGCTGGCGAAAGCGGCAAAGCTCAGGCCGGCCACTCGCGACAAGAAGTTCTGCAGCGGCCGGATGACGAGGTCCTGGGCTTCGTGGGCACACATGATGTAGGCGCGGAGGATGTCGAGGGAGTAGGTGTCGAGGAGGGTGTGTAGGTGGGCGAGATACTCGTCATCCTCGCTAGAGCCGAGGGGTTCCATGCGACCGAAAGCAAGGGCAAGGAAAGGGGCTGGGCGGAGGAAGCTGATCATTACCGGCAGGAGAGTTCCCGCTGGCAGGTCCATTGCACTTCTGTCCCTGATGTTGGCCAGGAGGTAGTCGAAGCTCTTCAACAGCAAGTGCTGCTGGTTTCGGCGTAGCAACCACGTAAATGCTTGGTTGAATAGCTCGGCCCTCTCGAGTCGTTTGTACGCGGCAAAATTTTGGCGCCGCGCGATGTTGACGATGAATACCGGCTCTGAGTCCCAGTCGACCCCCTTCAAGTTGGCGATCGTGTAGTCCTCCACCTCATTGTCAAAGAGCGGCAGCCTCTTCTCGGTGTCGATGTGTTCAATCCAAAGGTCTAACGTCCTCATGGACTTGACATCTCGGTTACTGATTACATATATTTCCTGATGCAAAAGGTTTGTCAGTAAGAACTCGGCCGCTCTTCCCGAAATCAAGAACTCACCGCAGCAGAAAGTCCATTCCGGTTAACCCTCCCCACATGTTTCTGAAGCCCGCTGCTAAACTTATTCAGCGCAATACTGACGCGATAGTCGAAATTCTTCCCCGCGTCCACCGTTTCCTGCCTCTGCCTCCGGCGGTCGCCTACATTCTCAGTACTCCGATACGTGCTATCGTCTGACCGGCCTCGGGCGATATACACCCACGTATTGGCCCGCTGGCCTTCAAAGAGCTGAAAGATTCCGTCGTCGCAGAACAGCTGGTATGTCTTTTTGGTCGGCAGCGACGTCCGGCTCTGCGTCTCGGTACCCTGAGAATGGGGAAATGCAAAGAGTCGGACCGTGTCGTCGACGAGGCAATCCTGGGCTTGCTCGATGATCTTCGGCACGTAGATGGCGACGGTCAGGCGCTCGTCCACGCGCAGGATGAGCAGTTTGCGGTGGAGCATCCCCATGGTGCGGGCCGCCGTGTCAAGGAAGGTGCCGAGACGGTCTTGGGTGGTCGAGTCAAAGACGCATTTCCACTGCACATTGGGATGGTCCAGTTGGAAGCGAGCAGCCGCTTCTCGGGGGAGGAGATTTGAGGAGTAGACGGCGTTTCGGAGGAGGACTGGGAGCTGCGGCGATGTGGGTGGCAGTTGCTCGAGGACCCACGCTCTCTCCTCGCTGTTAAGGACGTTCATATCGAAGAAATGAAGCAGGTCCTCGAATTTGGTGCCGGTCTTACGACACCACCGCAGGGTCAGACGGAGGAGATCAAATTCCGACATGGCCACATCCTCACGACTCAACAGAAGCTCGATGGCGTCAAAATCGTACCCTTCCAACCTAGTCACGCGGCTCGACGACGGCGCCTGGGTCCGCTGGATTAGCTCTTTCGCTGCGTCATGCAGATAATCTAGAATAAACGGTGGCGCATCCGCGGCTGGGGCGGGCGCTTGCTCCAGCTTGGGCGGTACCCGGATGCGATTCCCGTCGACGCACTGGGAGAACAACCGGTTCAGCTCCTGACATTGCTCCGCCATGGGCCCGCGTGCCCGCGCCCAGTCGAGGTAGAGGTTCTTGACACGGCCGAGTGAGGCGTTGGTGTAGCGGGCAAAGTACTCGAGCCGGTCGTCGTCGGTGATGGGCTTGAATTGGAGTCGCTCCTTGACGCCAGGGTATTGTGCAGGCCAAGAAAGATGGGGCGGGACAATGGCGTTATCCCAACAGACGAAGACTGTTGGACATGTTAGTATGCGTGTTGCTTTTCGCTAGATGGGGAGGAATACTCACAGGTATCACCATCTAGGTCACCTCCCGACATCATGTCTGCGGCTGGCCTACGTCCTTGGGTAGAAAAGACGATGCAGTCCACCAAGTGGCTTAACTCCGGCTTGTCTACAACTTTGAACTTTTGTAGGTCCCCCGGGTGGAGGCAGGGGTTTCTCGTCACCAGAACGTCGCACCCTTTCAACGCAGTAGGCTGTCCATCACCCTCCAGCGTGATCTTGACAGCGCATTCACCTTCCTTCAGAACGCCCCAGGCGTCACAGATCCCAAATAGGAGTCTTGATTTAGGAAGCAGGATCCGACATCGCTGTTCTTCCCGCTTGTTCAACATTTTCGTGTACTCGTTCCGCACAAGAGCCTGGATCCTTGGCCGGACGGCGTCCAGCGAGTCTAGGAGGACCTGTTCAGCGAGCTGGGGCATGTTTAGGTACGAGAGAAATCGGAAAGCGGCGCGGGGGTCTTGAGATGCTTCGGCCAGATATTGGAAGTGTTCTTCTTGCTTGCGCTTGAGCACCGTACGATCCATACCTAGCGCACTTAACAAAACGATGACCTCGTCATTGAGGTACCCATACGTATATGGCTGGACTCAGTCCGTGGTATGGTCAGCAAATAAATAGGGGTAACACAACGCGAAGTTTAGGGGCCTGCATCTCACCTTGGAGTACTCGACAACCGAAAACGAATAATCATCCCCTCCCGCGAACTTCTTCATAGACTTCCTCATCTTCAATAAAACCTTCTTATCACCGGTTACCGCCGCCCCCATCCTCGGATCGACCGTCACAACCCCCTTATACCCACGATACCGAATCTGCATAACCGACGGTGTGTATCTCCGATCCCGAAACACCACACCAACCCTTCTCGCCAACTCCTGGGCCAACCGAGGCGCAATCAGCCCACACCCATCTGTGAAGATATAATCCGCCGTCTCCACATCCGGGATATCCTCCACACGACTCGGATCAACTGTCATTGCTACCCGAGCGGTAGAGAACAAGAGCCCGATCCGCTTCGCCTTCTTCGCAACTGTTTTCATCTTGGAGAATTCCCCGAGGGAATCTACCTTGCGCGAGACAACATCGCGAGGTGCGGCATAGAGGACACAGGTCCGCGACTTGAGCTGGCTGTTGCTGTGGCCGTAGAAGTTGTAATGCACGCCCTGGAGAATGATGCCTGTTCTAAGGAGACGCGTGGCGTAGTCGGCACATTCTCTGCTGGTCAGAGGTTGTGTAGCGGCTGATCCGGCCGTTGTTGTCGTTGTTGCCGTTGGGGCATTGGTGGTAGTCTTGCTCGTTTCTGGCTTTTGACCCCGTGGCTGGGCCCGGAGCTCCGCAATAGAGACCACGAGGAATTTGTTTAGAGGATCGCCGCGGATGGCCCGATTGTCCTCGGCGGTTGCGAAGGTAAGGACTATCTCGTTCCTCCCTCCCGTGGTAATGACGCTGACGGTCTTCATTAGCCGTTTCTGGTCGAGTACCTGAGGCGACGGGAGGTTTTTGACTTGGTACTTCCATTCATGGTCATCTAAACTGACATGGTCTTGCAGTTTTATTCGGAGATTTGCAAGGTTCGGTTTCTTTGTCGCAGATTTGGTGTTTTTGGAGGCCATGATGTTTGGGGGCGCGGGTGATTTGGGAATGAGAACAGGCTGCGCAGTAGACTGGGAAACTTAAAATTTGACGTCCCGGCAAAAATCGTTGTAAATCATGGGGTTGTTTTCTACACGGAGCAGGAATTATATACAAAGGAACGACAGTGGCCTGGAGGCATAGAAGTGAAGTTACACAACAGCGAAGATGAGGCCGCGAGAACTTGTGATTGACCACCATACCTGACTTTCCCCGCTCAATGTCGCTGTAGGCCTCACTGCGTGAGCCATGTTGGTGCATATCAGGGTTAAAGATCCTTCTGCTTGAGGGTGATAAACTGGGTGGCAGCCACGGACTTTAGGAAATATCCACACTCAATCTTGTAAGACCGAGAGAAAAGAACCCAAATTAAGAGAGACAATGGATACATCAAAACCACCACCCAGTATTTATATCGTCGGCGCCCAGTGCACCGGCAAGACCACCCTGGTCAACAACCTCCGAGCCTACTTTGCTAGTGCAATTCCTTCCGCTCTGCCACCAGCCATTGTGACTGAAGTCGCCCGCACCGTCCTCCAAACCCATCACTTCACCGCCCGCGACGTTCGCATCCCCGCCCGCAGTCTTGAGCTCCAACGTTTAATTCTTCAGGCTCAAGCCATCGCCGAGCGAGCGGTCCTAACGCCAACGACGGCGGCGAGGACCCCGTCGGAATCTTCGGAGACGCAATCAGAAGTTGAGGCAGCGGCGGCCACACAAACAAAAGGGGAAGCAGGGCCAGGATGGTTCATATCTGACCGCTCTGGTGCTGACCCCATCGCATATGCAATCCGGTATGTCGGATCAGATGCGACTCAAGACTTGATCAACTGTTCGGAATGGTCGAGCGAGTTACGCGACCGGATGCGTGCCTCCGTGGTCGTCGTCTGTGAGGCGAGCGGCGTCGCGGCTGGATGGTTGACAGATGATGGGGTGCGGTTGATGCCACGGGACCTTGGGGAGTGGGTAGGGTTTCATGAGATGTTTTGTGAGTTTTTAAAGGGGCAAGGCATTGGGTATCATGTGTTGAAAGCTGAGATAGGGGGGCATCAAGACAGAGTCAAGTTTGTAGTGCAAAGGTGGAGAGAGAAGTTGGGGGAAGGTAACCATTTGGGGTAGCTAGATACGTACATGTACCCGCTTAGTAGCCGTACGTAATTAATTATGTACCAGGTTGGGTAGCCATAGGAGGAAACAGGGCGGGAGAGTTTGGCAAGGCACTAAGGAGATGGGTGTGTGGATTACTTACCTAGGTACCTATGCATGAAAGACGCCTTGGGTGCTCTTTAGGGATTTGAGCACACATCTAGGCAATGTCACTTGGCCCAGCTGGTTTATCATGTCCATCGAGGTGGCAAGCAAAGACGGTTCATGATTTAGATACCCGTTTTAGGGCGGGGAACAGGCAAGAAGAGCTTGTACTTAGCACGAACGCACTCAAAACTTGAAAATACCCCTGTCGGCCATACATCGGACATGGCAACAGGAAGGGGCGCTCAGGTGCAAGCATGCTTGGGTTTGGCGGGATATTCCTTCCTTGCTGGGAATGAATGTCCCCGATACAGTACCCTATGTAAGTCTGCTCTCGAGTGCCACGGCATACAATGCGCACAGCCGGGCTTAGGTGAGCCGGGCAACCAATCTCTTTTTATTACTCCAGGAGGTCACCACGTCGATGGCTCAAGTAAACAAACCATCCCGACTAAGGTAGTCCCTGCAGGGTGACATCACTGGCTGCAACCACTTAAGATTGGCTCGAGACTGGCTCTCAGCGTGTGGAGATCAGGGATTTGTTGGTTCCAGACCCTGGGCTTCCAGAAGGTTGGCCCTGTGATGTGGGGCACAGGAACCCATCCCTCGCCCAAAATCACTTCGCCCCTCCTCAACACCATCTCCCTTGTTTATTTAGAAGGCTAGTCAAGGCTTTTACACGCTTATACGGTCCCAGAATCATATATATATACTTTCTTCTCTTTTCCCGATAGCCTCAGATCGTCAAGATGTCCCCAAGTGCTGAACCAATCCAGAACGCCGACGTTCCACAAGATGTCGGTATCGTGCCTAACCCGAACCCAACCATCACCGGGCCATGGGCGGTTGACAAGGTTCTGGAAACAATCCCGACGGGGAAGCCCGCTGAGGGAACAAGCTCTCCAGTTAGCTATTTCCACATTCTTGAGCGTCTCAAGACCACGAAGCGCGAGGGCTGGCGGAGGTTTGACATCAACCGGTTCGTGGACGCCCACCTGGCCGTACATTTCCCACCCCCCCTTTGATCGCACATACTAACTGGTTGTACCTTTCCAGAGGTGAATCGATCTCCGACCACATGTACCGCATGTCCATGATGAGCATGCTCGCACCCCCCTCGCTCGCCGCCCGACTCGACCTTACCAAGTGCATGAAGATGTGCCTAATCCACGATATGGCCGAACTACTGGTCGGGGACATTACGCCTGTCGACAATGTACCAAAACCCGAGAAGAGCCGCCGCGAGGCTACCACCATGGACTACATTACGCAGCGGCTGTTGGGTGGTGTTGATGGCGGCAATGTTGGTGTTGATATTCGCGCAATTTGGCAAGAGTACGAAGACTCCAAGACCTTGGACAGCCTGTACGTTCACGACATCGACAAGATGGAGCTGCTCTTGCAGATGGTCGAATATGAGAAGCGCGGGAAAGGGAGGCTCGACCTAGGCGAATTTGCGTACGTCAAGACTAAGATCGTCCTTGACGAAGTGAAGGCCTGGGCTGAGGAAGTGATGGCGGAGCGGGAGGCGTTTTGGGCGGGCCAGGCTCACGTCAACGGCGAGGCGGGGGTCAACGGGGGCGTGACCGCTGAGAAGAAGGCAAAGCAGGATGCATACTATAACAAGGAGTAGATGATGGGGTATTTTCTTCTTTTGGTGTTGTCTTCAGGCCGGCCCTATATTCTGGACTTTTTACTAACTAGTTTTGGGAACCGAGCATCGGGTATGAACATGAGCGAGGGAGGATCCGTATCTTGTTTGGTGGGTTTGAAACTGGCATTGCATTCGAGACTAGATACCATACACCGCGAGGTTTGAGATCATTCCGGGATTGGCCATCGGTGACCGTGTAGTAACCCTCGCGGCTTTCAATATCCCCAGTGCCCAGCGTTGCATTGTCCTAACTGCTGCTGTGTATTGGGGAAATGGAGGTGCCCCGCATTTGAAATTCGCTGGAAATGCTTGGTCGCATGAGTTTCGCCTGTTGCCCGCACTTTCTCCAAACTTCCCACTGGGACTCACCTCCGGCTCCGTATGCGCTTTGTTTATCATCAATTTTGGCACGGCAACCATACGCTTATCCATCACAGCCAGCGTCCACGAAGCGACCTCAACAAAGTCCAAAACTGTGAGAACGTCTCTGAACAGGGGATTGACACGCCACGAATTCGTAATAATATATTTTCGATAGTTACTAAGTAATTTCGACAGATAATTTCGGATACGCCCCACAGGCTGAACCACTTGGCAAGGCTCCACTTGCTCTGCTCTCGAAGCCATTGACCGCGACTTGTTCTCGGACCTTTCTAACCCCGAATATCTTTCGGTTTCTCGGCATCGCGAAGCGGATGCTCTTCGGGGGAAATAAACCGCGCTTTTCGAACCCCTCGATTTCTAACGAACCCCCGATTTTTGAACGAACCCCCCAATGCGCGCCGCTTGCAGCTCGCTCCTTTGACCACACCCGATATACGAAGTATACTGACCGACTCAAGTCCGCGAGCCGCGATCGATCAAGAACGGGAACAAAAGGTTCAGATATCATGCTGCTTAGCTAGCGAGAGGGATAGACGATAGCGGCGAACTGTGCCTGTGTGCCTGGACAACCCCACCAAACCACATCAGCTCCGGTCGAAGCTCTGGTTGGTTGCCCCGAGCGGCTTGCTGCACCTCGAAGCCTTGTCCGACACCCCGCGCTCAGCGATCACACGCCGCCGGCGCATCGAGACTCGAATCGAGCTTGAATCTTTCAAGCAGAGGAGGGAGTTGAGAGACCGCCAGCGACCAAATGCCCGTGGTCGATTATTGAGATTCATACCTACGATTCAACACGCCCGGCGCACAAGCCCCCAGCTCCAAGACAGGACCCGGCTGCGACCTGCATACGACGATCCAAACAGAGGCCTGAGCTCGCTTATCGGCGGTGGTGATCTGGTCGGGCATCGACATCGTTGTGGGGCTTTTCGATAGATTATTCATTCGTCTCGCGTCGTTCCAATCATGTCGTTCCCACCACAGTTTCAATCCCCTGGTGGGTTCAAAGTCGACGCAGTTACAAGACCTGGCGAGCCACTCCATGCCAATATCTTTCGCCCACCATCGCCAACCTCTTCGAGCTATAATCTAGCTAAATCAACCGGCAGCCTCCTCTCCGACATTTCGATGCCGAATGCGCCCGCGACGGGAACAATGAAGCGAAAGCGTGCGACCATGCGAGACCCAACCCCATTAAACTGGGGCATGAACATGGACGGTACCTACGATAGCCGGGAAGAACATAGGAATCAGGCGTTCAGGTATACGCTCGCGGGGCAGATCAGCACTTCACCAGCTGAACTTCCAGCGGGGGCTGAAAACGGTCTGCTCGAGGACAGTGTGTACTCGGATGTTGACTACCGAAGGGCGCTGGGACCAAAGGCGATGCTCGAAGCAGAATCGCCATCTGACCAGACCCTGCCCGCCTTAGACACGGTGGCGCCGGTAGCGAGTTGGAGTTTGTTGAGCTTGCAAACGATAGGAGAGATGGTTGGCAAGGTCTGGGAGTTCTGCAAGAAAGGCGCATTCAGGGGCTTCCAGGCAGGGGGCGGCCAGGCCTACAACATGGACGGAGCAACAGTGACCGAAACCACGGGCGAAAAGCCGTGGGCGACAGAACAGGATGCGCCTATACAATCCGCTGAAGAAACCGGCATGATTACGAACCCGACAACGTATGCGCCAGATCCCGCCCCTGTCCTTTATTCTCCCGAATATCATGACCCCGGACCAAGCGAATGGTCACCCCAGCCGGCAGCTAAGCGACGGCAAGTCAGCGCGAACAACGACGAACTTAGGAACTGGGTTGTTGTTGATGAAGCCAAAGCTGCAGGGACGAGGCCCTATGGCCCAGCCCAGTCTCGACCTGGATACCACAGCCAGGCGTCAGTGAGCGGCCATCGCCGGATTTCGGTACCCTCCCAGCGATTCACAGGTGGAACTCCAACCTTCCCTCGAACCCGCGCACGCCCATCGCTCCACGTCTCGCAGACTAGCTCGCCTAGCCTTGCCCAACGCGAACCTGCCAGCTTCGCTTCTCCGCGCTCCTCCCCCGTTGCCGGCTCTACACCCAGCCGAATCCCCGTCCCTATCCAGTCACCCGCCCATCAGAGTTACAATCCCAACCCCTTTGCCGTTCCCAGTCCAACCATTTCTCGTGCCAAGACCAGCTTGACACCGCTCAAAACCACGGCAGGCGCCCGCTCGGCCCCCCGACCTGCTTCCCGCCCGATATCTCGCCACAGCGCACGCCAAAGCCTCGGAGGTAGTATCACTACCGGTGGTCTCCGTCCCAACTCTCCTTCCAAGCTCTCCGCCGGGCCTAGTCACCGCCGGACTCATTCCTCCGCCTCTAACTCCGCGGCATCGTCATTCAATATGGGGCCAGCTGCCGGGGGCGCCAGCAGCGCGACGACGATGTCAGTCTCGAATCGACGGCAGAGCGCCAAAGGTCCCTCAGACCTGCACCAAAAATCCACAAGTCCGCGACTAGACGCTGAAGCGCGACAGTTGGCGCAGCGCAAAATGGCCGTGGAACGGGATACAGATGCCAAGGTGGATGCATTCAATGCGCAGTTGTTGAGTATGATTCGGCAGGGGCGGGAGGCGTTGGGGACGAAGGTGGAGGTAGAGATGGATGTGGATGAAGGGGGTCTAGGTGGAGAGGGCGAGTTCGGCGGATATGTGTATGGGGAAGGCGATCGTGGGGGATATCTTGGCGTTGGAGGAGGACCGAGGGTTGGGGGTGGTAGGACGGTCAGTGGTGGTTGGGAAGATGATGAGTGAGTTTACTTTGTCGGTTGATCGCAACTCTGGATACCGTTTGAAGAGATGAACACGCTCGTTCAAGGATATGCACAAAAGGCTCGATGGAATCAGTTGGGAATAGGCCGAATGAGCCAAGAACGGATACAGACCGCTTGTTTGGGACATGTCAGTTTATTTGCACCATTTTGCGATTGGAACGGAGTTTCAGGGAACGGATGAGCACAGGAATCCGGGTATAACACACGAATTTGACCAGTATTCCGCACTATAGGCTGTGGGATAGCCTTTTTATATTCTGTATTCACCTTGTTTAGTCACAGGCAGTCTGAATATCACAGAATGAACTTATATCCAAATCCACCCCCCCCCCCGCCCCCCTTCCTAATAAGGTGACCTACGAAGGTTCGAAGTCGTTGAGAGGCCGGAGTTAAACCACTTGGTTGACTGCATGGTCTTTTCTATCCCGCGCTTCAGCTACCGAGCACTTTCCCTCACACATTTCCTAAGAGTTTTCTCGGTATTTACCGGGCTTTCTCGGAGGTTATCGTGGCATAGCATGTTAATAGTCCTGTTCTCCCACCCTATGATACTATTTTAACCCCCTGGGGATACGAGCTCACTCATAACTCTCCATGAGTATATTTCCCTCGACCGCATTCGCAAACCCTTCCCCATCCATACCTCCCAGATGAGTCGAATGCGCCCACGGCTTAGCCTTCACCTCCTCCCGAATCGTGCGAGCAAAGCACCCGGACCACCCTTCCCTCTTAAACGCCTCATTCACCTCCCCCCGCGTCGTCTCATGCACCAAGTACGGCCGTGCCCCCAGGTTGTCGTACACCGTGGCCAGCTGGATCAACTGGCCCAGCCAGGTGATGGCACCCGTGGTGCCGAGGTCTTGGTGCCGGATGATGGCCTCGACCACGGCTTCGGTTTGCGGGACGGGTGCGGCGTGCGGGGTGGAGGAGAGGAAAGCGTGGGCGGCGATGGCGCCGCGGAATTCGAAGGAGAGGTGGGTGGTGGTGAGAAAGGCTGGGGCGGTGCCGAGATCGTGGAGCAGGGCGGTCAGGGCGATGGTGGATGGGGAGATGGGAGGGATTTTGGTGAGTGAGGAAAACTGCTGGGCTTGGATGATGGATGCTGTGGGAGATGTTAACCACTGGTCATGACTTGCTGCTGAAAGCTTCGAGGGTGGACATATAATTACCCCAGTAAAAGACGCGCATGGAGTGGTTGTAGGTCTGCTGCGGTAGGTGTTCTTTGGCATAAGCTTGGGTTTTAGCCACGATGGGGTCGTCAGATGGGAAAGGAAAGTCCTTGACACTGGCTGGGCCGGGTTTGTGAAGGTATGGTTTGCCGTTGAAGATTGCCTCAGCGTCCACGGGGACAGCAGTCCATCCGTGCTCGGCAATGGTATCAGACATGGTCAAGAGCAATTATTAGCTGAACGGTAGGAGAACGCAATGGTTTGGAAAATGAGCCGCGACAAGAACAATAGATTGAATTTTCACTTGATCTTTATAACACAGTACCCTGAGTCATATGTTTTTGTATTTATCAGCACATTGGCCGAGGACAACGGTTTGAATGACACATCTAGTCGTCATATTTGGTTGCTAGGGCGCTTACTAACGACGAATGCGACTCAATACGTAAGATGACGCTGGTTGTAACTATGGAGAAACAAACTACGAACTATCTCCGCGGCGGGTGCCAACGCTAAGATTCATTCGTTAGGAATTAGGAAGTACGGCATGTAAGGGTATTGAAGAGTTCCCCCGATTAAAAGGATTGTCGGCGAAAATAGGTCGCGGAGTACTCCGATATTGGGACGGCTGGCCCGTGAAAGGCGCGAGTAACGTTAAGTTTAGTTATAAGAAATGTGAGAGCAAAGCGAGATATCGAGCAGCGAAGAGGTCATACACTAGATTTCGAAAAACCACCTTGGTCGGTACACCAGGATTGCCATCGGTGTGCTAATTCACCGAGGTGTGCGACCCCGAACCAGACTCTGACCAAGGGCAGTGGAGGTTAGCTTGTGTCCGGTGGTGAAGTGCCTATGATAAAGTAGATGATGGGCAAACCCTAATTGAGTCAATGGCCATAATTTTACCCCTTTAGCTGGTACTTAGCGACGACGAGGGTAACGGTCTCAGCGGCTGTGACGCCTCTCTGCCACCGAAGTGGCGCAGGATCGGTGCATCCAACAAACGGTCGTTGGGCAGAACTAGGGGTCAGCGGGCTCCCTCACGCCCTGCCGGTGCCCAAATACAGCCGCTCCTAGCAAGAGAACGTGGTGGGAAAGGCGCTCCATCATCCACTATTCCTTACCCGTCACCCTCGCGCTCCTCGGGTTCAAGACCTAAAGTATAAAACCAACGCGTGTAGATTCGGCTGGTACCACCTGTCTTAGACTCCAATTTCTTAGATCTCGGTTAGCTCTTGAGCGATCGCCTCTTCGAAAGCGCTAATCATCCCATCGTAGATCTCATCCACAGCCATACTATCGGTCCCCGTCCAAATTGTCCCGTCGTCCATCACCGGGTATAGGATGGCGCGAAGAGTCTCGGCGAGCGAGCTCAAGTGGTGGAACTGCAGCGGGAACTCCGCCAAAATCGTCGGGAAACTGTCCTTGGTCATGTAACGCATCTTCTGCATTGCGGAGTCCTCCCTGGTCCCACGGCTCCATCCTCGAAGCAGGCTTGTATCTGGGGGGCTGTGTTCTCCATTTGTTATGAGCATCCATACCAAGACGTATAGGAAGGAGTCGAGGTCGTGCCGATATGTCCGATGCCGTCCCTTGAGAATGCCGATGGCCATGAACGGACGGGTACCCGTGACCTCTCCCGGCGTTCTCGGCCCTACGTCTATGTGTAGGGCAACGTCGAGGTCTATGAGGAACCCCACCGGGCGCCCCTCGCTTTCAGAATCCACGATGACGATGTTGGTTGCGGAAATATCCTGGTGAATGATCCGAGCGTCCTGAAAGAGACGAGAAGCAGTTCCATCCGGCTTTTGAAGGTCCCCAGGCGCCTGCCAGCCGGAGAAGTGACAGTGCAGACCAGCGTACGATTCTCAAAGCCCTCGTCGGTCTCCTCTGTGCACTCCACGACACCTCCCCCATTGCATCCTGTACGGCCCACAGTAGAGACCTTGGCGCAAATTTGCGGTGCTTAGTAGGGAATGTATCTTGTGGTAGGCCAAAGATACCACACCCGAGATCTTTTTCTCGTCAGCGGCCTTCAGCATCTCTTCTTCGGGGCGATCGCTAGCCCGGCGCCACTTGAACTTGACCACATAGTTCCACCGATCCATCTGCGGCATCCGAGCCAAATAGCAGGTGGTCCCCGCGCTGACCTGGTCGCCGTGAAGTGCAATGGGTTCAGGTTGGATGTAGAACTTGCTCGGAAAATCTGGGCCAACGACGGCGTTCGATATCATGATATAGTTGCCGTCTTCGTCGCTCTTGATGAGGTCGCTCCTTCCTAATTGTTCGTCTGTCATCAACCTGTAGCTGAGCACATGGCTGAGAAAACGCGTCAGGTCCGGGCTCTTGTGGACGTCAAGGACATCCGAACAATACAACCCGGATCTATCAAAGACCCACAGCTCCACCCTTGATCCGCATATGTATAATCCATGCAAGAAGAGCCGCGTCGGCTGGCAGGCAAAGACGCCCAACGCGAAATCGCAGAGACTCAAGAGTCCGTCCTGGTAGCCACCACCAGAATCACTCGAAGACGATTGGCCGATGACCTGGACGGAACTCCATTCCTCCTCGGTACGGGAGTCGAAGTCGGTCGATGTCGTCATGAAGAGAGAAACACCGCCTCCGTTGGCAATCTCGGGCTTGGGAGCAGGGCGGCGATACGTATGCCACCAGCCTCGAATTCCGTCGTATCCCTCCAAACCGAGGACAGAAAACCATTGGAGAAGATCCTCTGGTGAGACTCCAGCCGAGGTAGCGGGGTAACGATCGCTGATGATCCTTTCTGCTTGTTGAAGGATAGCGCTTCCGGGGTGAATAGATGCGCGGGCAGGACCATGGATGCGGTTATGAACGTTCTCAAACACTTCCCCCAGATCCGAGTCGTGTGGAGCTACGAACGAAACTGACTGGCATCGTTCGGTCATGGTACCGCTCGCAACAGGTTTGAGCTCCTAGGATAAAGTACATAGTACTATGTCAGTAAAATCCTGCGCGATTCGACTTCAGGCTCGTGTGTGGTTTGCATCGCTTCTCGGGTCTCCATTGAGCCCGAAGGGGAAAGAGTCGCAAGCATTCGTTGGAGCCCGGGCACCTCAGCCCACCAATAACATCATTTGCTCTCTCCTGACACAGCCAGCTGTGGACCCACTCCTCGCCCATGCATTTTAGTGACCGACAACTTTTGTTCTTCCCTAACAACACACATATCCTCCTCCGTCAACAGACACCATGGAAGAGAAAAAAAGTGATGGTGCTGCCACGGAACCCGGAAATTCCACCTCCAACTACGCAGTAACATAGACGTTTGTTCAATAACTTTTCTCCCTGTTTTGCATCCTCAAGCACTTTCTACCACAGTATGGTCGGGTCCGCAACGGGAAAACGATGGTGACGGGAACTCCAATTCGAACCTCGAATGTCACCTCAGTCCACAGACAACGTAACATGGCTCCATGTCTAGCTGAACCATTTGCTCTCATATTGCAGCAACGGGGATATACTACACTATGGGGTTGTGAAGCCAATAAACTTGTCGGCTGCCACAGCTGTGACCATACCGAGGTACCGAGGCGCTGCGACCAGGCAACCGTCTGCGGCTACCTAAGGCTGGGCTGGGGTTTCAGCTCAGGGGAACCTTCAATGCGGGCGGGAGAGGCCCGGCAGTAACTCGTTTGTCTGCATTGGAATGAAGGGGTACTGTGGTAGTTTCGGCGTGTTTTGTCCAGGGGATTTTCGGATTACCTTGACGGGTAGCCCATTTCGTCGACCAAGCGCCAAAATGCACCACCAACGACCCTTTGCAGTGGGGTAACCTCGATCGCACGTCTAGAGACTTCACCCCACCTCGCGCTTCAAACTAACCCGCGGAGCCCGTTCTTGAGTCCGGACTCCTACGAACAATTAAGCTTTCAAATCGGGGCGTTTTGATGGTCACGATGGGCTGGATGTCCTATCTTATTGGCTGCTAGCAAGCAATTGGGACTTGGAGTCTGCATGTATAACCCCCTTCGCCGCCGCGGCTAGGGCTTGCCGCAGCGGGTGCGCCACACGGGGGGTAACATGCCCATCGCCCTGACCGAGAGGCCGAGAGTTCGGCCGGCCGAGCGGGCATCAGAGAGATCGGGAGGCACCTCAGGACTCCTCGAGCCCTGACCTTCCACATTGCGTAAAGCTTCCAGAACCGTACGAGAACAATGCGACTGTAAATCGACGTTGCCTAGCTGCAGTGTCGCCAGCTTCCCCACAGATCTGTTGGTGGCTTGACGTACGCGAGATATTGGGGTCCGTATTGGGACTTGGTTGGTAGGGGTTCGGCCCCAAGAAGCACCCCGTCACGGCCAGAATGCACCGAGCGGGCCAACATCACCACAAGGCGCATGCGGGACATGGAAGTTGAAACCGAGGAGCAAGATCTTGGGCAGCCAAGCCGAGAGATCAGAGAAGAAAAGAGATGATCCAAAGGGGCCCAAGGGGCTGCCCGCCGACGTGAGGCATCGCGAAGGGTATAAGACGATCTCATCCGACCATGTGTTGAGATGTGTTACCCTCTGTCCGTCCCCGTCACCTCCCGCAAGGCTCCCCGAAGTATCATTGTTCGCCTCTCTCACCTCCACGATGCGTAACCAACTCTTGATCTCAGCCCTCCTGGGCGTCGCCAGCGCCCGCGATATCCCGGCCAACGTCCAAGCCTTCTACGACCAGGTCAAGTCCGCTGGGACCTGTTCCAACAAGCTCGCCACTGGCTTCTATGCCCTGGACGGAGGCGCCAACAGTATGCTCATCACCCCAAGATAATATTTTTCCTCTGGGAGATAAACCTTTTACGTTCTAACGCCAGTGTGCCTCTGTCTCTAGCTTATTCGTACTGCGGTGACCACCTCGACGACTATAATGTGGTCTACATCAAGGGCACAGATGCTCGCCTTGCCGACATGGATATCGACTGCGACGGTATCGGTGATGGGCCCGGTAATGATGGTCGTTGCGGCAGCAGCTCGGACACCCAAGGCGATACTTCCTTCATGGATGAGGTCGCTAGCTACAACAAGGGCGTCGACAACCTCAACGCTTTCGTCCATACCTATGTCGTTTTTGGTAACACGGGGAGCAAGTCGGGCTGGAAGACGTTCGACCCCAAGGAGTACGGCATTGAGCCGTTGTCCCTCATGGCCGTTGTGTGCAACAACAAGCTGGTACATGCTTTTCTTGCTGATGTCCCAGTTCCTTCCTCATTCTTGCCCATGACATGTCCTTGCTAACACCTCTTGATCGCCTTTAGATCTACGGTATCTGGGGTGACGAGAACGGCGATGACGGCCAGCACCCGATGGTTGGCGAGGCTGCCATCTCCACGGCCACGGCCTGCTTCGGCACCGGTGTCAACGGCAACGCCGGCCACGAGCAGACCGACGTCCTGTACATCGCCTTCCCCGGCTCCAACGCTAAGCCGGGCGCCAACGGTGCCGACTGGGGCGCCCAGAGCTGGCAAGACTTCCAGTCGTCGATCCAGTCCCTCGGCGACAAACTCATTCAGCGCATCGGTGGCAATGGCACCGAAGGCGGCGACCCCGGCAACGGCGGCGGCGGCGACAACTGTGAATGGGCCGGTCACTGCGAGGGTGCCAGCTGCTCGACCGACGATGACTGCTCGGACCCGTGGTACTGTGTCAGCGGGAAGTGTGGCACCGACTAAACCCAACGGCTGACCAAACCAATGGTGAAGAGAGGGCGCGAAGCGTGAAAGAAGGAGTATTTTGTATAAGGGAAGGACAAAAAGCGCGACGAGGAAGGATAATAAGCCTCTAATGTAGAAACGCCAACTGTAGTATATAAACATTCACATATAAACAGTATATACGTCTCCCTTCTTCTCTGCAACCGCATCGTCCTCACACTTTTCCACCTGTGACCTGGTAACCGACCTTCTTCCCACCTGATCCGAAAGTTTTAACGTCTGACGATGTGTCGTCACGTTTAACAGAAGTGCTGCGTTTGATATTATCAACACAGGTGCACAATCGTAACCTCCGGTTCTTCCAAGTTCACGATTTCGTTACAGAATCAGCATGATTGGCCGTCGAGGATTATTATCCTGACAAGCCTGCTGAAAGCAAGGACAACAAAAGATGAAGAAGAGGGCCAAAATGGCGGCATGTTTCCCGGAACTCCAATGCACCGGAAACAAAACAAGAAAGCTGGCAAACCCCGACCACTGACAGAATCAATCATCCTCCCCCAATGGTCACACATGCAATGGAAGAGGTCCGATAATGGGTGCCATCAAAATGACCTTTCCTTTTCCCTGGCATCTGGAGTTCATACCTTCTCCCCGTGACGCTGCCATATTCCCTGTCTTCCGAGCTCCTCGATTCCCTCATATCCTCCAGATTCACCACCCTTCTCTTCATTTCTACCGCTGGCAATCATCCCCTCTCCTCTTCCTTTCATCGCTCCCAAAACGAACCGAGGAAGTATCATAACATCAAAAAGAGACGTTGAAGAACCCCCGCTGAAAATGAGAATGCCTTGCACTCCATCAAATCTTCCTTCGTAAGAGAGAAAGAGAAGACCCCTTAAGCGCAGAAGCAGTTGCCCTCGCAGCTCTTCATGAAGTCATTGTGGAAGCCAGTGACATCGCAGTAGGCGCCAGCATTATCTGCCAGGCACAGGTCGGACATCATAGCCGACTTGCACTGCGGGGTGCCCGCGTTGGCGGCAGCAGCCGAGGCACTGGAAGTGTTGCTAGAGGACTGGTTGGTGTTGGAGACCGGCACGGCAACGACGCCGTTGGCGAGGAGGAGCGCAGAGGCGCTGGCGATGAAAGCGATGAGCTGTTGGGCGGTTAGCAAAAACGTTCGTGGTTGACTTGATGGAGATTTGATGTCTGATGAAGAGGATAGGATGGTTGATGATCATGCCTCAGAGCGGTGACCAATTGCGGTGGGGCGGTAAAGGGGTTGGGGGTTTGTTTGGATATGACGTGCCTTCATGTTGACTTGGTGACTTGATGGATTCAAGGATCTGAAGTGATCGGCGTACGAGAGGACCTGTCGATCCTTGGCGGGAGGGATGAGGTTCGGTGCAGCTTGTGGAAAGAAAAGAAGGAAGGCTGAGATGCTAGGTTTTGAGATGGTAGATTTTTGAAAGGTAATGGTTGACGGCGAGTTTCGGTTTTCGGTTTGGGTTTGAGTCCAACGGTCGGGAACGCGTTTTATTTCCGGGGAAATTTTTCGGGGCCTCTGTTTTTATTCAGGGACGGGCGCGGGGCTTTGAAGGACAGGGCGACTGTTTTAGCGTCCCTTTTTCGGGATGAAAGCCACGCGTGCGAACGAGCCAGGTATGTAACGAGCGTGTGGGAGGGATGGCAGAAAAGACCAAGGCTAGCTAGCCTGCGGAGAATGCGAACCAGGAACACAAAGACGACGGGACCACACCCCTCGGAAGTTCGCGCCAACAAAGGTTGGGAAGGGTGGATGTCCAGATATGTATGGATACGTCTGTGTTGGTCTGTACAAGTCCGAATCTGCACGGCGCTCAGCCTGGAATGGACGAGGGCGTTGTCGAGGGGTAGGATTTGTGGTGGCGAACGCTGTGAAGCTGGGGCGTGTGAGTTTGAGGGCGTGTCGGTGTTGGCGGAGCAAGCCCAGGTCCCAGGGATCTTGACCGGCTGGCCGCGACAATGGGATGCAACGACAAATATGAACTCTCGGCGAGGATGGGGACGAGGGGAGGAAAACCTGGGCGCCGGGAATTGGGGGAGGATGGATGGAGATAGCACACGACAGATCAGGAATGGGGGCGGACACTGGGGAGACAATGGGGAACGCGGCCGGGGTCGAGGCGGAGGGGATCCCGGCTTCGAGTCGGCGATCTGCAGTGATTTCCGCAAGGAACGAGTGCTAAACTCGGAAGCAGCGGACGGGCTTCGTTGGGGAGTGTTACATTGAATGAAATTCCAAATGGTTGGCGAGCCAAGCGAGCCTGGATGTCCAGGTCGGCAGGTCGGAGTTGTGGAAAAGGGGTCAGAGGTGGAAGCAATGCAATGCAAGCAATTGAAGCGTCGTTGGCCCCCTGGCTGTGAACTTGTGCAGCTTGTTGTCTCGGGACTCAACCGCAAATCGAAGATAAATGGGGAGAGAAGAGATGCAATCCATCCACCCCCAGGTGGGACACAACTTTCCAGCTGAGCTCAGACCCGTTTCAATTTTTGGCACCATCAAAATAGCAATCATGTCTCACTTACAAGACAAGCCAACTGTTCTTTCTCCTTCCAAGTTTTCCCAGGTTGGCATTTCTCTCCTCCGCCGCTCTTTTTTGCGCCCATAACCGGGCTGCAACAACGCGTCGATAACTTGCAGAGCGAGAACAGGCTGTCCTCCGCTCCGTTCCCAATTCATCAAAAAAACCATTTCCGGCATCTTGGCTGGATGGCCCAGAAACCGAGAGACCCAGGGTTTCCGGCGGTTGAGCCAATCAGACCAGAGGGTCCCCGCAACACCGACGGCCGGTCCAGTGTCCATTTAGGGGAACGATCTTCACCACACAGGGTGTTGGACAAGAACAACGGGAACTGGGACTCTTTTTGGGGCTTTTGGCTTTGGTGGCCCCGGTGTTCCAACAAAACATCGAGCCATCTCCTCTTCAACCCACCCGTTTCTTCAAGATGTGGGAGTTCGTTCCCCCATCTGCGACAACAATAAGCCACCGAATCAGACGACGTCTCGGAGCCCGGAGAGGAAGGCAAACCCGCGTCTTGCTCCCACAACGTCACCCAATCCCCGTTTCAAATACATAGTGTCTGTCAATTTATCCATACTTCCGACCATCCGACAAACTGGGTCTGGAAAGTGCAGACCTTGCTAGGGGAAAAGGTTGAAAGCTCCCACATGCCGGCAACCATCATGGCTTTTCGGAACCGTGCCGTCTTTTTCAAATTTCGAGTCGCACACACCACACACGGATGAACGGCTCGATGACGGGCCTACGTTAGTGTACATACATACACTAGAGCCAAGTTCGCGAAGAGCGGGCATATATTGTGGCTTCTTTTCTCCCCTTCTCTCGTTTCCTATCCTACTCGCTCAAGCGGACGACGAGTGCCTTAGTATCGGGGAAATAAGACCACCCGATATCCCTTTCTTCCTTTTCTTCCGTTTTCTATTAATACCGCAGGAGAAACCAGGAACCACCTGTCCTCGTGGCATGCCATGCAGTAGCCCAGGAGTAACACCGGGAGCCAAGCTCCGTCCGTCCCCGATCGTCGCTGTGGCTCGAGCGTGGTTAAACGCACCGTGCCCACTGCATCGTTAGGACGTCGTTCCTTGCAGCGGCTTCATTTGGACCTTTGATGAGATTAATGAGAGGACAGCCTCGGCGTTCGAGATGCCAGAACACAACGTGGGCTTCGGCTCAAGTTCTCCATAGAACACACGTCATTTTCCCCAAAGGTCACTCCGTTCCTCGCTTCCGTGCTCCTAATTCAGGCTTGGCATCCGTCGGTCTGTGATCTCGAGACAATTGCGGCTTTCCAGGGGAGGATCTCGGCGAGCAAGCAAGTGTTCCGGGTTAACGGTTGGCTACCGCACAGGAGGTTGAAGGCCCACGCCCTGTGTCACCGCCATGAACCCGATCCGAATCATTATTTCCTGCGGTGTCCACACTACCGAGTTGTACAGGCTGCTCTTGAGGCAAGTGGAGAGCTTCTGCATATCATGATGGCGGTCCGATGACCATTGTAATCCACATGTCGTTCATACACTAAATGCAAGGTAATACTTTCCCATATCGTTGCATTCCTCTTGAAGCGTACGATAAAGGGAGGGGTGCACTGTATCGACTTCTTGTAATTCCACAGAACCGGCAGATTCCCGGCTCAAGAACACCCCCAATGCCCTTCTGACTGCCTTAGGGAGATGATTTTGTAAGCACGTCTGTTAAGCTACACCTACAACACCTCTGTGTAAAACCTCTTTGTCAGGCCCCCCGCACAAACAACCTCGCCCCTCGGTGAGTTATGATATATACGTCATATCTGTAGCTTCGCCAATTGCTGAAGCCACAACATCGGTCCTTGTGTAAACGAAAACCACGCGAGAACTGCCTGGTGCCGTGCAGCTGAAAGAGATTCTAGACATCGAAGGGTATAAAATTTATCTGTCAAGGGACTCGGCGCTTTGCTACGCATGGCCCCCCGAATTCCCTCTTCTTCATTATCATCTTTGGCAGTGTGTGAATTAGTGCCAAGATTTCCGTCGTCTCAACTCCCACCCCTGCACACGAGACAAACACCAACGTCACTGGCCACAATGCTAGGATGCCTGTGTCATAAGGGACTCCGGAACTCACCTCGCCCATGGGCAACTGACTCGAAACACCAGAGCAACCGGAGCCCTTCCACCGCCGCGATGAAGGTGTGATTAATCATGACAGCAGTCGTAGAATGAACAGAATAGCTCCCATGTCATGTATAATTTGAGCACTTACATCATCCGGAGTGCTCGCCGTCCCCCCCCTTCTTTGCTCCCAACCTCCTCTAGCTAGTTTACCACCAAGGCCAGACCCAAGACACACACGTAGAGATTAGAGAGACATTACAGACTACATCACACCATGGGCGCCGTCACCAAAGTTTGTTCAGTGCTCCTCCGCTTCGGCCAGCTTGCCAGCAGCGCCATCGTTCTCGGCCTCTTGAGCCACTTCTTCCACCGGGCGCGGAGCGCCGGCGCCCCGCACCCTAGCGGCCGGCTAATCTACACGGCGGTAATCGCTGCCCTGTCGATTCTAGCCGCGTTGATAACCATACTACCGTTCGCCTTCTCGTTCTGGGCCTTCCCGGTCGACTTTGTGTTGTCAGTCGCGTGGTTGGTGGCGTTTATTGTGCTGGAAGCGGTACGTTTCACTCGGAATCGTCTTTCTATTTGCTTGCTGCAACCTTTTGACCTAATAACTTGACGTTGGTGACCCTAAGAAGAAGAAGAAGCGGCTAACAAGATTCGCCATAAGCTGACCGGCTTGCACACGTGCCGGTCTGGCTGGTTTAGGGGTTATTGGGGCTTATACTGGAGCAGAGTGCGCCAGACCGGTCTACGACCGGGAGGAGGCCGGTTGAGAAGATGGGCGGGTTGCGCGGCGTGGCGTGCCGTGATAGCCTTTTGCTTCATTGCCTTTGTTCTATATCTAATTAGCGGCATCTTGGTGAGTTACTTCTCGGTCGTCCCGCAAAGCTCTCCCGCTCCCGTCCCCGACTAACTGTTACTACTCAGGGCATCTACCGATCTCGCAAGAACCGCCGGTATGTATTTCACCAGTCACACTATTACCCCCCTCCCCTCTGCCTCAATGGACCCAAAAGAGGAATCCAGGCGGACATTAACGTGGGATACAGACACGACAGGCACCACTATCAAGAGACCGTCGAAACTCGAGAGAGTGCCCCCGCTGGTGTTGGCGCTGGCGTCCCGATTGGCTCATCGGGACGCGGTAGTGGCGGAGTGACTTATACATAAATTGTCGCCCAGTAAGGCCGGCGTGGTTAGATGTGTTTCGTGGTTGGGCGGTGATTCTTGATCGCGGTGTTCACTAATTAAGCCCGGCTACGAAACTTGGATCTGGACGGCCCAATCATCATTTTCGATGGCCGAGCCAAACCGCGGCGTGTTATATGTGTGCGGAGAAATGCCTAGGTATTCTCGTATTAAAACTGGAGAGGTGAAGGTGATCTGTGCTGATCTGTAGGATTCGGTGTTAACCTTAAATCGATAGTGTCGATAGTGTCAATAATGCTTGTTATTTGATCCGGTCGTATAATTTAAGTAGGTAGTTATTGACCATACCATCCAACTATTGGGCTAATTTTTAGTAACTAATAACTTTAATATACTTTGCCTGTGTGACATACGTCAAGAATTCGAGAATTCTTTACTTTGCCTACGGGTTTAGTTTGGATGAAGCCGCTCGTGTGTATGAATCACAACTTCGAGGAGATTGGCACAATCCGGACACCCATAGACGCACTAATCGGAGCAAACCCTAAAATCAAAACTCGAGTGGCACCCGTTTCCCAATGACAGTTGTGTAGAAATGTACATACACCGTATTACGCCCTACCAACAAAACAGAATTTAAACTACACCACAGCAAAACACGCTGGTCTGGCTGCTGCTTCCCTCCGCGGCCACCCATGACAAAACACCAACTGGCAACCATTCAGGGGTTGACCAATCCATCATGTACCCAACCCACCCAACAACTCCGCCTCCACCCGTCCCATGCTTAGACTTTTCCTCCCTACTCACTATTCCTTTCTGTATCGTCCTGTTGTTACTTTACAATCAGGATAGGAGGAGACAAGTGCCGGTTGCCGACTGGCCTGAACCTGGACCCCCCTTACCGCAACAAACTCCCACCCAAAAACCCATCCGCATCCCTATTCACAATCGCATCTACGTTTCTCTTCAACCCTTTGACCAACCGCCTCAGCTCCAACAGTTCCTCCGCCTCCGCCGACATCGCGTTGGCAGCCCTAGCACTAACCGGTGCCGGCGCAAGCTGCGCAAGGCACTCATCCGCGCGCGCAAGAAGCTCGCTCACCCATGCACCCATGACCCCATCCCCATTGCCACCGCCGTTCGCGACACCCAGTCCACCGGCCGGTACCGCGCCTGCAGCACGGCGCTCCACCTCCCGAGCCCACGCCTCGACCGTCGCGGCGATCCACTGCACGACAGCCTTGCGGCGGCGACCGGTGAAGGGCGACTCCTGCGCATCTAGCACGTCCTCGAGCACCTGCGCGACGAGAGCATGCGGAACGCCCAGGTTGAGGAACACATGTACCGGCCAGCATGGGTTAGCGCCGATGGACGCGTCCTGGCCGTTGTTGATGGCGTACTTGCACACTTCGGGGAGCAGCGCGTCCACGGGGAATACTAGACTGTCGAGCGATGTGCGGTGGGCGATGATTTGGATCTGTTGTGACACAGCTTCGTAGGGTAGACCGGGCTCGCCTGTGAGGGGTTGTGCGCCCTCGGGAAGGGGGCGACCGGCTTGGATGAGCTTCCAGTGTTCCTGGCGCTCTTCGTTTTGGAAGGAGGTCTGCTCGATCAGGCGCAGCCAGGTGTCCATGATGACACGGGGGTTATGGTAGTCGGCTGCATGGTAAATGAGCAGACAAATGTCAAAGTAGGCCGCTTGGTCGGCGTACTCGTTGTAGAGCTGAGAATATGCAAGTTAGTAACGGCATAGACACGATATGAATAATGGTGGGGAGGGAAAAGGAGAAAGAAGAAAACTACTTGCCTCTGTGACACCCTTCAGCGGCCCGTCCAACCTCTCTTCAATGTCGGGAAGTTTCTCCCGAGCAATCCGTGAATCGGCCCTGAGACGCTCGAGCAAATCATCCTGGATATGCGCAATTTCGAGGAGCTCCGTCACCTCGTGGTTGAGGAGCTGCTGTTGTTGCCGGGACACGCCGATGGTGTTAACACTGGCGTTTGCCTTGGCGCGGCTGAGGAGTGTGATGCGGTCCTTGATCCCAATGTTGAGGTCCGACTTGGCGAGTGTGGCCTGGACCTGGGCGGCTTCAAAGAATCTGTTCCGGTGAGTGTAAAAGCGGCAGAGCAGCTCGGCGTGTTGATAGTCTGTCTCCGCCAGCCGCTGTAGGTAGGTGATGACGTGTGGCGAATCGATAGACAAGAGCCGGTCAGTCCAGTTCTTTTGGATGTACCACTCGTAGAGGTCGAAGTGGAAGACCTCGTCGCTCGAATCATTGACGACATTGTAAGCCTCGGCACGTTTCGTAGCGGCAAGAGTGAGCCGCCCATCGATGATCTCGGGTTCACCCGCAAACGCAACCTCGAGCCGGTCGAGCACGTCATGGATTAGGGTGTAGCAAATCTTGCGTTCGTCAAATGCCTTCTTGCGTGTGTCATTGGGCGGCTTGCCGTCATTAACCCAAGTCAAGGCTGTGTTACCGCGATCCTTTTCTTGGGCGACCGTCAAACACAACTGAATGGCGCCGGCGTAGTAGTTGAGCTGCAGGTATTGCTCGACGGCGCTCCCGAGGTTAGCGGGGGTGAGCGTACCCGCGACTTCTTGAAAGAGTCGCAAGCTCTCGGCAAGGAGAGTGCGTAGGGCGTTGGGACTCTGGACCTGCTCGCTGGCGCGCTGCAACTGCTCTTGGGCCTTGAACGTGACGACATCGTCGGGCGAGCAAAAGCTGCCGCACCGACGCCTCAGGGCATCAGCAACGGTCTCGACGTTCGCGCCGCTGGCGATATTGCGGTTAACAATAGCTTTGACTAGAACTTTGGCAAGCTCCTTGCCGGGGGTTTGAGAGAAGAGCTGCTCGTATGTTAGGTTGCGGAGGTGTTGCTGCGACGTTGCGTCAAGGCGCGCGTAAATGTCCGAAACACGCTCATCAAACAGCATCAGGACGAACGAGATGCCCTCGGAAACGCTCTCCATTAGCTTCCGCAAGCCGTGCAAGGCTTGGTGTTCCTTTTGGTTGGCAATCTCTTCTTTCCGGTCGAAAGTGCGGTCGGACGGTCCCGAAAGGCCCTGGATCGTGCTCTTGTTCGCCTCCAAAAAGTTCCGCAGGCGTTCGATGGTCTCTTGGATGATGACAAGTTTTGACGCGGGAACAGTCGAAGAGACGGCCAGGGAACCCTTCGCCTCAACCTTTGTAGCGACGACCTTAGACTTCCAGACCGTGCGGACGAGCCGGGTAAGGTAAAGCGCCAGGGCGTCGTGGCGGGAGGACAACCTCACAGAGTCGGAAAGAAGCTGTTTCCCGTCGGACTCCGTCAGTCTCGGCTGACCACCGTAATCAACGAAAGCTAGGCGGGCAAGGTTTTCGATCTTCGGGTCTGCCACCCGCCCAACCCCGCTACGTGCGTCGCCCCCCTGCCCACACGCAACGGCCAGGGCAGTCGAGATCGTCTCAACACGGCCATACTGCTTGAGAAACGCGCGCATCTCTAACTCGAGCCCTTCTTCCCCAGAGCTAGTCCTAATAGCGTTGGCGAAAATATCGACGAGCCTCCTCCGACGGACGATATGCACACCCGTGTTGGTAAGCACGGCGAACTCGCCTGGAGCGTCGTCGAACTGCACCGCAAGTTCATTGCCGAATCCTAGGGGCTGCTTCGAGGCGGAGAAAGGAGCGGTCGTCATACCAACTTCAAGGACCCGGCTACCCTCTATCAACTCGATCCAAGTTCCCTGCTCGAAATACTTAAGTGCCGAGGCAGGCGAAAAAGCCTTGATCTTGGCTGTATCGGGGGCGGACACAAAAAGGATATCTGAGGTGGGATATTTTCGGACGACGTCGAAGAAGTAGCCAGGCGCAAAGCGGTTACCGAGGGCACTAGCCTCGAGAGCTCGAGAAGTCTTGTCTAGCGCTCCGTCGGGCGTTGTCCCCGCCACAACTCCACGGCGAGCATCCGGCTCGGGGGGAGGGAATTTGATGAACTGGAGTTGCATGCTCTGTGGGGCAAGGCTGGTCGAGCCACCAATCGTATACGATGCGGAGCTCGTGGCGCTGAGGAACAGTCGACATCCGGTATCTGTGAGTGCCATCAGATGGAGTTTGGACGCTTCTGTTGCCGGGATAGGGCTGAGAGAAACAATGCTAGTCCGGTCTGTGAACAGAGGCGAACTGTCTGCCATGTGTGCAAAGTCACGTAGACAACTGGTCTTGTCCTTCTCGATGACTCTCGTGAGTTTCTCCGGGCTTTCTATGTGGTACGTGCGGATCGTTGAGCGATTAGACAGGGAGTAGAGGAGGTTCCGAGTATCGTCCACAGCGAGGGTAACGAGCCCTTCTTGTTGCCTCTGGCCAAAGGGAAGACCCGCAAGAGGTAAACCTGGTACAACGGAGGACCACCCCTGATGTGTGTGGTTGATCTTGCCACACCTGCTGGAGAACCATCTTTCTTCTTGTTGATAAAACAACTCGTGTATGTCGGTGTCGGTGTCGCCGCCAAGGAAGATTCGGCCTGACGCGGTGCCGACAATGTGGCTCACATCGCTGCTCCCACGGTGGACCGACATCTTAGTTTGGTACAATGCCACTGACCTGGACCCCGAAGGAGTGGGGGCCGCGGAGACACCAAGCAAGGTGATTTCGGTGGATGTCGCGACTACAAGGATATGCGTAATCGTGTCCACGAACACCCCTTTTTTGGGTGGAACAAGGGCGACGGCGGTAATAGTGTGGGTGGCTTCCTCATAACCAATGAGCTCGGGGTTGGGGTGGGTGTAATCCCAAAGGAAGAGGGAGTCGTCGATCGCGGCCCAGGCGTAGTTGATGCTCGGGAACAGGCCAATCTTGGTGGAAACCGCGCTTTCGTTGAGATACGTGAAAACCTTGTCCGGAATGGGATACGTCGAGGTCTTCAGAAACGGAGCCCATGCGGAATCCGGGTGTTGGATCGAGTAGTCCGATGATGCGCCGGCTGCAAACTCTCAAGGTCAGTTGTCCGCAAGGATAGATGGAGGGGAGCAGATGAAAGAGACCAACGTACGCCTGCAGTAGGAATCAAGATCTGGATAGCTCTCATCTTGAAGCAGGGTCTGGTTGACGACCTGCGCAGCCTTGACGACGGGAGGAAGGTCATCGCGCAACTGTGGCGGTGGAAGCATGCCAGTAGCAATATCCTGCTGCCCTGCTGCCATGGTACTCGTAATAGATACTGGAGCGGACCCCGACGCCCCATTTGTGCCCGCGGTTGAAGGTTCGTTGAAATTGAGTCGTCGTCGCACCGTGTTCGGGCCTTGCGCTGGTGTGTTGATAAATGCGCCGGGAATCGGGCGCGCAGGCGTGACGGGGTTCATGGTGGGCGATTTGAGGGGCTCTGGTGAGCCGAAATCGTGAGAGGTGAAGCCGTGATGTTGTTCTTGTGATAGGTAGGCAGCTTGATTAAGTTGATCGTTAAATCAATCGTTGGTTGTGGCGAGAGGTTGGGATGGGAACGATGAAAGCTCCCCGCCTCGCCTGTCGATGCGGAGTCGACTTTTTGAAGTTCGGAAGTCAGAACAATTGCATCATCAAAGTGAGCTTCTTTGAATAAAGCTTTGTCACTCACGCCCGGGCGTCCAAGACTGGTGCGAGAGCGTGATGCTGAGGGTGCGGAATGCTTTTGCGCTGTGATGGCCAAGGAAGCCGGGCACAAATGGCGGTTCGTGAGCCGTAAACAATTTTTGGAGAACTGGAGTCGCCAAACCAGGCCAGCTCTGACGCGCCAACGCGCCGGGGTCGTCAAGCTGCAGCGCGCTAAGCTGCATTGAGCGCGGTTCTGCCACCGCCTTTTATTTGGGGCACTCCAAACGTCCATCACCTCCATGCCTCAAAGCACGCGACACCCCGGGAATCAACTTTTTGCAGTGGCCAGTTTCAACACATTTGATTGTAAATTCATTATGAAATACCGGGGTTTGTATTGCACGCCTTCAGGACCCCGAATATAGCTAGCTAGCCCGCCGTGCCTCAACAGTCCTTATCAATTAGTAGCTTTAGTAGCTGGTCGTTGTACACATCCTCGACTCATGCCTTCGTCATACTCTGTACACTCCTTACACTCCATATCCCGCTCACTGCTGCTTCTTGGCATCTCTCGCAGCTTTCCGCAATGCCCGAGTGCGAATATCAACATGCATCCTCCGGTTGAACCAGATGGTGATCGCACTGGTAGTGCCCACGGTGGTTCCAATTACCCACTTGAAAGCGGCATGGGACCACCACGGCGTGTACGTGTTGGGAAACTGCTCGGTACCAGACAGGCCAATCTTGCTCAGAGCCGAGCGGACAAACTGCTTCGGGTTGGGGATCAACAGGCTGGTGCGGCGGATCTTGCTCATGGCTGTGGTGACCAAGTAGCTGACGACAAGCTGCACATCGACACCCTGAGGCTTAAGTTCCGAGGCCAGCGAGCTGCTCCAGTGCTGAAGGAAGGCCTTGCTACCACTGTAGGTGGCGAGATACGGAGTGGGCATGACGCCAGCGAACGAACCAACGGTCAGGATCAAGCCCTTCTTGCGCTTGGCCAGGATAGGTGCGACCACCTTGGTAGTCTTGAGGGTGCCGAGGCAGTTAATGGTCACGATGTTCTGGAGCTCGTCACGGCTGGTGTCGAGGAATGAAACGGGGATGCTGTGGCTCTGGCCGACGTTGTTGATCAGGATACCGACGTCAAGATCCGAGACTAGCTCCGCAAGGCGCTCGTAATCGGCGTCGTTGTCTTGGGAGAAGTCCATGGACAGTGTCTTGGATTTGAAACCACTCCATCTTAATTCTAGTTCGCGGGCGAGAGTGTCGAGCTTGGACTGCGTGCGGGAGACGAGGACAAGGTTGAATCCCTTCGCAGCCAGCTGTTGCGCAAACTCCTTGCCGAGACCATCGGATGCCCCGGTGATCACAGCCCAGGTGCCTTTCTTGCCGTACTTGCGGAGCTGGTTCCACGGGAATGGTTAGAAAAGCCCCAATGTTCACGGTAGATTCATGTGGGATTAGACATACATTGGTGCCACTGAGAATGAAGCAATTCAGCAAAAGCTGGAGGAATGACAGTGCTTTCGAGACAACGTAAAGGGCCCCAACACCAGTAAGAGCCCACTGGCCGGCCTGCGGAATCGAATTCCAAAGGTCCACGGCCCGATCCAGGGTTTCTTGAATGTTGCCGTTGAACGCCATCGTGTTTCGGTTTCCCGTACTTGAGAACGGTGACAATGCCTCGAGGTGACCAATGTTGCGGATGTAGGTCGCAGCACCGTGTTGATGACGGAGGCTGCGCTGGCCCAAAAAAATGTTGGGGAGCTGCTCTTAGAATCAGGGGCCTGCTGGTGGGGCGTAATCCCAGAAGCATTGGCCAACACGCTGACGGTCCACTCGGTAGTGGTTCAACGCGACACCACAACGCGCTAGCGTTGACTTAACCATTCACATGTCGAAGTTCGCAAGTCAGCGCGTCTCGCACAACAAGTACGCTTCATCTCGACTTCATCGGACCGTATCGGGGTAGATTTCTGCGACACCCAGCCACTCCTACACCCTCACAGCGATGGACAAACTCCAAGAATTCCTTCCTTCGGGGGAGAAGGGCTATTTGCCCTACTACTTATTCGTGGTACGAGACGAGCTCTCAACAATTTGAAAACCCGTCGAAGATATCCTAGCTAAATTCTTTTTCGATCTCAGGTCTCCGTCGTGGCGATGGGCAACGCCGTTCAAAATTACGCAACCCTCCACTACACACGCCGGATTTACAATGGGCTCTTCGTGACAAACCACTCGTTGCCCCCTGCCACCGACCGTTTCAATCCCGAGGATAGCACCAACATCATCAAGCCGGCCTCGTCAACGGGCAAGGACGCGGAGAAGGCCAAGGACCAGGTCTCCCCGCTCGCGGCCCGCCTGTTTGGGATGTACACATTTGCTGCGGGCATCATCCGTTTCTATGCCTGCTACCAGCTCGAGAACCCCAGCTTGTACCAACTCGCCATGTGGACACACATCATCGCCTCTGTCCACTTCACGTCTGAGCTGTTGGTGTTCAAGACCATCAAGTTTAACGGGCCGCAGGCGCTCCCGTTCCTAGCCGGATACAGTGGCGCGATTTGGATGTACTTGCAATACAACCACTATGTGCAATAAACGGTATAGGCTGGAAAATTGAGGTGTATCGCCGATACCTACTCATATTGTTGTTCCCGCCTTGATTATCTCTTACTCAATACTAGGCAAGGTCCTTAGGCTAGCTAATGATAATTGATTTTCCGTTACAAAAGCCAATCAGGTGTGTCCTGCATCCATAATCAGTTCAGAAGCCTACGATACAACTCGCCACCGCAATCCTTCAGCCGCGCAGCGGCCTGCTCGGGAGTGATGTCCCGCTGTGGTTCGGCCATCAGCTCGTATCCGACGAGGAACTTGCGGACAGTAGCCGAGCGCAGGAGCGGTGGGTAGAAGTGCATGTGGAACCAGCTAGTTTCGGCCTCGTCCTCGGTGCAGTCGAGTGGTGCTTGGTGGATGCCAGAGCCTGGATCATGTCAGTACGGTGAGCTACACCCCTGCCCAAAACAAAAGGGATCACCTACTGTACGGGAAGCTGGTCTCGAATAAGTTGTCGTATCGTCGGGTGACCTCCTGCACTGCCTCCGCAAACTGCACGCGCTCCTCGTCCGTCAAGTCAACCAGTGCGCGCACGTGTCGCTTGGCGATGATGATGACCTCAAAGGGCCATACAGCCCACCACGGGCAGACTACCAAGAACCCATCGTTTTGCCACACAATGCGCTCTTTTTTCTCCATCTCCAACTTGACGTAGTCTGCAAGCAGATGGCGGCCATTTTCGGCCCGGTACCGGGCCATCTGCGTAAATTCCTTGCCCGGCTCCTCAGGCATGGTGCTGGTTGTCCACACCTGGCAATGAGGGTGCGGGTTAGAACAACCCATGGCGGCGCCCTTGTTCTCGAAGATCTGCATGTATCGGAGCTGATTTGTGCTTGGTGGCTCGACTTCACCATTAGGGTTGGTAGGGATCCGGGCTAACGTCGCCTCCGCTGCTGGCCGGAGCGGATGTGTCGCCGATAAATGGCTTCCATAAATGCGAGTCCAGGTTTGGACCACTGGCAGGATCTCCGAGACGGTCATGTCAGCAAGGGTGACGTCGTGCTTCGGTGAGAAGGTGAGCACGTAACACCGGCCCGTGACGGGTTGGGCTTGGAGGAGAAGCGAAGCGATATCATTTTTGTCGGTGGGCTCAGGGTGGTAGTCCTGCTGCTGCTCCTTGACGGCACTGTAGTCGTTGACGAAGACGAAGGTGTCCTTGTATTGAGGGTTACTGTCTCCCTGGGCACGTTTGTTTCCGGGGCAAAGGTAGCACTGGAATTGGTGTAAGCGGTACTTCATTCAAGGTGAGTTATCCCACATACCTTGGGGTCGTACGCGGGAAGCACATTCTTGGACGGTGCCTCCTGCTGGCCTCTAGTTCTGGGTTAGCATTGGCAATGCAATTCATTAGCCCTGACCTAGAAACTAACTGCCAGGGGCGTTTGGTGCGATGAGGCGACACCAAGAGCCAAGACCCGGTCAACGGGTTATATCGGCGATGCGAAATGTCATCCAGAACCTGGTCCGGCATCTTGACGGCCGAATTCACCAGGTAGCGAACTGTAGGGAAATTAGAAACTCCCAATCTAATTAGAACGGAAACTTAACTAGAAAATACCGCAATTGGGAACTCCGGATTCACCAAAACTTTCTATCCTACGCGTGGGCTGCCCACGTGGGAGTTGATATTGTAATTGTGCAACCGCTGAGTCGCTTAAAATGATGGACGCGGGGTTTGTTCGGGACTTTCTTCGGCCTTGTCCCGGCTGTATTTTGGGGCGCCGAAGCAGAAAAGCAGGTTTCTATACAGAGACAGAAAATCAATGTGTTGGCCCGGGCTCTTCAAATTTAAATGCCGGACCCCTCCAAGGTCGAACGTCAGCTAGCTTTTGGGCCATGCGAAGATATGAGGAGGCCGACGTCCATGCATTTCACCTCACAATGAGCAAAGGGGATGCAGGGTGCGTGCACGTTCTTTGTACTAGCAAAACCACTTATCGCACGGATGAGTACCTAGAAGCCTAGGTACCTTCCATTTGGAAGCTGACGAATAATCTTCACAAAGGAGCATTTAGTTTCGGCCCGGGGCGCAGGATGATCGAGATTCATCTACACTGGCATCCCTGGGAGAGAGGGCCTCTTGGAAACCAAACCCCCGCCACGATTTCCTTGCTGCCGGTGGAAGCAAACGCGGCCTATTCAGGGTTAGGGTTTAGCGTGTGCAACCTGCTTATTCGCCGGTAGATTCTCGGATGCGGTTCCCCGCAAACGTGCTGGGGCCACCAAGCACCCAAACTAAGAGTGGGAATCGCGCTCAAAGCGCTAGCGCTGGATCGCAACTCGACCACTAACGCGCACATCAATCGCCTTCTATTTCCATCGATTTCCAGAACGTCATAGAGGAAAATCATCAAAATACTCGTCGCGCCGGCGTCGTGTAGCTGAACGCGATTGAACCAGGCTTTCCTGGTGCGTCACCGGGACGCCGTTTGCGCGCCCGATCAATTCGCTCCCCGTCGCTTGCCGTGCTTGCTCGCCTTACCCCTGTCTGAGTTCGCGCTCCACTGGCGCCACGCGCCGGCCTGAAATGGGCGTCATCCGGAAGAAGATCGCGGCGAGGGGTGGTGAAGGAGGTGTGAAATACGTTTGCGATGTCTGCTCGGCGGATATCACGTCAACCGTAAGTACTTCGCCCGGTTTATCCCCTGTCCACGGTTCTGGGTCCCGGTTTGGGTTTCTCCCTGGCGCATCCACGGCGCATGTTCAGCGACCAGGGCAAGAACCTTCCGATCAGTACGCAAGTTAACAAAGTACTTGACAGGTTCGGATAAGATGCGCCCATAGTGCTTGCAATGAGTACGACCTCTGCGTTCAATGCTTTTCCAACGGTTCCGCCAGTAATGCCCACCAACCGGCAACACACCCGTATCGCGTGATCGAACAGAATTCCTTCCCGATCTTCGACCGAGAATGGGGCGCCGACGAAGAGCTGCTCCTCCTCGAAGGTGCCGACACCTACGGCTTGGGGTCTTGGGCAGATATCTCCGACCATATCGGTGGATACCGACACAAGGATGAGGTCCGCGACCATTACTACAAAGTTTATGTTGAGTCGCCATCGTTTCCGTTACCAAAGCGATGTAGTCCACACGATACCGAGCTCGCGAACGAGATATCCCGAGAGGAGTTCCAGTCTCGCAAAAAGAGGAGGATCGAGGAGCGGCGTGAAGCTGCCAAGAACGCGCCAGCTTTACAACCTAAGACGAAGCCGACAGCTAGCGTACCGTCTTGCCATGAAATCCAAGGCTACATGCCCGGTCGGTTGGAATTTGAGACGGAATACGCCAACGAAGCTGAGGAAGCGGTGCAGCTCATGCAATTTGACCCTGGAGATGGCATCAACCCTCGCACGGGCGAGCTGGAACCGGAGATGGAACTGAAGCTTACTGTCATGGAGATCTACAACTGTAGGTTAACGCAGCGAGCGGAGCGAAAGAAGGTCATTTTCGAACACAACCTGCTGGATTACAGGGAAAACAGCAAGCTGGAAAAGAAACGATCGAAAGAGGAGAGGGATTTGATTAATAAGGCCAAGCCATTTGCGCGGATGATGAATCAAGTGGACTTTGAGCAATTTTGCCAAGGTCTCATTGATGAACTCAACCTCCGACAAGCAATTTCGCAGTTGCAAGAATGGCGCAGCCTTAGGATCGGTGACCTTCGAAGCGGCGAGAAGTATGAGCAGGAGAAGGCGACTCGGATTCAAAAGTCCATACCCTTGGGATCGATGGATCGGGAGAGGTTGGCAACCAACCAGCGCAATAAGCAGCAACCACCACCAGAACCTCCAAGCGGCGCCGCGTTGTTGGTGGCACCGGAACTGCCTATCCGGTCGGCTGTCACCAACGGGACAGCGAACGGTGAAGGAACAACTGCCGCCAAAGGAGAACCGAACGGCCACCATGCAAATGGGGGTAGCGTGGTGGTTGCCAACGGCACCACCCCAGCGAAGCAGAAGCAGATGCCACAGCCAATTCCTGGGGTCCAACCCTTGCCACTTAGTCAAGACAATGCTCCTGATCTCCATCTGCTCACTATGGAGGAGGCGAAATTGTGCGAGACACTTCGCCTCCAGCCCAAGCCGTATCTCATGATCAAGGAACAGATATTGAAGGAGGCTGTAAAAGGCAACGGGAGTCTCAAGAAGAAGCAAGCTAAGGAGATCTGTCGCTTGGACTCGCAGAAAGGTGGGAGGATATTCGACTTCATGGTTAACGCTGGTTGGGTAGTCAAGGCGTGATTAGTGAATCCGCAATCTTTTGGAAGCAGCCATGCAAGAATCAATCAGGACCGCGGGAAAGGACTCGGTACTCTGGCGTTGGGGGCGGGGAATGGAATACCAAACGAATGGAACTAGGCGTTTTATTGTTTTAAAAGCCAAATATCTATTAAATGGCAATTTTTGAGCATGAAGGTGTGTCTTGTTAATGGCCTGTTGGCTGGAATGTGTGTGAATTGGTTCTGTGTTTACGCAATTCAGGGGTAAAGTCAACATGAGAACCGGGCAACCAGAGGATCCTGCCCCTCTTTTTCAACGAAAGCCACGAAAGCCCGTCCAACACCGTGTTGTCCACCTATGCTGAGAGGTGTGCTTATTGGTGCGGAGGGTATAAGTCGTGCTGGCCCCCCCTCTTCCCTCCTAAAAGTATTTAAACGCTTCCTTGCCGTCTCCGTTCTCATTTTCTCTTCTTCTCTCCCTTTCTTCTTACGACCCCCTCGCTTTTGCTTCGTTTATCTGTCTTCTATTGAAGCACAAACGACACTAATTGACTACTTGGACTATTGTTCAAGCCCCATTCATCATGTCGGGCAACACCGTCTACCTCGTCACCGGTGCGAATAGGGGTAAGCAGCCTTTTTTATTCCTGAGCAAGACCACCGAGACTCGTCGGCCATGCACGCCGTCGCGTAGGAGTCTCCTGACTCCTTTCCTATTCTAACCATCGCTATTCTAACCATCGACTATCTCTCCTTTATTTTTGATTCCCTTCTGCCGCCCTCTTTTCACCCCTGTCTTTCTCTTCTCGCGATCCCCTCTTCCTCCCCTCTTCCTCCCACAGCTGACCTTTGTTCTCGCGATTCCAATCACGACCACGGCCGGCAGCGCACATTTCTTTTCAAAAAGCTTCCTTCCCCCTTCCCATCCCGATCGCTTTACCTATAGACCTACTAAATGGCTGGCATATTGACGTATATTTTTTTTCTTGTCGCCACAGGCATCGGGTTCGCCCTAGTCATGGTCCTCCTCGTCCGCCCCAACACCACTGTCTTCGCGACGGCCCGCACCGCATCCTCGGCTGCGCCCCTGACCAACTTTCAGGGTACCGTCCATGCGACTAGCAAGCTTATCCCCGTGCTGCTCAACGAGGACGACACTAGTGGTGCGACCACGTCGGCCACGCTGGCGACGCGCCTGCGCGAGGAACACAGCGTCCAGAAACTGGACGTGATCGTGGCCAATGCAGGCGGCTCGCAACCCCCAGGCACGGTGTTGGACTCGGATCCTGTGGCGGTGATGAAGGACTTCGAGGTGAATGCGATCGGTCCGCTGAAGTTGTTCCAGGCGCTTTGGCCGCTGCTGGATGCCGGTAAGGAGAAGAAGTTTGTGTACATTACTAGTACGCTGGGGAGCATTGAACTTTTGCAGCTCGAGCAGCTCCCAGGGGTCGGATATGGGATGAGCAAAGCGGCAGCGAACTGGTTTGCGAAGAAGGTCAGCGTGGAGTTAGGAGACAAGGTGATTGTTGGGATCTTGCATCCAGGGTAAGTACTTGTGTAATATTGTCATATTGGGTTAGCCCGGACGGTGTTTGCCCTTCACCGCATGCTCTTACTGTACAGGTACCGGAGACTAACGGCTGCGGATGTAGTTGGGTACGGACCGAACTCGGTCAAGTTCTTGCGGACTTAGTTGGACTCGAGCAGCCGCCGATGACGGTCGAGAAGAGTGCTCAGAGCGTTCTCGAACAAGTATGCTATAGCCCATCGACGAGATACTATTCTTGGGTGGAAATTTGAGTTAACCCGCATATCCCTATGTCTAGATTGACAACTTGACTAAGGAGAAGTCCGGCCAATTCCTGTCTTATTCCGGACAGGTTTTACCCTGGTAGTGGGAGCATGGCGCTTGGTGTGTGAAGGAACTTGATGGAGCCAGTAGGGGTGAAATTAGTTTTGGAAAACTCGACGCAATAGTTTCTCTGTCCGAGACCCTGAATTTAGTTCTACTCGAAATGTTCAGTAGTCGCACATTATCGTTATCACAACACATGAAGCTGTTCATCCGAAGCTGGTCGCAATCCTATGTTGAAGGAGCGAGCTTTACCGCAGCAGCCCTTGCGGGCTTCAAATTCTCCCGAGCTCCCAGACAACGCTCGGGAGCCTTCCCTTCTCTGGCGCAATGTATTTGGGAAGAACAGCTCTGTCTGAGAACCATTCACGGCCCCCACCTTTCACGGTACTGGAACATGTTTCAAGAGCCATGCGAGTCAGGATATTTCTCTGAGGGGCATCTGCACCGTCATAAGGTATCTGATCAATTGTAATAGCTCTGATTTTGAAGCCAGTGTTTCGGCGTGTAGTCATTGCTAATGGCCAAAGGTATGGAATATCGAGCTATGGCCATCACTCATTGCGGCTTGCTCATTCAATCTGGAGTGTCTGCATCTGATTCAAGTTCTGTCTCGCCCCTCGACCCCTGGCGCCACTTGCGACATGGCTGGCGGCTGGCCGCCAAAACTACGCCCAAGCCACAAAGAAGCAGAAACAGCGCCCCCTCAACCCCTCCAACAAGAGGACTCTGATTTGCAAGAGGTTCGGCCGGGTCGCGTGGATCAACCAACCACGATGTGAAAGTGGTTTAGCCGGGCGCGTGCGGGCGATCTGGGGATGCCAAAGCTAAAACCGCTGTCGGGCTGTCCTTGGTGGCCAAAGGGAGACAAATACGGATACACGTAGTTAATACAGCACATAGCTTTGTTCGCTGTTTAAATTGGGAAGTTTCGTTTGGAGGGGTCCTGCTCGACCCCCACCGCTCTCATAAGACAATTTGTCTCAGAGCAAGTCTCTAGATTTTCGATCTAGTCTCTGATTCAAGTCGAGAAGTGTTGCGCGTCGGGCCTCCACAGAAGGTGGCTTGGAACCTCTCGGGGGGCCGAATGCTTGGCTCCCGCGCTCTCCCAGGCTTGTTCTCAAGAATACTACACGTGGATATCAGCGACGACGCTCAACCTATCAAATCTGAAGATCCCCACAGGCCAAGAAACTGGGTAACGGTTGACATCACTCGCTTCCAGTTGGCGACCCGTGAGCCGTCTTCAACTCGTTCTTCACATTCCGAACTGTCCTGGGACGGAATCGGCTTGGGAATGCTTGGGACTGAGAGGCCGCATTCAAAGTTTACAGGCCGATCAAAGGTGTCGGGCTTCCGTGCAAGCAGCGAAGCTGAATACCTTATCGCGGTGGTCCCCTTTTAAACAACCAGCATGCACCATCCAAGCTGACTGGGCGCTTGGACAATCCTCTTGCGGAAGCCCCAGCCGGCCGCCCTGGTGGACCCTGTGTGCTTGTCCAACAAAAAGTGTCTTCACGATTCAAGCGGTACACGAGAGATACTCAGAAGCGCAAAGTTAAGGGGAAAATAATCGGAGACCTTTCAAAGACCCCAACAAATCTGGGGCTTGGCCAGGATTTTGGCCACTTGAAGGTGACGGTTGTGGGACATGAGCTGTCCCGGTTTCCGTTTCAGGGTGTTGCCAATGGACAATGAATGATCCACCCTGGGGCAAGGCAGGGGCCCCCGCATCCTTGTCCCGTTACTGGGCCAGAAGCATGTGGCGCCAAAGACCCCACAAGGAGCCCGGCCCGTTCGAGAAGACAGGCGCTTCCATTGAGAGCTCCCTCCTGCTTGGACCCCTTCCAGCCTCTCGGCCGACATTTTCTTCTTCCCTTCGGGAGAATCTACCTCTCATCAATCCTACCTCATTCTTCTGGCATACTGGCGCCTTGTGTTCTCGCCGCTGTTATTTTTCTGGTATTATTGCCTTCATAATTGTGTCGTGCAGAGTCCTTCAGCATCCCCCTACCATTCTTCTGTTTTGGTGGGGTTGGCCCCCTGTCATAGCAACCGGCTCAGCATCCTTTAAAGGCAGAAAAAGGACGAAATCTTTGTCGTCTCACACCTCGACATCTAGAAAACGAGGGGGTTGCTCTAAGAGAACCGCCGACAACCTCCCAATTGACGCCGAACTCGGGTGCTGCCCCTTGAGCGCATGCGCCTTGCCCGTTCTTTGGACGTTTACCGTCTCAGAACCGCTCGAACCCCGGCCCAAAATCGACACCACCCCCATCCTACACCACTTTTGAAGGCCGATCCTTTTCATCTGCAGGCCGCCGTGTCTTAGGCTTCGAGACTGGCCCTTTTCGTCCGATCACAACTCGATTCGCGGAGAGAACAACCGACGGGCACCGATCCGAACCATTCTCCCCATCCCGTGGAACCTCGTAACCGGCTTTTCAGCCGCACTAAACCTCACCACTTCAGTACATGTCGCACTCAAGGACTTTGCAATAATAAATACGAGCTTCCCTTGCCGATATCTATCACGAGAATCCCCCTTTCATCGAGAATCGAGCCCCCTTTATCCGCCTGGATCGACCTACCCGCGCACTGACGACCGGCGTCCTTCGGCTCCCTGGCATCGCCATGGAGACCGCATCGCAAGTTCTCAACCATGCTAACGAGGTGTACGCCCGCTCCGGCGGCGCTACTGGCGGCGACGCCAACCGTCCGCCAGCATTTAAAGCGATCGGCATCGGGCTAGCGGTTGGATCTGGCGCCTTCATCGGGACTTCCTTTGTCCTCAAAAAAGTCGGCCTGCTCAAGGCTAACGAAAAATACAACGAGGTAGCTGGCGAAGGGTATGGGTATCTCAAGAATTTCTACTGGTGGGCCGGCATGACTCTCATGATATTGGGGGAAGGGCTCAATTTTGCCGCCTACGCTTTTACCGACGCTATTTTGGTCACACCATTGGGCGCCCTTTCCGTCGTTATCACCACCGTTCTCTCGGCTATCTTCCTCAAGGAACGCCTCAGTATGGTGGGTAAGGTTGCCTGCTTTCTCTGCATCGTTGGCTCTATAGTCATCGTCATGAACGCGCCAGAATCGTCCTCGGTCGCCAACATCCAAGAGATGCAATCGTTTGTCATCCACCCAGCCTTCTTGACCTATGCCGGTGTGGTCCTTGTGGGCTCGGCGATCGTGGCGTTCTGGCTCGGACCAAAGTATGGCAAGAAGAACATGTTGGTATACATCTCTATTTGCAGCTGGATTGGCGGTCTGAGTGTTGTGGCAACTCAGGGGCTGGGCGCTGCCATCATTGCTCAGGCTGGAGGCACACCGCAGTTCAACCAGTGGTTTCTATATGTTCTGCTGGTTTTTGTCATTGGAACTCTTTTAACTGAAATCATCTTTTTGAATGTGAGAAGACCCCCACGTTCAAAACGTCACCATTTTGTGCTAATTGATAAACAGAAAGCGTTAAACATCTTTAACGCAGCCCTTGTCACGCCCACCTACTATGTTTACTTCACCAGTACGACGATTATCAGCTCAGCAATTTTGTTCCGCGGCTTCAAGGGAACTCCTACGTCGATCATTACGGTCGTCAACGGATTCTTGACCATCTGCTCGGGTGTTGTCCTCCTCCAGCTGTCCAAGTCTGCGAAGGACGTTCCCGACGCGGCCGTATTTACTGGTGATCTAGACCAGATTCACACCATCGCCGAGCAAGCACAACCCGAAACAGAGCCTAAAGCGGACGCTATCCGAGGAACAGCTGCTATTGTTAGGAGGTTGTCCTCCGCAAGGCAGAAAATGGAAATCGACGAACTCAAACGACTCCACGACGAGAAGCTCCAGGAAGGTCTTGCCCCGGTAAGCGAGGATGGCGCACCGCAGTACGAGTGGGATGGCATCAGACGCAGGAGGACCGGCACGTTTAGTTCACATAGGACCGGAACACCGGCGAGTACCAATCTTGCGCCCCCAACTCCCCACCCACCCCTGGGCTGGTCTCGTTTCCCGACCGACGAAGAGCTCGCCGAGGAGAACCGACCGCTCTCTCCAGGTCTCTCCAGTATCGTCGGCACCATCCGCACCCGCGCCCGCAGCGTCCTCCTTCCGGGCCACCCAGATTTCCGTGCCAGAACTCCGGACACGGGCAAAGTACAATCGCCCATGCACCCGGTGCAGCTCACCTCCGTGGCCGTGGCCAGCGCAGACGCCCCATCCGGCGACGACTCCCGCCATATCCAGTTCAGTCAGCCACCTCGTCAACATTCGGGGGCTAGCGGCGACTCAACCATGTCTTCCCTCCCCCCAACGCCTCCGCCACACCTTACCGCCCGCCGCCAGTTCTCATTCCAGAACATGTTCCGGCGAAACCAGTCAAACGCCAGCCCCCTTGCAACCGAAGCCACCCCCGATCACCACCACCCCTTTGGCCGCCCAACCTCATCCCGCCACGGTATCTCTTCGCGTGGGTATAGTAGCCCACAGGTCCGTGGCGCCACCGAGGAGGAAAGACTTGGTCTTGTCAAGGGTGACTCCAACTCTAGCCAGAACGCAAAGTCAATGCCTGCACTACCACGCTACGATGACGATGATGATGTCAGCAGTGATGGTGATAGCGACATAGAGAAGGAAGCGTACCGTGATGGAGACAAGTCTCGCACTGGCGGGATGTACGGCCATAGCATTACACACGGATATGCCCCTACACCAGGAAGCAGTCCACCACGGACGTGGCGCCGGGCACCGGAAGAAAAGACTGCGGTTGGGTTAGGGTTAAAGGAGAGTGGGAAAGATGGCGAAAAGGGAGCTGGAGTTGGTCAGGAGGACGAGGTGGAGCAGTATGAGCAACAGAGGAGGAGGTTTGAAGAGAGGCGATCAAGTGGGGATCAGAATACTCGCAGTAGCGGGAGTCAAGAGAGGGAGGGCCCGACACCCCCGCCGCATGGGGGCACGTATCGCAGCCGCCATGGGGGTGGGTTCATCTGACATCGAGACCACTGCTGTGATGTGGTTTGACGGGAAGTGAAGTGTTGTGGTTTCTTTCGTTTTTATCCATATGCGCGGGATGCGCAAAACGCATGTTTTAATGACGGCATGAGTTGATGAGGCGGTTATTCCCTCTTTTTATTTGCATGTTTATCTTGGCTTAGTCCATCATTTTGTTATTTTCAGGATCATGTTTATCAATACGGGCGGAGCGTTCGTTTTTATGAGGCCCAAGAGGAATAGGGGCGGGGGAGCTGTTCTTACGGTCCTCGTGTTTTTACATTGGCGGTTCATGGGTTATCATGTTATTGGGACTAGACAGGGGATGTGCTTGGGCGGTACTGTACATATCTGCATCTTGCATGGTTCGAGGGACTGTACATTTACTGGATACATGAATGTCACGAGGATGAGTTGTTTGATATGTGACAGTGTGCATATGGCTGATGGAAGTGTAACTTAGTTTTGCGCACCCTGTATTTAAAAGACGATTTAATATTCTACAGTGTATCAATCGCCTGTCCCAACCTCGCTTGTTGTATTCTTTCCTGGAGTTTGCTCAAAATGATCCGATTTGCTTGTGATTCTTCCTTAACTAATCCCCAAATTGAAATCGTTTCACGTCATCCAAGCCGGCTTTCCATCAACACTGCTTATGCAGAAGCTAAAACCAAATGCTCCACCGGCGATGCTAAACCTGACCGAGTAATTAAGAACAATAAACAACAAACAAGAGATATGGGAGGCGAAATGAAAAGCTAGGGGAACATAATGAAAGGAAAAGGAAAATTAAGGCAAAGGAAAAGGACAAGAGGAACGAAGAAAAGCGCCGTGCTTCCGTTGTATGCAGCCAGACTCCGTCGTCATCAAATCGCTTGCTCGAAGAACTCTTTCCCTTCGCTTTGTCCGTAAGAAGAAAGTAGTACGCTAACAATATGCCCCTCGCTCGCTTGAGGGCATCAGTCTTGGCTACGCCGATCTGGTTGTTTACCAATCTGCAGCCCACCCGTTCTCCTCCAAGAATTCCTCACACGCTTGCTTGAGGTCTAGGTTGGGCCGTAGTTCAGCCGCATATAACGGTTCGCGGGTTAAGGGGTCGGTGGGTTGTCGACGGAGGTGCTCAACTATGGAGGCGCGCTCGTAAGATTTGCCTGTTTTTGTCTAGCGTTTGGGTTGCGTTAGAGAGACATTCACCTTCCAAGGGGGTGGGTTAGTGGTGGATAGGGAGAGGGCGAAACTCACGATTACGGGATCAACCATGACGCCGAAGCTGATATCGTCGATCGCCCAGTCCGGCACTTCCCTTCGCTTTTGTTCTTCCACCGGCCGCGCCTTCTCAAACACCTCGCGCATCTTGAGCATCTTATCCTCCCACTCCTCATCGACCTCACGCTGCAGCGCATCTCCTCCCAACCCATCACCGCCCGCCTCTCGCACCGCAACTTCCCTCTCCCGCCTCAACAGCTCCATCACCTCCCTCTCCAACGCGCTCACCTCCCGGACCCGCCGCTTCTCGGCATCATCCCACCGCTCCTTCTTGCACTTTAACACATGCGCCGTGATGGTCCCCAGGCTCTTGTCTGCGGCCTTGGCGCTTAGCGCATGCGCCTCGAGGGCGTGGGTGACGGCGTCGTCGTAGGCGCGCAGGGCGAGATGGGCTTGGGAGAGCGAGTAGTGTGCTTTGATGTTGCTCGGGGCGAGGGCTAGGCAGGCGGTGCAGTCGGCTACGGCGCTGTCCCATTGGGATAGCTTGAGGCGGGCCATGGCGCGGTTGGTGTAGAGGGCTGGGTTTGAGGGGTCGGCGATTAGGCTGGAGGGTGGGTGGAGGCATAGTTAGAGGACGTTGGAGTGCTCTTCGGAAGGAGTGGGATTTAGCTGAACCTACGCTTGGGAATAGAGGGCTTCGGCCATCACGTAGTCGCCGGCCTGGAAGCGGCGGTTGCCCTCTTCTTTGAGCTGGGTTGGTTTCGCCATGGCCGGGTGCTATTGCATCGTCTTTAGGGGTTTGGGGTGTAGGAAACGGGAGGCTGATCTGTTTCGAAGAAGTTGAAGAAGACCCCTATGTCGCGTGATATAAAGCGGTATTGTGGAGTGATCTCGGAGCTCTCGGGGGAACTGCGAATAGAGAGCAGTCGATACAACGACGGGAGGCGCGCAGGTATGAGAAGTAGTGCGTGCCAATGCGGGTAGCGTGACTTCGGGAAGGCCGGGTGAGAAAGGGAGTAGAAGAGGGAGGGAGGGAGTCTTGAGGCGCGCGGTTAGGTATCAGTGTTCGGGGAAATGTTCAAATCAACCTCCCGATGCGCATATACATGTAGGTACCTTAACGACCTACCGGGCTGCAGGGACGGGAGCTTTGGCGGGGCACGCTGCAGCGACGGGACGAGAATCGCCCCGCGTTCCATCAATGGAGCTTCCCGCAATCGTTTGGTGGACCCTTTCTCTTGTGTAATTTGTCAAGCTTGGGAAGATTCCAGAAGCCCACACCCTGGACAGTGCAATTTAATACCCGGTCATTAAAAGCAAACGGGACTCCCCGGAGACAGCTCTCCAACAATGGAATGCGAATTGCCTTTCATGATCGGGGGAAGACAGTTCCACATTTGCAAACAGGTTCCACACACTCCGAACAACAAGATGAAAGAAAGTGTGATGTCTGCGCAATGGGGTTGTGGGCGTTGAAGCTTGGCGGAAATTCAAATCAGCTTCGCCTGGCCGAAGATGGCCGCCGAGTGGCACCTAACCCAGTTGCGGGGCAGAATATATTGACCTGGATACAGTAAACACTCGGAAACTTCTCTCTTCCTTCGTGGGGAGATTTCTGCCTTGGTGAACAGACGCATGTATATACGTACGACGAGGCAGATCGCGGTGCCAATTGCGTGGCACTTCAGGCACCAGGATCTCGATGACCTGCAAGTGAGATGCGGGGAGGTCGACGGTTTCTTAGCTCACCAATCCCGGAAATATATCTTCAAGTCAATTTGAACAACAACTCCCGCCAGGTGTTTGGTCTCATTAACCTTCTTTTACCTCCGACACCAACAACATGGCCACCTCTATGACTACGTCACCCTCCCTCCCCCACTCTGCCGACTCCCAGCTCTCATCTCTCTTCTTCACCCACCTACCCGCTGAGATCCGCAATCTCATTTACCTCGAGTATTGGAAGCTCTGTTCGGTCCGCCAGCACATCTTCAAGTACCGCCTTTTGGACAATGACCGTGAATCATACACGGAGGCATGGGCACACGTCCCTTGTCGGGCTGATCTGGAAGCGCCTGACACCCGCTTCGAAGAGCTTGGCCAAAGCGTGAATGGGTCGCCCGAAAGGGAACTCTGGGGGAAGCGGTTGAGGAGCGAGTGGTGTCTGCATTGGATGTGCGAAGAAGATGCGAAAGCTGTGGGTGAGCGGATGAAGGAGGCTTCAGAATCTCAACAGGACGGTGCTCCTGTGGTTGTTCAACATTCTCATGGACCGGGAAATGCTGGGATTCTGACCGCCCTCTTGGTGTGTAAGCGGATGTAAGTCATGACAGGGCCTCTTCATTTCACCACCACCACTACCAGCACCAACTAACTTTTAGGCAAGGTACCTCGAATGTCTCCCCTCACTTTACAACAACACGACCTTCATCCTAACTGACACACGCACCGCCGTTAATTTCCTCTCTCGCTATGTCCCCAACCATAGCGACGACGCCTCAAGTCCTGCACCTAAGAGCTCGGTCCCTCATCCCATCCGCTCCCTCGAACTCAGCATCCGCGTTCCCAACATCATCACCGAGATCTACTACCCCTCCAACCCCAACACCCCGGGTGGAGACGATGGGCCACCCGCTGTGTTCGCCGCCGGCCCCGTGGCAGCCGCACCTGACGGCAACGGGACCCTTCGCGGCTCTCGCTCGACTCTCAACGCTCGCAACAATCCCTGGCGCCACCTTTGCGATACCGTCGTCGCGCTTCTCCCATTGTTGCGCCACCTGCACATCTGGCTGGACTCGAGCGACCTGCGGCCGTGGCATAAAAGGGTGAGCGAGACGCGGTTTTTCGGACCCTTTCTCGACCTCCCGCGGCCTCACTCGCTGTCCGGGTCCGGGAGCGAGGGTGGTTCGAGTTCTGGGTTAGATAGAGAGCGGTTTGTGCTCTCGTTGCCGGGGTTACCGGTACGCAGAGGCCCGGATACGCATGCCCTGACGGGGCAATATCTGGAAAACGAGGTGTTGGAGAGGCTGCCGTTTGTGGTGAAGAGGGGGCCGAGACCGGATAATATGCGGGTGCATATGAGAAATATTGTACATTTCGGGGCGGTTGGGTTTCCTCCGCAGCCTACGGCGGCTACCGTTGTTGTGGCAAGTGGGTATAGTGGTGGTGGTGGTGGTGGTGGTTCTACGACTGCCTCGTGATCATGGGATATCTGGAAGAAGGGCGAGTGTGTTAGGTACTCACTAAGCGAGGTAGTAGAACGTACATGCTTAAGCAATTGTCTTAACTGAAGCAATGAATTTCACGGAACGAGGCCCAAGATGTCAGAATTGATGAACCCGCAGTAAATGCTCAAGCTAGTGGCCTAGGTAACATGGAAACAGAAAAAGGTAATATCCCAGACAGACATGCCGGTCCCAGTGCCCAACATGCCCTCCAAGCGAAAAAGAAAGACGAGAAAAATTGCATCACCATGCCGAGATGGTGAATGACAAAAAGATCGACCAAGGTCGAGATAAGAAGAAGACAAGAGTGAAAAATGTACAGCCGGTGGACCAAGAGAGGGAGTGACATGAGCACCCTCGAAGACGAGACTTTCACCGCCCAAAACACCAAAATGAGGCGAAGGATATGGGACAAGCCGCATTCTATCCGCCCATCCGCCCATCCGCCCAAGGGTATATCGCCTCAAGATACCCGCCCACAGCCACTCCCCAGGAAACAATGACTGCCTCCCAGTGATTCATCGTGCGCAAAAGGTTTCCTCCAATTATTCCCAATCCCCAATCCATATCCCTGCCTGCCCTGATCCTTTCCTACCAAAACGCCGTTGCAACGCAATCAACAATAAATCCGAAACGATGGGAAGAAGCCGAGTGACGGGACGGGGAGCAGCGGCTTCCCCCCCTCTTTTATCGCATCCCGTTCTCCTTTAATACGCCGAGAAATTCTCAATAAGCTTGCCCGACCGCGGGGCTCACATCCCCGTCACCCCCAGACCCCGCGTCATCCCTCCACCCCCCTTGTGGGTGATGTGATGATGGCGATGGTCCCGCGGAACTGAGGCCCCCAGGCTGCCGGCCATTTCCATCTCTCGAGTTCGGGACAGCGGGGAATCCACCTGGGGATCGGGGGCGGCCGGTGTTGCCGCCGTGCCCGTTGCCATTGCCGTTCTGATGGTGGAAGGACGGGTTGATTGGCGGCCCACCACGCGGGTTGGCGCCGTTGTTGGCGCCTTGTGGCGGACGGGGCTTTACGGGACGGGTTGAGAGGCAGGTGCGGGGGACGACGCCTTGCTGCGAGCGGTCGAGGCGGATACAGAGGGCCTAGAGGGGGGATGTTAGTACAATATAGGGGGAAAAAGGGGTGCTGGGTGAGGAAGGGAAGAGAAGAGAAAGGAGGACATACCCATCCATCGTCATACTCGTGCAACAGCCGGACTAGCTGTCCAGCAAACAACACCATTTCGTCTGGGAGCGTGGGCTTGAAGTCCAGCTGGACGCGGTGAACCGTCGACGAGGAAGGCCCACCAGCCGCTGCAATAGCGGCCGCACTGGCCGATGGTGCGGGAGCTTGGCCCGGGGCCATCGAGTGGACTGAATACTCCGTTCCTGAAGGGCTCGGTGGCACGGCGAACAGGGGTGATGGGGGCTTCGTCAGGTCCAAGGGCTTCGGGAGGTCCTTGCGGATCGAGGCCTTGCGGGTGATGTTGGAAGTGGTCGCGGGGAATTGGCGAGCGTTGGCCGCCCCTTCGTCGTCGTTATCTAGGATCGGTGAGACGGGCTCGGGGATGGGCTCGCTGGTCTGCGCGACGCCCACGCGATTGTCAAAGGAGCCCATGGAACTGATGGGACTGACAGGTTCGTCGGGCAGGCGGTGGTTGTCGTGGAAGGGGTTCACGTGAAGGCCAGGACGCTTCGGGTTTGCCTTTTTGCTTTGAGACCCAGAACTCGAGCTGGCTGCAGCGGCTGCGCGCGAGGCCGCTGGCCGCTCCCAGGCGCTGCCACCGCCGTTGGCACCGGCGCTATCAGTAGCACGGCTTTGCGGTGGGTTGAAGACTGGGTTCAGGGCCAGGGCGATGCCGCGGCTCTGGCGTCTCTCCGGGTTCTGGTTGTTAAAGTTGGGCAGGAACTGAGTGACAGGCCGCAAACTGAGGCGGGGAGCCTTGTTCGGGGTCCTTGGCGCCGGCTGGATCTCTGCGCTATCGGTGAATGGCCCATGGATCTTCTCGTCATCCTCCATCTGCTGCCGTTGCCTCGCTAGCTTCTTCTTCCGGTTGCCAAAAATGAGATACACAAACACAAACACAATCAGAATCCCGCCCAGAGCACCGATGATGATGCCAGCCATAGCGGCGGTGCTCATCCCGCCACTCGCTTCACCGCCGCTCGCATCCCCCGTGGCCGTTGCGCTTGGCGTTAGAGTCGGCGTGGTGTGCGTCGAGACATGGCTGGTGCTACTTGTTGATGTGCGGTCCGAAGTAGGCGCAACGTTCAACGCATCCGTCGTAGGGAGCGCGGTTTGTGGCTTCCTAGTGTTCTGGATGACGGTGGGAAGCGCAGTGTTGGGGTCCAGCACCTCAGTTGGCAGGTTTTCGTCGAGGGTCCTTCGGCCGACCTCCACCCCCCTCGCATGCTCTGGGGCCAACATATCTCTGACCTCGTGCTTCACTGCTTCCCAAAACTCCCGGTTTGCCATGTTGCCGACACACTGTGGTTCTGGTGCGTCGAAACGCACAACCTAACTTGTGTCCCCGTCACCACGGTCCTGCTGTTTGCGACCAATAAATACCCGACGTCTTGTTGCCGAGCGGAAATGTCCTGATCCAAAGAACTATCTATGAATCGCCCTGCGGTTCACACAAAATAGCCAACCCCTGAATTCAGGTTGAACTTGATCGCCCAGTCCTTCCCAGGTAGTAAGGTGAGGTGGGTGGGTTCAAACGCCGGGCGAAAAGGGGAAGGACAAAGAACGGAGGGCCGCGGCCACAGTGGTGTTGCGTCGCGCGCGGGGAACCGATTTCGATTGAGTAAGGTAAGCGACTCGTTTGAGAAAAGGAAGGAATTGATAGTTGGTTTGAGGTATCACAAGAATAGAAAAAGGCCTGGGAGAAAACCGAGATCTCTCAAATCTCAGGAGCAAAACATCACAGCACACAACAAGCAAGCAAACAAAAAAACGGTGTTCGACACCACAAGCAGGTTGTCGATGGTCGGGAGAAACGAAGAGGAGGCGTTGGCGTGATGGGGGGAGGAATCGGTGCTGTGCCCTGCCGTGCCGGGGGGTGAAGAGGCAGGACGATGGGCTGTTGGCGCCAACAGCGGACCAGGGTGTTGGTCGTCAGACGCTCACACAGCGAAAGCGAAAACGGTGTTTGGTGGTGGCACACAAACCGGGGGAAGAAGTGCCCCGCTAGGGATCTGCAGTGCTGCTGCGCTCCTCGCAGGATGAAAGCCCGGCCCTGTTCTTGCTGCAGCAGTTCTTCGCTTGGCCCCTCCATCAACGAGCGCTGCGCCGCAGTCGAAGCAGCCGTTTGCGAGAAATCCGGGAAATCCGGATTTTCTGGCGCATCCCGGGCCTCCCAATCGATTTTGTCCTATTTGGGCTGATAAAACATCGATAACTCTGCTTAAACCAACCCATATTGACGGGCGTGGATGCAGATTCCCGAGATTGACCCACGACAGCTGTTTCCCGGCCGATTGTTTCGAGCTGGGCCGGGGACGGCAAGGCTGTTCGTCACAAGGGAAGTTGGTCAAATGGAGCCACTCCTGAGCGCCATTTCAGGGACAGATGACACATGATTGGCTGAAATATCGCGCCAAGTGCGAAGCGAGATTGTCGGCATGGCTGTCATTGGTTGAGAGGATGGAGATCAACTGGCCCCCACCAGGTGGATTTTCGACCCTCGCAAGCACAGGCCCAGGTCATCTATGGACCATCGCATCGAGAATGGGATTTCCATTTCGCGCACCATCCAAGCTTCCATCTGTGGGGACGGCACCAGCCGCGCTCGATCACGGCCGACTGTCGAGTGAGAGGACGAAGGGTTTGCAATGCGTTGTGTTTCCTCTTCTTTCGACCTCATGAGTCTTTTGAGAATCTTCAACAAAGAGTTGGAAAAGGGGCAGCCAACCCGTGGCTGAGCGGACAGCCCACTCACAGTTGCAGTTCTCTCCCCGGCACTTGCAGCACCAGCTGCTATTCTCGGCAGCCCCGCCGGTTAGTTTCGCCCCTGAGAGCGCCATTGCGGGAAACCACATCAGAGCCCGAAAGGGACCCGAGTTTACGACGCCGACGGGACAACGCCAGCCGACAGCGAGCCGAAGGGAAACTTCTTTTGGAATCCGTACACTACTTCGTACCGCACCGTCAAACGTTGTTCACTGGTGGCCCAACCCGAACCACAAACGACGAACCGAGGACCGGCACCGCCTAGCTGGTGGGGTTCTATGAGAGCAAAACCCGCTGAGGTCGTGTGAGGATGAAACAGTGGCTTTCAACGGGACGTGGCAGCCGAGAAACACTCTGGGCGTGGGCTTGGGCTTGGCTTCGGGCTCCACGCCGCTAAAATAGTCGCGACTAGCAAACGTGACGCAATGCGCTTCCACTGCCTCGGGAAGGCCTGGAAAGTTGAAGTCTTTTGTTACGGGTGAGCTCGCGGTCGGCGGAAGATCTTCCATCGAAGAGAAAGACTCCGTGTAAGGAGGTCGCCCGTCTCACTCTCTACACGTACACCACGCTGTCTTATCCGGGCAACTACCTGTGTTTCCCAAACGGGATGGCTCAGCTCCGGGGCTGTGACGGAGAGGAAGGTGGCGGCTCGCAATCAGCCCCGTTTGATGAGTGAGGGCAACCCGCCGACCCGCCGATCGCCCACCCAACACCGAGGCTTGCACACACCACCCCAAGACCGCCAGGCCAATAAGTGTCTTTTCAAGCCGCAAGGCAACTGACACACTCGCTGAATTCACGTCATTGATACGGTTGTGTGATATGGCCCCCAAACAGCTAGCTGCGGTACATTTGAGAGTTTTGAGCTTTAAGAAACTCCATTGTGTACATTACATTGTATCGACAAAACACTACCAGTAGCTATTCCATAGGCCCGCCCGTCTGTCGAATGCGGTGCCGAGTTTTCGTTTCCCCTGACGCCAATTTCTATGGTATCTCAAACAATAAACTTTTTGTACAAACATAACGCCACACGATCAGTCTCAGCCCGTTTTCAAGTAGCCACCAAACGAAAATCTTCCCCTACACTCCCGTCAACTGTGTGTTGCCTGTTGAAGCTGAATTGAGTTGGTGCCTGTCACCGCTCGGTGTGCAAACGCCCATACCGTAGGTGGGTGGGCCAAAGACCCGAAGCCGCCCTACCTTTCCCAGCTATCGCGAGAAACCCGTCATGGTGCGGCGCCGCATTCGCTAGGTAAGATCAGCAACGACGTCAAGCACAGTCCGAGGACTCGGACGCTCGATGCACCTGATCTCACTAAGACGCCTGCAAAAAATCCCGTCCCACCACACTCCCCCCTTTTTTACTGATTTCGGGGTGGCCAATACGGCTGGCCTTGCTGCCCATGCTGCGCTTCCTGTCCTGGCTGCTGGTACCCCCCAAAGTATGCCGGCGGCGCGGGTGCAGATACTGGCGCATTGTATGCAACGGGAAGCGCCTGCGGCGCAGCACCTCCAGCACCAGCGCCAGCACCGGCGACCGGCGGCCAAGTCGGGTGCGCGGCTTGGTGAGATGGGGGAGGGTACGGCGACGAGTTGTGGTGGGGGTATTGGTTGTATTGCTGTTGCGGTGGTGGCTGGCTTTGGTTCTGGTTCCAGGCCGGGTAGTTGAAGTTGAAGGCACCCACAGGCGCTGGAGGCTGCTGCCCCTGAACAGCGGGAGGGGAGTAGCCTACGGGAGAAGGCACAAAATTGGGGGGAGGAGGGGGGATGGGCCATTGACCAGTTGGTGGTGGGATTTGTCCGCCGAAGGGAGGGGGTAGCGGGGCGTTAGAAAAGGGTGCTTGCGGTGAGGCTGCGCCGTCACGTCCAAATTGCTGATAGGGACTTCCGCCGCGCGAGCCGTGCCTCCTATCACCACCTCCACCGCGATGACCACCACCGCCGCCACGTTGATTGCGGCCCCCCCGGAACTCGCCGCGGCCCCCGCGATGGGATCCGCGGTGGCTTTGGCCACGGCCACCACGAGGTGGGCTCCCGAACCCGGCCTCGGGCTTCGGGGGCAGGGCAGGGAGAGACGACGCCCCACCCTGGCCGAAGCCGGCTGGACGCGTTAATGGTTTGTATGGCCCATCTTCGTCCTCGTCGTAGTTGAGCACTGAGCCGGTCGCAGTATAAGAAGACGCGGTATAAGTCGATGCGACGCTCGCTTCACGCCCCCCGCGGCCGGCTTTCCCACCACGCCGTTTTTGCTTGAGAGCTCTCTTGTACTCGGCCTCCTTCTCGTCATCAGAAAACTCCATCTCGTCCGCCGGTAGCTCTTCGTCGTGGAGGTTGCTGGCGTCAGTGCCCTTGACCTCTTTCAAAGGTTGCGTAAAAACGTAATTAGCGTGCTGGACGGAGTAAAAAATGGGCATCCCAACCACGAGCCCCAGTTGCTGAATATCGTCTTCTGTCGAAAACCCAACCGTGTACATGGGGCTGCGGACATTTCCCAAAACCTCGGCCAAGGCGCCGATGACTGTCCTGTCCTCTTTGCAGAGTACGGATCCTGAGTCCAGCACTTGCACCTCGCCCGGCGTTTGGGACTTGATCACAACGGTGGTCTCTACGACAAACTCAATATTGCCGAGAGACTCAATCTTCATCTCTGGGGTAATTGTAACATCGGGCTTGGGGATGACCTCTTCGGCCATTTCGTTTTTCGTGCGAAGGGCAGCCCCCGCGCCCTTGGACTTGCCGGGCCCATCGCCATCCCCGTCGCCGTCGCCGTCGGCAGCCATGAGAAGACGCGCCGTCTCTTCAATGCCGAGGAGCGGATAGCTGCCGCCATCTTCAGAATCGTCATCCGAGTCGCTGTCGGAGCTGGAAGACTCGGAAGAAGACTCGTATGGTGACGAGTCTGCCTCCCACTCGGCTTCGCCAGCCCCTTGTGGTTCCCCCTCTTGTGGCGCATCAGGCGCAGGGTCTTGTTGTACCGTATGGTGTCCATTGTGCGGTTGGGCGACGTGGCTGGGGCCAGGATCAGAGCCACCGATGTTGGATAGCATGCCATCGAGTGCGGCCTCTAGAGCGTGCGTAACGTCCGGGCTCGGCGCATCGTCGCCTGTTTTCATATCAACATCGTCGGGCGCATTATCCAGAGTGGCGGAGGATCTATCGGCGTCGACTTCCATCCTGACATCTCCTGTTTCTGCCACTGTGCTACTCTGTGTCGCAGCTGCCTTATTTTGTTCATCATTTTGTTGCTTTCCTTGCTCGCCATTCTCTTCTTGGGGAGCCCCGTTGGGACCGTTCTCCTTCGTTTCGTCCCCTGATAAACTTGCGGCTGCGGTGAGAAGGTCGGGCGCAAAGTTTTCGGCGGGAAGTTGCTCGTTTGATTTCGCCTGGCCGAGGCCAGGGATCTGGAATGGCGCATCCGCCATGTTACACAAGAGGCGGCGACAAATTCGAACAAGTCCAAGTCGAGGGTCGCGAGATATTAGCACTCACGGTTGAGTATCGTCGGCCAAATCCCAGGGCTCCGGCAAGCAAGAGCTGAGAACCGTTTGCCGCGTTTTTGAGAAACAAGTTTGAAAGATAAAACGTGGATTTTAGGAATAACAATACCACCTTTTTTAAGAATCTTACACGCCAACTCGTAAGCGCTTCCCGGTAAATAAAGTTCCCACTTGCGGAAGGAGCGAAAAGAAGAGAGAAACAAGAAAACATCGAAAAAGTTCATGCTGCATTCCTTGTGGGGCTGCAAGGTGGTGGGGCAGCTCTCGTACGGGAGCGCTATCCCGTATGTGGTTTAGCGCGCCTCGGGAACGGCTTGCAGCTCAACAACTCCAGCTCAGCTCCAACATTTTCCTTCCCAAGAATTAACAAATGTTAGTTATCGCCAGTGTAGCTGAGGACGGTAATCCTTCAGTGTAGAAGGGATAGAACCGGCACCAAAATGGCTACCGAAGCTCCCAGAAAAACGGGGCAAGAGACGGAAAAGAAGAAATTCGTCCATCCTTCTGCTAAACATGCTCGAAAGAAGTAAGACTTTTGAGTTTACCATCGTGCCATGTTGTTTCAACTGAGTTGACTTCGTATCACAGGGCTATCAAAAACACGTTCGCCATCGAGCCGATATCTGCATTTTACATCTTTCTCGCAGCCAACGTACTTGCCGCCCTCTTTGCTCCCATCCAAGACTGCGACGAGACTTTCAATTACTGGGAACCCACTCACTACCTGAGCCATGGTTACGGCTTGCAAACTTGGGAGTACTCGCCTGAGTACGCCATCCGGAGCTGGCTGTATATCGCCCTCCACGCCTTCGGTGCCAACCTCCGCCGTCTTCTGCCGCACTCGTCGAAGGTTGCCGAGTTTTACTTCTTGCGCTACCTGCTCGCCCTTGTGTGCGCCCTCTCCCAAACGCTCCTGTGGAGAGCCGTGTGTTTAGCACTTAACCCGCGTGTCGGCCTCATCTTTATCTTAGCGCTCATTTTCAGCCCGGGCAACTTCCATGCTAGCACGGCTTACCTCCCGTCGAGTTTCGCTATGTACATGGTTATGATAGGGACGGCCGCGTTCATGAACTGGCGCGGCGGTCTGAAGACGTCACAGGGCATGTTCTGGTTTGCCATGGGTGGTGTGTTAGGCTGGCCTTTTTCCATCGCTCTTTGCGCCCCCTTTGTGTTTGAAGAGGTTTTCTTCGCCATGTTGAGTGATAAGGAGCGCTTTTTTGAGTCGTGCATCCGGCTTGCGCGTGGCGTGGTCGCAACCATCCTTCTAGTTGTATGTTCTCGCCGATGACCCTCGTGATGTGGCCCAGGCGACTGACAGTATTATGTATTAGGTCGCCGATACCGCTATCAACGCGTTTTTCTACAAAAAGGTTGAGATCGTGTCCTGGAACATCATCAAATACAACATCTTCTCTAGTACGGGCGGCCCCAACCTCTACGGCACCGAGCCGTGGACCTTTTACTTCAAAAATCTCCTGCTCAACTTCAACATTTGGTTCATTCTCGCTCTCCTCTCTCTTCCTCTTTTCCTTCTACAAAAGCTTTTCTCCCGCGGCAACCCTGGCGAAACCTTTCAGTCCGGTCTGCGCACTCTCGTCTTCCTCACCCCATTTTACATGTGGCTAGGCATCTTCACACTCCAGCCCCATAAGGAAGAGCGCTTCATGTATCCGGCCTACCCCTTCCTGGCGCTCAACGCCGCCCTCGCGCTCCACATCTTCCTGACTCTATTCGGGAACGCCAATCCACAAAGCCTTATCGGCCGCGTCCCCGCCAAGATCAAGCTCGTCGTCATTTCCCTTCCCTTGCTGGCCTCCATTGGCCTTGGCGTTGCCCGTAGCTGGAACCTCTACTCCAGCTACCACGCCCCATTGTCTCTTTACACGCCGTTAGCCTCCGACGAGCAGCTGGCCGGCCGTGGTGACACCGTTTGCTTCGGGAAAGACTGGTACCGGTTCCCGACCTCCTTCTTCCTGCCACGCGACATGCGTGCCAAGTTTGTCCGATCTGAGTTCCGCGGCCTCCTGCCGGGGGAGTTCTCCGAGGCACGAACTGGATTCGGGTTCTGGAGCGGCACTTGGCTGCCAACCACGGGGTTGAATGACCGCAATGAAGAGGACGCGGGGAAGTATGTTGATGTGCGGAACTGTGTGTTTTTGGTGGATAGTCAGTTCCCAGAGCGGTGGGGCCAAGGGGAGAATGGGGGAAAGAGCTTGCCGCTGAACGAGCCGGATTATGCGGCTGACACGGAGAGATGGGAAACGGTCAAGTGTGTGCCCTTCTTGGACGCAGAGAGGACACATTTCCTCGCTCGTGCATTGTGGGTGCCGGACTGGGAGGTGGTGCCGGAGAAGTGGAAGAGGAAGTGGGGTAGGCATTGCCTGTTGAAGCAGAAGAAATAAGGGGAGAGAAGGAGACCGCGATAAAAGGGATTTTCTGTTCTTCTTTTGGTTTACGTTGGTGAACGGACGAGTCACCTCCACATGTACTTGGCGATCAAGCATATACAATAGACACAAAACTTCCTGACGAACCTCCTAAAAGCGGCATTCTCCCAACAATTTGTATAGCTTCCCTGCATTTGGCGACATGGCCGGCATTGAACCAAGGAAATCACTAGAAACCCTCCTGGCAAACATTGGTTTAATTCGTTCAGAATGATTACAATTATGAGTCGTCGCCATAGCTAAATCAAACGCTATGATATCCCCACATTCCCATATCCCCTTCTGGATCCAGCCAGCCCTGACATGTGAAAACAAACTCCCATTCCCGGTGATAATTAAAGAAAATCAAAACCACACCCCCGATGACTCAAAGCATCATGACGGCAATCATACACACCCAACCGATCAACAGTGGGACAGATGTAATGATAAAGAACATCCATTGTGCTCGAGTGATACCATGCAGCCGCATCCACTTCTTGAGCTTGGTGTTGAGCTTTCGAGCATGCGGGCATGTGGCCGTACCGTAGATGAGACAGCCTAGGCCAGGTCGGGATTCGCATTCGATGTGTTCTCGTCGTCTTTGCATCAATAACCTATTTTAACTCGTCAGTCGCTGGGGTCGATTTGACTAGCTAGTCGGAGGCGAAGTATACGAAGGTGCCAGGCGCCATGGGCCATGTGAGAAGTGAAGCAAAGGAAGGGGGGCTAAAGAGGGTCTGGCTGGGAATTCAACCTAAAAGAACAAAACATACTTGACACTGCCTCGACAAAACCGCAAGTCGCTGCCCAAGTCGCAGCGCGAGTCACTAGGGCATTCGAGATGCAACAGCCGGCGTTCCATCAGCCATTCCACCTTGAGTTCAACGCCCGTATCGACGAGCCGGGAGAAATAACGGTTGGTGTGTTTTAATGATAGAGCATCCGGGTAGATGAGATGGTCGGTGATGAGAAGGTGGATCTCGGGCGGGAGGGTCGAAAAGGTGGGGCGGGGCCGAGTGTGCTGCTGGGTCAGGTCGGGGGAATCGGGCGGCGGTTGGGAAGAGCCGGAAAGGGTTTCGGCGGCAGCTGCACTTTTTCGGGGTTGTTCTTCCTCATGATGGTGCTTGTCTGGCGGTGGTACGTGGCCGACCGGAGCGGGCCGCCGTACGAGGCGGATCAGGGAAGCCATGCGAGGCGGTTGACCGATCGGTCGATTGTTTCGTGATTGGAGTTGCGGGGTGGTATTTCGTAGCGGGAGGAGATCCTTGGGGCTGGAGCGGATTTTCCTCAACTTCTGAGAGCGGTTGTGAAAATCATCCGATACAACGGAGTTACCGTGATGGTGGAAGCTTGGAGGGCCAGCAAAGACTTGGGACCATGGCAGTCTTTGGTGTTTAATACGAGTTCGTTCCTCCCCATCTCCGAAGAGGACACCCATCTCGAAACGCGGCCGCGTCCGAGGAGGCCGCTTGGCCGCCAAAACCGTTCCGCTGGTCAGTCAGCCCTGGCGATGGCCGATCCCAGACGCGGGAAGCTGAATGCTTCCCCCGGTCCCCCGCCCAGCGGTCGGCTCAGGGTTGTCAGGCTGTCTCGGCCCCTGTTAGGCACAGACAATGTGCCTGGCTAAACCTAAATCAGACACACCATGGTGGGCATTTGCGTCATCTGAGTGACAGCTTGCCGTAGGCTGCAGTGAAATCATGGCAATACGAAGTGGTCGAGGTGGAAATCCGCATCGTCAAGTCACCGGATGCGCAAGATCATCGGTCTGCAGTGAGTCGAACGATATCAACGTTGATGTACACTAACTACCTATTGTTGAAAGCGCAGCGACCCAGAATCGATCTTCAGGACCAGGAGTCAGGCACCTCGATGAATCAGAGCCGGAGTCCACCTTGAGACAGCCAGGCATGGGTGGCAACCCTTGTTTGGTTGCTTTTTTTGGCACTGCCCCAGGAAAGGCGGGCAATCACCAAAGCTTGGCAGATTTCTTCTCCGCTGTACGAACTACGAAGTCCGGATAAAAGTGGGAGGAATCACTCTCAAGCCCGACTGCGCAGATGCTGGGTGAGTTTGAGACCGAAACCGCCCGTCTGGCGAAAGCCCAGGGGAATTCGAATAATGAGAAATGCGCTTATGTGGAGATGTGGGAGACGGCTGGGAGGACGGGCGATGGGAGCTCATTTTGCTCGAAACAGCTGCGGCAGTCATCGGACGACTCGAGAAGGGCCACCCCCCCCAGGTCCCTTCTGTCCCAAACCCCCACGTGAACACGCGTAAAGTGAGGGGTTGCGAGCATGTCACGTTAGTCGCTTCTGGTTGCCCATCTGGGGGAAGGCAACCGCCTCAGCTGGTGATTCCGGATTTTGCTTGCTTTGCTCGAACTTCCCAACTTTCCCACTTACCACCTTGCGACAACGCACTGAACTTGCCATGATGGCAGCCTTCACGTCGGAGAGCGAGGGCGAATACGCCTTCAACTTAACGACGTCAGAAGAGGAGGAACTCCTTGCCGTTGTCGACCACTTTTCCTCGGTCTCGCCACAGCTCCGACCCGCGCACTCAAAACGCGCCCTGACCCCACCCGCAAAAAAGACTGCCGTCGCCCCTAGTCCGTTTACTTCTGACTTTGACGAGTACTCTGACCTCGACGACGACCCAAATATTGCCATTGCTATCGAGCAAACCGTCGCGGCCATCACCGATGATGACCTGAGTTTTGACTTGTCTGAGCTGCACGACGGCGCCGACGACGGCCTCGGTGTTGACGACGACAATGATTTTTACAGCAGGGGCCGAGTTACTGCGCATCTCCCAAACGTTGCCTCGCGCGACAGCGGGTCCGCAAGCCGTGGCAGCCGGTTGGCACCCTCGGTCACAAGTGATGATGACAGCTTTCCCACGTTTGTGTCGCGGACCGGTTCACAGCCTTCCCCTGCGATTCCACCGACTCCGGACGTTCGCTACCCGGATCGTGAGTTGTGCTCGGCCGGCCCTTTGGTACAAAAATCGTCTAACTGACCTCGAAGCGACTAGTGACCCGAGCGCTCACGGCGGCTGAAGAGGGAGCCAGACTGTTCCAGCCCGTGGAGAAGACCAAGCCGAGTGGAGAAGACAACCGGTCGCCGATCTTACGTTTTCGCACTGCTCCAAAGAAGCCTTTTTCTGTTACAGACCTGACGTCCGGAGCATGGTGTGAGCTGCAATACTTCTATACGTTGACTAGGAACCGGGGTGGTAAAAAGACAACCACGCCGGCCATGAAAAAGGGAATTAAGGTCCATACCCGCCTAGAGCGACAGATTTTCAAGCCTGTGAAGGTCGAGGTTACTAAGAGGGAGGACAGCTTCGGTCTTAAGATTTGGAACATGATCGAAGGGCTGCGCGTGCTCCGGAAGCGGGGCGTCACGCGCGAGTTTGAGGTTTGGGGCATTGTCCATGGAAACGTTGTCTGCGGTGTTATTGACGGGATGAGCTACGACAATCCCGACCTAGAGCTCCAGGAGGACGTACTGAGCAGCCGAGGCAGCCAGACCATCACCAACTCACAGCCCTACATGCAAAACACCCCAGAAGGTGACCAGATTTTCATCAGCGATGTAAAAACCCGCAACAGCACCAATCCACCACCCCAATCACAGAGCCGTGTCTCGCTCATTCAACTTTTCCTCTACCACCGATTTATATCCGACATGGCATCCGACCGGCTAGATTACATGCGTGTTTTTGAGCGCTACAATGTTAAACCTGACGAGCCGTTCTCCAACCGCTTTATGGCCCAGCTCGCCCAGCTTCAAGACGAGAATCCAACGAAGGGTAATCTTGACACCGATTCAGACGCCACCGTTAGCAATGGTCAAATGTTAAACGACAGCGATACCGATTCCAACAATGGAGAATTTGTCTCGGCCCCGTCCAGCCCTTCACAGGTTTCCTTTGACGACCCTGCCCACGCGCCCCCGAAATATGACACTCTCCGTGGCCTTCTCTCGGTATTGAAGTTCGAGCTGGCGCTCACCTTCCCCCGCGGCGCCGCAGATCTTGGGTCAATTGTGGCCGTCGAATATCGCTACCGCGGCCGCGACCCGATTGACCCCAAGCCTAATACCACAACCCCGGGTCTCGGCCCAGATGAAGCGGACCCTTATCCGGGCCCCGCTGCTGCTGCTGTGTCTGCGGAAGCTGACTCAGTGAAGGCAGCTATCGGAGGGGTAACGGAAAACGATGTGCCAGCAGCGCCTTCTATCGACACACCACCTGAACTCGAAGTCGGTTCGGTAATTTGCACAAACAGCTTCTTCGTCGAACCCGAGACCCTGGACCTATATCTCGATGATACTATGCGCTGGTGGAAAGGGGAGCGGCCGCCGCGTGGCGTGGCTGCCTTCGAAGCTGGGTTCAAGTGCCGGTCGTGCGAATTTGCGGACGACTGCCGTTGGCGGAAGGATATTGACCAGGAGGCGCTGCACCGGGCGAGGATGAAGCAGTTGGAGAGGGAGGCGGAGAGGCAGACTGAGAGGCGGAGTCGGGGACGGAGGCAGAGACCGATTGAAGGGCCGGAAAATGAATTTACAAGGGAGCCGAGCTATAACCATGATCAGCTCCAGGCACAGCCACAGACACAACATCAGCAACCTTTTCAATCACAGTCGTTGCGGCTTGACGAATTGGAAGAACAAGAGGAAGAAGAAATGGCGGCCCTGAGAGGAATAGAGGCAGAAGAGAGGCAGGCAAAGGCGGTTGATATCGAAGACATCGGTGCGCCTGCAAAGCGACGGCGTGGTAGACCAAGGAAGAATCCCGAGGTACCCACTAAGCCACTCGAGTTTCAAGATCCCGTTCAGCCTCCGAGGCGAAGAGGAAGGCCAAGGAAGGATGCCGAGATACCCACCAAGGTACTCGATTTCCAAGATCCCGTTCAGCCTGTGAGGCGAAGAGGCAGGCCAAGGAAGGACCCCAACTCAAAAGGGAACGATGTTTAGCTGGAGGCGATGGGGGGAGAATGTCTTAAGTAGGAATAGGGTGGACCGAAAGAAGTCTCATCTAGGCGTAAAAGGTGGAAAGGGCTAGATCGGGAGCAGCTCTAAATCTTGTATCTCACCTCTGTTGGTTTTTTTCCTCCCATCAAATTGGGTTATGGATGGATATATTGAGAGGATTGGCAGACCTTTTCCCGACTATGTTCTATCCCATACCTTGGTTCCCGCCGTGCCTTTACTGCGTCACATTCATAAACGCCGTCCGTTCCCCCATCCTAAGATGATCACCTGAAGATTTCCGCAAGATAGCTTCAAGCGATAGGCAGCTCACAGTGGGGGTGTGCCTGACTTCGCTCGGTACAGAACATACCTAACAAATGAACAGATAGTACAAAATGGGAAACGAAGATGGACCTAGCTCAATAATTTGTCGGTCGTCTAAACCTGGCAGCTTTGTCGGGGGTAAGAGGTAGGGCTATAATGGAATCACTTGAATCGGACCTATAGAATTTTGAGGGCGAAAAGACACAGGGCTGGGACGGAAGTAAGGCTCAACAATTCAGCGAACAGGAATCTATTGCATCGTTGCAACGGACTATGGTATTGAGCTCCTGGCTAAGGTACCAAACGCTACACTCGACTGGGAAATGGCACCACGATTTGCTAAGCTTCAGGGCCAACATGGAGTTTTTGAGATTTTTTTCCATTTTACAATACCGACCAATCCCTTGCCATTGAACTGATAGGCTCGATCAATAGCTGCGACCAAACATACACCATTGCTCGGCCAGGCGGCTGCACTCGGGGTTCAGACACTTGGTCTCGCCCTTGACTAGGCCTTCTGGCTGCTCGAAGGGAATGCATAGCGATTTCATGCCCATAGAGGGGGCCTTTTGACCCTCAGGAGTGGTCTCGTCCGAGTGGCCGGTGGTCAACTCCTTGATACGGTCCTCACAGTCCGGCACGAGACAGTGGGGAATGATGACCACGTTCTTGGCGTCAAGCGCGGGCACCACTTCCTCCCACTTGGTAAGTTGCAGACGATGCTCGCGATAGGCCGCCTCGGCCTTGTTGTACATGTCCTGTTGAATCGTCTCGAGCAGTTCGGGGACCTTGGTGGTTAGTTCGGCGATGGGAATTGTGCCCTTCTCGCCTGTGTCACGCCGGGCGTAGCTGACAACCTCCTTCGCCGCATCCTTGGGACCAAACTCGAGACGCAGGGGGACACCCTTGAGTTCCCAGTCGTTGAACTTCCAGGCGGGGGTGTAACCATCTCGCAGGTCGACGTCAGTGCGGATTCCAGCCTTCTTGAGAGTGAAGAAAATCTCGTCGAGGTGCTTGAGATGCTTTTCCTTGTCCTCAGCCGACATCTTGGCCGTAAGGCCGACAGGGATGAGGATGGACTGGAGCTTGGCGATCCGGGGCGGAAGCACGAGGCCTTTGTCGTCGCCATGGATCATGACCATCACACCAATGACACGGGTCGACAAGCCCCACGAGTTCTGCCATACGTGGATGTGCTTCCCTTTCACGTTGGGGTCCTCTACCGTGATGTCAAACATCTTGGAAAAGTTCTGCCCAAGGCAGTGAGATGTCGCGCCCTGAATACCACGCCCATTTGAGGGAATGTATCCTTCGACTGTGGTTGTGTAATAGCCGCCAGCAAACTTCTCAGCCTCGGTTTTCCTCCCCCGCACGACCGGAACGGCAAGAAGCTGTTCATAGACGCCGGCATACAGCTCAAGGATCTGCAGGACCTCCTCGCCGGCGAGCTGTTCTGTGAGGTGGGCGGTGTGGCCTTCTTGCCAGAGGAACTCTCTGGCGCGAAGGAATGGGGTGGTCTGCTTAGCTTCCCAGCGGACGACCGAGTTCCACTGGTTTAGACGGAAGGGAAGATCGCGATGGCTACGGATCCATTTCGAGTAGTCTGTTCGGTCAGAGGACGAGTCCGCGTCGCTGGTTGGCGTGGTGATAACTTACAAGGGTACATGGCGGCTTCGGAGGTAGGACGGACAGCAATCGGGACCTCGATGTCTTTGTCACCCCTGGAAGTGAAGAGTTAGTCTCCCAAATACGATACACCCTATTATTCTGCCCTGACTTACGCCTTTGTCACCCATGCGAGCTCGGGAGCGAATCCATCAATATGGTCTTTCTCCTTCTCGAGCGACTTTCCCGACAAGAACATGGGGAAGTTGGTTTCCTCGACACCCATAGCCTCGATTCTCTCCTGAAACCATTTCCTGATCGTGTTCCAAATGTGCATTGTGGCGGGGCGCATGATGAAGAACCCTGAAATTTCGCTGTAGTACTCGATCATCTCAGCTTTGAGCACGACCTCTTGATACCATTGTGAGAAGTTGTCGGTCTTGGAAGCGGTGATGCCGATGATGTCGTCAGTCTTCTTCCCGCCAACGACGGGGAGCGTTGCTTGCTTCGCGACCTTTTCGGCTTTGGCAGCGGCCAGCTTGGCCTGCTTCTCGGCCTTCTTCAACGCGCTCTTCGATTGTTCTTTGGAGTCCTCCATGGTTGCCGTTTTTTGCAGGACAGATGATGAGGTAGAATTGGCAATTAAGCTGTTGTTTTCGTGGCCTATATGGCCGACTGGGTGATCGGGATTTATTAGTCCTCGCCGGTGACTTGGCCGGGCAAGTATGGTCGTGAGTCTTAACTTCTGGAGAAGACTCAAGCGAGTGACTCTATCGCGTTTTTGATATGCCCCGCACCCAACACGCTGCGCTATCAAAATGAGGGGCACCGTGGGTTGAACCGATTGCAGGGGTATAGTGGGGCACCAACCAGTCAACGCCCTGGATTCTACCGGCATGGGATTATCTCCCCTCCGGGAAAAAGTTCCTGTGAAGCTGCCTTGGGGCGAGCGGTGGAGAGCTTCGAAATTGTTTGGAGCCTACCGACAGACCCAGCTCTTAGTTTCGAGCCCCCCTCAACACCATCTCCCGCGTCGGCCGCCACGACACGTACGATTCACCGCCGACGACCGCGATTTACGATGGCTTCCATTTTCGAGCAGCCCGGAAACGGCACTCTCTTCCTTGGCGGGCAGAAAGTGTCGGGCTCCGACATTCGCGATCAAAATGGTCGGTTGCTCTCCTCGATTTGGGTTGAAGGCCCGACCCGAGGGACCTCCCGGTCTAATGTATTTTGCTAACCCGTTGTGCAGTCATCGCTACCCAGATGATCGCAAATGTAGTCAAGAGCTCGTTCGGTCCCAGCGGCCTGGACAAAATGATGGTTGACGACATTGGTGTATGTTCAACTGGCTTCCCCTTTACCCCGCCAAGCGAAGCGAGTCTAATAGAACTAGGATGTCACGGTCACCAACGACGGCGCTACCATCCTCAGTCTCCTCGACGTCGAACACCCCGCAGGAAAGATTCTCGTCGATCTTGCTCACCAACAAGACAAAGAAGTTGGAGATGGCACAACATCGGTCGTCCTGATCGCTGCAGAGCTCCTCAGGAGAGGAAACGAGTTGATGAAAAACCGTATCCACCCGACTACCATCATTACGGGCTACCGCTTGGCCCTTCGCGAGGCGGTCAAATACATGAATGAACATGTCAGCATCAAGGTTGAGAACTTGGGCCGGGAGTCGTTGTTGAACATTGCCAAGACCTCGATGTCCAGCAAGATCATCGGTGCCGATTCCGATTTCTTTGCCAACATGGTTGTCGACGCCATGCAGGCAGTCAAGACGACAAATAACAAGAACGAATCCAAGTACCCCGTCAAGGCCGTCAACATTCTCAAGGCCCATGGAAAGGGTTCGCTGGAGTCGGTTTTGGTCAAGGGATACGCTCTCAACTGCACAGTGGCCTCTCAAGCCATGACGACACGCGTCCAGGATGCTAAGATCGCCTGCTTGGACATGAACCTCCAAAAGGAACGAATGAAGCTTGGTGTACAAATCACAGTGGATGACCCAGACCAGCTTGAGCAGATCCGGCAACGGGAATCGGGAATGATAATCGAAAGGGTGGAGATGATTCTCAAGGCGGGGGCGAACGTTGTGCTCACCACCAAGGGCATCGACGACCTTTGCCTGAAATTGTTTGTGGAGAAGGGTGCTATGGCCGTGCGCCGGTGTAAGAAAGAGGACCTTCGTCGTATCGCGAAGGCGACCGGTGCTACTCTTTTGAGCACGCTCTCCGACCTGAATGGCGATGAGAAGTTTGAAGCGTCATACCTGGGCCATGCCGAAGAGGTGGTACAAGAGCGCATCTCCGACGACGAGTGCATCATGGTAAAAGGCACTAAGGCGCACTCGTCGGCTTCGATCATTCTCCGTGGCCCCAACGACTTTCAGCTTGACGAGATGGAGCGGTCGGTACACGACAGCTTGTGTGCTGTGAAGAGGACCCTCGAGAGCGGCAGCATCGTGCCGGGAGGTGGTGCGGTCGAGACGGCGTTACACATCTACTTGGAGGAGTTTGCGGGCACTGTTGGTTCCCGCGAGCAGCTTGCCATCGGCGAGTTTGCACAATCTCTTCTCGTTATCCCCAAGACGCTAGCGGTGAACGCTGCTAAGGATGCCTCGGAACTGGTCGCCCAACTCCGGTCTCGGCATGCGCTTTCGCAGCGCATCCAGGAAGGCGAAGCGAATGAGGACGAGAAGACGGTGGCACGCAAGAAGGCGTACAAAAACTATGGCCTTGACCTCATGAAGGGCAAGGTGGTGGACGAGATCAAGGCAGGCGTGGTGGAACCTAGCATTAGCAAGATCCGGCAGCTCAAGAGCGCAGTAGAGGCATGCATTAGCATCATGCGCATCGATACCCTGATCAAGCTGGACCCGGAACCGCAGGCGGAGGACGATGGCCATGGCCATTAGACTATTTACGTCGCAATGAAAGAACAGCGTAAACTTGCCGACTTGGCAGCGAAAGCATCCCTTGAGGTCTCACTCCTCATCCGGCCCATGATTCCGCGGATTCGGCTCCGGATCCGTACATCTTATACATACCCCAGCGACAACTCCATACCCCGCATCAATGATTCTGAAGTTATGGCTCCCCTAAGCCCAAGTATTGGGGAGTTTGTCTTACCCTTGCTCTTCCGTCACTTGCGGCATCCTCATGACCAGCCCCGGCCCGAGCACCGCTCATTCGGGCCCCGCATACTGTCGGCTTAAATCCACTCTGCCGCGATTCTCCGCGAGGAAGACGACGGCGCCGGGGCACGGCGCCGGCCAAGTCCCTGGTGAGACGGCCGAAATGGGTCGAGAGCCGCCGTCCCTGCCCGCTAGCAGCCGAGTGATTGTGACGTAAAATGCACCGCTTGCGGGCGGTTTCGCCATGAAACCACGAATTATGCAGGGATGCAGAGACTACAGCGGCCAATTTTCTGGCGTTGCAGCGGCCATCTGACCATGCCCGTCCGGGACCATTGGCCAATCATGGAGATGGTGTTGAAGCTGCTTGCTCCGTTCCAGGATTCTTTTCGAACCCATTGCTGGAAGTTTGGCTGTTTAGACCACGAAGGTGTAAACTAATGAACCAGTCAAGCCGGCGAGTAACCTAATCGGCCGTAGTGAAGGTGTAATTTTCCTTTCTATTATCAGCGAAGCTCCCAGTGCAAATACTGTGCGATGTCAATGCAGGATTTCGAGAGCTGCATTGAGTATGCAGATTCCGGTGGCAGCCGGGAATCCACAGTGCCGTCTGTAACGAACGGCCGGCGGTTTCCACTTGTGATGAGTACGCAATCCAGCAATCATCTTCGAAGCACGGGTCTATTTTAAAGCTACGGGTCTGGGCCAGCCCTTTCTCCTCTAACTTGCACCAAGGCCCATTCCCCATTCCCCAGTCTTTTCTCTTCTGCAACCATTACGGCCCCAAACTGGAGCTGCGTAACTTGTCTTCGACAAAACCGTTTCTTTCAACATTTCCCCTTTTCGCCCCTTCAACGCAAAAGTGATAGGACACGGCATAGATCCGGCACTACCCCATTAGCTCCCACAAACCTCGACCCGTCAACGACAAACTCAACTGACAAAATGGGCTCCAACGGCAACCTTTCCCCGCTACCTCCCGCTTCCTCGCCATCCCTTATCCTCGCCCAGCCCACCCAGGGCGAGCGCGACCGTACCGCTCGGCATACCTATCCGAACTGGGGCGGCGCCCTGACTGAGGACGGCTACCTACAGCGCGAGACATATCTTACCACCGTTCCGCTCGCCCGCGATGGCGGCATCACCCACTGGATTTTGACAGTCGACGGCGGGGTACCGGACGAGCGGCCGATCCTGTCGTCGTGCGAGAGCCTGCGAAAGAGGGCTGTGTATGCACGGCCGAGTGGGAATGGAGAGGGGGAGAGGGTGGTGGTCGAGGGCGTGGCGCACGGAATTGCGAGCGTGTTTACCGAGCCGGCGTTTCGTGGGAAGGGATATGCGAGCAGGATGATGAAGGAGGTCGGCGAAAAGTTGGAGGGGTGGCAGGCGCGTGCCGCGGGGGCAGCAGAGGAGAAGAAGGGCGTCGAGGCCGTAGAGAAGGGTAGTTCGTTGTTCTCGGTGCTGTACAGTGATATTGGCAAGACGTTCTATGCTAAGAATGGGTGGGCTCCGTTTGAGAGCACGCATGTGTCGATCAAGCCAGTGAAGGGGGCGGCGCCGACGGAAGGACAGGGAGTCAAAGTTCTCGGATACCACGAGTTGGCGGAATTGTGTGCGGCGGACGAGAAGCAGTTACGGGCGGACCTAGCGCGCCCTGGGGGTTCCAGGACCAAGGTGGCGATTCTGCCTGAGTTGGATGCGATGCTGTGGCATCTTATGCGCGAGGATTACATGACCAAGGCCATCTTTGGAAAAACACCAACTATCAGGGGTGCCGTGACCGGCGAGGCTGGGAAACGAGTTTGGGCGATTTGGATGCGGGGTTATTATGGCGGGCTAAAGAAACCAGAGGGCAACGTCTTGCATGTCTTGCGGGTTGTGGTCGAGGGCCCTGAGCAACCTGAGGAGACGTTGGCAGATGGGCTCCGGGCGATTCTGCAGATTGCGCAACACGAGGCAGCCGAGTGGAGGACGGAAGACATTCAGATCTGGAACCCCAACCCCAAGTTGCGATCTGTGATTGACAAGACTGGAATTCAGTACCAACTTGTCAACCGGGACACGGACAGCATTGCGAGCTTGAGATGGTATGGCGAGAAAGAGCAAACCTCGGAGCTGGATTGGGTGGCTAATGAGAAGTTTGCGTGGTGCTGAGCCGGTATTTGATTGGGTTGGGTGGAGGAATCGATATAGGAAATGGGATCTGGCTGTCAACGAATAGCTTGGGTAACTTGTACTCGAAGTAGTTGATGAGTGAAATTCACCCAGAATAGGTGTTTTGGCACTTGGAGTGTGTCGTTAAGTGACGGCTTATTTCTTTAAGTCTACGAAGCTGCTTGAAAGACGAAAGCGCAACCAGCTGCCTGTGCGGGGTTCAAAGTAACCGTTTCAGGTGATTATTACCCTATTTGGGATGCTTGAGAAGAGAAATGATTCGGATAGCTGACCTGCCAAACGGCGGAAGGAAATATTTCGGGGGTTTCCCTCGATTTGCACAAATACATCGCTGAAGACTTAATGTTAACGTAAGGGCCAACGCAATGGGTCTTTACTAAGGCCCAGAGTGGATATTTTGAGGAAGTCATGTATTTGGTCATGAAGACGAGGTGATACGTATAAAACCACAATCTCTGTGGAACTCAACCTCGAGTTCCGTGCGATGCGGCATCGTGGCCACTGCGGCCATTTACATCGTACAGTTTTGGTTCCATGTTGGCGGCAAAACAGGCCGGAAACCAGATGATCCACAGCACCATTCCAGCCGTTGCATCATCCCGCCGGATGCCCCCGCAGCCAGGGCCAGTGACCCCGCAGGTCTCGTGCAGGGCATTGCCGCGGCATTGGAAGCACGTGGAATTTCATGAAAACCCCTTTGAGAGGGTCGATTTCCCCGAATGCCGCAACGCCGAACCAACTGATGACATACTGTGAATAGCGAGATTTCACCAACTCCTTGCTGATTTTTTTGTTCATTTGGTATTGTTGGACTGCACCTTTTGTAGAAATTTATTCTCCTGCGGTATAGCCCCGTCCTTTAAACTACAAGCGCATCCTTGTCTTGTTTCGTTACCTTTGTCCCTTGCTCTCATCCGATCACTCGACTCCTCGATCTGAAGCCCACGACGACGCTACGGACCGTCCTCTTGACAATGTACAACAAACAATAACGCTAACCGATGCCACTTTCACTTTAAACATCATAATAATCTCATACCTTGGTCATGTCACTCCAAATACGCCGCCTTCATCCCGGGACGCCTCTTTCAGCATTGTCAAGCGCCGTCGGAGCCCATCCACGCTGCTCCCATCTACGGGGACCATACACACCATGCGCCCGCCCGGTACCTTACAGGCGGCGTACCAGCGCAGGTATAAGGGGGGGCCGCCGCTTGCACACGACTACACGGACTGTGTTTCCTGCTATTTTCGTAGCGGGACAACGGCGAAGTGCATCGGCTGTGGCCGCGGCAGCTGTAGAGAATGGTATGCGAGGACAGTGTCTTCCGACAGACAATAGGGAGACTGACATAGCAGTAGCCAATCCAGAGGATATTGGTCCGATACAAGAGTATGACCGCCGAGTTGACAGTGGAGTTTTGCGAAACGATGAGCACCAAAGAGGTGAGACCTTGTTCCCGTGGAAGGTTTAACACCAACGCTACTAACCTCAGAGCTTGGCAGGTATTATACAGAGCCTACAGCATCTCCATGAGGAGTTACGGCATTACAACGCACCACCCGTCGAGCGCCCGACCCCCGAGTCTCTAAAGCCGAACAAATCCTTGTTCTCGTGGTTCGGCGGCGGCAGCAAGTCATCGGCCAGTGCAATCCCCCCCAGCCTCCCTCGGGGCCTTTACCTGTTCGGCGATGTGGGCTGCGGCAAGACGATGTTGATGGATCTCTTTTACGATACGCTACCCTCCAACGTACGCTCGAAGACACGAATCCACTTCCATAACTTCATGCAGAGCGTCCACCAGCGCCTACACAAGATGAAGCTTCAGTATGGTAGTGATATGGACTGCGTGCCATTTGTGGCGGCCGAGATCGCCGAGCAGGGCAATGTGCTGTGCTTTGACGAGTTTCAGTGCACTGATGTAGCCGACGCGATGATCCTACGTCGACTACTCGAATCACTCATGTCTCATGGTGTTGTTCTCGTGACGACATCCAACCGCCATCCCGATGAGCTATACAAGAACGGCATCCAACGTGAGTCCTTCATCCCAGCGATTGAGCTCCTCAAGAGTAGGCTGCACGTCATCAACCTCGACTCGACAACCGACTACCGCAAGATCCCACGCCCGCCCTCTGGCGTCTACCACACACCTCTCGACGCCCACGCCGCCTCCCACGCCGAGAAATGGTTTCGCTTCCTAGGTGATCCAGACTCGCCCGAACCCCACTCGGAGACTCAGCGAGTCTGGGGTCGGGAGATTGTCGTGCCCCGTGTCAGCGGCCGATGCGCATGGTTCACCTTTGACGAGCTGATCGGCCGGCCGACTAGCGCAGCGGACTACCTGGAGTTGATGCGATCGTACGATGCATTTGTGGTAACCGATATCCCGGGCATGACTTTTCGCCAGCGCGATTTGGCTCGGCGGTTCATCACCTTTATCGACGCTGTGTACGAGTCACATGCGAAACTGGTCCTCACGACGGCGGTGCCATTGCGCGAGCTGTTTGTTTCCCGCTCTGAGATGCGCGAGTCACTCCTGGCGGCAAAGAAGAAGGAGAAGAAACAACAGGGCGACTCATCGCAAAAGACTAACGACCAGCCCTCCGAAGAAGACGAAGACTCCATTGACGACGCCCTCGATCATATGACGGACGACCTCGAGCATAACGCAGAGCAGCTGGCAAGGTCGAACCTTTTTGCCGGCGACGAAGAAGCCTTTGCCTTTGCGCGCGCACTTTCTCGGCTCAGTCACATGGGAAGCAAGGAGTGGGTAGAGCGCGGGATGGGGTTGGAGAGTCAGGGTGGTAAGAAAGAACATGATGACTGGGCCAAGACAAGGAGCCGACAGATGGAGGATAGCATGTAGGGATAAGGAGTTGGATCATGATTGTAACGGCTATACGTCTCTTCGTGGTTTTGTAGAAGAGGTTGGATACTTGTGCGGAGGGGGCTTGCCCGGAGCTCTGGTAGGAGACATTGCATATAGAACCCGGCACATATTTAGATAGCTTGTAGCGTTCCGAAATGACCATTATGGAGATCACCAAACATTGGCGCGGCTAGCTATCGGCATTGTGGCTATGATGGCGAGAAACTGTATGCAAAATGGTGCTATCAGAAAAGACTGGCTTCGCTGTATTGTCCTGTACGACCGGTACTAGCGTACGTACCCAACCCTAACGCCCTTGATTACTCCCTCTCACTTTCTTCCCTTCTCGAAAAGAAAACGACGCAAGATCCGAACACAACCCTTACAAATCCGACCATTCCTGGTCATCAAGAGCGGTGAAATCGGTAAAAGCTAGCTCGTAGGCGAACGCCAAGGTTAGACGGGCATGCTGCAGCATGTGGTCGAACGAGAGGTATTTGATCAGATCCTCGGTCGAGTGGATGTGGTTATCCGAGTACTCAAACGCCGATTCAATGACAAAGGCCGAGGGGTACCCGGCCTTGGATGCCGATGCGTGGTCCGAGCAAGCGTAGCCACACTTGGTCTCGACATACGGAATGTCGCAGTACTGCGCAGGGGATGCACGTTAGTGCCGAGATTAAATGAGCGGTGAAGAGGGGAACATACTTCGTCAATGACGACCTTGATAAAGTTGGTGAGGTTGGGGTCAACGTAATCGACAATCACGCCCACACTCTCGGGCTTGCCGGCATCCAAGGTGCGGGTGATGTAACCCGTCATGTCCTGCTGGAGCATGGCCTTGACGTCACGGTCGTCCTTCTCGTACGATGAGAAGATGGCCTGGCTACCCAGCAGGCCACCCTCTTCGGCGCTATACCAGTGGAACTCGAGCGTGTTCTCGTGGTTGCCCTGAATGATGTCCTCGGATTGCAGAATAACGCGGAAGGCCTCGAGGATGGTGACCGTTCCACTGCCGTCGTCATCCGCGCCAGGGGCGGCTAGGACGCTTGGCAACCACAGGTTGATCGAGTCTTGGTGGGCGCCGATGACTACGGTCGAGTTGGTTTTGCCAGGGATGGTGGCGATGATGCTGTTTTGGCCCCACGAGTGCTTGAAGTGTTCGGCACGCACGTAGTCTTCCGCGCCAGCCTCTTTGATTGTGTTGCGGACCTGGCCGAGGAGCCACTCGCTGGATTGACGACCATAGTCGGACTGTGAGGGATGGAATTAGCAAGACCACTTTTCTATCCCAGCATTGAAAGGGAGAGGCTTACCTTGTAGTACCGGGTGTGGAACGACGTGAAGGTTTCGAGATGGTTACGCATTTCCGTCTTCGACAAGCTGCCTAGAAGTGGCTTGACTTCATCCTGAAGCTTGGGGTGTTTCGGGAAGACGCTCTTGCGCAGAGTCTTCAGGCGGAGGGCGCCGAGTTCGGGGTGGTCGGTGATGTCAAAGAACCGCTTGCCGTCCTAAGGGCAAAAACAACACTTCATTTAGCAGTGACCGCCAGTGGATGCGGGACGAGAAGTTTACATACGCGGCGCAACTCCCACTTCTCTTCCTCCGTCACCCATTTTGTCTCCCCTGGCGACAGCTCGATGTGGTACTTCTCGTTGCTCTCAGCGGCCTTGGGAAGGCCGTCGGGGTACAGGGCGGCACGATCCGGCTCATTCGGCTCGACGAAACGGCCGCTTACAGCGGGCAGGAGCAGCGCAAGTAGTGAGGTGTTGGAAACTTTCATGGCGGGCAGACTTGGGAATGCAGTGTACGATGGGGAGGCGATAAAGTCCGTTCCTAATGGGTGATGGAAGCGTTCTTGAATGTTGAACCTTTGACTGTTGGAGGTTCTTTCGGAGTTGACGGGGAGGCTGGCGAGGCACGGCGACAGGCACAGATAACACCTGGAGGGACCCCTGTTTGGGGGTGATCAGGTGGAGGGCGCCAGGCGAGATCAGACCCACATGGGCGCAGGTACCCGGACTCTGGGCTCGAAACGTTCAGCTTGAAAAGTTATTGAAGGCCGCCTTTTTTGATAAGTCACTCGGGAGTCTTCGAGATACAAGACACATCGTCGCCATGGCAGGCATTTCAGGGCCGCCCTGCACCAAATCTCCGAATTGACAACATCATCTGCTCAATGCAGAGACTCGAACCGTCGGCACGCACCGGAGACACGCGTGACACGATACCCCAACGGCATCCCTGCACACAACAGGGGTCTAGAAAGGCTAAACCAGATTTGGGATTAGCTCAACTCTGCTCTCAGGGTCCGGTTCAGCCCAATCAGGACCCCAACAGAATGATTGCGCAGGAAGGCAGTGATTGACGTCATACGAGGACCTCAAGATGGAACCAAAATGCCAAGGGATCCGACGATTTGCAGATGCTGTTCTAACTTCTAGCCCGCACATATATGACACATATATAAGTTGTTTAGGTATTTCTGTGCCTGTACATGTATGGTAGTGTGTAAGTATTCTCTAGTTTGAAAGTTTGGGTTGACACTTTTCGGTCTTCCTCGCGTACCTACAATAATTCATTGGTGGGAAGCTGGTCTGTCTCAAGCGACGACCAACCTCATCCATTGAGGTTTAGTTCGAGGACGCCCGCCTGCTACTGTTCACTTCAAAAGTACTTGCGGAAATGGCAAACCACCAACGACAGATCCCGCGCCTCAACGACCACACAATTCGATTATGTACGTCAGATGAGAGCGTTTCGTCTCTGGTTGCTCGGAATCCGGACCTAGCCCCTGGCGACGCATGGAAGAAACTCCATGGGGACGACGCATGGAAACATCTTGAAGGCAGAGGGAGACACGAAGACAAATTTGATGATTCCGAAGACAAAACAGAATTGTCGAGGACTGCCGAGTGTGGAAAATGGGGCCCTACTAAACCGAGCGAGCTCTTCCTTCGGGTATGCCACCGAAATCTAGATCTGCTTAATTTCCCGAAAAGAGGACTAATCCAAGGCTCAGATCTACCACGATGCGCTATGTACCATTCACCATGAACCGCACCGGGCCATGGTCAGTCCCTCGTTGATGGGAAGTTACGGGACGGTACCCTTAACGATAATCTCCGCGTGAGCTACCGAGACAACCGTTTCATCGAGGTTGATTCTGACACCTAACAGACTCCCCGACCTTGCCCGCCACATGTCCAATGTCATTGTCCGCGCTAAGCAGGAAGTCTTCCTGGCGACCAACTATTGGCAAGATAGTGTGGCTTCAAAGTACATCACTAATGCCATCAAAGAACTCGACCGCCGGGCTAGGATGAGGGGTACTAAGATTGTAGTTAAGATTCTATATGACCGAGGGAGTCTCAAACAGCTGTATGAACATCACTACGTCGTCCCGGAGAAGGAGTCCACCGGGAAGAACGTCAACCTGCCCCATGCGCACGAAATCCCAAATATCAGCATGGAGGTCATGAATTTCCACACACCGATTGTCGGAACCTTCCATGCTAAGTACGTGGTGGTCGACCGGAAGATTGCGCTACTACAGAGCAACAATATTCAGGATAACGACAACCTTGAGATGCTTGTCCACTTGGAGGGCCCAATCGTTGACTCCCTGTACGACATGGCCTTGCTCTCGTGGCACAAGAAGATGGAGCCGCCATTACCAAGTCGAGATAAGCCGGCTACGCAAGCGTGGCCGGAGAGCCGACGGGAAGGAGAACATGGGCGGTCCAAAGACAATAGTTCTGAAAATGGCATTGAGGGACGAGAACATCCGTCGCTTCCCCAACACACTACAGACAATCCATGCTATGACGACGACATCTCTGGGGAAGTAGCTCGGATCAACGCCGCACTAGCCCCGAGACCCGAGCAAACACATTTGCAAGCCGTCACCTTGCAGCTCAACCACACCACCAATGAGGGTCTACCCGGCGACCCCAACGCCCCCGAGTGCCCACCTGGCGAGCTCATGACACCTTACCTCCCGCTACTAAACGACACCCCTTACCCTATGGCCCTCGTAAATCGTGCCCCATATGGTCCGCCAACTCATAAGTCTGTGGAGACACCGCAAAATGCTGCTTGGTTGTCGGCGTTGCGCAACGCCAAGAAAAGCGTGTACATCATATCTCCCACATTGAACGCACCACCTCTTGTCGAGGCCATTGTTGAGGCCTGCGAGCGTGGGGTTGATGTGCACTGCTACATCTGCATCAGCTACAATGATGCAGTACGTTTTCTACTGCCCCCCCGCCCTCTTTTTTTTTTTCATTCATCCCCTAACCTCTCTTTGCGACAACAGGGCGAACTCCTCCCCCGCCAAGGCGGACACAACGAAAAGGTCGCCGCCACCCTCCACAAATCCCTGACTCCCTCAACGCGCCGGCACCTTCACTACCGCTGGTACGTCGCCAAAGACCAAACACGCCCCATAACCCAAGCCCGTCGACAGCGTAGTAGCCATGTCAAGCTCATGATCGTCGACGGCGCGGTGGGGATTCAAGGAAACGGAAATCAGGACACACAAAGTTGGTTCCATAGCCAGGAGATTAATATTATGGTGGATAGCGTCGAGGTATGCGCGAAGTGGTTGGAGGGGTTGAGGCAGAATCAGAACACGGCCCTATTTGGGGCCGTGAATCTAGAGGATGGGGTGTGGCGAGATGAGAATGGCAACGGGGTTGAAGGTGCGATGGGGGTAGATGCGGGACGGGTGAGAGGGTGGGCAAGGGGTGTGAAGGGGGCCGTGGATAGGGTGAGGGGGACCGGGGGCTTTTGAAGGGTGGGTTTGGATAGGTATAGTGGACACGATTTCACACTGCTTGTTTACGAGAGGGAAGTCTACGGGATCTAAGGCCGCCTTTTGACGACTTATCCATCCATCGACGCGAAGTGATTTGATGCGTGAATCGACGCCTAACACGCCCTATCCACTGTTAACACTCTTGTTTGGTGACCAGCCAGAAGGCCAAATTTTAATTTTCTTTCGAATTATCACTAAGTCGGGCAAGAAGCGAAAAGAGCATCCACATTACATGAGAGTTCCCATGCTTATTCATGGGACAAAGGGTCAGTCAGCGGGGGGAGCTTGTGCCCGGGATACGCTGTCGGCATTGTCGATGCAATTGTTATCAACTGAATTATAAGTTGAGCCTCTGCCGGGCTTTCGGGTATCTTGTGAGTTGTGTGTTGCTTTTTGCCAATATGTTCATGAATCTTCATCTTGCAACATCATTCACCCCAAATATTGAGGCTTCCGTGAACTTTTCGGGACAACTGAGGATTTGTGAATCCTTTTGGTTAATCATTGGCATCTGCGGAACGTGGTTGCGGTGGTAGAACCACCCACCTACACAATTAATCTAACTTGGATGCCGAAGACTACTAAATCAATATTACGAGACAACCCAGCCCACCTATCTCACCCAAGATTCAACTAGAGAGTCATAAACTATTTCACCATGACCTTCTGCAACGTATTCCGGTCCCTGCATCTGCTTCCTCACACCTTCCGCCCTTTCCAACCACATCGCCGCTTCTGAGTTGCCTCCATTATGCGAAAGTGCCATGGATAGCATGTATGATGCCCGGGCCACTTCACAGTCGGCGACCTTCCAGAATTCCATCATGCTGATAGCCTTGCGGAAATAATCTCTAGATACCGAGAAGGAGTGTGGATTAGCCGACGGTATCAAGGACGAGTGTATACCTATTTAGTTACTTACATTAGGGTAAGCGGTAAATACTTACATAGCTTGGCCAGGTAACTCCTTATCTCTACTTCCGTAGTGGTTCCGCAGCGCGATCAATCCTAGTTTGTACATGCATACTGCCATGTCGGCTGAAACTATCTCCCCGGTGTCTTTCAGACATTCCCAGCCTTTGGTGTATGCAGCTTTCGCTCCCTCCAGGTTACCTTGGGCCATTTGCATGTTGCCGATCCAATAGTAGTGGTTTCTGTAGTTCCTCAAGTTTGTTAGCCGAGTCAAAAGCTAGGAAATGTGCGAGCTTTCACCTGAACCCAGGCTGTTTGTTGAGAATCAGCCCCTTGGCCTTCTCGAAGGCACCCATTGCTTCGGAATAGCATCCTAGTCCAGTGTAACACCTCCCCAGATTATTCCAATTCATCCTCACATTGGCTTTGACCTCATAATTGACAGTTTCCTTGCATATGAGGTGGTATTTGAGCGCCTCGGGATACTTGCCCGACGACAGATTGAGATTGCCTAACTAGGTTGTTCAGAGCCACCCAGATGTCCTCATGGCCTACAGGCAACTCACGGAACCGAATGTCTTTGGCTCGTTCGAGCAATTCCTTGGCGGACGAAAAGTCCCCGCTCATCTCGCGCTCTAATCCCGCGGAGTTACAAAAATGCGCGTAGGAAAGCGGCTCCTCGGTGATGAGACCTGTGGCATGGAATGCGGTCCTTGTAACGTCCACCATTCTAGCTAGTTCCTTTGCTGCACCAGTTTCGACAAGGTAGTAGGCGGCGTTGCACATGAGTCGGCAAAAGTCCTTAGAGGGACGGAGAGATACCCCGAGGCTCCTCTGGTGATTAAGAGCGGCTGCTGTGTGATCGCGGAGAAAATAAACATGTTGGATAAATGTCCTACATTTGGGAAATTGGGGCCGGAAGCTTCGACCAAAAACTTGTTTCGGAAATGCATGAAAGAGCAGTTGGGAAGCGTCTTGAAGTGTTTGCTGGAGGGTGTTCCTGCTGGAGTAACGGAATTCAGATTGGACAAGGCGGTGAATGGAAAGATTGTTGGTGGCTGCATCACGATGAATGAGGCCCAGGGATAGGAGCTCCTCCATTATGTCCGACACCCTGCAACACGGAGCGTCAGCACTGGGGGATACACCCGAGATGTTACCTTACGTTATGGCTGGCGTTGAAGGAACGACCTACTTAAATTCATCTGCACAAATTTGTAAACGGGTAGGCAACTCCACATGTTCGAGCGCTTCCGTGTTTTCCATAACGAGCAGAGACTCGGGGATGTTGTCAGGGGCGAGAAGCGACAAAACCCCTAGCAGTGTGGCTGCGGAACTGGACAAGGCTTGAAAAGAGAGGGTGAAAACGTTCTTTACTCCATCGCTGTACCCTGCGTGCATGAGTTCCGTGCTGTACGCGTCTTGCACTTTGTCCGGATATCGTTTGTGCATTGAGAAGTCGGAATAGGAAAGCGGCGCCTTGGTCAGTAGTGAAGGGCTGAACAGCAAGATTTGCGCTGGCAGGGTGCATGCCGAGCGTATGGCACCTGCTCGTGATTAGCACCGATCCATGCTTAGAGACGGGCCAGAACTCAGAAAGAAGGTCAGCTTTCTCAGCATTGTCAAATATCAGAAGCCAGTTTTTGTTTTCTAGGGAAGATTAGCATGCTGAATATATGAGCGGGGCCAGTAACGGAACAACTTGCCTGTTCTCTGGAGCCAGTCTAGAAAGACAATGCGGCCCTGGGCGTCTTGATTAGGGGAGTTTAAGCCAACCAAACGAACGGCCTGCATGACACTTTGTTCTAGACTGGCCAACGTCTGGGCATGAATCCAGAAGATAGCGTCGAAGTGGTCCGTATGATGATGTGCGTACATCAAGGCGATTTGGCTTTTGCCAACACCGCCTAACCTGGATATAGCAATAGACCTGAGCATGCCATGCTTAGTTTCAGGGCTAAGAGCAGAATGTATTGTCGACAGCTTAGATTCCCTGCCAAAGAAGCGACTGTTTTTGCTAGCCGGCAACATGCGTGGTTGTTTGTGTGTGGGTACTGCTCGCCTCATTGTCTGTTGGGACGCCTCGTTCAAGAGCACCTGGAGCCGCTGGAAATCGCTGGTGTGCGCCTTAGAAAGGGATAATGATATGATCCGTGAAACCCTGTCAGAAGCTTCCTCCAGCTGTGAGAGAACATCCCTGTATTGAATTGTGATAATCTCCCAAGCCGTCTCTTTCATGCCCCCAAGCTCACAGTCGCGGAAGGCCGTGATAATATTTAACCAGAGATTAATGAGCTCCTTGGAGATTTCAACATAGACATTCTTCTTCTGCTCCATGTTCTTCATGCCGTGCATGGTTTCATTCATGTACTCCAGTTTGATGCCGATCGACTTGACCATACGGGAGACGCGGTCGAGGGCACCTTCTGAATGTAGTGAAAGCTAGGTTATACATCGACATTGTTAGTACAATACATATCGGTCACCAAACCCCTAACCACGATTCATCACAAATCTGGAGTCCTTACCTTGACGACTAAGTAAAGTAAACCCCACATCATGGAAACATCGACCTTTTCGCGCATCAAGCTAACGAACGAAATGGAGAATTGATTATAGTGCTCGAGAACTGGGAGTAGAAGCAGCAGGATGTCTGCCTCCGATGTGTCCTGGCGGTACTCTTGGAGCAATTCCTCAAGCGCCTGACGAAAGAGAGGGACAGACATGACTTTCAGCGCTTCTTTGAGGTCGTTGCGCTCGAGGCCCTTTTCGCAGCGCGATATTGTTGACTTCCAAGCATCGATGTAGATTTGATCACTGGTAGAGAGATCATTAGCAGTCGATTTTATTGAGGCCAGACCATCTATGCCCCAAATGATAAAGGAGCTTACTAGTCCAATCCTGACATGAGCCTTTTCAGGGACTCACGATCGCCGTCGTCAACGGTTGACGCAAGGGACAGTGTATCGACCATGTTGTCAACCCTCATTTCGTTTTGCCCAGAGTTATCGAGAGTTACAATCGTGGCGGCTCGTGAAAGGCGACGGGTTGGGTAGGTGCCCACATTGGTATGCAAACACGGCAAGTCACAGTTTCCGTGAATGAATCCCACACTGTCTCCTCTATCAAGGGTCGCAACTCGACTCGGCTGGCTTTGTGCGACCTCAACTGGAGGTCCCCTCTTATCTGTTTAACACGGGGCATGCTCCCGAGTAATGTTGACTTGTAGTAGTATTCCAGAGGAGCAATTTTGGTTTCACATTTCACAGGCCTAGCATGACACCGGCGAAGTCTCGCGGAGTAATGGCCGCCGTCGTCGACTATACTGCCGATCTGGAACTGTTCAGAACGGAAAAGCCCTACGAGTTGTACTAGGTCGAGGATCTTTCTCCGAGTGATAGCAGTAATGTTGTGTACGAGCCCCACGATATATCGCCACAACTGGAGGATATCCGAGGCCGGATTCCCACTCATTTTGCTACGTCCAATGTCCTTCAAGCATACCTGTCACCCATGAGGAAGAGATGATCCACCTCTACGCTCAGGAGGTCAATCGGCTACTCAAGCAAATGTTTAACACGCGGCATGTGATTTGTTACGACGTAAGGGTATGCCCTTGCCATTCCGCCAAGCCTGAGAAGACTGCGCTCATTTTAACGAAGCTGTAAAGGCCATGCAAGGCCAGTATGTTGAGGAGTAGGTCATTAGTGTGCCGGGAGTTCGTCGGGAGGCACCACGGTGGCGTAAAGCGAGCTTGACAACATGGCCATAACGGTTAGTCAACAACATAACGGACGATTAATTGACAATGGGGACAATAGAACCATTTCTAGGTTAATTGACATTACGGTTAACAAAACAAAGGACATCTGGTTTGACGATGTGATTAACTGTAATGTTGAGAAGAATTTAAAACGGCTGGAGGTTTATTGAAGAGGATAATGACCAGTTAAAAAGAGGACTAAGAACGTATGTAATATATTATTATACTAGACACATAATTATGTACCACATTTAAATCTTACATTCCTGACATAATTGGTTGAAGACGTATACTCGGATGAAGGATGGGCATCAGCAATGGTATCAATTGGCCCATTCCCGTCGGTGGTAGAACCTTCTCGGAGTTTGTAAGAAGCATATCTCGTTGGTGGCTAGCTAGCGAGTGACCCAAGTCCGTGACTTCTGACAACATTTGTATCTCTGTATGCACTAGGGCTATACTGTCAACCCTACTTGAGCATGATATTACTGACATGATCTCCTCACAAAATGTCGGCACTTAAATTGTAGTGCTAGGCCATGCCCTCGGCCAGATACCTAGGTAGGGAAGGTCGTAGCCTGGTAACCTATCTGAGAGTCCGAGCAAACGACCCTTCTCAACATTCCTCACATCTACTTCTCCCCCCCTTCTGAAACCTCGGTCGAGGGTAGCCTGTATGTATTTCAATGTCAAGGGCGGCTGACGTGGTATTTTCCTCCCCCAGGTACCGGAGACAAGGATCGAGATAATGCAGTATTAAGCCATCAATCATGTGTCGCAAGAAGTGGGTAAAGAACTGTCTCTCTTGTCCAGAAATTGGTGTGCTGTTGATGTATTGGTGGAGTGAGGCCCAAAAAACCTCCGTACACAATTCTTCGATGCGGGAGTTGAACCCTTCGGCCCCGGCTTCGGGCAAGAGCTAAAAAATGCCCATTGTTTTGAACTGTCGTTTATCTGAATGCCGAGGCCACCTTCTTGGGAGAGAAGCGGGTGGAGCATAAACAAGTAGGAGTTGTTGGAATAGAGAAGGTCACAAGACATGAGGATAATAATTCCGAGAGATGGAAAGGAAAATTTGAGGACGGTAGGTCTCATTTGATTGCAGCAGTGGGCAGTTTGAATCTGACCACGGTGTTGAAGGTAGTAGCTGGTGGTGTTTCGGTGTGACCGCCTCTTTGTTCCCCGGCCTTGGGGGCTGAGTAGGTACCTATGGTTTTTAGGCGACAATGTAGAATCGCCTCGCAATTCGGGAGCCTTCTGCTTGCCGATCTTCAGGTAACGGTAGGGTAGGCAAGTACCAGCCCCAGCTGACGCAGTTTAGCATCTTTCATAAAGTTCGTGTCCCCCGAGACAGCCTCGTACCACACCAAGGTACCCACCCGCCCAGCTTAGGTATTACTTCGGCTAGGTAGGTACCTTACCTACGGTACCTAGGTAGGCAACCTAGGTAGTGTGAGTACATGATGCACCAAGCTCTCAGTACCCAGAGGTAATTATATACTTATCGTAGTTATGCCGGGCAGTGAAAACTGCCTCTTATGAGTTGGAAGGTATTTGCATAGAGGGACCTAACTTAAAAGCAGGGAGTTACCCCTACATCTTGTGGAACATCCGAGCATCCATGGATGGGCGGAAGGGAACTGAGAATTCCACACCTCGCAAACACAGTGCGGCTTTTTGGAGCGTTTGGGATGCCACGAAACTCCCCCGCTCTCTCACCCAATGACTTGATACTCGCCTTGGAACTGGTTTTCAACCCCACCATCAAACCTTTCTCTTGTAAGCCATCCCTCTTGCGTGCGAAGCTCGCAGCCGGGATACTTCTTGTTGCGTCCTGGTTACTGCAGGCTACCTACTTTATTTCTCAAACTGAAACGAATAGTCCCGGGGCCGACACCATACCGCACCCAGCCACCACACTCCATGAACCTGGTTAGAAAAGTGTTGGTGCTATCTGGAATTTACCTCGTACCGTGGCGTAACATGGCCGTCAACCTTAGGTCGCAGGGCACTGCCACACCGGCGGCACTGCACTCTCCCGAACACATTTTGTCCCTCGATGCCGGGGAAGCCCACCGTCTCTTCAACGATGGGAAATTGACCATTTCGGGCTTACTTTCTCGGATCTTGACGCAAATTAAGGACACGAACACCAATGGACCAAAGTTGGGGGCTATTGTGTTCTTAGCGTCCGAACCTCAACTCATGGCACGCGCCGGGGATCTTCAGCAGGAGCTGGAATCGGGCCACAGCCGCGGGCCACTACACGGAATCCCAGTGGTTCTCAAGGTAGCCTTTGCTTATAACCCGCCGGTTGAGCGCGATTAGTAGCGTATGCCCTTGCTAATCTCCCGGTTTAGGATTGTATCGCCACTTCCCCCCTCCTCGGAATGCCAACTAGCGCGGGAAGTTACGCTCTTTTGAACACCACCAAGGTTACTAGAAACGCTCCCATCGTTGAAAGGGTATGAGTGGTCAGCCAAATTTGAAGATGGACCTGTGCTAAGTTTGACAGCTTCTAGATGCCGGCGCCATTATTGTTGGTAAAAGTAACCTCAGCGTAAGTCTTGTGTGTGACCTCCTTGAGCTCTTATATCTTAGTTTGGATAGCTGAATTTAGAACCTAAAGGAGTTCTGCGCTTTCAAGTGAGTGTTCCTCAACCCGTGTGTCATTCTCCGTGATCTTAACCTTCCCGAACTTACAGAGGCGACGGACTCATCGACGGATTCTCTCCTGTTGGCGGCCAGACTAAATCACCTTACGTTTATGGAGAAATTGTGCTTGACGAAGGCGATCTCTCCCCATCGGTAAGGCACCTTGCGTAACGTTCAACTCAGCATCATAATGATGGTTATTAACATACCTATTTTAGAGCCCAGGCGGGTCGTCAACAGGCAGCGCGGTAAGCGTCTCGGCAGGATTCGCTCTCATCGGCATTGGCACCGAAAATGATGGCTCGATCGTCCAACCGGCTTCCAGATAGGCATTATACGCCTTGAAGCCAACACTTGGGCTAGTGACAGCTGAGGGCTGCTGGCGAGTGTCTAAGAGTCTGGACACACCGGGTTGCATGGCCAAGTCTGTGCAAGATTTGGCCGCGGCCATGGAAATTCTTCTCAACCTGGAGGCTCGCGAAAAGCTTCCCGCTAAAGGATATCAGGCGTTCTGCGGGACGTCGTTTGAAGGACTGAGACTCGGCTTTCTTGGTCCCAGCCTCTGGCGTTTCCCGCCAGATCTTTGGGTTCCAAGTCTTGAAGCTAAGGAGCAGCATGTGAGTTACTCACTGCCTATTGGATTGTGTACTTCGGGGTCTAATAGTGATTTAGGACACAGTGTACCACGAATCAAGAAACAGGATGCAAGCTCTCGGCGCAACGGTGGTTTATCCCGTCAAATTGCCACAACCAAGCGAGTTGAATAACGGAGGCGACTATACGCAGTACATTGTGAATTGCACGTTTGAGGTCTAGTAATCCTCATTCAATGTGAATGACAATGCTAACCATGCGTTTACTTAGCTTAAGAGCATGAAGAGACCGCAAACGAGTTCTTCGATGAGTATGTTGAACAGGGGTCTCAGGTTCAGAGCCTCGCCAGCATCGTCGAATTCAACACGAAACATGCTGCAGAGTGTTTGCCAAAGGGTATGTATAAAGGAATCTTCATTTTCTGTGTATAGTCTAACCCTGACTTTAGATGCACCTGATCAATCATGGCTTGTGAAGGCCGTTGAAGATCGACCATCCGATGAACAGTACCGCGACGCTTTTGAACACATGAGCACCATTGGTAGGGACCAAGGACTTCGCAAAACCTTGGACGAGCACAACCTTGACCTTGTGATTGCGCCAATGGACAGTCCAGTGTGCTCTCTCAGTTTTGCTTCCGGTACGTCTAACGGCCCCTGTGTCCTTTGAAACATTCGTCGTCGAGCTTTTGGAAACTTATCCATAGCCCAATTAACACTTAACAGGTTATCCTCTTGCCAATATTCCTCTCGGCCGTTATCGTCTGAAAGGCGAGCTCAGTCGCCCTTTTGGACTTGCCGCCTTGGCCCGGCCAGGGGCTGAAAGGACACTTTTTCGATTCATGAGTGCTTACAAGGCGAACTTCCCACCCCGGGTCATTCCAGAGCAATTGCTCCGTGCCTCCGATATCTAAAGAACAGTTGCCGCGGCAGATATTTTTATTGGCGGTGAAGAAGTGGTTTTCTTGCTCTTGTTTTCTAGTTTAGTGGAGGCTAATTCAACCCAATCATGCTTTGAGTTAATTATCAAGACCGCGCTTGGTTGTGAAGGCCGTTGGGTGTAGCATATTGTCTCCAACAAAAAAGAAAAAAGAAAAGGGAAAACGTGAAAAGAAAAAGAAAAAAAAAAGAAAAAGGGCGTCGTCGTAGAATCTGGATTCGCGAATTACCCCATTCACTGGGATTGCCATAAGTAAGATTCAAGTCGTTTGATTCGTAGCTTCGAGATACTTAGCTACCGGAGGCCATGGTTGCTAGTACTGTGGTCGGTTGTCCCACGACGAGGTCCGTTATTAAATTTGATAATTTAACATCACCTACCTCAGTCTCCATAGCCAGTTCAGATTTGGAACATTTTTGAATTGTCAAATTCGGCATAATGGGTGAATGTTTCGCCTGGTGTGGCACAGTCGGGAGAGTCAAGCTGTCAGCGCGGATGTTGCCCGGGCCGGCCGGCCGGCCACGACCGGTGGGCGACCACCCCAAGTGGCCAAGCATATGGGGCCCGGAGAAGTTTTGTTCAAGATGAATGCTTGGATGATCTACGGTCTCGGCCCGTCGGCCATGGCCACTACAAGGCTCGTATGGTTGTCGCGTGGCAAAGATAGCAGTCTTGAACGCCACCAAACAACAATATATAAGGTACCACGGGCCGTCTTCTCAAGCGAAGTTAATCTGATCAAGCCCAGAGGCGCTCGTCAAAATCTCACGTCCTCTCAGCTAGCTACCAACACAAACTCGTTTGTCTTAAGGCTGGGAACAGTACTTAAACACTTATCCTTCCATCACATCCAGCCCAATGTCATACCGTCCTACGCCTGCCAGCTCTGTCTGGGAGCATATCGATGTTGACGATCTGAACGATTCGCACACGGATCCTTACCAACCCCGGGGCCAATACGCTCGCAAGCCGTTCTCGCCGCCACCTTATAGTGGGCGTCCCTATGCCGGCTCGCCCATATACAGCCCGTATCAACAGGCTACCGCTGATGGCTCCAGTGTCGTTGATTCTGGACATGACGACACCTTTTACACCAATATCATCGGAGATGACAACCGGGATTTCCCCGATAATGATGAGAGCAAAACTGAGGAAACCGGATTTGTTACCACTCCACTTTTCCCCGGTCCGGAACCCCAGGCTGGTATTCAGGACGCTTTGTTGCCTCCCGTGTACCGCTACCACACTTTCCCAACGCCCACTGCGCTCCTGTCTTCACAGCAGCCGCATCGGTATGCTCAAACGGGATGGCGACGTAGCCGGCTTAGTTCCATTGCAAAGAATACCCAGCCATATCAATTCGCTGCCGGGTATGTGGACGGCCGGGACTTGAACTCGATGGAGATACCCGAGTCGGACTTGGGGCATACCGGGAAGCGAGGGTTGTTAGGGTGGAGCGTGAAGCTGGGTGTTGCTGTGGGCTGGATGTTGTTGTTAGTGCTTGGAGCCATGGTTGTTGCGGGTTGGGTGATAGAGGGGAAGGAGGTTGCCTGGGGGTTTCTTGTTAAGGACGAAGGGGAGTGGGGGCCGTGTACCAATGCTAGGCCGCGGTTTTGTCGGCTCGTTGTTGGGACGGAGGAATAAAGGATAACTAGACGAACAGGACGGAGAGGAAAGGTGTATTTTTAGGCTTGAATCAATTCGGATTGGTATTAATTTGTAGTTCGTCGTGGACGTCACCTCCTTGCCACTGCTTTCCTCTTTACTGAGGCTACGAGACTGCTCAACTCGACGTCTCCTCCTGCCTTGACTTTCTTTGAGTTTCGTTGATCTCTTTCGCCAGCTGGTGATTGCCCTGGCCCGGTCTTGCGCTTTTTCCTGCCCTCCTCTAGCAGCTTCTTCATGCCATGCGTCGCCTTGTACTTTGGATTTGACGGGTCGATGGCGAATTCGTGGCTCTCAAAAACAGCCTTGAACCGGGAATCGTCCACATCCATGCTGAACTCCTCCTGCAAACCGCCCTGATTTTCGGCACCCTGCTTGTTCTTCTTATTTTTCTTCCCCTTCAGCTTCTCCGCTCGCGAAATCTCCTTCATGTCGAAGTGGTCTAAATGGGCACCACCGCCCCCTTCGTCAGCCATGAGAAGCTCGAGTTGTGCTTTTTGAGCCGCATTCTCCGCCTCTTCCCGTTCTTTGGCGGCACGCTTTTTGAGACGCTCCTCCTTACGCACTGCCGATTTAGACGGTTGTGTCGCCTCGGATGTGAAGAAAGGATCGTCAAACCCAAGGTCTTCACCGGCTTCTTCAGCCTGTGGTTCTTGTACCGTGTCGGGGTCAGCACCGTCCCTCTTGGCGAGAGCCAAAGCCCTCTTCTTTTCCTTCCGCTCCTTTTCCTTGCGCTTGTACTTCTCAATCGTGGTCTCTTCCACCTCTTCCTTCTCCGGTTTGCCAGATAAAGCCGGAGCAAATGTAATTTGCATTTCGCCCACCGGCCCTGATTTGGATCCCTTCGGTGCTGGTTCGTCACTGAGCCCTAATGCCGCGCGCATCTTGCGTCTTGCAAGTTCTTTTTTGCTTAGCGGGGCCTCCTCACTTTCGGCTTCCGCTGCAGGTAATTCCTCCTCCTCCTCGCCGTCGCTTTCGCTGTCGCTCGCCAGGTATGCCCGCAGGTCATTATCAGCGATATCCGACCGGCTCCCTGTGAAGGCTTTGTTGATCGACTCTTTCCTCACCACTTCCTCCGGGTGCATGTCCCATGTAAGCTTCACCTTGGAGTGTTGCAAGGCGTCCGTCACGAAGTCCACAGGCTTGTACCCGGATGGCACGCTGTCGCATTCGTCCCTTGGCTCGTCGTCAAACGTGACGTCGTCTGGGATAAAGCGGAGATCCAAGAAATTGGACGAAGATAGATACTCGCTTCCGTCCGTGGCGTTGTAAATCCTGTGCGCCGTGTTCTTGTCTGAGCAGACGACAACGGCATAGTAGTATCGTAACCGGTCGAGTTGGTATGTTCGGAGCGCATCGCTATCGAAATCTTGATCGTTGCCCTCTTGCAGGAGCTCTTTCTTGACCTCTTCGTCGGAATCTATGACATCGCTTTCGTCGTCTTCGCTCTCCGAAGCGGAATCTTCCTCGTCGTCCTCATCATCAGAACCTTCACCCTTCTTGAAAATCTCCCGGGGTGGCCCTTCCGCCTCCTCGCGCTGCATCCTCTCCTTGCCGAATTCACTTGGGTAGACGGAAACACGCTCGATGCGGCCACCGGCCGGGATAAAACTCGAAAATAACGCCAAAAGATCCATTGACTTGATGTGGTCCCAATCAATATTGACGACGGCGAAGCGGTTGGTAACCTCCCCCGCTTCGACCTCCTGTTTCTCCTTCCGAAGGCGGATACCAGGTCGTGATTCTTCCGCCTCATCGTCCCCTTCGGGTTCTTGGTCAGGTTCAGATTCTTCATCTGAGTCGTCATCTGATTCAGATGAGGAGAAGCCGCCGCCCCTCGCAGGATCGTATTTCTCGTCCGCCTTCTCTAGCTCGCGCCGAACAATGTCGTCATCCTCGACTTCAGCATCCTCCTCCTTGTCCTCCTCTTCGTCGTCTTCTTCGTCCTCATAAAGGCGTTGTAGAGCCTTCTTTTTAACGTCGGTCTTCACTTTCCTTCCGTAGCGGTCGACTTTCGCCGTTGCCACGAAATCGGCATCTTTGAGAACGCGCGAGAAGCGCTTATCGAGCTTGGTCTTCACGTTCTTTTTCGAAGGGAGCTGGTACCGAGGATCTGTTTCGAAACTGGAAAAGCGGGAATCGGTTACGCGGTTGGATGGCGCGCTATCGCGCTTTGTTGGTTTGGGTTTCGGCATAGCTGATGGTCTGTGTTGTGTGATGGCGCATTATTTGCGACTTGTCACAAGAGCACGGCAATCCGAGGTGCAGTTGATGATCGAGAAAATTTTAGTGGGGCAAGCTATTCTGCCAAAGGCGGTGAAGGGCTGATCTGGACAGCAGGCTCCACTATTCGGCTCCCACTAGGCGCACGGGTCCGTGCGCTTACGTAAACCTGAAATAGCTTATA